CGTGATGTCTGGTTGTCGTTTAACGAAGTTGTGCGCCCAACGCGCCCCGACGCGTCCCGCGTCGCGATCGGCAAGTAGTCGATTGGCCATATCTTCCACACTAGACAAGCGGGGAGGGAATCCTTTGGAATCCAGATCGAGGACATACTGAACAATAACCGATTCCTCCAGGTCGGTCAATTTGCGCGAGTTAGCCGGAATGTCGCGTCGTGAATGTTTACCGCGTCTTCGGCGACTGAGCTTCTCGTGGTCCACAGAATAGATCCTAGCTGCAGCTCTTAGGCTCAGTTTCGGATCATTCTGGATTGCTTGAAGGGCTAATTGCACTTGGGCTTCGTCGTTTTTTAGGGGCATATTGCGTTGTGAGGGAAAGTCGATAAAAAGATGAACGGTATGAAGGAGTGGATTTGTGGGACGTTCGCTTGTCTGGGACGTTCGCTTATCATGTACGTTATTTAGTTATTTATTTATTTATTTACTTTTTGGAAAGACTGCTTTGTATGTACATAGATTCGGTTTGCAGCGTGGGCCGAAACTGCACAACTGGCCCGTTTCCATGAAGAAAACGGTGGTACCGAACTCACCGCCGTTGACCCAGCCAGTATCAACGCCCATGTATAAGCCACTCTGTACCCAACAATGCACCCCGAAACAGGCCCACAGCGTCACAGAGCCAGACATTCCTGTTCCAATATATGCCCCGCTTCCAATGCAATATACCCTTGAAATCACCCGCCCTCAAAACTCCACAACCATCACCAAAGGTACCCTTTACCCCAATTCGAGATCCAAGGAAGTCTCCTCCTTCAACCCCTCAAACAATGTTATACACCCGCTTCGCAATCAAATAGCACGCCACACCGAACATGAGCAAGCACGCGGTGATGGCAGTGAACCACCGGAGGTCCCCCTCATGCTCTTGACCAGGGACCCAAACATTCATGCCCCACAAGCCGGTAATAATGTTCATGGGCAGCACAATGGTGCCCAGGACCGTCAGCTTCCCCAGCACGTCGGCTGTCTGCTCCTGCCGCTCGTTCATGCGGATGTTGATCTGGGCGAGGTAGTTGCCGTGGGAGCGGGCCAAGATCCTGATGGAAACCATGTTTAGTAGGCCTCTATAGTAGTAAGGAGTGGTGTTGATGTTGGCTTACTTCTCGTAGTGACTCAGGTTCGAAGTCATGGTCACGATGTGGTCCTGGATGTCGCCCAAGTACAAGCCGATTTCGGAGCGCGGCGCCACCTCCCAATGCTCGTTGCAGCGCTTCGCGAAGCCCTTGATCACGTCGGCCTTGTTGCTCAGCAACCGGTACAGCGACATGACCTTCTTGCGGCAGTCTCCCACGCGCCGGAGCATGTCGCGCCCGGCCTCGGCTGACTTTACCTCGGCGGAATCCGGCTTCTCGGTAAGCCGCCGCTTGTCGTCTTTCGCGGCCTGGTCCTCCTCCGAGTGCATCTGCAGGATGGCGAAATCGATGTCGTCCACCTCGTCTTCGATGTTCTGAATCAAAGGCCCGAACACGTCCGTGATATCGTCGATTATGGCGTATGAGATCCAGTCGGAGGAAAGGATAAGATAGTCGCGCAGCTGGCGGATTCGCCTTCGCACGTTCGCTGGGTGCGGAGTGACAGAGAAGTGGAAGCTCAGCACACCTTCGCGAAACACGACGACGTACATGTTGACAGGCTCCAGAAAGTTCTCGCTGGTCTGGTCCTGGTCGAATGAGCGGTAATTGACGAAATAGTAGTTACGGAAGAGTTCGACCTTTTCTCGCTGCTCTTGCATCATGATATCTTCGGCCGTGAGAGGATGAATCCCGAAAGCCTTGGAGATAACCTTCATCTCGGCTTCGGTAGGTGAAAGAACGTCCAGCCACCAAACCGGACGGTCCCCGTATTTGAGAGGCTTGGACGGCTTTTCGTTCTGCGACGATTTCAAAGGGTCCGGCGACTTGAGCCGTGACGGAGTATGCTCACTCGAGCCGGCTTGCGTATCCTCGCTGTTAGTCGAGTGTTGTCGCTCGGCGGAGATCTGGGTTGCGGTTGCAAGAGATGGTTGCCGGGATGGAATCTTGGGGTTCCCGACCTGGCCTCCTAGAACCTGATGTAAATCAATACTCTCCTCTTGCTCTTCCTCCTCGCCGTCAGAGGTGTCCGAGAGAATCGGGGGATCGGGAATGAAAAGCTCTCTGAATGTGCCTCCTGGTTGTACGAGCTCCGAAATGGTTTGGCTGTGGATGGTGCTCGGAAACTCTTCGTTGAAGTAAGTGAAGCGGTATGGCGCCTCCTCTTCAGCCTGGAACCAGCCCCGATGGACAGGCCTCAACCTTCCGTTGATCAATTGTGGTTCGGTGATTTTCTTGGCACGGCGCTCCTCGCTACGGCCTTCCTTCTCGAATCGGCTCCATTCGTCCAGGATGGAAAGATCCGGCCACTTCCTGCGACGCCTACGAGGCCGCATGCGGTAAGCCGAGTCCCTGGCGGCAAGCTCGTCGTCGCCAATGTCTGACAAGCCTTCCTGCGGGTAGCACACATCTTCTTGGGCTTGCAGGGCAATGGTCTTCCTTCTATCCAGGGGTGACGGTCGGGTGTCACCCTCGTCCCCGCTCGCCTTAGGTGAACCCGGGCTGCTGAGGTCGTCACGCAGGAGCACATCACCAAAACTCATGGTCATTGGGTGATCGGATGGGCGGAGGGTCGGAGATCCTGGAACAGAGGGAGGATAATTGACGTTGTAGGTATCGGCAAGCTGTCTCTTGTTGCTGCTCGCCCTGCTCGAATCGCGCCGCCCGGCTGGCCCAGTCTTCCGCTGAGCATCATTCGACCCATACCCCTGGAAGGTTTCGCTTCTCTGGAATACCGGGCTGGAGAGGAGAGGCGCGCCTTCGTCCTCCTCATCACTGTCCGCCCTGGTGGCGGTCCTCAACCTCGAGGCGGATTGTGGGGCCGGAAAGGACGCGCTCATTGTCATGACCGACGGGCGTCTGGGTCGAAGGAACGGCTGTTGGTCCCTGGATCCCTAGAGGTTAGCCACTGTCTGTGACAGAAAGATTGCGGTGTGTGCGAGCTCTCACCGATGGTCTAGCAGGGCCTCGCTGTCAATGCTTGTGGTGCTCAGGTTGCGACCCGGCCTGGCATAGAAGGCCTGTGGCTCGTCCAGGCCCGAATTGGCGCCGTCGTGAGCGATATCATCAGCGGGCAGAGCAAATGACTTTCTTCTGGCTTTCTTCTTCCTCCCTCCCCTGTGATTCTTGCGCCTCCTCGGGGCGTTGCCAGAGGTGGACGGAGGATGCGATGTGCTAGCTGAGGTCGCAGCGGGCATCCTCCGAATTTGTTGTTGCGTCGACGAGTCCATGTTGAGAAGACCCGAAGCCATCGGGGCTTAGCAGATTGGCGAATCAGGCTGGGGCCCTGGGTGTCTCAGCCAGACGGCAACGGCAACTCCAACGTGCTGCGAGGGCACGTGGAATAGAACCCTCTGCTTTGACGATGACCTGTCGAGTCTGGCGACTGGATGACGCGAGGAGCTTGCAGGAGCTAAAACGCACGACAACGGGCCGCGGGTGTGATTGGCACCACGTTCAAATGGTGGGTTCGGAATGTGATGGAGCGGTCGCGTTGAATCGTACGGGGCGATAACTGCGGAGACCAGACACCTGCTACACTGCTGTTCGCGTCAGCGGCATATAGTGTCGGCATAAGATGGGGGCCCGTCGCATTGTTTAAATGTAGACGCGCCTTATGATGGATCAAAATCTTTCGTTAAGTGCACCTCGAACAACTGAACCCAAGGCCTGGTGATGTCAGCCAAAGGGGAAGCCGCATCCAGACATGCAGCTGCTGATTGGCCAGCGTGATAGTTGCGGAGATCCTTCAAAGGCCCCGCTTAGTGTACAATCTAGCCTTGGTGTGTTCGGTAGCATGGTACTGGGCAGGGCACTAGACGTGAATGGGTTAAAAGAAAACTAAGCAACGTATGTGAACAGGGAAGAGAGGAAAAGTAACGGAAGGTTAAGAAAAGATAAGAGAAGAGGGAAGAGTGAGAGATGGAGATGAAGAAGAGGAAGAAAAGGAAATAAAGCATTGGAAGAATATAACAAGGTCGAAGTGAACGAAGATGAGGCGTAACAAATAGTTCCGCGCTAACAAACAACTCAGGGCTGCACTGTTGTGCAGTACATAGTAAAGATCCCCCACCCTGCGTGCGGGGTTCGTGTTCTCGACCAACTCTACATCCCGATTCGAACTTAACGTCGCGGAATTAATTGCATCGTCGGAAAGCAATACGTGAAACCAACCAAGCCGCGGGGGCAAGCGCAGCTCCCATTCCAGAGTTGGCTCTAACCTCCATCTCGGCACGCTTCTGCCTCCGCCGGTCATTCATGCGTTTCGCCCTCTTATACCACCACAAGACGCAGTCCCACTTCACCTCATCGTCCTTGCAAACCTCCCACCACGACTCTGGGACGTGTCCCTCAAGCCGGTGAAACCATAACAGGCCCAATTGTTCTATCCGGATGCGGATCCATGGAGGTCGAATATCCTCGGGCGACTGGCGAATTCCTGCTTCTCGAGCCTTCATTGTTTCGCGGCCCAGCACCCATACCCAAGCCCCTCGCAGGTGAGCGTGAGCTCACGGCCCTCTTGCGACCCGGCTGGACGTGATTTCAACTCAGGCACCTTCTCAAGTGAACCCTCGAGAGTAGAATTCAATGCAGTCTCATCCAGAACCAGACAGTGATGGTACCTGGCATTGCGCTGCGATAAATCTTTGCCCAGCTCGTTGGCCCAGCGGATAAAGGCCTTACCGACAGGCGCAAAGTCCTCGCTTCCCTCCTCTCCGCCCGAGATGTTCTTCTCCTTGTCTGGATATTCCTCCACTACCTCGTTCCAGAGGCGTTCAGCCAGCAAAGCGGCCGCATCCGAATCGGGATCGGACGGTAAGTCCTGTCGCTTTCCGAACGCATCGTAGCGACTCTGCCGTACTATAAACCGTAACCAATTTTCAAGACGTTTGAGGCCGGCTGCAAAGCGTTCGTCGAAACCTGGACCGAAGGCCGCACGGTAGATGGTGAATCCCCAGCCATTCAGGATGTAGGTGTTGTGTGTCTCATACTCCCATAGGAGGCGTAAATTCGACCCGTGTTGGTTTCGAAGTCTCCTGACTTGAAGTTTGATAGGGAAATTGGAGGAAAGGATTTGGGGCTGAAGCGGGGAGACATCATTATCGAAGAGTTGCTGGCCACCCATGCCGTCAAGAGGTCGAGAGGCTCTCAAAGCGACTCGGTAGCTACCTGAACGTCAAGTGTGGTTCACTGGGCTCTTGCCTGGCGAACCAAAAGGGTAATACAACTCAACCCAGGTTTGTTTGTTAATGCGAAACTTCCGTGATAGTATTACACCTCATCTCCTTCACTTGAACCTTCTTATATTCTTTCTTTCTTTCCTCTTCCTCTTTATCTTTATCTTCCTCTTCGTCTTTATCTTTATCTTTATCTTGCTCCTTCCGTTATATTCTGTCTTTGCATTTCATCTTTTTCTCTCTTTCATTGTTTTCTTACGTTTCTTCTTTGATCCTATGCATGTCTGCTGCCCCGCTATGTGCCACGCTAACGAACAAACCAGGGTTGGATTGTAGCGTATTGACTTAGATGACAACAACTGAATCGCCCTACGGCAAGCTCCGTTCCGTTGTCTAGCAGTTAGATGGTCGATTCCTCCCAGTCCGAGACATGGACATCAGCTGTTTTAGGGATGCCCGTAATAGGCTGAGTGCAAAACGGTTTGAGATTATCGTTACCCGGCAGCTACTCCGAAACATGTCAATGTCAATGCAAGGTGTGTTGGTTGAGACACAGATGGTTCGGTAAGGGCATCACCGTGAGAGCGAGTACCTATATGGGTGCTGCTTCACTGTATATGGAGACCATGTATTGCAATTAGAAACCCGAAGTCGGGTGTTTGCCCCAGTGCTCACTCATCCCGTCGTCCGATCTAGGCATGTAGTGCGGCAGTCTGGGGAGGGGTTGGTGGAACAATACGGCAACTGGAGCTGTTGCTGGCGTCTTCCCCTCATGTGAATCCACACCTAAATGCAGTCGACAGCTCCTCTCACCATCCCACAATCACTCAGTTTCAGTCAACCACCACACACCCTCTGACTCATTGAATCTTCCTACGCAGCTCACCACCATGGCCGACTTCCCCAAACTTATCCCCGCCTTCACTGTCCAAGTACGTCAGCTTCAACCCCCCTCAACACCATGGCCGCTCCTCCTCTCCTCCGCCCACTCCTTCTTCACCACCATCGAAACAAACCTTTACGCTAGTAGTGACTGACCCAACAAAAAAAAGGTGGCAATCTCCCCACCACAAACCATTTCCGAAACCCTCACCTTCGTCCCCTTCCTGTCGACAGGCGGCTCTATCGTCTCGGAACCGTCCTACCCGATCAAGCTCAAAGCCGCCCTGGAGCACGGCGCAGACTACATCAAGCTGGCGCCCGACGGCAAGCACGTGCGCCTCGACGTGCAGAGCCTCGCGCGCGATGCCAACACGGGCAAACTGCTGCGCTTTATGTACTGCGGCAAGATCTCGACGACGGGGCCTGCGGGGCGGGTGTTGAGGGGTGAGGAAGGGGCAGGGACGACTTCGTTTGGGGAGGCTTGTGAGTCTCCTTGTTTTTCCTTCCCTTGGTTTATCCAGGTGCTTGTTTGAGATGAGATGGTTGGCTGACTTGGGGTCAACTTAGTCTCGGTTGTGGAGTTTGAGGTCGGAGGTAAGGAGCTCGCGGCGCTGGAGGAGAAAGTGTATGTCGGGTCGGGGCGGTTCGTCATTGAGCCCGGGAAGCCAGTCATTGTTGAGTACAAGGTCAGTGAGGTCTCTGCGTAGGTTGAGAGGGCGCAGCTTTGTCGCTGCCTAGTCACCGGCGGCGAGCGCTGGTAAGATGACAGTCAAACTCCCGAGTTGCTCAACTACGCAAATCAGTGTGTAGTATACGCAAGCCTTGCTTTTATCCTGGACCGTACGACTGAAGTGAGTAACTGAGACCCATCCACATCATAGACCAAGGGTATACGCTCCCTATCATCTGCCCAGCCAATGGACCTGCTCTTTCAAAACCTCACCAGGACCGTAACGGTGCCGTCCACACGCCCCGCGAATTGTTGCCTCGCCTTCTATGCAAACATATTCCATGCACAACCTGGCTATCAATTGGCCGGCGGCCCTCCCGCCTTCTGAACGAGCAGTTGCCCGACCTGGAGGTTCGCAATTTCGAAAGCCTTGGACCCCTGAGGGAAGGTTCCCAGAGCGGCCCAGAGATCGATAAGAGGCTGCATAGGCTCAAGATCCGACTTTTTCAGCAGGTTGAGCGTGGTCGCTGTCAGGCTGAAGTGGCTGAAGCAGCTGTTCATCGACTTCTCGAGGTTCAGGCTGAACATGTCGTCAAAATGCGACCAATACAGGTGCGCATAGACGCGGAACATCTGGCGAAAGATGGTCTGGCACGTCTCCATGAAGTTCTGGGGAAACCCGCTCCGCTTGCCCACCCAGTCCTGGCCAGACTCTAGGACTGGAGTGCAGTATGCCGGGTTGTCGGCGTATGAGACGCCGGCCGGGTCCGTTGGGAAAATGGTAGCGTCGTCGATCTTACCTGAGATGTAACGCTGGACGAGCGTCAGGTACTCGTAGGCCGGAATCTCGACGGGCTGGTACCGCGAGTTGAGCCAGGTAAAGGAGTGATTGCTGGCTTCATGTTAGACTATCGTGTCGGGAGGTTAGTTCAGGTAGACCTACCCTCCCGCTGACATCTTGGGGCATCTCCTCGAGTTGCAGATCGAGGACCCATCTTCCTCCTTATCGTGGACCAAGCGGATGAAGGTGATGAGCATCCTCCAGTGGTCGACAACTGGCGAATGTATTAGCTGCATGCCCTTGCTATCACTTCAGGAAAACATACCCTGGTGTGCGATCCACTCCCCCATCTCGACGGTCTTGGGTTTTGCGCTCAATGTCAAGAAGTTGCCCTTGACGATGTGCTTGGCATAGTTCGCATTGAGCCAGAGGGGTTTGACGACAGGGAGGTGGTAGGAGGCGAGAACCTCCTCGGCGGACGGCATCATGCCGCTGGACTGGTCCATGCCGATGGTCTCAGCAAGTGATGGCGAGGTGGGGAGCGGCGGGAGCTTCACTGAAAGATTGGACGAGGAAGAATGGCTTCCCTGATGCCCTGGGGAAGCGTGGACTGGGGACTGGCTAGCCGCTGGTGTTTGTGCCTGTGCCTGTGCTTGTGCGAGTGCTTGTTGTTGCTCGGGGCCTGGAGAGCTTGTGCCCGGCGAGTTGGGGTTTCTCTGGCCGCGGAAGCGGGCGTTGCTGTTTTGCATGTTAGCCGGCAGTACTATTAACCAGGAAAGTAGGCTGGAGGGCGACAGGCGCAGACAACAATCAATAAGGGCAGCTTTGCAAACACAGTCCTAGTCCAGCCGCAAACCACTTGGCGTTATGTAACAACTGCATATCTGATTCCAACTCAACATGCACAGTGCAGACTTCATGAGATCTCCCGTGCTGTCGAGTGCAACAGCAGCTGTGGCACGGCGCTCACTGCTTTACCCCTGAATCCAACTGCCACTCCTGCCCCTGACAAACCCAGCATCAAAAAAAGACCACGAAGCACTCGCTTCTGGGTGTGATATATCGGAAGTGTCCTTGGGGAAGATGTATTGAGAAGCTGCTGCCTCACTCTTGTGCACAGGTAGAGGCGGCTCAATAGAACCAGGTATGAACCGGTTCAGGTGTACGGAGGAGGTGTTGGTGGTTGCGGGGAAGTAATGGGCCGAACTCACATTCCAGAGAAGAGGTTGGACATTGTCGGCGTGAGGTGGGCGGGATTATGATACAATAGAACAGAGGGCAGGGTACACCCTCAGACTGAATATTGGAAGATGACTGGCAACAGCTCGAAACCTGCGGTTTCCTCTCAGTTTGAATGGGTCGACATGAATTGTTACTGACGATCGGGCATTTGGTTCAGTTCCAGACCCCTGCATCTTGTGGGTGGGTGGGGGGAGAGGGAAAAGCCATCCCCGCCGTTTCAAAACGCTACTGCCCCTTATCGATATGGAACAGAACATGGGCCTTTGCAAGCTGACTCAGCAGTTGACATCCCGTCAGTTTACGGAGCACCCCGTAACTTATTTACTCGTAGCCCCCTACGCGGCTAGTCGATCGACAATCTAGGAGCCCCGACTAGTAATCAACCACGAACAACAGCAGCCAACAGCTGTGGAATCGCGCAATCATCTGCTCGAACCTCCTGCACCAAGAGACCACGACCCGTGTCTCATTTTCTATCGAGTCGCAACGAACAAGTTGCCGAGTTCTTAAACGCCACTACAACGCCAATTGCTCGCCACTAGATTCAATCCACACCGTTCCTGCGTTAACCTGTTTGACTGAGCTCGACATGTCCGATTCCGAAGACCCTATCGACATCCCTGACGAAGGAGGTGACGACCTCTTCGGAGACGAGGGCGATGACGCGCTTTCAGAGGCCGACAAGGCCGTGAGCGATCAAGAGATCGCGTCGGATAGGGAAGATGATGATGTGGACGCGCGCCGGTCCGAAGACGATGAAGAGCCTCGCGAATTCCGCGAGAAACTGCTGCTACCGGTTCCCCTGTACCGGCATCGCATTCCGCGCTCCAAAGATGGTGGTGTAAGTCGAGACCCCTGTACCTCCATGCTTCATGTCTTGCTGAAACATAGCAGTTGCAATCTCTCCGAGTCCCCGATTTCATCAAGTTCAACCCCATGGAATACAAGCCCGACGAATGGCAGCCGAGCAGGTGGGATCTCGACAATGCCAACTCCGAGAACCCGATACCTTCCATCATTTGCCGCCGCGACCCCAAGACCGGCCGCCTGCAGAGCAACGCTAACTTCTACCGCTGGAGCGACGGTTCCGTGACCCTGGCCATCGGCGACGAGCACTACGAGATCCAGTCTAAGCCCCTGGCGCCGCCGCCCGACAAGCCCTACCGCGAAGTCCAGGACGCACACTACTACGCGGCGGCCGCACACCTGACGACTAATTCTCTGCTGATTGTCGGCCATCTGACGGAGCAGTACACGTTGCGCCCCAACAAGGAGCTGCAGGACCACGCGCTGGAGCGACTGATGGCAAATCTGGCGGGCGCCAAGAAGGACCGCGGCGCCGAGATGATCATCGTCACGAGCGAGGACCCGGAGCTGCTGAAGAAGCAGGCAGAGCTGGCCGAGAAGGAGCGCATGAAGTTGCAGCGGCGGCGCGAGACGGCCGCCGCCCGCGCGGACGGCGCCGCGGGCCGGTACAAGGCTGGCGGTGCGTTGTCCGTTGGCGACCTCGAAGGGCGGCGCGGTGCGGCCGGTACTGGGAAGAAGCGTGGTGCGCCAGGTGGCGCCAAGCACAAGCGCCGCCGGCCCGAGTACGACTCGGACGATGACCTCCCGAGCGGCACTCGTCGCGGGGACAACTATGATATGGATGACGGGTTCTTGGTTGACAGCGACGAAGAGAGCGAGGTGGCGGAAGAGGACGAGGAAGAGGAGGAGCTCCTGGATGAGGATGAGGAGGAGGAGGAGGATGAAGCGCCGCGGCCGAAGCGGCAAAGGACGGCTGAGCCGGATGAGGATGCCGAGGGCGACGAAGATGGCCCCACACACGAGACCTCGAGGGCCCGCAGACGGCGCGTCATTCAGGATGATGAGGACGACGAGTAGATGGAGATACCAAGATGCTGTAAAATATTTCTGGGCCAGCGCATGATCATGGGTACTCGGGCGTCTGGGTCTGAAAACGGCATTATCTGGGTGATTTGCGCTTCTCGTAATTCATATCTACATCCCGAAGCCCCTGTCGAGGGCGACAGAGACGTACCAGCCCAACAGAAGCTCGCTTGTTTCATATAGCGCCGCGGTTGTAACTCTGAGCCTTCTTCAATAGGCTTGCATACCGCCGGCTTTCTCACTCCGAAGCTGGAGAGGGATACGGCTGAGGCAGCGTGCAAGCGCGCCGTCCCAGCCGACCCTTTTGACGCTGGCCTGCCGGACAAGATCAATGCGAATAAGAACTGCAAAAAGCCTCCTGACCAGCCACACGTCTCTTCGTGGGGTGGTCAGCTACGCAAACCCCGGGGATTTTCCTCCGTTCCGCTCTTATGAGGGGACCGATCTGGTGTGTGCGGGACTGCAGGTACCGTTTCCTGCAACTTCGCCCTGGAATCGCCCTGGAAGCCTGTCGATTTGCCAGTCAAAATCCAGGTCACGGATGCCAACCTCCTCCAGTAACCGCTCTGCTAAGCCACCGTCCATTGGCGACGTGAGGGAACGCAGACCTTCTATATTAGTGACCGGCTGCGCTCGGCCCGAGCCGTAAAATGTCCCAAGTCCAAAACTCGGTGGGTTGCTAGGATGGCAACTGATGCGGCACAAGTGTTGCAAAAGCTTGCCTGCATTCGATAATGACCATAATCAAAAGTAGCCCGGCGTCCCCGATTTCAGGCCCGCTGAGCTCCCTGGAAACGCCCCTGGAACAGAACCCACCGTCGTCTCTTCATCCGAAGTAGGGTAATCGTCGACCTCGTCTGCCCTATCCGGCGGCGCCCGCATCGCTTCCAATACGTCGGGGCTCAACATTGGCGGATGAAATGGCTTTATGGTGTGGATCTCACGCCCCGAAGGCATCTGCGCGAGTAGCGATGTGGTAGGGGGTATCGGCTGTGTAAGCATCTACAAGCCATCAGACATAGTCGACACACCCAGTACCCCACGCAAACTCACCGTATCATTCTGTTTCGTCCACTTGGCCTCCAACATCTCAATCACCCTCGTCTCCTCCAGGCGGCCCCCATCCGCGCCCCAGTCCCGGCCCCGCTCAACCTTCTTATCCTCCCTCCGCTCGCTCCACTCCTTCCTCAGCCCCCTGAAGCCACCCCGCTCGCGGTGGCCGTCCTCCCCCTTCCTCTCAACACCCAGCTCCGCCAGCCCCGCCCTCAGCCACGCGATTCCCGCCCCCGTCTCCCCACCAAGCTCGGCGTCGATCCCAAAGAACCGACATGCCCGCGCTCGACTCGCCCGCCGCAGATCCGCCACGTACCGCACCAAGCCCTCGCTGATCCCGCCTCCAGCACCCACTCCCTTTCCCAAGGGTGAAGAAGAATTCGATGACGAGAACCCCGCGGCAGCCTGCGCGGCGTGTTCCGCCGCAGCGAGGCACAGCCGCGCAAACAGGTGCGCACGCACCTTGGGGATGTCTGGGGCCTTGTACATCCACTCTGTATCGTGCGGATTGCGGGCCTGGGCGACGGCGGCCGGGTAGGGGTCGTCTTTCAGAACGGCGAGGAGGGTCGCTTCGGCGAGCGCGAGGGAGCGGAGGGCGCGGAGGGTGGAAGGGGAGATGTCGGCGCATGGCCAGGAAGGGGCGTTGGGCGTGGTGAGGGATTCATTGGAGCGGGCGCAGAGGTAGTCGTATATTGAGGCCGCGTCGAGGAGGTGGCGGGTGGCGGTTGATATGGCGGTTTGGCGCTGGGCGGTGCCGACGGGGGCGGTCGTGGTTTGGTAGAGGGGCTGGAGGGCGACGCGGGATTGGAGGGTGTGGGTTGTTGCGAGGGTCGAGAGGGCGAAGAAGAGCTCGTGCTCGAGGGAATGTACTTTTATGCGCGGGAGCTCCCGCCCCAGAAGGACGTTACTGGAGAGGGTCGGGCGCCATTCCATTTGGGGGTTGGTCTTGAGGGTGATCATGACTTCGTCCGAGTGAATGGTCTTGTTAGAGAGGCCAGCATCGATGGCGAAGAGGTAGGGTAGGTAGTTCTGGAGAGCGGCGGTGACAGTTCTGAGGGACGGAGCTTGAGAGGCTGGGGGCAAGCGCTTGTGTTTCTTCAGGGCGTCACGCACGACGCCGCGGTGAGTGCTCGCCTGGAGGGGCAGCGAGGGGTGCGAGTCGCAAGTGCAGCTGGACGAGAAGGAGAACGCTGAGGTCGTGGGAAGAACGAAGGGATATGGCATTTTCTAGACCTGTGTATTGCTGATAATGGTGGCTTATCGCATGGAATATAAGTCCTGCCTCTGTTTTTTGGGTTGGGATCTTTGTTAGTCACCGGGGACTGTTCATGGTCAGCCTGAGTACGGTACCTTATTGTTTGAGGTTCGATTGTCTGTATGAGGGGCAGCAACCTGGAAGGGTGGGGTGACATCGCTTTGCAAGGGCCCTGGAGCTCCCCATGTACATGCGTGCAGTGGAACCCCAGATCCCTGTCTCGGCCAGGTTGCGTATCCGAGAAAAAGTGCACGCAATTCATCCACTCGAGATACCAATACTGGTACTTCACCGTGTTCAATGCGGCCTTCTCCTCAATATCAATTGCATCCTCGGTGACAATGGCTCGGCCGTCGCCTTCTCCGCACAAACCAAGGCGAAAGGCCAAGCAGGCCGCCAATGCGACGAGCAACCTCATAAATGTCAGCTTGGTCGAATCCCATGGGGCTCGCGCGCCTGCGTTTCCTCTCGCTGCATTTCTCTGGCCGGCTAGGGGCACCGTGTCGCAATGGGAGCTTCTACCGCTGATTCTAATGGCTGCTGGGCTCTTCAGGTGGGCTGCCGGACTATGGGGCTACTCTGGTGCGATGGCTTTCTTCTTAAAGGCTGGTGATGAAAGGAGACTGACTGACCCTCGCAGGCTTCGAGAAACCCCCCATGTTCGGCGACTACGAAGCCCAGAGGCATTGGATGGAGATCACGACACAGCTTCCCGTATCTCAGTGGTACTTCCACGATCTGCAGTGGTGGGGCCTCGACTACCCGCCCCTGACGGCCTACCACAGCTGGCTCTGCGGCAAACTCGGCTCCCTCATCAACCCGTCTTGGTTCGCCCTGTTTTCGTCCCGCGGCTCGCACGACCCGACGCTCAAGATATTCATGAGGGGCACCGTAATCGTGTCTGAATATCTGATCTACATCCCTGCCGTCGTCGTTTTCGTGCGCCGCTACAGCAGACTGAGCGGCGTTGCAACCTGGTCTGCCTCGGTTGCCCTCGTCGCTATCCTGATGCAGCCCGCCACGATCCTGATCGATCACGTTCACTTCCAGTATAACACTGTCATGTTGGGGTTCGTCGTGGCAAGCATGTCCAGCATGCTGGCCGGTCGCCATCTCTGGGCTTCGGTCTTCTTTGTCGCGGCCCTTGGGTTTAAGCAGATGGCCTTGTACTACGCTTTCTCGGTATTCGCCTACCTCCTGGGGAGCTCTGTGTTTCCACGTATCAATATTCCCCATCTCCTCGCGATCGCGGCAGTCACTGCAGTCTCCTTCCTCATCCTGATCCTGCCGCTCGTCGTCGGCACACTCTCTGATACGAGGCGTGGAATCGACTCTCGTCCAGATGTTGACGGCCCTCGTCCTCCCCTGCCGTTGTTCCAAGGTCTTGCCCACTACCTGGACACGGAGGCCTTCAACTACCCAGTGGTCGAGCAATTGGTCCAGATGATCCACCGCATTTTCCCCTTCGCTCGCGGCTTGTTCGAGGACAAGGTTGCCAACTTTTGGTGCGCCTTGAATGTCGCCATCAAACTCAAGAAATACCCACCCGAGTTACTGCAGCGCGGTGCGTTGCTTGCAACACTGGTGTCAATCCTTCCTCCCAATCTTGTTCTTTTCTTCCGACCACGAAAAGACCTGCTGCCATTGGCTTTCGCCTCGACCGCCTGGGGCTTCTTCCTATTCAGCTATCAGGTTCACGAGAAGAGCGTCTTGCTCCCGTTGATGCCGACGACTTTGTTACTGGCAGGGGGTCACGGCCTCAGCAAGAACATTCGTGGTTGGGTTGGCTTCGCCAACATCCTCGGCTGCTGGACCATGTTTCCGCTGCTGCAACGAGTAGACCTGGCCATGCCTTATACGGTGCTCACACTGCTCTGGGCGTATTTGCTGGGACTACCCCCGACTTCGCTGCGCGTCTATTTTCACGAGGGCGGCAATACCTGGAGTCAGTGGCTCACCCTTCTCATCCATGGTTCGTTTTACCTGGCAATGGCCGTTTGGCACGTGCTAGCACACTTCGTTCCTCCGCCGGTAGACAAACCGGACCTCTGGGTGGTTGCCAACGTCGGAGTCGGCGCTGCTGGCTTCTCCCTCTGTTACCTCTGGTGTCTGGCGAGGTTGGCGATGCTGAGCGAAATCTTCCCTGGAGCGTGGTTCGCAAAGAAGGAGAAGGCGAAGACGCAATAAAACATTGGTCGGGAGGCAGAGAAGAGTTAAGCTTGCAGTTTTATACCCTGAATTATACCCTGTTCGGATTTTGATTGATTTGTTGAGCAAACAACTGATTCTTGGAGCGGCTTGTTCATCTCATCGCGGAACCGGATACCTCTACGGAGTGAATCCCAACGCCCGAGAACCAGCAAACAAGACGGACAAATGAATATCAAGGCCGAGTGCAGCACGAAGGACATTACACCCCTACGCTTGGTGAGAAAAGACTCTTGTCGACCTGGCCATCACACCCATCCACTTTCCAATTCGTACTTGAGATGGTCAATTCCTGGCCCACGACAAGGGCAATGCATGGATCGACAAGATGCGTTGTCCAAGGGGCCGTCGGCCAATCGACGTTCTAAAGGATCGAGGCAGCGCATTGTCTCACTCAGATCTTGGCGCATCCTCAGCCCTTTCAGCCAACAGCCGCACCGTGGAATGCCGAGGACACAGCCAGCAATGACTGCGAGCAGAACGGCGGCGGTGTGGTGGCCGCTGCCCCAGGCCTTCGGTTTCGCGGAGCTGCCCTAATATGCAACTCAGCGAGGTGCGTCTCTCTGGAGATTGCCTGACCTAACGTTACTCCGGAGCCCAAGCGTGTCCGACGACACGGCTACCGAGGCGGAAGCGAGAGCACGGCACTTGGAAGCCAAATTCTATCAATAGCGGTAGCGGGCCATGCCCGGATGCTGGGTCGTTCTCTATCCCGTATTGGCTTCTTCCTGAGCATGGTTCTGCTTTGCACCATCCAGAGTGGCGAGTACACTGTCTCTTTGGAAGCATCGGCCATCCCGTGCCGTCTGACTGCTCCTGATCCCTCCTGGACGGTGTGCTGAGAGGGGAACGGCGCCACCTTTCTAACGTCCTTTGTCTGGCTTTGTCAACGCCTTCTGGAAGGACTGCTCGAGGGATATGGCTCATCTGGTTCGGGCTTTGTCCGAGTCGGGGTCTTTGGACTTGACGCAGGCACCTTGACCATAGAAGCAGAATATCTCCTGGCATTCGGCATCATAACCTTCCGTCCACTGTCGCCGGCTTCATATAACCAAGAGTGTTCTCACGAGGTGGCGGTCGAGCTGCGCTTCTCTGCCCTGCCTTGTGCATCTCATAGCCCAGCCATCCGGCCCCCTGTCGTGACCACAAACAGCTCACTTCGTGGCTGCTGCAGCCAGGACCCGGGCTTAACTATTAGAGAGAAAAGGCGCGCGCCACCTTGGCATTTTCTGTTCTATTTCTGTTGGTTACGTTCTGTGTTCGAATCCTGAACCCACCTCGTGGAGGAGGAACAACATCACGGCCATGTTCGCCTTACGAGCGCTTACCGTGTTCGCTGCTTTGGCAGCTACGGTATCAGCTCAAAATGATGCAAGGACTACCACTAGTTCCGGGCCGAAGACGACAACCTCAACTCCTTCGGGTTCGTCATCAGCTTCCAGCTCGTCCGCCGGGCCAGCAACAATTACCATAGCAGTTGGAGCGGTAAGCAAGAGCAGCACATGTCGACTCACAACAATGGACTGACAGCGCTGTAGAACGGGCACGTCTTCACTCCCCAGGAGGTCAAAGCCAACGTGGGCGATATCATCAGTGAGTCTGCCTTGTTCTTGGTCAGCCAGACATTTGACTTACACCAATCGCTCCCTACCCTAGGGTTCAATTTCTACCCCGGCGGCCACCGCGTTGTCCGTGCCGAATTCGGGTGGCCGTGTATCCCATACGAATACGCCAATCTCAACGAGCAAGGCTTTGACTCGGGCACCTTCACGCCGCAAGTGGTATCCAACAACGTAAGGTGATCTCCTATCCTACTCCCACCACCACGGAGCCAGTCCAAGCCCCGCGCCATATCACCCACTTCACGCCAGCTACCTTTAGGTAGACTAACTCAGAAAACAAAAACAGCCCCCTAACTACCAAGTGCGCATCAACGACACGGAACCCCTCTTCTTCTACTGCGCCGCACCGCATTCGTGCATCGACTACCACATGATAGGGGTCATCAACCCGAACTCTACCCAGTCCTTCTCCGCCCAAATGGCCTACGCCCAAAATGTCACCTACCAGCTCGCTCCCGGCGAGCCCTTCCCCTCGGAGACGCCCATCCCGACGCCCACTCCATCTTCCGGCTCCAGTTCCAACTCTGGGAGCGGTGTTGATGAACAAGAAGATGAAGATGACGGCGGCAGTGGTGGCCTTAGCACCGGTGCGATAGCGGGAATCGCCGTCGGCGGCGCGGCCGTTCTAGTCATCGCCGCCGCACTGATTTATCTGTGCGGACGGAGGGGCGGGTTCGAGAAGGCGTATCGCAAGTCGGGCCTACCCGGCTCCCGGGTGTCGGCCCTGGCGCCCCGGGCGGGATCGCCTCATATGGTGGAGGCGAACTATGCGAATGCTGGTGGTCTCGGGGTGGTGCCCAAGAGTCCTGGGCAGGCGACACTGTCGTCGGCGTTTGGGGGGCAGGATAGTGGCACGCTGAGGAGCTCGTCGTTGTATTATGCGGGGACGACGCCTTCTCCCGGTCCGGGCATGTCGCCGGGGGGGATGCCGGCTTATGGGCACGGTCATGGGCATGGTGGGGATGGGATTTATGGGTGAGTTCCATCTCTTTTTACCATCCTTACTTTTGCTTCGTCTTTGTGGACCTTGCTCGGTCTTCGTCGTATTCTTCTCCGCGTTTCCCATCATCGAGGCCAAAACTCTGAGCAGGCGACACTGATCAACCCGCAGCTCCCCGCACTCGTCGCCCAGAACAGATCATTTCACGCCTATTCTACCGCTGCACCCGGTGGAGTTGCCTACGGTGGACCATGCGCCCTCGCCAACACACTCGCCGCCGCCGGGCTATTAAGCGCCGGAGCATTGGGTACCGGGACAGGAGACGCACTACAGGCCGGGCGGAAGGTGATGGATCGGGTGATCTGTTCAGCAACGTGGTCTCGTTCTCAATTACGTCAGCTATACCCTAGAGACTTGCATACTCCGTACGTGTTATCCCAACACTACCGCATGCCTTGTGGTAACATTGGGCCAGTACTTAGTATATGATGCCCTGAGCAAGTGGCTGTTCAAATGGGCGGCGTTCAGGATCATCTCCCCCAAGTATTAGTACAAAAGGGAGATACGAATTTGGTTACTTCGGCGCTGCTCAAAGCCTACGTCACCTAGCTAGATTTCTACACCTAGTCCCTGCATCTGATCCAATCTCTTCCTACGTGACTCCTGAAATGCGAGAAAATGTAAGTAGGGTTTAACGGGTAAGGATGCGAGCAAGTTATGGGCTGTGCTTCTTTATCAGCTGTTTCACGGGTTCGAGTAAATACCAAGGTTCTGCGTGTAGTGTCCCTCTCTGAAGAGAGACTCGTGTAGTAGGCCAGCCTCGAGCAATCCAGATATCACGGATTGACGATACGTGGGATGCAGCCATGTGCTGGGGTTTCTTCATCTTGTCAGCCACTCAATGAGTATTTGGTGGAGGACCTTCAAAGCCATATTCAGGTTCGATGCAGACGTCCTGTCAGCGAGATAGATGAAGTCAGGAGAGCGATCAAATAAAGAAAAAAGAGACTTCCATTCTTCAGATTCAGCCATTTGGCTGACCGAATGTGTGAACAGGGCCAGGTTTCCAAAACAATGAATACGTGTGGGAGTTTGGAGCCGGGACCCGGGGTCTCGTCGTCATTGACATGCGCCGAGTTGAGATTTCTCGCCACAAAGGGCAGGCGCCGTCCAAAGATTGTCATGAGTGTTGAAACAACAGGGCAATGTCGATGCCTATAGGAACAGCAAAACATACTCATGATCGCAGCCGATATATTCAGAGTCAAAGGGATGTTTCAAGATGGCTCTGCTTCAAGCCGGTGCAAGGATAAGCTCTGGCGTTCCGTCTCCCAAAGTGTGTGCTTCCGAGGCCCACTTTGGGCCCCTCATGTACTTCTGTTAAAAGTTACAGCACCCCTTCTGATAGGTACCGCCATGCTGGCGGTACCCGGAAGCTAGAATACTGCCCCACCATTCGCCAGCGAGATCGTCTGCTTGCGGGCAGCGGTTGGTTGAGGACACAGTTGTAGATACCACCCATCGTCATGAGCCCAGCAAACCTCAAAATCCCTGTGCAACGACCTCTTTTCCTCCTCTCCGCCCACAACTTCGTTCGCCGGCGACCTAAAGTCTTTTGTCGAGCTTGCTGAGCGTGCTTGGGGGTCTCCTTCTCCAACGCCTCTTTCGCTTTTCTCTCTTTTCAGGTTCGAGCTAACTTGGCTTCTTGGTGCCATCGCCGTCTTGCATCAAGCTCCTTGCCCGAGTCGACCACCCTCCCTCGGTCTTACCATTCCCTTTTCATCGCCAATCACAACTCTTTGCGCCAGCCGGACTGCCCTTTTTCGACGACTAGATTTCTATCAACTCGTCCCAATTCTACACAGTACGCCGCGGCAATGGCGCAGATGCGAGGTCCGGGTAGCTACGGCATGGCCGCGCCGAGTCCTTTTGGCGGACCAGTCGAGGACAAGACGGAGCAGAGCCCGCTCGATGCGATCCGGCAGCAGACAAGCAAGATTGAGGACCTGCTGGACACCGTGAGCGAGCCGATCAAGCCGTGCGTACTATCCCAATTGCGTCGCAAGCAGAGCGTCCATTCCTAGCTCCGTCCCGGACTGTTCGCTAACATGCGCGCGCCGGGTCTAGCTTTCTCCCGGCAATCGGCCGCTTCCTGATCGTCGTGACCTTCATCGAGGACGCCCTCAGAATAATAACACAATGGAGCGACCAGCTGCTCTACCTGCACGACTACCGCCACAGTCCGTCCCCTCCCCGCTAACCCCCCTGCACCCCTCAACTCCTCTAATCAACGATCTGCAGTTCCCTCCGGCCTAACGCACCTCTTCCTCATCCTCAACGTGATTGCCATGGCAACCTGCTCGACCCTCGTCATCATCCGCAAGCACTCTGAGTACGCCGTGGCGGGGTTGATGGGCGTGGTCGTGACGCAAGCGCTCGGCTACGGCCTGATCTTCGACCTCAACTTTTTCCTGCGCAACCTCTCCGTCATGGGCGGCCTGCTGATGGTGCTGTCGGACTCGTGGGTGCGCAAGACCAAAGCCTTCGCCGGCCTCCCGCAGCTCGAGGAGAAGGACCGCAAGATGTACTTCCAGCTGGCCGGGCGCGTGCTGCTCATCTTTTTGTTCTTGGGCTTCATCTTCAGCGGAGAGTGGTCCATCTGGCGCGTGATTGTAAGCCTGGTCGGCCTGGTGGCCTGCGTCATGGTCGTGGTCGGGTTCAAGGCCAAGTTCAGCGCGACGCTGCTGGTTATGATCCTGTGCGTGTTCAATGTCTTGGTGAACAACTTCTGGACTGTGAGTACCTCCACCTCAACCCCATCCCTTGAATATTGTAAAATCTAATGGCTTTTCGTCGACAGCTCCACGAACACCACCCTCACAAGGACTTTGCCAAGTACGACTTCTTCCAGATCCTCTCCATCGTCGGCGGTCTCCTGCTGCTGGTCAACAGCGGCCCAGGCCAGTTCAGCATCGACGAGAAGAAGAAGGTCTACTAGAACACGGCCTACAAGAAGATGGTCCACTAAGCACCACGGGAGGTTCATGGCGGTGGCTACTGCAAATCTGAATCATCAAGTCGAACGCAAAAAGATAAGAGGCAATCTGGGCCGGTGTGACCCGGCTTCGCAGTTTTGGGTGACTTGGGACTGGGTTGTTGGGCAAGGTTGGGGATGGCCGTGGCGGAGGATTCTGAAGCACGGTCAGGTTACAGCCTAGGTGCATTTTCTGATGTAGGAAAGTCGACAGCGCAATAAGCAGCAGGTACTTCGAGGCCACGGAGTTCACGGAGTGGTGGTTTGTGATTGTGTTTGTGTGGGGTAGGCTTAGCATACATGAGCTTGAAAAGAAGGATGTTTGTTTCCTGTTCCTCGTATTATTTAGGGCACTGCCATGGTCGTGGTCTGCCTTCTTTGTGTGCTGAAGAAAGTTATAGAGTACGAGCGGAGCTGTCCGAGACCTCCTCCAGTTCTGATCCCCCTTCCAGGCGGCGCGGTAACCGTACGAGCGAAGTGGTTGGCGCTTGTCATAGGCCATGTCCTCTTATCCTCCGTATAGCACTGTCGCAGGCTGGTGCCTTCCCCGAGCTAGGCCGCAATCGTATCGACGCTGCTACCTGCACACCGGTGGCTGAGTGTCGTGGCACAGACTTTCGGGCACCTCCCCCGCTGCCAAGGACCGCTCGACGGTGTGGGCCGTGCCCTTCTCTAATGCCGAGTGCGGTCCTTCCTTGGTATGATGCACATTGCCTTACTGACGTGCAGCGACTGCCTTTCCTCGCCGAGGGCTACATGGCGCTATTTGGCCAACGAACTCTCCCCGTGTGTGTGCCGGCGCTTGCATGCCAGAAACCAAGCACATCACCTAAGGAATGATTAATTCGTCCATCGACCTCTTCGCGATGTCAATAATTCTCATGCACGTCGGCTTATCAGTCGTCGACGAGAGTGGGACATAGTCCATCGTCTTGGGCTTCTGAATCATGCCCGCGGCCACCATGGCATCCACCTGCTCATGCCTCCGCCGCGACCGCTCCTCCATCATGTTGATAATGTCCTTCAAACCAGGCTGCTGAAAACCAACATTGGCATCGATGCCGGCCGTCAGGTCGTTGACGCCGTACACGTCCATCTTAAGCAGCGCGCGCACCGTCAGCCGCCAGAGGATCGGCTCAAGCAGCGCGCCTTCGAGTCGTTCCTGCGCCTTGCACTTGACGGGGTCCATCTTAGCCACCATGCCCCACAGTCCGCCGTACGCGCTCAGGCTGAAGGGTATCTGGCGCCGGTCTGCGTCGGCGGCAGCGGCTTCGGCGTCGACCATGCTCAGGATGCGCATGTACGCGTTGGAGACCGAGGGAAGCAGGGCGCCGAGCATCATGACGCTCTGGAAAGCTTGTATGGGCTGTATGGCGTTGGGGCCTACGGGTGGATCGCCGCAGACGGGGCAGAGGATCGTGTCATGCGCTGTTTTGGTTGCGGTACGCGCGACACGCATGGCTTCGCAAACGTCCTTGGGCAGGGTCTGGAGGGAGTTGAGGGCGAGGTAGAGAGCTGAAAGGCAGCCGCATGTCTTGATGTTGTCCGAATCTGGGGATGACACGTCTGAGCTCGGTGAGCTCGATGATGGCGGAGATAGACAAGGCATCGTTTCGGGCAGATCAGCCGACAAGATCTGAGCGACGTCCTCGGCACTGATCTCGGGCAGTGGCGGGGGGGCCGAGGACGCGGGTTCATCGAAATTGATATCGGAGAGACCGCTGCTCATGGGCCAGAAGGCGTTGGGGGCAATGAGCCCTTGCTTTTCGTAGACTAAGGAGCCAGTCTGGACTGGGGCAGGTGGCAGTGGCAGTTGGGTATTGTTGGGGTCGACCAGTTCGAGGAAGTTCATGTCCATGTTGTTCATATCGAGAAAGGACATATCCAAGTCCATGGCGATGGTACTGTCGAACTCGAAATTCGGCATGACGATGGGTGGCGCCTCTTCCCTCGGTGTGGTGACCGGTCCAGCGACAGACTTGGAGGCACTCGAAGCTGTCCCTTCGAGCGAGGCCGGGGACCCTGCCGCGACGTCCACAGGGCGATGCTTCCTCGGCCTTCCCATACGCTTCTGGGGCGAATAGACGCACTTGATGCCCTCGCGTTTGCAGCGCGCGCAGCCATCGATCTCCTTAGAGCAGGCAAGCTTCCTTCCACGGCACTCGTCACAAGCCCGCCGCTTTGGCTGCTGATCCGCCGTCTTCTTTCCATTTGGATCCATCTCGGGCGACAAATTCAAGCGCGATCGGTCAAGTGGCTGGTAGACGCTGTATGAGCCGGCTTTCTGTGGTTCCGGTCAAAATATCGATGCGATGACGGGCCTGAAGTCAGGTGCGGATTCGTGCCAATCGTGTATACAATTCGAGGGGTGGTGTGTTGGCCCTGGTGAGCTGGTGCTGACGGCGGTGTCTTATCGGCCTAGTACTAGCTAGTATTAGTAACAAAGGACGCAGGTATAAAGGCCAGAGCGGAAGGAACGCCGATCGATTATTGTAAGTGGGGTTGCGCGTACAGACGGTTCGTTGGTGGGGTTGGCAGAGTATACTGTATCGTACAACGTCGTATTCTGTACTGTAAGAGCTTCACAAGGCTGATGTAGTTTACCTTACTATTCTGTACTTGGTCGTTACGAATACCAACCTGTGGTTTGCTCAATTTCATGTAGGCGTAGCGGAGTAGGAATAATAATAATAATATAATTTCATGCAGGCAATACTCGCAGGTTGATGGCACGTCCCAAGCAACGTGTGCCCGTCGTTCGTGACCTGGGGAGCCTGGATATCGCTTGTCATGAGGCAGGTAAGTTACACAGCGATAACGCTAGCGTGTCCATCAAGGTGCATGGATGAGCTGGTTTTCCTCTTTCGGGCAACTCGCGAGAATGAACAGTCAGCAGTGAACACCCATTTTGAGGGCACATGATGTCACATTTCTTCTGTCTCAAAGTCACTCTCATCACTTTATTCCCTTCCAGTTTGGCATCAGAGGAGGACTCAATGCCTTTTAGTATGCACGACACAAGGATCGAGAAGGCGGGTCCAGTGCCCCAGCGCTAGCTACCCGATTCGGCTTAGTACGAAGCTTCCGTTATCTTGAAAACCGATACGACTGCAAGTAGCATGGCAGAAAAAGTTCACGCCTGGGCCAGCAACTTTTTTTTGGGTCGTGTTAACTGCAGACGGACACCACCTCAAAAATTCCACGCCAGTCGGCACCATGGGTTCAAAAATAATAGACAAGAAGCGCAAACCGAGAGAGCCCGAGTCGGAGTCAGACGACGAGCTCGGCAATGGTCTGTTTGATGGCGTGTTGTCCCAAAGCGAAGACGAGGAAGACTACATCCCCTCCGACGATGAAAAGGAGGACGAGGACGAGGATGACAGCGGCACTGAGGGTACCGAAGGGAGTGAGGACGGGGATGATGATGAGGACGATATCCTGAGCGACGACATCCCTTCAGACGTAGACGCCGAGGAAGAAATGGACAAGCTGGTCAACCATGGAGAAGAACTCGAAATCACGGAGCCGGGAGTCGACCCGAAGCCCAAAGAGGATGACAGCGAGGAGAAAAATTACAGGATTGAAAAGGACGCCAACGGTGGGGAGCGTTATGTCTACGAGTGAGTTGCGCGACTGGGCCATCTGATTCTGGCTTAATCCTAACTCGACTTGCGCGTAGTGAGATCGATCCAGTTTACGACTCCGACGATACCGACGCACAAGGTCCGGTCAACACGATAGGCAACATCCCCCTGAGTTTCTACGATAGGTGGGACTAGCGCATACGGGCAATTAAATGATATGTCATGCATGCTAAAACTTTGCCTATCCAGCTACCCGCATATCGGCTACGATATCAATGGCAAGAAGATCATGCGCCCGGCGACCGGCGATGCGCTGCAGAGTCTCCTTGATAGTATCGAGGTGCCTAAGGGGTGGACAGGCTTAACCGATGTTAACACTGGCAACCCCTTGAATCTCACGTATGTTGCTCCTGAGTCTCTATCTTCTGTCCTAGGGTACTGACAGGTGGTAGCCAAGAGGAGCTCGAACTCGTTCGCCGGGTCCAGATGGGTCTTCTCCCGGATGATCTTCAAGACCCATACCCTGATACTGTCGAGTACTTCACGTCCATCGAGGAGAAGATGCGTAAGCACGTCGCAACCCATTCTGTGCCAGCCTGATCACTAAATGTGAGCAGCCCTCAGCAGCGCCCCTGAACCCAAGCGGCGTTTCGTGCCTTCCAAGAATGAGGCCAAGCAAATCATGAAGTTGGTCCGCGCCATTCGAGAGGGCAGAATTCTCCCATATAAGCCGCCCGAGGAGCGCGAGCGGGAAGAGCAGGAGCAGGAGGAGGTCCACTTCGACCTCTGGCAGAACGAGGAGCCCCAGGCGCCGAACCCCATGCATATTCCCGCCCCTAAGCTGCCGCCTCCTGGTTATGACCTAAGCTACAATCCGCCAGAAGAATACCTGCCGTATGTTAACCCCACCTCTTAGTGTGACGGAGGCACTGACTCGCATTTCAGGACCAAGGAGGAGCGGGAAGCATGGGAAAATGCTGACCCAGAGGATCGGGAAAAGGAGTACCTGCCACAAAAGTACAATGCCTTAAGGAAGGTCCCCGCTTGGGGCGATCTGGTCAAGGAGCGGTTCGAGCGGTGCATGGTATGTGGACCAAGCAACGTGTTGGTATCTCCCTCAAATCTGACGTTGGACAGGACCTCTATCTGGCGCCCCGTGTTCGGAAGAACAGACTCAACATCGACCCCAACTCGCTCCTCCCCAAACTGCCCTCGCCGGCCGAACTTAAGCCCTTCCCCACCGTCGTGCAGACTCTCTTCCGTGGCCACGAGGGGCGAGTAAGAAGCGTTGCGATTGACCCGGTAAGTTATCATATCCGGTGGCTTGGCGAACCATCCATGCTAATTGAGTGGTAGACTGGCGTTGCGCTTGCAACCGGAGGCGACGATGGCACGGTTCGGGTTTGGGAGCTCTTGACCGGGCGCCAAGTCTGGTACGTCAAGCTCAGCAGCGACGAGCCTGTCAACGCGGTCCGATGGAGGCCGACAAAGGACGCCTTCATCCTGGCTGCGGCCGCAGGAGAGGACATCTTCCTGATGGTTCCCACGCATGCCAGCGTCACACCGCCGCTCGACCAGGCTAGCAGAGACATACTCGCGGCAGGCTTTGGCTACGCTACGAATGGACAGCAGCAAACACTACCTGCCGGCAAGGAACCGCCCGCGAAGTGGGCCAGACCAGGCACAAAACTTGAAGATGAAGGTGTCCTGATTAGGATTACCGTGAGGTCAACCGTCAAAGTCATCAACTGGCACAGGAGAGGTGACCACTTTGCAACCGTCTCACCGACCGGACAGCGGAGCTCGGTGGCCATCCACACGCTCTCAAAACACCTCACTCAAATACCCTTCCGGAAACTCTCGGGCCTCGCACAGACAGCCGCCTTCCACCCCCTAAGACCGCTGTTCTTTGTGGCCACCCAGCGGACGATCCGCTGCTATGACCTGCAAAAGTTGGAGCTGGTCAAGATCGTCCAACCAGGTGCCAAATGGTACGTTCTTTAAGTCTTCATGAAACTGAAGAATACATTCAGTGACAAGTTATTAGGATCTCGTCATTTGACATCCATCCCGGCGGCGACAACCTGATTGTCGGCAGCTACGACAAACGGCTACTGTGGCACGACCTCGACCTGTCCAACAGGCCGTACAAGACGATGAGATTCCACAGCCAGGCCATCCGGCAGGTCCGGTACCACAAGGGCGGACTCCCGCTTTTCGCCGACGCCAGCGACGACGGCTCGCTGCAGATTTTCCACGGCAAGGTCCCGAACGACCAATTGGAGAACCCAACCATAGTCCCGGTGAAAATGCTCAAGGGACACAAGGTTGTCAACAAGCTTGGCGTGCTGGATATCGATTGGCATCCGCGCGAGCCGTGGTGTGTGAGTGGAGGTGCTGACGGGACAGCTCGGCTATGGATGTAAGAGATGGGATGGGATGTGAGCACTGGGATTGGTGCTTGGACTAGATCATGAGGCAGCATCGTGTACCTAAGTATTCTCCATCGAGGCGTTGCGGACATCTCGGAATGGGCCCTCAGGCTTTGATACCACCTCTTTTTGTGTTGTTGGGCAGGAAGCCCGCGTTGTCAGCTCCTGGTCATTTCCCTCTTCGCAGTCTGCCTGGCCGCTTCCACCAGTACAATGGCTCGACTTGCGGTTCATGGTTGCCTCAATATGGGCAGAAGTGTTGGGCCGTGATTAGGGCTCAGAGGCATGAGGCCCAGTCATGCATAGACGCTCGGTCCGTCGCAGAATCCTTTGGCCCTGGTTTGCTTCACCGCTTCAGACACTTGCACGTTTCTGCAAGGGCTTTTATCATGGATGTCAGCCCCATTATTTATGCCCTTCTCCATGCTCTGGGGCTTTGCTTATTACTATAAATATGTGTAGTTCGGAGCGAAGACCCCTGCTCGTCCTTCTCTTTTGCCCTCCCTCCCCCTTCCGCTCAACCCTAATGCCACGTTGTTCAAGTCCTCAACTCAAACCATGGCGCTCGAACCCCCCGAAAACCTGGAAAACAGCTTCAGATCCACCGCCTCGGCCATAGCCTTATACCCCGCCGGGTTCAAGTGCAAGTAGTCCCCGCTATCATACTCCTTGCTCAGCATCGTCTCGTTCTTCGGATCCCGCACGGCCGCATCAAAATCCACCACCGCATCGAACCGGCCGCTCGTCCGGATCCACTTGTTCACCCGCTGCCGCTGCGCCTCCCGCACCGGATCGCCATACGCCTGGCCCGGTCCGCTCATGGGCGTGATGGTCGCCCCGAAGGCAGCGATGCCCGCGGCGTGCAGGCGCGAAACCATCTGGTCGAGCGCCTGGATCACGCGGTCGCCGACGGCGGTCTGGACGGCCGGGTCGGTGGCCGCCGTGCCCAGGTCGTTGACGCCCTCGAAGATGAGCGCGTACCGCACCCCCGGGTGCGCGAGAACGTCTCGCTCGACGCGACCTAGCGCGTTAGGGCCGAGCCCGTCGGCCAAGATCCGGTTGCCGCCTGCCGCCATGTTGGCGACCGAGATGGAGCGCAGGTCGAGCGACGACGACGACCGGCGGCTGTGGCTGTGGGAGGATCGCAGGCGGGCGACGAGCTGGTCCGGCCAGCGGTTGTTGCCGTTGGTGGTGCTGCCGCGGCCGTCGGTGATGGAGTCGCCGACGATGGCGAGGGAGGTGTGGGATGTGGGGAGCCAGGCCTGGATGGAGGCGATGAGGAACCACTTATCGATGCGCTGCGTAGTGGCCGTGGTGTTGACGTCCGCTGCCGAGACGAGGTCGCCCTGGGCGAGCCAGGACGAGGTGCGGCTGCCTGGGTGGCCCGTGATGGCATGCCCTGCTTGGCCCGAGGCGAGATACACGGTGATGGTGACGCTGGTTTGGGCCTTGACGGGGAAGCGGATGGGGTCCGAGAGGGCCAGCGCGCCGTTTGGGATCTGGATCGAGCGGGAGCCCGAAAAGGTCAGGTATTGGACCGTGTCCTTGCGGATGGCCGGAGAGCCTGCCGTGCCGTTGACGGGCAGAGCGATGGTGGCAGCCGTGATGGGGAGGTCGGAGCCACCCAGAGCGTTGCTGAATGTCAGCCGGATAGTGGACGCGTCTTGTGTGAGGTAGACGGTCTGGCGGATTGTGGCGTTCTGGAATACCCCGTCGGTGCCGTTCTGCCCGGTATGGTGAGTTACATGATCAATTATTGTATTGGCTTCAACCTGCCTCCTTAGAATAGAGGCAGGTCAGTGTGACTACTGACATAAGGGGCATTGGGCAGGTTGTACGGTTCAACCTGCTGCGGCATACACGCCCAGATGTCGACCCAGTGATCGTGGCATGTTACGACAGTAACGCAGGCGGCACTCAACGCGAGGCCGAGGAATCGGCGGAGGCCGAATGTGGTGGACATGGCGACAAAAGGGCGGGATCTCGGACACTGCTGTCGACCCTTTTCCAGCTCTAGCTCAACCACCAGGCCCCCGCCGCGAGGTTATATATACCTCGACAACACGCAGGAACCCGCTGCAGCGTTCCATTTGACCTCCATGATGTCGTTCGCCGGGAGCCGGTAGCCCGGAACCAAGCGGCTCGCAGTGTTAATCAGGCTAAATGGGCCGCCGTTGCGGTTCCATCGCTCCGTCTTCCCCAGGGCGGCCCGGAGCATGGCGGACTAGGAAGACGGGTTCAGCACCTCCAAAGGTTCTCGTTGATGGAGAAATTGAGGTTCTGGCATATTCCAATGCTACCTCGTCCCATTTTATCCCCAGAACATACCCAGTACCCCGCCCACCAGCTCCCGAGGATGGGGTGGAGATATGGAGAAGAGTTTGTTATTAACCGTACTCCGTACACCTGCAGATCAATGACGGCGGTGTGAGGAGCAAGGTGGGTGGGAATGCAGAATACAGCAACCTTATTTTGCAGGTATCGCATTCCGGAAGACAAATCCAAAGTTGGGAGCCAAAATTTTAATCCCGTCCCTATTCCGCATCCCCTATCCTATCCTTGCTCCAACCGCCCAGCGGCTCGTTGCCCATATACCCAACCCTCAGAGTGATGATGTGGTAGCTCAAAAGAAAAGGTCATTCTAGGGAATACGGTCATGCCGTCGAATGCCCAAAAAGACAAAACAAGGACGCCGCAGCAGGCGAGGTATGGAACTTGAAAGCAGTTCATGACATATCGGGAATAAGAACACATAAAACAGGAAGTTGATCCAAAACAGTCCAGAAAAAGAAGAAAGAAGAACGGAAGAAAGACCAGAACACACTGCTATCCCCTCCACCCCCCGCCCGCCACCTAGGCGGGAGTCCCCGGGCGATCCCTGGTCGACGCCGATCACCCGAGCTCACCGCTTGATCATCCCATCGCCAAACCCGCCCTCCTCGCGCACCACCGCTCAATAACCGCCGTCGTCCTCAGCACTCACAATGGAGAACTTCCTACCACGGCCCGCGACATCGAAGCACCAAGCTCCGGTAGCAGCAATGACCTCATCGGCCGCCGCTGCCGGAAGCAGCACATCCAGCCCGGCCGTCGCAACGGTGCTCCCGCTTGCGCGTGACGCACTCGCGGCCGTCAGCGCGCTGCCAAAGGACACGTTCCGGACCAAGCGGTCGCCCATGCCCGCGCCTTGGATCCAGCCATGCACGTTGGCCGGCCAGCCTTGGGTCAGCTCGCGCTGGAGGATGTCCATATTGGCGTCCGTCAGCTGCGAGTAAGCCGGGGCAGCGGGAGCGGCGGGGACAGCCGTGCAGGGGGTCGGGACAGGATGGTTGTTGGTCAGAGTGCCGTCCGTCATGGCTGTCTCGGTGGAGCCGTTGGACGGGGGTATGTGGGCGGGATCGTAGCCAGGATCGCGGTCATCGTTCGTGGCCACGGCTCCAATGTCAACCTCGAACTCGGAGAAGGTGAGGAGGGAGACCGAGGAACCGTCGCTGGCGAAAGCGTTTGCGACTTGGTTCGACGACATGTTCTCGCCGTTGAGTTGGGGTGACCTCGACTTTGTGTGCGTGCTTTCGCTGACGATTTCCCACGAGCTCTGTGTCGATCGGCGGGTCGGAGAAGGGCGGTTCGACATGCTGGGCGACGGGCGTTGGGCTACGAGGCCAGGAAGGTTCAGCATGATGCTGGCGGTGCAAGGAGACGGGGTATATCTCACTGAAGTTGGATTGATCAGAAGGGAAAAGCAAGTGCTGGGCGTGTGGTACTGACCGTGCGGGTTGACGGTGACTAGTGTCGAGCTTGACGACGGCAGACGAGGCGCGGCGAAGAGAACGCTGCGTGTCGAAAGACCAGCGTTGTAGGTGAAGCTCTCCTGAGAGCAAAAAGCCCCGGGTCCCTTTGGGGTTTGCGCAAGAGTCCTATCGATGGCGGGGGGCACGGCGAGATGGAAGATGGGAAGGGCGGGGCTTTATGATTGCTTCGCTGTTCACCGGTCGAAACTCGAACGCCAAACCGGCCAGACCACTTGCAACAGAATGGACAGGGGAAACAGAAAAGAAACGGCGAGTACCATAGGGGAAAATACAAATTATACAACAACACCCCTGATCTACGACTGGTTTGCTGCACGGCGGGCAAGGAGGGGGTGTGCGGGGGAAGCTGTCGACGGAACGGACTGCGCAAAGCCGTCGATCAGGAAAACGGCAGCTTAAAACACAGCACCGCAGCGAGACCGGAACCCGGCCAGGCTGCAATTGTTTCAAGGCAGCGTTTAGGTAGGACCGTGATATCGAGGCTGATCTGGATCATGTCGTATGCACGTGTCTGTTGTGCTGACTTGCGATCCAGAGCCGCTTGCCTTTGCTTCGGTCCTCGAGGGCAAGACTGATCCAAGCACCGAGACCGGGGACGGTGGAAGTTGAATTTGGTTCGGAAGTCGGAGACCGCCGGTCGAATTTGGGCTCATGTGATCATGCCGACAGCCTCACTCTGACCTTGCACATTTCAGGGATCCAATGACTTGGGAATGATTTACTGGACGGTATGGAGCTATGCGAGCGGCCAGTTCTAGAGATGAGGACGTGCACCCACGCTCATTCCTGGTTGCCTTATTAGCGACCTTAGGTGATTCCCACTTGCCGCTTACCTAGGTCGGCTTGACCTCGAAGCCTGCTCCTGAACTGGTTCTTCCTGATTTGAGTGCCGCTCCGTGATGACGTCTGCCCAAAAGTATGGAACCTTGAAAACGCGGCGGGTGCGCGGCCCCAATTGTACCTCATCACACCCTATTGTGACAACCGGCCTGGAACGTACCACAGCCTCGCTCGCTCAAAATCCTATTGCACTCGCCGGGAATTGTTCATGCAAGCTAAGGCATGGTCGATTGACCCTGGGGGTAACGGAAAGACTATACCGTTGCCTTCATGAAGCTCTAAGCTACTGTACGATTGAAATTGCCAGCACAGTAGGTACGGATATCTGTGCTGCACTCGGAATGTCCCGTAACTTCCGCAAACCCAGGGCCTCGCTTGTGGGGTGCCACCACTTATATGTGCATTGTTAAAGTAATCTGTACATCAACTTGCAAACCACGTGTTAATGCTAAAGTAGGGTGGCCAAAGAGAACGAAGATGTTACGAAGCGCCGCATTCGTCCGATCTCGGTCATCCTGTGGGTGACCTCGCAATCGACTCGGGCGCTCGTCTCACAACACTGTTGCCCAATGACACTATGAATGCGAAATACCGTTTGAACTCAGTCAGCAACTAATGGGATTGATCATGCGCGCACACTGGGTGCTTAATAAATGGGGTGGACCCATGGGCTGAAACTTGTCTTTCAATAATTCAAGTCCATCTGAAATGGCGGGGACTACGTCGGCAGTGTGGGGTCCCGTTAATACCGTAAAGTCGTCCCGCAGACCCTTGCTTTCAAAGATGTCTGTCACATTCAGTTTAAGCCAGAGGTGGTACTGAAATAAATCTCCTGGACGCCTGCCATCCAAATGGACAGTAGATCACCGAGTTTTCCATCAGCTCCATTCGCAAGAACCCTGCATCATGAGTCTGCCCGAGATCTTCGATGAAGCTTTTCGGAGACTTGGTGCGAGCGACGATGCCTGTGCTTTGCAGAGCTACATAGCTCAATCTGGCTGTTTGTTGATCATGAAGACCCACTGCGGTCTCTGATCCACGGATCCACAAGGCGTGTTTCAGTGCATGCTTCCCAGATCTTCGGATTCCAGAGTTTTTTTGGGTTCCCCTCCCACGCATTGACAGTCTCAAAACCGAGTCCCTTCCCGTATCCGTACATCAGATGGAGGCCGAGATGGCGTCAGTTCGGCGGCTAATGAAACTCTAAAGCAAAGATCAAACTCAACACACGTTCAATATACCTCCCAACAACATAGTCAGGTCTCGCGCAGTTTGCAGGGGCCTATCCCAAGAGCCATCAGACACAGCCAATAGGGAATACGGCCGAGTCAAGCCCAGTTCCCTTCTCCAATCCCCAGCCTCAACCAGATTTTAAACACCAATAATGTCGACAGCTCCCCCCAAAGGGCATCACTACGGAAGTACGCATACCTCTGGCGACCACACTTTGATCTCTCATAGGCTCATAGCAGACTCAAATTACACATAGAACTTACCGCATACGGATGTTGCTCTGCTCACCCTCGGTGATGCCGCCGACTTCCATGTTGCAAAAGTCCGCCAACATTCGGGGTCCATGGTAAAGGGCTGTCAAGGTCAAGCCTCGCGGCTCCACCGGATGAACGCAATTGACAGCACGCAGGGCTCACCAACTTGCACATGTTCTCTCGCATCCAAAGCGGTATGCCTCGGCGCTCTGCAAGAAGCCTTTCAGTGGTGTTCAGGACAGTCCTCCATCGATTATGTTTCCGCAACACGTCGCGGCCGAACGAGCCCACTCCTGCGTTGGTTAGACTTAACTATGGCATTAAGTGATGCTCCGAGGCTCCAGATATCCCTCTGCATCCAACTTGCCAACCGGTATCGTTACGAAACGTCTAAGGATAAGCCAGCCAGCTCAGACAGGGAAGTCGAGACGAGCCAGGGGCGGACAATTGCTCACCGCCTCATGCAAGACATCGAGCCTGACGCGAAATCATTTTCCCAGCTTGATCGGCTTGCTTTCTCTGTCGGGGATTTACTCGCTTCCATTGTCTTCTTGAGGAGTTCTCCGCATTCGAGGGTACAGATTCAGTACCAGGAGGACATTCCCAGGGCTCCATCCCCAAGGCGGCGGTACCCGAACTGCCGCTCAGTACCTGCATGGGGGCTGATTCCTAGAACTTCGGGACTGCCGTCTTGGATGACGTGGTCGACCATCCATATGGGTCGCCATCTCATCTTCCACCGGTTTCACCACGTCCTTGCATCTCTTACTATCCTCTTTTACGATCGACAATCCCTCATGACATTGACACTAGGACCATCTCCTCTGCTTGACAACCCCTTTTGCCTTCCACAGCCTGATGTTCCCCCCGCCCCACCCCTCGTGCATGACCAATCTATAACCCCACAGGCTCAGCTTACCCTTCCCCACGGTCTCAACCTCAGGTCCGTTCTCAAGCAGCTACACCAGCCTGATTAACGTTACATTGCATCAACCCCAGCAACAGGTTCGTCCATGCTGCATGCTGCCCCGGGACAAGCAACCTGAAGCAGAGTATGACCTCCCTGTTGCCCACAGCTGAGCCTACTACATGACATTCCATTTCCTTTTCAGGTTCGAATCCGCGGCCACCCTTCATGCTGCCTGCAGCTGGTCAAGGGACCTCGCAGTGGGAGGCTCAAAACATCCCGAAGTAACAGCTCGCCCGGTTAGACACTGCAAAGTCAGAAATTTTCCATCCACGTCTCTTGCAGCCGGTCAGCAAACCTGGAACGAAGTCATGTCACGCAGGACCTCATGCGCTCTGCCCAACTTGCCGGGGGTTGCTGATGGCGCCAGTGCCAAGGTGGTGCTGAACTGACTGTGTCTTTCTTGCATCTTGCAGGGGGCTAGACAACTTGGAAAAGGGACCGTCTCATTCCAATATTGCCTGAGGATGTTCCATATGAGAACCGGACCTAGGCAAGGAGTGCCGGTTGTTTTGAACAGCATTTCTGGGCTTGAGGCGAACGGAGCGAACGGAACACAACTTGGAAAACGGTCTCTGAGGAGAGCCAACGTCCTCCCCGGGACACCGCTAGGTACTTCCGTCAACTCAGCAGCTGCAGCGTGCTCGAAAACGAGACTCATGCCTCACCGAGTGTGCTTCAAAGTACCTTAGTCCAAGAATCCGGGCCGAATGGGGTCATTGATCCGTCGGATCGGGAGCCCGGCTCGCTGGCGAGTATAATCGGAGCCGGTCATGACAGGCTATGCGTTGGACAATGTAGTAGCAGGGCAGTGTAAGTTGGCCCAGTCGAGGAGTCCAGGTAGAGCTCACGTTAGCTGACGAAACATTGTATCGTGTACTTGTTGTTACATGAACACGTCTAAGCACTGAAGTGATTACATACTACCTCAGCCGCTCACCTCTTGAAACAGTGTGTTCAAACCAGAATACACAGGAAACATTCTCAGAGCCCATAACACGAGTGGAAATTAGAACAGAGCGTATTGCTACAAATGTGAACACCTATCTGGGCAGCCCTGCTTAAGCAACTCCTTTTACCCCTTTTTTCCGCCCACCTAGCGCCTGTGGAGTGTCAACATTTATTCTTGACGGGAAAACACCGGCACCACATGTCATGGCCTATCAGCCCCGAACCTTCTACAAACAAGTACAGCTCGCGCTTACACTCTGGGGCTTTTCCCATTTTAACAGTATACCTTGCATTGTACTTCGAGCCTTCTCCCTCCCCTGTACAACCTCATTGCCACCCCCCAAATTCCCATCATGCAACACATTGGAGGCACACCACCACCCATTAATCTCCCGCCTCCGGCATGCCAGGATATCTCGCACTCGTACTCCAAGACCTCGGTCTCACATCCCCACTAATACCCGCACCACGTCCAAACCCACCAGCCTCCCTATTCAACCTCGCCCTCATCTGCGCAATCTCGCTCGCCTTGCGTCTCAAATCCGACGCCTTGAGCCGCTTTACGTCCTGATACGCCTTCTCGAGCTCCATCTCGATGGCGCAGCGCACCCGCAGCGCCGCGACGGCCGGCCACACGCTCCGCTCGCCCCTCAGGATCCAGTACTCGAGCGTCTCCTTGGTGGGCGTCTCGAGCAGGCGCACAAAATCGCGCAGCGAGATCTGCGGCACGAGCGTCATGCTCGCGCCTCCCGGTATGTTCTCGTCGACTAGGAACCGGCGGATGGAGGCCGGCAGGAGATGCAGGCGATCGAGCTGGCGGAGGCGGTGGCGCATCTCGAGGCCGATCAGGCGCGTGATAAAGGCCTTGGACTCGGTGAGCTTGTTGCGCCGGCCAAGCGCCGACGGGCCGTGCATGTCGGACTGGAGGAAGGGGATCAGGTAGGGCCGGGCTTGGGACACGATGTAGTGATTGACGTTGAAGAGGCTGGATACGCGCTGCAGCGGCGCGTTGCGGCCCTTGTACGAGGCCGACGTCCAGTGGCCGAAGTCGACGGTGGCGGCCGGCGCCCAGGGGAGGATATTGCCGTCCACGTCTTTGCAGAGAATCTTGGTTTGACGGTGGCCGTAGAAGGTGGAGGACGAGGCGTTGGAGGCGACAGCTGCTGTCCAGACTAGCTGGGTTATGTCAGTCGGTAACGAACACAGGGCGGTTTTCCGGAAGGAAACGGAACCAAAAGAGAACTTACCACATTAGGCGCAGTTACGTGGTTGAGCAGTGTCGGGATACCCTGCTGTCCGGCGGGGACAACGGTGATGTTCAGGATTCTCTTGCTGCGCTGATAGGCTTCCTCAAACGTAAGGTCCCCGACATTTGCCCTGATGCACTCTTCCAGCACCTTGACGTCCAGGAAGTAGCCTTCGTTCCTGAACCGCCGTATCCGCCTGCTCAAGGTGGCACACCGCGTCCACATCGACTGCCTGACTTGCTCGTTGTGGTGGTCCGGGTCTTTGCCCTTGCCCGCAAACGCCGAGAGATCGATGCCGTCGCCCGTCAGGATCCGGAGCAGGTCCTCCTCGGGATGGACGCCGACCAGGGCCGCCATCATGGCGCCAGTGGCCGTGCCAATGATGACGCGCGGGAGCAAGCCTTGCAGGAACAGGGCCTTTACGACACCAAGATGGCACAGGCCGAATATGGCGCCGCCCTGCAGCACGAGGGCGCTCCGTCCAAATCCCTGTCTCGTGTGGGAGATGAAATCCAGCTTGTGCTGTGTTGGAATGGTCGCCGTCGCCATGCCGCCCTTAGGCGAGCGGTCACTCAAGGCAGCCGCGGTACTAGCGCTCACAGCGGCAGCTGCACAGCCGTCTTCGACTCCACCGCTGTCCGCAGTGACTTCGCCGTCCTCCCACTCGGTCTGGGCCACCATGTCGACGGTGGGCTCCGCCCTGGAGCCGGCGTCCAGAGGCGGTGGCGGCAGCATTAAGATATCCCGGATCGCCTCAACATACAGGTCGACATATTCCTCGATGAGACGCTTGGTGCCAGTGAAGCTGCAGTTAAACAGGCGGGGGCTGGTTATGTTGCCCAAATTGCGGACGAGGCCCGAGCGCAGCACGTTAAGCAGGCCGTAAACGTCACCCTCCTGGCGCATGGTCTGGATGAGGCGCACCCGCTCGTTGATGAGGCGATAGTCGTAGAGCTTGCTTGTCGGGTTCAGCCGCCACATGTCCAAGTCGAGAATGCTGTCGAGGTGCTGGGCCGCCCCCCTCCACTCGTCGTACGTGGATGCGCTGCGGAGGGTCTCGGCCCATGTTTCCAGAGGGGAGCGGCCGAACACATAGGCGACTGTTTTCTGAGGTGGCTTTCGTCAGTACCGCCGTGAAAATGGGGGAGAGGTGAAAGGAGACATACCTTCCGCCAAAAATGCGCCACATCCCACAGCGTGTGCCAGATGGATGTGACCATGGACGACATGATGAGACCGAGAGAGGTTTGAACTCCCGATACTCTGCACTTGTAAATGTATGCCGATGATTCAAGATTGGATATGCAGCAATATGAGAACCGTGAACACAAATTGGTTCAGGAAGCAGGTGATTTGTCCTGAATGTTATTGCGGGCGCATGGAATGGGCAGGCGCTCGAAACTTAGGGAGGCAACGCAGGAACCGAAGTCGAGTACCCAGAAACGCGTCTAGAATGGCAAGAACGCGATGATCACGAGGAAGGAAGGAAACTGCGGCCATCTAGTGTGCCACATTCGACTTCCATACGCATCACTGTAGCGCTGCAGTCTTGCAGGTTAAGGCTGAGACCTCCAGATTGCAGGATACAGGCCCGGCAATTGGGGACGTCGCCGCTGGCTTCCGTGGTGGCTGCTTTGTATGATGAGCTCCAGTTGCAATGGAACACAGGCATGTGAAAGTCCAGTGCCGTCATGGACCCGGGGTACCCCACAACAGCCGCCTTGGCGAGCAAGGTCTTGTGAGATGCACCCGTGGACGACCCCCAAACTCTGGACCAGGCCGTTTTTAAAGACCGTGAGAAACGTATGGTATGTACAATTGGTCTTCCTCTAATATATATCTAAATGACTCTAAACTGCCCTAACTCAGCAGTAGATGTGGCCCACTTCTCGCCCGGCACGCTTTCAGTGAAACAAACCCTCTGTTGGAGCAAGCCGGCTTTCTCCGAAGAGACAAAGTACAACAAAGCAAGCCATGGTCAATCCCTCCTCCCCGTGGGTAATCCCCGATGTCCGAACATGCAAAACCACAAATGCCCAAAGGCGAAACGGCGCTTCCTGTCAATTCCCGATACTGATCAAAGCAAAGCAAAGCAAAGCAAAGCAAAGCAAAGCAAAGCAAAGCAGGGGGTGCAGCAAATAAGCAATTGTCGCCACGCGGTAGCGCTTAACGCCCCGACTCCTGCCCTGTGCATTTAACTCGGACAGTCCACAGGTTCTTCCGCGCGGCGGCCCCCGTGGTTTGGGATTGCAATCGCCATAAACCCCTGACAGGTACTTCTCACGTATCAAACACGCCGCCTCAATCCCCCTTCGGAGGCGTCGCAACAGCCTTCCGCAGCAGCTCGCTCTTGACCGTCGATTCCATCTCGCCCGAGGTCATCTCCACCGTGCTCCAGCCCGTGACCTTGTTGGCGAGCTCCAACTTCTTCTCACAGGCCTGGTAAACGAGCTCCTCGACCGTGTCTTTGCTAATCAGCCGGATGATCTCCACCGGCCTCGTTTGCCCGAGCCGATGCGCTCGGTTCTCGGCCTGAATGTCGTCCTGAGGATTGTCGGATTGGTCAAAGATGATGACCTTGTTGGCAGCCGTCAGGTTGATCCCCGTGCCGCCGGATCCCGTCGTCAGGAGGAATACCGGAATCGACTCGTCGGCGTTGAATTCGTTGATCAGCTCTTGCCGCGCGCTGACATCGGTGTTTCCCTGGAGTGACAGGTACTCAATCCCATCCGAAGCGAGGCACTCGCCCAGGATCTCGATCACCTTGGCGAATCGGGTGAACACAAGAGCGCGGTCTCCGTTGGCTTGATACTCCCGAATCAGCTTGAGAAGCGCCTTGACCTTGGCACATTCCATCCACGAGTTCCGCGGGAGGTCGTATTTCTTGATGCACTTGTAGTCTCGACACCAAAGGTGCAGCTCAAAGTCGGACAAGGCCTTGAGCTCGTTGGTCAGGTGGTCCAGCCTCGGCTGCTTCAGCTCTGACTGGGGGACATATTTCATCAGGATCTTGGCCATCTCCTCGACATCGCGATCCTTGAAAAACCGCCGGAAGAGCTGCGGGTGAATGGCCGCTTTCCGCAGCTGGATCCACACATTGTTCGTATCGTTGTCTCGGCCCTCCTTAGCAGTGGCGCTGTCTTCCTGAGGGTCCTTCCTGAACCGCCTGTGATAGTCCCTGTAGATACCCGCCTGGATCGGATCCATCTTGCACCGCACGACTCTGGTTGTCTTCGGAGGCAACTCCTGAAGCACCTGCTCTTTCCTCCGTTGGAGAATGAACGGCTCCAGGATCGTGCGAGCACGTGGAACGCGCTCGCTATGCAACAGCGCTCCCTTGGAAACCTCCGTCAGGGAAACCTTCTGGTTGAACAGTGCTTCCAAGTTGTCGAAATAGGCTTGGAAGAGATGCGGCTCGACAAACTGGAGAAGTGCAATCATCTCCATGAGATTGTTTTGAACAGGTGTTCCGGACAAGACCAGGCGCCATGTGGCCGTAATCCGAAGAAGATCCCGGTACAGTTTGGTTTTCGGGTTCTTCATTTTGTGACCCTCGTCAAACACGGCCACCCTAGGCCGGAGGTGGCGGAGATTGGATATGTCATCGTTTCGCGAAAGCTGCGAGTACGATGTCAAAACCACATGGTGGCTCGACGGGTCGTCCATGATATCCTGCGCAATCTCGTCTCGAATCGACTGGCTTCCCTGGTAGACCGTGACATTAAGCTTTGGAGCAAACCTCTCGAATTCTGCAGCCCAATTGGCCAACGTGGATGGCGGGACGAAGATGATGTTGGGCCAGGGGCGCTCCCCTGTGCCAGTCTGCTCCCACTCCCCAACAATCGCGCAAATCAGCGATATAACCTGACACGTCTTTCCGAGGCCCATGTCATCGGCTAAGATGCCGCCATATTGGTTCTTGTACAGTAGGTGTAGCCAATTGAGGCCGTAGATTTGGAAGGGCTTCATCACGCAGCCCTCCATAAGTTTCGGTTGACGGAGCGGTGCCTCGACGAATTTTGCAGAGTCCTCCACGCTGATGGGAGTCATCGGCTTCCCGTCCTCCGACTTTGAGTCGTTGCGAAGCTGGCCTGTCATGTCGATATTCCATTTCGAGGTTGTCCCCTTGATCGATTCCGCCTGAGACTCGCACACTGCGATGACGTGGTCAATGTCATCCAGAGCGCGGGCGTATGTCATGACAGCCGAGACAATCTCGTCCCCAATGGAGACCTTTGCCGATTTCTTGCCCCTTTTTTTCTGAGACAGCGTTACCTTCCGAGCCTCGTCCAAATCGCTGAATGGCTGGCGCGACACCATGAGCTTTGCACTCTCCTCTTTGACATTTGCAATCGCGACAAGCTGTATCACATCGCAAGTGTTCAGATAGTTCAGCACCCGTTCATCGAACGAGTCTTCTTCTTCTTCCTCTTCATCAGCTGGCGAGGAAGCTCTGTGCGATGACACTCTCGGCTGCCGGTAACCATCGACTGCGTCGTCGTCGCTGACGAGGTCAATCAGTTGCCGTTTAGGGGCTGGCTCTTGGCTGGGCTTCAGCACTGGGCTCGAAGGGCTGGATGCACGGGGCCGGCGGCCTTGAACAAGTCGTCGGCGAGTTGGTTTTGGCGGTGAAATCTGCCGCAACGATTCGAAACTCCCTTCCGACGAAGCAGGAGAAAGCGACACCCAGTCCTTTTGTAAAACATAAGTCTTTTCCGGGGTAGTTACAGAACTGGCCGAGGCGGATTGGGAAGCCTGGATTCGAGTTAGCCCACAAACACGAGGCCACAACATACAAGTCACTTTTCGGTCGAAACTCACTGCTTTATTGAAACGCAGTTGCCCCGACGTTGTCTTTGGCTCCTTAGGCCGGAACGAGGAAGGCCGGATATCCCCTCTGGAGGGCTGTTCGTCGTCGTCTGAGGAATCGCCCCCGGCATAGATGGGCGCATCTAGCTCGTCATCCGAAATCATGATGAACTCGCGCTTGGGTGCCGTCTTTGCAATCGCGAAGGGTTGTCGAGCAGGAGCTCGGAAAGTGGTGCCGGCAGGCGCCATCAAACTGGCAAGTCGACCGCCGCGTTGTTGAGCAGCTTGCGGTCGAAACGGAGAGGATGCAGGCACCTCGACGATGGATTTAGGCGAAGACGTAGCCGGGGGTGGCTTTCGTGGATTTAGCCGCTCGACGACCTGTGTCGGTTGCGTAAAGTATGGCGATTGCGCGACTACGCTTAGTTCGTCGTCATCGTCTTCGAGTGGGATGTGAAGTCGCCGGTGGCTGGCGGGCGGTGAGGAGGAAAACTCCATTGTTGGAGAATCCAGTCACAGAACGCACCCCAATGTCGCGAAATAGCAGAGAAGGGCTGTTTCGAGTGTTCGGAAGCCGCAAACGAACGGATGCTCCCTTGTTTAGCAACCACGAGCCTCCCCAACGACTCTGTCGCTGACCTCCCCATACAATACGATTGCGTTATCAGGGGCAAAGGACGGGTAGGTGGCCAAAATAGAACAAACGTAAAGCCAGGGAAGAAAGTTGCCGAGCCTTTTTCACCGTTTTTGGTCTTGTAGGAGGGAGCAGTTAGTATCTGAGAGAAAGAGGGGAGGAGGTGAAAGAGGATCCTGCCGTCTCGCAAACAAACTACAAGAAGGGCGCTTTATCGGCGCCCCACAACGCGTAGATTGGGGAATTCAAGCGCGCGAAGGCACGTGCTTTGAGTTGCTAGCAGTCACCCGAGTCCAAACGGCAGCGCAACTAGTAGCTGCAGTTTATCCGTGCCTCAACACGTCTCCTAACATTGCGGAAATAACTCCCGTTGACATATCAGCTATTATTGATCTCAGCCGAGTCCCAACAGCACCTCCAGGGCTCACCTCAACCAAGAGACCCATCATCCATTCCATTCCATCTCGACTCTCAACATGGCCACCCGCAGAATACTCTCCCAGGAGAAGACCCTCATTGAGAAAGATGACACCGTCGGCTCAAGCCCAGCAGCAAATGAGAAGTCCAACATAGCCCCGGCCGTTCCGACGTATGCAACTCCAGCCACTCCTTCCCATCCTCTTCAGCTCCTTCCACCCTGATCTACATCACTTTCCGTTGCCCCCTCCAGTCTATGCTGATTCGATGTTTGCCAGATCCGTCATAATGAAACTCCTCGCCTTTACTCTCGGCATGATCGTGATCCCGATCGGTTCATACTTCCTGACAGTAGACACGGTCTTCATGGGTAGGTATTACAAATTGCAGTTACAACAGAAAACTAATCCCCTTTCTTGGTTCCATCAGAAACACATCACAAAGCCATATCTGACTACCATTCCCAGGGAACTCAACATATGCGGGAGTTTTGGCAGCTATCATGGCCAACGCAGTCCTCATCGGCTACATCTTCGTTGCCATGGCCGAGGACCAGTCCGAACAGCTGCCGCAGCAGGCAGCGGCGAAGGGCCCAGGCCAAGAAGGGAAGAAGGACCGGTAAACAGTCTATCCCTTTTGTCCATGTACGCATAATGTTCTATTATAGGGAGTAAAAGGGGCTTTATTTACGGTGAACATCTCGGAACTGATTTTGAATGAAAAGAAAGAGCCTGTAGTAATGTGCCCATCGCTTGCTGTCATTAGACAAGGGTTGCGGGTGAGGTCTAGCTGGTGTGCAGTACCGACCAACTTGGATTAGGATTAGGATACATGATAAGGTATGTTCCCCCATGGACTAAGGTACTTCTCCCTCCTATCTGTATCTCTTGAAGGCATTCGTGCCCCATATAAACAACACAAATGTAGAGAACAAGGAGAGAGAGGCAGTACGAGAGCGACAGCGCGGGGAGAAATCAGTCAACAATAACCTCCAAGACCCATCTCATTATGTTCATTATAATGCGCATAACCCCTTAACCATCACAAGCCCAATAACCCATTTGATACCCGCCCCTACGTCCATAAGAATCGCCTACCAAACAATTCCGAACGACCAACATAACAGAGTTCCGAACGACCAACATAACAGAGTCCCGAACGACCAACATAACAGAGTTCCGAACGACCAACATAACAGAGTTCCGAACGACCAACATAACAGAGTTGCGAACGACCAACATAACAGAGTTCCGAACGACCAACATAGCAAAGTCCCGCGAATGAGTGTCCAACTATTCATACCCGTACAACCTCCCTGATCTGTTTCACGACCCAGAGCTTTTTCCCAGGTCAAAGCAGCGTCACCGTAGAGTGAATGGGCTCCACCAGTTCCTCAGCTGCTGGCCAGAAAGTAACAACCCATACCATGCACGCCTTTCGAACAGTGCCGGCTGACATCCCTGTGTTTTCTGTCGTTGAGAACAGGGTATCGAAACAGCAACAAAGTCAAACAGAATTCGAAATGCCGCTTTGGCTTGTGTCCCAGGGGGGGTCAGAGGTCAACAGTGCCATTATGCGCGCTTGCTGAAGCGTCGCGCAAGCCAACTCTTCCTCTTCTCAGGCTGTGCGAGCCGTACCTCTTGCACATGGCTGGTGCTTATCTGTTTCCTTAAGACCGATCCCACATCTTTCCGAGGCACGGCAGGCGGTACAGGGTTGCCACCTTGATTTGGGTTCCCATAATTTGGTGAGCCGTCCAGTTGGTAGTTGCTGCCGTTCATCCCAGAATTCTGCACGCCCACTGTAGAGCTTGGCGGCTTGTACGACGGGCTCTGGCCAAAGCCGATGCCGTAGTCATTCAATGGTTCCGGCTGCCGCCTTGGCACGGATTGCACGGGCTCGAGTGAGCTGTTATCGCTGCCGGTGGGGTCGGTCTGGTAACCAGTTGGCTCTGCCGAGGAGCCGCTCCCTGATGCGGTTGTCACCGTCTCGTATGACCGATGATTGGGCGGAGTCGGATAGTCCTGGGGGTTCTGTTGCCGGTACGGGGGGCTGTATTGCGGCTCGGTGGGTATCCTAGGCAGGCCCCGTCGCCCGTTCTGCTGGGGTGGTCCGTAGCCGCCATACCCGAAGTTTTGCTGGTCATGATATCCGTCACGTTGTCCCATGCCCGCTGACCTCAAGTCGGGAAGGCTACCATCGGCACGATTGGCGTACATCATCGAAGGCGGGCGATTTCCATAATAGCTGTCGTGTCCGGAACGGCCGAAGTTTCCATCTGTGGATTCCCATGTGAGCAAGTTACACCGCTGTCAGATTGAAGGGAATGCGTACTGCCTCCGTAATAACTGCTCCGCCGACTAGCGCCCCAGGTTGCGCCTTCTGTGTCTACATAGAACATAGTGATTAGCTTGATGGCTTACCCAGGCATCGAGCGTACTCCGAATCATACCTGTGCGGATGATCGACCTACGGTTGCTGTATCCCCCATCAATTGCCGCCTCAAAACTCCGGATTGTGTCCAACGGGCGTTCCCATCTACTGCGGGTCGGATTTGAACGGTCCGGATCGGCTGTATGTGGAGCTCAGGTCAGCCATGTGCCAGAACTTGCGACAGTGTCTTAGATCATACCAATTGGATTTCCAAAGGCGTCCCTGTGTTGGATGCTCCTCAGAGGGGCGAGGGAGGACTTGCCCGTTGCGGCAACCTCAGCTGCAGTTATCTAGAATTTAGCAGCCTCTCAAAATTGAAGTCCGGAAGGGCTACTTACAGGGTTCCGCTTCTTGCATGGCGAGGGTCGGGTCTGCTTTGCTGTGCAGTCTCTTGGCCTCCTTCTCGTCATGTGTCTCATGCAAGTCGATCTTGTGCTGGCTGCCGCGAGACTTGTCCGACTTCAAACTAAAAGTTCTGGACTTTCTTGTTGGCCTCTGCTGCGCTGAGTGTAGCTGGGTTGTGTGTTGCAACGGCGCCTGTTGAAGTTGGTAGGGGGAACTGGATGGAGAATGGTTGTTTGGGACCGCCATCTTGCCGGTCGAGGAGATACAACGAGCTTATTATCTCGCAATCTGGCTCGGGGTCCACGCGATGGGGCCAACCCGTATCCTAGTCACGGAATTCGTGATCGCAAGGTTGCGGATCACTAAAAAAGGAGCTGACAGGCAGCCGTAGCGAAGGCCGGGAATAAAAGTGGATTGGTGGCTGGAACTGAGAGATTGCCTTTCTTGTTGGTGATTCTGACAGACAAATCCACTGACTGAGAGTTCGTCGCTCGTCGCAGGTCTTTGTGTGATTAAAATAGGCCCGGCGCGTCTTGAATGTCGGTCGCGTCGTGATCGGGTTTGGTCTAAAATGGAATGGTGGAAACAGGTGGAAGCAACCTGGAAGTAGAGGTGGTCTACCGGAGTACCCGCGTGGTCTGGCAACAAACACGGTGATAAACTGTGACGAGTGCAGCGTGGCGCACGGTGCGTTGTGAAGCTTCTTGGCGTTTGCGACCCTTATTGGCCCTTGACTTCCTTCACGTCTGATCGGCGCTGTCGATCCCGTCAGAGTCTTGCAGGGCTGGAAACAGCTCCACTGCAACCTGGTACCCCAGAGCACCGTTTTGTGGAGCCGAGACTAAGACCAGGTTACTGACGTCAGCGCCTGAGCCCCACCATGGAAGGACAGCTCGAAGAGCCACCGAAGGGTTTGATAAGACGGAGCCCCGGGTTCGAGCAAATGCTTTTGTTTCCTTTCGATTTTTCCGAGTTATGTCGAGTCCCGCGTTTCAGGAGGTCGACTGCCGCTCGCCGCTCTCGATTGGAGTCCCGTGAAATCGGCAGCGCACGACGAAATCGGTAATTATCAAATACGAGCTTTGGGATTCTTTGCGGAAAAAGGTCGGTGTTGGAACGGTTGAATGTGACGGTGCAGGAATCGCGCTAATACTTCGAGAAGATGCAGCGGCCGCCAAGTTGCGCGTATTTGTAACTTCTTCTGTCGTGTGTGGTATTGGAAACTGACTCGGGCGTAATGGTGTCAACAGACTTTTGTGAATACGATGAAATGAGAGATTGGAAACAACAAGCAACGGTATCGCAAGAGGCAGAGAGAAGACAGGCGCTCACTGCTTCGTAGAGTCACGGGCAAACGAGCGTCTCGAATGGAAGGACTAACGATATAAACGTGTAGGCACACAGCAGAGTCTCGCGCCGGAGTGTTTCAGGACGGAGAGGGAAACAAGAAGTGCGTGGCCGGGCAACGAATTCTTAAGATTTATTCGGTTTCGGAATACAGGACTTGGAAGGCGGGGGAGGGGTTCAAACCTGGGGCCGTTTTGATTTGCCGCTTGCGTTCTATCGGTGTCGTCAGCTTGTGACAAGGCGATGCACCCCTTCCAACACGAGTCGCCGATAGACAACCTTAGATCTTGGTGCTACACAACCCAATCGATCCACCTGTAAAGTCGAGGAGGAGTTTCGTGGCTTCGCTGGATTCCAATTTGGCGCAAGCAAGACATAGGTGGCAACTGGAATCACAGGTGCTGGTCAATCTTTTGCTGGCTCATGCCGCCTGCAGCAGGTTTTCTGGCACAGGGAACTCCTAGTGTGGTTGCTACGCCTCCTCAGATTGAGTCGGTCTCGTTACCGAGCAACTTGGAACAAAAACAATCTGGGATGGCGGCTATCCCCTCGAGCCCGTTGAGCCCCTCTGCGTTACTCCATCTGTGTTCCAGTTACCTTACCACTCAAGCTCTGTGCATCAAATCCCGGTGCTCTCGGTAAACAACCAACAAAGAGAGGCGGTTCGCGCTTACTTGGTTGGCATTTCTACAATGCTGTTCACGGGAAGACCTCGAACGCTTCGTCGTTGAGCAACACAACAAACAGACTTTATTATGCTGACACCACTGGCTCACTTGCAGAATAGACAGTAACCTGGACGGCATTTTCTTGCAGAGCAGGGACTTAGGCGCTAGAAGACTCGCTTTTCGGTGAGGCAATGACTTATAATAGCAGTAACAAGGCTGAAGAGGGCCGTTGCGGAGTGAGACCTGGTCTCAGACTTCGTTCCCATCTGAATGGATATCTTGAAGACGAACCTGGACCGCTCTTTGTTTGAATCGCAGTACAGCTCCATGACTCCAAGAGCGTATGCGTACTGTACCTAGCCGAACGTTCCGGCTGCTGTATCACGACTGAGCCTCACTGTTGCAGGGGCCGTTGAGCTGGGTTGACCGGGAGCTATCAACTGACAACTCGGCATGCCGTATCAGCTGCAGATGCAACGCTCAAACATGCCTGGCCAACCTGGATGGCTAAGCTAAGGGGCAACGGCCGGAAACCTGCATATCTTATTTGAAGGCAGTCGAGGCAGTTTTGGTCAAAAGCGATCATCCAAACTGCGCCTTGCCATATGCACCTACATGATTTTTCCGAAGCAGGTTCTTGATCTCTTGACCCTTGTGTAGGAGCACTCCGGTTCCTTGACCCCGCTCGCCACGCTGCTCCAAGAGAATAGTCCACCTTGGCAGTTCATATCCCTGACCTTATTTGGACTGACATGCGAATGGATACAAGATAATGTTCATAAGGCGGCCTGCATAGACTCCATCCTTCAGAGGGTTCATGGAAGTTCCGGGAGCGCGCCTTTGAAGTCCAAACCAGCCTCAACAAGGCCACCAACCGCACACTGATGCTTATGTCAGACCATACCGCGAGGGCATGTCATTGACAGAAGAGATTTGGTGTTGAGGGGCACTCTGCTGATGTCGCCGTTGCGGGCAGAAAGTCGGACGGGCCGATTCTGAAAAAACGAGTTGACTAGGCTGAGATGACTCGCGAGATTTACGCTCCCTTCGTTTGTGCACACAAAGCCGGAATTGTGCTGTCAATGTGCTGGGTGGAATACCTCCTCTATGCATCGGAACGACCCTTCATTTAAGCCACGCGCTTCCCATCCTGTCCTAACGGGTACCCGCGTAAACGGCTGGGTTTAACCAACATGCTCCCATTGCTGCAGCGGAGTACTCGTTACCCAAACCTAAAGCCCAGAGAAGATGTTTCCGTTGTTCCGTTGCACAATCGGGGCGCGACGTTCCAGGCAGGCGCACCACATCATTCCTAGGGCTAGACTCCGCCAATATTCCTGTCGAGGGCCTGAGTAACACAAGCGGGAGCCAACCTCCGGCGTTTCACATAGCTGACAATCCAGTCAGCGTAGTTTCCTCCAACACAAGATGTACAATCTGGGGGTTATCGTTTTGAAGGGTCAATTGGTCCCCGGGGCTTGCTGGTGTATCTGTTGTGAGGTGTTCAGCAGATCCGGAACCGGGTTCTCTTCAGTCACGATCCCGCAACTTGAACTGTCATTTGGACGCGTTTGTGTTGACCTGTAGGTTTGTAGCCAAGGTTTGGTCATTATCGTTGTTATTGTGACTCGGAGAAGACGGAAGTCTGCCCCTGAACTGCCTCGTGTCCCTCATGAGTGAAGTACTGTCTTGCACCCGATGTTGCGGATCCTCAACGGCATCGTCATTTTGGTATTCCCTTGATTTTGAATGCTAGAAGCAAGGCCATGTATGTCGAGGCCTCGCCTAACCCTGATGCACCGAAATCATGAACCACCTTTACCAACCAACTCCGGCCTGACCCGTTCCTTTTAAATCGAGGAGGGGTAGAGCATGATGCGAACAGAGGCGCCAAAAGATCTCGCAGGAAGGGGGTTTGTGAACTTCGCCCGGACGACACCAGAGTTGCCTGCAGGGCAATCGTTAGCCATGACCATCCAGTATACCGTATACCGGACCATCCGAGCCTACCGTGTGGCCTGGTCACCTTGCCCCAGATGACGCGGATCTTGGTGCCGCGCACCTCCTTCTGACCCCGGTAGACATACGCAACCCTCTTGCCCAAGTAGAAGCTGTATCCCACGTTAATCCGCGGCCTTCCGCACGTGACATCAGGCTCCTCAAACGTACTTGGCAGCAGCGGTGTCATCAACGCCCTCGATCTTGATCAAGCTGGTCTTAGGGTGGGTGTTACGGCGGCCACGCTGATAGCTCAGGTGGCGACCCCTAAAGGGCAAATCGTCGTCAGTCCATCGAGTCCATCGACATCGGTGTTCGGGCGGATTCATCTCGATTTTGCATCTCGATTTTGCGTGGGTCCAGCGCGTTGGCCGTCGAAACTCGGGTCTTTCGGTAGAATCGCCGGGGTCTGCACTTACTTGACGTATACTAGAAGACACGGTTAGCAAAGGTCAACATTGCGCAAGCAAGTGCATCAGCGACAACGAGGAGTCTCTCGCGACCGCATGATCCCTGGTCCGCGCGAGCACCGTTGCCGCATTGAGTCCGGGTCCGCTCACATCTATGACCAGCTTCGCTCGGCATCTTGTCGGTTTGATGTTTCCCGATCGATCAATCTCTCCCGGCCACGGTCAAGGGTGATCAGCAAAATGTCGAGCTGATTCGAGGTCCGGCGTTGGGCGACGTGGGATGGCTGTACTCTCCGATACAGCAAGCGATTTCGAAAATTCGCGTGGTGCGGCTGGTAGGGCTTGGGCGTACTTTTTGCGGGGCGGATTATCTTCGGCACCGGTGCTGGGAAGGTCGAGTGGAGACTTGGCTAACCACAAGCCGATTGATAAGATACCACAGGATCTCTGCTCAGCCTGGCTTGTGGCTTGGATAGTGCGCCTCCAGCCACATATGATGCCTTGAGAAAGACCCAGCATTCGTACCTACAGCACCAAAGCTGTCTCAATCCCTTCACCACATTGACAGCACACTTTGGCCCGGTGCAAACCAATCGCAACATTTTCATCAATCCTAGACATTTTACCATGCCTCCTGTTTGGATGATCCTAATGAATCTTCCCCATCACATGTGAGCGGACTCAGAAGCCTCGTCGGCTGTTCAGCTACAGAGTACGCCCATCACGACCAAGGGAAAACGCTCGAATCCGCAATCTCCGCAGCAGCAACATTTCCGCTCCAGTCATGATCCAGCATTCCAGCGCAATAATAAACCATGCAGAGAGTTGCCGGAGTGGAATCCAGCTCCACAACCTTTCTCCTAAGACTTGCGAAGCCGGTCCGGATTCGGAGGAAACCTCTCTGGCTACGCAGCCCAAAAGGCAAAACGACAAATTGTCCGTCTTGGCCCGCTTCCTTGGGGCCCAGCGGATGTCCAATTGCTCTGCTGCTGCTGCTGCTGCTGCTGCTGCTGCGAGCATCTCAATACGCGCGCCGCAGCCAGAGAACCGATTTCGTTCCCACTTACCTTAACAAAGATTGCCCCGCGGAGATCTGACCGGAGTTGTCAGGTGCGAAATTCAACCATTGATACAAGTGATACATCGGTGTCCTTTACAGTCCCGAGGAGTCGCGAGAGCTTTTATTCGTAGGTTTGACTCCAAATTCGCGCTCTCAATACGCCGAATGAAGCCATCGTACAAGAGGCAGCGTGGGGGGTCAAGCGCACCTTAGTATTCTGCCGGTGGGATCACCCTGGCATCTCAACGCTTCTGTCAAGTCTTCCACAATGTGCCGCTTTTGCCTGTAATGAAGTAATCCGGCGTCGAGACGAAACAGTGTGGTAATTTCTCCGTGGACAACAAAGCTCGTCGCCAAAGTGCGGGAGGGCGACCCACGGGGTAAACCAAGAGGAATGGAGTCTTTGGACGGTAACTAAGCGTGCAGCTCATCGAACCCAAACCTGATGAGTATTGGCTGCTGCTGCCCCACCATCCCACCAGAGATGCAGATGCCCCGCACGGGCTGCATTGAGCCGACAAAGTTGATGTACCGACTCGGGCGTTTTTCCAAACATTGATGCTACAAAACGTGCGACATATCAGAGGCAAGATCAGATTGGTGCTTGATCGCAATTCTCTTCTCAAGTTTATGGCTGCTAACCCGGACGTAGGCCCGGCCTGTAGGTGCCTTGCAGCTGGGAAGAGAAGCTTCGGATGTTGCGGCGTATGTGCAAGCACTTTCCAAGCTGGGATGCACCTGAACCGTATCGTACGGTCATATCAACACATCCATTCAAGCTTGCATCGAGCCGATGAGAGAACTGCAAAACTAAAGCTGGGAGAGAGAAGGCAATGATGCGCTACACCACAACCGTCAAGAATCATTCTTTTTGAATGCTATTGTAGACGAGGCCGTGACCCCAATGCGACGGCCATCTGGTCACAAATCTAGTGAGGGCGGTTTGTGTTACCTTATCCGGAGACGTCGGGACTCGGGGCGTCATAGAAAGAGCACAGTGGGTGAACATGACCGGTAATACCTAAAGGCGGGGTCCATGAGTAAGCTGGACTGCCCCTCGTCACAGCTCCAGTCTTTCTTCTGCCGCATCACTCATCGCCCCTACCGGTTGAAATAACCATTAACCCCGAAACTGGGTCGGACTCCGATCACTTTCCATCCACCATCTTGTCGACGCACCCCAACCCTTCTCACCAGCTTCCTAACACGCGAAACGGTTCTACCTTGATACTACGCCAGTGCCGAGTAGACACCTGCCCAGGTCAAAGCCACCCGACAAGATGGCCTCCAATCTGCATAACTCGGGAGCGTGAGTCTCAAGGCCCGCCATTCATGACACACTTTCGGTGGAGCTGCCCTGGCCAGCTGGGATAGCTCAGCCCGATCGTGTCGAGGCACAATTTTGGCGTCCCTGGCCGCAGCAAGCCACAAGATGCTCTGTGCGATAGACAATGGGTTGCGACGAGCGTGGGTTTGGCATTGATGCTGACTGTTTCCCAGCATCGAGCTCAAGGAGAACACTGTCATTGTTGTGCTCGGTGCCTCTGGCGATCTAGCCAAGAAGAAAACGGTATGCAAGCCATGACAGAAAAGCATATACCCCAGACGCGAAGTGTCAATTGACTGACCTTTGCAGTTTCCGGCTCTCTTTGGACTCGTGAGTCTGCAGCGTTGCCTTCCCGAAACTCGAGGGATCAAGTGACTGAACCTCTGGTAGTACCGCAACCAGTTCCTACCCAAGGATATCAAGATCGTCGGCTATGCGCGGACAAAGATGGACCACGACGAGTTCATTCGTCGCATCAGATCGTACATCAAGACGCCCACGAAGGACATCGAGCAGCAGCTAGAGGACTTCTGCAATCTGTGCACATACGTGTCCGGCCAGTATGACAAGGACGAGTCGTTCCAGCAGCTCAACAAGCACCTAGAGGACTTGGAGCAGGGCAGGCAAGAGACCAACAGGCTGTTCTACATGGCCCTCCCCCCAAGCGTTTTCACCATCGTGTCGCAACACCTCAAGAAGTGTTGCTACCCTACGAAGGGCATTGCTCGCGTCATCGTATGTCGGCTATCGCTGGCTGTTCCCTGTTGCTGCAGTGACTGACGCGGCGGCAGGTCGAGAAACCCTTCGGCAAGGACCTGGCTAGCTCCCGGGAGCTCCAGAAGTCGCTTGAGCCCGATTGGAAGGAGGAGGAGATTTTCCGCATTGACCACTACCTGGGCAAGGAAATGGTCAAGAATATTCTTATTCTGCGATTCGGCAACTCTTTTTTGGGGGCCACCTGGAACAGGCACCACATCGACAATGTGCAGATCACCTTCAAGGAGCCCTTCGGTACCGAAGGGCGCGGCGGGTACTTTGACGAGTTTGGCATCATTCGCGATGTCATGCAGAATCATCTACTTCAGGTCCTGACACTGCTCGCCATGGAGAGGCCCATCTCCTTCTCTGCCGAGGACATTCGCGACGAGAAAGTGCGAGTCCTTCGCGCGATCTCCGCGATCGAGCCCAAGAATGTCATCATCGGGCAGTACGGGAAGTCGCTCGACGGAAGCAAGCCGTCCTACAAGGAGGACGACACTGTTCCTAAAGACTCACGGTGCCCGACATTCTGCGCCCTCGTCGCGTACATCAAAAACGAGCGGTGGGACGGCGTCCCTTTCATTATGAAGGCGGGCAAGGCGCTCAACGAGCAGAAGACCGAGATCCGCGTCCAGTTCAAGGACGTCACCTCTGGGATCTTTAAGGACATCCCGCGGAACGAGCTAGTGATGCGCATCCAGCCGAACGAAAGTGTCTACATCAAGATGAACTCCAAGCTCCCGGGTCTGACAATGCAGACGGTGGTCACAGAGCTCGATCTCACGTATCGGAGGCGATTCTCGGACTTGAAGATCCCCGAGGCGTACGAATCGCTGATCCTCGATTGCCTGAAGGGCGACCACTCCAACTTCGTGAGGGACGATGAACTCGACGCGAGCTGGAGGATCTTCACCCCCCTGCTCCACTACTTGGACGACAACAAGGAGATCATCCCCATGGAGTATCCCTACGGTAAGCAAAAACATAAGTCGACCGTGTCTGCAGAAACTGACTTGTCCCAGGCTCCCGGGGACCCGCTGTTCTCGACGACTTCACCTCCTCCTACGGCTACAAGTTCAGCGATGCTGCCGGATACCAATGGCCAACAACGTCGGCTGCGGCGGGCAACAAGTTGTGAGTCGCTTGTTGGTGCTTGGCGGAGGAATCTGCAAACGACGAGTCGAACAGTAGTTGAAACGATGATTGTTGACGCAGCTGAGCGAATCACCAAACCCGATCACGGCACATGCCAGCACGGCTCGGTCGGTTGTTAGAGACGACTGTGTTTTATGACATGATACGACAAGGTTAGACTTAGGACACTCAAACGAAGCAAGGCGGGCAACACGGGAAAAAATGGGGTGGCAGTCGGATCTTGGTGGGAGCTGTGTTTTCATTTCATTGGTACCAGTGGTGCTAGCCCACAAGCCTTGCAGGAAATGAGGATTACTCGCTTCCCAATGGTATCCAGCATGGGCAACTGTGCGTTTGAACATCTTCACTGCCTTGAAGACATAGCAAATGTCAGTTTCTTCTCCAAAGGTTCATTTGGTATTGGTCTATAGATGCCTGGACAAGGATCAAGTCCGAGTTCGGCAGGGTGTGAATGACGTAGGGTGCCGATAGACGACCTGTACTCCGTAGCCGTACACCTCTTATCAGGAGTACGGAAGGTTCGGGAGGCAACCGCCCATGATGTCTTCCGTGCGCCAGAGATGCGGCTCCAACTAGGTTGAATGCTCAAGATACTCTAAGGCCCTTTTTTCTTTTGGTGGGGTAGTAACGCAATGCGAACCATCTTTCTATATACATCAAGGGCTTAAAGGAGCGGGAAAGGAGAGCAAATGTGATGGACAGAGAAATTAATCCGTCGCGCAGAACGGAATTACTGCGGTACCAAACGTCGATGGCACGGTGCACCTTAACAACCTGGAAGGTTTGGTTCCTTTGTGAAATGCGGCTGGTATTCCAGTCAAGTTACCGTATTATGCCAACCCGACGCCCGATCGAACGCGGAAGATCTTCTTTTGGCCCGACATTCGATCTTACACGTCGTGCCTGATTATTACGGCACCCTCCACCCCAGTTCGTCCAAGCGGCCCCACACCTTCTTTCATCAGTCGCTGTGCATTCCGTTTCTTTGGGGTGCCCATGTGTGTCGCCTCGAAACGCATCAACACCTCACAACCGCGACCACACCGACCGCGACCAACCACGAGAACGGAACAGCATCACCGATACAACGGCGAACTGCTCGCCCGATACCTATTGTCCGGTCCAGCGACCGAATCTGCGCTTGTTACCATCCTGACGACCAGCATCGAACAAACCATCGGCAAGAGGTAAAACGGCGCGGAACCACTTCGTGATCGATCATCTGCCCTCTCTCAACGCGGAATTCACCGACTGAGCCAGCGGAACAACTTCAGATACTACGCGCGGCGCACAGTCGGACTCGGAAGTGATGGGCGATCGCATTCCTTGCCCTGCGCTTTGCTTCTGAACCGAAACCTCCACTGGCGAGAATTGCCTGGGAGTGCAAAGCGCGCCGATGACGCTGCGCGACTGAGGGGGTTGGGAGTTGGAAGTCACACCGACATCCATCTTTTGGGGTGCGGGTCTCTGCCTTCCTCTGACCTAAGTCTAGCGCCCTTTTCCCTCGCCTCTCGCGGAACTCTACTACCCTCAGAAAGCGAACGACCGATTACCCTCACCTCACGTAGTGACCGATGCGCCGCATGGAAGCCGAGGGCCGCTCACACTCGCTTCGCTTGACACTCTTCTGTTCTCCGCACGGTCCGCCATTGCAACCGCCAAAATAGCGACTGTCTCGCCCCGTTCGATAACTCTCGTTTCAACTGCAGGGCCAGTGACGATTCCAACACCGAAACCGACCGCTCCGCTGGCCTCTGGAACTTCTTCCTTCCTCCTCAGATCGACACGATACCCAATTCATTCGCTTTGGACGCAGCACTACGCTTCACGAATTGTCTCACCGGCAGCTCATTGCGTCAGCTTAGCTGGTCGGCATACTGGTCGTCAGCTCTGCACGGATAGAGGCCCTTGTGGCGTGAAGCCGAAGGCGGTTTCAGCATGGACAACGGCATTCACAATAGACTACATTCCGACAAGGCCCAAGCTTCACTCGTAAACGGTGTCAAAGAAGAACCTGTGTCTACTCAGCGAACCCACTCGCCGGATAACAAGGGTGCCGACAATGGAGCGGCCGTCGTACGTGATTACAGCAATCCTGGGAGCAACCTGCACACGCTGCAGAACACCGAGATGGAGGAACTTCCAGACGAACTTCAGCACATCACGGCTGATTCTTTGCCGCTTAGCCTACTTTTGAGCAGACTTGCCCAGTTCTCACATGCAAAGCTTCAGGAGCTCATTCTCAACCTAGCATCGAAGCCCTTGCCAGAGTCGTTTTCCAATGGCAACAGTGGTGTCAATGGCGCCGTTAAGGGCTCTGCCAATGCCGGCGGACATGTGCCTGAGGACACCTCTCCCGAGAGCCTAGACAAGAAAACCATGGTCTTGAACTTCATCCAGGACTTGCATTCAAGATGGGTCAAGGCTTTGGTCATCACAGAATGGGCCAAGAATGCCGACGAGGTTGGCAAACTCATCGACCTAAGGACGCATCTTGCTGATAAGTTGGAGCTGTACAACAAGACTTTTTGGGAGTTGGTCAGGGTCAAGCAAGAGTTGGCCTTTGCCAAGGTTCCAAGTCCGGATCTCAAGACCGCCCTGGAAGTGCTCACCAGTGGCTCCGTCCATTGGATGCCAGACGTATGTTGTAGAACCCCCGTGTTTCTACCAGTTTGTGTGCTGACAAGCATTGCCCCAGTTCGGCTACCTACTCAAACCTCCATTGACAACGCAAGAGAAGTTGCACTGGCTCAATGAAATCGAGGTGACCCTGCATATGAGACTGCAGCTGCACGAGTATGAGCGGATCCCACAGCCATGGAGGCAGTACAAGGTTGAGAATGGCCGGGTTACCTTCACCGTCCCCGGCGAGTTCGAGGTGGATTTGACCATATCCGACGAGGATTTTGACTCGCAATTCTGGTTTCTGGACTACCGGCCGATCTTTACCCCCGCACCTGCCGAGGTCTCGGAGCATGCTCGGGCGTTCATCGAAGCCCAAGTCAACACGGTTCTCCAAACGGAAGGGTTACCCGGTTGCTACAAGTACCTCCACGAGCTGACCCTCACGGCCAAAATCGGAGAGTTTTATCGTCAGGCTGTTGAGCTTACCCGCACTGGGTTATGGGTCCAGACACTGAAGGTGGAGAGATTGGACAGGGCGATGTCCATTCAGTACTGGGCCCAGAGTCCACTCTCCCGGGGCACTCCAAGCTGGATCTTGCTCGGAGTTCACAGCGGCAAGGCTCCAGAAGGGCTCCATGACCCGGGCACTCCGAGCCATATCATGCTACAATGGTTCCGCGAGGGCAAGGAGGCCAAGGACATCTCAATCCCGTTCGACGTCGACACCATCTCAACCGAGAAGGTGCTGACAACGGTGATTTCCAGGCACGTTGAATACCTCCTTGGGTCAATGTACAACGCGCTCCTAGGCAAACCCCGGTTCACCCAACGCCAGGGCACAATAGCCCTTCGGATTGCGGATCAACCAGACACGAGCTCCGCGCTCACAATGCAACTTCTCGGCAAGCACGATGCCACCCTTGGAGTTGGGACGTGGATGGGCAATTTCTATTTTCACGAGCAAACCCCCACCGGGCGTGACTGGGCGCAAAGGTTTAACTCTCTGCGAAATCCCGCGCATGAGGGTGCGAACCTCTTGGAGCAAATCAGGTGGTCTTACACGGCACGGCGCCTGAGAATGTTGCCGAAGCCTGCTATTTGGGTCGTCCTTCCACAGGCCCCCGTCCCCTCGGATGAGGTGAAGAGCGTTGTTTACTCACCCTCTTCGTCCACCCGAGAACCATTTCACGCGATATGGGTCAGAAACACCCGCTGGCGTCCGCAGTGGTTCGCCATGATGAGCTTAAGCCTTGGTGGGGATGGCTGGTGGTTGGTTGAGGTGTAAGTGCATTGTGACACTCCATTTGCGTCATGTCCTGTGCGTCATGTTTTGTGTTCTAACGCGTCGCGTCTTCAAGGTCGGCCGAGGGACGAGGATTCTCGGGGCCGCGCATAACTACCTTCACGCAGCTGCCCATGACACCAAGCGATCCTCGCTTTCCGGAAAACTCATGGTTTCCAGAACTCACCAAGCACACAACCAGCATCATGGCTCACATTGACGATCTCCGTGGGCTCCATCAGCAACGCACTCGATATGGTTTCGGGAAATCCCGCGACTCTCGAGATTTGACGACTTACGTGCGATCACCGGACATGTTGGCGTCCCAATCTGCCCCGGATGACATATCCCCGTCACCATGGGCGACGCAGTTCATCCCGCTCGTCTATAAAGGACCTGCACCCATCCTCGGTCATGAATTTGCCGACCTGATAGCCGATGCCGGCTCGCTTCAGAAGCAACCGGCACGACAGAGGGTGTTGGTTGAGGCGAAGGTCGCTGTCACGAACCGTGCCCGATTCGTGCTGCTCGAGCGCAAGCTCGATCGCGATGTGTTCTACGACCATGAACTGGGTCAATTTACCCTGCGGTTCCGGCCTGACGCCGGCTCCGGGGCTGTCCCCTTACTTCGGGCTCGTATGCTGGCACTCAATCGGCTGGTCGGTATTGTCGACGGTCTCGCCCGAGCTGGCAAGCGGGTGATGCCCGAGAGGGTTACTCTCCGTGAGATAGTATTCACATACGGGGATGGCACCCACGGAAGTTTACCGCCTGATCAGCTCTCCGCGCCCAGCCAGGAAAAGCAGCAGACATGGAGATTGCGGCTGAACCTCGCCAAGGACCAAGGTGTGGACGTCATTCTCGAGGAGGGCAATCCGCACCTGCGCGTCAAAGACTATCTGCAGGCCTTCGCGAATTCGCCTAAGCTCAGGACGATACCTGGGTGGTTGTTCCTCACGCTCCCTCTCTTCCGAGCACTAGAACGGCTGGAAAGCTCGTGGGATTCCGTGCTAGCCAAGGAGCAAGGCGCCTGCTACACCTTCCATAAATCGATGGACTGGGTGACGATCCGATTCGCGCTCTCCGGGGCTAAGGGCCGGCGCATGCACCTCGACATCAAGCCCCGTGACAGGGAAGGCAACCTCGTCTGGCATGTCTACCGGCCGATGACGGACGCCAATGCCACCAACGAAAATGACGAGTTCAACAAGGTCCTGAAGGAGCGCGTCTGGTCAGTCGACGGACAGGGGTTCAAAGGTCTAATGAACGGCGCCTTGGCGTCGTGGGACGGCGGCATTGAGAACCTGATTGCCCTCATCGGCGAGACTATCCAATCCCTCGCCGGCACACCCCCGCCTTCCCTGGCTGCTGCTCAACCCCACCAACTTTCTCAAGCATTATCCGCGGCCCAGCAGCAGCAGCAGCAGCCCGCGGAGCACCATCAACCTGTCGCGCCACCCGGAGGCGGCCCTCAGCCCGCCAGATTCGCCTCTCAACAAGCGTATCAACAACAGCAACAACAAACGCCTTGCCTGCCACAGGCGAGCATGCACCCGCAGGGCCAGCCACAGGTTCAGCAGCAGCAACAACAGCAGCGGACTGGCATAGCCAAGAACAACACGCCCGTGGTGGTGATCGATTAAGACACAACGCGCCGGTTAGCGGACGGCGATCTCAACTCCTCTGGTACTATCCACCCTGCTGGCAGACAGGAGGGGTTTGGTCGGACGATGAACGATGGTATTTAAACCGGCTAAGGCGGGCAAGATGAGAAAGAGTCAGAATTGCTGGGCTTAATGGGAATTCAAGAACCTTTTGAGGGGTTTTTAAGAGTTTGGGTGGACCACCAAGGGAAAGGAGTTGTCCCCGACTGAGACGATGAAGAAGGATGAAAGGGACCGCTGAGCGTCGGGTGGCGGTCCACTGTTTCCCGCCTATTCATTGCCACATGGTCGTTTCTTTTTACCGACTTCAAAGGCTGTGGCTGGCATTGAAGTGTGTGGTGTATTTATTTCTGGCTCCGGTTCGGATGGGGATTGATTGTGTTTCTGAACCGGTCGGCAAAAGGGAACGAAAGGGGGCAGTAGAATGGGTCGCATGGAGGGGCCATACCATATGTGCAGGGACTCTGGGGTTGGCCTGGCACAGGTCTGGAGCATAATGATTGATACCAGCACAAAACAATGAGGATGTGGACGATGATTAAGCCTTACATATTTGGAGGTTCCGTCTGCGTTCAGATAGTGCTCGTAGTTTATCCTTCGCCGATTACGTGTGGTAGGCATGGCATGCCTTGGTCTAAATAAACACACTTTCTCCAAGTTCCATAAGGGACAATCCTACCTCTTTATGTGACAGCCAGACAGACCAAGATATTACACGGCCCATGTTCCATCCGGGCCTCGCAATAAGAATATGATCTAGTACACGGTACATACACACAATGAAACCCACCTTACCTCAACCCCTCCCCCTCTACCCAGCCCCCCCAACCCTCGGAACGACACAGCCGCTCTCGTCCACAATCGCCCCACTGTTATACCTTAACGGCAATAACGCCTTCTCCATGGCCTGGATCACAGGCGGCCTAGTGAACCTTTCGAGCCCGGTATCCCCGACCGTCCACGGTGCCATCTCTATCTCCCCTCCACCGTGACCGCCGGCGTCCCCATCACCGTCCGCGCGCTGCCTACTGATGACCTGCCGCCCGGCAATCTGCATCGCCACGTCCCTGCCCGCGCGCAGCATGCTCAGCACGCCGGGGCTCTGGTACGACTGGCCGGCGACGGCCAGCCGGCCCTTGAAGCCCCACTCGAGCTCGCCGTGGGCGGCGCGCATGCGCGCCGCGTGGCCGACGAGATGTTGCGGGATGCAGTCGGTGCAGAGCTTGGCGCTGCCGTGGGCGGCGTCGGAGAGTTCCGGAGAAAATTTCAGGTGGCGGGCGACGGCGCGCTTGGCTTGCTCGATCGCTTCCTGGGGCGTCGGGAGGGAAGTTGGAGGTAGCGAGTCCCAGTAGTGGCCGCCCATCATGACGGTGAGTTTGGTGCCCTGGAGCGTGTCGGCGCCGCGGTTGGTGGGCTTGGGGTTGGTGGGCGTGGGGAGGGGGAATTCGCGGTCCGAGTCGAAGATCACGCCCAGTAAACACTCTGGGTTTTGGGAGTAGGGGGTAGCTTGCGGGATGAGGTAGCCGAAGCCGTTGTGGGGGAAGTTGGCGTGTGGGACGGGGTACCAGAGGTTGACGAGCATGATAGTGACGGCTTCAGAGGATGCGAGGGAGGGGAGCTTGGGGGTGGCGATCTCATGGAGGCACTTGGCGTAGATGGTTGAGACTACTTTGTCGTAGCGTTGCGTACCGGATTTGGAGGAGACCTGGGTGAAAAAGGGCTGGTCAGCTATGCGTTTAGAGGTGAGTGCTTATGAGGGGCGATGGAGTGCATACAGAGACCTGGTCAAGGCTATCGATGTACCTAATTTCCGTGACGGGTTCGTTCGACTTGACAGTGACGTTGGGGTTGGCTTTCAGTGCCTTGGCGAGCGCATTACCAAGCGTGCTGAAGCCGTCCCGAAACCAGAGAGCACCCGACTCGAGGTGCTTCGAGGCTAGATTGAACACGGCCTTGTCCGCGGCCAACTGTACCATCATTTCATAGTCGGCCATCCGTACTGGGGTTTTGGTGATGGGCAAGCCGTCGCGGGGCACGAGCTGGTCCGCCAGGCCGCCGCTCCCCATGCTCATTTTCCACACGTCCCCGCCGGTGACGCCGTGAATCACAGCTGAGAGGACCTTATCCACCAAGCCCGGGCCGCCAAAGCGGGAAGCAAAGTAGTCCCCCACGGACATATCTGTTCGCCCTTTGAACATGTCCATCCGATATGGGTCCTTGGTTCGAAAGATGCTGATGATGGCAGGGATGAAGTCTCGAAACACGGGCTCGGTCAGAGCCGATGCGAGATTGGCAAGCGACTTGAGGGTGCCTATGGGGTCGATGAAGGGCTTTATGAACACGATGGGGATCGGGACTAGGTGGTCGGGGTAGTAGATGAACCCGAGGACAGTCTCGTCAGCCTGTTTCGAGGACATAAGTTGATCGGTGAGGTTGAGCTTCGTGACCTGGACGAACCGAAGGGGCACTAGCAGTCAGCAACAGTCCACAGCCAGCCTAATATTCCAGACAAGACGCACCAGGTCATAAAACACCAGGTCGTCCCATTTCGGGACCTTCGTTGGCGCGGAAGGTTGGGGCTTGACCATGCGGGCGGCGCGCTCGAAGAGCACAGTGCCTTTCCTGCCGTCGGGGGTTTCAACCTCATGTTTGACTGTGTCTATCCAGCCGCCCAAATTCTCCCGGGCATCGAAGATGGTTATTTTGGCCTTAGGCAGCAGGCGTGTAAGGTACCACGCTGTGGTGAGCCCCGTCAGTCCGCCGCCGATGACGGCGATGTTGCGCGGGGACTGCGTCTTGGAGACAGCTATGTAGTGTCTGCTACTCTGGTATTTGCATACCGGCGGGATGGTAACGACCGATCCTCGTTGTGCAGGCCGTGTTGTCGGCGATGCTGCCGAGAGATGGTGCTGGCTTCGTGTAAGTCGAGTGCCTTGCGAAGCCAAGAATCGATGCCATGTCCGCGAAGTGCTCTGACCGGCGCCATAGCTGCTTCGAATGCGCGCTACGCAGCGCGGACTGGTAATGTACATATCGAGTAGTGCTTTAATGACGGCATCCCGCATTGGAAGTCCGGTGAGCGCAACAATGGCTCGTTGCGGCTCTGGCGATGGCGTGGTTGATCGAGGTTGATGTCCACTCGGGTCGAGCGCAAACGCGATGGAAACGAACCAGCTTGTACCCTAACCCTGGCTCTGCAGAGCTACATGAGGTTTGGAGAGAAATGGAAGAGGCAATGAATAACGTGAAAGTCAAGAAAGAAGACAGATACTCCGACTCGACAACAAGCACTATGCATATATCAGCTGTACATACTGGAGCCTGAGTACGCAAGAGCACAGCGAACACGGTGGAAAGCTTCATGGCACAGATCATTGACACTGACACAGATCGAAGGTCTCAAAAAAAAAGTATGAGAGCGAGCGACTTCATTCTGTATTCTTTGCTCGTGCGGTGGCCTGGTATACGGATACCGCTGCCCCCTCTCCGCTGTAATCAAACATATAAAATAGCCCCGTCTAAGAGGAAATCAAGACCCCTGCCCATAATCCCAATGGCTTCTTGCCCCGTCAACGCCGCGATGATGATATACTAGTACAGTAATAACCCCATCCCTGTAGCAAACTTGTCACATGCCACCTGTGTCCATGTCCTTGAAGGAATTTTGTCCCCTGTGTTCGTTTCCTTTCCCACCCAGCAGGTGTCCAGACTCTCGTGATGTTCCCTTCAGTCCCCTTCGGTCGGCAATATCCACACATACCAAAGCCACCGGCCATTTTTCTGCAATCCAATGCAAACTCAACCTCGAGTCTACACCTAGATGACCACCTCAGCAACATCCGCATCCGACTGATGCTCGCCCGAGCCAGGGAGGATGAGATCCTCCTGAGCCCCCTCGTTGACAAACTTCCTCTCACTGACATGCTCCTTTGACCCATCGTCGGCCGTCCACACCTTATCTTGGAAGGTGCCGCGCTGGCCTTCCTCGTGTAAAAAGGGGCAGCTACGGTTGGTGCATGGGTGATACTTGCAGGGCGTCTTAATGTGCGTGTACTTGCAGTTGGGAACCTTGCACTCGCCCCCGTTGCGGCAGGGCGGCATGGCGGGGTGCCGGAACGGGCAATGCGGGTTCGCACAGTTGGGAAAGAACTTGCAATCCTGTTCGCTTTGGTGCGCCGCCTTGGTTGCCGGCGACGGGTGTCGCCCGACGCACTTTCGGTTCTTGCAGGCCGCGCCAAAGCTGCACACGTCCTTGACGTCGACGGTGACGCCGGGTGGTGCGGCCGGGGACTGGTGGGCAAACTTGCAGTCCTTATTTTGACACCGCAGGTTGAACCGGCAGACCGTCTCTTCGGGGTTTGGCGGCTCGCGCTTAGCTCCTCCCATCTCGACGTCGCCCTGCGAGGCCACCTCCGACTGGCCTGCTTCCGAGGGTTGCGCTTGTTGCTGCTCGGCGTGGCCGTTGTGCTGGTGGTGAGTGACCCCGCGTCGGAATTGGCCGCCCCTGCCGCCCCGGTCGTATTGATGCTTGCCACGGGCAAAGCCACCGCGATGCCCCATGCCGTTCTGCTGCTGTTGTTGTTGCATCAGGAGTTGCTGTTGCATTTGCTGGAGCACCTGGTTCTGTTGCTCCATCATGGCGAGGATATCCGGAGCCACGTAGCCGGCGCCGTTCATTGGGTTCATTGGCCCCATTCCGTTCATGGCCGCCGGGCCAGGGGGGATGCCGCCCATGCTCGCTAGGCCGGCAGCGATGTTAGTAGCGCGCGCATTGCCGATCCGCGGCTGTCTGCCCACACCCATCCTCGGACCAGCTGGTGGGCCCCTCCCAATTCTCTCGTTACCCGACTGGTTACGCACACGGTGCAGAACCGAGTCCTGTGTCCGATCCAAAGCACGGTTGATCTGACCCATGATGCGCTTTTCTCGGCCCCCGCGGACGTTGCCATTTCGCATCGCCTTAGGTCCAGTTGGCCTATTGTTTGTTAGTCCTCCAGGAATCCAGTGGAACGAAGTACTGAATAAACTTACGCATTCAGGGCGGCAGCGGGTGCATCCGACGTATCCATGTTGGTGTCAAAGGCGCCATCCATCGGGTCGTCCCTGGGCCCAAGCATGGCATCACCAGACTGTGCTGGCGCGGAGCCTAGTTGGGCGCTGAGGGCGCGAACCTGTTCGAACAGCCAATGTGCGAAGGCGGGGGCTGTTTTGTCATCGGGGCCGAGTCCCAGCAGGTCGCCAGCGATCTCAGCGGCAATCTCGGATTCTGTCTTTCCGTTGGCCAACATGAGGAGAAAGTACTCTGACATCGCAGAGCCTTCGGTGCCCGGACCGGCCCATTCCAGCTCCGCGATCTTGCCCTGGATTGCCATGTTAAGGGCCTCGGCGAGGGGTGTGCCGAGCGCAACCTCGACCGACATGATTGCGGTTGGGGTCGACAGAATTGTCTTGATGTCGTCGAAATAGAGTCCTGCGGGATGTATTCCGCCAGGAGAAGTGAGATTCGGGGTTGGCGCTCGAGCGGGATCTGGCTGGAGAATCGGCAGAGCAAGCAAGGCTTTGTTGATTGTCGAGAGGCAACTGTGGCGACAATCTGGGCACGCGAGCTACCCAAGGTCAAAGATTCGATGAACGGTATCGCAATGATTCGATGTAGAGAGGATACGGCCGTGCACTGCGGATGATGTTGTGAAGCAAGGTGGTGGCAGGTTTGCGTGATGGTGAAGTTTTAAGATTGGAGTCGTGGAGCCGAACCGCGCCAAAACCAAAGCAATGTTCCGACTTTCACCAGAAACGGTTCGAGTGGCTGGTGCTGCTGCTTGAAGCTTCTAGTGGCGGACTATCACGTGATGGAACATGCAAAGCACTGGCTGTGGCGCATCTGGATTCAACCTAAATACCCGCCTGCTCATTGCTCACAATGCTCAGTCATCAGGAGTCGAGTTTTCTCATCTTCCATGCGACCAAGCACTTTTCCATTTACCGTAACTGGGCAGTACTCAATACTTTGCATCGCAGGACTGCTCTTATTTCTGGCTCAATGCTCCGATCCGAGAGACCAGGTGTCGGCAGCTGCTGGACTGCATACGATCCCGAGTGCATATTTCAAGACCCAGACCTCATCATGCACGTCAACGTCGGCCTGCTCGACATGTGTGCAGCGCAAGAAGACCAGGAGTCCATCAGCCAGGTAATGATTGCACACATGGTACCTTAAGGTAGGGTCGCTGATACCACGAGGCCCCTAGCGAGGAGATTCAAGCTGTCATAGCATTGATTTTGGTTGGTTCCATTGCACCGCTTCACACCTTCCTCTCCAGGAGTTGTCGACACCAATTTCAATGCAGCACATTCAAGTTGCTTCAACAACAAAGATTTCCCAATCCTCTCGGCATGCAGATTGCAACCTTCAATCGCCCTCGCCATTGTTTCCCATGTCCAATTGGTCGAAGCGGGTCCGCAGTTTCATGCCGTTGGATATGTGTCCGTTTGTATAGGGGCTTGCCAAATTCCAGTGCAGCAGCTTTGTTAAGTCGTCGTGTTGTCGACTCACAGTTTCAAGCCCGTGTCCTTCAGCCCAACGGATACCTTAACATAGTCTAAAGGGCTGGGCGGGTGGCTGTGACGCCCATCAACCATGCGTTATGTTCTTGTCTCGGCTACCACGGATTATAACACAAATGATCCGCCGACGATCTCCATGTCTACAAGGATCCATGACAGCAACAGCCACTGCATACGGGCGCCGCCATGCCGGAGGATAGGACGCGATAAATGCGAGGCAAATATGCACACTCGTCTTCTCCAAAAGAATATAGAGCTTGAAGACCATTCCCAGATGTGGCTTGTTGAACTCCGAACAGGCATGGTTCTCCGCGCATCGCCAGTGTAAATGTAAGTCGACTGGGGTAGCATGGGCGTGTAACGTTGCGCCGTTCCCAGATTTACAAGGCAGGAGCAGGCTTGCAATTGAAATCGATCAGCGCCTTCTCCCTCACTCTCCTCGCGAGCAATCAGCGGCGCAAAAGGAGCCCGACCAGCAGCTGATCTGTACTGTATCCAGCCTCGGATAGATCGTGTGCTCCCCGCATCTCGCATCCCGCAGCCCGCGACACCACACGGGAGGTCACAGCCTGCTAACACCGGCAAACCGCCACGCAGTATCTCCCGTCCCATCCCGTCATCACACACCAACAAACAGACGTGGTCATATTTATGGTTATCCGTTCTCGGGCTGCAACCAACCTGTGCAACGGTAGCAAAGAGTGGTTTTTTCGATTGGGTTGCCCCAACCAACGAACCGACTCACCTGTCTCATTATATCCATACCTGAATGAGCATTTCAAGCAACCTATAAACATTCCAGTCGCTCCTCATAGCCGAGCAACCTTTTCCTTGCCTCCTCGCCTACACAACACAACACGTCATGAATCAGACGTCAAAATGTATCCACCACTAGTTTCTTGTCTCTCTCTCTCCCTAATCGCCCTCCAACCTGTTGCCGCCATCTGGCCGGCACCCCAGAGCTTCACCAACGGCAGCTCGGTCCTGTACCTGCACCAAAACATTGAGGTCACATATAACGGCGCATTCGTATGCTGGTTTTCCCCTTCTGAGTCCCCTCATCATGTATGCCTCGAGGAGGGATTGAATACTGAACATTTTGTGTACCAACAGATTCCGTACACGTACGGATATGTGCCCTACCAGTTGACCAGCAAGGAGGTCGTTCAGGCGGGCGTGTCCCGGGCGCTAGCCGGCATCTTCAACAGCCAGTTCGTTCCCTGGAAGCTGCACAAGCCGAATACCCAGTGGGAGCCCGACCTCTCGAAGGGCCAGAACTGGCTCAAGACGCTGCAAATCACCCAGACGAGCGAGGACCAGCCAAGCACCTTCAAGCCCCTGGCCGGCGAGGTGGACGAGTCGTACAACCTCACGGTGAGCACCGAGGGCGACGTTAAGCTGGCGGCAGTCTCGTCCATCGGCGTGCTCCGCGGCCTCGAGACCTTCACCCAGCTCTTCTACCAGCACTCGGCCGGCACCTTCTGGTACACGCCCTACGCGCCCGTCTCAATCCAGGATGCGCCCAAGTTCCAGCACCGCGGCGTCATGCTGGACACGGCCCGCCACTTCTTCCCCGTATCGGACATTCTGCGGACCATCGACGCCATGGCATGGAACAAGATGAACCGGCTGCACGTGCACGTCACCGACTCGCAGTCGTGGCCGCTCGTGCTCCCGTCGATGCCCGAGGTCTCGGAAAAGGGCGCCTATCATCCGAGCCAGACCTACTCCCCCGCCGACATCGACAACATTCAAAAGTACGGAGTTGCGCGCGGCGTTGAGGTCTACTTTGAGATCGACATGCCGGGCCACATCGGCGTGGTGTCGCTCTCACACCCAGAGCTCATCGTGGCCTACAACTTGCAGCCGTACTACTGGTGGTGCGCGCAGCCTCCCTGCGGGGCCTTCAAACTCAACAACACGGCGGTGGACGCGTTCCTCGAGAAACTGTTTGACGACCTGCTGCCGCGGCTGGCCCCCTATACGGCCTACTTTCACACGGGCGGCGACGAGCTCAACAAGAACGACTCGATGCTCGACGAGGGCATCCGGTCCAACTCGTCCGAGGTGTTGCAGCCGCTGCTGCAAAAGTTCATCGATTTGCAGCACGCGCGCGTGAGGGAGGCCGGGCTGACGCCCATCGTCTGGGAGGAAATCCCGCTCGAGTGGAACGTCACCATGGCTCCGGACACGGTCGTGCAGTCGTGGCTGGGAGGCAACTCGGTCAAGACGCTGACGGGCAAGGGCTTCAAGGTCATTGACAGCAACTACAATTTCTGGGTAGGCCACTCACTTCTAAGTCTCGCAATACCCTCTCAAGGTTTCGTGGAACACAACCGCTAATGCGCACTGTTTGGTAGTACCTCGATTGCGGCCGGGGCCAATGGCTCAACTGGGCCAACGGCGCGGCCTTCCAGCTCGGCTACCCCTTCAACGACTGGTGCAACCCGGCCAAGAACTGGCGGCTCATTTACTCGCACGATCCGACGGCCAACCTGACGGCCAACGAGGCCGCACTCGTGCTCGGCGGCGAGGTGGCCGTCTGGAGCGAGACCATCGACGCGGCCAACCTGGACACGCTGCTCTGGCCGCGGGCCAGCGCCGCGGGCGAGGTGCTCTGGTCCGGGCGGATTGACTCCCAGACGGGGCAGAACAGGAGCCAGATGGACGCCGCGCCGAGGCTGAACGAGTTCCGCGAGAGGATGGTCCTGAGGGGCGTCAGGAGCTCGCCTGTCCAGATGACGTTTTGTACCCAGGGAAGTCCCGAGGAGTGTGAATACCCTGCGTGAGAAGAGTGCTGCAAATTGGGGGGTTTCATATTGCCATTTTGTTGCCGGCGCTGGTTTAAGCATTGGGGGATGATCTCTTAGGGGTACGTCACCAGAATGATTCGTCGGAGTGGTTCCGAAAGGGTTTTCGGAATCGGCCCGCATGGCTGTGTCTCGGGGGAGTTTGTTCGGGTCGTAACCGGCGTGGTATCTGTACTTCCTTACCGGACTTGTGCCTGTGATCGGCTCACTCCAGAGCCTAACGCCAATGTGTCCTGTCCGCTAGTAATGCATACACTGTATTCTTTACTGTTCCAGGTTCTTGGCACGTGGTGAGGACCTTGTGAAACAGAAATATCCCGGGCAGGATGGCGATATCTCTTTGCATCTCCTGCAAACGAGGTAATCCCAGCAAGGCGGGGTCGCCGGCTCGCCGTGGTACTGTGTTTCTTACTCTCCGTGACATGCCGTGCGGTTCTAAATAAGCGCCCGTCCGCCGGCCGTAGACTGTCCCAGCCCGAAGAGAACTCGGCCGATCCCGTTTTGAGCGTCGGCACAGCCTTATGTATGCATATGCAGGAAAACCGGTAGATTGGCTGGACAGCATGCCCGTTGCAGCTTGAATATTCGCTCCTTTGTTACAGAGAAGTAGGCCACACAAGATGTTGTTGACCTGCATGTGTCCGCCACACATGTGAAGGGGTAATGGCGTGAGGCTCGATTCCTCGAATCTTGTGTCATGATCTCCAGAAGGTGTGTATCCAAATTGAGAGAAAACAGGCTGCAGAGAGCCCCGCTTCCCCGCATCTCAATAGGTGGGCAACGGTTTCAAAGAGCAGAAGCAGAAGCAGACGCAGAAGCGAGAGAGAAGCCTCGGGATTTCCATGATGGTCGCTCGCCGTCAGAGCTAACCGTCGAATCAACGGTAGAGTGTGTCGCGGACGGGTTCCGCGGAAGGCCGTCACCAGGGAGGAAAAGGTTGGCATCGCTCTCGATACCACTGAACTCTACGGAGTACGTCCGGAGTACAAGTGCAAGAACATACAGTACCACCAGAGTACATGCAGCCCCTGAGCTGGGGAGCGGGAAACCGTTTGATGAGGTCGCTCGCTTCAAGCTGGCCGAGTTGAGCCACGATACGTCATTTGACTTTGTTAAGCCTGTTCTTTGAAAGCTCCTATAAGTTTTCTGGGACTATTCCCGGTTAACTACTGTATGTACTATCCATAAGATACGTCCGTACGGAGTATGGAGGGTAGGTAACTTACAGCGCCTAGGCCAGGCCAGCGAGACCCAACTATCCGTACGATTGTCGTACAAAACCGTCGCTCTGCCTCGCCAACTTAATTCCTCTCAGCATTACGGATATACGACACGATATACGCATCCGTATATTACGACCAGGCAGAATTCTTTGCTTGCTGAGTTCCTATTGATTTCGCAGCTGACTATACCGCTGACTCTGTGATTCGCGTGTGTACCTGCTAACATTATTCGGTCGGTATTACGATGAGGGTGCCGAGCGTTGGCTGCCGCACTTCCCCGTAAAGCACAAGGCTATCAAAGTCCCGGTCGTCCGCAGATGGTGAACATTGCCTCGCGGGAGTCTGTAACGAGCTTGATGTCCAGGCACCGTAAGCTCTTTGACGATTTAGAAATGGCCCTGCTTATGATCCAGACAGCGTATCTCCCAAAGGATGAGTGAATTCTCGACACAATCTTCAATCGATGTGCCTAGCTGCCTCATGCTCGAGGTTCTGCTGGTTGAAATACGAGTGTGAGAATTCCCGATCGACTGAGCCCACGGTAGTGTGACAATAGCTGGGCGATGCCATCTCGGCACGAAAGACATGGCACGCAAGACATGGCACGGTTCCCATCCTCGTAAACGATGCGGGAAATTCACGAGCCGTACCGCACAAGTAGAGTACCTCGCTCCATGAGTACTCGTTGGACCCGGTAAAGGGCTTGAGAACATGGCCTCGGAGTCTCGGTGTTCCCTTTTCTCCGCCCAGCCGACTTCTTGCATGATTCCCTGCTGAACTTGGTGTAAGTCACGCCCTTCCCTGCCATATCTCCCTGGGCCCATATACGATTTCACGCCGAGAAACTGTTCACCCTGTTGTGGCAAAGCTCTAGGGAGCAGAATCATAAAGAGAACGGAGGCCACCCGACGAGACGTACATACTCCGTACATGTAGACCACCCGCTACAAGGCGTCTGGTACGTGTCTCATGTCCTTGCTCTGCAGCGCCCCCTACTTGCTCACTGCCCGCCCTGGGTTGTCCGTCTGTTCAACGTCCGGGCCACAGGGCTCTGTATAGGTTTACTCGCCCACCACCTCCGCAAGCACCCGACTTCTATCCTCCCGACCCCTTCTCTTTCCAGGCGAGGCCTCATAGCGGCCCGGGCAACCACAAGCGGTCCACCATGAGCTTCACAGTTTCTATCTCGGACTATGTCTCGGTCAAGTCGGCCGTGGCCATCTTGCCAGGCCTGCTCATCGGCTATGCTATCATAGCTGTCGTGGTGAGGACGGCACTGGATGAGATCAGGTTGGCTCGGATGCCCGGTGCAAGAGCCGCCAGAGTGCCGTCGGTCATGCCCCCCTTCGGTTCGTTAACCATATCTACTTCTAACTCAAGTGGCGGCTGATATAACATACCACTTACAACCCCAGGGTTTGACTATCTCTACGTGACCATCCGGGCGACCATGAAACACACGAACTTGGAGCTGTGGCGCAACATGTTTGCCCAGCTTGGGTCTCACACAGCCGAGTGCCACATTGTTGGCTCGCGCATCATCTTCACTGCCGACCCCGAGAACATCAAGGCCTTGCTGGCCACCCAGTTTGGCGACTACGGCAAGGGGGTGCCCTTCCACGAGGATTGGAAGGCCTTTCTCGGCGACAGCATCTTCACCACCGACGGCCAGCTCTGGCAGTCCAGCCGCCAACTCATCCGCCCCCAGTTCATCAAGGACCGTGTCAGCGATCTGCACGTCTTTGAGAGCCACATGCAGACCCTGTTCCGCGCCATTGCCAACGGAGGCGCCCTGGACGGCGAGAACCAGCCCGTCGATGTCGAGGCCGGCAACGGGAAGCCCGTCGACATCAGCGACCTGTTCTTCCGCTTCACGCTCGACTCAGCCACCGACTTCCTCCTGGGCCACGACGTCAAGTCGCTGAGCAACCCCCGTCAAGAGTTCGCCGACGCCTTCGCCGAGGTGCAGCGAGTTCAGAGCCTCATCTCGCGCACTCAGAGCATGAGCCTGCTCGTGCCGCGCAGCAGCTTCAACAAGGGCATGAAAATCATCAACGACTTTATCGATCTCTTCATCGAGCGCGCCCTGCGTCTCAGCCCGGACGAGCTGGCCAGCAAGTCCAAGAGCGACGCCGACTACACCTTCCTGCACGCCCTTGCCGCATACACGCGCAACCGCCAGACCCTCCGCGACCAGCTGATTGCCGTGCTGCTGGCGGGGCGCGACACCACCGCCTGCACCCTGTCGTGGACCGTCTACGAGCTGGCCCGCCACCCGGAGGTGCTCGCCAAGCTGCGCGCCGAGATCCTAGCCGTCGTCGGCTCCACGAGGCCGCCGACCTACGACGACCTCAAGAGCATGAAGTACCTGCAGAATGTCATGAACGAGACCCTGCGGCTGTACCCAGTTGTTCCCTTCAAGTGCGTCTATCGTCCCCCTACCCACCAACCACAACCGAAGGTAAGGTACTAACTAACTTTGCCTGACTAATAACCACTGCAGCGTCCGCCTCGCCCTAACAGACACCACCCTCCCCCGCGGCGGCGGCCGGGACGGCGCCCAGCCGGTCAAGCTCCTGAAGGACACGCCCGTCGCCTACTCGACCCTGGTGATGCAGCGCCGGGAAGACTTGTACCCGCCGCCGAGCGCCACCTTCGCCCCCGTCAACGTTTTCTCGCCAGAACGCTGGGCCGCGTGGCAGCCCAAGCCCTGGCAGTACATTCCCTTCAACGGTGGGCCGCGCATCTGCATCGGCCGGCAGTTCGCCCTGACCGAGATGGCCTACGTCCTGACCCGGCTCTTCCAGCAGTACGAGCGGGTCGACAGTTACATGGGCGAGATCGATGGTGGGAACCCAAAATTGAGGGCCGAGATCGTGCTGCAGCCCGGGGATGGAGTCAAGGTTGGTTTTTGGCTGGCCAAAAAAACATGAAGACCTGGGATTGCGAAGGGAGCGAGCGATATTCCAAGGTCTCATGAACATCCTGTTGCTGCTTTCGGGTGATGGTGCTTTACGGGAGGGCGCAATTTGATTTGGCAGATCGTGACGTTTTAAGGCCTCCCGAACGATCATTTGTTGCTTGTCTAATCTCTCTCATTATGGCGAAGATCCAAACGCTAGGCAGCTTATATGAGCGCTGTCTTCCTATTTTCCTGCTGAAGGAAGCCGTTGCTCCTGGTCTAACAAAAGCCATGGGATAGGCGTTCCGAAAGTTCATCAGCGCCTTCTCAGGTACCTGACTCCGATCAGATCTGATAGCTCTCCCTGATGGCCTCGCCAAGTCGTCTAATAGCCTCCCTCATGTTCTCTGGCGTGGCCGCCGCAAATGTGGCCCGGAAGTACAGGCCGGGCGGAGGTCTGTCCTGCTCGGCGCGGAACCAGGACCCACGGGCGACGAGCACTCCCCTGGAAATGCAGCTGTTGAATATCTCCTCCTCCATCTCGAGGATGCTCTTGGTCGAAGCGTGCGGATGCAGTTCATGGTTGACCTTCAGCCAGTGCTGTTGCTCGCGTCAGCACATCAAAAAAAAAAAAAAAAAAAAAAAAAAAAGGGGGGCAAGTAAACAAGCAGATCCACTCACAAACATGCCGGCCTGCGGCGTATTCCAGGTGACCAGCTCCCTCGGCAAAAACTCGTCGCACGCCTCCACCATGACATCCCTCCGCTTGGCATACTCCATCCTCAAGTTCATCAGCCACCTCAGATACCCCTCATGTCCCCATCTCTCGTCGAGCAGCTTATGCAGAATCACCTGCGAAAACCCGCTCGGCCCCTGGTTCGCAACCTCGGCATGGCGAATGAACCTTTCGATGATCTGCTCCGACGCAGTAACCCACCCCAGCCTCGAGCCCGGCACAACCACCTTGGAAAACGAATCCATCCTTAACACCCGACCATCCACATCCATACTCAGATAACTCGGGATCAAGCCCTCCAAAAACTCCTCCACGTCCCCGGTCGTCGCCACCCCCCTCCCCTCCCCCTTACCATTACCCTTATCTGGCATTTGCAGGTAATAATACGGCTCATCTTCCACAATAAACACATCATGCCTCCGAGCGACCTCATAAATTTCCCTCCTCCTCTGCTCCCCCTGCGTCGCCCCCGTCGGATTCTGCCCGCTCGGCACGGTATACAAGACATGCGGCTTCCTCCTCCCCCCCCTCAGCCCGGGCTCCCAACAGTCCAGTATCCGCTCCATGTCCCCCGGCAGCAGGCCCTGCTCATCCATCCGGACGCCCACGACGCCGACCCCGAGCGGCGCGGCCGTCTCTAGGGCGGTGCTGAATGAGAACTCCTCCGTCAGCAGACTGTCCCGCCTCGACGCGACTCCTCCTCCGTCGCACAGCATGCGAAGCGTCTGCTCGAGCGCGGACGTGCTGCCCACCGTCAGGCACACACGCCAGTCGGCGTAGGGGATGGGCCCGTGCACGAGCTCCGTGTGCTCCGTCACGAAGCGCGTCATTTGGGCCGAGCCTGTGGCTTGGGCGTAGTTGAGCGCTATCGAGAGGTCGTATTCGGGCTGTTGTTGGACTTGTTGTCGTGATGGTGGTGGGGGTTCAGGTGAGGACTGTTTTGGCGGTGGTGGTGGTGAGGAGGAGGCGTCGTATTTGCCGATGGTGACGTCCTCTCCGTCGGCCAGCGTTGCCGCTTCGGAGAAGTGAGGCGGGCGCGGGATGTGCAGAGTGAGTGAGGAGATGGGGAAGTATTCTGGGCACGGCAGCCCGCCACCCAGAGAGATGAGGCCGGGCTGCTTGAGGTGTTTGGCGGCTTGCTTTAGCTTGCAGGGCTCACGGAGGGTGGACTCTTTGGTGAGGTGGTCTGGGAGGCTGTCAGTTGAGAAAGACATAGGGAGGGAGGGAGGGGGGGGTTAGAAAACTAAAATGGAGCGTACGGTCCCAGCGCTTGGCTTTCGGCTTGCCTACAGTCTGTTACATCCAACATAGCATGGCTTAGCTGCTGTGCATGTCCAGCCTGACGTGACGGTAAAGTCGTCACGAATAGCATTGGGTTGGGGGGGGGGGGGGGGTTAAGCCACGGAGTGAAGGCTAAGGCTTTGCTTACAGGCGCTTTGAACATATCGGCATCGCTGTAAGACGCCGTCGGCGCGATCAAGCGTCCGGCCTTGGCTCGACGTTCTTTGATATCAGCGATGGTGATGCGCTCGCGGGGCGGCGCGGAAAGCACGGGCTCGGCTTCGGGAAGCTGGGCTGCGGTGCCGAGGGCCTCGGAACAGTCCTGGGATTTTGAGTGGAAGCCGTAACATGAGACAGCGGGCAGCCGGCAAGTGGTGCGGCCCCGGAGGTTGCGGAAGTTGGAGTGGAGCGAGGTAGAGGCGGATGTCCGGAGGTCCCGGAGAGCGCCGGTCCGGAGAACGGTCCGCATTTCGGCCCGGGCGGAAACGCAGCTGTGGATCAATTGGAGACACCGATTCCGTTTGGACTATCCACCCGGTGCAGAACGGATGAACGGGGCGAGACGACCAGAAGCTGCGAATTGATATCGATCTTCAGCGAACCTCTTCAAATTATTGAGTCAAAGGAACAAAAGATTTGAGACAGTCCCCAATTGATAGTGGAAGAGGAGGAGGTGCAACGGTTCTCTGCACGGGGTATGATAAGGGGCCGATGGCGGGGATTCGGCCCGAGAGTAGCCGTGGGTAACCCGCTGAATTGACACCAACAGCACGCCCTTGTGACCACAACTAACACCGCTATTCGCCTTTGTACGTAATATGGGAGATTGGATTGTCAAGGACTGAAACCCCAATTCCAGAGTGGAGAGAAGAGATCTGGGTCCATACCTACCAGATATCAGATATCGATTTGAAGATGGCACTCGCGTGTCGTGACGGTGTCCCATTCCCCTAACGTACTGTACAGCTGCACCCAAGTCTTGCCGCCCGTTTTGCGCTGCTTGGATTGGGCACCCCATCTCGACATCGTTTTGAGGAAGAAATCCTCCACTGTATCCGAACCCCCCCTGTGCTCCTGCGTCGACGCCGTGCCTCTGCTGGTGATGAGAAAAGTGAACCTTCTAGAAACCGCGAATCCCTCCAAAGCCCATGGCTCCCGCAGTTCAGCCTTGAGTCGACCCATCGGCACCGCCCCTTTTCTTGTGCTTGTTGTCCTCGTATGAGACCGCTCCATCTACCGTCATAAGTGTAGCTCAACGAGCCTCCCGAACTTGATAATTGCTGCGCGACTTCCGTGGTCCTCTCTATATATCTTAGATCAGAAGGGACACCCGTCACGTAATAGGTAAGTATGCTATGATATGATACTGCATGTCATGCTGGCCAATGGCCAGGTGTATAAATCCGCGTGGAGCTAGCAGCACCTATGTTGTTGATCCACGTCTTGGGGTTCGTGGCCATCACAGAAAAAGACGCAGATGAGATGAACGGTTGGCATGTCGACGTAACATCCCCATGTTGAATGAAGGAGCGTCTTAATCCGCGAGGATACACCATGGCAGTATTTCAAGGCATCCGGCCTCCTTGAGGCCCGAGCAAAGGATGGCTTGACTCCAGGGATCCAGGGTCCGAGTCCAAATCCATGTCCAGATCACGGTTCTCTTGTCTTCCTGGGCTTGGACTCCTTTGACATGATTTCCCTAGGGGTTCCCGCTCTGGCAGAGCATTTCCCAAAAAGTAACTCCGTGTCTGGGGATCCCATTCCGGTCGGCAATATCCTTCGACAATGGATAGTGTGATGTCGGTGATATCAGTGGCCGTCCGATGTGAGGTCCTTGACGGGGGCCCATGGTGGGCGAAGAGGAGGGAATCGTTTCGGTTGGACTCGAGCGAAGTCTGGACACCACGCTGAGTAGACATGGTTCGGCTGGATCGTTCACTCAATGTATCGATCGAAATTCCTGAAAGCGGTTCCCCAGCCGTAAAGGAAAGGGGCGCTGGCCCGACATGCTGTGAGATTTCGTATATGGCAACCGTGATCAAGCTTAGTGAGGCGATGAAGAGCGGTAGCCAGGGAATAAGGTCGGTCCTGGAGGATCCGGCCCCCACGACGGCGACGAGTAGGAAGAAGAGAGCGGCGGCGGCGGTAAAAGGGCCAAATCTAGATACGGGTCAACAAACCAGAGAACCTAGGACCAAAGTGACCCAGAGCCATTGTTACCTGATGAAGGGCTGAAGGTACAGGGCATGGAAGCCCAAGGCGCTTATTATAAATATTGACAGCGTTCTAGTCTTGAGTTAGTGTCCGTCTTCAAAAGCTGACCTCCCGGTTTAGTTACAAGGCTCGAAACTGGAACCCTTCGACATTCGCCAAAGGGAACAGGATGCCAGTGCCAATCATGCAGCCGCAGGCCATGACCTTGAAGACATGTCGGAGCTCTTGGTCCCTGTGCTGTTGCTGCCTGTGGAAAGAAAGACGCTCCATAGCGGGTAGTCTTTGGGACAGGTCGGAAGCAATGCTCCTCTTGACTTCGTCGTCGCCCGCTTAGCTGACGACAAGGTATGCTAATGAATGGAAGAGGACATTTGCGTGGGCGGAAGTCTTGATAGGCATCAGTCGTGTAAAGTGTTCTGAGAGAGAGAGAGAGAGAGAGAAACAGGCGGGGGGATGCCGCGTAAATAGGGCTTGCTTGCCTGCCCACTCCGTACGGTAAACCGATGTCGATGAATTCCTCTGATAGCGACAGTGTCACTCACGAAGGCAAGAGTGCCGCCGTCAACTGCGGGGAAAGGCTGACTGGCAGACAACCGATACCTCGCCTCGAACTGGCGTGGCTTGTCCCTTTTTCCAATTTCTTTCCCCTCGCGAGCCAGATTGTGTGGGGACTGGCATACATCGAGATCTGAAGAGTAGGGGGCAGCGGTTCGCCATGGCCCTGGCATGGTCCGCAATGGTTCGCCCTGTATGCGACTCAAGAGCTATGCGCAGCTGGATTGGTTGAATTCTTGGAGAGCGCCGTAAGCCCAACAGTCAGCCCTGCCGCCAAAGAGGCAGCCGCTCGATGCCCAATTGGTTTGCCTTGGGCTTTGATGCATGAATGGCGGGAACTGCGAGCCTCGTCCGCCTTGCCTCGCGTACATTGTCTAGATCCGACGAGCTGCATTGCGTGGAACAAGAGAAGGTGCAATTTCCCGGCAGGTTGTTCGCGGTTCTGCGATCACAAGGCAATGGTGCCCGGGAGCTGAGAAAAAGATATTTGTCCAAGCAAGGAAAACCTGCGTGTTCATTAGTACATTAGGGGCAAGAAGGTCCCCCCCCAGCCTTCCGAGAGCCATGGTCAGCCAACTCCCTGAATCCGGACCCCACGGGAAACTTTGGCCGCTTATCCGTCAAACCGACATTCGCACTGAACAATGAACGCTGCGCCATGTTGCTTGCACCAGAAACCTCGGACGGAAGTCCCAGATGCGGGACGTCGGTGTCCGGCATTCGATGTGCTTGAGATCGCCATCAGCTCTCTTTGCAGCGTCGTGATGTGGGAGTTCACGGTCCAGAATGAAGTTCCTCGGAGGGATGAACGAGTTAGTTCGAGGCGGTATGAGATGGGAACGCAAGTCCGGCTAACGGGTTTGACGACTAGGTGCTCGAACAGCATGGAGCCAGAGGGCTGACCGGCATCTTCGATTTCCGACCATCTCCTGCCCTCATGCTCTTCTCGTGTCTGCTATTCGGCTGCTGTGTGTCGTCATTCGCACTCGGAAGACACAGCCGGGATCCATTTCAATCTCTCGTTTTTCTCGTTCTGATTGGGGGGGCGGCTCTGGCCGGGTACGCTGTTCAGGAGGATGTTCACCTGATTCTCCTGGGTTATCTCCCCTGGGCGACGTGCGCGGCCATGGCCATCAGCATCTCGTGCCACAGCCTGTACAGACGGCTGAGGTCGAATGGTGCAACCAAGCAGGGAGACGAGCAAAAGGCTAAACTCTTGGGCTAAGTCATGGGTGAACGGGTAACTACGACACGGTCATGACCGAGCGTCGTCTGCACCATTGCCTCGAGCGGCATTTAACCACGCTTGAGTGAAGGAATGGGCGTGGGTACAAAGAATACGTTTCGGAATCAATGGATGGGTTGGAAAACCGTATAAGCGCGTCTCTGGTGTATTCTGCAGGCAGCGAAACACCCGAGCACAACCGGCGAGGGTGATGTGCCTTTCAAGTTGCCTGAACAGCGAGCGAGTTGGGCCCCGATTGCTCCAGTCGATGTACATCGACTGACCAAGCTGTTAGAAGGGGTAGTTGAGAGGAAGAATTTTTTTTTTACTTACATGATTTTGGGCCGCACTAACAACCGCGATGGAGTGGTACTTGCGAGCATGCTGCCCATAAGGGTATGCGCTGCTCCTTCCCAGACTCGTAGTTCATACCAAAGATGGCTCCATGTTGTTTCACTTTCTCCTGCTGTTTCAATGAAAGTTGCCATTCGAGCTTAGTTCATAGAGCTGACAGATCCAAAGTGACGAGAACCTGTTGGCGGGTGCAGCTGACGTCTCGTAGCTACGCTGGATCTCGATGTGATGTCTCGGACGGCCTTTGAAGGCAACCCCAACGTCTCCGCGTGTCCTTGAAGAGCGCCTGATTAGAGGCTTAAGTACGGAGTACCTACGACCCATTGCACTGAGCTTATGAGAGCTGCGAGTCCAGGAAGGGCGGCACTTGAGAGTCTCGGCTCTCTCACGAGTCCCGCGCAACACTCCTTCCTCGCCCACAACCTCAAGCTGCAAAGGTGATGCCACCGAACCGAGAGCAGGTAGGAGTGTCTCAGGCTGACTTTTGCCGTATACAATAAATCTCAAATCTGGATCATTTGAAGTTGTCAACAAACGACGTCCGATTGTGGTTGGAGAGAGATGAGTGAGCACAAGGCTTGAGTTCAGCTCTTCGGCGGAAGAGAGGGTTGTGGAGTTTGAGTAGTCTCCATCTGTGGCTGCCAGAGTCCTATCAAGATTACCTACTCCGTACGGCGTATAGCATGAATCTCCGCATTTTCTCTTCTCAGGGAAATCGTTGAACGGGGTGAGTTTTGTGAATTGCGGCTCAGCTGGCCGTCACCCTTGCCAACACGAAATAAACGGAGGAAGTGGGGCGCTGGCAATGCCAAGACTTTCCAGCCACCCAGCAACTCGCTCATCCAATGTTCCGAACAAAGAAGTCCCAGCCTCCCCAAGACGGCGCGTTGATCTTCACCACGAACCAATCCTTGCACGCCTGGACCACGGGCTTGGAATCGGTCCCTGGTTTCCACAAGCCGGATGATGACGATTCCAGGAGGTTGGTTATGTTGAATGTAGGTCTTCTTTGTTGACTCCTTTAAAAACCACTGATTAGCGCAGTGTCCAAGAATTCTGTTTGTCCTTTTTGTATTATAATCATAGTTGTACTTTGTACCGTCAAATACAACAAAGCTATCCGTACGATACCTACTCCGTACGCCACTCAAATTGTCTCGAAGTAGACCCCGTCATGTTCAGCAGAGGATGGCGAACAGCAGCAGCGACAGCCGCTGTGCTGCTCAGCAATATGACAGTTGCACAGACCTGGTCAGCATGTAACCCGCTCACATCAAGTAAGTTCACCAGCGCACACTCCTCTGCTGAGTACTTGACGGCTAAAACGCATCCAGCAAGTTGCCCAGCAAACACAGCACTGGGCATGACAATAAACGTGGACTTCACCCAAGGTGAGGTCAACTCGTTCGCCGCAAGCGGAGGGACACCAACATACGGCAAAGACGGCGTGTCCTTCACCGTTGCCAAGCGCGGCGACGCCCCTCAGCTGACCAGCGTCTTCTACATCATGTTCGGCCGCGTCGAAGTCACCATGAAGGCTGCCCCAGGAGCCGGCATTGTCAGCTCGCTTGTGCTCCTCTCAGACGCCCTGGACGAGATCGACATGGAATGGCTGGGCTCCGACGACAGCGAGGTCCAAACCAACTACTTCAGCAAAGGCCAAACCGCCTCGTATAATCGCGGCCAGTTCAACCCGGCGCCCAACAACCAAGCCGAGTTCATCACCTACACTATGGACTGGACCTCGGAGCGCATCATCTGGTACGTCGGCGGCACCGTTGTGCGGACCGTCACCTTCGACGCCGCCGCAGGCCAGTATCCGCAGACACCAATGCAGGTCAAGTTTGGCGCCTGGGCCGGCGGGGACCCGTCCAACCCGCAGGGTACCATTGAATGGGCGCGCGGGCCAACCGACTACTCCAAGGGCCCGTTCTCCATGGTCGTGCGCTCGGCCGTCATCACCGACTACTCCACCGGCAAGCGCTACACGTACGGCGACACCTCGGGCACCTGGCAGTCGATCCGGTCCGAGGGCGGCGAGATCAACGGCAACCTCGGCAAGGCAGGCGCCGTCACCGTGACTGCCAGCGCAACGCCGACCAACTCCCTCTCGCCGACCGTCCCCGTGGGCGGCATCATAGGCGGCAGTTCCACCACCGGCGCCAGCGGCTCCACGCGAACGGTAGGCCCGATCCCGGACGGGTGGGTCATGACATCGGAGGGCAAGATCGTCCCGGTAGGCTCTAGCACTGTAAGTACGTATTATTATTTGCCCTGGAAGCATGTTACATGTACATGGTCTCATGCCGTCTCCGCCGCGATGCTAACAAGCGTCCCTCATATCCAGACACCCCCAAGCCAGTCATCCTCTGGGGAGCCTTCCTCCTCGCCCTCAGCGCAGCCCACAGGCGGTGACACCACCTTCACCACAAGCACCACCGCGGGGACGTCGACGCCGCTCAGCACCAGCGGCGGCCGCGTCCCGACGGCTGCGCCAGGCGTGAACAGCGCAGCCACCCTACGACAGGGTCTCGCGCAAAGTATTGTTGTTCTCACTGGATCAATCAGCGGTGGCATCGGATATATGCTGCTTTTTTGATCATCATTTGGCGGCATTGTGTTTTCTGGGTTATTTTTTAGCGACATGAGAGCGGAGCAAGCTTGTATGATTTGGCGAGCATTTTGGCGGCGTTTGGGAGCATACATGAATGGATATTGGATGCTTGAGCATACTTGGTATGATAGAATTGGAGGGCGATTTTGATGCCATGACATGTATGGAGTACACCAAGACAGAGCGGAGGGGATAATAACTCGAGTTGACCGTACAGCAATGACATGACCTTAGCAGTTCGTATATTGCTCTCGACTCTCACTCGAAATGCAAGCATGGACGTGAAGGCGTTTCTTATTGACCTCAACCCATCGCTCCCTTCCATGTTGACTGTCTATTGCTTGTTTTGACCAATAACTCCAAACAAATCTTGCTCGCAGGCTTGTGACCACTTACATTACTGGTGGTGATGTGGAATGGCATAGCAGTAAGTCTGTCCGAGAGCTAAGACATATGCTGTGGAGGAGTGTGCTTATCCCATCTATCAACGCCGCCGCTCTGAACCGCTCAACTGCCTCCTCCCAGGCGCGCAAACAAGCGCGTGGGGGGTCGAACGAAGCACACCGCCAATATCCCGCTCCCAATGCACTCGATGCCGTAAGCCCAATTCAACTCTGGCTGTCTGAATTTGCACGACAATTGCAACGCACCAACGTCCATGACTCGCTCAGAACTCCCAACTGTCGTCGTCACCAACGGACTGTATGGCCCAGTTAAACTTGTCACGGAGCGTCTTGGAGAAGAACTTCTCGATCGGGACCTTAAACCTGTTCGAAAAAGCGACCGTGAGGCGCGGGTCGATGTAGTTCTACGCAGCAACGTCAGCGGGAAAAGTCGTAAGGAGTTCGACACGGTAGCAGTAACTCACGATCTTGGATGTGCCCAAGGCGACCTCCTTGTTGCCCTCGCGATCCGCAGACTGCAGCTCGAGGGTCCTTATGCGCTCGTCCAGCTTCTCAATGGCAGCCGTCAACTTCTCGACGCTCGGGCTCTTTCCCTCGGCCTCAATCTTCTTTGTCTTGTTCTCCATCTTGAACTTCGCCTCGAGCTCCGTGGAGACCTTCAGGCGCTCCTTTAGCTCCTTATCGGGCATCGGAGTTTTGCCCTCAGCAGAGAGCTTCTCGTTGTCCTTTTCGAACTTCTTGCGGATCTTTTGCTGCAGCTCATCTACCAGGAATTTCTGGTGCTGCTCAATCCATTCCTGGTCCAAGTCAGGGTCAAGTTCAAAGAACTCGGCACCCTTCTTCTTCTTCAATTTGGGGTTCAGGTCGAGCATCATCATCTTGGTACGCCACTTCTGATACTTCAGACCCTTGATGCGGTCCCCAAGCTTCTCCATCTGCGCTTCGTGGCTAGCGCCGACGGTTCGCTTATGGTTGCAGAGGATGGCGACTTCGCGATTGCAGTCATTGTAAAGCTTGATCTTCTCAGCTATGGTCCGGTCTTCCACCTTGAGCTTCTTCAAAAGTTGCGACATGGTCCAGGAAGCGTTGTAGGTACGGAAGACCTTTGCCGTGAGGCCAGGCATGTAGCTCGAGAGATGCTTGTTCAATTGCGAGGTCTGCAGGTCATGTCAGCGGGCAAGGTCTGCTGCTCGGGAAGAAGAGTTTCGAAACGTACGGTCAACCTGTCAAAGATGTCGTCTCCATCCTCCTTGGGGGGTTTCTTGAACATCTTCAGATTCTTGAAGACTTGGCGGTCCACAACGAACTCGTTGTAGAACCGAATACTGTCTTTACCCAGGAAGTCGAAGATGACCGTGTTGGGCTCTCTGAGAGTGACATGCTCGAATTTCAAGGAACAGCAGCCAACCGTCTCGGCCTCATTTTCAGTGTCCTTTTCGTTACCGGCTCTGAGGGCGAACTTGTCGATCAAGTACATGGCTGTGGCCCGCTGCCGATCTGCCATGACCTCACTCTTAAGCTCCCTCGTGTAGTCGGCGCGGATGCGGTCAATGTGCTTCTTGAGCTCGCGGGCCTTCTCGAACTTCTTGAAGTCGGCTTGGCCCTTGATGGTGCTGTTGGCCGCCAACATCACATACTTGTAATTGCCGTTGACGTTCTCCTGCCACATCGCCAGCCAAGTCGCCTTGTTGTCATGCTGAACGGCTTTCCACTTGTGACCTGGAGGGGGGTCGGGAACTTTGGCCTCCTTGCCGATGTTGATGGTAATTTGCTCGGGCATGACTCGCTTTTTGACAGTGCCAGTCTTTGGATGCTCGCCCCGGCCACGGAAGAGACCCGGCGGTTCGACGCGGAAGTTGCCCACTTTTTCTTTTCGGCCGTCCCACTTGCAGTACATGTAGGGCGCCTCCATCTTCTCCTTCTCGGCCTTCTCAGCCTTCTTTTCGGCGGCGGGACGCGCCTTCTTGGCATCACTGAGTCCCTTGTAGTGCTCAAAGATCTTGGTAAAGTCAAGCTTCTTGAACTCCTTGATGTCGACGGGTTTTCCGTTCTGATCCTTGGCGCCGCCCGTCTTCTTCAGTATGTCCTTGAAGTCATTGAAGAAGTTCTTTTGGAACACAGGGTTCTCAACGTTTTGGGTCGAGTGAAGCATGGAACCAAAAAAGGTCGCCACTTCCTCAGCCTCGACGTGCAAGTCGACGGGCTTCCCATCATAGTAGAGCTTCACATTCTTGGGAAGCGGCTCATACTCCGGGGGGAAAAGCACACCGTTATGCTCAAGCGTCGTCCACTTGATGGAGTCGTCCTCCTTCTTCGGAGCGTCCCACCATCGATACTCTTCATCCTCCTCGTCACTGTTCTCCTTGGATTCGTCCTTCACAGGCTTAGCCTCCTTGCCTGCCGGAGCTGCCTTGCCCTTCTTGGGCGCCGGGGCCGCCTTCTTTGCCTTCTTAGCAATGGGCGCGTCTGAATCGGACTCGGATTCTTTCTTGACACCATTTGCCTTCTTAGCAGATGACACACCGTTTGATTGGCGCTTCTTGGGTTTCGCCAGGGGCTCGTCATCGGATTCCTCTTTGACGGCCTTCTTGGGTGTAGCCTTCTTGGACTTGGCATCAGCACGGAGTGCTTTGGCTTCTTTCGCGGCTGCCTTCTCGATCCCGGCCTTCCTTTGAGCGAGCTTTGTCCCTAAGGGCTGGTCGTCATCCGACGACTCGAGGGTTGCAGTTTCATTGACGGAAGGAGGCAGCTTCGCAGCCTTCTGCTTGGCAATCGGCTCATTGTCGCTGTCGGACTCGGCTTTCTTGTGCTTCGACTTCTGACGTTTGGCCTGCAATCGTTAGTCCACAATTGCCTTGATCGATTTCTGGTAGAGACAGAGCAGGCCTACCAAAGGCGCGCCGTCGTCGCTGTCCGATTCTTCTTTGTATTTGACTGCTTGGCTAACTGAGCTTCGAGACTTGCGCTTCGCAGCACCGTTGGTAGCGGAGTCAATGTCCATCCGGTCGTCTACAGGGCCATGACGAATTGAAAGACCTGGAGGTGCGGGACGGGCCTTGGAGGCGGACCTGTCCATCTCGCGGTCGGTGGAAGCTGAAATAGTGGGAGCAGACACTGAGAAAAACAGAATGGTGGTCAGCAACCTAGCGCGATTGTCACATAATAGCATTGGTGGCGCCGAGAATGTGACACGCCAGCACCAGCTCAACACGTCCTGGTACTGCGTGCCACGATGGGAACCAAAGGGACGCAAGCGGCAGATGTGTTGGGTATTAACGTACTGTGACTGGTTCTTGCCAGAGGAACGTCGTCGTCCGAGCTGCCGGAGGGCATGGTTGGTGTATGAGACCGAGCTGGGTGGATGGTGGTCGTCGGGAGGCGCAAGGCGGCGCAGTGAAGAGGGTGAGATTCGCAAATTTAGGTGAGCGACTCGAGTCCCGAATCACTCACAAAGACGGCGGCGAGTGCTGTTAGCAGCCGAGGTCACAAAAAACCACCTGAAAAGACTCAACCAGAGTGTATGGGAAAGCAGGGCAGCAGGGAGGCGCGCCGTATGGGAAAGGAGGAAATGAAGCAAGAACAGGAGGCTGGGAAGGAAAAGGAACTTGGAGGAAGGGATTCAGTGAGACCAAACTCGGGGCGGATGGTGAGGTTAAAGATTGAAACCTTGGGACCCCACTTTTCTCAGTGGCCTGGAACCAAAAGCGTGTTCGCCTTGGCTGCGTTCTCTCTTTGTACCGTAAGGTACTGTGTAAGGTATTTGGACGAGTTACAACGGTGACTAAGCCCCGGATTTCGAGACAGCTGAGTCCCCACTTCCAGGTTGACCAATCGCCAGCTGCTAGGGAAAAGGACAGGAACTGAGCAGGCCGGCCACCCCACAGGCACGAGCAGGAAGCGGAATGAAAGTGGAGCCGATCTCAGCAAACCTCTCACGCCAATTGCGAGTCGTGCGTCCAATTGACCTCAACTTCCCGATCAACTGACGCCAGCACAACACGTTGTGGTCACCCGGGGCCACAGCTAGCAGAGACGGTCACTTCGAATCTGTGCACCATCACATTCAACCATGCTGTCCAGAGCTGCTCGCCCGGCGCTGAGGGCCGGTGCTGCCGTTTCTTCCCGGTAGGTGACCCCCTCCCGGCTCGGACTTTATCATCGCAATCGAGCTCTTGGTGGTGGTCAACATGGGATGTTGCACCTGTTGGAGGGCTGGGGAAGTTCGAGGGAAGCATTGGAACACGGAAACGACGGTCGCGGAGCAGGAAAACAGAACGACTATAGAGGCAAGGAACCTCGGGCTGACCGACGATTACTATGCGCAGAGCGGCAGCTCCCACAGCCACCTTCGCGACGCTGCGTGAGATTGAGGGCAAACTCAAGTCGATTCGAAACATCGAGAAGATCACCAACACCATGAAGATCGTCGCCTCGACCAAGCTTACGCGGGCCCAGCGCGCCATGGCCGACTCGCGCAAGTACGGCGAGACCAGCAACGAGGTGTTCGAGTCGGCCGAGACCAAGCCGCTCGAGGGCGAGGGCAAGAAGAAGTTGTTGGTGGTCTGCAGCTCCGACAAGGGTCTCTGCGGTGGTATCCACTCCGGTCTGTCGCGCTACATCCGCCGGAGGGCGCTCGAGAACTCCAACTTTGACCTTGTCGTTCTCGGCGAGAAATGCAGGTCGCAGTTGCAGCGCACCAACGCCAAGGATATCGTGCTCAACTTCGCCGGTGTTGGCAAGGACGTCCCCACCTTCGCCGAGGCCCAGGCTATCGCCGACCAGATTGTCATGCTCCCGGGCGACTACTCCGACATTGAGATTATTTACAACAAGTTCATCAATGCTACGAGCTACGAGCCCACCTCCGTCGCGGCATTTAGCGAAGAGGCCATTGCTTCGTCTCGTACGCTCACCCTATGCTCTGAATGTTACGTCCGGTCCGTCCGCTGACTTGTAGTACCTAGCCAACTTCGCCGCCTTTGAGGTCGATGAGGAGCTTCTCTCCAACCTCCGCGAGTACGCCCTGGCCAACTCTCTTTTCTGGGCTCTGTCGGAAGGCCACGCCTGCGAGGTCTCTGCCCGCCGCAACGCCATGGATGTGAGTTGCTTTTCTCACATATTTTCCCGCACCCCGCACCTCTAACGCAATCCCTGCAGAACGCCTCCAAGAACGCCGGCGAGATGATCAGCAAGTACCAGATTCTCTTCAACCGCACCCGCCAGGCCGTCATTACCGGCGAACTGGTCGAAATCATCACTGGTGCCACCGCTTCGGCGGACATGTAATTGGGTCGAAGTTCGTGATTCCCAAGACCGGAGTGGGAAAGAGAGGAGCGAGCAGCGAGGAGTTTTTCGTCTTTTCATCTCACCTCACCTCCGTGAAAGGGACCGCAGTGGAGAGGAGGAGGGAGAAAACCGGTTTTCCCTTTGTATATCAAGTCGCAGAAACGTTCGCCCTGCATCCGGCCCTCCGTGTACCATCGCCTTCCGAATACACAAGTTTCTTCCTGATAGACATTTAAAATGGGACCTTGGAGTGGCTGTTCGAATGGCTGCCAGCCAAATAAACCCAGAGCCCCTCCTGATCTATAGCTCAGGTTGCGCTTTGAATCCATACCCGTCAGCGCAACACTTCATCTATACGATGTTGGGACAAAAAGGATACTGTTGGCAGGTTGTTAAACTATGTCGTTATTGCCCCGACACCGAGAATAAAATCTGCACGTTCCTAATACCCCTTTTCCACATCCAGCATCGCAAGCAACAAAAAGCAGCGGACCTGGTTCATGGAACCAACGAAATGCCACACCCGGCGATGAATGTCCCGGCAAAAGTCGTATGACGCCCAGCAACGGTACTCACCGCCACCGCCCCCATTATCAAATCATCCCTCCATGCCCAAGACGGAGACCTGGACATTGCTGAGCAACGTATATACACAAACACAACACATACACAAATACACACCAGTCCGGGTAGAGTGATGCTCGCCTCACTCCTCCATCTCATCCCCTCCCCCTTCGACTTTCCCATCCTCCTCATCCACATCCACATCCATCGTCTCCCCACCTCCCCGCTCTTCTTCCTCTCCCTTTTCCTCATCAACCTCGCTCTCAACCTCAGCATAACTCTCCAACTTCATCCGACTCCTCCTCGCCCCATCCACCTCCGCTTCTTCCCCGCCACCACCACCACAATCACCATCCGAACCACTCCCCGCTCCCTCACTATCAAAGGGATTCTCCCTCTCAAACTCCTCCCTCACCTTACCCGCCTTTCGATCCCACCCCTCCACCTCCGCCCTCCACGACTCCATCGCCTTCCCATACGCCCTTTTCTGCTCCTCGGCCATGTCCACATACGGCCTCCTCTCCTCCTCGGACGCGTCGCGCCACATGCGCGCGCTCATGACGCGCACCTCGTTGGCCGAGGGCTTGCCCCCCTTGCTGGGCCGGCGCCCGGCCTCAAGGCGCTTGCGCGCGTCGTCGTAGTGCGCCTTGCTGTAGAAGATGTAGGCATTAGTGGCCGGTTTCTGCGGCGGCAGGGGCCGCGGGCCGAGCTTGGAGATGACGTGGTCCCAAAGGCGGGTTTCGTAGGCTTCGAGGCGGGATTGGGCGGTGTGCTTGGGTGTGGTTGCCGTGGGGTTGTTGGTGGCGTTGGCGTTGTTGCCATCTAGGAGCGAGCTGGCTTTGCGCTTGCCGATGAGGGAGGAGGCATCTTTGGGAAGGACGAGCGGAGTCGGAACGGGAATGGGGCCGAGCATTGCGCCGAGCACTTCGGAGGCGGCACGCAGGCCGGAGAGGTAGGCACCGTGGACGGTGGCCGGGTGCGTGCCGCAGGTGTGCTCGCCTGCGAAGAAGAGGTTGCCAATGGGGCGGGCCATGGTGTCGTAATCGTCGGCTTTCATGTTTGGGCCTGCGGACGAATAGCTGCCGCGGGCGAACTTGTCCGACGCCCAGCGTGTGACGACCGCTTCGATGGGGTGGGGGACCCGGGACCCGTACACGCTGCGGAGGATGTCGGTGGCCTCGGCAACGAGATCGTCATTGCACGTCTGCTCGGTGTCAAACCCGGCATCGCCGGCCATGAGGGCGATGAGGACCGGCAAGCCGCTGGTCCTTGTGACGTTGAACCACTGGAAGAATCGTCCCCGCTGAGAGGCATAGTCTTTTTGATCCAGACTGTGCCGGTTGGTTGGGTTTCTCAACACTCCAAAAATGTCGCGGTCCTCGTCCCAAAACGGCTCCTTATATACCAGGATGACCTTGTTCAAGACCCCAAAGCCCAGACGTTCGATGGCGTCCGACTTCCAAGACGGCAGCGGCGGCTCAAACGCTATATTTCCATGCTTCAGGACGCCGAGTGGTATTGTGGTCACCACATAATCGGCTTCTATGGTGGAGCCGTCTTCGCACGTCACTGTCGCTGGACCGGTTTGAGTACCAGACGTGTATGTGATTTTGTTGACTGGCGACTTTTGTCTGACGTCCAGAGGCGTGGGCAGGTGCGTGAGGCCCCTCGGAACGCTCTGATACCCTCCGACAACCATGGAGTGGCTGCCCTCCCACTCATTCCCGGCGTCGATGTCCCACCCTTGCAAGCTTAGCTGGTGATAGTTGGTAGCATTGCTGTACTCCAGATTGGCAATGTGCCAATTCATGAGCCTGAAGTCCTGGGCGGTAAGATCCAAGAGGTCCTTGTACTGAGCAATCACCTTGTCGGTTACGCTTCCTAGGGTCGCACCGGGTTCTCTGGTCGCCGACTCAATGTCCAGGTCCGCATCGTCGCTGACGCCGTGCCTCAGCGCCCAACCTATCATTTTGGCCTTGTGGGCCGCCTTGAGGGCTCCCGGCGTTCCGGGTTCAGTATGGATCTTTCCGGTAGCTCGGTCAGTTGACACCGGCACTAGGTTCACCTGTGGCGCGATATTTTGCTCCGCGACGGATGGCGCATACGGCTGGGCGGCGGCGGATTCTTCAGCATGCCGTATCGTCTTGTGTGTTTCTGCTGAGCTGTCCTTGCCCTCATCCATCAAATCCCTGTTGCCCTCAATCAGTTTTGATGTGGGCTGCTTGAACTTGTACTCGCTGACTCGATCGAGGCAGTCGTTGAAGAGATTTTCCACTAGCTGGTCTCGATGCAGATCTACTGGCTTGCCGTTGGCATCGTAAAGTGTGGTTTCCGGCCTCAAGAGGTGGTACGCGAGGCCGAGCTGGCCCCTGAGAAGGATGTTCAACGGATTACCCCTCTCAAACCCAGTGATGATCATCCCTCCCATCTCAGCGGTGTATCGCTTGCCCTCGAATTGGGCCGGCATGTGTTTTGGACGTGATTTGAACGATCGAGAGTAGACTCTGCCGCCGATGCGGTCCCTGCCTTCGAGAACAACCACTCGAGGCGGCTCCTCGCCCATGCTGCGGAACTTTTTTGCATACTGCATGAACAGCCCCTCGAGCTGTCTTGCGCAACCAAGACCAGCCATGCCTGCACCTACGACAACAACAGTTTTCCGTTTGCCCTGGGGAGAATCGGTTTGCTTGTTGTGTCTGCGCAAAGACCGGACCTCGACACAGCCAAAATTGATGTAACCCCCTCGAACAAGCCAGTCAAAACAAACGCTCGCAACGTCAAACCACCTAGGATCCTTTGCACATCCGACAGCCTCCTCTCGGGTGACAGGGATTTGTGGGTTTCGGACCCATAGCCTCAAAATGCCATTTCTGATGTTGAGGTATGTCGTCACCTGGGCGTGGCTGATGTGATCTCGCAGCAGCAGGTACTCTTCTTGGTGGAGAGAATAGGGGTTGAGTCTTGATGCTTCAGCCGCTGCGACGCACTGCATCGCATACTCGGGGAGAGGAAGATTGGGAGGGATAGAGACCTTCGGTCGCACATCCCATTTCCGCCTCGGCGAGTTCGTTGGCTGACTGAGACGGGCAATGCCGGCTGCCGGTGCTGGTGCCTCCCTTGAACTGTCGCCGTCGACAGGGGTGGTAGCCTTGCTCGACACGGATGGCGCGAGGGAGGAGAGATCGGACGGGTCGGATAGCGAGGATAATGAGGATAGCGAAGATGACTCTTTCGCGGGAGTTTCGTTTTGTATCGGTATCGGCTGTGTTTTGAGCGGGGGAGGAGGCGATAGCGGAGGCAGAGGAGACAGATGAGCAAGAACAGCAGGAGACGGAGGTGTAGGTGTTCTACTGCTGGTTCAGCATGATGTGCATATCCATGGCGATGGGCTGAGGAACCGGGAAACGAAGGATGAAGGTGGGAGAAGGACAATGAGCGAGTCGACGCACGCATGCCCTCGTGTGAGACTGGCAGTAGTAGACGAAAGGGGTAAGTGAGACGCAATAAGGGACACGAGACATACAATTTCTCCTCTACAGTTGGAGTGGCGGGCGTAGCCGGGCAGGCCAATTTAGGCGAGTCCATCCCCACACTGTCCATGTTTTCGGTCCAGACGACAATCACGTCCTCCGAGGCGTTGGCTGAATCGTGCTGGACTGTCTCTGAGTCCAGGGCAGTAGCAGACGGTGACAGTGACTTGCTGTGATCCGCGATTGAAGAGCGTGTTGGGCGGCGTGAGTCGATATTCCTGGCTCGTCTGAGAGGTGCCTTTCCTGAACTGCTAGACTGTCTAGTGCGAGCCCGCGGAGAAGTTCCCATTATATCGACCTAAACCACGAACTAGTGAATTCGTGCCTTGTGATTTTCTGCCGATATCTGAAGTCCGGAGAATTGGTCGTCGATGTTGACGGGGCCCGCTCGTTTCGAGCCATATACGGCACTTCGCACCTCACAGAGAAGGGGCGAAGGTTCCCGAGTCTCGAGGACAACGAGGTGTGCCACAAATTGAATTTACGAATCAAGTTCCAGTCGGGATTCGTGTGTGGCTATAAGAAAAAGGACGTCTGTATCTCTGTGTGCACACATTAGCATAACATTTTCGCGATAGACGAACACAAAATACCAGTATGTGAGGGCAGTAGATAGCAATCCAGAGCTGAACTGATTTTCCAATCCTACATTCTGGGGAAGCAACACCGTACCTCGAAAACGCATATCGCTTAGGAATCCCACCATGCCGCTCGCCAGATACACAACCTGGGACTGCTTTCGATCTGAATGATACCAAAAATATGGCCAGCGAGAAGAATTGACATAAGGACGCCCAGACTGGACGTCTCCGTGTAGGTGGGAACGATGAGCTGCTGAGACAGGCGCAGGTGCATCTCCACAGCACGTCGCCAAGCCGAGCTAGGGGCAATTACAGGCCGTTTCAGGCATGGCACCATCACGTGAGGGACCAAACGGCGACTTCGGCCATGCAACATGTACTTTCAACACCCCAGATTCCCTCGACCATTGCAACTCAGTCGAATTGAATCTCCCTTCCATGCTGTTGATTCTGGTCTCTTGCCCGGCGCTCTCTCGACCATCGATTGAATCGAGCGCTCCACGGGCACAACCGACAATAGGGACTCGACTAGGCAACTCAGATCTTCTCCGCAAAGTGCGGCCCCATTCTATCCCTCCGACTATGCAAGCGTCCTTGTGTCTCACGATATAGACATAGACCTTTATTTGGACGCAGTGGGCTGCGGGGTGCTCCTCTCAAATGACTCCTTCTCGATCGCGGCATCCATCATTCTGTTTCCGCTAATGATGGACGTGGTGCAGATAACAATGTCTCTTCGGGCTGCACAAAAGATCCAAGTCAGCTGATCCGATCTGACGAAAGCCCCGGGTTTCGCTTGCCCTCTTGACATACCTTCTTCCTGCTTCGCCAGGAATCGCAGCGCGGCAATTTCGGTAAACGTGATGCCGCCCACGAAAACCACAAACACCGTCTTCTTGTCGCCGTTGCCCGACAGCAGCGCCCGCGCCTTCACGGCCTTGTCCTCGCCCTTTTGCACCTCGTCAAACGTCTGACCCCGGGCGTGCTTGACGGCGTCCTCAAATCCCCGCCAACCTTGGGCGCCCCCGGCTGCCGGCCCTGGTGCAGTGCCGGCCACGCCGCCCCGTGTCATGGAAAGGAGATATTGCTTCTGCAGCACGCACTGCACGAGCCGGATCGATAAGGGAGCATAGCCGCTGTAGACGTAGGCGATGTCGTTGGGATCGCGCTCATCAACCTCGTCCACGATAAGCCGGAGCTGCTTGCGCAGATACGTGTAGTTTGTCTTGTTGCCCTGGCTGCCCGCCGAGCCAGCCATGGGGATCATGGAGGCCAGAGGGGACGACCTGGAGAGGAACATCTGCAACCGCTCCAGGTTGTGCAGGGTAAGAAGGTGCTGATAACCATATCCTTGCAAAATCAGTCGCCGGAAGTGATCCAGTTCTTTGGCCTTGATGCCGCCCGAGATGCACGAGTAGATGCATAGTAGCCTGAGGACTTGGGGCAGTGGGGTATCGCGGGCTATGAGTTCTTCAATGGCGTCAAACTGCGACGATGGGTCCGCCCCTGCCGCGAGGTTCTGCTGCACCTCGAGCAGCTTGTTAAAGCTCTCAGTTCGTGTGTATTTGATGATTTCTTCTTCCATGCCCGTGTGGATCGTCAGGCTTTGCTGCTCGGCTTGGTATCCGGGTAGCTTTCTTACAAATTCGACGAGCTCCGCCGTCGTCTTGGAACTGTGTCTGCTTTCATAGTCACTCCGCAGTCTGCGGGCCACCTTATTCAAGAGGTTGCCGACGATGGCAAAATTGGCGTCCCGGAGCTGCGCAAACAGCGCATCCGAGCCGTCGAGCTGTATCTTGCGCTTGCGCGAATGGCCATTGTCGACTGGCGCGGCCGTCGATGAGCCTGGCCCCGCTGGCTGCGCCGCCGCACCCACGATCGTCGAGTCGACTTCAGTCTGATTGTTTTGAACGCCAAAAATCTCGTCTAGTAGGCCTTCGTAGGTCAGCTGCGTCAGGAGCGGCGTCACGTAGTCGACTTCGCGGTCAATGATAATGACGCTCTCAATTGTCGTGCTGAGTCTCAGCCCGGCCTGGTCCGTTTCGCCCCCTTCTTCGCCGGCCAACAGTTCCTGCCGCATGCGAGACAGCAGATCGGCTACCCGTTTAGCGTTGTCCCCTTTGCCGATGATGCGCGGGAACAGGCCGTGCTTCTGCTGAATTCCCATCAAGGCTCGGGCGAGCAAAAACAATGACGTTGGGTCTTTCGCAAGGTAGATGTGCCGGAAGGAATCGTTCATCTCTAAAGACAGGACATCCTTTTCCAGCGGAAAGAAGAAGAGGGGCAGCTCGGCGACATTGGTATCGCCCAGAACACCGGCTTCCTCCAGCACCTTGTCTGACAGCAGCGTCCGCCGGGGCACCCAAAAAATGTGGAATTCGTGGGAAGATTGGCTCTCGCGCTGGAGCCGTAATACCTGGCCTGCGGAATTGTCAGCACGGTATGATGGCATCAACTGCATGTCTCGCGACGATTAGTGAGGCTATAGGATCGTGCTGGCCTAGACGGCTCCATATGCGGCCCATCTGACTGACAATCGCCGAGTGAAGTGAAGAGCTCGGTGCTGTCTACTCTAGAGCCGAAGAGAGGTGCACTTGGGATGGAGCAGAGGTTTTGAACGAAGGAGATTGCGCTCACCGGCGATGGCATGAGCAGTGCGGGCAGACTCGCCGCGAGCGATGAAGACGACATTCCGCTGGTTCGTGTCGGTATTGTTATTCTCGAGGAAGAAGAAATTGTCGACGCCGTAGTCGCGCAGGGTTGAGACCTTCACCACGACACCAACTGGACCGGCTAACTCCTTTTCAATAACGAGGTTCTTTTTTCCGCGAACCTAGGTGGGCGCGCACTGCTCGTCAGTCTCAGCGGCCCAGAGTCCATCAAAATTGAGCATAAACGGGGGCCGGATATGTTGACTTACTCCCTCGAGGAGATGGAGCAGGTCCTTGCGCGCTTTTTCTCGGACCTGCTCCGAGTCGAACCCCACACGAGGAACCATGATGATGAGCTCTCCATGGGGTGTCGAGTTCGGTGTTGAGCGTAGGTAGACCCTAACTCAGCGCTGGGTGACGAGTTCCACGAGATGGACAGGGAATATTCCTTGGCTTTGGGGAGGGAGCAGGTCCCGGTCTTGGCATTGGTCCAAGCTCCAGCCGCCCTGGGCTCGGTGGATAACGTTATCGCTAGGATCGGTGGTCGGTGCGCAACTTGGCCGAGCACCACTTGAACATCTCGATTCAACCACCAAGATTCCAACAACAACAGTAGGTGTGACTTAATCCATTTCCTCTTGGACGACCTTCGCGTCAGCACGTATCACTTCTCGGCTGTTCAATCTTTCTCCACAGCCAATGTCCACAAACTTGGCACTCAGACCACCCTTTCAGCTGTTTAAATGCGAAACTCCGCGTCAGAATGGTCTTTCCCATGATGTAGTTGTCTCCGCTCCATAGTTAAGGAGGTATGCAGTCCAATATCCGTACCCAGCAGACTGTCCTATCCACCGCTGAAAGTGAACGCCCAAATCCCAAGCCGTAAAATACCGAACGCCACCAAGCAAACTGCCAGCACCCCGTTCCTAACCAGGGAGTAGGCAACAACTGTTTCAGACGTCGTTATCATGGTAGTAAAATTCAATGTCCTTTGGACGGAGTCGGTTTGCGCGGACAAACTCCTCGTCTCCCGGCGGTCGCTCGTCCTTGGTATTTCCCGTCAGCATGCTCTGCAGGCTCATGCAGACGCTCTCCACGTTCTGCACTGGACTCCATCCTGTGCCGAGCAGGTCGAGGCAAATGATGCCGTTGGAATATATGTGCGGGTGCATCGGAATCGGACGATCGGGAACCTTCACGAAGATTACTTCGGGCGGCTCTGCAAACGGAAGGGTTAAGGTCAGTACGTACATGACTCGACCCAAACAAAGTGTGCAAGCGCAGAGGCAAGACAAGGCATACCAATGGGATAGGACGAGCCAAAGCGGAACTTCAACCTGTATTTCTCATTCTGGTAGAGCGGGTTGTTGTCGAGTACTTGGATGTCCAAAAGCCATTCCTCGAGGTTGTTTGCTGAAACCAACTCAATCCCTGGCGGCAGCGAGTTGCTGATCTGAGTCCAAAGCAGTTAGAACGGCCTATCCCGAGGCTCATGGTGCATTGCAAACCTTCTGAAGCTCCTTGCCCAGCCGCTTCGCAGCGAATTGCGCAGGCATCTTCACCGCCGGTGTCTCTCAGAGAGGCAACTACGAAAGCGGGAAGATGATGGAAGCCAAGGTGTCCCGAGGGAATCAGAGTGCTGCACCGCAAGGGCTAAATAAGGTAGGCGGGGGCGGGGAAAGAGGATCGCGATTTTGGCGACTGGGGTTGAGCCTGGCGCAGACGTGAGAGAGGTCGTGTTATTGGATCGGAATTTCCAGGCTGCAAACCGCCTGCTCGATGGTACAAACACGTTCTGTTGCATTCAATCCTTGAAATGCCACGGTATCAAGGTGGACAAGCAGGGAGAAGGCAAACGGGATGGAAGCTGGAAGCTTCTCAACGGCGCCGGCATGGGTGTCGTAATGCAACGACAGATGAGCCCCACCTGCCACCAACGCCTTTTTAAAGTGCCTTGAACCTCGCACCCGGCTGCTCGACGATATCAGCAACCGGGAACCACCAGCCTTACGCATTACCACCTCTCCCAGATTGAGAGACATGACACACCCACATCAGGTCTACCTTACCAATTCTACCTAAGTAGGCTGCTTATCCATTGGCCGCTTCTCATCTGGACGATGCAGGCGGCATCACGGATAAGGACAGGCGGCTCATCAAAGCCTTATTGAAGAGGCGTTGTTTTCGTTTGAACGATGTTCCATCACAGAACAATATCAAATGCTTAATGTTTCCGATACCTCCAGCCGTACGGATTCTGATTGCGCGGGCGCCAACGGAAGGACGTCGAGCGTAATGAAGTTACGGTTACGGCTACGCCGAGTCCAATGGCAGACCGACAAGACTCTACGCCTCTTCAACTGTGCCTTACAATCGAACCCTGCAGTGGTTTGTCTACTAGCCTGTGACGTTTTTGTTCCTACCAACCCACTTCCTGTAATGTGAGTGCTCTTGGAAGCGATACTAGCCGTGAGCGTATGATTGTTTTTCTTACTTTCTCTTCAGCTTTCCTTTCCGTTTCTCCTCTTTTCTCAGTCTCAGCTATTCGTTCTTTACTTTCCTTGCTCGTGTGCTCTCGTAGTTATGCCCGTGTCAAGCGTTACGCTAAACGGACAGGCAAGATTGGTTCAAAACATGCCTGACTACGGTAGGTGGAAGAGGCAGTGCTCATCTACAGCGCTCGGCCGCAAACAAAAGAGCGCACCACAGCCTGCAGTCGGAAGCTTAAACCTGAAAGAAATGTGAGCGAGATGGTAAACTGTGATGACTGTGAGTTGCGCAAAGATGAAGACGGCAACTCAGATATCTAAATTCCAAATACCCCCCTTACCTACCCGACAGTGAAGATATCAATCCGCATCCGTTACCTGCCATGCAGGAGGGATGGGGGGATGCGAACAGACTGTTGTGATCTTGTTTTGGTGGAAACAGACTGCTGCCCGAAGGAATTGACTGAACCCGGGCCTAATGGACTGAAAACAAGATGTCCTTAGCAGCATTTGACACTGCCTTTCCAGTTCGTGCAACCAACAGTATTTCAATGTAAGGACGGCTCTCTTTTGGCAGGTTCAATCTTGCCAAGGCCAACATTTCGTTTCACAGATAACAGAGTATCTCGGGCTCGAAGACTGAGCGTGACTTACAGGCAGGTATGCAGCTGCGTAGGTAGGTTTCATAGACTACGACTTCCTTCCTCGCTCTCGCACGTTGTGTTCCCCGTAGTTCAATCAGTAAAATGTGTGATGTATATTGTTAGCGCCCATGTTTAATTCTAATGACTTACAGTGCTCCGTTCAGTTTTCTAAATACAAAGAAAGGAAAGAAAATAGAAGGCAACCAAGATCTTCTTGAAAGTCGCTGAGGATAGCCCTAACCCTGGTTTTACCCTCTTAATACAACCTTACCAACGGTATGGTTTAGCTGAACAGCCTGTTTCTGGAACAGCCTTATACATTTTATTGCAAAGACACTCTATTATAGCATTTTCATACTATTGTGTCTACTCAATATTGCGCTCAAGGGGTTGGGGCAAACCTGTTCCAACAGACAATCTGTTCTACACCTGTAGGGCTTGCCAGTAGTTTGTTCACAGACCCTGATCCATCCAAGGTGGATCTAGAGCTGGCCTCGCACCGCACGGCGCTTTGTGGAGTTACCCACAGGCACAGCCCAGTGCATGAGATTAGGCTCGACCAGTTCCTGTGGCCTCTGGCTGAAACCAACAATCAATATCTACAATAAAGGGACCGGAGCGCAGTCTCTGTCTGCAGCTTGAGCTCTGGATTCAAACAACGATCTTTCCAACCCAACAAGGTCGCGAAAGACCGGGAGCCATCGTTGTTGACGGTCAACGCTGAAAGCAATCGGCGGGGTACTTTTGAGGTCCGCATCCAGAACCGACCCCTCGTCCAGCACAACTGCCAAGCCCCTTTCGCATCTGCCTCGTCTGCACTCCCGTCGCAGCCCATTCCTACCTGAGCCGTTAGCCTATCATCGTTTTTCAGACCTGAAGTCTTCTCGAACCGCCAGCTTCTCAGCCGCTTCTTGCAATCTCGCACCGCCCGGGCCCTGCCCTGCCCCTCTTGCGGAAAACCCCCCCACTCGTGCAACACAGCCGGCTGAGTCCAGCGCGCCCTGACCGACAGCGACAACATCGGCCGCGCCGAGTAGCCGCAAGCCTCGATCAGTCCGATACTTGAACCTCTTTGACCCTTCCCAACTTCTCTGAGTTTCCTTCTGAGCTTTTCCTCCTGAGAGGCTCGCAACCATGAGCTGTAAGTCACCCTCGATCCGCCAGGCGCTCTCGAGCTTCGGTCTGTTCCATCCAGTCACTACCCCTTACAGCAAGCCTCAAAGTGCAACTGGCCATGCAGAAACTAATGGGGAAATGCTGCGCAGTTACGACCATGCTCAACCGCCTACATGGGCAGCCCGAGAGCTACGACAAGAAGTACGCCCTTGCTCGCTTCCCCCCAACTTCCTCTCCTCGCAGTTCCACTAACACACCAGCAATTCAGAGCCAAGTACCGGTTTGGACGCACCCTAGGTGCCGGCACATATGGCATCGTCAGGGAGGCAGACGGCCCCGATGGCCGCGTCGCGATCAAGATCATCCTAAAAAAGGTCGTCCGGGGCAATGAGCGCATGGTTCTCGACGAGTTGGACATGCTCCAGCGCCTCAAGCACCCGCACATTGTCAAGTTCGTCGACTGGTTTGAATCAAGGGTACGCTGCTTCCGAGTCTTTGGAGCTCGCCAAGCTGATTTGGCCCCTGTGTCCAGGACAAATATTACATTGTAACTGAGCTCGCGACTGGAGGAGAGCTATTCGACCGAATCTGTCAGCAGGGCAAGTTCACCGAGAAGGACGCATCCCAGACCATCAAACAAGTTCTGGATGCTGTCAACTATCTGCACCAGAACAACGTCGTCCACCGCGGTGGGTCATCCTTGAGCCGTTGCCCCAAGTTCCAGTTCTCTAACCGTGAACAGACCTCAAACCCGAAAATCTCCTCTATCTCACCAAGGATCCGGATTCGGACCTTGTTCTTGCCGACTTTGGCATTGCGAAGACGCTCGATACCAAGGACGAGGTGCTCACAACCATGGCTGGGTCGTTTGGCTACGCGGCGCCAGAGGTGATGCTCAAGCAGGGCCACGGCAAGCCCGTCGACATGTGGTCCCTGGGCATCATCACGTATACGCTGCTCTGCGGCTACCCACCCTTCCGTTCCGAGCACCTCCAGGACCTCATCGACGAGTGCAGTGCTTGCCGGGTGGTGTTCCACGAGCGGTACTGGAAGGACGTCAGCGACGATGCCAAGGACTTTATTCTGAAACTGCTGCGTGCGAAACCGGAGGAGCGTTGGACAAGCGAGGTGAGCTTCTACCCCACTTTCAAGACGAAGCCCCTCGTCAGTGCAGTGTAACTGACCATACCCTACCCCCTTTTCCAGCACGCCCTCACCCACCCCTGGCTGAGCGGCAAGAACGCCTCGGACCACAACTTGCTGCCCGAGATCCGCGCCTATCTCGCACGCGCGCGGCTGCGGCGCGGCATCGAGATGGTCAAGTTGGCCAACCGCATCGAGGCGCTCAAGATGCAGGAGGAGGACCCGGAGAACTCAGACATGCCCAAGGACGCCACATTAGCAGCGGACCAAACGCGCCACTTTACGTCTACCGCTAAGAAGGTTGAGCCAAACAGTGCGCCTCCTGCTGGAGACGGCAGCGAAGGCGGCGGCGGCGGTAAGCGCAAGCTGTCCAAGACTATCAAGAGCGCCATCTTTCGCGAGGTGGTCCTGGCCAAGGTGCGGGAGATGAAGGAGCAGGAGGAGACGCTGAAGGTGGCGGGGGAGGCATCAAAAAAGGCTTGAACTGAAAGGGGAGAGATTGGGAATTGATATCACCAAAGAGGCTGAATACGACCGAGGAAGGTTGGGCATTTAAGACGGATTGATCTGCAGGATATTAGTTGGAAGCTGTCGGGTGAGGAAAAGGGTGGATGGAGGTTGCCATACCCCGTGTTGAGCTCTATGACTGAGAGCCGGTTTGTTGTTTTGCATGTGCGGATATCTTGAGAACTTTCTGCCATCTGATTTTGAATCACGCGGTTTTGCTGCTGTAGGTTATCCGGAAGACCTGGTTACCTTATAGAGCGACATTGAGGATCTCGTGTTGTTTCACTGTATCGTTTGCTCTGTGAAGCTGGATGAAGACATATCGTCCACTATCTTTGTCAAATCATGATGCTGAGATATTAACCTCTTGCACGCGAACTGTCGGGGCAGATGGTTCCGAGTCCTGTTCTCATCTGCTCAGCAGAGTGAAGCTGCGAGGATCTGAGTTAGCCGGTGGGCGCATGGTGTTACCCCAGCACTGCACTCTGACTGCGTCAACAACACGATATGCCTGCCATTCCAGAGTACCTACCAGGGCGAGACTGCTATCCTCAGCGCTGAACTGGATCCGCGTAAGGGATTCGCATTAGAAGGATAGCTACTGTACATCATCAGTGCCAGCAAGAAGGCTCATGGCAAGGGCGAGAACTGCACAAGCAGCGAAAAGTGCCTCGAATGTGAGTATATCTGTGCAACATGCTTCATAGAGCAAATGTGAAAAGTGTATATACATGTCGCCCATCACTTCAAATACAACCACTTGTGAGAAAACCACTGGAAGTTCTCCATTCAACAATGCCATGAAGCATCATCAACCAAACGCCAAATGGTAAGAAGATCAACACCACGAATGCCCCCAATGTACAGCAAACCCAACTACAAATGCGAGAAGTACAATCGAAAATCCTTGATATTTCCCCACCGACGAAAAAAAACCGCGCACCCTGACACCAAGCGCCACCGAAATGCCATCATAACTCGTAAACCTCCAAACTTGAAGTTTTCGAAGAACTAGACCCCTGCCTCCACCCCAATAAATCTAACACTTAAGTAAGAAAGCCATCAGGCCAACTCCGCCAAAGCGGCCTCGCACAACTCCTCGTACCGGGCCGGGTCAAACCGCTTCCGTTGCCAGCCATTGCGCCTCAGCCGTTCGATCCTCGCCTGGCGGTCAAGCGCGCGGGCTTCTTCGCTGCTAACTTTTGCCGGTATTGGCGTCGTTGACGATGTTGTTGTTGCTGCTGCTGTCGGGTGGTCCAGGGACGGCGGCGCCGGTGGCTGGGTGGAGACGAGCTGCTGGTGCAGGCTGGCTGAGTGGCGAGCGAGCTGGGCGCGCAGGGCCGAGAGGTGCTCGCAGCAGCGGGTGAGCGAGGGAGGAATCATGGAGGCCGTTTCGGTGTCGTCGTAGTCTTCCTCTTGTTGCTGTTGCTGTTGAGGTGGGTGAGCCTCGTCCGGGGTGGCAGTTTGTTCCTCAAACTTGTCCTCGGGAATGGTTTGCAGGGGCAGCTCAATTTCTTGAAATTTAGACGGGGGCTGCAGAGCCTCGAGGTTGTTTTGCCGGGAGACGGTGGGTTGGAATGTGTCCTCGAAGCCGAGCGTCGGCGAGTCCGGGCGGATGATGGGTTCTGCGGGCATGTGGAGGGAGGTTTCCTTGGGGAGGGAAAGAAATACTTTCTTAGCGCGCTTCGGGGGGGACTGAGGCGACTTCACAAGGAAGCCATCGAAGGAGCAGACGGAGTCGGTGGGCGAGGACACGCGAGTGTCCGGCGTCCAGGCGCGGGAGCTGACGGATCCGGACGGCGAGTGGCAGCTGGAGGCCCGGGATGAGCTAACTGAGCCTGGGCGGAACTTCCTGAGGACCGACTCCTCAGCTGCGCTGATAAGAGCGGACGCGTGATCGAAATGGGTGCGAGCTTGCTGCAACAGGTTGCTGCGCAGAGCAGATGTTGAAGGGAGTGGGCGGGCGCAAATCTCCATCGAGGTCGCTGCGTAGAAGTGAAGGTAGATCAAGTATACCGGCTCAACCTGAGAGACATCTTTGATTCCGTCAAGGACCTCAAGACACCTTGCCGAGCAAGCTCGGTATCGCTTGCCGAAGTACTTCCTCTTGACTTCGCCAATCGTCTTCCTCCACTCCGCCTCCGTGTACGGCAGCACCGGAATAGGTGCCGGCGCAGTGATTGACAAGCGCTTGAACAACATTGGTCTTGCCGCATGCGTCGGTGTCGTCGGACTCGTCGAGCTGGGCAATCCGCTAGAAGACTGACGCCGAGGCGACGTTTGAGAAGGGGCGATAAAACTCGTCCGGGAGCTCGAGGTGAGCATCAAAGGAATCAATCCAGCCATTGTTGTAATCGGTCGACAGTAGTTCTGGAGGAGTTGCTGTGGTACGGCACAGGAAGTTGTCGAGTATCTTCAAAGCTTCGAGCGGAGGTCTGAAGCTTGCCACAGCCGAGAGTCTTCGTTCTCAGCCTGACAAGCATCTACCCTGTTGCTCGGTAAATGATTGCCAAATACGACAATAGGCGCAATTCGCCAAGTTGAATTGCCGAGATGACACAACCCAGCGGGCTGGAAAGGGGACCACGCCGCCCTCCTTGAATTTGGCGCCACGTGCGAAGCACGACGTTGATCTTGGTACGGCCTTGCGGCTCCGATCGACAGCGGAACGACGTATGATCACCCTCGCCTTCAAAGCGAGAGTCGCACGCGACCCGAATCCGATGATCTGGCTTCACGAGTTGCGGGCCGGTATTATTGATTAAGCTGGGTTGATCGCCGTTTTCGAGCGGCCTGAGCGATTGTTCAATCTCGAGGTTTGGCAGACTGAGACACACCTGGCCTGGAAGTATCCGTACCGCAGCTGTGTTGGTGTTGTCAAGCGGTTGAGGAGGTCCCTGCTCGAGGTAACGAGTGTCCGTTGGTTGGAACCTGAAGAAATGAGGGCAGATTACTATGCACACAAGTACAGCAGTAAGTACAAGTACAAACGCTCAACAAGTTGGCCGCGACGAAGGAGTGGATGAGTTGCAAAGGCACTCGATGCAGTCGACACAAGCAGTTCAAGAGGAACAGCAGCAGGACAGGAGGGGGATTGACTCTGGCCCCTGGTGGGTAACCAAACACTGCAGCAGCATTAAGAGGGGAATAACGATTGATCCTCCCAAACCCTCCTTTCGCTGCATGACACCAGCGTCATTTTGGCACAGTTTTGTGGTGGCGTTTGTGCAAAAAGAAGCCCACGGAACTCGAACGTAACATCGGGCCAGGCGCCGCGGACGCAGGGGCCATAGACGGCGACCCTTCTGATTTTACCTCCCCTGCTTTCTATTTGTACTCAGCTAACTACTTTAGGAAGAAAGCTACTCCTTGCTAACTAGAAGTACTAATTTTAGCTAGTTATACTAAAAGTTGTAGATGATATTAATATCTGTAGTTAACTAAAGAAGCTTTTATTTAAAAGAAGTCAGTAGAATGATAAAAGAAAAGTAAAGGTAAGTATAACGTTAATCATACTTATCCTATAATTATAAACCTATGCGCGGTACTTGCTCTACTCTCTAAGCTAATTATGTTTAAGAAACTGCAGGGGACTGTGAGAGATAAGTAGTATTAAGGTGAGGCACTGAGCACTGCAAATGCCGATTCAATTCTGCTAATTGAAAGCTAAGGAAAAGAAGAGGGAGAGGATCAGGATGCGCGTCTGCGGTGCGTGAAGGATGTTGGGCAGCCAACAGTTACATGCTCAAGTAAGCTTAGATCAACCAAATGGTATTGAACAGATTGAGGTATGAAACGAAGCTTGAATTGGAGTCACGATTCCAGAGTGACCACACAAATGAAGGATCAAGATAGTGGGTTAGGGTGCCTCAGGATGTTCCTTTCTTGTCCTTTGAACAAAAATGTCCTCTCTAATCCTCCCAGGGGAATTACCCCCTTATATAGAGACAGTGTGCCATGATATGACGTTTATGTCAGGAACTGCGTCATTGTGATGGATCTGTGTTGACTGAGAGTCTCGCATTGAACATCAGTGCTCAGCCCCTGAATCTTGGTGCCAGGGAACCCACTCAGTTCAACGGACGTAGGCCTAAGTAATGCGCCAGGATTCATAACCCTGGGATAGGTCCAAGGAGGGTCGTAGCAAGGGCTCGTGCCGTAACAGCTGCAAGGGGCGCATGCCGAGCTCCTGGGCCCTAGTCCCAGAGCGGGAAAGCTTTGGCCTCCACCTTTGAATGGACACCACCTCGGGAGGGAAGGTGATGGTCTGATTCTCAAACGCGGGCGAACATCCCCGAACGCTCCCCTCAGACATGGTATGAGACGTCCCCGAGGTTTCGCCAGCAGGTGAAATCCATCGCAGCCAGTTTGATGGTGACTTGACCCACAGTCGACACGCAAAATCAATTGTGCCCGTAAAGATCGATGCTGAGGCGTAGGCTGTATCCGTACACCGCACAGCAAATTCACCCCTGACCACCTTGCTTGCCTACTCTTGGACCTCTTCCAATGTTCAGCTCCCAAAAAAAGCACTGACCGGCCGCGGGACGTTCACGGTCCTTGTCAAACACCCCACCACATGCTCGAAGTTGGGAGTCCGATTCTGTGACCTGGTCTGACGGGAGTCAGGGACTCGTGAACCTAGCTTTCCTTAGTCAACCTTGCCTGGTGACCTGGACTGCTTTAGCGACGAGAGTAAAAGCCCAGAGGAAATCGTTGCAGGGTCGTACTGGTTCTGGGGTGCCGGACAGCTGAGAAGATACCATCAAAGCATCACGAAGCCGTTACGGTTACCGATGCAGGGAAGAAGATTGGTTTCAATGAGACTCGAGACAAAACAGCATATAATGTTAGGCTCTTAATCTTATGGTAGCTTCGTCGACGACGGGACTGTTAGGAGCGGCGGTTGGGGGACTCTAACCCCGCATTGGCCCCTGCCAAAGGTAGGGGTTGTCTCTGAGTAGGTGGCACGGGAGGGATTGTAACGGTGCTTGAGCGTACACACAGTAGGACCTCCAAGTCCTTTGAAGGAGACAGTTTGCCAAAGAACGTCAAGAAAACTGAAGCGCCACAATAGTCTAGTTTTCAGAAGCCAAGTCTATAACCCGCCATGGTATCAGTGCCCTTCGCTCTACCGTGACATATTGCCCGTGATTTCTCAAGCCTTGATGATTCGTAGCGGGCCCCGGCCGGACGGTCTCGTTCCAGAGTCACATTACTCTGCAGGCTGGACCGCCTCTGCAGCGGCTTTGACATCTTCACCCTTGATGCCGTCCACCACCTTCAGGCCCTCGGCTTGCTGCGTGATACTGTCGAGCTGCTGCTTCCTTGCGAGCCGTGCTTGCACCTCCTCAATGAGGTTATCCATGCTGATAAGTTCGCCCTCCTTTAGCGGGTGGTCCTCGGGGAGACCCATCTCCTTGAGCTTCGCCTTGCCCTGAGCAAGTTCGTCCTGAGGGCCGTCGTTAGTTAACCGGTAAATCCCACTGTCAGAACGAAGAACGCATACCTCGCCCAGAATGAGAGCAAACGGCACGCCGCCTGCCTCGGCCGCCTTGAACTGGTTCTGCAGCTTTGGTTTCACCTTGTAGAGGAATTCGGCCTAACCAGTGTTAACCTTGGTATCACTTTGAGGGTTCTATGAGTCCAGCCAACCTTGATACCCGCGTCCCACAAACGGGCACAGACCTGGCTTCTCTCCTTGAGCAGCCCTGTGAAGTCCTTGCCGCCGCCAAAAGCCATGACAAAGACATCAACCTCGTTCCGCCTCTCCTTCTTCTTCTGGGAAGCCTGAATAATGGAGAAGATGCGGTCAATACCGAAGCTGATGCCAACGCACGGCACCTGCGTCTTCCCCGAGAACATGCCGACAAGGTTATCGTATCTACACCCCTGTTAGTTTGAACACAGGTGCAGAGCAACAGACCACACCAACCTGCCACCGGCAGCGACAGATCCTAGGAATGTCAGCGTGCTGTGCATCGGGGTTGCCTCCAAATGTACTTACCTATCCCGAGAGTTGGGTCGTCGGAACGATCCTCCTCCTGATCGCCAGGCTTGCCGCCCTTCTTTTTCTTGGAGATCTGCTCTTTGGCCTCCTCCGAAGCGGGGATTTCAGGGGCAGAGCCTTCTGTTACCACTTCATAGATAACTCCTGTATAGTAGTCCAGCCCTGCGTCATCGCCATCAGTATGGTCGGCGCTTCGCGGCCGATTCCTAGGTAAATCCAATACAACGTACCTCTGGCCAGAGACAGGTCAAATGACACGGTGTGCAAAGCGCCAAAGGCCTCGAGGTAAGTGAAGAGCAGCTCCATGTCCGAGAAGCCTTGCTGCATTGACGGGTTCGCTGCCAGCGCCTCATCCTTCTGCAGCTTCTCAAGAAGATCGCGCTGCCCCTTGAGCACCACATACTGCCCTATCATACCGTCAGTCAATCTCGACAAAGGCGGGTCGTTCTGAGCTACTTACCAATTTTGTCGGCCGCCTCGGGAGCCAGCCCCTTTTCGTCAACCATCTCCTTCCTGACATCAGCCCAAGGCATCTTATCAAGCTTATCCACAGCGGACGAGATGGGGCGAATGAGGTGGTCCGGCACGCCGCAGACTTGGAAGAGGCCGTCGAGGATTTTCCGTGAGTTAAGCTTGATGGTGTATTTCCCTTGCCAGCCTAGGCCCTCAAAAACCTCATTGATGATCCTAATCTGGTGGGGTTGTCAAATTCAGGGCCCAAGTCGAGGGTATGGTGCGATTGGATGCAAAGGGCAGACGTACGATTTCGGCATCGGGAATCATAGGATCGTACACGCCCTAGAATCCCTGTCAGTTTCACGTTACGGGGCATAGGTGCATGAAGCGAGGGTGATATGATAGGTCTTACAGCAATATCAAAACTATTTGAATGCGAGTGAACGGTTAACTCTGACATCCGAGGGAGTTCTTGCATGAAAAGCGTCTTCAGTTGGGACGTCAGAAAGAAACATACTCGCATTGGTACTATGCCGCCATGTCAGTCTGACCATTCATTGAAGGGAAGGCAGAAGGGGCTCTACAAATTCTCTCATGCGGCCCTTCTTCACTGCCGGCTGGTCTCTGCGGTAGACCTTGGCGATGTGGTAGCGCTTGATCTGGGTGACGTCCTTGTTCATGGCCAAATACCGAGCTACACCGTCGTTCAGTGTCACCATCGTAGGTCTTGGGTCGGTTGAGGGCATACCGAAAGGAACTGTCAGGTCATATCGCAAGCTGCAGAGCTCGCCGCCCTGGTCTGCCAGGTCGTACTGTGATGGAATCAAAGTTAGTCCCCAGCGCCTCTCATATGGAGTAAGAAAATAAGCCGAGCCAGAAAGCTACTCACGATGAGTTTGCTGTCCTCGCCGTATTTCCCTGGTGCGGCGCCTTGTCAGCTTGATCCCGGGCGGTCGAAGTGATCAATCTATGTACCTGCAAGAATTTCTGGTTACCGTCAGCTAACATATTGTCCCCTTAGACCAAATCGGCTGCGGCGAGAACCACCAACCCTTCAGCTCGAATACGGGCGTGTCGATGGTGACACCGCCATGGCGCTCTTTTTGTTTCGTCAGTCCCATTTTCTCGGCGCAACTCTTGCCAGACCACACACATACTGAAGACGTCGGTGATGGTCTTGAATATTTTCTCCCTGAGCACCATGTCCGGGCCAGACCCTGGACGTACTATTAGACTTGATTCGAGGAGGGGTTTATCTCGGCAAAACGCACAGTCTCTGGTGCCCTTAGGGGTCCTGCGGGGACTTGATTAGCCATTGCTTCAGAAGAAACCGGCCGGGATAGACGGGCACTGACTTAATCTCGAATTTGGGGGCTTTGGGCGCCATAATCGTGGCAACCGCGGGGTCGGCGGGGTTCGTCACCGAAAGCGTCGCCGAAGAGAAGGAGGAGGACGAGGTCGTCGCGAATTGTGGCGAGGGTTCGAGTTTGAAGGGTGCGATTGAGAGGGTAACCACTGTCCTAGTCAAGCCTGGTCGTGCTCGAGCAGACCGGATGGCGAGGATCCACGGGCTCTGCATCCAAAATGCGGGTGGAATCTGGCGCGGGGTGACTCAAGCTCTGCCTCGCCGTTGAGCGTCGGTGGCCGCCGGCAAAACCTCTGCAATCGTTCTGAATGCGGGTCCTGCAAGGCTGAGTGGAAATCAAAGTGCGGGACGTAGTTCGATTGGTTGCTTGACTGGCTTTTGAATCCGCCGCTAACCTTAAGTTATCAGATCCGTCTTTCAAATGAAACTGCAAACCAAAGCATCAGTAAGGGCGACATTGTCCCTCCGCAGGCGACGACGACTGGGAAAGCGTGGAGAAAGCGGACTCTGGACATGTTGTAATATGCAATGTGCCTACTTGTGGGCCTCTAATCAGACTTGTCCGTGACTGGCGAAATGCCAGTTCTTCGTATTCACCATTCGGCTTCAACTTTTACAACAACACCAGAGCATGGAGGCAACTTGGAGCCCGATGCATCGGGTCGACCTAATACTTGACATTGACACAAGGCTTGATGCGAGATGGAATCTTTCCTTTGCACATGTACTGTGGAGGATAGGCACAGCGCTCCACGACACACATACAGCATCCTTCTCGGTACCGAGTATGCGGTGTACTCCGTTCAGTGATTAAGGTTGGTACTGTACTGTACCCAGGCTGGTAGGTACAGTACGTAGTGTGTCTCGCTAATAACGGGCAGGCTGGCGGGGTTACGGGGTACGGTTTGGATGGCCCGCTTCCTTCCCGTCGCATTGCGTGGTGCTTTTTTGGGAACCCCAACGGCCGCCTTCTTGCATTCAACGCATCACGCCCCTACAGTGGGCTCTTGTCAACAGCTTGACAGAGAACAGGCTTCGTCAGACCTCACGCGTCGTATTTTTCCATGCCAGTCACTCATGACTGGCTGTCAGTTGGATGGGGCATCCGTCTTGGCGGCGCGGGAATCTGATGACAAGACTCGAAAGTTCCATAGCGGCTGATTGCGGCTGGACCAAAGAAAACAACTCTGAATCGCTCTGAACCATCGGGAAACCCTTGGCGCTATCTCACTCAGGTCACTTTTCGTATGCGTATTCCTTGTCAAAAGGCAACCCTTTTTGTGAGGCTCGGTCTTCGGACACTTGAGCACCCCGGCACACCACTACTACAATTCATATCAATTGAGGATTGCTTGCCTGCCTTGGGGCTACCAGGCATCCATTCATTAGTTTCTTCTGCTTATAGTTTCTCGTTTCTGATTTGAACAACACGTCTCGGTTTCATACAGATGGGCCTCGTCTGAAGTCTCCAATGGCCCCAACAGCCAACATGGCCGAGAGCAGCGCTGCTGATAGCGTCGAAAAGTCGGCAAACCCGCCGACTTCGGTTGACGACAATGAAACAAAGGCGGTCCCCGTTGACAACCAAGCCGATAGTGACGGCCCGGCCAAGAAGGACGTCAACGCGCGACCCGAGAGGGAGGCAACCGCAGGCGACTACTTCCGCGTCTTCACCTACGCGACAAAATGGGACTTTGTCCTGATGGCCGCTGCCGCCATCGCCAGTCTCGCCGCGGGCACCACCCTGCCACTGATGAATATCGTCTTTGGCAGGCTTGTCGTCGACTTTAACACCTTCTCGACGCCAAACTCCCCGGCGAGCGACGAATTCTCGAGCAACGTCAACCGCCTGTCCCTCTACATATTCGCCCTCTTCATTGCCCGCTTCGGGCTGAACTATATCAACAAGTTCTGCTTCCGTCTCATTGGCATCCGCATGTCGGCGGCCATTCGGCTGCACTACATCCGCTCTCTCTTCAGCCAGACCGTCCATGTCCTCGACTCGATGCCCTCGGGCGCCGCAGCGAGCACCATCACCTCGACCGCCAACACGCTGCAGCTCGGCATTTCGGAGAAGCTCGGCACTTTCCTCGAGTTCCTTTCCGTCATCGTTACCGCCATCATCATTGCCTTTGTCTACAGCTGGTCCCTGACGCTCGTGACGGCTTCCGTTATCCTGTTTATCTCCCTCGTCATTTCCATTCTTTTGCCCTTCATCATCAAGGGGCAGTCGAGGCTGACCAAGGCAGACGCCAAGGGCACCTCGGTGGCGACCGAGGCCTTTGGCACCATTCGCATGATCACGTCGTGTGGCGCCGAAGCCCGCATGAGCGAGCGATATGCTCAGTGGGTAAAGAAGGCCAAGCAGGCCACCCTCTTCACCTCGCCTTTCATGGCGGCCCAGTTTGGCTTGATCTTCTTTGGTCTGTACGGCGCCTTCGCGCTGGCGTTTTGGTTCGGCATGAAGTCGCAGATCGAAGGGCGCATCGACAACATTGGCACGGTCATTATCGTGCTCATGTCGGTAATGCTCATGGTTATCTCTTTGGAGCGCATCTCAACCCCTCTGATCGCCGTCTCCAAGGCCATGGTGGCCGCCGCCGAGTTCTTCGCCGTCATCGACGCACCCAAGCCCAACATGGGCACGCTGAAAGAGCCCGATGTTTCGGCCGACCAGGATATCGTATTCGAAGACGTCCACTTCGCCTATCCTAGCCGTCCGTCGAAAAAGGTCCTCGACGGCTTGAATCTCCGAATCACTGCCAACTTGAACACGGCCATCGTGGGTCCCAGCGGCTCTGGCAAGAGCACCATTGTCGGGCTGATTGAGGGTTGGTACACGCTGCATGACCAGTTCGTAATTGCCAAGGCCGTCGAGAAGGACAAAAAGAAGAAGGGGAAGGACGAGAAGGACAAGAAGAAGGACAAGAAAGATGATGACGATGAAGAGGATGAGGCGGATGCTGCTGCCCCGCTGGAAGCAGAAGATACGGGCCCTCCGGTCGAGCTGAAGGGCAGCATATCGACATGTGGAACGCAGCTCGGGGACATCGACATCAAGTGGTGGAGGTCGCAGATCGGCCTCGTGCAGCAGGAACCCTTCCTCTTCAACGACACCATTTTCCGCAACGTTGCAGCCGGCCTAATTGGGACCCAGTGGGAGAATGAGTCAGATGAGGTCAAGCGCGAACTCGTCAAGGAGGCCTGTGCTGAAAGTTTTGCTGACGAGTTCATCGACCGCTTGCCGGACGGCTACGACACCAAAGTTGGTGATTCAGGCGCCAAGCTGAGCGGTGGACAGCGTCAGCGGATCGCCATTGCCCGCAGCATCATCAAGAAGCCAAAGATTCTCATCCTCGACGAAGCCACCTCGGCCATCGACGTGCGCGGAGAGCGGATCGTGCAGGCGGCTCTGGAGAGGGCCTCGAAGGGCCGTACCACCATCACAATCGCACACCGGCTGTCGACCATCAAAAATGCCGACCGCATCTGCGTCTTGCAGAACGGGCGCGTGGTCGAGGAGGGGACCCACGACAGCCTGCTTGAAAACGAGTTGGGCGTCTACTACGGGCTCGTGCACGCCCAGAAGCTGTCGCTCGGCGAGGACACGGGCGAGGAGCTCCAGCACGAGGAAGACATCGGCGCTGTTCTCGCGCGCGAAAAGAGCGCGGCTAAGTCGGTGGCGGAGAGCGCGACGCAAGTCGCCAAGTGGAAGGAGCGGAACCTCTTAAACGGGTTTGGAAAGCTCATGTACGAGCAACGCAGCCGGTTCCCCTTCTATGCTATTGCCCTCATTGGCGCCATGGGTGCCGCCGCGGCCATACCCCTCCAAGCTTACCTCTTTGCCCAAGTAGTAAGCGTTTTCCAGGTTCCGGACCTGGATGAAGCTGCCTTCTGGTCAACCATGTGGACTGCCCTCGCCGCTGGGATCGGATTTAGTTATTTCCTCACCGCGTTCGTTTCAACCAACTTGGAGGGCTACATCGCGGCTGTCTATCGGCAGGAGTACTTTGAGTCAATCATGTTTCAGCCGACATCCTATTTCGACAAAGATGATAACGCGACCGGCCAGCTGACTTCGCGTCTCTCGAGTGACCCGCAGGCGCTGAAGGAGCTGCTGGGTATTAACTTGATGATGCTGCTCGTCGGCATCTTCTCCCTGGCAGGTGCGCTAGCCATCTCGTTTGCCTACGGTTGGAAGTTGGCGCTGGTCGCCCTCTGCGTGACGGTCCCGCTTGGCGTCCTGGCCGGCTACTTCAGAGTCCGGTACGAGCTGCAGTTCAACGCCATGAACGAGGCCGTGTTCCAAGAGAGCTCCAAATTCGGCGCCGAGTCGATCGGTGCCTTCCGGACGGTTACCGCCTTGGTCATGGAAGACAGCATCTGTGACCGGTACCAAGAGCTGCTCAACGGCCATGTCATGGCGGCGTTCAAGAAGGCCCGGCTCACGACCGTGATCTTTGCCTTTGCCGACAGCGTCAGCTTGGCCACCCAGGCCCTCATCTTCTGGTACGGCGGCCAGCTGCTCTTATCGGGGGAGTACGACGTCATCGCCTTCCTTGTCACCTACATGGCCGTGATCCAGGGCGCTGAATCGGCCGGCCAGTGGCTGAGCTTCGGACCCAACGCGGCGCAGGCTTCCGCGGCGGCAAACCGTATCTTGCAGGCGCGCGAGACGCGCATCAAAGACTCGGTCTTGCAGTCGGAGCAGATCCCCGAGACGGACGGCGGCGTCAAGATCGAGCTCAAGGACGTCTACTTCAAGTATCCCACCCGCGACGTCTCCATCTTCAAAGGCCTGAACCTCACCATTGAAAAGGGCCAGTTCGCCGCCCTGGTCGGCGCGTCCGGGTCCGGCAAGACGTCCATCATCAGCCTGCTGGAGCGCTTCTACGACGTGAACAAGGGCCAGATTCTGTTCAACGGCAAGGACATTACCGAGATGAACGTCTACGAGTACCGCAAGCTCCTGTCGCTGGTGGCGCAGGAGCCGTCGCTGTTCCACGGCACCATCCGCGAGAACATCCTGCTGGGCGTCGACCCGGCGTCGGTGACGGACGAGCAGCTGCACCAGTGCTGCAAGGACGCCAATATCCACGACTTCATCGTGTCGCTGCCCGACGGGTACAACACCAACATCGGCAGCCGTGGTGTCAGCCTGAGCGGCGGGCAGAAGCAGCGGCTGTCTATTGCCCGCGCTCTCATTCGGAATCCGCGCGTGCTGTTGCTGGACGAGGCCACGAGCTCGCTGGACTCCGGTGAGTATCCTCGGTTGTTAAGTGTTTTGGGATGGATTTGCTGATATATCATGACAGAAAGCGAGAAGCTCGTGCAGGCTGCGTTTGAGCGTGTCGCCAAGGGCCGCACGACGGTCGCTGTGGCACATCGTCTTGCCACGATCCAGGGTGCAGACATCATCTACGTCCTTGGCGAGGGCAAGGTGCTTGAGAAGGGCACCCACGCCGAACTGCTCAAGCAGAAGGGCGTGTATTGGCATATGGTGCGTCGGGCCCTCCACATGAACGGGCCGGATGTCTGTAGACTGCTTGTGCTAACAATTCTGACAGTGCCATAACCAAGCCCTTGACCGGTAGCCTTGGCAGTCACCTACCTTATTGTGGCCACTGCCTGCTTCGCCTTCTTCGTGTAATCACGCTTACCTTTCCTTTTTTTTTTTTTTTTTTTTCGTGCTACGGCTGGAGAGCCTGAATACCATGTTCCACTTACTTCTATGAAAATAACAGTTGAATTATCCGGTTTATTGGGCGCATGGGACGGTGGGAAAATACAGCTCAGGAAGTGTTCAGGGTTACTCGCTTCGCCGCTCGTCAACAGCACCCGCCTCTCTTGTATCAATGCATCTGCCACTCTCCATTCTGAGGAAGAGGAAAGGGCCATCTCTTGTATGTTTTCATATGCTAAATAGACGGCGGAAATCTTGGGTGGACTATTACCACACACGGCAATTATAGAATGCTCTGGTTGCCGTTCGCTCCATCTCCATGTATCCTAGTGTCGTGGGTGTCGAAACGCTGCCGCAATCGCGCCCCTTGCATTGGCGGCTGAGGTGGTCGGATCGGCGATTCAAAGCCTGGACAGGTACTCCGTACTGTACATACACGGTATATCATAATTAAATGCCCAGGCAGGCCTACATCCTCTTTCGCGTCGCGTTCTGCATGTAACATCCAGCCATTCCAACCTATCGCCATCAAAATGGCAGGGACAAACCAGATTTCAGCCGTCCAAGCCGCGAGATGGTTGTTGCCGCCTAAGACAGCTTCCACGGCCGCGAAACATCCTCCCCACTCGTACGGCCGTCCACGCGCCTGCTGAAACAGAGGCTCCCTCCGGCCGGTATTCGCGACGCAGCCAGGATCTTCAAGACCGGGAAGTCGCAGGTTGCCCGCCGCTTCAAGGCTCTGAGGCCGACCGAACGCCCTGCCTACAGCGATCGCCTACCAGGGAGGCCGCGGAAGCTAGAGGACCAACTGGTACGGCCGAGGAGGAAACCCAAAACCACAGACACAACAACTGTTATCTCAACCGTCGGTTACAAGCGGCACAGCCCTCAATACCCCGCCCAGCAACCTCCTGTTATCTGTGGATGTCCAGAACAACCAGACACCGACCCTCAAACCCAATCAACTACCACCACCGAATAATAATACCAGTGCCAACATTCCCAACCGAGCAAGCCACCGATCTTCGGCACCCAACCACCTAATAATAAACACAAGCCCAAACGAAGACGCAAAAGGAAAATGACCACCCCTCTCTCGGCCTCCTCCCCAGACGACGTAACCGCCGTCTGTGCAGCGCACGATCTGACCTTGGACGAGTTCCACGCGCTGCAGTCGCACGCCCAGGAAGCCAAAACCCGCGCCTACTGCCCCTACAGCAAGTTCCGCGTCGGCGCGGCGCTGCTGACTCGCTCGGGGGCATACGTCACGGGCGCCAACGTTGAGAACGCGAGCTACCCCGTGACGACGTGCGCGGAGCGGGTGGCGTTTGGAACGGCGGTTGTTGCGGGGTACCATCAGCAGCAAGCAGCAGCGCAAGCTGGGAACGGGAATGCAGCAGCAGCAGGAGGAGGAGAGGGTGGTTTCAAAGCGGTTGCCGTCGCGACGGATGCAGTTGGGCCCGCGAGTCCGTGTGGCATGTGTCGGCAGTGGTAGCTGTTTTTTTTTTTTTTTTTTTTTTTTTTTTTGGTGCTTGATCCAATGTGAAGGGGAGACGGCTGACTGGTGCATGCTGCTAGTATACGCGAGTTCTGCGACCTCAGCGTGCCCATCATTATGTTTGACAAGGACAGCAAGTTTATCGTGATGAAGCTGGAGGAGGTGAGTACTTCTCAGCCCGCATCATTTGGCTAGCTATTGTGCTGATACGCTATAGCTCCTTCCGCTGTCGTTTGGCCCCGATGCGTTGGGAGCCCCGGACCCGGCCAAGTCGTGAGCTGGATAACCTAGCTCAGTCAGTGTATTCGTGATATTTTGCGAGCATACATGTATTTGTTGGGTGGCCGGAGTTATGGAAGGGCTTATCAAGGGGATAGCGTCAACTTGCGGCTGCAATATGCAGGCGGGAAGCAGATCCGTCAGGAACGATGGGCGCAGCATACTTAGGTCGGGTCAGCAAGCATGCATTCCGATTCCGAAGCCGTCCTCTATAGCTCTGTTAACAAGGTCTCATCAGGGTCGAGAGTTGGCAAGCGGTCAACCAGACGACATCAGCGAACAGATTAGATCCAAACAAACAAGCTTTCTCGCCTCTGTCTCGCCAGATATCGCAATGAATGTCCCGCTACATAATGTACGGTGAGGGAATGGTATCTGGTTTTCGCATAAAGATATAACCCACGTGGTCAGCCCAAACTCCCATGTCCCAACACAAACTATACGCCTGCCAAACCCAGTTCCCAACCAATCCAGGTGTACGCCGCCCCTAATGACCCATAAATATGCCCTCCTTAGAAGACCCGAACCTTATGTCTCACGGCCCTAAAACCCATACCCATCATGCTGATGCATCGGACACCGCCCCGGATGCCTCTCCCACCAGGCATTGATGCACGCCCGATGGAACCGACACAGACACTCGAGCCGGGCCATGGCGACGCCCACCTCGAACTCCTCGAGGCAGATTGAGCACTCGGCCGAGTCGACACAGTCCTTCTCGGTGGCCGCGTAGGGGAACATACCCGTGAGGCGGTACGGCACAGGAGTGGGCAGCGCGCCCGGGTTGTTGCTGTTCCCCTCTCCCCCGCCGGACCCCAACGCTGACGTGCGCCCGCCGGACCATGTGTGGGAGACGAGGCAACTGGTGATGTGTGACTCCCGGAGCGACTCAAAATTGGGGAGGGTGCGCGGCGGGAGCTCGCGGTGGCAGACGGGGCATTCGTCTTCTTCGGCGATTTGGGGCGCTGGGCGGCGCAGGGCAGCGGGCCTCTGAAAATGGCGGATCGCAGATGAGGGAGCATATAGCGCCGCGGCGGATGAAGGACCTGGTCGGTGGCGGCCCTCGGTCAGCGCTCGGTAGTGTGGAGTGGGCGCTGGGTGAGGGCGAGGGGCGTGGGAGGTTGACGATGACACTGGCGGTGTACCCCAGAGAATGCGGTCCTCGTTACTCCTAGGCGGGGGAAAAGGCGATCGAGATGGCAATAACGGCCCAGGCTGCTGCGGCATAGGTTAAACCGAGTCCAATGTGACATCCAAGGAGCATGCTGGCGCCCAACTCACCATAGTGACGCTTCGACTTCTCGTTTGCACGTTGCCGGCAAATTCTCCGGCGCCAAAGTAGTGGCTCCATACACCACCGAGCAGCGGGCTTCCAACCTGTACAGGCGGGCTGGCGTTATTTTGCGGCCCTGACTGGCCTCCTTGAACCTGAGGCGGAGCCGTGTTGGGATCAGGGACGCAAGGGTTGCATAGCCTGACTCTCTCGCCACCACCAATCTCGGGGTACCATTCGCCATTCAGAAGGGCGAGTGAAAGCTCGCCAGGCAGAGCACTAGGCGTGCCGGGCGGCCGGACAATATACTGGGAGGGTATTGTGATGCGGTGCGGCGAGCACGAGTTACACACTACCCGGCCACATTTACTATGATCCGGGGGGTTAGCCTCAAGCCATTAGTCATGTTGGGATCGTGTACTCACCGACAGTGATGTTTCCTAACAAAGATACTGAACTGCGTGCCACAGATCGGGCAGTAGGTCGCTTCCGAATCCGGCTGCCACCGCGGCAGCACCACCTCCGATGGGCGGGCAGGCTGGGCCGGCGTCGACGAGGTTTGAGACGGGGTGGGCACAGGCCTCACCACCGAAGCAGAGCCAGCGGCAGACATGTTGAGAGCCAGGGGGCTGTGTGCAGATCGGCTGTCTCCGCTCAGGAAACCCCGGACTGGGGATGTATGCGTTATGGGCAGGTGCCGTTCTCGAGGCGGGCTTCCGGCGTTAGGCGTCGCCATGGCCGAATAGATGGCAGCACATCCGGCGCGGTCAACGGTTGAAATGCTGTCCAGAAGGCGGTTTTTCAACCAGGGAAGTGTATAAGAATGGCGTGTGTCGTTGGGTGCTAGAACTGGTTAGCCGGCCTCTCCGTCGGCAAGGCCTGCTCGGTCGCCCAGCCGAGTGCCGATGCCCGATGTACCAGAAACACAGTGTCTGCCCAAGAGGTGTGGGCCACAATCAAACGACCGGTGCTGTTGTGCTGAATTATAGGATGCAGTCTTCGAAGGGGGGGAAAAAAAAGCTAGGAGGCGGTGGACCAGTCGAGCGTTCGGGGGTGTTGGTCTAGGGCGGTTCCAGTGTCGCCGTCTGCTGACCTGCTTCTCGCCTCATCAAGCAGGAGAACGGCCGATATCCAGAAGGAGCGCGACGGCTGACTCCTTATAGTGCTGTTCCAGGACGAAAGGCTGACTTCTTCACAGTCCCGACCTCCAGCTTCTGGAGCTGTTTCCGCACCGATCCAGGACAGATGAGGGTGGTAGGTTGGAGGAGCAGTGTGGAGGGGCAACTTTCTCAAACGAGCTGGGTCAACATACCTCCTGTGGTAGGATGCCTTGCCACAGGCCGGGGCCAGATCCGGGGACGATAATAAGTGGGGCACATCGGTCATCGTTATCGCGTCCAGGCGTCAGCGGACAGTGGTGGCCATTGCCCCGAGTTCCAGTGATGTTCTCCGACATATCTCTCGAGATACCAAAAGCCATTGATGAATTAACGGCCTGCCAGATTTTCGAGATAATCATAGGCCGTTCCTTTCCGACCTTTCCCTCCAATATGTTCTGCTTCCGAGTCCTGGCTGTTGGGAAGTAAAGAGTGGGTTGAAACGCAGAGCGGCCCCTAAAAACGGGTTGCTTGACCAAACACCACTGATGCATATATTAGGTAGCTATTGAATTCAAGTCAGACCTTTCAAGACTCTCACCCCCCACACTCGCCCCATCGCTTTTGGGCTGTTTAGGCCGTCGATTTCGGTGATTACTCTCACTCCTGGCTTCGTGCAGCAGAACTGCCCAGAAAACTCTGACAATGGCAGGAATAAATGGCAGGCTCATGTTTTGTGGCATGGCTTGAATCGTCAGCTCTCCTGAACCAAGCTCCCGGCATGGACCGTTGGTCGGAGAATTGCAAGATCGAGCACAGAATGGGGTTCCGTGAGATGGCTCGTCTGCCCTTTGAGTCGGGCCTCTCGCTTTCCTACAGCCTTGCAAGTTGCTCGTGGCATGATCCCTTGCAGAAAGAAGCCAATCAGGTGTTGCGATACGCAGAAAAGAAAGCTACCATGACGCTGAGCAGGCGTTCCATTCTTGCTGCTGGCTAGATTTGAAAGTGGTTGGCGCCCGTGACAGGCCTTCCGGCCGGCGAGCTTACCAGGAAATAACTACTTGTACTACTTGTTGAAGTCGCGAGCCAGTCACTTCCCCTGTTGGATAAAGGCAAGGACAAACCTCAAACGCGGGTTATGCACACGAAGTCATGCGGCGCAAGACAAGACCAAGAAACCTTGACATGACAAGGTCCATATCCTTTCTTTGGTGTCAGCAGCTGAAGAAGGGGCCGGTCAAGGCGTCACGAAACGGTGACTGGTAATCCTGGTTCCAACGGTGGCCATTTAAATGAGTATCATTCCAAGCCACTGCGTTGCTGACCACGAGTCTGAGCTGAGGGTACCGGAAGATTCCATCTCTTTGCCTCGGTGAGCCACCGGCCACAAGCCCACGTACAGTCACACAACACCATGACGCCGAATCTGTAGATTGCCATAAACACCGGTCTTCTCATGACCTCAACAACGCGGCCAGACTGGAGTGAATCTTTGCCAGAATTGGAACCAAGGCTGGGCAGGAGAAGCATATATGCCCCCTTCCCATGCTGCCCATCACCTGCCCCATCCACAATCTTTGAAAGTCACAACCATTACCAGCCTTCACGTACAAAAGTACTCTCAAGCGCCCGAGCATTGGGCAGACCACCCTCCTACCACATCCTGCACATCCACATCTCACAAACCGGCATCCACCGTGGTGTCCACCGACTCCCTAGCGACAACGTCGACACCATGTCCAACCCCGCTTGCGGTCACATCAACCAGCAGGGGTGCTACTGCAGGAACATGTCCGAAACCGGTAAGACACTCTGCAAGCGTTGCGAGGACAAAAATTGCGGCCAGAACAACTGAGGGCCAGGCGGACAGGAAGGCACACCGAGTGATCAAGTCAGGCCAAGCAAATCGTGCAGACGGGGGGCGGTCCTGGAAATCACCAGGGGTGGTGCCTGAGTTACCCTGATGAGGACTGGGGCTGGATTGGTTGCAATTGGCATCCTGCGCCTCCGGGTCTCAAGCAGCAGAGAAGGAAATATAGAATCTCGAGATTGGAAGAGCGCGGCGTGTTTTCTTCCGTTGTTACTGTGTAGAGGGATATGGCCTGGGCATAGAGAGCTCTCGTTGAGGGAAGGGGGTAGAGTCTGAGGTGGGTTGGGAGTGAGGAAAACGATAACGGAGATGTTGCTCAGGGATAGTGCTAAGGGCCTCTTAGAAACCCTAAGCGGCGTATTTCAGCTGTATCTTAAATCAATTCGCGTTGCTTGGGCTTTGTTTGATTGCTTGCCATTGTAGCCTTCAACCCCCGCGATGTGGACAATGTGATAGTGTCCTACAAGTGAGCAATGTTTGGAATGGAACACCACATACGTACTTACCACGACGGCAAACCGGGCTAGCATCGAGGATTCGGTACATGTAAGTGGCCCGCGGCGCGAGTGAGGAGGTAAAAAATCACCATACCAAGGGCCAACCTGAAGGGTTGACCCGTATAGGAGAATGGATTCACCTTATGGTTTCCCTGACTTTTTTGCCCGCGACAATGCTCCGATCCAAGCTATCCCGAGGGCAGGACATGTGATTAGCATGTGCCTTTGCATGCATGAGCTACTTAGCCGATCTGCTGTGTAGATCATAGATCGGCAGACTCTGCAGACTCACTCTGGCAGGCGGTTCCCTTCGACAGGCAATTGCCTAAAATCATTTGTGGGAAGAATCGTCGATGTCCAAGGAGTGCTCGGGGCTAACATCAGACGAGCCAACACTGGGCAGGACCGACGAGTTTTTATCATTGTCAATTCATGCCAGGGTTTATTGCGCTCGCCTTGAAGCTATGCAACAAACCCCAACGAAACTCCTGGGCCATGATGCCCAAAGCCGTGCCGTTGTGGGAGCATTGCTTTCCTGTCTATGGTTCAACATGCCAGCCAGTAGCCCATGTTAAAAAAGGGAAAGCTACCAAGAGTCCCTCTGAGATTTCAAAAGTCCGTTCCCCTTCCCTCCCTCTCACTTAACCGAAAAGCCCCAAACATCGCGTCTCCAGGGAAATAAGTAATATGAGCCGAGTAAGAATCGAAAGTCGAAAAAAAACAAATGAGTCGGTTAGGGTATAAGTCGTAAACGCTAGATAGCTCGCCTCCCCTCCGTCCCTCTCAAAGAAACATCCACGAGAGATGTCGCACTTAAGCGAAGAGAGCAACGCCAGCGCCGAGCACACCGAGGAGCACAGCAGGCTGGACAAAGAGACCGCCGGCAGCGGCGGTGGAGACTGTCGAAGATGGAGCGGCCGTCGTCCTGGTGGACGTCACCTCGCGGCTCGAGGACGGGGCGAGGGTGGCACGAGAGCTGGAGGAGGGGGGGAAGGAAGAACCGGCGGTGGGGCCGCGGGTGCTCGTCGAGTTGGACACAGGGAATGATGCCCAGCTTGTCGTGGTCGAGGTGGTGGTGGAGGTGGAGTGGCCCGGGCAGTTGGTTGCGGACGGGTTGCACTGGGTGATGGTGACCGTCTTGGTCATGGTCTGGGTCGACGTGGTGGTGGTGTCGACATCTTGGGCAGCGACCAGGGACAGGCCGGTGGCCAGAACGGCGACGATGCTCTTGAACTGCATTGTGTCTGGATGGTGTGACTCAAACGCCGAGCGCCGTCGTGGTTGTCGTTGTTGGTGAGGATCGCGAACGATGTTTGGTCTCGAGATTGGCGCTTGGGAGATCGTGTCGGGCGAAGAATGATCAACGAGTCCTGCGTCTTGGAGAATGGGCAAATCGGCGAATCCAGAAAATCGATCGGATTGTTCTTGGAAAGGGCGGTTTTTAAAAGAGTGTGAGGCTGAGAGCCGAAGGCACGAAAAGGAGTGGATAGCTGCTGGGATGCGCTGAGTGTGAAAGGGGAGGAGGAGGGAGCGCGGAGCGGATGGGGTTGGGGATCCGTGTTTTTAGGGCAGCTTTGCGCCCTGGCACAGCTGCCCGGTGCTTGCGAGTTGCGACCATTCCTGCTGACAGCAACCGGGATTGCCACACACTTCTTGGTCGGACGAAAACCGGGTACCTTGCAGAAGTGGAGAGTGACCCTGAGTCTAAGACACTGCTCATTGGCTGTCTGGATCGAACCGCCAGGGGTAAAAGTCGCTTCGTCCACTCATTTGCAGATGCGGGTTCCAACTTGGCAATCTGCTCATCCTTGCTCCTGCCGAACTCTGAGCAGGCGGGAAGCGGGCGACAACTCATCAACAGATGGGATGACGAATGCTGCAAGAGTCTGCAGAAACCTTTTCTTGTTTGCCACGTTTCGGCACATGTACCGTAAGCTGTCTCTTCGAAGAAAAATGTCTCAAGCGAGCGAGTCAATACGATTGGCACGAGATTCCAAAAGTGTTAGGGGTGACAGGGCTTTACTGAAACGGCGTGTGCCATTCGGGTTGTGGCACTGTCTTACGGTGTGCGCCTCTGTCGTGGCATGGTGAGGGCAGAAAACCCGGAAGCCTGAACCTGATCGGGAATTCAGGACGAGAAAACAACGGAAAAAAGGCACGGCCCTCGAGGCTGGCTGCCGCCATTGTGACAACACCAAAACTTCCAACAGGCACAGTAGGTATGGCAAAGTATTGCAGCCGCGCACATGGCACCTTGATTTCGAGATAGATGATGAAGGGACGTGCCGCAACCTTAAAGGTCCCAAGACTGCTAATCTGAGACCGCCGATGTGCTTGGCAGAAGGTTATCCTTATTTCGGCTGTAAATCTCAAGCTGGCCACAAAACCCTCTCGAGCCCCCTTTCCAATCTCCATTAACTGCAGGTCCACCAACACCTGGGGTCGACGCGAGCCAGAGTACCGAAGACGGAGCACAACAGAAGATGTGGCCGTCGTTAACGGTACAATGTATATCCGTATGCCACAGGTCAGTCATCAGTTGCTAGAGCGGCTTTATATGGAGCAGCGATTCGAAAGTCAGGTTCCCGCGAACGGGACCACGGAGTAGGGACCTAGAAACCTGCCGTCGGCACGGACGTATTGGGTTGTCAAAGAAGGTTGGTCAGCCCAGCGAAGGCTTCCAGTACATGGTGTAATAATACCTTAAGTGATGGGCGGAACCAAGGAAAAGACGCTCGCTGAAAGGAAACAAACCACAAAGGCTACTCATTTGCCCTCGCGAGAGGGCTGATAGTCAACCACAATACCTGCCCGGTTTATATTACACTGCACTTGTACACATGCTCAGATATAACGTGATGTACTGCTAACGTCAAGCAATCAATTCCAACATAAACCCAATCAAGTGAGTGCCGTGCTACCTGGAAAAGAGTGAAGAGTGAACTCATGTCAACAAGGGCCCCAAAGATCGGCCACAACACTTTCTTGTCCAGAAGATTCTAGTCCTTCCTCCTGAAACACAGTTCCAGTAGCCTCGGCGGAACATCCACATCCCATGTCCGACCAGGAGTCAGTTTCTCGCCTCCGGCCAGGAGTCCGTTCAAGATTTGGACGATGATCCAGGCTATTCGCTGCTGGCCCCGCGACGAACCATGACGCCGTGAGTTGGGGGGTCGCGCTGTTCCTGAACCAGTTGAAGGCGCTGCTGTGCAAATAGCCCAAGGTGATCAGATATTGCACATACTCCATGGTCCACTCGTTGCAGCGTTTGTTGACCACCTGAGAACACGTTAGCATTGAGCACCAGGGGAGTTGACGCTGAATGGAAGAACATACACCATCAACAGGAGCCCTGACGTCGCTCTTCCCGGGGAGTGGCACCTCAAGAGCTGCCACATCAAGAGGCCCCAGGGCGCGTTGGTCACTGGAAACCTCATCGCTACTTGTATCGGCATAAAGGGATTCACCGGCGTATCCAAGTAAAACAGTCATAATCAACGTCATCGAGTCAAAGGTAACATAGTTGCGCTTGAATTTGTGGTAGAAGCCAGTTAGTGGGTCGCCAACGACATGTATAACTGTGCCACGGCACTCTTCGGCGTCCGAGGCGTTCGGAATGAAGATGGCGAAGTGGCCGTGTTGTTTTGAAGGTCGCCCGTTCCCAAATAGTTAGGCAGAACGGGAAGCCATTGCTGCTGGAAAAGTCAAAGAGAACGTATCAAGTCGAGGAACGTTAGGTATAGAATATAAGAGGAACTGTACCAGATGGTGAAATCACACCCAAAACTTATACTTCTTCGCCCAGAGGGACTATGTCTGGCCATGTGGCACCTATGGGACTGCCTGCTCTCCATCTATTTAAGGATACGACTAGCCGCCTGAAGAGCAAACTCATGCCCTGAGAACGCTGGCAACGGCACTGTGGCAGTTCTCCGTGAAGTCGAAAACCAATGGCTAGTACCTATCATGCGTTGGAGCTGGCTGTGGGACTGACCAGAGCCCATGATGGGTATGCAGAGAGTCGTTGGTGTTGGATCACGCCTGCTCGCGAGCCAGCCTCGAGAGTCAGGGGCAACTCGTATGACTGCTCCCTTGATCTCCATGGGCGAGTAGGCGCGTTGGCTTCGGGGTCTCCATTTTGGCCCGCAGCCCGCGAGGTGGCCACCATCAGCATAACGCTTCAATGTGATGACGGCGGCCCTCCATGGAGGCAGAGTCATGATCTTTCTGTGCAAAGCACTCAAAGACACAATGCAACTCCGCAAGAGGAGCCAACAAGGCCGCAGTCGTTCCGTAGCTTAGCGCCCATTATCCATGGAGAACTAGGTACTGAACGTTCTAGTCGGCTGTTGGCCCCGGCAGAGCGTTAGTGTTGGTTGGTACTTGCAGGGTGGCATCAACGCTCGCCTTTGATCTATGCAAATTAGGTGATACCTGTGGACCACATGCTCCATATAGAACATTGGAAAGGCACGATTCATCAAACCCCGAATTGTGACCCCAATGAGACGCGCGTATGCTGGGTGGGGATAAAGCTAACATGACCAATGAGGAACGGCAATACCGTACGGAATAAATGGTAAGCTGTTGTACTGTGCAGACCAGATTTGTTAGCGAGGTGTAGACTGCGACTGATAGAAGTACTTGGACCTCAGGCCAGACAACACAAAGCCAAACTGTTGTTATCAATCAAATCTTGATTCGTCCTTCTTTCGCAGTTTGGAGATTGGAGCCGGCTGCCGAAAGCTCCTGAGCCCACAAGAGATGCTCAAGGCAAGCGGAGCGCGGTTGGGTTCCAGGGGAGTTGGCGCTTTTAAGAGTTGGGTGTGTTCGTCAAGTACGGCCACCGCATAGTCTCCATTTGGAAGAGGCCCTGGCTCTGTGGTTGTCAATAAGATGTTTCCAGCCGACGAGGTGCCTGCCCCTGAGGTGTTCGGGTGGAAGACGGCTGGTGACAAAGTCCGGGAATACGGATTACAATTCCATCTCCATGGAGTTGATTGCCGGTGAGAGGCTCCGAGACGCGTGGGAGACTTTCAGTCAGACGGAAAAAGAATCCATATCCCATCAACCAGCAAAGATTGTAGGAACCGTGATGTCAGTGGAGCAAGACCCCGCCGATTAGTTCATCGGTACGTACCTAATGTTTGTTAATGTTTCGTGGATTTTGTCGTTGTTTCTACATAACTGTATTCCACCCTTCAGGCTCCTTGAACCGCGGTCCAGTCCAAGATGTCTATTTCAGTCCCGACTTCCAGAAGGACCCATTTGTCAGCGCCCCACAGTTCCATGATTAGGTGCAATTTGTGGCATTATACTGGATGCCCGTTGAACGACCGCCAGAACCGTACCGAGCTATGTTGCCGGAAACCGCGCGGATACGTCTGACCGATGGGGACCTCCATCTCGACAAATCAACCTCAGGTCACCGTGTCGCCAATCGTGGACTGGGAACAAGCTGGGTGGTACCCCGAGTATCTGGAATACTGCAAGGCCATGATCGTTGGGCGTACGGTGATGAATGGCGGGAGGACGGTTAGGTAAACATTCCGCTTCAGCCGTATGAGCAGGAGTTCGAGGCCTTAGAGGAATACTGGGCTTGGAAGTGCCCTTAAGGGGCGTCATGAAGGGGGCGTCACTCGGTCGGGGAATGGCCACACAAGAGAATAAATGGGGAACAGGTTTGCGCCGTCCCGAGACATAATTTTGACGAATCTACAAAGACCCAAACTCCCCGACCCCGCGAGTCTTGCAAGACCCGAACGAACCACAATACAATACTTACCGGTGGCATATGTTATCAAGATCTCAACCACCAATGTTACCACTCCCGTCGCGTGTCCTCAAGCCGAAATAGGGCGGCCAACAGTCCCAATCCGTCGTCTCGGCGGCTCCGCACCAATCTCAAAGAGTGAACTGGCCTGAGTATCGTCAAGCTCGGGGACAGTCGGGCACTTCAGGTTGGCGGAACCGCATCGAGTGCAAACGCAGCTACGACAGCAGATGGCCGACTCTCTGTTGCAACGCCCTGGGCTACCGGACATACCGGTCTCATACTGAGGCTCAGCTGTTGGTGGGCGCGGATTCTCGTCCCTCAGACTGTACGGGGGAGCTGCTTCGGACCGTGTCGGCTCGCCCTCAAGTCCCAGGCGCTGTCTCTCCAGCCGATCCAGTCGGTCTTGGTATCTCCATCTTCGCTGCTCTTCCAGCAGGCTTTGCTCGAGCGTCAGGCACAGCCGTGCCAGAGCTTCTTCAGCTACCACTGCCGAAGCCCTCGTCTCGTCCTTCTCTCGCAGGGAGCGTCTCTCTCGATATGAACGCTCCGAGTTCCTGGTCTCGCCCTCTTCTCGCCGGTGGGATCTCTCGCGTTGTGGACGCTCTAGATCACTCGTCTCATCTTTTACAAGCCGGTGCGATCTCTCTCGGTATTGACGCCCAGAACCCTTCATCTCCTTCTCCCCCCGCCGGTGAGATCTCTCTCCATGGCGATGCTCGGAAATCTTCGTCTCATCCTTCTCCCGGTATGAGTGCTCCGAGCATTTGTGGCAGGAGTACCTGGATCTGTGTTTCCGTGGCTTTTCCCTATGGTTGACGGGTAGCAAGAGACCGATCAGGCACATGTTGATTGGTTATTGGACTTGGATGGTGGATAAGACGATGCGTGAAGGACAACTTGGTTGAATACTCACTCCGAGGCCCGAGTTCAACTGACGGAGGGTCCAGACCGTATATAACACCCTCCATTGCAGTATTCAATGTTCCGGGCATCTCGTTTCTCGATGAACAGAGACTCGAGACGGCGCGTCTTTGTGACGATCCAGCTGGTCTTTGTCCCATCGAAGACTAACCATCCACGCCTTTTCTATCCTTGCGTGTGTGGGAGTCGGCCAACGGAACCAATGTGCTCTCCTCTTGCTGGGGAACGCTCCGAGTCCGGGATTTGACTCAGCCATGGGTTTTCGCCGGCAGTCTCAGATCCGAGTCAATGTAGTTCGTTTGTTGGATGTGTAAGCTTAATGGCCCGTGAGAAAGAGCCTTTTGCTTCTTGAAACATCTCTTCTAGGTGCCGCAACAAAGGAAAGGTGACTGGAATGTTTGCCTGTTTCGATGTGATCTTGCATCAACATCGAAACGATCGTGCACTGCAAACTCACTCGCATCAATGGCGCCACCGATGCTGCAAGTGTGAGACTCCTGTTTCAAGTGTTGCCTTTGATCAACATCACAACCTAAGAACAAGAGTGCCTCAAGCCTTTCAGCTTTGAATTCGATCTTTTTACCTTCTCCCCTTTGTCTTCCAAATTGAGGAAAATAAAGTCAGTTATGCTTTGGCTCTAGCCTCTTACACCTCCATCGTCCCCGGTCTCTTCTGTGGATTTGTGCCCCCTTCCTGGAGCTTGCCAAGGTACCCCGCAGGAGTGCGTGCCCCTCTACTCCAAGAACCTCCTCAATATACCCAACGTTGCGACCACCGTTGTGCACAAAGCGAATGAGCATAAGCGACTTGACACCGACTACGAACGCCATGGCGTCAGAACCCAAGTCGTACTCGACCGACCCTGCACTGTACATCTACACGTCGTTGACGGCTGGGTCCTCCCACATTGTCACGGCAACGTCGCGTCTCGAGACCATCCTGCGTGCCAACCGCGTGCCTTTCAAAGCCATCGACATTGCCACCGACGAGAAGGCGCGGATGCTATGGGGACGCCGTGCCGGAAAGGATGCGAGTGGCCGCGTCCGAAAGCTTCCTGGGCTGGTGCAGATGGGTATGGTGCTAGGGGTATGCCATCTCTTTCTAGACGATAACAAGCTCCCATGCTGACAGTAAATGTCTGTCCTTTCAAAAGGACCTCGTTGAGATCGAGGAATGGAACGAATACGGCGAGCTCAAGGACCACGTCACCTTTTACTACGACGAGTTCACCCAGCCCTCCATCAGCCAGGCCCCAAAGCAGCCTCCCGCAGCAGCTCCCAAGACGGCCGCAGCCCTGGCTTCCACGCCTGCTCCTCCAGCACCGCCAGCACCACCCGCCCCGGCAGCGAAACCCACCCCTACAGCCGCAAAGGCCACATCGGCAGTCTCAACCGCCGCCGCCAAAGTCACCCTCCCCGTCCGCAGCGTAGCCGAAGAAGCAGCAGCTAAAGCAAAGCAAATGCACCTGCAGTCCCTCCGAGATAAGGTCCACGGCAAGGGCTCACCCACTTCGTCCTCAACCACCCCCTCCACCACCACCACCTCATCCGCTCCCACGACAACAACAAGTAGCACCGCAGTAGCAATCACAACCGAACCCAAAGCAGCAGCAGCCGAATTTCTCGACACCCTCGCAGCAGAAACAGCAGGCCTCCAATCGCCGACCTCGTCAGGCTGGAAAGCGCCCTCGGCCCCGTCAACGATCCAGTCGCCCGGCACGACAAGCTGGCGGCAGACCGACGTCGAGCCGCCCGTGACCGAGCTGCGCGGGGCGCCGGTGGAGCCGGCCAGTCCCGAGGTGATTGCGGCCGTGGAGCGGGCCGAGGCGATTCCCGAGGCGCCTGAGGAGGAGGAAGACGACGAGGAAGAGGAAGAGGAAGAAGAAGAAGAGAAGTACGACGAGGAGGAGGAGGAAGACGATGAGGAAGGTGAAAGTGACGAAGAAGAGGAGAAGGGGAGGAAGGTTGGGGTGAAGGAGAAATAAGTGCTTTGTACCAGCAGGATAGGGTATGATTGGGACTTGTTGTCTCCGACAATACCTATGTTGGTGTTGGGGCTCAGGGTTGTTTCGATAGGGTTGACTACATGTACGCAAGCGGAGTTGACTACTGATGAACATGAAGTTGTTCTTGAGTGCGCAGTGTTTGTTGATTGCTGTGTCATCAAACCATCAGCACATATCCATTGATACAAACGACCCTCAACCAATCACTTCTAAGGCAAAGGTAGCTAACCTGTGAAAGTTTGCTGCAGTGCAGCCATACAATTGCGGTCATTGATACACAACCCCGATGATAGGTACAACTAGTCTTCTAGTCATATAACCCATCGTCACCACTCCCCGCCCCATCCCCAAACGGAGCTGCCGTGATTGGCGGCGCAATCTCCTTCCCCTTCCCTTTGTCCCTGGGGCTACACCCCTCCACGACCGACTCGTGATCGCAACGATCATCGCCCCCTTCGTCATACTCATCCTCGCTCCCCAGAGCGATTGCCTTCCCTTTACCCTTTCCCACAGGGGCTTTACCCTTCCCCTTCCCACCGACGCTCCTCGCCGACGCGCCCGAGGCGGTCCTCCGCCCCGCCAGCCCCAACCTCGCCGCAGCCGGCGCAGCAGCAGTCCCATTAATCCACTCCCTGCCCTCCTTATCTTTACTATTCTTGTTCCCTTCAAACGTGGCCCTGACATGCTCGTAGTGCGCCAGCTCGCCGGCGCTCACGCTGGGAATCAGCTCGCGGTGGGCGTCGAGGAAGTCCTGCTCGGTAACCATGACGGCTATGTCCTCGCGCGTGGCAAAGTGGTCGAAGAAGTAGGCGGTCGAGATGGGCGCGCGGAGGTTGTGCGCCGCGAGGTCGGCGTTGATGGCCTTGATCTTGGCGTCAACCAGGCTGGCTTGCCGGGTGACGGCCTTGAGCATGGCGTCGGAGCAAAGGGCGTAGAAATCGGCGCCCGTGTAGGTGAACGGGAGGCGCTCGGCTACGGCGCGGAGGGAGACCGAGGGATGGAGGGTGAACCTGGGGGTAGGAGTTCATCAGTATAAGTATCGGTTGAAATTAGGATGATAGGCCGACAAACTTACTTCCTTGTCAACGCCTCCATTATGGTGAGCTGCTTCTCGTGCGTGTCTGATACACCCAGGTACAGCATCTTGTCGAAGCGCCCTGGGCGTAGCAGAGCCGGGTCGAGAAGATCCGGTCGGTTGGTCGCGCCAATGACGAACACGCCGCCTCCAGTGTCCTCGCCGCCAGACATGCCGTCGAGCTCCGCGAGCAGCTGCGAGACAATGCGGTCCATGACGCCGCCGCTATCGCCCTGGTTCCCGCGTTTTGGTGCGACGGAATCCAGCTCGTCGAAGAACACCACACATGGCCTCGCGTCACGAGCCCGTTGGAACACGCGCCGCACGTTGGCCTCGGATTCACCAATGTACATGTTAAGTAGCTCTGGCCCCTTGACACTGAAGAAGTTGAGGCTGTACTCGGTGGCGATAGCCTTGGCTAGAAGCGTCTTGCCTGTACCAGGCGGCCCGTAGAACAAGATGCCCGACCGCTTCTTCATGCCCTTGGCGAAGAGCTCTGGCCTCTCCAGTGGCAACTGGATGGTCTCGGTCACGGCTTCCTTGACGTTGTTTAACCCTCCCACGTCATCCCAGGTGACATTGGGAATCTTTGGCGCGCCAATAGCGTCAGCAAAGTTCTTGCGCGCGGCCTCGACAGCAACCTCGAAGTCCTGTTTTGTAAGGCCAGACGCTGCCGGGCCGCCGGCGAGTTGTACGTCACGGACTGTCACGGCTTGGTCCTTGCTCGTGGCCTTCGCTGAGAGCTGCTCCAGGCGAGACCGCTGAGCAACGAGAGCCCTGTCGACGACATCGACCAAGTCTCCTGCCACGAGCGCGGCTGTCTTGAGGGCGATACCGCCAAGATCGACTTCCGGATCAAGGAGTACCCCGCGGTCATCGACGATGGATCGAAGAATGCCCTCGCGCTCCGCCTCATCCGGCGCGCTCATCTCCAGTTCATGAGTGAACACGGCCCTGATGCCGTCGGGCACCTTTTCCACCTCCGTCGTGGTAGCAATCAAAACTCTGGTATCCGCCAGGATCTCCTTGATAGAAGAAACCATGCGATCGGCCGTCAGGGCCTCGATATGGCGGATGAGGAGAGCGCAGCAGTCTGGCCCGCAGCTCATGGCACGCTCCGCCCGGGAGGCCAGGAAGCCAGCCGTCTTCACGTCGCTCCCGCCCGCGCCAGAGTCGTTTACGATATCGTAGGCGTCAATGGTGAATGTGTGCAAGCCAATGTCTGCGCAGGCCTGCATCGCCGTTGCGGCCTTACCAATACTCCGCTGCGCTGAGACAAGCAGGATCGCCACAGGGGGCATCTTGAGGTGGAGGGCTGGTTTGCTGGTGGCAGCGGCCATGAGCTCCCGGAGTCTCCTCCTCAGTGGCGAGACGTGTTGCCGATCTAGTTCAGCCAGGAGCGGGTTCGAAGGACCTCTATGCTGCTTGGGGAGTTTCTTGATCCCCAAATAGTATGGCCAAGTATTTGATGTCGTGCCAGGGACGCGGCTCGTGACGGAGCCGGTCTGCTCCAAGTGCGCCATGGAGATGTCCACACAAGCAACCGTGCCCCAGGGGTCATCTTCTTCCTCGATCTCTTCGGCCGAATCCTGCTTCATCGGTTGGACGTGGCCAACCTTGAACCATGCGACTTCGTCGTACTTTAGGTTGCGATCTGGCCGTCCACTGGCAATCATGCCCAACACATCGTCGACAGCTGATTCATCGCTAGCTGCAGTTGACTCCTGAAGCGCGCGACCAAGCTGGGTATCGATGGGAACCGCGATCAAGTCGCCTGTCTTGATCACTCGTAACCTTCTCTCAAAATAGAGTTTTAGCCCAGCCATGACTGCAGTCTGTACATCCCTCTCAACCGCAACCGGAGTCCTGACATGCTGCAATATCACCTCGCGAGCGAAGGGCGGCTGAATGGAGACCGACGACCTTGATTGTGGCCCCTTTGCCTGCGTACCACGCCTGATAGGGGAGAGGCGGAGGTAGGGGGGATTCTCCAGGTTCGACAGCATAATTGGAGAAAGGTACACGGTGGGACTCGAGGACCGCTGGACCTGGGAGTCAAAGAAGGACATCCTCCGGCCATCGTACTTGGAGCTTGCTACGCGGGCGACGGGACGGTTGGAGTAGCCCTCTGGCAGGCCATAGACCCTTGCAGGCCTCCAATCCAACTCATCCGAATCCTCTTCCACGAAGCTTCCCAGGCCGAATGCGCCAAAACCATTCACAGGTGGCGGCTTGGACGCCTCGATTCGTACCCAGTCGCCAGAGAAACAGCCAATCCTCGTCAGCTCTTTTGTATCAACGTAGATGCGCGCCTCTTCATCGTCGACGCAAGCGGGCTTCGGATGTAGGACGTCCGGCGGAATCGGCTGAAGGAGTCCATGGGCCTTAAACAAGCGGCCGCGGGGCCGGTCTGGCTTAACGGTTGTCGCAGTGAAGCTCGAAAACACAGATGCCGCGCCACTAACGCCATTGGTCCGCCGCCCACGTCCCATGGTAGTGGGCGTGCCTATTCCACTCGTAATGGCGGACGACAAGGTGGGGGCCTGAAGGGATATCATATCATCCATTGAGTCGTCTGACAGCACGTCTTCTTCCATCTCTGGTTCCTCGAATTCCGTCTCAGTCGCGGTGGCATCCGTCTCGGCAGTAGCGTCTGTCCGGACGCCTTCCTCGGTGGCAGAGAAGAATTGGTCATTCGACGTGTCTTCGTCGTCCTCGGCGGTACCATTTAGGCCCCGGGCTTGGGGGATTGGGGCCTGGGAATGGCTGTGCTTGGAGTGGACGCGGCCGCGGGAAACGATGATCTTGGTGTTCGGGCCCAGTATGCCCTGGGCGACAGGCTCGCAAAGCGTGATCTTGCCGGGGTTTGGGGGCACGTGAGTGACGGGGTGCGGCGCCAGAGGGAGCGGGAAGAGGTCGCCGGTGTGGACGACCTTCAATGTACCGAGGGCAGTCCGCAACGCAGCCGTCAAGCGCCCTTCAGGGTTTGAGGCAGCCAGGGCCTTGACCTTGCCTCCAGTGGGATGTTCCCGGAAGAAGTTACCTTCTCCATTCTCAAGTCTCTTGGCCAACTCTCCTTCGAGATTCACAAAGACAGTGTCCAACTCAATGGCAGCAACATCCAGAACTAAAACCTCAATTCCGCTCCTACTCCGGGCAGTCAACTGTGAGGGCGCTACCTGTTTCAGGTTCACGGCAAACGACTGTAGAGCGAGGGAGGAGGGCGAGAACTGTATGGTCGAAGGAGCGAGGGCAGACGACGGCGTGACGGGCACTATTGCCCAATTTGTAGATTCGGGAGAATGAGACGGTGTCCATGGGGCGATGGCAATGTGTAGGTGGCTTGGTGGATTCGGGGCTTGGTTCCCTTGATCGTGGGCTGCAATGTGCGAAACGGACTCAGCATGGGGGTTTAGAATAGAGGGCAGGGTGCGGAGAAACACACCGTCCTGCAGATGGGAAAAGAGTTCAGCGAACAGATCCTCGGACACGATGCCGACGTCGGTTTTGACATGGTCGTCAAGCACCAGACGCGCCGAGAGGGGCGCCTTGTCTTGCCGGCGCCTCCGTGGCCGTCTCTGGCGAACGCCGGCGCCCGCATCGTAAGATGGCATTTTTGAGGCGAGTCGAAAGTGCGGGAATGTTGGGCAAGCGGAGTGCGACTGTCCGAACTGTCGACTCGATGTTCGTCCACCGGGGTTCGCTCCGAGAAAGTTGGTGAGCGTGGAGAGGCGCTTGCCCGCCAGAAGCCGAGATGCCCAGTCTTTGGTGCTGAAACTATGATTGGAAATAGTCAATCAACGAAGTCCCGTGGTCTTCAACCGGCATTTGGGATTCAGGATGCCATCTTGACACGGATAACCCTTCGGCGCAACTCTTTGCGAGGTCGAGACCCGCCTATCAGGTACGGGGCAGTTCGTGCGTTGCACCTGGCCCGCGGACGGCTTCGGCTGACTTTTGGCCTCGGCTCATTGAAGAGGGGCCCGAAGCGGAATAACCCCAACCCTGAACGGGAAAATGAGCCTCCTATCCTGCCAAGACATTTGACATGAAGAGCCCCACTCAGCTGCATCTTCTTCAGATGCCGCCCTGCCAACCTGCCAACCTGCCAACCTGCCAACCTGCCAACCTGCTAACCACGCCAACCAACAAGCCCTCCCTTGTGAATTTCGCGCTGATGATGACTGCTGGAAGGCTTCCACTTTCGAAGGGTTTCAGTTCAACATCCAAACCCATATCAACATCAGCGCAGCAATTGTTGATTTCACATTTCGAAAGGTCCGCGGGTTCGCCATTTTCCATGGAGTGTCAGATTGATGGGTTAGGGGATCCCCGCCATGTCCATTGTTCAGCCTTCGTCTTCTTCCCTATTCATCCCAGTTTCCGCATTCGTCCATCCAATTCGCCTCTAGTTCCGGCCAGGAATGGAAATGACGTCGAGGGCGGCCATCCCCTTCGCCAATAGGCAATAAACATTGCAATGATGTCGTCCTACCGGTACCCCTTCTCAGTCTCTCTCTGTGAACTTTCTCTGCGTTGGGTATTCGACAACTGTTGTTTGACTGTTTCTTGCTTACCACCCCTTTTCCCGGTGATTGCGAGATTCGTTTACAACAATGACATTACAAAACACCATCCTGCAAAAGCGGAAAACATCAACTCAACAGGCCCCTTTGAAATTAGAGTCCAGAGGCTCTTGGGATAGGGCCGCTGCAGAGTTCATCAACCAAGCCGAGAAGCTGTCGCACCACCATCCGAGCGAGAGCGACGGGGACGGCGTCGCCATTGAAGCCCATTTTGTTACGCCCCACGACCCAGTTATTGTCACGTCCGATGGCAATCGCTTGCCTCCAGTTCCGTTGGACGAAGCCCACAAACTGAATGTGTTGAGGCAGGAGCTAAACCACCATGAACCAACTACAACAGCCGTCTCGGGAAGCGAAGACCACGCCACCGATGAAAAGCCAGCTGCGTCAGTAACCGAGAATGTGGCCAGAGTCGCGGCGGACAAGACGAAGAGGCGGAGTAAGAAGAGGACACCATCAAACGGGAGCTTAAGGGAGGCGACGCCTCCGACCCATACTAACCCCCTATTTCCTCCTTTGCCGCTCTATGGGCCCCCCTCCCTGCTTAGAAACATTCAATGCCGCATTTTCCAAATGTCGTCCTTTTTTCTCAGCTTGGCCTTTCTGGGCGTCATTGTCCTTGGTGCCCTCTTTACTGGCATCGGCCCTTCGTTGCGGCGTCTATGGCAGCAGGCGACACTCCAAAACCCAGATATCAGTCGCCCCTTTTACGCCGAAGAAATGCAGCGAAAGAAGCATAGGAAGGAAAAGGAGCGGGAATGGACGCGCGGGCAGTCCGCGCCGCATTCGCGCTCATCAGAAGAAGGAACCAGCGCCGACAATAATGATGATTACACACCGACCGAGGGCGGCCTCGACCCGATTATGTGCGACCCACCCTACTACGCCCGCCGAGTTGGTCTCGACATGGAAATGTTCGAAGTACAGACTGAAGACGGCTTCATCATCGACCTCTGGCACGTCTACGACCCCAAGGAACACGAGCCTCTCCCGCCAGAGGAACGCGCCCCTGGCAACCCAGAAATTTTCAAGACTCCAAAACGAAAACTTGCAACCACCACCAAACGCCAACCCAACAAAAAGCCCAAGTTCCCCGTTCTCCTCATGCACGGCCTCCTTCAAAGCTCGGGCGCCTACTGCGTGAACGACGACTCGTCGCTAGCCTTCTACCTCTGCAAGTCCGGCTACGACGTCTGGCTGGGCAACAACCGCTGCGGCTTCCGGCCCCGGCACACCCTGCTCGATTACTCTGACCCGCGCATGTGGTGCTGGAACATCCGGCAGATGGGCGTTTTCGACCTGCCGGCGCTCACCTCGCGCGTGCTGTGCGAGACCGGGTTCGACAAGCTTGGGCTCATCTGCCACTCGCAGGGCACGACGCAGGCCCTGGTTGCGCTGGCCAAGGAGCAGCGGCCCGAGCTGGGTGAGAGGCTGACGGTGTTCTGCGCCCTCGCACCCGCCGCGTACGCCGGCCCGCTCATTGGGAAGATGTACTTCAAGTTTATGCGGGTTATCTCGCCGGCTATGTTCAGGCTCATGTTTGGAATCCATGCGTTCATCCCGTTCATGATGACCATGCATGCAACGTTGCCACCCAGGGTGTATGGGTGGCTGGGGTACAAGGTGTTTTCGTTCTTGTTTAACTGGACGGATGAGAGATGGGACCGCGGGCTGCGGGACCGCATGTTCCAATTTGCGCCGGTGTATGTCAGCTCCGAGTCAATGAGGTGGTGGTTGGGGAGGGAGTGTTTCGCGAAGCATAAGTGCATCCTGGCTACCAAGGAGGAGTGGAGGGCCGAGGAACGGGAGGATCACGAGCTGGCCAAGGGGGCAGAGTCCATCCTGGATGCTGCAGAGCGGGATATGGAAGGGAATGGTGAGGTTGAGAAGTCGGAACGTGCGGCTGAGGCGCAACAGAGGAAGCCCAGGGGATCGACGGCGTGGTACAATCACCAGGCGCCTCCGTTTGCGCTGTGGGTCTGTGGGAGCGATGACCTGGTGGATGGCGACAAGCTGCTGCGGCGGTTTGAGCGCGGGCGGGAGCCGCATGTCAGAGTTGTTCACAGCAAGGTCATACCAGAGTTTGAGCACTTGGATGTCATCTGGGCCATGGACGCGCCAGACCAGGTGTTCAAGGAGGTGCGGGAGGTGCTGTGGAAGACGTGCCATGTTAGGGATTTGTGCCGTGTCCCTAAGGGATGCGAGGAGGTTGAGGCCTGGATACCGCCGGCCGAGGGAGAGGAGGAGGGGACCGATGGGTTGCAATCGAGCAGCAGCGAGGAATTGTCTGCGTGAGGTTGTTCATGCAAGGGATAGAAAGTGTCAGAGGCGGTGCTTGGGCGTTAGGCAACAGATACCCGGCATGGTGGCTGGTGGTTTTACGTTCTAAAGAGACTCCCGATAGAGAAACAGCAACAATTAGGGGGCCAATACACGTGTGTTCGCCGGGCATGCCCTGAATGAGGGTTGGCTCGGCACGACCACTTCCGTCGTTCCATCAAACCAGATCTCCGTGGATCAATTGAAAACTCGCGACTTCAACGGCGTTGTCGGCCTCCAAGGTTTAATCGCAAGTTGTGGGCTTTCTAGCATATAAGGTATCGAATGCTCCAGGAGACTTCATCAAGAGAACAACTTCCCCACGATGAAGCCAGGAAAGCGTGCTTGAAACGTTGAGATAACCCTCACGCAAACCAATGACGGGTTCACCATGCGCTCATACTTGACCCAGGTTTGGATACTGTTAATCTCTTTCTGGAACATTAGGCCATGGAACATCCGCGATAAACCCTGATACCCTTCGGCATTTCATAATTGCCAAGAAGTCCGACCAGCCGCCAAGGTAACTATACTTCGTATGAAGCCACCGACGAGGAGGGTTAGCCTGTTGCGACAAGCCGCCAGAATGTTACACAACCGGCACTTGACCTCCGCTCGGTACTTCCTTGGGAGGTGGCTGCCACCTACCTTATGTACCTGAGTTCTGTCCAGACGGTCACGGCAGGTCGACTGAGAAGGTGGTTGACTGTTTCGCCCAGCCCATGCCGTCATGAAACACATTCAACACGCTTCTGGTGCTTGACTGCGTCCGTGACGAGATAAGATGGTTCTCCCATTTTTGGCCAGCCCCCGACGGGGACGGTTGCTTGGAAATGCTATCCTACTGACCACCTTGGTTCTCTGGCTTGGTTATCGGACGCCCTTGTCGACTGTACATGAACCGTTCGACTTGCACTCGGGTCTACCGCCCAATGTGCCCAAGGTCCAGAAACAGAGCGATGACCACACAGGACCTTCTCAGAATCATTCTGGCCAGGGGGTGGGAAAGGCTGAGAACAGTCTGTACCCGCCGTCAACGCCGGACATTTTCAATGATATCGACGAGGGCGATGTCGATGTCGTCTTAGCTACTACCTCCACCACCACCATCAGCAGCCGCAGCATCCTCATCACCACGACGGCGGCCACAGATAGCACCAGATCAAACCCCACCCCGACGGTGCAGTGTCTCGACTTTGAGACGCTGCAAAAACAGAAACCAGGTCCTCTTTCTGAAGGCAGGCGCAAGTTTCCCTATGTCCGCCCGCCGCCCGAGTGCAGGAAATTCCGTCTCCCTGCTCTGGAGGCCTTGATCGACCGCATGAAGACGGTGATTCGGGACCCAGACCTGTTCCGGCTGTTTGAAAACAGCTATTCGAACACGCTCGACACCATGATTAAGTGGCGGGGCTACGCCATGAAGAAGGACAACGTCACCGGCGAGGCTACCAAGACAGACGAGGAGTTGACCTACGTGATCACGGGCGACATCGACGCCATGTGGCTGCGCGACTCGGCAAGCCAGGTGTACTCGTATCTGCCCCTGCTGGAGGCTTCCAAGGACCCAAACTCTCTCGCCAGTCTCTGGCGTGGATTGATCAATGCGCACTCGCGGTACATCATCATCTCGCCCTATTGCCATTCTTTCCAGCCCCCTCCCGAGAGCGGAATCGAACCTACACGTAACGGGGCGTACCACAACAACCACCCCAACCCGCCGTACGACCCGACGCTCGTTTTCGACTGCAAATGGGAACTGGACAGCCTGGCCTCCTTCCTGCAGATCAGCGCCGCGTACTACACCCGGACCGGCGATCTCGACTTCTTCGCCAAGTACTCGTGGGTCGATGCCGTCCAAGCCGCCGTCGACGCATCTGCAGCCATGCGTCTAGGCACCTACGACGAGGAGGGCCACGTGCTTCCGTCAGCGTGGACATTCACCGGCTGGACGAACCGCGGGTCCGAGACGCTGACCAACGACGGCCTCGGCAACCCGGTCAAGGAGAACGGCATGGTCAGGTCGGCCTTCCGCCCGAGCGACGACGCGTGCATCTTCCAGCTGTTGACGCCGAGCAACATGATGTTTGCGGCCTACCTGGAGCAGGCGTCTCACATCATGCAAGAGCTGGCGGATGGTCGTCTCAGCGACAAGGCGGCCAACCTGACGACAGAAATGCGCAAACTCGCCAAGGGGATCCGCGGGGGCATCGCACTCGATGCAGTCGTCACGCACCGTGACTTTGGCGAGATATTCGCGTACGAGGTCGATGGCTACGGCGGCGCGAACCTGATGGACGATGCCAATGTCCCGTCACTGCTGGCAATGCCGCTGTGGAACTACACCCTGCCTGCAAAAGCGGGTAAGAAGCTGGTCAAGTCTGTGAAACACAATCCTCGGGACGAGGCCATCGCAACAGACACAAGCGAGGACGCTGAACCATCAATGATATCCCACAGCCGATCCAGGAGGCCCGCCTCAACAGCAGGCGACAGCGATACGACCACCAAGAGCTCGAACTTGGCATCCTCCCCAACCGAAAACGAACACGACTACGCCAAAATCTACCAAAACACGCGCAACTTTGTCCTGAGCATGGCCAACCCCTACTTCGCCAAGGGCCCCGTCCTCTCCGCCGTCGGCGGCCCGCACCTCGGGCCCGGCAAAGGCTGGCCGATGGCGGCGATCGTCGCGGCGCTGACCGCGTTTGAGGACCTGGCCGGCTTTGCGTCGCTGCGGGAGCGCGACGAGGCGGTCACCGAACAACTATATGCGGTACTCAACTCGACGGCGGGCACCGGCGTTGTGCACGAGACGGTCAATGCGTGGAACGAGGCCGACTGGACCCGGTCTTGGTTCGGGTGGGCGAACGGCTTGTTTGGCGAGCTGATTATCCGGATTGCTGAGGATGAGACGCGGAGGGGGCTACTGGGGACCAAGGAGGGTTTGTTGGGGCGGTCGTGGCAGTATTAGGTGCTGAGTTGGATGATCGAGATAGATTTCCGCCGAGTGAGGTGCTTCTTGTCGAGCGTGTTGGGTCTGGTCTCCTTTTGTTACAAATACCGGGTATTCGTTTGGCGTTGTTTTATGGTTCTTCTTTTTGCCCCTGATGGCTGATACCTGTGTGTAAGCCTGCCCAGTTGTAGCTCTTTGTTGTTGATGGCTGCTCATAGGTCTTAAGATTTTGCATTGTCTAAGAAAAGTGGCATATCTGGGACATCCTCTTGACGGACACATCAACACTGAAAAAAAAATGATGCAATGGCAAGTGCTTGAACCCTCGACCTCCTTATGTTGTTAACTCCCCAGTCCATTTCTGGATGCAAGTCGAGGCTTCAACAAGCTTTACAGCATCATATCGGATAAAAAAAAAATCGCAAAAAAAATTGGTAGCGTCTCTTTGAGTAGCGTGTCATCCTTAGTGCAGGGGCCATGCTAATCTTCTCTGTATCGTTTCAACTGTGAAATGGTTAGTACTTTTGCAGTGTGCAACTCTTGACCGCTGGGCTAAACTCACATTGACCAAATGTCCCGTAGGACGTTGGTTGGACTCCACCAGCTCGCTTATAACGTACCAAGGCCTGTGCAGCACCCCACTCTAGCAACTGGCGACAGCCGATTGCCCCTCGCTTGTCGGCTCAGTTGAAAATTCAAAGAGCACTGACCCGATATTTTGGATGGAACAGGCGAAGAAATCCCCCATCAGAAGGTCAGTTCGAAGGACAAACCATGTTAACATGCTTGACAGAACGCTAATAGATGGTGTCAGAGGGACAATTGTTTCCAGCAATTCGCAGGGGAAATTTCTGCTTTATGTCCCACCAAGAGGCTCGAGCAGAGGACGCTAGTGCGGGAATTACCTAAATTCTGCGGGGTGGTGGAGGGGCCCGATTTCGCAACTGCCCCTCCATCTCTCATCTGATAGTGATTGATAGGAACCAAGGGAAAAGAACCCAACAGAGAATTACTTTCAGCCTTCGCGCCTGCATTTGATGGTGTGACATAGTTCCGCAGCCTCAACTTTCACTCGGAGCTCAAATTTCACTTGCAGGTTTGAAACTCAACCTTCCTTCTATATATTGCATTTGTCGATCCCACAAACACTCACTGTCTCCAGCTGCTTGCTCAAGCAGAACCAGCTGCGGGCTTCCCGTCGAGAGATAAGGATCCAGCTGATCGTGGATAACTATGTAATTAACCCCACTATCTTGACCGCGGGTTCATGAAATGAAGTACTGACAGCTTTTTGGACAGCTTCAGTTCCTCACGCAGCACCACGAGATCAGTCACAATGGTCGACCACCAGCGGATTGCCATTGTCTCGGTCTATGACAAGACCGGGCTTCTGGACTTGGCCAAAGGACTTGTCCAGCACAATGTTCGCATTCTCGCTTCCGGCGGCACCGCCAAGATGATCCGGGATTCGGGGTTCCCGGTCGAGTAGGATCTCCTGCTTCATTGCTCTCGGGGAGCGTCCGCTAACATAGCCTTCTTTGCACTGTTTGCAGGGACATCTCTGCCATCACCAAGGCTCCTGAGATGCTTGCTGGCCGCGTCAAGACCCTCCACCCCGCCGTCCACGCCGGTATACTGGCTCGCAACCTTGCCTCGGACGAGAAGGATCTCGCCGAGCAGAATATTGACAAGGTCGACTATGTCATCTGCAATCTCTATCCCTTCAAGGATACCGTTGCGAAGATCAACGTCACGGTGCCCGAGGCTGTTGAGGAGATCGATATCGGCGGTGTCACTCTCATTCGCGCGGCTGCCAAGAACCATTCTCGCGTCACCATTCTTAGCGATCCCAAGGACTATGCCGAGTTCCTGAAGGAGCTTGAGGCCGGAGAGATCAAGGAGTCGAGCCGAAAGATGTACGCCCTCAAGGCCTTTGAGCACACTGCCGATTACGATGCCGCTATTTCCGACTTCTTTCGCAAGCAGTATGCCGAAGGCGTCCAATATCTCCCTCTCCGCTACGGCGCCAACCCGCACCAGAAGCCCGCTTCGGCCTACGTCAAGGATGGCCACCTTCCCTTCAAGGTCCTCTGCGGTGCTCCGGGCTACATCAATCTGCTGGACGCCCTCAACAGCTGGCCTCTAGTCAAGGAGCTCAAGAAGGCTCTTGGCAAGCCAGCCGCCGCCAGCTTCAAGCACGTCTCCCCGGCTGGCGCTGCCATTGGCTTGCCCTTGGACGCCGACGAGCGCAAGGTGTACATGGTTGATGACATTCCGGGCATTGAGACTTCTGCTCTTGCCCAGGCGTACGCTCGCGCCAGGGGCGCCGACCGCATGAGCAGCTTCGGCGACATGATTGCTCTCAGCGACACCGTCGACGTCGTTACCGCCAGTATCATCTCCAAGGAGGTCTCTGACGGTGTTATTGCCCCCGGATACGAGCCTGCTGCTCTGGAGATACTCAAGAAGAAGAAGGGTGGCAAGTATCTGGTCCTTCAGATGGATCCCGAGTACGAGCCCGGTAAGACCGAGACCAGGACCGTCTATGGCATCAACCTCAACCAGGGCCGCAACGACGTTGAGATCTCTCCCGAGTCTTTCAAGAACATCATCACGCCCAAGAACTCGGGCCCGCTCTCCGAGAGCGCCCTGCGTGACCTGACTGTCGCCACCATTGCCATCAAGTATACCCAGAGCAACTCCGTGTGCTATGCCACCCGGGGCCAGGTGGTGGGACTTGGTGCTGGTCAGCAGTCCAGGATTCACTGCACCAGGTTGGCCGGCGACAAGGCCGACACCTGGTGGCTCCGTTTCCACCCGCGCGTCTTGGGTATCAAGTGGAAGAAGGGTACCAAGCGTCCCGACAAGAGCAACAACATCGACTTGCTCGTCAGCGGCGAGCTGCCCAAGTCTGGCCCGGAGCGCGAGACCTTTGAGGCCGCGTTTGAGGAGGTCCCGGCTGCCTTCACCGAGGAGGAGAAGAACGAGTGGATGGCCAAGCTGACCGACGTTGTCGTGTCGAGCGATGCTTTCGTGCGTAATCCCTTTCCCAAGCCATTAAATCTGGCAGCTAACATGTAGAGCCAGTTCCCCTTTACCGACAACGTTTACCGCGCCGCCCGCTCCGGCGTCAAGTACATCGCCGCCCCCGGCGGAAGCCAGAACGACGGTCCCGTCTTCGAGACCGCCGAGAAGTTGGGTATCACCTTTGTGGAGCAGAAAATTCGTCTCTTCCACCACTAGAGAACCCAGGGCGATTGGGAGGATCAGAACATGACTTAGATACCCCGACACGTCGTCTTGATTCCTCAGGTTCGATGTACCAAAACGCATCCTCTCTGGGCGTTGATTTCGTTTGATGCTATTTACGTGGATGGGCGGCTGGGAGGGTGGACATGGAAAAGTTCAACACTTTAGCAAGAGTTAGACATGGAATAAACGGCGTTGCGTTTTAGATTGCTTGAACGGGGCCTGAATTGCAATGAGCAAGCGGAACTTGTCAAGACCTCATGTAGCAGTGATACTAATCGTAAATTTGCATAAGGGCTTGGTGTGCTGCTAGATCGAGTGCTAGGATCTTCAAACAAACAACGCCCGAACACCTGCAGTGGAACCGGTGACCGAGAAAGAAGGAAACTCCCTGGAGAAGCTAGCCTAATCCTCATTCTCATCATGATCCTGACCACCATTACGTCCCTCCCCCTTGGACCGCCGAAACTTCTCCCTTCCCGTGGCAAAGTACGCCTCGACCATGCGGCCGGCAAACGCCCGCCCGTGCATGACGCGCAGGCATGCCTCGGCCGCCTCGCGCGTCTGGAACTTGACGCTTACGATCCCCTCTTCTTCCTCGTCGTACAGCACCACGTTGGTCACGGGCCCCAGCTTGGCGCACTCCTCGCGTATGTCCTCCTTGATGTCGAGGAGCGCGGTGGGGTCTTCCTGCAGTTCCTCGAGAGTGAACATGTGGCGGAGGATGACCACGCGGTCCCATTTGCCACCCTTTGCGGCGGAGGCGGAGGCGGCGGTGCTGTTGAAGGGGTCTGGGATGGCGGAGGGCTCGTCGTCGCTCCAGTCGGCTAGTTTGGCCGAGAGTTTTTGCGTCTTCTTGATGATCTTGGCTTTGTCCTGGGAGGGCCGGGTGTTGCTGCCGCTGCTGCTTCCCTCTCCTGGCTTGTTGGAGGTGGGGGTGTTGTTGTCGCCGTCGTATTTGGTCTTTTTGTAACTCGAGTCGGCGGCCTGCACGCGCATCTTGCCGCCCGTGCTTGACGAGCCCGAGGCCGGGAATCGAAAGTCGGTGTCGTCCAGGAGCATGATGGCCATGTCGACGGACTGCGGCTTGAAGAAGACAATCAGGGCGTCGCCTTTGAAGTTCCCGTCGGCGTCCGTGTACATCTTGATGCGCGGCCGGCCGCTGTCGATCTCCTCGGCGATGACGCCGCACTTGCGTGAGAAGAGCTCGGCGACTTCTTCGACGGTGGCATCTAGGGGTAGACCCGTTACGTAGACGGCCGTGTTCTGCTTAGGCTGCGGTGGCCCTCTGTTTCCCTGCCGTTTCGAGCTTTTGGAAGAGCGATCCTTATTGGTATAGTTGTCGTCCTGCTGACGCGAAACAAAGGTTACAACAAGCGGCTGGTCAGTCTCTCCCCGGATCTCGCGCGCGAGCGTTCGGGACTGTTCTTGTCTCTTGACTCTCTGATGGGCTGTTGGGCTATGGTGGGAGGAGGAGGGCATGGTGGCGGCGTGCGGGATGGCCGACGCTGCAGATGTGCATGCGCGCGCAGCTTACCTCGCGGTCGTTGTACGAGTTCATCTTCCTCTTTCTGCTCTGCGCCGGCCGTTCATCGTCGGCGTCGTCGTCAACGTTGGGAAATATGTATCCCTTCTGGTGTTCCTCGATCAGGGCTTCATCTTCTTCATCTAACATAGGTATCCAGCGACCCAATTGCGCGTCGAATTCGTACTCGGTTCCGTCGTCGTGCACGGCGATGTACTTGTTGTCGAGCTTAGAATACGAAATACGCTCATCTTGATCAAACTCATCTAGGTTGGTCGGAAACGACGATGTTGCGGCTTCGGCTGCCATATTGTTGGGCGTTCGCGGAGACGGCTCAACACGGGATGACAAAAATCCAAGCAGAAAGAGAGCTCGAGAACGGGATCCTAGCTGGGGATAACTTAAATCTGAGCAATGACGTTACGCAGGTCCCGCAGAGTACCGGCTTAGCATCGGCAGTAATGTTACATTACATACACGCTGAGACCCTGAAGCTACAGAGAGCAAGCGGGTGAGCACAGCGGTTATCACGGCGGATCATATCTGTGAAAGGCAATTGAGCTGGTCATTCAAGAAAAACAGAGATCTATTAGAGAGACGCTACTGTCAACTGATCTATGCCGCGCCCTGGGTTATGTGTCATGCCTGCACTTTCTTAAGGGCCGCGAGAAGGTCGTTATACAGTGAAATGCAGGATACGTGCTTCATCTTCGCCCGGGACGACCCAGTCACTTCCACTTTCCTACTTCTTCTGCATCGTCTTCTTGACGCCCTCCACAAACGCCTCGACGGCATCTCCGCCGCCCAGAGGAACTCTGCCGCCTCTGACGAGCCCGCCGTTTTCCACCGCGATGCCCAGCGCCTCAGCAATGCTTGGCAGGCCGCCGTCCCTGAGCGCAATTGTCAGACTCGCCAGGCTTTGGCTGAACTGCGGGCTGCGGAGGACCTGCTTCAGCAGCGCGCGCTTCTGGTCCGAGCTCATGGCTTGCTTGGCGGCTTCGATCGATTCGGCGCTAGGCTCTGTCACAATGGCGTCTCCGTCCTGCCCCTGTTGAGCCAGGACCAGCAACATGGGAGGCAGGAAGTTCAACAGGTTGTCGACGTATTCGTCCGTGGCGGAGTCCAGCATGGATATGGCGATGGATGGCTCGAGGAGGTCATTCAGAAGAGGATAAGCCTTGCCTTCGGCGTGGCTGGCCCCGAGGTTGGGGACGCCCTTGAGCGAATCGAGGAGATTCCGCACCGCGGCGGCGGCATCGTTGCCCAGCCTACAGCGAAATTAGCACGTGTGCAAGACATCCGAGTTATGGACAGGGGAAATGAATAAGCTTGTGTCTCAATTTCTCCTCCGCATTTGCCTGATGGCAGAAGCCATGATGTACACGCTATCTGCAGAGATGCTCGATGCCGTACGCCAGACCCAGCTCCTTTCCCAGGAGTAAATAGCAACCGCAATATGTGGACCGAACGCACCCGGGAAACCGTGCCAAATGGGGAAGATAGTCACCTACGCTCGTGCCCCGTCTGCTCCTCCTTCCCTGGAGTCCTCGCCTTCCTGTCTGAAGTCCCCACCGGTAGCATCTGGTCCGGCGCCCCCGTCGCCACTGCGGTGATGGCCATGCCGATTGCCGTGACCTTCAACGTCTTCCATGGTCTCGTCCTCGTCGTTGTCGGGGCGGCTGTCGTCATCATTGTTGCGCACGGCCGCCAACTCGCGGTTTACGTCCACCTCCTCGCCCTGCAGAAGCCTGTCGACGATATCACCAATTTTCAGGTCTCTCGGACTAAGCCAGGCCGGGTCGCCGCTGCGACCCTGAGGCTTGGACTGCAGCCAGAATAGGTGTCGCTGCGAGGAGGAGGCGAACTTGAGGACGAAGATACGGCCATTGGTCTTGGAGGAGGGGTGCGCGGGGTTGCGAGTGTCGTATGGAACAAAGTGGCCGTCGCCGGGGACCATGACCAGGTCAAGATCGGGCACGTCGAGGGGCGCAGACCTGGGGCGCCAGCAGAAGTGGATAAGATCTGTTGTGGTGTCAGCGGTGTTGGACAGCCATGGAGCAACAGCGCGATGGGACAAGTAACCGTACCATCTTCGGAGTAGAGGTAGATGTAACCAGGCGCCGGCTGAGCCTTGATCTTGAAAGGTTTCGAGGATTGCTAATGCCCAGTTAGCAATGCTGGCGTTGGGAGGGGCAATCGACGACGACGAACATCGACATCACAGATGCCCGCCTTGAATGTGATGATTGGTGTTATTGACATGGTTAAAGGTTCCGCGGACATTCGCAGTTATGTGCTTTCGAGAAATTCCAGACTTGTACTTGGGCGAAGGGCGTTGGGATCGACTCTGAATTGGCGAAGAAGTTGGTGTTGTTAGCAGCTTTGAGCTTCAAGTTGCTGGAGTCGGGAGCTTGGTTGAGAGCTCAAGGCGCCGACAGTTGACGTGGGCGCTGTACACTAGACTGCGACACCGTTTGCACACTGTGGGAGTACTGTCGTTTTCCCTACTTGAACGCCGATGGATTCTCGGGAACCAGGGTAAACAGAAAGCCATGCCAAACATCCATCCAGCTGTAGCATGCACCATAGTTCTCGTTCAAGGTATCTATCAGTAGTTATGGCTTCTGGGTCTGGGACACTACAGGATTTTCGCAACATGGAAGCGGTCACTGGCCGTTCGCTTCAAGTGGGTTCCGCCTGATTCACTCTTCTAAATTATGTATACGGACACTGGGCACGAGGTTTTGACACTGTGCAACTTTCGTCTGCGTTTCGAACTGATGAATGCTGCAACTCTATCTTGTGTTGAGCTCATCGGCGACAACCAGCAACCCTACCGACCTCCTTACCATTACCGTCAATCACTGCCGTGAATTAACCTTTTACGGTTGACGCGGCGCACGCTACGTGGGTTGCCATTGCCGGACTGTAAGCCTGTAAGCAACAGCGTCGCATTCTTTTCAGCTCTATGGGTCGCCTTCGCTGAGACCTATTTTGACGAACCCATGGCGCGTCCCATGGGAGCAGTCCGTCTGAAGAAGACGAATCCACTGACTCTTGCCGTCGGCGCGGCGCTTTGCATCTTCATTCTCTACTTCCTACTAGGCTCGTCGACTCCCGACTTTTCGGCTTCTCGAAAGGCCAGCGCCGCCTCCCACCCTCTGTCGCCGCCAACGTCTCCCTTCCGCAAGTCCACCGGTGGTGGCAAGTTGAAGCCACCTCCCGTCACACGATACAACCTCAACAATGTCACCATCACTCCCAAGCCGCTCGAGAACCGCGAGAACATTCTCATTCTAACTCCCATGGCGCGATTCTACCCCGAGTACTGGGACAACATTCTCCGACTGGAGTACCCCCACGAACTGATTACTTTGGGCTTCATCCTGCCCAAGACGAAGGAGGGGAACGATGCGACGAGAGAACTGCAGAAACAAATTGCCAAGACGCAAAAGTCCGGGCCGGAAAAAGACAGGTTCAAGAGCATCATCATCCTGAGGGAGGACATCGACGCACCTCTCATTTCGCAGGACGAGAGTGAGCGCCACAAGCTGAAGAACCAGAAGGTCCGGCGGGCAGCCATGGCCAAGGCTCGCAACTCTCTCCTCTTTTCGACCCTCGGGCCTTCAACCTCGTGGATCCTGTGGCTAGACGCCGATGTAGTTGAGACGCCGCCGACCATCATCCAAGACCTGGCCCGCCACGACCAGGCCATCATTGCGCCCAACTGCTTCCAGCGCTTCTGGAACTCCGACAAGAAGGAGATGGACGAGCGGCCCTACGACTTCAACAACTGGCAGGACAGCGATACCGCGCTGGAAATGGCCAAGCGGATGGGCCCGGACGAGATCCTGCTAGAAGGCTACTCCGAGATGGCAACCTACCGGACCTTGATGGCCTACCTGTTCAAGGAGGACGGGCTTCTCCACGAAGAACTTCCCCTGGACGGCGTCGGCGGCGCGGCATTGCTGGTCAAAGCCGACGTCCACCGAGACGGTGCCATGTTCCCCGCGTTCCCGTTTTACCACCTGATTGAAACGGAGGGCTTCGCGAAGATGGCGAAGAGGTTAGGCTGGCAGCCGGTGGGATTGCCGAACTACAAGGTAGGGTATCCTCCTCCCTCGGGTCAACGGTATTGATCGTGCTAACGATCGACAGGTGTATCACTACAATGAGTGACGTGTTGCAGGTTCTCCTCAACCCTGCATTGTTTCACCGCTAGTGACGGTAAAACACCGGATCTTGACTCTCAGTTGGTGGGAGAATATGTAATCTCTCTTGTTCTCGCAAATGCCGGTAGTCTCAAGGTTAAGGGCATGGCGGACTCGGCTGTTCAAGGCTCGGCTGGCACATGGCGCTGTTCCTGCAATGGCTATCACCTGAGCAGACTCCAACGCCTGGTCATCAGGGGAAGATGCCTAAGCAGAGAATGATTCAAAGCTGTACGATACAGCGTGCCACTTTAGCGGTTACGGGCGCTAGGTTTGAGGGTGGTTTTGACTTTTGGGCTGGACGTTGCGGGCAACCATGAATCAGCTGCGGTAAGGGCGTAAGCATGGCGTTGAGAAACATAGAGGATCTGATGGGTATCATTGTTTTGCGACATTGTTACAAGAACCATGTCGTGGTACCTCGTGGGTGGTGTTCTATATGGTCTCGATGATAAAACGGCTTCCCGACTCCCAAGTGAACAAGCTAACTCCGGCTTCCTCCCTGCCCAGCATTCTGGGTATGTGTATGTACGTCTGTATGTATGCAAAAGACACGCCGGCCAGCGCCACGCTCCCATGCCGCGAGAGAAAAGACAATCCAGAAACTCCATGCAACCTGTACACAGACTCCATCGTCTCTGCCTACTTCCCCTCATACTTTTCCTCCTCCACCCACAACTCAACCAGCCTCCTCGCGCCCAACGCATCCCCGTCCCTCAGCAGCGCCGCGACGTCAACGTTCAGCGGTGAGTCCACGCCGGGCGTGCTCAGCAGGATACGGATCGCCCGCACGCAATTGAGCACGCTGTACGCCGGCGTCCATTTGTCCTTGAGCAGGTCGAGGCATATCTCGCCCGTCTCGAGGCTCACGTTTGGGTGGACGATGGGCGTGGCAAAGGATATTTGGGGCGGTTGGATCGGGTAGGTGGGCGGGATCGAGATGCGGAGGAGCCAGCGGCCGTCTGTTGGATCAGACACATAAATGTCAGCCATTATGGCATGTAGAAAGGGAGAGGGCCGTGAACAGCAATAGGGCGATAAACAGGAAACGCACTCTCGTAGCCGTGCCCGACCCCACGGCCGTTAATGACCGACTCCCAAGTAAGCAGCTCGTCGTCGCTGACGGGGCCGAGGCGCTCAATGCCCTGCTCGCCGGCCGATTCGGTGTTCCACGTGTCCCACTCTTTCATCAGTCGGCGCATGGCGCTGCGGGGGACGTACCCGGCAGCCATCGCCGGTGCTGTTCGTCCAAGGACGGTCCCGTCGTTGCTGAGACCGGTGGTTGAACAAGGAAATACCACGACGGGGAGCAGATCGCTTGCGCGGACAACAAATTATTCGAAAGGTGTAGGTTTCAGGGTGTTCAAGTGGTCGAACCTCAAGATCTGAGGTCTGCAGTGTAATGCGGTTCGCCGGCAGTCAAGCGGTGCGATGCTCAAGTGAAAGTGGTCCGCCCCCAAGAAGCGCGTTGATGAGGCGCGCTTAGCCGAGGCATGGCCCGGTTTATGGCGTATTGCTGTTTTGTGGGGCTCTGGTCGGGCAACGCCACCACGGGTGCCATATGCCTGCCCCTTCATGACGGCTCATGGCTCAACACGCTGAAGTGGCTATGAGAGGCAAAGATACATGTCGACCTCGAGTTGGAATTGCCTTCGGAACAACGTCCTTATTGCATGGCGCGAACATGTACAATATGTGCAGAATCATCGCAGCCTGCGAATCAAATGTCCCATCTCCATCATATCCTCCCCGGTTGCCATCAAAACCGAAGCACACCCTGGCAGTTGAGATTTCCGTTCCTGATTTCATGTAACCTTGTTCCTCATACTGCCATCAGAAACGCCAAAGTCTGCAATATTAGAACCCCGCCGATCCTCTGTAATCCTACATGTAAGTTTCCGTGACAAAGAGTCAGATTCATTCACCCGCTGTTGCTCTCCTTGGGTTTCCAGAACTGCATCATTCGGCTCAGCCGCTTGGTCTTGCTGGGCTTGGCCTTCTTTTCCGGCTCGCTATCCATTGAAACCTCAATCGACAATTTGCTCCGCTCCCCGTGTGAGCTGTTGATCAGGCGGCTGAGACTCGCCAGGCTTGAACGCCGCCGCCCAAAAGCAGTCGACGTGAACGACGCTGGCCTCTGCAGCTCGTTCAACGGCGGATGTCTCGCTTGCGGATTCTGCGCAAAAAGGCTTTCCCTTGTCATTGTCGAGTTGCTGCTGGTCAGAGACGGAATATCATCAACTGATATCCGGACTTCCGGTCCGGGTTCGCCCATGAGCAGCGACTGGAAATTGTCCTCGGTGATGGAGGACGGAGCTGTCGAGATACACTGTGCATCGTACGACATTGGCGACCTGGGAGAGGGAAAAGCCGACGACTCGGTCATGGACCACGGACTGACGGGACCGAATGACGCAGCCGGAAGGTTAAGGGGGCTGACCTCGACAGGGGCCAAGTCCTTGGGGCGGAACACATGGCGGGGAGAAGGAGTTGCAGACCCGCACTCGGCCACGTACGGGGGAGTGGGTTCGACGAGAATTGGCTCGGTGCAATCCGAGTCCGACAAATGGTCCAGTGCAGCAGACGCCATCTTTTGGAAATTGTCATTTCCGGAGCTCTGGTGCTGATGAGATTTCGCGGGAGACGATTCAGCACTGTTCGACTGGGCGAGGTCGTTGCTCGCAGTTCGCACCTCCTCTCCCGACTTTGTTGCTCCTTCGGGTTTCTCGGCTGCAGAGGTGCCGGCAGCAGGCGTTGACGCACCAGTTGAGAGGCCAGTCGAGCCCTCTTCCTCCTCTTCCTCATCCTCCTCAAACACGTCAGCCATTGTTGAGCTGCTCCCAAAGCGCCGAAATCCAAAGCGGCCGCCCTCAAACGGCACTAGCTCCGGTGCACTTTCAGCCCGTCTATGGTAATAGTGCATGCCAGGTCCAGAGAATCGGCTCAAGCCAGCGGCGCTGTGCAGCTGCTTCTTGATGAGGCCTCCCGCTCTCTGAGCAGCCTCCCATTCAGGATTGCGGGGCAAAGGCGTGTTGAAGGGACCTAAAGCCGCATCCAAGTCAATCATTGGGTACGACGTGTCTTCATCTTGAGTCTCAACGGGCTTTGGAAAGGTCCACGCCGCCCAGTCCCCATTTTCAGACGACTGGTCGGCGGGGAGACTGGACACTGGAGCCTCAGGCTCCGGAGACATGTCAGGAATACCGTCATCCACTTCGTCAGCAGGCTCGAAAAGTCGCGGTGGCGGCGGCGTTGGCGCTCGCCGCTTTTGCTTGGCATGGCGATACTTGCTCTTGCGAGACAAGATGGAGCCTGCCCACGTCTTGACCTTCTTCTGCTTCTTGCTTCTCTTCTTGCTGAGAGGCTTGAGCGCCTCTAGGCTGTTTCCGGGGCCCTGACAGACAACATCGACAGGGCGTTCCACAAAATTGCGTTCTGTCAGGCTCAGATGAGAGGCGATCGAGTGAGGGCTGTCAGGCTGCGTCCGTGTCGGCGAGCCCGTGGCGAGAGAATCACGCCCAAAGAATGACCACTTTTTGGCAGATCTCGTGGGGCTCGGAGTGGCTGGGCAGAGCGGAATAGCAGGAGGGAGTGCACCCAAGAGAGGGATCGATCCTCTTCTTCTCGGTGATCTAGCAGCCAGGTCCTGTTCCTGGGCGCCCTGGGACCGTTCCATGACAGCGCCTGCCGTGCTAGGTCGACTGCCACTAAGCTTCTGAGAGGAGGAGACCGATGGGTTCACTTCCCGATCCAAAGTCGGAACGGAAATGACGGAGGAGATGCTCCCCGAAACAGAGTGGCCGGGTCGTGCGGTGACTGTGCTGGAAGTATCGGTCGATACGAGAGACAGAGGTCTCGGGATGTACTCTAGTGTATCAGAAAAACCGACCCTATTTCGCACTGCAGCCTTGGGGGTCTGCTCGAGCTGCGGGGTATGTGGTGACGGATGGCTGGGACTATCGGCAAAGGATTCGAGCACGGGGCTGGGTGCAGCCTTTTCAGCTTCGACGGTCTTGCCGAGAGCTTCGATGTTCCGGTCGAATAGTCGCTCCGCGGCTGCCGGGCTGGCAGGCGCGCTGCTGCCCTTGGTATCGATATTGGGCGGCGGGACGATGATCGAAGCTAGGTCATGGCTAGATATGGCAGCAGACCGACGATGAGCGTGTCCTCTTCGAGGTCTAGCCGGTTGAAGTAGAGGCGAGGCCATGCCGCTTTCCGGTTTAGTTGGGCTGTTGTTGAAGACGGTTATGGCTTCGCCGTCACGGATACTCCCTCCGACAAACTCGCTGCCACCCCTCCGATGTCCATGGCCGCCAGGTCGGGACGGGATCAATCGAGGAGAATTTGGTGCGGACGGCGATTGCGGAGGACTCAGGAACATGTTTTCTAAACCTGTCGGCGGCGGCATGGACGCCCCTGGATTGAAGGAGAAGGCCGGAAGAGCAGGCGATCGCGAGATGTGCTTATCGCCCTCAGTGCTTGCTTTTAGAGCCGAGTTTCGTGGCTCGATAGCAGAGTGCGGCCGTCTTCCTGTGGCTCTGGAGAAGGAAGACTGTACAGAGGACGATGGCCGTGCGGGGAAGACAAACGGCGGGTTCGGAGGAGGCGGGTGCGATCGGGGGGATGCCTGCACATTCGAGGGATGCGGCTGTTGGGACGCCATATCGCTCGTGGTCGGGGCGCAGAGGAGCTCTCCGGGCTCGGGCCCGTCCGGCGAGGGAGGGTCGATCATCAAATCGGGGCCGACTGTCATTGCCATATTACCAAGCCGCGCTGCGGCACCAGACTCGATCAGCAGCTTGGTTGACTGTGAATGACATGGAAATGCTGAGTGCAAAAGGCCGATTGGCAGAAGACTTGCAGCGACTGCGGTCTGGTGCCAGGTCGGGTAACTTGTCGTGGCTCAGCCAATGGTGAAATAAACAATTAAAGGCAATTCCAGCCCGAAATCTGTGGACAAGGTCAGCGCCACCCAGGGAGCAGACGATACACACGATCGCTAGTCGGATGGTCCGAGGATGAAGAAACGCACCATTGAATTGCTCAAAGTCAGCGAAGACAGCGCCGACAGGAATTAGGCAGCTGGACAGACTGCTTCCAGATGAATCCAATGGGTGGGTATAAAGGAGTGGACGGCCAAAACCAGAGCAAATCTCTCGATTTGCTACCGGAATTGAACCAGGTGCGGCGTTGAACTGAGGCCGCTGTTGATGGGGAGGCCGGCTGGGGAAGAACAAGAAGCAAAGTTGAGAAGGGCCAACAGGAACGGGGGAGGCAGGAAACCAATCTGAGATTGACCGCAGCCGCATAGTGTTTTTTGAAAGATACACTGTAGGTGTGTGTGTGGGTCATCAATTGTTCTAATCCCAATGCAGTAAGCCCTCCGATCACTTTCAGGTCAGCCTGGATCTTGGCCATTGCGCGTCCGGGACTTCATCTGTGGACTCGCGATGATGAGGCTCGGTCAGCAACAACATTAAGTACGGTACCTTATTGTGGTCTTTGAATGCGCCTTTCGGAGCGCCTGCAAATAATCTCGGTTATGATTATAATAGTCAATGAGCAGCTTCATGTGCAAAATATAATTCAGAGGAGGGCTGGTGGTATCCGCATCAGTTCAAGACCTCTTCGGAGCAAGAAATGCCCGAAGAGGACAGCAAAGTCCACGCACGTCTCGGCACACACGAGTGATTGTTCAATTTCGTATTCCACCACGATGGACGGCAACGCGACGGTCTGCGCCTCATTGCCTGTCTCGCTGGGTACCCCGCTAATTGTTCCTGCTCATCAAGCGGGCTGGTCCAGGGGTTCAATACAACCCCCAGATCGAATCCTCCACACTGTGCTTCCGAACCGGGCTCTCAATGTGAGCGGGACATGGAGGGGTGGATTCCCGTCTCGTTAATAATCCAATATCATGGTATGTTCAAACTCGAGTTAAGTTATTAACGTATCAGCTCACTACATAGATCCTGCTACTGTGTAAGAAGATACGAGCTTGTGAGGAGCCGCATCGAACTGCCACCGCCGGCCTGTTGAGTTTTGAGACCACTACGGGGCTATCCGTCCAGTACCTGGATATTCAACAGCCGGAATGTGAGAGGAAAGAGATAGGAAGGTAGCGATGCAAAAGAACAATGCAGTGGGGGAGAAGGGGAAGGGGAGCAGGTGTGAGCATCACGGCGAGACGGGGAAATGTCCACGGTGTGGACGCCGTCACTTCTCGCCGCGGCTCCTTCTTGGCCTGCAGCCCATGCAGCCTGGAGTGGCTTCTTGATGAGAAACGATCAAAGTCATCCAATGAGCAATCGTTCAGCCATCAACGCACGTACGATGGTGCAGGAAACCAGGGATTTTCAGCCGACTTGAGGTCTTCCGCGCCCACACATCCCGATTGCTATGACAACCGTCCCATGCGGTCAGATTGACAGCGCACGCTCTTCTCAGATGATCACAATAACCCGGCAGCCAGCAGTTTTCGGAAACGGCTCGGACGGGAGAGCAAGCTCCTTTTCAGAGAGTCAAGGAGATAATCGACTTGGCTGATTTCTTGATAAGGAATAACGGTGTTACACGGAGTGCTCGGCTGGTGACCAGTGTATTTCGCAAATGCTGCTATCTCACGAAGCAGCCACCGTTCCCATGCTCGCGGCCTCCCGATTCATAGGAGGCTTGTTGGGGGTTGGTCCAAGACCAGAAAGACAAGTTGCGCTCATTCTGAGGGTCGGTTCCTTGGTGTTCGATGCCAAGGGTACCCTAAGGGTATGTGGGACGAAGGCATGAGGGGGATCTCTTCATTCTACGGATCCGTAGACGCCAGCGCCAAGGCGCTTCTTCGTCCGACAAGGGCCGGGGCTCCCGCAGCGGCTGAAGCGGCACGTGCACCGTCCAGTTGAGGCGTTTAGGTGGATCCGTATTCTGCCACCAAATTCCGCCCAGATTGGACAATTCTGCCGTTTTCGTTGGAGACCGAGGCTCTGAACTTAGTGCAGTCTCTCCCGTTGAACCCTTCCAATAGAAAGAGAAACAATGTCCGCGACAACACTTGAAAGTGCTCCTGCGCCAGAGGCAGCGGTCTCTAAACAATTGGGAATGCGGAAAAATGGTACGCCTATATTTTTACGTACGTCCCCTCGGGTTTCTGGCTTCTGTTGCTGATTGGAGTTATAGGCAAGCAATGGCATGCCCCGAAGAAAGCTTTCCGACCTGGATCCGGTTTGACTCCCTACGAGCAGCGCGCAAAGGCAAGGGTGGCACAAGCTGCTGTGAAGGCCATGGAGAAAGAAATGAAGGAAGAAAAAGAGGCGGAACGACAGGTGCGTAGTCGATCGAGGGAGGACATGGGGGGCGGACAACAACCCAACGCTGACTCACGCGTTCGCAGAGACGGATACAAGCTCTGAAGGAAAAGCGAGCTGCGAAGGAAGAGAAAGAAAGATACGAGCAGTTGGCGGCGAAGATGCACAAGAAGAAGCTGGAACGGCTGAAGCGCAAGGAAAAGCGCAACAAGTTGCTCAACTCATGATTTCGATCAAGCGGGAAACGGTATACCAGCTCGATGTGGCCCATGACGTCTTCTATCCACGTCTCGGACACCGAACAACACTGCGCATGTCGCAAAGGGTCCGGAGTGCCTGCTTGCAGAAGCAGGAGCCCTTCTGGCCCGACTGGCCGGCTGAGCTTTCTTACGAAGATGTCAATTCGGCAGAATGATCATGGCACGAACAGCGAGGGCTAGTTGCGTGCAGCAAATGAAGTATCAAGCCTAGCAGTCGCTCGAGGATGCCAGCCCAGCTGATCTACTTCAGTCCTCCTGTCATTATGGACTACTTTAGGGACTATTCGTCCACGTACGCTAGATAGCATGCTACATGCAAAATATATTCCAGGGCCGTGAGTGTTCCTGGAGATGTCCCGCTTGTCTTCACATTGCGAAAGGATGGAACGCCGTACTGCGATTACAACTATCACATGCTTGCTCTCCTACCAACCCAAGCAGCTTGTGCCCCACCCCACCACAGACCATCTCCTGCTTGAGTTTGGCTGGTTTCGCCTTTCCCGGTTCAGCAAGCCTCTAGCGTCACTGTACGACTCACCCGCCAAAACGAAGACCATCGGCAAGTGATTTGGAGTAACATGTCCCAGAATGGAGGCGATGAAACCAAAACGTCGTCGCCGGTGCGCCCACGGCATCAGATCACGCGGTCAATTTCCGAGATTTCCTCGCCCATCCGCCTGCATCGACATCATTCGCATCGTACTAACAGGGAGACGGAGCGTGAGACGCGGACCTCAAACCCGCAATCAGCGATACTAGTCGTACAAGGCAGGCGCTCATTCGAGTGGGCACGCTCCGAAAGAGCGACACCAAATCTCACCCCTAGCGCTAGCCGGCGGACGAGCATTCTCTATGCCTCGGGCGATGAAATAATGCCACTGCCCGGAACTGCGAAGAATAACGGGATGGCAGAAGGGCTGGTCAAGGAGCAACAGAGAGCAGCCGCCCGAGAGAGGTCAGCATTAGCTTGCAGCTTGCAGCTTCCCTAATGTCAACGAAGTCCTGAGCTGACCCTGGTGACAGTGGCCTACAGAGGTCGCTAGCCGACCTCGAGACCTTTGCGAGATCCACGACGAAACAGCTTGACGACACATACTACTTGCTCCTCAAGAAGCTAAATACGCTACAAAGCACAGTTGCAGCCCTGAAGGAGCTCGTCGAGCACTCCTCGCAACTGAGCAGCAGCTTCAGTGCCGAGGCCGAAGAGTTAGTCACCGAGTTCGGCGCCCAGCTCGACGGATTCGGGCAGTTTGAGGACCAGCAGAGGCGCATCGAATCACTACAAAATCGCATACAGACGGGGCGAGAGCTGATCAGGTCATTAAGCGAGCGGGTCGATGCCGTCAGTGAACGAATCGAGAGTTGGGCGCGAGCAGACCGGGAATGGCAGGAAAGGACGAGGAAGCGTCTCAAGGCAATATGGGTCGTCACCTCTGTCGCTATCTTCCTCGTGTTTTCATTGTTCATCGGCTCGCAGTATGTGCCTGACGGCCTTGAGGAGAGCGTTGCTCACATCGCGAGCGACGGCTTGAACACCTTACGGGACGTAACCGGGACGAAGGCGGATATGCTGCGCAGCTCCCTGGACACAGGGTCACGAGGAGCCAGCATCACGTTATCACTCAACGGGACAGAACCACCAGGGCTATCATCCCATACGCCTGACATGCTCAGGGTGTTTGATGAGCTGTGAAATACAAGGAATCGGGCCAACAAAATGGCGCTAGTTCACCTTACCCTTATTCATCTCTCTGGTTCGGCTCGATATTTTACCAGCGACTTGACACAGTATGTACCTTGATTTACTGTAACCCTTAGGCTTATCCTAATTTCTCTATCACATTTGGCCCGCCGGTAGTGTATGGATACAGTGTACCTCTTAGCTCGGAGACGAATTTCGCAGACCAAAACCGGCAAGACCTTGCCGCTTACGGATATTACCGGTGCAGTTCAGGGGTCTCTGAGCACAGCTCGCTCAGCCCTGCCGTGGAGGCCTCTTGATCCTGAGGGTCCACATCGAATCAAAGAAGCACGATCAGGAAATCCGCTGTTCCATGAAGAATGCTGAAAAATTGGTAATTTGTGAGGTTGACGATGAGTGGTTTCCAACTAGTTTTTACACAACGACCAATCCGCAAAACTCTAGCATCCCATGGTGTGGCCAAGGTACCCGGAACGGTAAGGCAAACGGGCTTCACCAATTTCAGGAGAGCTTGTTTGCACGTAGCAGGATGCCAAGCCCACGTCATCAGGGACCTGGCGGGGCTTCTCGAGCGCTTCCACTGATCTGCGCCACCTACCCAATGCGTCATCTGGCGCTAGCATGGCCCGGGCTGTGGGAACTGTCTGCCGCAAGAATCACATTACTTTGGCCGACAACTGACGCCGGATTTCCGTTGGCACATATCCTGGTCTCGCCTTAAGTTGTGATGGATGGTCCTGGTTGAATCTTCAGTTCGGTCCTCAGTGCGTGAAACATAAAAGAGATCCATCAGTTTGGATCGCCGTTGATCTGCATCTCTACCTGTTGAGGTCCTCCTACCTACGCTGTCAGGCTGTGTCTGCTCGTTCGGTTGGCCATATCTTTGTTAAACCGACACTGTCAAATTTGATTGTACGTTGTTCCTCGGTCTTCCCCATCGACAGACCCGAGGTGTCGGTTTTCCCTTCTGTTTGCTTCAAGCGCCGGAACGAGTTGACGCACCGTGCCGCTCGCTTCCACAGACTCGGAAACGTAGGAGCGGCCCAGGCACCGGCAGTTTGGGCTCCTGAGCTTACTGAGCGCAACACTTTCCCCAACATCACGACGCAGGAGAAAGCCCTAAGTCTCCCACGAGCCTCAAGCGGTGAATAGGACCCAGCCGAAGACTCCTAAAGACGAACCTGTCGTGAGCTCTCAGAGTTCCCGTCGTACCCGCCCATAATGACAATGGGCTCGGACAACGCCTCGGAAGGATCTCGCAACGTACAGCCTGGGCAGTCGACAGAGCTCCCAGTGCGGACGGCATCGGCACCGGAACGCAAGCAGAGCCTGACAGGAAAGCAAGAACATTGTTTGTGGTCCCCTCCCTGCCCCATCAACTCAAGACCCTGCTTTCCACCTCCCGGCCCGCATACATCGTCCCCTGGCGCTGCTCGCCCGCCAGCGATTTCTAGCTGACCAACTGCTCGTCAGATTTGAAGCGCGAGCTCCTATCGGAGCAAGTCAAATGGGAAATCTCAGAGCTCAACTCTCCCACGGCGCTACGGCGGTTCGGCGCACCGTTCAAGTCTCCGCTCGGGGAGATCTCGCCGCTGGACTCCGAGCTGCCCATCCTCCGATACATCTTCGTCCACCATGTCCGCGAGTTTCCGTTCCTTGACAAGGCGAAGGAGAAGGAGTTTTGGCAGGACAAGTTACAGGTGGTAGGCGGTGCCTCGTGTTTCGGTTTTGAGAGGAAGGTCGGGCGGAGACATTGGGCTAATGTATCAATGGTGCTTCTAGTTCCTCGAATCGTTTGCCAGCAAAAACATTTCGTCATCAGAGGACAGGTTGGAGGAGACCAAGCGAAGGAAGCTGGCCATCAAGGCTCAGAAGCTGGTCGAGCTGATGATGGTGTCGGGAATTCCAACGTCGTCCGGCTTCGAGGAGAGAATTAGGTTTTCCGAGTTGGAAATTGTCGACGCTAATGCCATCGATACCGGTGTCCTCTCGAATCTTCCCGAGGGCAACTACTTGAATGGATGGGATGTCAACGTTGCCGGTGTCCGCACCATCTCCGTCAAGAGGAAGATCAGGCACCACAAGCACGCCGTGAGTTTCGTTTTGGAATGAGAAGCAACCAATCTTCTCGCTAACCATTTGGCTGCAGGAATTCCTACTTCGGGTTCGAAGGAAAAATGCGCCAGATCACTACGTTGGGCGGCGGTACGGTGACTTTGCTCAGCTGTATAAGGGACTGCGCCTCGAGTTTCCCGGCAAGGTCCTGCCACCTCTTCCTCAGAAGAATAAGTCAAATACCACAGCGCTCAGCACGTTTGGGAGCCATGATGGGAACAACTCTGAGACGTCGTCCATCTCGTCGGTCTCGACGCACATGCCGTCGTCCATCTCGTCAGTATCGATGCAGATGCCTGCCAGCCCTGTAACCAATGGCTCCGGGCATCACGGCGACACAGTTCAGAGGCTGCTCTCTGTGAAGGGTTGGTCTCGTCTCCAAGATTCTCATTACAAAGCCCACTAACGCATCCTTTCAACCATCCAGATTACCGCTCCGGTGACCGGCTCTCTCCTCGGAGTTCAGTCGACGGCAGGCCATCGAGCCCATCGCCACTCAGTTCCAAGTTTCAAGAGGTTAGTGTTCAGCCAGCAGACATTGCACGTGGCGGAGGCAGCTAACACTCCTAGGCTGTTGTGCTATTCCGAGAGAGCCAGCGCATCTCATTGCGCGCTTTCCTACGCTCCTTGTTGCATAACCCGCAAATCGCCAACACCAAGGCTATGGAGGAATTCTTGACAAAGGATCCAGTCACCCTGACTGACGAGAATTATGAAGATATTGCGCGCAGAAAACACATGGACGAGAAACGAGTCGAAGAGCAAAAGCAATTCTATGAGGTAGCAAGGAAACGTGCGGCAGAGTTGGATGTTTACATGGAACAGTAGGTTCAGTCCCGGGGAATGAATGCATTGTGTGCTAACCGCCGCTCTCTTAGGTTTCGACAGGACATTGTCGAACGCAATGGTCTGACGATGCTGTTCAAGGAGATTCGAGAAAAGGAGACGATCCAGGACCTGAGCTTGCAGTACCAGAAGTTTGCTGAGTGGCTGCGCATCGAAGTGGCGGCCACCATCTACCACCTCTTCCTCGCCGAGGACAATTCGCCCGAGCTGTTCGCTCAAGCGAAGCGGATCCATTCCTTGATCCCATACACGCTCGTAAAGAATGTGATTCGGGTCGCGAATCCGGCGGCCGTCATGTCGAGCATTCTAGACATCTTCCTCGCGCAGCCGTTCGGCACCAGGTCCCTGATGCAGCGTATCTTCTCCATGACTCTGCATGACGGCATCCGGAGCTTCCAACGGTCGATCGATGCGCTTGCCAATAGAATCGAGGACCCACTGTTCGTTGAGAAGCTGAAGGTGTACACGAATGCCGAGGAAGATATCAAGCAGGCGATTAGGGAAGAAGCCAGCAGCGAAGACGTGGATATCATTGTTGCCATCCTCCGGTCGGAGCTCGTCGGTCCGGCACTCGAACCCGAGCAAACGGGGCGCCTGTACAATGCCTATGTGGCCTTCAACAACGCCATTGAAAACGTCGACGAGGAGCTCCGACAGGGTGCGCAGCTCTTCTCCTACCTCAAACAGTTGTTGAAGCTGTATATTCGACAGAGGGATAAGGCCATGATGTTGAAACTCATTGAGGAGCCCGTGACGCTCCAGCTGTTCCGGGATTTGTTCACCATCTTTTACGAGCCCCTGGTGCGGGTCTACAAATCGGCCAACGTGTACAACAGCGTGACAGATTTTGCGCATTTCATCGACGACCTGATTGTGGTGAGTGCCAGCCAACCCTTTTCTTAGCTTTTTTTCCACATAAACATCAGAGCTGACGAAATGGACAGGTTGTCGAGCGGTGTCGCGAGCAAGATGCTTCCGCGGATCCTAACCAGACCGTGCAAGCCTTCATCGACCTCTGCCAACGGCACGAGGAGAAATTCTACAAATTCGTCCACGAGGTGCACACGCACGACAACGGCCTATTTACGCAGCTGATGGGCTGGATCCAGGGCATCCTCGAGTTCCTCCGGCACGGCCCCAAGAATGGCAGCCTCGACGTCAACGCGCTCTTCGAGGGCGCCACCAGCAGCGGCATCATCGACCGGGACAAGGCCATCGGCGAGGTCAACAGACTCATTGCCTGGCAGGAGGCGCGCAAGAAGTGGCACCACGACAAGACGCGGCAAAAGATGGCTGCCGAGGGGGCGCCCGGGGAAGGGGAAGCGCTGCCGGGGGCCTTGGCGTTCCGGCCGAGCGACTTTGGGCTGGACCAGGCCGACCTGGAGGAGATGGGGTATGACGAGGAGTCGGAAGAGGAGGCGGAGCTCGAGGCGGATGACGAGCTGGATCCCATCGAGGCGGAGCGCCAGCGGAGAGCGAGGAGGCAAGACCGGCTGCGGCGCTACGCGGGCGAGCCGGCGAAGCCCGGGGTGTCGGAGGTGCACAAGCTCAAGGAGAACTTCTTGGTTATGTTGCGGATGGTGCTCGCCGAGTGAGGCGTGAGGGGATGCGCGGAAAGTTGTCTTACAGCGCAGAGATAATAGACGATGTGTGTTGCAGTAGCTGAAGGAGAGGGCGGGTGCATGGGATACAGAGGAGGGCGTTGTCTGGTTCCTAGGTGACGCCTTAAGGGGGCAGTCGCTGTGTCCTATACCCACCTGTGCATTCTCAGAGTTGGATCGGCTTTGGCATCCTACTGGTATCAATAGGCAGTACCTACCTTAGTAATTCATGTTGTTAGGGAGTCGGATAGCATGCGGATATCATGAGAACCCCATGCTGGCAGCCCATCATCGGTGGCCGACATGCGGAGGAATGATTTGGATCGGGGTCAACAAACTCGCCCATGATTCGGACTCCTCTCTGCCTGGTCTTTTCCATACCGAATTTGGGTGACAGGGTGCTTCAAGTTGTAAGACATTGTGTAACTGTGTCAAGGTCCCCAACCTAGACGGGCAGCTGCCAAAATATGAAACAGACAACCTAAGGTGCCTTAGGTAGACGATGATCTGAAGGAGAAACGGAAGGGGCTGAATCTGTTTGCCGTTCAGTTGTTGCCCAGCCGGACGACAGAATCTCGGAACAGCTTCCCTGCCCCACATTGGATGGCCATCTTCCGGTCTCCCTTTGCGTGCGGCTTCTACCGGTGCCACCTCAGCGGAGCCTTGCCGGCAACTCGGGTAATCAGCCTTCGCTGATTGGCCCAGACGCTACCACTCATTGCTGTGCCGAGTCTTGGAATGGCGACGAGTGCATGACATCTGAGCGAGGCTCAAAATATTTCCCTGATGCCCACCACCTCTCCCCTCAGACCTCGTTAGACGACAATGGCTTCCTCAATGGCTTGGAGACGACTGGCCTCGAGCTCAGCGGTGAGTACTGGTTGTCTTTGTCCCCTTCCGCCGGCCCGATTTGCGCGCGGTCTTTTACTCGCTTCCGAAGTGTTCAGAATGGCTCACCCGAGGTCCATTCCGACAGCTCTCGCGTGCCTCTAGAAACACGATCCGGGCATTTTCCACAACAAGACCGGCCGGTAGGTTGGATTGATTCTATTCGCAACAAGCAAGGACACGGCGGCCTGACATATTGTCTGTTCACAGCTCGTGTCATCGCCAACGGGCCGCTCCGCGCAAAGGAGGCATCGCCGTTTGTCAGCACCAAGTACCCTGTCATTGTATGTCCCTCGGCTGGGAACCCTCGCGGCATTGAACGAGAACAAGGGGTTGACTGGGGCTCGAACTAGGATCATGAGTACGACGCCATCGTCGTCGGTGCCGGCGGTGCCGGTCTGCGTGCGGCCTTTGGTCTTGCCGAGGCTGGTTTCAACACGGCCTGCATTTCGAAGCTGTTCCCCACTAGAAGTCACACAGTCGCTGCCCAGGGCGGCATCAATGCCGCGCTCGGCAACATGCACGAGGACGACTGGAGATGGCACATGTACGATACGGTCAAGGGCTCCGACTGGCTCGGTGACCAGGACGCCATCCACTACATGACCCGCGAGGCCCCCGCCTCCATCATCGAACTCGAGAACTACGGCTGCCCCTTCTCCAGAACCGAGGATGGCAAAATGTAAGTGGTATATGGCTGGCTGAATGTAGGGGAGAACCGGAGGCTGACAGTCTCCGCAGTTATCAGCGTGCCTTCGGTGGTCAGTCCCAAAAGTACGGCAAGGGCGGCCAGGCGTACCGCTGCTGCGCCGCCGCCGACCGTACCGGCCACGCTCTCCTCCACACCCTCTACGGCCAGTCCCTCCGGCACAAGACTAACTACTTCATCGAGTACTTCGCCATCGACCTGCTCATGCAGGACGGCGAGTGCCGCGGTGTCCTGGCCTACAACCAGGAGGATGGCACCCTCCACCGTTTCCTCGCGAACAACACCGTCCTGGCTACCGGCGGCTACGGCCGCGCCTACTTCAGCTGTACTTCGGCCCACACCTGCACGGGTGACGGTATGGCCATGGTTGCCCGCGCCGGCCTGCCCAACCAGGATCTCGAGTTCGTCCAGTTCCATCCCACGGGTATCTACGGCGCTGGCTGCCTGATCACGGAGGGCGCTCGTGGCGAAGGTGGCTACCTCCTCAACTCCGAGGGCGAGCGCTTCATGGAGCGCTATGCTCCGACCGCCAAGGATCTTGCGAGCCGTGACGTCGTCTCGCGTTCCATGACCATGGAGATCCGCGAAGGCCGTGGTGTTGGTGCTGAGAAGGATCACATCTACCTCCAACTCAGCCATCTTCCCGCGGAGATTCTCGCTGAGAGACTTCCCGGTATCTCTGAGACTGCAGGTATCTTTGCTGGTGTCGACGTCCGCAAGCAGCCCATCCCGGTCCTACCCACTGTCCACTACAACATGGGTGGTATCCCTACTCGCTACACTGGTGAGGTTCTCACGGTGGATGAGCAGGGCAACGATAAGGTTGTTCCTGGTCTCTTCGCCTGCGGTGAGGCTGCCTGCGTCTCGGTCCACGGCGCCAACCGCCTGGGTGCCAACTCCCTGCTCGACCTGGTTGTCTTCGGCCGGGCCGTCTCTCACACGATCCGCGACAACTTCACTCCTGGCGCCAAGCTGAAGCCCATTGAGGCCGATGCTGGTGCCGAGTCGATCGAGACCCTCGACCAGATCCGCAACTCGAATGGCCCCAAGAGCACGGCCGAGATCCGTCTTGCTATGCAGAAGACCATGCAGCGGGAAGTCAGCGTCTTCCGTACCCAGGAGAGCTTGGATGAGGGTGTCAGGAAGATCACCGAGGTCGACCAGATGTTTTCGCAGGTCGGCATCAAGGACCGCAGCATGGTTTGGAACTCTGACCTGGTTGAGACGCTCGAGCTTCGCAACCTGCTTACTTGCGCGTGAGTAATCCTGACACACAAAGTATGTATGAAAGCAGACACTGACCACTTGGGGGAACAGGACTCAAACTGCTGTCTCGGCCGCCAACAGGAAGGAGTCGCGTGGCGCCCACGCCCGCGAGGACTACCCCGAGCGTGACGACGACAATTGGATGAAGCACACTCTCAGCTGGCAGAAGCAACCCCACGGCAAGGTCGACCTCTCGTACCGCCGCGTCATTGGCACCACGCTCGACGAAAACGAGTGCAAGCCCGTTCCCCCATTCAAGCGTGTCTACTAAGCAGACGCTCATGTGAGACCTGCGCCGTGTGTCAAGACCAAAATCTGAGTCTTGTTGGCCTGCAGGTGGGAAGTCAGACGTAGTTCTGGCGATTAAGGGATGTTCGAGGTCGAATTAGGGGAGATACCCTTGTGGCCGTGGGGCAGGCAACCATAATCCGTCCATGTGTCTGTGTGGTGTGCCATGGAGAGGTGAGATTTTTTGAAGCATAGCATCCTGTTTTGTTTCCCTCTGTCCTTGTTGTGTTTGGAAGTGCGCGGGGGGGCCTGTTTAGGGTATGTGTAGATCAAATTTGTGGGTTCTCACGGTGAATGAGAGGAATATTGCAGACAGGTGCTTCGACGCCCTCGTGCTGGGCTCGGTCGTGTATACAAACAAAAGCAGAATGGGAGGTGAAGAATTGAGGAAGAACGAGGTTACGAGAGGAGGATGAAATTAGTTTTTGAGATACTTGGTGTGCTGATCCTTCTGTCTTGACCCGGTGACTATTCCGCGCATGAAGGCGATGATATTCTGCTTGAATCGCAAAGCCGCACAGAAGCACCAGTACTCAAGCATTACCCTAGGTTTGTTCATATACGGTACCCAATTCATCCAGCAAGCAAAACCTGCCCACACTCATCCACCGCTTCAGGCCCTTCGACTGGGTTTTCCTTTAGACTTGCTTCCCAGCTTGGACGAGCTCCGCCATTCGACTTCGCAGTTCCGCTGTCTGCCAAGGGGTTAAACTCACGTTTCTGGCATTGCCCGTTTGGAAGACTTCAACTCAAGCCTACGATGCCGTGAGTAGAATCTCAGACTTTTCGGCAGTAGTATACCAGATCGCGGCCTCGATGATTCTGCACACGATTCTCAGATCATTCTCGTCTATCCAACACAAACAACCATGTCAGCACCAGCACACCCACTCCATAACGACTACGAGGGACTATGACGGGAAACGTCGTCAACTCACCTCTGGGGGCATAAATCATGGTATATGTCCTCGGCAGCGGACTCTGTATCAGTCCATCCCCTACCGACAAACGTTAGCTCTCTCCGCCTATCCTCTTCACACTCAGTTTTGTCAAAGTTAGGAGCTGTTGGGTTCAAATTTCATTTCACTTACACGCCATGGGATGCCTCTGACCCCAGCCCTTGTCCAGCACCTCCTTGATGTCGTCCGGATGGAGGTTCAAGTGCATGGACCGGTCCGAGGTGTGGATGTGGCAGACCTCGCCGTTGCCGCACACATTGAGCGGGTGCCGCGCGAAGAGGGCGAAGCCGTGCTTCTCCATGGACGACGTCGCCGTGACGAACTTGTCGGGAACGCGAGCGCAGAGGGATTCCAGGGCCGCGCGCAGAGCGGTGGACGCAGGCAGCGAGCCGTGCTGGTTCAGTTGCCGCTGCGGTGCCAGGCCGGCCACGATGGGCCGCGGGCCCGGGCGGTAGGGGAGATTGGAGAGGATGCCGGTCGCGGGCTGCTGAGTTGGATCTCGAGGTGGCGCGGTGAAGGGGTCGCGGAGGGTGAACAACCGGTACCAGGTCAGGCGGGCATAGCCTGATGGGGTCGGAGGAGTGCCACCGGGACCGAGCTTGAGGAAGTTGAGGTAGTCGTTGTGGATCAGGAGGGCTAGGGGGATGAGGATGATGAGGAACTCGAGGACTGGGCGGTCTATGAAGTGCATGCCAAGGACGAGAAGGATTGATACAGCTAACAGGGCTAGGGCGTCGAGGGTGACGTTGAAGGGGTCCTGCCTGATGACCATGTTGGCAGCCATCTGGTTCGTCTCATCCCCAGCCGATGCCTTTTGTGATTCGGTGGCCAAGGTGAAAGACATGGCTGCCGATACTGACACCACCTGATACTATGTGGCTGTCGGGCGGACATAGACGGTGAATGTATGGAGCATCAATTGTCGGCTCCTGGGATGGGATGGATTGTGAGAAGAACTGAGTGGGACAACAAGGAGGTTCAACTGGCCTTTAAAATGCCTCCTCTTTAAAGTTGGTCATACCATAGACGGTCAGCCGGTCAGCGCCCACCAAGTGAAGTCCGTATCAACACAATGGGGAAGAAGACGAGAGCTGGAATAGGAGAGCACCTGATCTCGCATCAGATTAAACGGACAGACTGAATACCTTAGGTAGATGGAGTCTAGATGCTGGCCCGCCGTAACTCAGCCAGCCATCAGAGATGTCGCATGCATAGGACTCGGCAGATCAATGCCAAGAAAATGCAAGACTAAGGGCTCGGCGAGTGTTGGTGTGGCTCCGGGATGCCGTCACCATTGTGTACAGCAGGTCCACGTAGGCCGGCCAAGCATTAGAGGTCCGAACCACTTCAATCCGAAGCACTTCCTCTCCACCTTGTGTCGGGCAGTCCCTAGAGGCGGTATGCACCAGTACCTTTGTACGATACACGGCAAGACCGAGAAAGCGGTGACTGGGTCTCAGGTCGATGACGCCGCCCAATGTCCCTTCTCCCGCCCTGAAGATACGGCGGCCATGCTACCTATCCTTAGCAGTAGTGTGCTGCCTCGTCTCAACCTAGCCGGCCGGCAACGTGCATCTGCCATACATCAAAGACTCCGTGCCTTCGTCCGCTGTAACTGATCCATCAAATGATACCGATAGCTTGCATACGAACTAACGCTAACAATTGCTGCAGCCGACGTGTCTCGGGTTCACTGGCTTGTTGAACACTATCAACGAATTGTCCGCTCGGCTAGGCCGATAGGCAGTGGAAGGAGGCTGACCTTGACGAAGATGCTCGGTACAGTACGGATCCGTACAGGAACGTATCTGACATACCTGAGTTCACTAGTAGTCGTTGTGATACTCCACAGCCTTACGGATTACAACCACAGATCTGCATCCGGGGCACTTCCACTGACTGCGGACGATGGAGTCGTCCATGCACCTGGTCAATTATCAAGCGATGGAAGCCCAGGAGACAAAAAGGAAGGGAGTGGACCCCAATCACCCCACCCTTAAACCAACCCCACTTCTGCAAGCCTGCAACGGTGTCGGTTGCTGGGCAACGGGCGATCCCTTGTATGTCGACAATTGACCCAACAATGGCCATTCAGCGGGCACCATGCGTGCAATGTAAGATCATGCTGCAAGACTGAGCCTCTTGCCCTCGTCTGTCCGAGACAATCTGCGATTTGAGTTCCGGAATTCCACATGACTCGTGCCCTCGAGACCTGTCTCATTGACACTTAGACACTGGGATCGTCTCAAACGAAGGCATCACTCTTCATTCCTCGGTGAGGAAACCAAGTCCTGCTCGTCATGGCTTGTGGCTGACATAGCTGACGGTCCGGTAGCCGGTATTCCCATTGCGACCATGGGGCTGCTGCCCTCCAACCTCTTCCGGCCTCGGGAGACAAAGGAGCCGAAACTCCCACTCTACCAGGAGATATCCTCCTCCTCCTCCTCGTCCAGAACACGCGCACCCCGTACGCCGCGCTCGCCAACCAAGGAGCGCTATTCAGATGCCGACGACTCCTCGGACGAGTCCGATGATGGCGACACCACCGATTCCTCCATCTCCAGCTCGGGCAGTTCGAGACGAACCTCATCATCTGCCGCCTCTGCAGCTCCACTCATAGTGCCCAAAAAGCGGCCCGTGGTTGCCGCCCGCCGAGGTCCTGTTAGAAGATATTTGTATCGTCTGCCAAACAAGATCATCCGCTATCTGTGTATTGCCATGATCTCAACCATCGTTATATTCATTTTTGTCCTTGTCCGAGCAAGTCAGGTCGAAAACAGGAGGATAGCAGAGGGCAAAATAGAAAAGAAACCCGCCGATCCGCCGCCCTGGGAGCAGTTCGACTTCCTCACCAGGTATTACGGTGGTATCAGATCAGTCATTCCACTGGCCAACAATACGCCCCAGTATCCGCGCCTCGAGGGGGAAAGACCTTACAGCGCCACCCGCCAGCAGCAGCAACAACAACAACAAGAACAGGAGCTTGAGCATTCGTCCACAGACACGGCGGCTGTGCCGCCAAGCAAACCGTTCACCGAGCATCCCACCGCGGCCATTCCGAAACCCGAGGACGGAATCCACGGATGTTTGTTGGACGATGCAAACCCGCTACTAAAGGTGCCATCAATCCGCTACCTCGAAGGACGCCCAGAGGGCTTCCCAGACCATATCCTCGGCTCCTACGAGCTGCTCTCCCTGCCCGAAGACATCTGCTTTGACCGCTTCGGGAGGTACGGGCCCTATGGTTATGGCTACTCTGTCCGCATGGGCGGCCTCGGGCTTGGCGAGCATGGCGACCAGGAGGGCGCCGAAGCTGTTTGGGGTTCGAACAAGCAGGTTGACTGGCGCAGGGTAGATTGGGCGGATGCCCAACGGCGATGCTACAGTGTCAATTCTGCACGGTTCCAACCACTGGCGGTGCGCGAGACCCCTCCCCACGGCTTCTACATCGGCGAGGGTCTCGAAAGCTCCCAGCTGGCGACACGCGAGTCCACCGATGAGACCCGCCCCAATGGGCAGAAGCTGCAGGGCGACATTCCGAGAACCGCGGTTGTCCTCCGGTGCTGGGACGAGTTTGTGTGGAGAGAAGAGGACATCGTCAATTTGAGAGCCCTCATCACAGAGCTATCGCTCGCTTCTGGAGGGCGCTACGACGTCCATCTCCTGGTGCAGGTGTGGGACGACGCGAAGAACCCCATCTGGGCCGACGACGACGCATACCGCAGGCGCATCAACGAGACAATTCCCGAAGAGTTCCGTGGGATCGCCACTCTGTGGTCTGTAACCCAAATGCTCGCCGTCTACCAGGGACTTCATGATCTTTACACAAGGGGTCCAAATCTGCCCGTTCACGGCTCCTACCGGGGGCTGCAGATGGCCATGCAGCACTTTGCCTACAACCACCCCGAGTACGAATACTTCTGGCAGTGGGAGATGGACATTCGCTACACCGGCCACTACCATGACCTTTTCTCCAAGCTAGAGTCGTGGGCCAAAGCCCAGCCGCGCAAGGGCCTGTGGGAACGCAACGCGCGCTTCTACATGCCCCACGTCCACGGCACCTGGGAGGACTTCAAGCAGATGGCCCGCGTGCAGACCGAGCACGGCACTGTCGGCCCCGACAACTTGTGGAACACAGTCCCGGGCTCCAAAATTAGCGATCCCAACAAGCTCTCGTCCTCACCAGGATCCCAAACATCCCGCGGCGAGCAATCCGTCTGGGGCCCGCAACGGCCGCTCTCGGAGAACGATTGGTTCGAGTATGAGACGGACCCTGTCCCACCTACTACGTACGAGCGCGACAAGTACACCTGGGGCGTGGGCGAGGAAGCCGACCTTCTCACGCTGTCCCCCATTTTCGACCCGGACGGCACCGGCTGGAAGCTGGCCGACGACATCACGGGGTACAACGAGACGGGCGGCATCGGCAAGCCGCCGCGGCGCGCGCAGATCATCACGGCTTCGCGCATGTCGCGCCGCCTGCTGCTCGCCATGCACCGCGAGACGGCTTTCAAGAAGCACCACGCCTTCCCCGAAATGTGGCCCGCCACCGTTGCGTTGCACCACGGCCTCAAGGCCGTCTACGCGCCCCACCCAGTCTACGTCGACCGTGCCTGGCCGCCCGAGTACATGGCCCGTGTGCTCAATGGCGGCCGGAACGGGGCTTCGGGCGGCGGGCGGACGTCGGTGTTTGGCGATCGCGAGCACAACATGCGTGGGCTGACGTGGTACTATAATGCCGGCTTCTCGGGGAACCTGTACCGGCGGTGGATGGGGCTGAGGGTGAATAACGATGGCGGGGAGGAGTTTGAGACGACGGTCGACCTGAGCGGGGATGACCTGACCCCGGGCACGATGCGCGGCGGCGAGGGCAGGATGTGTCTGCCGCCGATGTTGCTGCATCCTGTCAAGGGGGTGGAGTTGCCTGTTGAGACGGGGGAGGGACAGGCGATGCCTGTGTTCGAATCGGATCCGGCTGCGTAGTTTAAGGTCGGGATGGCTCGTCAGAGTGGTTTCGTTTCCTTTCTTTGGCTTCTGTTCCTGGTTTTGCCTCGGCGTTTGGGTAGACTTGATTTGTAGCTGGGCGATGGCTATGTGTGATATATGCATGGACGTATGAAACGAAGCATGGTAATGACATTGTTCGGTTGCGTGTTGGTATAAGGAAGCGTACAAAAGTCGACACAACTAGTAGGAAAGCTACCAATGTCAGTATCTGTGGTACGTGTCTCCTCATCTTAGCCGGAAATCCCTCGTTTGTCCGGTCGTCGGTCATCGTATTATCGTAACATGGGCCTTCCGGAGGTGACGGCTCTGGCTCATTGTCATGTAAATATTTGATTGTACACACCCGTACATCAGACACAGGGCACATGCTGCACCCAAGACGCCAAGAAGACTCCCAACCGTTGCCGTCCTCTAAGCCCTTCGCACGGCTAGATCTTGCGTCAAACGTTCCGTCATCTCGCACAAGCATCGCAGATAAATAACACGGGTAGTCATTCATGAATTAAACTACCCGCTTAACCTGTTCAGAGAAGCGAGGCATGTCAGTGTCTGCTTCAAACATAACCCTGGGCTGGGGAAGCAAGACTGCCTACCTCAAAGAATCTCCGCAGCCACCAGACCTGGAACACGCTCTCGCCAATGACGACGCCAATCACAAACAGGTTCCACCACTTGACGCGGCTGTTGGTGCTCTCGGCCGTGTTGCGGTGGGTGCGCTCGCGCACGACAATGTAGCTCTGCTCGTCCTTGACGCGCTCCAGCAGCTCCGACAGCTTGCGCACCTCGACCTCGAGCGGGTCCTGCGGCGCGTCCGCCTCGGACACGTAGACGATGCCGTGCACGTTGAACGACACCTCCTTGGATGAGGCGCCCCAATGCTCGTTGCCGAAGCAGTACATGTACTTGCCGTCATGTTTGGCGTCGAAAGAAAAGTCACCGTTCGAGACCGACTTGTCGTTGACTTCGTAACCGCCGCGGGGGTCGATGATCTGCAAATGGAAGGGGAGGAGAGACAGCGGTTAGCGGAGTGTCTGGATCATTGTACCCCTCCTCTAGCTGCACGGCGTGATCATACCCAAAAGTCGATTTCGAGGTTGCCGGCGCTGCCAAATTCGCGGTCGCCGACTTGGAAGGTGACGGTCATCTTGTCCCCCTTGTGCAGGTTCTCGTGGAAGCATTCGCGACCATGCGCCGGGAGCTGGATGTTGTGGGCCAGTGCTGAGCCCAGCAGCAAGCTGGCCGAGAGCAGCAGCTTAGCTGCCGTCTGCAGAAACATGGTGACTGTTCGGCGTTGTGGTGTGGCCGCTTGGAGTCGATCAGTCGATGTGCCAGATTTCTCAGTGCAGGTTCCTTTTTGGGAGTTTGTTGCAGGAACGCAAGGCCACCTTGGCGATTTTGGCGCTAGGCTGGGGCGCAGCTTCAGGGATGTCATACACTGCGGCTGCTAACTGTAGCTTGTGGAAACGAAGCCTGAATGGAAGATAGGAGATGCCCCGGTCCAATGTTGTTCCAGCCACTCCAGTACAAGCCAGATACAGGTGGCGGGGATGGCTTACCGGGCCGACCTCTGCTCATAAGGGGCTGCAGATAAGGTGCCTTCAAGGTACCGTGCACGGACCTCATCGTCCTCAATAGAACCGGCCAGCGCCCCAGTGACTGCCTTCCCTGGTCTGCGGTGGCTCAGCCCAAGAACAACTTTCAAAATCCAACCCGTTTTCCCCTAAGAGAGAGACTTTCCTTCCACACCGCCATCATAGCATCAACTCGACGGTAATTAGCCGCGTCGCCCATCTCGATCCGCCTCGAGAAACAACGCCGACTAGTAAGTCGCTCTCTCAGTCGACCTGCCCCCCCGTCTGTGAATTTGCGGCTTCGGCTTTCTGCCTCGGTCTCCGCTCGTTCTCTTGACTCCCTAAACGACCCAATCCACCACGTCTTGCGCGGCTCAAGGACCCCAGCCAAACGGTGCAGGGCGTCCAATCCGTCACGTTACTGGCCGCTGGGCCCCCCCTCCTGCTTTTCACTCGTAGCCGCCTGGGGGATGCCTTGAGCTTCGCACGTTGCGACGCGCTGTGCATATCTGTCCTCAGATCACGGACCACGCGAGTCAGCAGCTTTAAAACCGTCATCCCCGACTACGGCGGCTCTCTTTGTGTCGCAACACCACCACTTCCATCCCCGCCGTTCGGCCGAACCATTCCCGCGACTGTGCGGTGCTGTCATTGTTATTTACATTTGCTTACCAGTTCGACTTGCGCAGATACATACCGTTAAACCCGCTTCCCTGTTTCGCCTTCAAACTCCGCCAAGATGGGCATAGGAGGATCCAAGATGTGGAGCTGGCTCTCCCTGCTCATGAAGCAGAAGGAGATGCGTATTCTGATGGTTGGTCTCGATGCCGCCGGCAAGACCACGATTCTCTATAAGCTCAAGCTCGGCGAGGTCGTCACCACCATCCCGACCATCGGTACGCCACCCCCGTCCTTGGTCACGCGCCTCGGCTGGATGGAGGAAATACTGACGCTGCTAATTTAAGGCTTCAACGTCGAGACCGTCGAGTATCGCAACATTCAGTTCACCGTGTGGGATGTCGGTGGTCAAGACAAGATCCGTCCCCTGTGGAGACACTATTTCCAGAACACCCAGGGCATCATCTTCGTCGTCGACAGCAACGATCGTGACCGTGTTCCCGAGGCTCGCGAGGAACTGCAGCGCATGCTCAACGAGGATGAGCTGAGGGACGCCCTTCTGCTGGTTTTCGCCAACAAGCAGGATCTGCCGGTGAGTGGTGGCCTTACATGCGGGCTGCAAGACGAATTTCGCTGACGTATTGTTATAGAACGCCATGAGCGTTGCTGAAATCACAGACAAGCTTGGTCTCCACAGCCTGCGGCAACGCACCTGGGTACGCTATGCCCCTTTCCGTTGGGTCTAAATGTCGCGAATACTAACTCTGTCTGCAGTACATCCAATCCACTTGCGCCACTTCGGGTGACGGTCTCTTTGAGGGTCTCGACTGGCTTGCCACGGAAATTAAGAAGAACAACTAAAGCGACCGCGGCTTCTTTCGGGACCGGTTTCCCTCGCCCTCGGATATGCGTGGGTTCGATTGTGCTCTACCAGATATCCCTTAGGCAAACAGTCGACTAGCCCATGACCTTTTTGCGGTCGGTGCCTGCATCGTGAAGACCGTATACGAATGAGAAGATGAATGCAAGGAGGGGAGGGTGGCCGACACTCATTCTGAACTCTAGTCACTTTTCGGAAAGACAGAAGGGCGCATTGGGTTTGGGATCATGTACAATTTGATACACTCGTCAGGAGAGACAACAGTTTCATCCACTGCTTTCCTCGACTCCTGAAACCGGCCCTGGTGGTCCCATGGTGTCTCGTGCTGAGAGGACTGGAGGAGAGAAGGCTTGTTTAGCCGACAGGAGCAAAGTAGCAGGCGTTGTGTTTGGAGAGTGCAAGGAGCGGGGGCTGTTAACACAGGTGGTAATCATCAATGTCGAATTCTTGGTTCGTTTGTCCCTTTCTCTCGGGCTTCCAGCACTGGTTCATTGCCTCACCTACAAAACTTCATCCCCTTGAAGTAATACTCCACAGGAAACATGTGGTCGAAGGAAGACATATGATTACCGCAAGCTCGATCAACCTGTCATTGAGGAAAACCGTTCCCAGGCACAGCCTCTGGGTCTGCGAGCGGACAATCACACAGTCCCGCCTGTTCTCAGGTCAGGCAAGGGGACTGACATCCTCAAAGGGCTAGGCAACCGTATCAGGGGGCCAAGATGTGACCTCTTTGTCTTATTCAAGTCAATATCTGGCAAGATGAATCATGGTAGCCTGTCAGAGGTTTCTCGAGAGTGGAAGCCAAGCCCTGGTCATCCTCATCGCCCCAGCACAATTTACACCGGTGATAGTCAACTGTGGGAGCGGATTATGTGCTTCCATTTGGCATAAATACAATGTGAGGTAGCATGGAGATTGCTCTAAACGCCTCTGAAATGCTCCGCTTCCCACGCCTCATGACTCCAACTTCCCATCTTGAACGAAGCGGCGAGCGCTAGATAATAATACACACAGACCGTTTAACTCCTAGTGTACAACCAAAATCACCATCATCAACCATGGCAGCGTCAAGTTTCCTTGTCGGCATTCTGCTGGGCCCGAATGATCAGGCCGCTCTTATCCTCGTTCATTGCAACAACAGCCACATCGCCCATCTTGATATCCCCCCGAATGATCTTGTCCGCCAGGCCGTTGCCGATCTGGGTCGTGATCAGCCGGTTGAGGGGGCGAGCGCCAAACTTGGGATCGTAGCCTCTCTCGGCGAGCCAGTCCCGGACGTCGTGGGGCACGCACAGCGTGATGCGGCGGTCGTCCAGCCGCTGCTGGAGTTCCTTGAGCCGGATGTCGACAATGTCCCGCAGCGCCTGGATCGAGAGCCGCTTGAAGACGATGAAGGAATCAATCCGGTTGAGAAATTCGGGCGGGTAGTTGGCAGCGACCACGTCCATGACCGCTCTCTTGACGCTCGGATGGATGTCGCCGTCTTCGGTCTCCTTGTATGGGTGAATCGGATCGGCGCCAACCAGGATGTCGGCTCCGAGGTTCGACGTCAGGACGATGATGGTGTTCTTAAAGTCGACTTTGTGTCCTTGGGCGTCGGTGAGGTAGCCCTCGTCCAAGACCTGGAGCAGCAAGGCCGAGATGTCGCGGTGGGCCTTCTCGAATTCGTCGAAGAGAAGGACCGCGTACGGCTTCCGCCGAACCGCCTCTGTTAGTTGGCCGGCGTCTTCGTAACCCACGTAGCCCGAGGGAGCGCCGATGAGGCGGGAAATGGTGTGCTTCTCCTGGAACTCGCTCATGTCGAAGCGGACAACGGCGGTTTCGGTCGAGAAGAGGAAGCCGGCGAGCTTCTTACACAGTTCCGTCTTGCCGACACCGGTAGGACCGAGGAAGAAGAAGGATGCGAGCGGCCGGTTCTCGCCGCTGAGACCAGCTCGCTGCATCCGTACCGCGTCGGCAACAGCCTTCAAAGCCTCATCCTGCCCGCGAACGGACTCGCGCAGAATGTCTTCCATGTGTATTAACCTCTCAGTGTGCCCAGTTGACAGCTTGGATATTGGGATTCCGGTGATCCTCGACACGACGTTGGCAATATCGTCTGCGGTCACCGAGTCGTGGATCAGGGCGCCCTCGCCTTCGGCCTTCTCGCCCTCCTTTGGCAGCTTTTGCTCGAGGGTGGGGATCACGCCAAATCTCAACTCTGACGCCTTTGCAAAGTTGCCTTGTCTCTGAGCCTGCTCCAACTCGATGCGGGCCTTGTCGAGCTCAGCTTGGGTTTGTTTGATGGCGTCAATCTCTGCCTTTTCCTTCTCCCACTTTTCTGTCAAAGCCTGTGCCTCTTCCTGACATTTATTGAGGTCCTCTTCGAGTTTCTCCCGCCGCTCCTTGCTCGCAATGTCTTTCTCTTTCCGTAGGCTCTCAAGCTCGATCTGGATTGTCATAATTTTTTGGTCGAGGCGCAGAATGTCCTCAGGTTTGCTTTCCTGCTGCAGTCTCAGCGAGCTGGCAGCCTCGTCCATCAGGTCGATTGCCTTGTCGGGTAGGAAGCGGTCGGTGATGTATCGGTTCGAGAGGGTTGCGGCAGCTACCAGTGCCCCATCGGTAATACGGACGCCGTGGTGTACCTCGTATTTGTCCTTGATACCGCGAAGGATGCTGATTGTGTCCTGTACGTTGGGCTCGCTGACGAGGATGGGTTGGAACCGCCTCGCCAAGGCGACGTCTTTCTCGATCTGGCGGTATTCGGCCAGCGTTGTAGCGCCACAACATTGTAGTTCGCCTCGGGATAGAGCAGGCTTGAGAAGGTTCGAAGCATCAATTGAACCCTCCGCCTTGCCCAAGCCGAGAAGCGTATGGAGCTCGTCGATGAAGAGAATGACCTCGCCGTTCGCTTGCTGGACTTCAGTGAGCACCTTCTTGAGCCGCTCCTCGAAGTCACCCCTGAACTTTGCGCCAGCGATAAGGGAGCCGAGATCCAGGGTGATGACCCTCTTGTTCTTGATACTCTCGGGGACGGCACCCCGCACAATCTCGAGGGCCAGCCCTTCGATAACAGCGGTCTTGCCGACGCCGGCACTGCCGATGAGAACGGGATTGTTTTTGGTCCGGCGGGAGAGAATCTGAATTGTACGCTGGATCTCGGCCGACCTTCCAATGACGGGATCCAGCTTGCCCGCCTTGGCCTTCGCTGTCAAGTCGACTCCGTACTGTTCGAGGGCCGGCTTCTCCGGTTCGCCTCCGAGGTTCATGCGGTGCGTGCCGCCAGGAGGGTGTGGCCTGCCATTGGAATATGTGCGGACTGCGACGGTAGGAAGGGCGTGTTTCAAATCGGGCAAGGCCGCTAACCGTGGAGCGGGCGCGAGGGCTCGACGGAACTGGTGTTGTCGCAGAGCGCCCTTGGAAGCGGCGGCAAGTCGCCGGGAAGCGGCCGGTACTAAATGCGCTCTTGACTGCATGTTATGGTCTCAGAATAGAGGGGAATGTGGTCGCATCGACGTTTGACGGTCGATGTAAGAGCTCATCTCCCGCCTCTGAATAAATTGTTGCCATGATGCGCCGGCGAGCTGGAGCTCTGGAAAGCTCTCGGAGTTTCGGCCCCACTTCCTTTATCTTATCGAAGCGGTCGGACGTGGAATTGGGCCGTGCGGTCATTGTTGACTTTTTAAAGGGTTTCAAATTTATTTTCAACGTTTTCTTCTCTTGCCGTCTTCTGCACTGAATTATCTCAGTACCGACCGTAGGTTGCAGCTGACCGGTGTATTTTAATCCACAGGCTTCCCTTGAGAATCACTTTAGCCGGCTGGTACAAATTCTAGGTTTGACTTCTCATGGTACGTAGCTGGCCTGTTTACTTTGATCTCCTTCATTCCACTTTTGCCTCTCCTGATGATCCATATTGGTCCGTGTTACCAAGCAGCCTCAAGACCTGCAGATGACGACGAAACCCAGCATTGACATGCGTCTCTGACATCCTACTGTTCTTCATGAGATGAATTGGACGGCCAATTGGAGCTTTCTGCTAATTGCTCATGTCTACTAGATTATTACCCCAGTGTCTGCTGAGCTGTTGCCCTGAAACCGGCGCTCAACCAACTCCTGCTGGAGGCCACGAATGCGGAGTTCAGTCGTTGCCCTGATTCTCGCTCTATAGTTGGGGTTGTGCTGCTAAGTAGAACTGGGGATGCCCTGCGCCGGATGGCCCCAAAACATGAGTTGCTATGCTAGCAGTCATCCTTCGTCAGATAATAACTCAATACTAGGAGATAAAACAAGATGAGGCTAGCGCCCAGAACGTCATGGTGTAATGTAACAGGTGTGAGGTCCTCTCCTCCCCATGCAAGTCAAAAGGCTGGTCGACATGTCAGGTCTAAGCCAATCGCGTCCCATCTGCCGTGGCAGAACACTAGACCGATAACGTGCAATGTTAAAGTTAAACTTGTCTCTCGACATGGCGAGGAGAGCTACCCCGTTGATGATCGGTAGACACCTTGGCAGTACGTGAAGGAAAGTGGAGACGCGACTCCTTCCCAATTGGCTCGCCCTGACACGCCGCGACTTTGACTCTCAGGATCCAACCTGGACCGTTGAAAACGAATCTTACGGAGGGGAGTAGAACTTGAACACATCAGCGCACAACTTGTTATTGAGAAGGCGGAGGGCGTATTTCAAGATGCCTATGTACGGAGACTTGGGTAACAAGCTGGTCTGTATCGTCATAGTCCTCCGTCCTGCACCCAGCTAACACTTGGTCAAGGTCCAACACGCCAAACGGACACAAAACCTGGCGCATCTACCACCATATCAAACTGAGCTTGTTCGTGCTGTGACTCGCGAGGTGCGCGATTTGGACAAGGACGTTGCGAGCTTGCTGGAGCCGTTTCAAGGGTCCTTCGACCCCTCCGCGGACCAGCCCACGGCTTGCACCTTGTTGGTCAACCACCTGTCCATTCGCCGGAACAAGCGCTGCCTTCTTGCCTACCACCGGACGCGCACCGACAAGTTGGAGGAACTCGTGTGGAACGGGTCCGACGTCCTCGACCTTGCCGGGCAGCAAGCAGGTGGCGCCAACGGTGCGTCTGCTGCAGACGGCGGGGCAAGCAGTAGCCTGAGCCCGCAGGAAGAGGACTATGTGCGGCAATACGGGGACCTGTTGGCTGCATATAAGGGTCAGTGGACGGACATTGATCTGACGGGCAGCCTGGAACCACCGAGAGACCTGTTCATCGACGTGCGCGTGTTGAAAGATGCGGGCGAGATCCAAACAGAATATGGGTGAGTTCCCAATTGGCCGCACGCACCTTCTCATGATGCATGAGTGAAGCTTACTCGAATTTTAAGCGCCATCAACTTGACGAAAAACAGCCAATTCTACGTCCGGCAAGGAGATGTGGAACGTCTTATCGCGCAGGGCTACCTGCAGAAGCTCGGATGAACAAGGCCACCTAGAGTTTGCCTATCGTGCCGATGCAGACAATGTCGAGTTGTGCTGTGCCGGGGGCTTGAGGACAAGGGAGCACATTTGCAGGACTCTATCCTGGTAACTTACAGACATGGAGTTCTGGGACGCTTCTCGATGGCCTTCTGAGCAAGATGTGTGGTTCAAAAACGATCGCGCAATCCACAGCAGCGGATGAGGGAAGTCTCGCGCCACATGGACGGCAGAAGATGTCGTTTGTTTCACAGCAGGAGATTGGAGGACAAGATTGCCCATCAGGGTGCTCCGTATACCCTACATTGATTACGATGGTCGGAAAGCAGGCGAGGCAGCAAAGCAGTCGGAAGCATGCCGGCGCCATGAGGGTCGCAGGCGGGCACGGACGCGGAACGGTTCGTCAACTATTGTAACGCGCCTGCAGCTCACATGGCTCGCGAGAAGTTTTCTCACGAATCCTGGGGGCAAAATCCACAGTGGCCGTTACTGTGATGCGTTCTGGGGACTAGGCGAGCAAACGGCCTCTGTCCAAAGGCAAGGCCCATTGATTGTCAAATCGAACTGCTGTTGTGTGCTGTCAGAGGTCGGAGAATTTGAAATCTGCTCTCTCACATCAGAACAGTAATTGGAGGTACCACGGGAATATGCTAACATTTGGACGAATCGCATCCTGCCCCTTTAAGCTCCGAAAGTCAATTCGCACTGGCATTACATCATCCCACTTCCTCGCCAATTCAGCCCCACCAACGGTGCAACCGCTCCAAACGTTCCAGATCCAGCTTGCTCAGGAGAAGTTGCCTTCGGGCATTCTCATTAGTAGGAGAGTACACTAATAAGCTTGTCCAAACAGATCCTGCGCCTGCGTAGGGGAGTTTGGCGCGATATGTGGAGTTTGAACTATACACTCGGTGTGGGGCTCGAAAATATCAGAATGATGGTTTCATCAGCACCATTGACCTTATCTTCAACCACTATCGGGTTCACATGGCAATTGGAACCCGGCTATCTGAGCTTTGTTGGACTTCGTGTCCCAATCAACACACGGCACCTCAGCTATTGCGCTGTCCGTATTTCTGCCGTGGCTCGATTCATAAAGACACAGCGCCCCAACTGCCAACTGCTGCCCGTCAACCTCATAAACATCGACCTACCTTATCTAGTCTCACGTCATCTCAGGTTGTTGTGTCGTTTTGCTTTTGTGGAACCACCATGCCCACGCAGTTGGCTGATTCACCGGCGATCGCGTGTTGAAGAACCTCCTTTGGAAGAGGCTGCGCTTCCCGAATTACTTGCACGATGTCCTCGTCCTCTTTCAGCCCCTCCCCACTGGGAAGGAGGCGCTCGTCTACCTCCTCTCGAGGCTCACATCAGGGAGAGCACCCCGCCGCTTCCAGCCAAACCCAGTTCACACGCACTATTAGCAGTGATCTGAAACAGCTGTCCTCCTCTGTGGGCTCTGTCTCCCACCGCGAGCCCATAAGGTCCTTTATCCACGGCGCTGTCAGGGGCCACTTGGGTGAGTTCGCGCTGCCCATGAATGTGCAGGATAGTTGAGCTGACCGACGCGGCCAGCCCCTCTCGACAGCGCAGAGTCGGCGCGCTCCGTCCGCGAGGAAACTGCCGAGCTGGCCAACTACTTTCTCTCCGACAAAAAGGACGGCCGGGGTGCACCTTTGTTTCGCCGGCCGCGGCCTGCCTCCTCCCAAGCAGTGCGGCAGACCACTGAACAGTACGCTCCGGAGGCTATCTCGACGACGACACCATCCAATGCGATAATCGAGGTGTCAGAACCATCCTCGCCGGGAGAGACTGGGCAGTCTCCGGCTGAGGGACCATCGATGCTCACCACCATGTTTAGGAGATCGCCGCCAGACAAGAGCTATATCTTTGCACAAAAGGATAGCCCTGCTTATGAGGAGAGCATTCCGGCTGATGACGCCGGCGATGATGGTCTCGTCACGCTGAGCAGAGCATCAACCGCCGAGCCGCGCCCATTGCTGGCCCACCGCGATACTGACGACGACGACCCGAGCGATATGTCTCCGTTGCTGGCCACGAGGTCACGCGATGGCCAACGGGGAGGCTATGGCACTGGCCAAGAGAATGGGCACGGCCTTGACTTGGAAGGCCAAAAGCACTCGGGGCGGAGGGAGTGGTTCGGAAGGATAGCGGACGGTTTCTGGAACGCCGAGGGTGAGGTGGCGCATATTCTGCCCATTATCGGCAACCCAAAGCGCTGGAATCGACATGCCCTGTGGGAGAATTTGGTCGTCGCACCGGTGGCTTGTCTACCAGCCGTGGTTGTTGGCCTACTGCTCAATATCCTGGACGCTCTATCTTACGGTGAGCATTCATGGAATCTTGATATCCGGTCCGTACGCTGACAATGCACAGGCATGATTCTGTTTCCTCTGGGAAGCCCAATATTTGCGAGCTTGGGATCTGCCGGGATCTCCATGTTCTACGTTAGCTGCATCATCTCTCAGTTAACCTTCTCAACGGGGAGCATATTCAAGGGCGGCGTTGGCTCCGAGCTCGTAAGTCTGAAAGGCCCACTGAATTCACTGGACACTAGCTCACTCGAGCAGATTGAAGTCGTACCCTTCTTTCACAACATGGCCGCTACTATCACCGATATAGTCGGAGACGACAAGCCTGACGCTGTCATTGCTACGACCATCACCTCCTACGCGCTCAGCTCGATGCTCACAGGCGCCGTCTTCTACTTGATGGGCAAATTCCGGTTCGGCTACCTCGTTGGTTTCATCCCTCGACACATCCTGATCGGTTGTATTGGAGGTGTGGGCTGGTTCTTGATTGCCACCGGCTTCGAAGTGACCGCACGAATGGACGGCAATCTCAACTATGACTTGGATACGCTCAAGCACCTGATGCAGGGCGACACCGTTCCACTGTGGATAATTCCGCTTACGCTGGCGGTCATCCTGTTTTACGGCCAGTCGAAGATCACTTCCAAATACTTCCTTCCGTTATACATTCTCGCCATTCCCGCAGGTTTCTATGCTTTGACCGCTGCCTTGAACTTGCTGAATCCGGACAAGTTGAGAGATGGTGGCTGGGTTTTCGACGGCCCACCGGCAGATGAGCCTTGGTGGTACTTCTACACGCTCTACAGTGAGGCTCCTTCTTCCAGGCAGACTAAGACGCGGCTAACTAAATAATTGCAGAGCTCAACCAAGTGCACTGGGGAGCGATCGCGCAGTGCATTCCAGCCATGCTCGCGCTCACCTTCTTCGGCATCCTCCATGTCCCAATCAACGTGCCAGCCCTGGCCCTCAACACCGGCGAGGACCACGCCAATTTGGACCATGAACTCAAGCTTCACGGATACTCCAACTTCGTTTCTGGCATGGCAGGCAGCATCCAAAACTACCTCGTCTATTCCAACAGTCTGTTCTTCATGCGCTCAGGCGGCAACACACGCCTAGCCGGCTTTGAACTGGCAATCTTCACCTTGCTGGTCATGTTGATCGGTCCTTCGCTGATCGGCTACATCCCCGTCATGATGGTTGGGGTATTGATTTTTGACCTCGGCTTCGAGCTGCTTCTCGAGGCTGTGTGGCAACCGAGGAAGAAGCTGAAGCGCGTCGAATATTTTACGGTGGTGGCGATAGTTCTCGTCATGGGGACGTACGACTTTGTGGTGGGAATTGGCGTGGGCATTCTGCTGGCCTTCATGTCACTGACGTTCCAGACATCTCGAGTCTCGGCCGTCCGAGGCAGTTACTCAGGCGATGTTGTGGGTTCAACGGTGAGGAGGAATCCGACCCAGCAGCACTACCTTCGGCAAGTTGGTCGCCAGATCAATATCATCAAGCTCTCGGGCTATCTGTTCTTTGGTACCATCGTCGGTGTGGAGGACAGAATCAGGAAACTCATTTCCGACGAGGAATTCAGCAGACGCCCGATCAAGTTCCTGGTGCTTGACCTCTGGCTCGTCACGGGACTCGACTACTCTGCCGCAGAGGTCTTTAACACCATCAGCCGGCTGCTGAATGGCAAAGATATCGAGCTTGTCATCAGCGGCGTCGACCCAGAGCACGGCCTGGGCCGCAACCTGCGGGCCGTCGGGCTTGGCGAGGATGGCATCGAGGTCAAACTCCTCCCCGAACTCAACTCGGCTTTGGAGTACTGCGAAAACGAACTTCTCAAAACACTCTTCGTTAACCAGGAAGACTCAGCCAGCACCCGCACCGCTTCAACCGCCAATCTCGACGTGCCCAACCAGCCCGCACCGAAACTTTCAACCCCTGACTTGCTCGGCTCCTCCCCGCGGCGCGACCACCTCCGTGAGGCGGCAATCAAGTCGATTGGGCACGTGGACGCGAAGCGCTCGAGCAGCTGGCTGAGCTTCAAGGAGCCGCTGCGGCTGATGCTGCAGATCTTTCACGACGTGAGCGACAAGAACGAGGACTTTTGGTTCCGCGCGGTGCGCTACTTTGCGCGCGCCGAGTATCCCGCGGGAACGGTCTTGTTCCGCCGCGGCCAGCGCGCCGAAGGGTTCTACCTGGTCGAGTCGGGCATCTTGAGGGCCGAGTACGACCTGCCGCAGGGCTGGCTGTTTGAGAGCATCGTGGCGGGCACCACGTGCGGCGAGTTGCCTTTCTTTTCCGAGACGAACCGTACGGCGACGTGCGTGGTCGAGAGGGAGTGTGTGGTGTGGTGGATGGATGAGGAGAAGTGGGTGAGGCTGCAGAGGGAGGAGCCGGATGTGGCGCAGGAGCTGTTGAGAATCTCGCTGAAGCTGACGAGTGAGCGGATGTCGGTTATCACGTCTTATACATTGACGATGGCTGGGTAGTGGTCTGGATACGTGGGACGGAAGGCTTGGGTTTTGGCTTGGGTTGGTCCTTCAGCGAACATTCTGTTAGAATGGGATTTGGTTCACAAGACCATGTTGATCGATGCGTGTGTTGGGAGCTGTACATATTACCATGGTAGTAGCCCTTATGGGATGTAAGCTACCGGCATTAACTAAAAATCATTGATAAGCTCGGCAATGGCAAGACCAAGATTTCTTGGGGAAGTACCGTTTCTGAGACGGAATGCCCCTATCAGAGCTTTGAATCCATCGTTGTCCCCGTCGTGGGTTTATATTTTGTGACCGTAGTCGAGGTGGGAATCTTGGCAGCGCTTCCTCAGTCGGGATCATGCCTAGGATGCACAAGCATGACGAGACTACCACCCGACCCAGAGGTACCCCTTTACGGCAACACAGGAAGGCGCTCAGATTTGCCAGTTTCGGCGCAGTGGCGACTTTCCCGGACTCGGGGTGGGTCGCGCGCCCTTGCATCGAAGGGCGGCACGGCTGCCTTAGTTCGCTCACTTACAAGCGTTACACATGGTTAATAAATTCCCGGCGCCTGGATCTCGTTCATCCAGGCAAACCCTCAACTCAACATCAACGTCTTCATCATGACTTTACACTCAATCCTTGGTATTCCCCGTGTCAAAAAGCGATCATCATCATCCTCGGCCAAACGCAACTCCTCACCATGGACCTCCTCCCTCACCGGAACAAAGAGCGGCACAATGCCCCTTTCCTCTTCCCCCTCCCCCTCCCCCTCCAGACGCAAATTTCGAAACAATAACGGCACCAACCAGAACAACAACACACAAGTCGAACTCCCAAACCAAGGTCCCACCCTTCCCTTCCTCCCAGTCTCCCTCTCAACCCTCCCCCTCCGCACCCCTCTCCAAATCCATAACCTGATCCTGACAACCATGTTCGACCCCCTCCCCGCCTACAGCGCAGGCCTGGGCTCGGCACGAATCTCTGCCGTCCTCCAGTTTCGCGCCGCCGTGCCGCCCGTGGTCTCGGCCTCGCACCTGCGCGCGCTGCTGCTCGCGTCGGGCGTCGCCAAGTCGCCTGCCGCGGCCGAGAGGGAGGTTGCGGGACTGGTGCGTAGTGGGAACGGGAGGAGGGTGGTTATTCCTACGTTGATGGGAAGGAGGAGCAGCGGGAGGGAGGGGGAGTTGTTTGTTCTGAGTGAGACTCTCGAGGGGATGGTGAGGGACTGTCGAGGGTTGGGGGAGGGGGTGAAAGAACGGTTTGTGAAGTGGTTGAGGGCGAATCCCGGGCGGTTGAGGGTGGAGCAGGGGGAGGAGGGGTTGGTGGCGAGCGAGGTGGATGCGTTGGTGAGGGCTGGGTTTTTGACGGCGGTGAATGGCGGTGGTGGGAGTCTAGGGCTGCGTGCCCGGCCCGAGGAGAGGTATGCCATGATCAGTCTGGAGTCGGTGTCTCGCGCGGCTGCTGGGTCGGTGGCCGCCGCGGGTGGCGAGGGTGTGCTGCACGCCGCCGGTGGAACTGGGGTCCGGGGTATGGCAGGGCCGGTCCCAGCGGGCTCCAGTGAGTTCAACGTTGCGGTCCCTGGGAGCGGGGTGTTTGTCAAGCTGGTGTCGGCAGCGCTGGAGCACCTTGGCGAACTGCTTAGAAAGACACAGTACCGCGAGATGCCGGAGTCAGATCTTCGAGAGAAGTGGGATGGCGGTATTGTTGGGGAGAGCCAGGTAGCTCAGGCTAAGAAGGCGCGGGGCGAGTTTACGGGCGTCATGCCCGGGAGGACGAAGAAGTGGAAGGAACTCCAGGGGTTGGCGTTCAACTGGGTGCTACAGGAGGCCGTTGGTGCCGGCTTAGTCGAAGTCTTGGAGACAAGGAGTGTAGGGCGTGCCGTCCGGTTACTTTGACCCGGGCCAGCTTGCAGTTCGGTTTCCCAGAAGCGGCCACTCATCCAGGGAACGTCATTCGCGGTCCGAAGAGTTCCTTCGGAGCCACTGAGCATGTCACGTTGCTGTGGTATACTAGGGTGGCTGGACTATCGCGATATCGATACGAAGGATACGAGCCCCGAAGTCTGCACGTCCGAAGCAGCATGGGAAGGACACGCACGCCGCAGAGTTATGTAAGGGACGCTCCCATCGAGGTCGGCGCAACATCTTGAAGCTTCAGTTTCGTCGAAACTTGATGCAAGCGTAGGACTAGGGTTCGGAGCCGGTGATTTGAACACGGTCGGCGGCCCGGAGAACAAGGCAGGACCGGGGCCTTGATCCGTGCGGTTCCAGTCGCTGCCATGTCGGGGAGAGCCAGACGGACGGATGAGGTGCGTGTGCTGAGACACCCATGACATGCAATAGCCATGGTCTGCATCTTATAGACGCAAGCTCGGTTATTGTGGAACACCATTCGAAACCGAACAACACAAGAACAGCCTTCGCCGTCACCAATCAGTTGTCACAGAGCGCTCTTAAAACCTGGGGATCAGTCTAGTAGAGCTCAAGATGCGGGTGGTTCCAACTAGCGAGGGAAGAGCAGTGGGAGGAAGAGTCGATGTCAAGCCGAACCGCGACGGACGACCATGGTGATCGAAAGAAGGGTGATTTATTCAGTGCTGAGGTATGGTCAGCTAGCGCGTACCTACCTTGGGTAGCATTCCCTTCTCACTTTTCAAAAACAGAGTTCCATATGAGTTGATATTCAACCCCCCGTTCACCAGCCAGAAAGTCATCGTCGGAGACTTGGCGATGCGCCAGGCTTGCCATCGAACACAATCCGGGTTTGACGCGAGGGCAGAGGAGAGCAGAGCCGGGACAAGTCTGCAGTGTCAAAGCATCAACACAGGTAAGCACTTCAAGGCGAGGGGCGATTTGTTCGAAACGATGCATGAGTCCGGGCAGATTTACAGCCGGCTGTAGTTCCAACTTTCGAGTGGCTGGCTGATCAGGTTTGATGTTTATAGAAAGACTAGACCCTTGATATCCGCGAGGGCTAAGTGTTTCGATAGAGTCTCATGGTAATAGCTGATCCTGGCGAGATGGTGCCTGACAGCCAGAACCTCTCCGCTCTCTGCGGCAGACAGTCGGGGAGGGAAAGGTATCTGATATGTAGCCGAGGTTAAATGCTGCAGTATGTGAGTTAGTTTTGGGCGGATCTGAGCCGTTGCATTGGTGTCGATCATGGCTGAATTATGGTCGAGAGTGGTGGTAGCCCAAGGTCTCGCAGGTCTGCTTCATAGCATATGTAGTACATGAGCGTACGAGACTCGCCACTGGGCTTTGAAGGAATAAGGAGGTAACGTTTAGCAGCCAAATCTCGATAACACGCAGTTAATTTCACGTGTAGGCTCATACCCTTACCAAAGAAACCCTGCCAAAGAGAAGGTTACTTCGCATGCATGCATCTGCAAAGCGCCCCTGTTCAAAGATGCACATTGCGCATGGGCATTCAGCTGCCGGCCTCATAGACAACGACATGCGCCGACTGTGATTGTGTTCTGCCGAGGGCTTCCCGGATTTCTGGCTGCGGCAGGGCTCCGTAAATCGAGTTTTAGGGTGAGATTGCTGGACGATGTGGCGGCCACATGCGTGATGTCGATCCCAACTTGGATGGAACGGCTCCGGATCAATTTCCACGGCAGCCTGTCGGTTCCTCAGCGCTGAGTTGCAGGTAGGGCCTCGCTTTGGGGCTTGCGGATTCGGGGGATGGATGCCCTGGATCAAGTGGGGCAATTGGACGCGGGGAGACCTGCGCGTCGAACGAAGCGCGATTGTGACGGTGGCAATCATCGCCCACCGACCCCCATGCTCAACCATGAAATAAATGTCAAATCAGGAAACCAATGCAATGATTGAGGTGTGATGTGGATGGGGTTCGCAGAAGAGATCCGCGTCGCCTGGGTGCCTGGCCGGCGTCGAGCTGCATGTCCTGCCCTGTTCCTGCAGCCTCAGCGAGCTCGGCAAGCTCCATAGAGGGTGTGGTATGACCAGCGAGCTACCGGTAGGTACTGTACAATAAAGTATCTGGGTGCGCATTTTAAGTTCCCATCCCATGATGCCATTGGCGTCCAACCATGTTCCAAGGTGTTCTCAGTTGTGAGGAGGTGCTGCCGACGCATCCTTATTATCACACTCACCTACGGATCCGTACTCGGCCTCGAGGGTTTTCGGACGGCACTTGCACGTGGGGTGATTTATCCACCGACGTAAACTGAACGGGTGGAGCTGAAGAAACTCCAAATTGCGTGCCGTTAACCCCTGGTTCACCAAGAATGCCAAGCACCTCCAGTCCAGAAACGGCTTGGCGAGCCCGGGGATGAACTCCCAAGGATCAGCAGGGGCCCGATGATGGCCCGGTGAAATTGCTTCTTTTTCGAAGAGAGCCTGAGAGGCCAATGGCTCGGCTCGGATTGACAAGGGCTGCAAATGTGCCTTTTCTGGCAAGGTAGGGGACTGGGACCAGAGGACCAAGGGGGCCCGAAGCAGCGCCTCTGCTGCAGTGCTGGGGGAGATTCCAGGAGGTCCCGCAGGAAGGGGAAATGAGGGAAAAGGAATGATTGCCCACCCGCCTCTCCCGTTCCCCTTCGTTGAACAACCTGAACCACCAGGTGATGAGGCATTTCGACCGAGGGAGGGACGAGGTGCTCTGAGAGAGTATCTGCCGAACGACTATCAGGACCCGCTGATTGGGGGCAACACTAACGCCCCGAGTCTTTGCCTCGACGACACTTTCCCTGGTACCTGATCTCTCGTCCGATCTCTGACCAACAACGCTCCCATTCTGCGCCCACATAGCACATGTCCAGCCGGACCTCTCCAGCGCCTGGCATCACCGTCCTGCACCTCGATTGTCGCTCGTTTCGATCCTGATGCTGGGCAATCCTATCGACTCATTTGACGTCCTTGCAGTCGTTGTCTGAGACCGTGACGCCAAGGTCCGGACCTTGCCCTGGCTCGAGCACCCATTGTTCCCCAGCGCCACCTCGAAACATCGTCTGATCTTCGACATCCCTTTGCTACTCACTCACCTTGCCCTGTGCTCGGTTTATCCCAGCTATTGAGCTCGACGCATCTTGGGGTTTTAACACGAAAACACGCGGAACAACAAAAATCTCCGCCTGTGGCTCCGAAGCGCCTGGCGCGACACATCTTCCGACAATAGCGGCAGCGTGCAGCAACCCTTCCGTATGACGCAGGGCCACGAGCGTCTTTTTCATACCCACCAGCTTCGGCCTGCGCTATCAGTACCACTGCTTGCGAGCCACGCGCTCGTCACTTTCGGCCGCAGCTAGCCCCGGGACCGGTCCTTCGAGTTCAAGGTAAGACCCAGCCAGGCGGTGCACTAGCCTAGAACACGAGGGTAACAGACGGCCAGGGACACAGGACTCGGTTTGGCTGTGATTTAGGTTCAGCTGCAGTGACCGGCGATTACGAGCAACGACCGTCATCCTTGGCCTCGAACTCCCTCGAAAAGGCACGAAAGCGCCTCTTAATCTTTTCCACGAGCTGACGTTCTCTCCACTCATCTCCCAACAATTCACGTCCACCACCACGAATCTCCCCGAAAAGGCCGCCCGAAGCAATCCGTGATCAGTACTTCGTCTTCAGCCCAGCAACTGCAATGCTAGCGGATTTCGCCAAGCCGAAGTCTATCTTGTAGCGCAGCTCATCTCTGTGGAACTCTGCCACCGTGCCAACCACTAGGGTTGTGGTCCAGCAGACATACAGACGAGATGTCAACAGCACTTCCAAGGCCATCTCGGCCCTCAAATGGCCCGCCGACTATCGCGCTCCCAGCGCTCCCTGTGAACAAGACAAGGAAAAGCAGCAGTGGTTTGGGCAGCAAATCCACGCCTGCGACTCCTAAGAGTGGTCTTCGCGCGCCCTCAACGGGCCTGCTCCCTGCTGCAACACCAATTCCTGCAGCATCGCTCCCCCAGTCCAGATCAGTTTCAAGCGTCCATGCCGTCAATTCCCCGGGGAGGACGATAAGGAAAACCGTCAGCATCAATTCATTCCCGCAACCTCCACGGGGGGATGGTCGAGTTATCAGTCTCCCGCCAAGTCCTCTATCCACAAGTGCCCCTTCACGGAAGTTGAGGACACCGACTACACCCACTTACCAACTATCGGTTGGCACCCCAAGCTTTCTCAATGGCACAGCAGAGGGCAAGTCAATATCACGACCAACCACCACGAGAAATTCGGATGGCCTCATCAGCGTGACATCTCCACCACAGAGTCGCAGCTCCTCTGCGCAGGACTCCTACTCAACTTCAGCAACCCAGTATGACGACGTGAATGACTCCGCGCCGCTACAGTCCGATGTCGCCGTGAGCGGAAAGCGCTTGTCAAAGACAGACGGCAAGGGGAATGTCATTGTGAGCGTCCGAGTGCGCCCAGATGCCGGCGGGAATGACAATAAGGCGGATGGGGAATGGTTGGTCGATGGGAGGAAATCATTGATTGCGTACCGGGGCAAAGAAGGGGGAGATTATTTTTACGGTGAGAGTTTTGGAGAGGGAGACTGTTCGGACCTGTGCTAAATCCCTGCTGCAGATAACGTCTTTACGACCCATGACGACAACGCTAGAGTCTACGACCATATCGCCAAGCGGCTGGTACGAAGAGTGATGGAAGGCTACCACGGAACCGTGTTTGCCTACGGCATGACTGGCACAGGAAAGACATTCTCGATGCAGGGCACGGCCTCCTCTCCCGGTGTGATACCCCTCGCAATCACCGACATTTTCTCCTACATCCGCGAAACGCCATCCAGGGAATTCCTACTCCGCGTCAGCTATTTGGAGATTTACAACGAGAAAATCCACGATTTGCTGAGTATGGCCTCAAGCAATGGAAATCAGCAACAGGAGGAGATCAAGTTGCGGGAGGACAGCAAACGGGGAGTCTATGCGAGTCCCCTGAAGGAAGAGATTGTCCAGAGCCCGACCCAACTGCTCCGTGTGATTGCCCGCGGCGACCAGGCCCGTCGGACGGCGAGCACCCAGTTCAATGCCAGGAGTTCACGGAGTCATGCCGTTGTGCAGATTGTGGTGGAGAGCAGGGAGCGCGTTCCGGGAGGTTCTGGAGATAGCAAACGACAGGGTCTTCCACCCGGCGGTGTCCGAGTCTCAACGCTCAGCCTTATTGACTTGGCTGGTTCGGAAAAGGCGGCAGAATCGAAAGAACGGCGACAGGAAGGCTCCCATATCAACAAGAGCTTGCTCACCCTTGGAACGGTCATTGCGAAACTTTCCGAGCATAAGGACAAGGATGGAAAGCCGGCTGACAAGGACGGCAAGCACCTGCCGTACCGAGACAGCAAGCTCACCAGGTTGCTGCAAGGAGCTCTGTCAGGCAATTCGCTTGTCAGCATTCTCTGCACCATCTCAGTTGGCTCCGCGGGGAGCGCTGGCTCTTCCATCACGCACACAAACGAGACTCTCAACACGCTCAAGTTCGCCTCCCGAGCGAAGAACAATATCGTCAGCCATGCCAAGCGTGCCGAGGAAGCCCTGGGTGCGGGCGGCGATGGTGGTGCCAGAGTCCTGCTGGAGCGCTACCGGATGGAGATCATGGAGCTGCGCAAGGAACTGGAGGCCCAGACGAAAGCCAACAATAAGAAGGAGGCTGACGAGGAGAAGGAGCGAGATGCCGAGGAAGAGCGTGCTCGAGAGAAGGAAGCCGAGATGCGCCACGAAGAACAGATGCTGGAAATGCAACTTGCCCGGACCGCTCTCAAGGAGAGGATAGACCACCTCAACAGGCTCATCCTGAGCTCAAAGTCGATAGGAGTAAACGCGAGTGGGTCCTTCAGCGCCCTCGGCATTCACCCTCGCTACTCGCAAGGGTCCATCCGGTCCTCGATGGCTACCTCCGTTAACGGAGGAAAGTTCAGTCTCGAGAGAACAGCATCCCTGACCTCGAGCAACTCAACAATCGGCCGCAAGTCGGCCAGCCATCATTCAACGGGAGGCGGGGAGCCACCCGCGGCAGAGGACGAAGACAGCGTGGGCGAGTACGGAGACGGGACGGCGTCGCTCGCCGCCCAGAACCGTGCGCTCCAGGCGGATCTCGCTGACAAGAACCGATACATTCAAACCCTTGAGAAGCGGCTCCTCCAAGCTCGCCGCGCGAGCTCATCTCGCACCTCGGTCGGCCTGTCGGCAGGCAAGGGGATCATGGTCGGCGAAGACCACAGCGTCTCGGCTCTAATCAAGGAGAAGGACGCCGAAATCGCGGAGCTCCGCGCCCGTCTCGACGACAAGGACCGTATGCTCGCGGCGTTGCGCAGCGCCGCAAGGTCGCGAGACCATGCCGACCGGGTCGAGTCGCGGTCCGAAGTCCGCATGTCGGTGTCGTCGCAGATCCTCGACAGCAACCCCGGTCCGGCGCCGACCGGCAGCCCGCCCGTGGCGCCCCCTTCTCTGCTACGGCAGGTCTCGCATCTCCGGAAGCGGACCAAGAGCGTCGATGAGATGAGCAGGATGCTCGACGAGATGATTCATGAGCGTGTCGAGAGCGGCCAGATCATCCGCGGAAATCGCGGGAGTGTCAGGGTCGCCCCTGAACAGCGGAAGATCTCGTCGCCTATTCTGTCACCGGCTGGGCCGCCTCCCCCTGGCCCTCCGGCTGGACCGCCGATCCAGCTCCAGCTTCTGAGCCGGCACAGGACGTCGTTTGTCTCTGACCAGCAGAAATCGCTGGCGTTGGAAGTCTGAGGGCAGTTTGGTCGTATTATTTCTTGGATCGGCTCGGTTCTTCCGGTCATATCTTTTCCTGAATCGAACCAGGAGCCGGGTAGATTGGGTGCCGATGAGATCAATATACTTGTGATCTGGAGTTGTGGAAGGGCGGGATCGGTATTTCGTGGTTTGTTCGTTCTTGGTTTGATTGACTGTACCCTGTTTTTATATACCCGACCTGTTCTTTCTGTTCTCTTTTTGGTTATAGGGTGTGAATCTCACTCTACCTTATTCGGATAACATTCGATTCGCGTTCTTTCTTGATCCTGCCGACTGAGGTCTCGGGAACGGTGGCTCAGTACTTGAGCCTCGGCAGTGTACATTGTGTATCAGTAATGTCTTTAAAAAGGAAAAGGGGGTGATGGCGGGCAAAGTTGATGGAAACGACATGAGTGGATGAAGGGTGGCCTGGTCTGATGAGACGAATTGGTGAGGTAGCAGGCAAAAAGAATATATTCTTGGTCTTGTGCCAATCGCCAGCGCTGTCTGTTATGGTTCTCGAGTGAATACGGAGAAGATGAGTGAAGGAATGATGTTCTTGGGATCAGAGAGGTGACGCTACTTTGAAGAGCAGACAAACGGAGGAGACGGAGTACTTCATGACCCTGTAAGGACAAAGGACAAAGATCTGGGTCACAACAGATGTCTTTCATTGGCTGCCAATCAGAGGGCCAGACACTCGGTTTGCAGGCATGAGCTGAGTTAATTAGGGCTGAATCGGGCCTCTGCTTGGTGTTGCATTGCGTTTGTGTTCCTCTCGAGCTGACCTTCCCGAGTCAGCAAGATGGGAACATCCCGGAATGGCGCATAACATCGACTTAACTTATATGCCGCGGTTGTCCAAACGGGCAGGTCAGCAGTTACGATTCATGGCTTCCTTTCTGTTCCGTCATGCGAGGCAGATACGAGTTGTCCGGTATTCTAGACTTAGTGTGATTTCGTTGAAAGGTAACGGGTGTCCATGGTCGCGACAGTCAGCCGCTGGCTTGCGGACATCAATGCGTAATTACATACCGCGCATAATCTCCAGTAGATATCCGTGGGAATCGAGACGGGATCTCGCATAAAGGCAATCTTACCTTCCTTGGGCAGCCCAGGGGCCGACGTGTGTAATGTGGTACACCCGCGCTGTAGGTCGGGCCAGCCCGGTTTTAGAGGCAGATGAGGCGGCGTGGCATGAGAACATCGACTTTGCAAACCAGTAACAGAGTTCCGGTGGGAGTGCTGAATTAAGTAAGAGCCGGCTGAGGGCTACTACTATTGAGCAATGGATCCTTGAGGAGCTGCTTTGCCGTCTTTCTGTCTTCAGGGCGCCATTGCAGCATACCTCTCATGAACTCGAGGAATCTTGCTTTGTTCTCACCTTCAAGCCTCTCCTCCGAGGCTTCCAAGCTGTTCTTCTGTGGGATTTCGACATCGGCTATCCAACGGCCTGACATACTGTCGTTAGCAGATGGCGTGAACGGGGCGTTCAACGGGGAGCTCACCATCGTCGGCGAAGAACTCGGAGCTGCGAACGCCCCGGCGGAGCAAATCCAGGGCCGGCGGGCCCAAGACTGCAACCACTTCCGCCAAGTGAACCCGGGTCATGGAACCCTCCCCACTTGGGTCTTGACCGTGAATAGGTGTTTGCCCTCAAACAAGTCATATATCTGAGCCAAGAACGATCAGTACAATGTCCCGAAGTGAATGAAAACAAAGGGCGAAGAACGAGCCCTGCAGCCGACATTCCATATATCCACTGGATAGCTCCAGTCAACCTTGAGCATGGCCTTTGGCGACCTGTACACATCGGCTGCGCATCGTGATTTCGTTTCATGTCCCTGCGGACAGCAGAACCAAGATCGCTGAGCACAGAGACACCCCACTGTCTAGGACGCTTGAACCGCCGGGATAGCTAAACGGGAGCGACCTCCACGAACTTACGAGGGGTGGGGTTGTCCAGGTCAGCTTCGGTGAAGGCATCCAGAACTTGCTTGTCTACAAGTTCCATCACTATATTGTCACCTTTGATGTCTGCGGTGCAACACTAAATCAGTAAGCGCATCCTCTAGGGGGGGTCCGACAAGGCGGACGAACCAGTATGAACCAGCTTGCATTCGGTATGCAGATAATCAAGTGCGAGTAGCACCATCTTGATTCCAGCCTTGAGAAGATCCTTGGTGAATCTGCGGGAGGGGTTGTATCGAAGAAGATCTTTCTAACTGTTGCAACATGGCTTCAAGACAAGACAGTGATGGTCGCCGTCAGGTCACGGAAGAAGCAGCTGGTCCAACGCTCTTCGCACATAGCGAGATCCAGTATGCTGGGAGTCAGCATTGCTGAGTCGCTGATACTTTTGGAACTCATCTCCATTGCTACGTTCTCAAGTATAGACTTTCAGTGCGACATGTTGGTGGTCCCTGCTTGTGTTAGCCTCCTGTTAACATTCTTTCTCCATCATGAAGCCTGGAGATGCTCACAGAAGGTTGCGAGCGAGGTCACACCGTGGACGTGGTTCCGAAACCCAATCTGCCTAGAATTTGGCATTTGGAGGTGGGGACGTCCCCAATGTTAATCGGATAAAAGAGCCCTGCCTTGAATTTCTCGACGTGTTGCTCCTCAACCACCACCTCGGGGGAGATAATCTCAAAGCCTGTTGTCGGGAATCGCAAGAGCGCCAAGGGAGCTCGCCTTGTCAATACCCTGGCCCATTTCAGAACCGATCTCATCCTTACAGCTTCCTTATCACGTTGTTGGAAGAGTTGTGATATCGCAGTCCCTATCATCGAGCCCCGCAGGATCCGTCCGTCGGGTGATGAGTTGCTCCGAGATTGTTGTCTTGTGCTCGCTTCTTGATGTTGAGACGACGGAGTCGCTTGTATGTGTAATTGCAATCCAACCTTGGTTTGTTTGCTAGCGCGGAACTCGGTAACGAAACAGCCGAACTGCCCGGTATTCACTTACGTTCATTTTTCTCATTCTTCTCTTCCTTCTATTATCCTTCCTCATTCTTCTCTTTTGTTTCTTTTTATAACGTTAGTTAGTTATTCTATTTTCATGAGTGTTTTCTTTTCTATTCTTTCCCTTGAATAACTTTCTTTTTCTTTCTCAGCTACCGCGCCTGCCATGTGCCACGCGAACAGTCGAGCGATCCAGGGCTTGATTGTAGGCCGGTGGGGCTGTCGACCAATGACAATTTCCCAGCCATCGAACCTGCGGGATGTCACCCTGCGCGGCGGATAGTGGGGCCTTTGTGCCTGTTCATTGGACGCCTCCTCCAGTTCGAATGTTTCAGAATCGACAAGGGACCTAGAATGCGATCGACCGTTGTCCCGCTCTTGCCTTTTATGGCCAGCCGGCCTGTGAGGGGCACCTTCTTTCTTTCCAACCTGTTGATGGCTGTTTCATGCCACTTTCTTCCGGATGCTCAGTGGATGAACGCATCAGTGCCTCCCGTGTTCCGCTCCGCGGTTCTCCGGTTGCCCGCCGGCGAGCAGGAGGAAAACCGGGGACTATCAGACCTTGACAGCGCGGATCTGTAGCGTGCGTTTGCAGTCATTTACTAAGTTGGTAAAATGAACGTGTGGACAGGGTCTTCTTTATCACCAACGGAGACGGTCAGGTTCGCCGTGATTTTACTGGCGGCTGCCCTACGGAGACACTGCAAGAGGAATGTTGGATGGAACGGAAATGTGGTGGACCATGTGCTTCGGCCCTCACCCCATACAACCCCTGGGCAATAGTCACATCAGATCGACACTCCGCAGTGGGCTTCGGCCGATCTTCCTCATTCCTTCTTCTCCCAATTGCAGTTCTCAGGCTCAGGCTCTTCCAAGATGGCGTTGTTTTCCAGCCGGGGGTTCAGTTGACTGCCCTCAGCATCATCATTGAATTCTTTAGTCGAAGGCTTGAAGATCCCAACTACGCACATTTCATATTCTCCCTCGGTCGCCGCCCCAAGATGTGCTAGAAAACTATCTCATCCGATTCCGCCTCCAACAAACGATTCGCCATTGCTGTCGGGCTGTGCCCGGTTCTGCACTTTTGACCGCTGTCGGGCATCTTCGCCTCTCGCACAGCCGAATACTTAATCCAGGTACTGTAGAGCACTTGCCCTTCCCTCGCGCCGTTATTTCATGTCTGTCCTCCTTCCTCTACCGAACACTAACCTCTGCCCGATGATAGACGAGTGGGCACTGGCCCGAGGGGTGCTTTGACCCTATCTACTGTAATTCAAAATACTTGAACAACTGTGCGCAGTTACAATCACCGTTGTCGGTCCCCACGGCAATACCATCCGTTGCCTGCTACTGCTCCATCAGAAGAATAGTCTTGGGAAAAAGATTGTTTTTCAGATCTCGCTGCTGACACATGAATCGGAATCTTCAACCTCACCGACCTCTGATCGACGTGTCGGCGTAGAAGAAGCCGGCGCAGCCTGGTGGCATTGTGCGACTTGGACTTGGAGGGGTGCCGTCTCGTGTTCACCATCAGTTCCACCAAACTGGGCACATACCGTCACGAGTCTCGAATTCGAAGCCTTGGGTTTGCTGTTGGCGCCCGCTGGGGCCAGGTTGGGGCATGACTTCTGCTGCTTAAGAGTCTCGGCTCTCATCGGGAACATCCGACCGCCCTTCCACCGCCAGATACGGGGAGGGCATTGAGGCCACTGACGACCTGCAACAGGGTCCGGGAGCCGGCCTCTACAGCTCATGGGCTTTCCTCCTCGATACCCATCCCGCGTTGCCAATTCTCAACACATCCAGCTGCCATAACCATCCACCCAAGATGCCGCCAACGCTTGACCTCAGCAGGACCACTCACTCCAAAGTAGTGATATCTCCACCTCGCATCAACCTCCGCAGAGCGGCATCATACAACCATGACCGAGGGCCGGTTTCTTCAACATCATCGCGTTTCAATTTCAATCACTTAGTCTTCTCCCCCCCCCCGTCGCCAGGTCTCCCTTCTCTTTCACCTCACATCAGAAAGACAAAACGACGACTTTTGGGCACCTTACGCCCGCTCAGGTTCATCCGCTACGCAATCCGACTCCTGAGCATCGTCGTGGTCTTCTTTGTGGCCCTAGAAATCCTCACTTGGCTCTTCGGGGAGCCGATCCCGACGCAGATAGAACCTGCGAAACCTGCAGAGAGAGTCATGACCGACGTGGCTTCACAAATCGAAGCGCCAGACTTTCCGACTCCGATGGTTGTAACCGACAACCGAGGCAGGGCCAAGTGGACGGTATCTATACCACCAGGGTCCGAGTTTCCCCTGACGATGAGCCAGTACGCGGATATGTGTCTCAAGTGCCCACAGGTTGCGGAGCGGGCTAGGCACCTGCGGTCTCAAGGACTCGGGCTCCACCAGGTATCTCTCGGGCTCGGCTTGGATTCGACAGATGACTTTGTGGATGTGCAAGAGGCAGAACAGGCTGGCTACCTCCCAGGCAATAGGGAAAAGGGCTGGAATTCGGCCGGAGAGCTTGAAGCGCAGAAACCCGTGTGCAAAAAGAGCCTCACATTCGTGCTGGAGTCGGACGATGCTGGCTTGGGGAGAACGCTGATGATGCTGTGGATAGCATATGGGCTGGCTGAAGAGGAGGGTCGGTCCTTTTTCATCGACGACACCCGATGGGCGTACGGAAAATTCACAGACATTTTCCAACCGCCACCGCTGCCAACTTGCACGGCACCTCCAAGCCACGAGATTCTTCCCTGTCCGCGGCACGCCCGGCACTTGGTGGCCTCGGCTGCGACGATGGACGAGGTGTTTGGTAGCTTGATCAAGGGTGCTGATTCCACATCCGAGGCTCACAACCGGGCCCTTCGAAAGGCCCAATTTGGCCTCGCCCGTCGGGGCTACGAGTCACTCTCCCGACTGACCAAGGAAGACGCCAACTATGTGGAGACTCGCGTCCGCGAGCTCATGGCAAGGAGGATACTCCCCAAATCCAAAGGGCACGGGACCGGTCTCGCAGTTGGCGTCCACGTCCGCCGGGGCGACCGGCACCCGCTCGAGCACCAGTACCGCCACTCTTACTTGCCACTCAATTTATACAGCGACACGGCCCGCGAGCTGATTGAAACAAAGTTCAACCACTCGGCGCCGTTCACCGGCGGAAGCAAGGCGGTAAAGGAACAGAGCATGGTTATCCTCGCGTCTGACGACCCGACGGTGTATGAGAGCGCAGAGCTGGCCGGGGCGAGCCGGGCACAGGAACGCATCAAGCTGGCCAGCAAGCAGACGATCCAGAAGGTCAACCCGGACAAGTCAGTCATGCGCAAGTTTGTGGATGAAACGTTCGGCTGGGAGGGCGGCTTCTTCGCGGCCATGTTTTGGAACCTTGGCGCATCAACCGGCCACGCGACCAATCCCACCACCGGCGGCAGCACTGCTCCCTCTCCAGATACCCTCCGGCTTAGAAGCCTGGTGGGTCGAGCCTACATGATGGACTTGACGGTGCTGGCTGATGCGAGCGACGTAATTGTGTGTACCGTTAGTGCTACCGGCTGCCGGTTGTTAGCTGTCATGATGGGGTGGGAGAGTGCCATGGGCGAGGGGAACTGGGTTAATATTGATGGAGAGTACGGGTGGATGGGGTTGGAGTGGTGATCAGACACGCATAGCTGCACTATGTTATTCTCTTTTGGCATTTCAAGGACGTTTTCCTCGTGCCTTGATCATGGTGTTTTGAACCACGAGACGCAATGAGGCATATGCGAGGGAGCATGATACGTACCCGGATCGGCCTTCAACCGTTATTCATTACAGTCCGGAACAGTGTCCTCCTCTTACCAGTGACTTGAAGGTGCGAGTGGCTTGTACTGTCATGAGAGACTTCAGCCATGAAATTGAACGTGGAACGTAGTAAGGTTCCAAAGGTTAGGGTCGTGGCTGCGTATGTCGAACTCTTGGCAGGGGATCCGTTCTTGATGCAGGTTCATCCGATCCACTTGGGGCTCTTGCGTTTTCGGTACCTGGACGAGAACATCTGCGATTGTTCGGATTCGTGATCGGAACCTGATACCGTGCTCTGCACAAACTTCAAGCAAGAGATCTCGGACTAATCGGTGTATGTGAATCTCAGCGTGACGATGTCCTCCCTAATTCCGATACTCGAGAGTGGACGCATGCTGCGTACGATTGCTAGCAGTCTGTGGCATGATCATACGCCAGGTACCTGGTACCTTTTCGAATCCGAATACGAATGCATCGACTGATTGGCTGCAATATCATCACTCCCAGGTTGCCCCAGCTTGCCAATGTGACGCCTCCCATTCCCATGCGCTGGTTAAAAAAGTTATGAATCTTTGAACTCGGCACCTCCCTACATTCTGAATTTTTTCCTCCAGGCGACGGGGTTCCTCAGTCAAACAACCAACAGCAGGCGCGTGGCTTGTGTCTCCCGTTCAGCTTTCTTCTCCCTCGTACATCTGACAATCCTTTCACCGCCAGAATGGGTCTGGTGCAGGAGCTTGGGGGCCCCCTGGCCGAGGGGTTCGCGCGCCTTGGACTGGCTTCGCAAGTCGCTGTCGCAGTTGGGGGCTTTCTGTTCCTGAGCGTCTTTTTCAATGTGCTCAGTCAAATTCTCTTCAAGAACCCTAATGAGCCACCACTCGTCTTCCACTGGTTCCCCTTCGTGGGGAGTACCATTACCTACGGCATGGACCCTCCGCGCTTCTTCCGGGAGAACAAGGCGAAGGTGGGCAAACCCTGTCCTGGGCTGCGCAATTGGCTATGTAGCTAACACTGCCTTTTGATAGTACGGCGACTGCTTCACCTTCATCCTTCTCGGCAAGAAGACGACCGTCTATGTCGGACCTAAGGGTAACGACTTCATCCTGAACGGCAAGATCCGCGATGTTTGCGCCGAGGAGATCTACACCGTTCTGACGACGCCTGTCTTTGGCAAGGACGTCGTCTACGACTGCCCCAATTCGAAGCTCATGGAGCAGAAGAAGGTGGGTTGATTGGACTCCAGGAGAATGTCGGCCGGATACGGGACTGACTGAGCGGGTTTGACAGTTCATGAAGATCGCTCTCACGACCGAGGCTTTCCGCTCCTACGTCCCTATTATCTCGGATGAGGTCACGAGCTACTTCAAGCGAACCGCGGATTTCAAGGGCCAGTCCGGCATCGTCAATATCTGCCCAAAGATGGCCCAGATCACCATTTTCACCGCCTCTCACGCCCTGCAGGGCAAGGAGATTCGCGACAAGTTCGACGAGAAGCTTGCCGATCTCTACCACGATCTCGACATGGGATTCTCCCCGCTCAATTTCATGCTGCACTGGGCTCCCCTCCCGTGGAACAACCGCCGCGACCATGCCCAGCGGACCGTCGCTAAAATCTACATGGACACCATTAAGTCACGCCGAGCGCAGGGCGAGAGCGGCGCCCAGGATATGATGTACCACTTGATGAACTCGACATACAAGAACGGCGTCAAGGTTCCGGACCACGAGATCGCGCACATGATGATTGCGCTTCTGATGGCGGGCCAGCACTCTTCGTCTTCTACTAGCTCGTGGATCATGCTCCGCCTGGCTTCCCGCCCAGACATCATGGAGGAACTCTACCAGGAGCAGGTCAAGAACCTCGGCGCGGACCTCCCCCCGCTGACGTACGAGGACCTGGCCAAGTTGCCGCTCAACCAGGCCATCGTCAAGGAAACGCTCCGCCTGCACGCCCCGATCCACTCCATCATGCGCGCCGTCAAGCAGCCCATGCCCGTCCCCGGCACTAAGTACGTCATCCCCACGAACCACGTCCTCCTGGCGGCCCCCGGCGTTTCGGCCACGGACGAGCAGTACTTCCCCCAACCGGACCTTTGGGAACCCCACCGGTGGGAGAAGGAGTCGCCAATTGCGCCCAGCATCGTGCGAAACGACCCAGAGGAGGAAGAGGAGAAGATTGACTACGGCTACGGCCTGGTCAGCAAGGGCACCGGGTCACCGTACCTTCCGTTCGGCGCCGGCAGGCACCGGTGCATTGGCGAGCAATTTGCCAACGTGCAGCTGCAGACCATTGTGGCCATGACGGTGCGCATGTTCAAGTTCCGCAACGTCGACGGTAGCAACAACGTAATTGGCACCGACTATGCCTCGCTCTTCTCGCGGCCGCTGGAGCCGGCCAATATCTACTGGGAGAAGAGGGAGAAGCACTGGGAGTAAGGGAGAAGGCTGGACGAGACGGAGTCGGAGTGGTCAAATAATGCCGTGTACTTGATGGAAACGGTTAAACGATGAATTCGGCGTTGGCTAGATGTACGTAGGAACGACCAGGCAAAAAGAGGCCATGAGTCGATCGGCAACGACTGGGAGTGCTATGGGAGAGACATAGAATATTAATAGTAATACCCCTCCATACTTATGAGAGCTTGTTCTGTCCCGCCGTGCATCGAGGGTTGTGGTGGCGGGGCAATTGGGTGGCTTCGCCCGCGGCTGAGGTGTGATGGAAGGAATGGGATGCGTTGCACGTTGAGGACACTCCACTTTGTGATGCCTCGCTCGGATTCCAAAAGAGGGGAGCGAGGCTGGATTGGCAGCGTGTGTCAGCCCAGACCTTGAACGCTTGGTTGAAAAGGGGCCCGAAGAACACGTTGCGAGACGGAGTGACTCACGACATAGCCTTTGTCATCTGGTCAGAGTACGGATTTGGGAGATTCGAGAAAGAAAGACGATCATGAGAAGTGTTTTCAGACTGGAAAAGAAAAGGAATTGAGTGGATGATCGAGTCACCGGGAAGGTGATTATTCCCATTCCAAGATCTGGCTGCAGGTGCAAGAGGACGGAGGGTCATCGATACGAAGAGCAACCGAGGCCGTTGGCCGCTGATATTGAAGGTTTGCATCCCACAATGGTAGCATATGAGAGCATCCGTGGATGAAACCGTAGCAAATACGGTCAAGGACATGGTCAATAATCAGAGCGTGGAAAGTAAAGGAGTAGGCCGAGTCTGGGAAGCATGAGCGAGGTTAGAGCAAGGGAAGTGTAACAGGCAAGTTTAACTCCCAGGAAGCAAGTCAATCACAAAACAAGGGCGATAATGCATGGAAGTTGCTTGTTCCTGCTCGTTGTCTTTGCCGCCATTCGAGCCGGCGTCAAACATGTTGGACAGGGGCGGCGGCGGCGGAGGCTAGGATCAAGCTGACCAACAAGGCTCCTGAGATACATATACGAGTCTTCGGAGCTGGAACCTGGTCAAATAGCTCTAATTCCAGTGCGCTGGACAGAGGCTGTTGATATGGTCACTGAAATGTGTCCTTTCTCATTGCGTCCAGGGCATTTTCATGCTGGCCTGGTGCGTTTGCTTGTGGACACATCTGTTGAAATGTACTCTGAGTTTCACAGTCTCTATATAGTTCACCATCTACCCACTCTTATTGACGTTGGGAGCATCATTAGCCGCCTTCTACTGTTGTTTACTTACTGCCCGAAACATCTCGTTGACCTACTCCAACCATCTCAGTCCGCAACCAAGGAAAACAATTGTCGCCGAACAGTACCCAGCCAACATGATGAGAAGAACAACTCGTCCCGCTAGACGACAGTTGCCCCTGGGCCTTGGCATCTTGCTCTTCTTTTTAATCCTGATATGCCCCCTTGCCGCGATCCCGGCCGTCAAGGCCACCACAGTCGAACGAGGCGAGCCCATCATTGGCATTGACCTTGGAACCACCTATTCCTGTGTGGGCGTCCTGAAAGGAGGCAAGGTGGACATAGTGGTAAACGACCAAGGAAACAGGATAACGCCGAGTTACGTTGCCTTTGCCGAGAACGGGGAGCGTCTCGTTGGTATGTACTTCTCAGGTCGTTGCCTTCGTTGATGGTGCTCTGACATGCCTGCCCTTCTGTAGGAGACGCGGCGAAGAATCAGTACGCCAGTAATCCTACGAATACCATATTCGACATCAAGTGAGCGCCGTCTTTCCATCACCTTACCGACGAACATGCCATTTGACAAGCCCAAAGACGGTTGATAGGTCGGAGCTTTTCGGACAAGGGTATCCAAGCAGACATGAAGCACATGCCGTTCAAGGTTACTGCTGGGCATGGTGACAAGCCACAAGTGGAAGTTGAAATCGCAGGTGATACTCGCCAGTTTACACCAGAGGAGATCTCGGCCATGGTCCTGAGCAAGATGAAGGATGTGGCCGAGCGGTATCTTGGTCAAAAGTGAGCTAAAATGAACTTCGTTGCCTTCCTCCTCTTCCTCCTCTTCCTCCTCTTCCTCTTCTTCCTACCTTTTCTTCTCTTCTTCATCTTCCTTCTCCTCCTGTCTCTTTCACGTTCCTTATTGTCGGGCCGCTCATTGTTTTAACAGGGTTAAACATGCTGTGGTCACCGTGCCCGCCTACTTCAACGACAAGCAAAGGCAAGCAACCAAGAATGCCGGAACCATCGCCGGGCTCAATGTAGTCCGTGTAGTGAACGAACCGACGGCGGCCGCGCTTGCATACGGCCTTGACAAGGTAAGACCGGCCATGTCCGGCTCTGTACTCAGCCAGGAGAACGGCAGGGCAATCACCGGTACCTGACACACCCACGCAGCTAGCAGGCGAACATACGGTTCTCGTGTACGACCTCGGCGGGGGCACCTTCGACGTGTCCCTCCTTTCTCTCGAAGACGGCAGCTTCGAAGTTCTCGCGACAGCAGGCAACACACGGCTAGGCGGCGAAGACTTTGACAACCGAGTCATCAGCCACCTCGCCCGGACTTTCAAGAAGAAGCATCAGCTCGACCTGACTCAGGACCCCAAGGCCATGGGCAAGCTGAAGCGCGAGGCCGAAAAGGCCAAGCGCACCCTCTCCTCGCAGCTCTCAACACGTATCGAGATCGAAAGCCTCTTCGATGGCATCGACTTCTCCGAAACGCTGACGCGGTCCCGGTTCGAGGAGCTGAACATGGACCTTTTCAGGAAAACGCTGGCTCCCGTGGAGCAGGTCCTGAAAGACGCCAAGAAGGACAGGGTCGATGTCACGGATATTGTGTTGGTCGGCGGATCGACTCGCATTCCTAGGATCCGGGCCCTGGTCGAGGACTTCTTTGGAAAGCCGGTTAGTGGAGGAATCAACCCTGACGAGGCGGTCGCCATGGGCGCTGCCCTTCAAGCAGCAGTAAGTGATCCCCTCCTATTGATCGGACATGTCCTTGATCATACGAAACTGATAACGAGGGCTGGGTAGATCATCGCAGGCGAGAAGGTGAAATATGCCATAGGTCGATTCAACCGTAGCATTTTATTGATCCTCGGAAACAGTTCGCCGACGACATTTTGTTCGTGGACGTTAACCCCCTTACCCTCGGAATCGAGACGGAAGGTGGAGTTATGGTAGGCTTCGTCATCCGGCTTCAGGGGCATTTGCGACTCTTCTGTGGCAGGACTAACCCAATCCTCAGGCCACATTGATCCCGCGCAACACCCAACTCCCAACGGTTGGTTGATTGCCTCCATCTTTGCGTTTGAGGCGAGCTGTTGCTGAAACAAGTTCTCTGTAGCGTCGATCTCAGATCTTCTCTACCACGGTCGGTATGTGTTGTGTCAGGTTCGGCTGCCAGGCTCAATACTAACCGTTTACACCAGACAGCCAACCGTCGGTGTTGATAAAGGTCTTTGAAGGCGAGCGTTCCATGACAAAGGACAACAACCTCCTAGGCAAATTCGAACTCACCGGTATACCGCCGGCGCCGCGTGGAACGCCTCGAATTGAAGTATCGTTTTCTCTTGATGTGAATGGGATCCTACAGGTCTCGGCCCAGGATAAGGGCACAGGACGCAAGGAATCCGTCACAATCAAGAGCGATGACGGCCGATTGACGAAGGAGGAAATAGCGCGCATGATCGCAGAGGCCGAGAAGTTCGCGGACGAGGATAGGGAGGCGCGTGAGCGCACCGAGGCCCGGAACAGCCTTGAGAGCTACGCATTTAGCCTCAAGAACCAGATCGAGGACAACAAAGGACTTGGTGGGAGAATCGACGAGGATGAGAAAGAGATCGTAAGTTGCACCCGACGATTACTTCGCCAACGAGTGCGTGGCTTACAGCCTCTCCACAGCTACGGGATGCTGTCAGAGCTGCGACCGAGTGGATTGACGAACATGGGGCGACCGCGACAGCTGAAGACTTTGCCGAGCAGAGAGAAAGGCTGTCCGATGTCGCCTATCCCATCACCAGCAAGCTCTATAATGGCGCAGACACGGGAGCGGCGGACAGTAACGAGTCCAGCGACTTGCACGACGAGCTCTGATACGAAAAAGAGAGCGGACCGGACAGCACGGCCCTGGCTTGTTCAACAGCGGGGGACATGGCCAGAAAGGAGGAATAGCTTGGACTTGTTGTGTTGAACCTAACATTCATACTCCGTATTGTGTCCTGTTTCCTTGTCTCGGCAACTCGCCAGCAAACAAGCCACGGATGGGTCGTATAATGTCAAAGCAGATAAGCTTAGCTAGTGAAAAATCAACCGAAGACTGGTATAATTGTTTTAATGATGGCTTTAGAATAAGTAAACTCGGCGTTTCCAACTGGTCATCAGATCCAGCGGCTGACGTTGTGGTTGGTGTTGTGGAAGCCTCACGTGACTTGAGGGCTTCCCCACAAAATGGCAAGCCAAACTAACGTTAGAAATGGGTCCCATTTGTACTCGGCAAACGCAGTCGCGACCAAATGAACCGAGGTTGACGAGCCGACTCCGCAACCCGAAGAGGCTGTTCGCAGCCTGGTCGTGCCCGTCTCCACTCCATCCATCCATCAGCTGGCTCTGCAATCATCAACTCTTCCATCATCAGGGCGACCGCCGCCGAGGTCTTGCAACCGCGAAAGCGTGAAGAAAGGACTCGAGACTCAACAAGACAGTTACGACTGCCACCTTAATCTCCCCGGTGCCAGCGCGCATTTCATTGTTGCTCAGCCTGTGGCCCGCTGCCCCAGGCTTGGACGTTTCCCAGCGACCTGTCAACCCGCTTTCGTCGCCACCTAGACACCCGACTGCGATCATCACAAGCGAGTGTTCTCAACGTCTTTAGAAGCCATCGCTCTCCAAAACCGGGAGAAAATTTGATACACACCAAAACAAATCATGGCATCACCGCCAAAACCTTGGGAAAGACAGGGCGCAACGCCCGCCACTTCCGGTGTGTATAGCCACTCTTGTTGCGACTCGCAGGCCAGTCCATCCGCTAACGAGCAACGAAACACAGCAACCCTCCCACCCACATCCATGCCCGCCGCAACCGCAAACGCCATGACAACACCCACAACCGCTACGACTACGACACCTTCCTCCTCCACAACACCCGCGATACCTGCGCGACCCGCATCCTTGACGGCCGCTGTCAACCAGAACGCGGCCGCCTATAGCAGACCCTACGGCGCCTCACCGTACGGCACCTACGGCTCGGCATACTCGTCGCCCTACGCTTCACCATACTCCAGAATCGGTGGATACGGCGCTGGAATGTATGGCGGTGGCATGTACGGCAGCTATGGCGGCTACGGGGGGATGTATGGCGGAGGCATGTACGGTGGAATGCCAGGCGGAATGCCCGCAGACCCGAACAATCCGGAGAGTCTCACGCAGCGCTTTAACATGAGCACGCAAGCCACTTTCCAGATGCTGGAGGGCATTGTCACTGCCTTTGGCGGCTTTGCGCAGATGTTGGAGAGCACGTACATGGCGACACATTCGAGCTTCTTTGGTAAGTTGCCGCCCGTGGGTCTGCTTGATGCCAACAATGAAGGGGTTCTAACAAATATGTTCTAGCCATGGTCTCCGTCGCTGAACAATTCGGCAATCTCCGTGATACCCTCGGCTCCGTGCTTGGAATCTTCACGCTGATGCGCTGGATCCGGACCCTGATTGCCAAGTTGACTGGAAGACCCCCGCCAGTGGACGCCAAGGCCCTCACACCGGCCGCCTTTGCCCGCTTCGAAGGGCGCCAGAGTCCCGTACCGGAAGGCTCGTCTCCGAAACCCAGCCGCAAACCGCTCCTCTTCTTCTTGCTTGCTGCGTTCGGCTTGCCCTACGTCATGAGCAAGGTCATCCGCTCGCTCGCCGCCAACGCAGAAGAGGAAGAACGCCGGCGCCAGCTCGTCGCCGCCCAGCAGACGCTCGACCCGTCCAAGCTCGAGTTCTGCCGTGTGCTCTACGACTTTTCTCCCGCCGCCCAGGGCCAGGCTGTCGTGCAGGGCGTCGACCTTGAGGTTCACAAGGGCGATTTGGTTGCGGTGCTGGGCAAGAGCGACCCAATGGGCAACCCGAGCGAGTGGTGGAAGTGCCGCGCCCGCGACGGCCGGATCGGCTACCTCCCTTCGACCTTCCTCGAGGTGTTGCGCAAGCCCGGTGCGCCCATTGCCGCCATCAAGGACACGGCCGCGAGTGAGAGCAGCCGGACGAATTCGCTGACCAGCATTGTCAGTTCCCAGGGCGGTCTGCCTCAGAAGGAGGTTGCTGCGAAGCCTCCTGCATTGCCCTCCACTAAGGTTGGCGACGTAACGGCCGAGAGCTTCCAGAAATCGCAATTCTACACTTAGGAAATCCGTCACGGCCATTGTGGCTAAGAGTCCTGTGAATGGGAACGGGATTGCCCACAACAAAGGAAAGAGACAGAGAGGAACCGGTTTCACCCGGATCAAGTTCTTCCCACCTAGTTCCCGCTTTGCAACAACAATCACAGCCGCCTGACTACGCTTCAACCTTGCTTGGCTGCCAACACCAAATAATATTTGAGTGTGGTTGGGATCGACCCGCCTCACTTTCATTTTGCTTTGTCTCTCTACGCTGCCAAGGAGATGTGCTTTACTCTGTTGTCGGAATCCGAGGGAAGGAGGTTGGTTGAATGAATGGAAGAGGAAAACAGAGCCTGGCGTTTGAGGCGTTGATCGCAAGGATGCGACGACATATATTGCTGAGATAGATGGCTTTGCGATTGTTGGCCTTTTCGCCCTCCTGACTAGCTATCGCCCAATCATGGGTTGGGTTTTTCATCACCCGCAAAGCGACAAGTTGTTTGACGGTAGCGCTTCCTACATAGCAGTGTATATATTCTAAGCAGCTTGTACGTGTATCTATGTGTCTAAAGATGGGCTTCCTCGGAAAGCCTTTTCTTATTGCATATACGCCTTAACTACGTGATGATTCCGGCTTCGAGCAGGTTGAAGCCTTGAAGATAACAAAGCGACAGCATATAACTCGGCACCTGATTCGCTAAAGAAGGCTTCACTGTCGGTCTTCATCAACTTGCATTGACTTTATCTACCAACTGCAGCCGCCCGTAAGGCCTGAAATCCAGGTAAACTGTCGTCATTCCTTCGTAAAGACCCGGCCACGGTTTGTCACCTCAAGGTGTCTTTGACTGGTATTGATACAGTACATAAAATAATCCAACTGTCATGAACCGTGCCTCCCCCGTTTGTCTTGATTCCTGGAAAGAAGTAAGAGAATAGAAAACCGTGAATCAAAATCGAGGACCACTCCGTAAGTCGTCCGCCGAGAGGCAGACGGTATTTGTTTTGTGCGAAAAGAGATAAGCAAAAATCGATGGAGGGACAATTTGTGAAAGTGGAACAAGAGAGGGAATGTCTGGGCTTGTTGATATCTCCCCCAGGGTAACCGATCCCGAAAATCAGTTGCGAAAAATGATGAGGAAGTAGAAATAACCCGGTCTATCTCGGCTGCAAACTCTTTTGCAGAGTGAAGGGGCATCAGTGCAATGGGAAATCGTACTTTCGTTGCCTCGGAAAGGAAAAGGAGATAGCGGCTGGCCAGAGGGTTTGCCCTACCCATTGCTTGCGTGGTATGCGGACACAAGAGCCGAGGCGGAGGCGAAAACCGTGGTTGGTCTTACCACTCATACTCGCCGGTGGCCTTGTGGAAAACATATTCCTTGCCATTGACGGTGAGGACGCCATCCTTGAGAATGCACTTCCTACAAGAGAGAATGTCAGTGGACGGGCAAGGTCTAAGTATCAAACACGTGGAACCAACCATTTGTTCTTGACGCGCTGCACCTTGTCGTACATGCAGAGCATCATGTGGCCCAAGGACTCGTCGTCGTCCTCGTCTTCCTCGCCACCTTCGTCAGGGTCATCGAGGTCCGAGTTGATGGCATCCTCATCGTCCTCTTCGCTCTTGATTTCATCATCCAGCCCGTCAAACCGGCCAGGGCCGTCAGGGCTCTGCCGCTTTGTAACGGTGCCGTGACTCTTCGCGGCTTTCTTCAGGGGTAGCATCAAACCACCGCCCTCCATCTGCTTCGCTCTTGCGGCGAGCTGGGCGTGCAGGTGCTCATCAATCTGAGCACGGCTCATCACAGCCGGCTGGTTCGAATTTAAGAGGGGCTGCGTTGACATGCATTCAACGGCATCAGTAGACCCATCCAGCTGGGCGGTAGGAAGGCCGTTCGGTGGCCGCGGGCGGGGCATTTGCTGCTGCATCTGCTGCTGAATGGCGGCGGCAACCCCCTGCCGATACTGCTGCTGCGGGTTCATGTGCTGCGGTACCTGTCCTTGCCTGGGAACCTGCTGAGCCTGGACAAGAGGGTTGCCAGGGTTCATCTGTGAAGCCATGCCGCTGTGGATGGCGTTGATGGAGGCAGCCGCTCGCTGTCCATACTGGTTCTCGAGGGCTAGAGCAGCGCGTTGGGCGGCGGTCGGGCGCGCCCCACTGGCGGGGTTGTAGCTTGGGTGGACGGGAGCCAGACCCGGTTCCTGCTTGATACCGGGCTCAACTGGGGCGAAGCCAGGTTCTGGCTTCACTGCCACGGCATTGGGGTTTGGGTGGGGGGTAGCAGGAAGCGAGAGAGACTGCGCAGAGGACTGGGGGGTCAGCGTAGACTGGGTGTAGGCGGTGGTGGCTGCGGGCGCATGCGGAGGAGCAGCGACTGGCGGAGCCGTAGTTGTTGGCGCAGACGCGGGCACGGCGGTGGCCTGGGCCGGAGGCTCCGGCTTGGGGTCCCACGGAAATTGGGCCACCTTCATCTGCGACAGCTTGTGTTGCCATGTCTGTTATTCCCGTATTAGCACTGTCCCTGCCTTATTTCTCCGGGGTCAGGTTTCGGGTTGTGTGATGGGTTTTGGCTTAGGGAAAGGGGGTCCTTAGGATTCCCCACGTGATGCGGGCCGCACAGCCCAATCGGAAAACGGCGGATGAGTGATTGGGCGAGGTTCACAGCAGTTGGGCTGGCCTTAAAAGACACCCAAAAGTGCGGGATCGCCCACCCTAGACCACTGCTCTCCACCCCCTCTCGCCTTGACAGTCGGAGGCGGTCACCCGACACTTGCGCCAACTGACGCCGAGTCAAAAAAAAAATAAAAAAAATAAAGGAAAGACGGTTTCGCATATGAAGTCGCACTTGACAACGCACATCGAGAATAATCTTGCCTGTTTGCAAACATGGCAGAGAAAATGAAGGAAGAGCGGTGGGAATGCCGCAGAATGCAGTGGTAAGGACAATGGAGAGATTTCGAGAGCCTCCTCACCTTCTTCAGGTCCTCCAGCGCGCTGTCATCGGCGCCGTTTTCTTCAAAATCGACGCGCACGGCATTGATAACCTCGGAGATGATGGTGTCATAGACGGTTCCGACTGCCGTGTTCGACATGATGATAGATTCCTCTTAGGATCGGAGCAACGACGCTTGCTGTGATGCTTCACCGTCTCCCCCGCAGCAAACGGCTTCTTCACTCTGGTCACCCACCCCGCCTCGTCGCTTTGCGCAGCCGCCGTGTTTCCCCCGCGTCTTCTCTACGCACACCGACAGCAAATCCAGACCGAGTCGGTTCACGGCAACGATTCGGAGTGGGTTGGCCGATCGGATGTCGGGGAGAGGTGGGCTCGGTGGAATGCGAACCCCTCGGCACCGCTGACGGCTGCGCTCAACTGCGTCGTCTGGGACTTCTTAAGTTGGTTCAACAAATGCAAGATATTCGTGACCCTGTAATTCAAATGCTCGGTCGCCGTATCTCCGATTTTGCAGAGTTGCACCGCAGAGTTGGAGACGGCGTTTCGCATGTGTTGGTGTTTTGGGCAAGTTCCAGAAAGCCGCCAGACCTGGTTTGATGTAGTCCAGCCAGCTTAGTCAGCCAGCTGACAACCACAGCCCCACCAACAGAACTAAGGGGTTAAAAGGAGAGGTTCCGAGTCTGCTGAACCTTCAACTGTCTCACGCCGTTATTCAAACGCACCTGCAGTCGTAATGTTGTTGAAAGAACACTTTCAGTATGAGATGGTGAAGCAAAGGAATGCACGGCAGAGCACCACCAAGGCAAGAGAGTGAGCGAGGCAAATCATACCGTTTTCTGGGCAACTTGACTCAACTGTTACGCTGTGGCGCTGTGGTTTCGCTCTTATTGACCAGTCACCAGAGTCACCGGTCTTAGGCATTGAACATAGTGTGCGACTCCTCCGAGAGAACGGTTTCGAAGAAGACACAATTCCATTCTTCCTTCCTTTTGACCCAATTTTTACAGTTATGACACAATACCGAAACAGACCTAGCCCAATGCAAGACCCGTCAGACCAACAACACCCCAATCCAATCCAATCCAACCATGTCCCCAATCCTCGCAACCTTATGACCAAGCCGATGCGATCCATGCTTATTTATCCCGGCGTGATAGTGCCCATGACCGTGCATTCCGGAAAGACCCAAAGAGCTGCTTCCCGAAAACGCCACGCTGAAACCCTTCAACAAGCAGGAATTCCAGAAGGGAAATGTTAATACCTACCGTTGATTGAACAATGTGCTGTTGACGCTGGCTGGTCCCTAAGGACTCTGGACACCGAGGCGACCTCTAGCGGATTGTCATCATCTTGGGCCTGTCGGCCTTTGCGGCCGCACCGGCACTGCCGATGCCGACACCAGATCCGGGCTTCTTTTCGAATATCTTCCAGAACTTCAAGCTCTCGTCGGCAGCTGTGCGGAGCGTCAACAGCCGAACATCTTTTCCGTTATGCGTACTGCAGAAGAAACTACTTACCAGCTGTGGCCAGCATCTGACCATCCGGGCTGAGGCAGCTGTGAAGGACTCTGCTCTCATGGGCGGGGATCTCAACGTTGCGAACGAGGGTGGGGTAGCTCCAGATGCTGAGCGAGTTGTCGGGGAAACCGCTCGAGCTGACAATCTCGCGATAGTGGGGGCTCCAGCGGAGGCTGGTGACTTGCGAACCGGTGTCGATGCTGTTGACGCGGGCGCCAGACGTGCTGTTCCAGAAGTGGATGTGACGATCATATGAGCCGCCCCCGGTAGCGAGCAGGTTCATGTTCCACGGGCACCAGGCGAGAGCCTTGACGGCAGCCCTGTGGTTGGTCTTTGTGAACTTGGGGACGGCCAGGGACCGGGCATCCCAGATTGACACAAGGTTGTCGTTTCCGCCGGTGGCAAGTTGAGCGCCATCCGAGCGCCACTCTAGGCCGCAAACCTCGGAGGTGTGCGACACGAGTTCGGCCACCTTGTGCTCCGCAATGCGGACATCGTGATTGAAAACAAGGCCGCTTCTCGCGCCGGTAGACAGGAGGTGCTTGCTCCAGCCCATGACACCAACACGGGTGTCGTGGCCGAGCATGCTGCGAATCTTGACGCCTTCGGCGACGTCCCAGATCTGCACTTCGCCGGTGCCAAGACCCACGCCGACGTAGGCGCCGTCCCCAGACCACTTGACGCTGCTGACGTATGTATCCGGGCTGGTCTCGAGGAGGCAATTGACTGAGCCCTCGTCCGCTGACCAGACGTAGACGTTGCGTTCCAGGCCAATCGCGACCTGGTTGTTGGAGCTCCAATCGAGGAGGTTGAGATAATAGTCGTCGATAAGGCCAGGAGCATCCAAGACGCGCTCCGGAGCGGTTGCGATGCGGCGCCGGAACTGGGCTGAGGTGGCATTGGCAGGTCTCAGAGGGCGGTTGTACTGCTGCCGCAAGTCAATTGGCTTGGACGATTCCGGAGGCGTGGGCTTGAACTGAAGGATGCGTGTCTTCAAGTTGACGCCGCAAGCATCAGCCAGCGTTTCCTGGTAGGCGACCGTACTTGGCGAAGGCCGCGAGTAGGAAACCGGCTCCTCGTCGTCGATGTTGAGGCCCTCGAGGGCGGCTATGGCATCATCGGTGGCCGATGAGAGGATGGACGAGGCGTCGCCGTGGACGCTTCTCGGGCGCTGATGATTTTGACGTATCCTGATCTTGGCAGATCCGGCGTTGGAAATGGCCGAGCTCGAGGACCGGTTGGGAATAAAGCGATCAGTGTTGTAGGTGAGCTTCGTCTTGCTGGTCTTCTTCCTGACGGGCACTGGTTTCTTGGCGTTGGGGCTGGCGGGTGCCTTGGTGTGGGCGCCTGTGCCGGTGAGCGTGAAATTGGACACGCCGAGCTCCAAGACCTTGCGGGGAGTTGACACCACGCGGGCAATATTTGACTTTGGCGACTCGCGGTGGTTCTTGGAAGCCTTCGCGAAGTGGGCAGCCAAGTTCCCGCCATAGACTGACTTAGATGGGACGCGATGGCCATCATTGCTGGCCCTGTCGGGGGTAAATGGGGAAGAGTTGACGGTCAACGCGGCGGCGCGTTGAATGGGAGAAGGAGTCAGGGGCATCCGCCCGCCGGCGGTGCGGCTGGAGAAGAGCCCGGCATGGGACTTGAGAGGTGTTGATACTGATGCTGTTGCCATGATCGTCGACTGTGCTGTTGCAGTATCGATAACTTTGCCGACGATGCAGTCTTCACCAAGTGTTGTACCCGATGCTTCGTGGAAGCCTGATGGCGCGAAGAAGGAGGAGGTCGAGTAGACTAAGATGGTGCAATGGGTTGTAAAGAGGATGTCCTCCAATAGCCGGATTGATAAACGCGTGATATGAGTTTCGATAAGTGGGTGAAATGCAGGTTTGTTTGATGGAAAGTGTGAGGCTTGGGAAGAAGGAGAGCAACGAGACGGGGAAGGAGGACCTGCCTTATAAGCTGAATGTTTACTTTAGTGGTTGGCCGGGCAGCCGCTCGCGTGGGGTGCTCGCTCACGCTCTGACCTGACCCACCTGCGATGGAAACCGGCAGCGAGTCCAGCTGTGGCTCGCCTCGCATGGCCAGGCCTAATTCGCCCAAGCGTCTCACAACCCTGCCCGAGCGGCTTCTGTGGAGCCAGGCGGGATTGCGGATCCCCCTCATGCCGTGTCTGTCCATCAACAGCCTTCATGCAGCGACTAACGCAAGAGAGCTACCAACACTGACGACGTCGACCGACCGAATCTAGTCACTGGTGCCGGCACGCGGCCCTATTTTGTTGAAACAAACAAATACACCAAAGCATTGGCTTGGACGTGTAGCGCGCTTGTCGCTCCATTCTGAGCCGAATGCCTGCGTTGTAGCCTCGCAGACGATCCCCTGCGTCCACGACCATCAGCCATGGCCCAACAACCACTCCCCGCTACACCTGCAGCACCCGTCGCCGGTCCTTCAATATTTGGCGCACCTGGACAAACCGTTACCGGCACCAACCAAGCACCGGTGTCGTCGTTCGCGTTGGCCCCGACGCCCGCCTCCGCCGCGTCATCCAACAACACCTACATCATGCCCAATTCGCCGCTCAAGAATCGCACCTCCATGGATGGCTACCGACCCAAAGTGACGCGCACGCTTGGCCAGCGGCCCGCTTGCCTCGTCAATGCGTCGGTGACGTACTGTGGAAACAACCAGATCTACGCCTTTGGCGGGTTCGATCAGTACACCGACGAAGTCTACAACCATGTTCTGCGCCTCGACTTGGTCAGCCATCAATGGACACTCGTCGACAACTACGGCGATATTCCGGGTGTTCGAATGGGTTAGTTGTTGTATCCTCTGCGTCTGGAATTATCCAGCTGACCGAAACTCGTTCGTAGGGCACACTGCGACCCTGTACAAGGGCGATAAGCTCCTGGTCTTTGGCGGCGAGAACGAGCACCGGACCTATCTTTCCGATCTTATCATCTTCGACCTCAAAACGGCGCACTGGACGCAGCCACAAGTGACGGGACCGATCCCCAAGGGCCGCGCGAGACACGCTGCCGTTTTGCATGAAGACAAGCTCTTCATTGTTGGTGGGATCACTGGCCACGACAATTACGTGTTGGACGACATATGCTACCTAGATTTGAAGACGTACACTTGGTCGAGGTCGTGGCGCTTTGTCGGGCGTTTCGATCATTCGGCATATATCTGGGGTGACAGAGTCTGGGTCTTTGGCGGGTTGAGCGAAGACATGGATAAGGTCAGCGACTTGTGGTGGCTGGATCTCAAGGGGAACCCTGCATTTGAAACGCCGCCGCAAATTGGGTTCCTCGACCGCTCGGGCCTGACGAGAAGCGCGACATCACCCCGGCCACCTCACCAAACGTCTCAGTCTCCGGTGGTCGGCTCAACTGGATACGCCGCCAACTCGAGGACACCGCAGGTCAACACGCCGTCATTCCACCTCAAGGCATACGCGCCTCCTGCCCCGGGTGCCATCTCTGCACTCAAGTTCGTCAGTGGCAACAACGTGCCCTCACAAATGCAGGGCATCCATTTTCACGTCTACTCATCCGGGACCCTTTTGGATTTTGTGACGCCTGCAGCGACCATCACGGCCAAGGAATGCTCGCTTTACGCTCTCGATCTAGGTACTCTCAGGTGGCAGAGGCTTGCCGAGGGACGCGAGATCTTCAAGTTTGGATACCGGTGGCACTATTGCACCATGAATGAAGATGGCACCAAGGCCTGGCTGCTGGGTTGTCCCACTGAGGCTGGAGCGATTGACCTTGGCGCTAATGGCCTCGAGGAATATCTTTCTGACATTATGGAAATTGACCTGCGTAGATATGGCTTCCTGGGCAGCAACCTGTCATCCGAGGCGCGGACAGACTTGATCCGCCCCTCACTGCGGACACGCAGCGTGGAGGCACCTTCCAAGGGGCTCGGAGCGGATCTCGCCAGGCTCTTCAACCAGCCCCCTGAAACTGGGAGCGGCACCGACTTCATAGTCACTGCTCTCTCCCGCGACTACGACGACGACGAGATCATGGGCTCAGCCCTCATGCACTCGGCCGAATCGGACGAGGCCAGCCAGACGTGGCTCGCCCCAGACGCCCCAACTTCACCCCCGATCCACGTACACCGGCTCATTCTGCAAGCCCGGTGGCCGCATTTCGCGCGGCTGTGGGCCAGCCAGATGGCCGAGTTCCACACGAAGAAGATGCACATCCCCGAGCCCTACAGCGTCGTCAAAGCCTTTCTCTACTACCTCTACACGGACCGCATCGATCCCACCGACGATGACGCCGACAACGCCATGGCCGATCTCTCCGACGTGGCCGGCCTGCTCGTGATGTCAAACATCTACAACATCCCGCACCTGCGGTTGTTGTGCGTCAACCGCCTGAGCAAGGAGCTTGACGTGGACCACGCGTGCATCATTTGGTACTGCGCGGGTCTGGCCAACGAGGAATGGCTGCGCAAGCGCGCCGCCTGCTTCTGCATGACGCACTGGGGTCGCGTGGTGCGCACCGTCGGTTTCCAGCGGCTGCCCCGCTCGGCGCTGGTCGAGCTGTCGCAGGAGGTCGACATGGAGGGCCGCGTCGTCGGCGGCGACGAGCTCGACATGATTGCGGGCATGGACGGCCGCTTCAGCGACGGTGCGTCGGCTGCCTCGCGCCGTAAGGAGAGCGTCAGCAGCAACCAGACGCAGACGCTCGAGACCGAAGACGACGATGACGACGGTATGGAAATGTCCTAGATTGGCATTCGAAAGAGGAGAAGGGGTCGTCGTCGGTGGCGGAGCGGACGGATACTTTGGTGAGCGATTTCTGGCCTCTGAGCGGGCATACGGGCGGCTGTGTTTGAATTAGTGGGAACAACTGTGATCTCGGGAGGATGGGAGGCGATGCGATCCCACGCTCGCTTCTGGGGGTTGCGTGATGCGGGAGGACCTCGTTTGTCTCCCACCACCCCTATGTTCTTTACTGGGTCACATAATGGTATCATGTTACGATAGGTACGGGGCATTGCTAGGCGTCAGACGGCGTGCTTCGGCGTTATAATGAAGGAGATGAAGTTCGGCATCCATCGACTTGACTTGGACCGATGCCGGCATTGTGATTTCGAGGGTTTGACCGACGTCTTGCACGGCAATGAGGCAACCTTCGCCTTTTGATGTACGACAAAGCAGTGGTTGTCCCAAACAGTCTATTACTAACAAACAACAGATACTGGCAACGCTTTTTCCGCCCCCTATGATGCGCTCCAGTGATACCAACAACACCTCGCTAAATCCCTTCCCGGTTTCTTTTTTTTTTATCTGCGACATTTTCCCCGGACTTTGTACCACCCCATCGACCATCATACATATTCATACTTCATCCTCTATGCATAAACAGTCCCCCCGCAAGAGACCAAACCGCAACGTTGACAGGAGGCAGCCCCGGCGATTGCCTGGCACGACTGATTAGAGATTAGGCCGGTACAAGACAGCGTCAGAATATACCGCCGCCTCTTGCCGTTGGTTGGGTGAGAGCGCCACCCTCCCAAATACCTCGCAAACAGCCACCCGGTTCTTTCTCACCCACCAGTCCTATATCGTGCAGTCTATTGGTCGTGCCGTCATTTTTTCGTTTAACCGTTGGCCCAATCTTCTCTATTGTGGTCTCGTGGTGGAGCTGAAAAGGAGGCCGGCAGTGTTTCCCATCCAAGCAACAATCGTACCTGATCTGGGAATTCCGGGGAACGCAAGGTGCTGTCTTTGCCCTGTCAAAAAGACGTGCCGATCCCAAAGTCGGTCCGGTTGGTGCGACACGTCAGCGCTCTTTTCCTTCGATTCAAAGCTCCTCATTTCTGCCTTGCCCTTGGCGCCCCTTTCCTCTGGAATGGAGTTCAAAGGAAGGAAGGGGTATTAGCATCAGCTCCTTACTCTATGTCGGGGTATCTGGCTGTGGCGACTCAGAACAGCCAACGCCGCTCGCTTAGTGATGTAACAAATTTCTGAACTTCATCGATGGAACGCCGAGCTACTATGCTGAAAATGCCGATTCCAAACCCCAGGTGAAAGAGAGAGGTTGAGGCGGGTAATGATTGCTTTCAGGGACGGAAACAAGCGACCCCTGACGCTCCCATTCGTCGCGTTCTTCAACAAAATGGGCGGCACGGAGACTGCCCCGTAGTGCTAGGGGACGCCGAGCAACGCCTGAGTCGGAGCCGATACTGTGAGACCCTTGTCGCCTTAGAGCATCGAGTCCTCGTTGATGTTAGGCAAGTTGCCTTGCTGAAGCGCGAGGAGAGTAGCCGGGTTTTGCATCATCGATGATAGTATAGTCTGGTGTTGAGCCCGGATATCAGGGTCGCACATGGGCGAGTGTTGCTTGTGCTGTAAAGGCGTCAACAACATGTTTATACTTCACGGCTGACTTCGGCGCAGCGCAAACTTACGTATTTAAGTCCGTTCAGGTTCTTGTACCGCTTTCCGCAAACTTCACACTTGAAAGGCTTCTCCTTCTCCATGCCCAGTGTCCCGGGATAGGGGGTGCTGGTTTCCGGGTTGACAATAGAGAAAGTCCCATCGCCATTTTCATGCAACTGCTGGGTTGAGTGACCATGCGTTTTATGGTACCTGACGCAGTGGTGAGTAACAATAGCCGGCCAAAGACATGTTAGTCAACTTACTTCAGACCGTTTTGGTTCTTATACGCCTTCTCGCAGCCAATGACAGGACACCTGAAGGGTTTGTGCTCCTCGGCGGGAGGCATCATCAAAGCTGTCATTTGCTGTAGGACGAGGGCAGGGTCGGTACCAGCAGGGAATTGACTCAAGTCGAGATTCATGGCCTGGAGGTGTTGCTGTAGCTGTTGTTGTAACTGCATTTGTTGGTCGAGAGCTCGCTGTTGGCTGGTCATCTGGGCCGTCCCGCCAGGGCTGAACAGCCGCTTGGCCGGGTCATCAATCGTACCCAAAGTGCCGAACCCCAGGGCCCCAAGCTGTGAACCGCCCAGGTTCATGTTGCCAAGGTTCATCTTCATGGGCATGCCAGGGATCTCGTCTTCCTCATCGCCGTTGCCATCCTGTCCAAGCTGTTGGCCTCTTTGCGGCAATCCTTGTTGCGTTGTCAAGGTGGGCGTATTCACCGATGAGACTGTCGGGTTGTTCTGGAAGCCGAAACTAACAGCAGCCGGCGTCGGCGGCTGGGAGGTGCGGAGCGCTTGGTGAGGGAGACCGGAGCTATTCAGATGCAGTTGCGGCCGCTGTTGTTGGCCAAAAAGCTGACGGGTTTGTTGGATGGTGCGAGTGTTATCGTCCATGTCCATCGGGCCCACCGTCTCGTCCAGTTCCATCTCGCCGACCGCATCCATCTCGTCATTCATGTGCGACAGAGGGTTGACCTTCTGTGAAGGCGCTGTCGCTTGGTGTTGTTGCTGTCGCATCATCTGCCCGATGCCACCAGCGCCCATGCCCGGGCCGACCTGGCGCTGCTGAGAGAACCCGTGCAGTGACTGTGAAGGCTGCAGCGCTCTGCCGGCCGACGGCGCGATCGACCCGGCGCGGCTGGCGGGACCGCGCGAACTTGCTTGGTTTGCGCCGAAGGCGTCCCTCGAGGTGGTAGGCGCCGCCGTTGTCGGGTGATGATTCTCCTCATAATGCTGGAGAAGATCATGAAGGGTCGGCCACGTTCGATCGCAGCATACGAAGTCGCGCATAAAGCTGGCCTCTAGTCTCGGAATGTACGAAGACGAGTGGAACGACGAGGACTGGTTACCACTTATGTACGGTGACGTTCCCGTCATCATCATGCTGTTGCGGAAGCCGTTAGCTGGAAACCAACCATGGTCACGAGGCCTGCGCGAAGAATCCAGGCAATATTGCACCTGACACAACCCAGCAAGATCGGCGCTCGGGTTGGCCCGAGACAAAGCCGAACGAGGGTTTCAAAGAAGAGGATAGGACACGGGACTAACTCACTCTTCCCGGATAAAACTGCCGACCGATATTCCTCCCCAGCTCATACCCCCCATCAAGCTGCCCGCCATACTTTCACGCCGGGCGCGGTTCGCATGGTCGCGATTGGGGTTCGCCATGGAAATGGGCTTTGCGCCGGCGCTGACGAACGAGTCCTGGCGGCTGCGGCCAGTGGCCGAGCCGAAGTCTGGGCCGGTCGTCATGTCGACGTCGGGGTCGCCAGTACCAATATCGATTGCGGTAGTATCTGCGGTAGCGCAGTCGGTGGGCCAAGCGGCGATGGAAGGATCGTCGCTATTGCAATGGTGGCTGGCGATGGGGGGGGAAAAGGCAGACGCCTGTAATTTTGGGCTCGAATTTATCGATAAGTCAATCGGGCCGGGGGTGACTGGTTGTGGAAAGCCGACGTGGTGGATGACAGTCGGAGGCGTTGCCGGCTGAGGTGTCGGTGACGGCGAGTGCGGCGAGTAATCGAGGGGGGAAGGCGAATCAGTGCTTGTCGGCGATGTGTGGTTGCAGCCCGAGTTCTTATTTCGCAGGCCCCTGGTGGGCTCCGCTGGCTCGGGGCTCGCTTTCGAATTAAACCACTGGGTTAAGGACCGCATTGCGACGAGCCAATGTGGATAACCACCGCTGCCTAGCCTCGGATGGATGGGCCCGCCCAAGCGGCAGGATGGGGTTCCTCCTTGATGGCCACCCACGGAAGCCCGGTTCGCCGCTCACTACACAGTGACGCGACAAATCGAGATGGATCCTCGGAAGGTATGACAGAACCGCAGGACAGAGAGGGAGTTGGATATATCTGAGATTAAATAGAGCCGCTCAAATACCTACTTCGGAAGAAACGCTGTTGTTCCCCGCGCCTTGGTTCCGCTCAGGCACCTTGTCGTGGAGGAGTCGACCCAATGAAACCCAAGATGCTGGCTGTTTGTTTAGACCAAATGGAAGTGGAGCATGAGTCGCCCTGTTGAACGGCAAAGACACTGCGATGGTGGACAAATGTGCCGAAATGGCAGGCACGACCAGGCCCTGCTGTGAGTGCTCAGGCAGGGAAATGGCCACTGCAGTAATCCGCCCCAAAAGAAGCAAGAAGTACCTTTAAGGTGGGAGTCAAGTGCAGACAATGCCGCGAGGTGTTGATCATGTCAAAGATGTGGTTTGTCCCCAGAGAACCGTGGTGGCGAGGCTCCGGTGTGCTGTGATAAAGTCCCCAACGGGATGGGGAGTTGGGCTAACGCCAAAAGCTCAGACATCCGTCAGTCCAGAGGAGAGGGATATCGGAGGGTAAAAAGCGGTGCTTCAACACTGGTCGGCCTGCCTTGGTTGTTAAGGTAACTCACTTAAAGCCGCCAGGTACCCCTTGACCCTATGTCTTTTAAAGCAGGTAGCGTACCTTATCAGTGCTCTCTGGGACATTGAGCAGTCGATCCGATCTCTGATGACATGGACAAGTGGATGATCGCGACGTCGCATGCAGCTGCGAGATCGCATTATGTCTGAGACCTGCTGGTGCTTCGGCTCAAAGCTACCCGCTACCATGTGCGTAGTCATTCACATGCTACATATTGTTGGACTATCCCATCGTCACGCTGCGAAACTCAGAGTACTCGGTACTGGAGCTTGTCCATTCTGCTGGCTGTTGCTTGTGGATAACAAACGGAGATTCCCGGGTGGTCCAAAATAGTCACCAGAGTTCCAGAAGGTTTCCAGTTGTGGCCCGCACTGTCCCAGAGGACCGGGACCTAGCCTTGGCTTGCGTCGGGTGGGCCCGACTATCCCAACAGCACTTCAGTACTGTTCTGGATACGGACGTACACTACCTGTACCTTCTTACCATACACCATGTCACTGGCAAGCCTGGTACGGTAAACACCGTGTATGTCTATCACCAATATAACGCACTTTGTGTGAGCCAGGGAAGTAAGCCCCCTTGTTTTGATACCGTATGGGCAAAGCCCCTGGAATCATGGCGGACTCGAGTTCAATGACACAGTCCAGATATTGTACTCTGTACTGTACATTACATGGCAGAGGACAAAGTGGGAGGAAGCCTTTTCGTGTGATACGAGTACCAAGGTCCCGGAACGCCCACCACAGTCTAGCCGTACTGTACTCCATACCCTGCACGCGTACTGTGTAGGTCAAGGGCCATCACGAGGCGATACACAAGTAGAACCACTTGGTAAACATGATTTTCCACAAAGCTGACGCAGTTCCAAGACTGTCCGCGCCGGTGATTGCGCGGCGCGCGCCACTGCACCTGACTCGTATCCAAACACGGTTTCATGAGGTTTGATTAACTTGCCCAATGTGGTAAAGAAATGCACTGTGTATTGAACCGATGTACTCCGTATCGTGACTTTATCACCATCTACAAGACTATGGGACCTTTCGCATTGCGGCTCGGCACAGATGCCTATCAAAGTACAATTCACCCAGGTACTGAAGAGAACTATCGTTAGCAGCTGGCTCACTCCATTGCAATCGCCTGTGCACCTGCTCAAGCATCTCCTGAATCGATTGGGCCCCATCGTTCGATCAGTCGAGCACACGAATACAAGGTAGGACGGATTGGACTCGGACAGGAGTGAGCTTGGGAAGGCAATAGCAGTCCCGTCGACAGAACCACTACTTTTTGAGGTGCTGAAAGCCTGGTTCAGTCTTCCCACGCAGGTCGGCTGGCGCCTACCTCAACGTGGACATTGCAGTCACCGTCAGGTAAGTACAGAGAGTGCCGCGAACACCAGAGTCAGCCATCCTGAAGATCATCAGTAGAGTGCTCCACCTCTCCGCTTGCGCGGCCATGTTTCATCAATTTCTGAACGAGCTTGGCGTCTGATGAATGGTCCCGTCAGTGTCATCTTGTCAAAGAGGATCGGCAGGAGATGAGCTCCATGAATGGGCCGACTACCACGCGCAAACCCCTTGATTCGGCCTCCTCTTGAGTTCATGCCCCCAGCCAGTAGCCCCCTATCCAAGCTTGTCCCCCCATATTGTGGCTGGACGGCGCATTGTGTGGTCAGTTCACTGACATATCCGGTTGTTTCTCCCTCCTCTGACAGTCTAAAGCGAGTGCGCCACACTATTTGCACAAGAAGCTCTTTGCCTCATACAGCGCCATGTCAGGATCACGATGCCGGCCTCCTTACCCTGCAAGGCGATCTAGGGAGTGCTGATTCTGGTTCTTTTGTTCTCTGGTGTACAAGTACAATACTCACGGTAGACTCCGGAGTGGTAGACGCACGCAACTTGGAGCTAAGGTGGATGGCAGGGTACCGGACGGGTTGCTGGCAAAAGAGAGAAGAAATGATACTTGAGATCAGATAGAGGAGGAAAGGGCAGTGAACTATACTCATGAATGCCGAGGTTGAAGAGAACACATACGTGCGCTTATAAAACTGCTCATTGTACAAGCCTTTCCCTTTCTATATAGGCAAGTCAAACATCGATTAGTCTTGTACTTGTACTGACTGTCCAGTACTTTTGTCATCATCGGACACGAGGCTTTGGCCGGGACGTGCTTCTACCCGGAAGATGGGATCATGGATTTTACTGACTCCCGGCAGTACACCAGAATATTTAGGAGCTTCCTCAAACACAGCTGCCACGGTAGTCCAGGGCTATTTACGTGTACTACTCCAACATGGAGACATGTCGAGATGGGCATTGGCACTAAGCTCGACTCAGCAAGGCCGGCATTTGCGACGGGACCGACCCACCCCGTTCAGACAGGTACAAATCTGGATTCAAAATGCTAAGCCCTTGATGGTTTGGATTATTCATCGGTAGGGGAGCACTTCTTGCACTTTTACATTCCTCCCACAGCACGAATCCAGTAATAAGGGGCGGCCCGGATGAGAAACGGCAAAAGTAGGAACGGGGCACGGAAAGACCCGGGCAGACGCCGGGGCACAGGGTCCTCCCGGTGATTCTCCAATCATGCTCAGCTGTCTCGGTCAGCGCAAGAGCCCACCTCACGGCGAAGACTCGGAATTCGCCTCACTCGGGTCGCTGACATCACCATTTCCTCGGAACACAATTGTCGACAGATCCGTACTTACTGCCTTGCTCTTAAGTGGGTTGAACTGCTCCAAGCTGATCTAGATATTATTCTTCAGATTCAAACGTTCAAGCATCCTCCCGTGTGTGCGGCGTGCACCAGCTCACCATTCTCGAGGGTCGAATCTTCTTCAAACCGTGGGTGGGCCAAATTTGGTAAACATCGGCCCCACTTCTCCGTCATCGAAACCCCAGTTCTTCGCATCCACTTGTCCCGGGCCGGCGACTTGAACCATCATACGAGATTTTTTCCCGCAGCATCAGCGCATCAACGCCGCAAACGGACAAAAAGGCACACGAGGGCCGACCTTACGCCATCTCCTAGCAAAAGAGCACAGCACGATTACCAATTCCCTCCTCGCAGCAGCCGACGCCCCCGGCAGCGCCCACCAGCCAATATGAAGGTCATCAGCAAGGAAGAGGAGCGAGAACATTATGGCCAGGTCATCCGCGGTGGCCTCCTTGGAGGCGGCGTGGGTCTCGCGCTCGGCCTAGCCGGCGTCATCGGAGCCTCTAAACGGTACCCGGCCTTCCGCCAGCTTACACTTCCGTTCCGCTCGTTTCTGGTCACATCGAGCGGAACTTTTGGCGCCATCGTCATCGCCGAGCGGTACAGCGTCAACTATCAACGCTCGCACGATCAAATGAACAATTATCTCGAGGCGTCGCACCGCGCCCTGGAGGAGGCCAGGCGTGCCGATAAGACCGAGTGGCAGCGCCTCATGGATTGGGGCCGCCAGAACCGCTACAGCATCGTCTTTGCCAGCTGGCTTGCCTCCATGGGCGTCGCACTGGCCATGGTCGGCCGGAACAAGTACCTCAGCACCAGCCAGAAGCTCGTCCAGGCCCGTGTGTACGCTCAGGGCCTCACCCTCGCTGTACTGATCGCTACGGCTGCCTTTGAGACGGCCGATGCCAAGGCCGGCAAGGGCCGGTGGGAGACAATCATGGTCGTTGACCCCAACGATCCGACGCACCAGAAGATGATTGAGAAGAAGATTCACAAGGAGGAATACGAGGGCCAGGACCTCTGGAAGGGTACGTTGCCTATCAAAAACTGATATGACCGTCGACATGGAATACCGGCTAACCGGGCGTTAGAGATGGTTGCTGCCGAGGAGAAACGAATGCAAGAGCAGAAGAAGCAGCGCGAAGCGACGGCCAGGGCCGCTCACTAGAGCAGTTTCCTACGCTGGGATATCTTGGTTCGTTACACTTTTAAATATGAAGAATCTCTCCTTTTCTGCATTGGAAGGCGTTTTGGGTCAGGCCGCGGGTGAAGGACGTGGATACACCCCAGCGGTATCGGCGTTTGGCATTGTTCGTCACTTTGTTCTATATAAAATTACCGGGAAGAGTTTTATTGGGGCCAGTGCTCCTGGGGTTGAGTAATAGTAGAGGAGGGACAGGAGACTGGTGTCGTAGACGAGTGTTGTCAAAAACCCTGTGTGTAGATGGTCATGTCATCATAGAACGCTCGAAAGCAGCTATTTCCAAGAAACACTATGTTGGTGCCAACCCCTTCCGTTCTCCATTTTCCAGGTCCCAACCGCGACGCCGTATTTCGCTCATACCAATGCTTGCGTGCCTCACTGTCCATCCTCCCAGATCCTGGGTCTCCTCGATATTGCGTCTAAACAACCAGAACACCACCTGCCAGCCGAAAACGGGAGACGATCTTAGACCTCTATCTTGAAATGGCTGATCTGCGAATAGTAGGCGTGTACGGCCAACTCTAGGGACCACACATCGCCAAACACTTCGCTCCCGTCAAAGCCGCCAACCATCAACAACCGGCTGTCATGCAGGACGGTGCCGTGATAGCCCCTGCCGCTCGGGGGCAGCCCATACACCTTCCGCCTATCCCAGGTCATGGTGACCAGGTTCAACAGCAGCACGTCGTTGGAGTACTCGTTCCCATCATGGCCTCCTATCACAAACAGATACGAGCCGACAATGGTAGCCGTGTGCGACAGCCGCCGGTACGTGATGGGTATGTGGACGGATTTCCAGACGTGCGTCTCGACATTGTAGACCCACACGTCGTTGAAGCACTCGACGCCGTCCGAGCCGCCATAGATGATCAGCTTGCTGCCAACCATATTCGCTGTGTGGTAGCCCCGCGCCTTGGGGCGGGTGTCCTTGCCGGCGGCCGGCGGCCTCCCGTCCGGCGAGGACGCCCCGGATATGAGTTTCCACGACATCTTGTTGATGTCGCTGACATCCAGCCGCCAGATGTCGTTGAGCGCCTGTGCCCCGTCTCCGCCGCCAAACACGTAGATGCCGTTCTTGTACAGACAGGCCGTGTGCGCGCGGCGCTTGGACGGCGCCTTGTCGCCCAGGATCCGCGGCTTGGACCAACGGAAGCTGACCGTGTCCAGCACGTACACGTCGTTGTAGTACGCCGGCCCGTCGCCGCCGCCAAAAATGACAAGCTTCTTGCCCACGGCCGTGCACGTCATGGCGCGCAGCGGCATGGGCACCTCGCCGACGACGTGCGGCGTCGACCAGTAAAAGGCGTCGGCGTCCAACACGTATAGCTCGTTGAAGCACGCCCGCGCGTCGCACCCACCAAACACGTACAGGTTGGACCCGACCAGCGTCACCGTGTGCGCCCGCCGCGCCGCGTGCGTAACCCCGGACACGGCCACCCGGCTCCAGTACATGCCCGACGACGGCGCCGGGGGCACGTCTGGCGCCGTCTTGGGATCTGCTAGTGGCGGGAAGAGAGTGTGCGCCGGCTCTGCTGCTGGACCCTTTGCCGGCGCCGCACGACTTGATGTGCCCGCTCGGGTTACGGCGCCGGGTATCGACCCCGCAGCGGGCCGACCTGCTATCGCCGACGTGGCACGGATAACTGTCGGTCGCCGCGAACTTTCCTTACTGCTTCCGGCTGATGAGTCCTGCTGCTCACCATTCTCAGCAATGCTGGGTTGTCGAGTCGAGGTAGGCGTTGGTGTCTTTGTCGAGGCCACAGAGAAGGAGGCGGCCGGGGTGGAGAGCGCCGACGTGATGCCGGATGAGGAGGACGGGGTGATTGCGGCCGCCGAGGATTGTGAGCGCTGGCGTATGGCAAGGTCGGCGGGCTTGTTGTTGCGGCGGTCCTGGCTCCTCGAAGAGAGGTGGCCCGGGGTATGTGAGCGTGGTATCAAGGGGGTTCGCTCCTGTGCTTCGGCTGCGTCATAGTACTCGGAGGGCGGCGGGCGTGGGTCGGTCGGCGACACCTGGGCTATCTTTTGCGAGCGCACCACCTTGATGTTCTGCGGTGACTGTGGCGGTCTCTCACGCCCCGCTGCTCTGGCCTGGTCAGCCATGATGAGGTCGAACAATCATGTCCTCAAGACCGAGAGTAAGGGGCGGCTTGTCGAGAGTCGGAGGCCCGGAAGTGCAATTGCCGTTGTGGTTCGTTGATACGATGGAATGTCGTTGACGTATTACAGAAGCGGTGGCCGATAGAGGTGTTTAAAAGTATTACACTCCAAGGTGTTCGTCAATACCTTACTCTGAGCTGTGTGATGTTGGGTAGAAGGTCAGCTCAAACAAGTTCCATTACGGCGCTGTAGCTTTCGGATCTGACGAAGCGAGACCCCTGTAATGAAACCTCCTTCTGTTAGTGCCCAGACCGGCGGACTTGCTGCCGGCTCACCCCGGTTTCAATGCGAATGCCCTGGGACCCCACACTTGCTTTGCAGGGCCATCTTCCAGTGATGGAAAGTCTCACTCACTGGAGCCTCCGTGATCCTGCCGGCTGTTTTCGTCTATTGTCCTTATTGTACACCGCGCTCAGCTTTACTGACGTCGGGTCTACGCAGCAGAATGCCACTTGTACTGATTCAAAGGACTACAGCACCCATAGAGAGAAAAGCACCTCGATCAACACTTGGACCTTAAATGCTGAGTCTCGTCGCATCCCACACTGTGTCTCAATAGGCTAGCGCTAGACCCCACTGTGGGGCAATGCTTCACTGAACGCTGAACAGCAAATTCGATATCAAGAAAATGCACGGACGGATTGATGATTTGCACCTGGCCAATTTGATCGGGCGACTTGAGCACGGCTTCATCCGCCATCCAGATCTCGAAACCAAACAAAAAGCCATGATGGGGTCGGCAGAGACAGTGAAGCGACCACAAGAGGAAGCCAATGCCGCCGCGATTGCAAATGTCAACGGCACGAACGGTGAACGGGCGCTGAAGAGAATGAGACTCGAAGACTCATCATCAGCTGCCCAGGATGCAGCCGAAACCACAGCAACACCGAGGCCCAGGGTCAAGGGAGTTGCTCCAATCAAAAGAGAGTAAGATACCGCCTTGCTTCTGAGCCTCACCATCACTGACACACCAACCAGATACCTCATCTTAGCACCGAGCCAAGCAGAGAAGGTCGCCGAAACCATCGACGATGCTGCTGCCGAAGGGCGGATTGCTTCCGAACCCCAGGAAGCACAGCAAGCCGGGAAGAACGGAAAGCGGAAGAAGCAGAAGGGCCAGAACAAGGAAAGAGAATTTGGCTCCTTCTCGGATGCCAAGCGACTCTGTAACTCGGTCGCTTGGACTCCCGAGTTCTCTCCTAGGCCCTGCAAGCATGGCGACCGCTGCAATGCGCTGCACGATATCCGCAAGTACCTGAAAGAAGGCAGACGGTCCGATCTCACTACTTTTGGAGGCAAATGCCCAGTCTGGGAGAAGTACGGCCGATGCCCGTCGGGCTGGCGCTGTCTGTTCATTCAGAGTCATATGGACGAAGCCGAACGCGAGGATGGCCGGTCAGAGCTCGTCCTGGTGGGTAACGCTCGCAAGCAGTCCGAAGACGGGGAGGAGGAGGCGGGCGAAGTCTGGCCTGGCGTGGTTAACATGGTGTCTGCTGCTACCAAGATCGACCTGTCCAGGAAAAGGATTAAGCTGGAAAAGTCGGATCAATACTTGGACTGGCTGGCCAAGGATACCGAGCGCTACCGGGACCACTACCACAAGCACAAGAACGAGGCGGACGAGTCAAAGGATTACAGGGCGCAGTACGTCGAGCCTCCCTTCAAGCCATCCGAGAAACGGAGGGTCTATTTCGGTCGAGAGACACCCGTTCTTGCGCCCCTTACGACACAGGGCAACCTCCCCTTCCGTCGCCTCTGCGTCGAGCTTGGTGCCCAGCTCACATACTCGGAGATGGCTCTGGGCCTGCCCTTGTTGCAGGGCCAAAAAGCGGACTGGACGCTGATGAGAGCGCACGAGACCGAGATTGGTCCCCCTCGGTTCGACCCTAGCGGGCCTGTTGTTCAAGGTTACGATAACCCGAAAGACCTCAAGTTCGGCGCCCAGATCGCAGCCAATGTTCCATGGGTCGCCATCAAAGCCACTGAGGCCCTGTCTCGGTTTATTCCCCATCTCCGTCTGGTCGATTTGAACTGCGGCTGCCCTGTCGACATGGTGTACAAGTCTGGAGCCGGCTCGGCCCTGCTGGACGCCCCCTCGAAGTTGGAGCGGATGATACGAGGCATGAACGCTGTATCTGGGGAAGTTCCAGTTACTGCAAAGATAAGAATGGGCGTCAGAGACGATAAGCTTACGGCCCAGAAGCTCGTCGAGCGGTTGGCGTTGGGGAGCGAAGACATGCGCAGCATAGTCGGCGCGCCTGGGTGTGCGGCGGTCACCTTGCACGGTCGCACGAGGCAGCAGCGGTACACCAAAGCTGCCGATTGGGGTTACATCGCCGAGTGTGCGGCTTTAATCAAGCAGTACAAGGAAAAGACTGACGAGCTGGCCGACACGATCCGGGAGGCGGAAGAGAACACGATGCCCAATGGAGGAAAGATGTACTTCTTGGGCAACGGCGACTGTTACTCGCACGTTGACTATTTTGACCACGTCGACAACGCCAAGGTGGACAGCGTCATGATCGGGCGTGGAGCCATTGTCAAGCCGTGGATCTTTGAGGAGATCGAGAAAGGCCAGTACCTGGACAAGTCCGCTTCGGAGCGGCTGACGTACATCGAGAAATTTGTCCGCTATGGCATGGAGGCCTGGGGCTCGGACGAGCTCGGTCTCAATTACACGCGGCGGTTCCTTCTCGAGTTCCTCAGCTTCTTCCACCGATACGTGCCCATTGGACTGTTGGAGCATCTTCCGCCAAGCCTCAACGACAGACCGCCTGCCTACCGCGGCCGGGACGATCTTGAGACGCTGCTTGCGAGTAAGAATTACAAGGACTGGATCAAGATCAGGTAAGCTCTTTGGTCTGCTTTGAAATGTTCAGAGCTCCGCTAATGTGGTATAGTGAAATGTTTCTGGGACCAGCTCCGCCTGGGTTCAAGTTCCAGCCGAAGCACAAGTCAAACAGCTATGAGATTGAGGCAGAGGGTTGAAGAGGTTGGGGAGAGATGTGGCACTACGGGAAGTTCGCCAGCCATCCCCAGGAGGTCGAGGAACTGACGAGCATAATTCGCCCGCCTAGGTCCTACGATTGCCGACAAGTGTCATGGACATGACCGACGGCAAGTCTGCAATGGCATAAAGCAGGCGAGGACACAGAGAGTGGTTTGGATCGCCTCGAGGGCTGCATGCCGTCGACAACGTGGACAGCGACATGGAGGTGCGTTTGCAGTTTTGTACGACACTTGCAAAGAGCCAGCTTATTCATGGTTAGAACACTTAGCCGAATGCCGCTTAACATACCCCTATGAGACAGCCGGGCAGTGAGGTCAAACTGCTCTCCTTAGAAATGTGCGTCGAGGGGTGAAGGAGATGACAGTAAGCATGCACCTCGCTTCACGTTCCACAACACCCGCAAATCAGCAGATGTCAGACATGGTGATCTTGAAGTGCAAATAGCGGACTCTAAGACGGGCTGCCCGTTTCACGATTGGCTTGATGGGAGTCTGAATTACAAGACGACGGCGGAATATCTTACAGGCGAATGTCCCTGATGAGGAGGATGAAGCAGGCCAGACTGGACGGCTCGACCGTTGATGTGCCTACAGAGAATTTACTAGCGGTGCAGGGGTTGTCACTGTCCAGCAGATGTCTAACAGTTCCCCGTGAGCGACGGCTGGCAGCTGTTAGGGAGGCTAGTTAAGAGGCCGATCTATGTATAAAAAAATATGTCGCATCTACAGCAAAGACGTTTGCCACGGCAACGGCAACCTTGTCGGTTACACCGTCATTCTTGCTAGCTGCGGCTGCCGCGCCCGGGAAGAAAGGTGTCGCCCGGACGGGAAGGAGCCGCCCTCATGCAAGTGTGGAAACGATGGCCGAGTCTCCAGCCAAGGGCGGGAATGTGAGTGAGTGAAGCAAGGACAAATTTTGGCAGATAAGTCTTCGCGTTCTGCCGCTCACGTTTCTTGGGCCTTCGATTCGACCGGCGGCTGGCACCGACCGGACCAAAACACCAGTCGCACACATAACTCAAGTGCGGTGTTAACTGTGGTGGGGAGTCATTGACCATGCTATCCAAGTTCAAACATCGGTGACCGTCTCTCGCTGTCCGTTCCGCACTTGATCTTTTTCTTAAAACTTAGCATTTTCTCGCATTCTGTGTGCGCTTACTATGGTACAGGTCATTCAGCAGAGACAACAGTTATCCTTGTACAGCACTAGAGTTGCGACCATGTCGCCAATCTCTCTGATGAGGACTTCTGACCTTGCGTCCGCATCGGGGTCTCCTGCTGTGCTGAGCAGCAGTATGCAAGGATCTGCCTCGGGAGTGTAACATGGAGGCGGTAGTGTCACGATCACTCACTCAAGCCGATGGGGGGTTCTGGATAAAGAAGGTGTCTCGAGTCTCATCCGCGTTGCAGCCAATGGCGAATAGTTGATGCTGTCGAGCATGTTGTACAAGTACAGCATACTATCTGCGCGGAGCTCACCATGGGACTTCCATCTCTGCATTTCCGCCATACACGCCACGCTGGAGTTCGCGGAGGCCATCCGAGGGCCTCTATACCCTGAAACACAAAGGAGGGTTGAGTTTCCTATATTCTGACTCCTACGCTCTGGCTTCCATGGAGTTGCCCAAGTCAGCAGAACCGAGTCAGGGCAGTCTAATCTCGAACATTGGGACTTTGTCAAGCAAGTCCGTCTATCTCGCCCACTTCTACCTCGGGGCTTCATCTTTCCCGGCCACCACAATAGATCGTCGATATCATGGGCGCGGTCAAAAGAGAGACAGATATCGAGAGTCCTTCCTCAACCAACACATGGGACACAGCCGAAGGGAAGATCGTCGGCGGCATCCCAGTCCGCGACATCGGCGGCAGTGACACTCTCTGCGCCAGGATTCAGAGGTTCGCAGGAAAGTATGGCGTGGAACAGAGGGGGATCGAGCGGGTGTCCGACGATGAGAAAGAGGACGCGAGCGTTTTTGGACTTGGCGCCGTGGTAAGGGGCCGAGACATACGCCTGGAAATATGCTCTTCGTCCCGCCAGGTTGCTAACCCGTTCTTCACAGTGGCTCTCGTTCAACATGTCAGTGACGGCCTTCACCATGGGCGCCATTGCCGTTCCCGTGTTCGGCCTCGGATTTGTCGACAGCGCGCTCATCATCATCCTGATCAACTTCGTCGGAGCTCTGCCCGTCGCCCTGTTTTGCTGTTTTGGAGCCAAGCTTGGGCTTCGCCAGATGGTTCTTTCGCGCCTTTTCTTTGGCTACTATATGTCCAAGCTGCGTACGTCCTCCGCTGCTGTCTCTCGTTGTCCAAGTTGCAAAGAGGGCGGCTGTTGTCTGACTCGAAACCAGTCGCCGTCATCCAGATGGTTATTTGCATTAGCTGGACGTCCATCAGCGCCGTCATGGGAGCTCAGCTCTTCCACGCTGTTAACCCCAGCATGCCAGGATGGGCCGGCATTCTGCTCACCATCCTACTGTCGTTCCTTCTTGGCCTGTTTGGCTACAAAGTGATCCATGCTTACGAACGCTGGGCCTGGCTTCCCTGCATGGTCATCTTGGTCATAGTCATGGGCGTCTTCGCGAGCTCGGGCCGTTTCAACAGCCTGCTTCCCCTATCAACGGGGCCGCCCGAGGTGTCATCTGTCCTGTCGTATTGCTCGGGAATTTGGGGGTACATGGCGGGTTGGGCCAGCTTTGCCGCTGACTACAGTGTCTATCAGCGCTCCAGCCGATCGGTGGCCCCCATTTTCCTGTGGTCGTTCGCCGGTCTTTACGCTCCCACCGTATTTGGCGAGCTTCTCGGCGCCGCGATCGCCACGGCTACCGTGCACGAGAAGGACTACCTCACCGCCTACTCGGACTCTGGCATCGGCGGTCTCCTCGCTGCGGTCCTCAGGCCTGTCCTGGGGCGATTCGGCGACTTTTGCATCGTTGTCCTCGCGCTGTCCATCGTTGCAGGTACCTGCGCCAGCATCTACTCGATTTCCTTCTCGCTGCAAGCACTCGGCCAAGCCACGCACAGGATACCGAGATTTTTGTGGACTGTGGTCGGGGTAGGCGTGTGTGCAGCCATCGCGATTCCTGCGTACGACAGCTTTGCCACCTGGCTCTCGAACATCGCGGTCGTCCTTGGCTACTTCACATCAATATACGTCGGTGTCCTGCTTCCGGAGCACTTCGTCTTCAGGCGCAGCTTCAGCGCCTACCAAGCCGATTACTTTGACAAACCCAAAGCGCTTGCTCCTGGATATGCAGCTTCGCTGGCCTTTGCGATTGGCATCGTCGGGGTCGCCTTAGGCATGGCGCAGGCCTGGTACACGGGACCCATAAGCAGGCTGTGTGGTGATGATGGAGGTGACATTGGGTTTCTGTTGGGACTTGGCTTCAGTCTCGTTTCCTATGTCACATTGAGGCCGTTTGAGAGGAGATATTTTGGGCGTTGAAGGTATCTCATCAACATCTGCCCCTCTTTGTGGCCAGTATTCTTCTGTCTGTCGAATACTGCCAACGATGAGGATAAAGTGTAGTGGAATAAGGCGTGTAGCTTCGGCGACATGGTGGAGTAGTTTTGCTGATACGTCAAAGAGGGGTCACAGGTAGCCAGCCAGTAGTACACACACGCACATGCCTGGTCTTTGAGGCCCTTCCACTCTCCTTGACGAATCTCCGACTTCAATAACAACTATCTCAAGGTACCAAAGATTTGCACAAGCACAGCACACCAGGTTCTGGAGACTGTCTCCGGAGCGGGCTGTTGTCGTCATCGAGTTCCAGCCACCTGGACAAGATCTCGACCAGCTGTTGGCGTCTGTCAGCCATGGCCCTTCCCTCTGTTTAAGTGCGACGTTCACCACAATGAGGGAAGTCCACAACCACAAACATCCAGGTCTGGACCTCTCAAAACGAACTCCAATAACTCTCAAGAAAAGCGCACCGACTCTCAGAGCCAAACAACCATGGCGACCTCCGAAAACCCGCGGTATGTCTTTTTTTGTTTGTCGCTGTTGCTACCGGCACTTGTACTCTAGCCTTATCCCAGCTGTTAGCCCGCTGGGGCTCAGCAACGTTGTATTTCAACGACTGGCAAGACCTGATGCTGACATCCCATCCTATTCAGTGTCTTTTTCGACATCACCCTCGGGGGTACCAATTCATTCTTTCTCCCACTGTTATCAGTGAGATAGCTGCTCACCACCCTCTCTAGGCGAGCCTCTCGGGCGCATCACCTTTGAGCTCTTCGCGGACGTGGTCCCCAAAACTGCAGAGAACTTCCGCCAGTTCTGTACGGGCGAGTCCGGCTTGAAGGACAAATTCGGTAATCCCAAGGGCTACAAGGGCTCCAAGTTCCACCGCATCGTAAGCATACCCGGCCGACTTGCCTACTGCTGGTCCTCTTTGAAGGACTGGAGGAATGGAACAGCGCAGTGAAACATCGGGTTGTTTAGTTTGCTAACATCTCACGACCCGACGTCAGATTCCCAACTTCATGTGCCAAGGTGGCGACTTTGAGAAAGGCGACGGCACCGGGTCGATCTGCATCTGGGGCACCAAAAGCTTCGAGGATGAGAACTTCAAGCTGAAGCACGACCAGCCCGGCCTGCTGTCCATGGCTGTACGTCGATATATCTCTTTCTAGTCGGATTTGAAACGAGGCAAGAGGCTGACTCGAGAACTGCGTGAACAGAATGCGGGCCCCAACACCAACGGCTCGCAGTTCTTCATCACGACTGTGCCGACCCCGTTCCTGGACGGCAAGCACGTCGTCTTCGGCAAGGTGCTTGACGGCATAGACGTTGTCAGGAAGATGGAGCACACCAAGACGGGCCGTCGGGGCAGGGATGTGCCCGATCTCGACGTCGTCATTTCCCAGTGCGGTGAGCTTTAGACTGGCTCCGGTAGTACGGTCCCAATATCTCGACGAGCTATGAGTGTGGCATGTCGCATCTGAATGGGAACAGTTATGCGTCGCTGACCATCTTATGCCAGTGGTATAACGTATTGATGACTTTAACTGATCTCCACTGCCCCCAGATGCCTGAACTTGCTATTCGTCTTTACCTTTCATGCATGAGTTCTGAACTGACTTTGTCCAGCGATTATCCCGATCTAGATAAGCACGAATTGTTCCCGAAAGTCTCGGGGGACTGCAGTCCTAACAGCCTACCCCATCTTTCGTCATTTAGGAAGCACGTCCCGTCGGACTCGCTCAACAGCCCAGAGCCAGTCCTTACATACTCCTCGTTTGGTGCAGACGTTTCCTCTGCCGGCTGCACAAAGCACCGTACGTTTTCGACCACTTCAGCAAAAGGCAAGTAATACGTTGGTCGTGAGAGATCTGTTCCGTACCGGTGATCGAGGTCACAGCCAAGGGAGGAGGTCTTGGACGCCTCTTCCATCTGACGCATGGAACAGGAAGCCTCTGAGCGCAAGGCGACCTCCGGTCACCTGGCCGTACACGTCTTCTGCTCTTTTAGGAAGCACGTGTATTGACTCAACCTCGACCAGCGTTGTGATGACCTTGAGGATTAAGGCTGGGTGAACGCGTCCATCGCAGGATGCCCAAGACCAGGAATGTGCTGCGCAAAGAATGAGTGCTATCTCATATGCTGGGGCTTCCAACAATTGATCGTACCTCGATACGCCATGGGTATGGGCGGCCGGCGGTCATTGTTAGGCACGTCGCTCCGCCAGAGCAGTGAGCGTTGAAGGTCACGGCTGACCCAGATGCCGGAGTAGTACTCCTCGGTGACCGTGCGCGCAAATGACTTTGCTAATCCAGCGAGCACAACGTGGTTGTCGTCCGTTTAGCTCATGTCGCAACTGCTATAACTCCTGACCAGCGACCACCATCTGCCTAGGCTGTCATCCTTGCTTCGGGATTGGGAGAACAACTGTCGTTGTGTGTCTTGCAGTTCAGGGAAGGCATAAGGAGACAGTGCCGTGCGTTGTACTAGGAAGTTCTCTGTGAGCAGTGTGCTGGGACACTCGAAAACGGGGAACTTTGACATATGCATAATGCGGGTGCTAAGGAACTGTTCTTGCACAACCCAGGCACGGCTGTACAGAGGTGCCTTGGACCAAGTGAGTCTGATCCAGTCCGGAATCAATGTTGTCTCCACGGTACAACCCAAGTGTTACTTTCCAAAGGCAAATTGCTTCTCCGACCCGCGCGTTCCGACTGGCGAAGATGCTCTGTGTTGCGTCCCTGCTGTCGCATGCTGCAGCAATATTGCAGACACCGTGCCGATAGACATCATCCCCCACGACTGCCTCCCGCGCCCAGTCGAGTGGGCAGTCTTGGATAATGCTGGGACCATGATGAGCTAAACACTTGCGTATGGGATCCGGTCGTATGTATGTACTGTACGTACCGTCGATCCACAGATAATGGAGCTTCAGCCTTCGAGCGAGGAATACGGCATCCCTGAAACACAGTGGCAAGTCACTCAGCGGGATCCCCTGCTTCATGGATCGAATACTGAGGGGAGGTACCTTCAGCAGTCAGCACTGCGGGGAGCCTGCCATCAACTTGATGTAGTGTAACCTTGATTAGGTAGGCGCCTTAGCTAAGGGGATCAAGACCGCTCAACGTGGCAGAGTGAAACCAGCCACGCCACGAGGCACATAAGATTCAAATGCTAGCTCCGTCATAGGTAAATTGAAACACTACCTCCAAGTAACCGAAAAGAGGATGAAGGAGAGGGTGTTGAAACGATAGAGAGAGGAAAAGAAAAGGGGTATCTCCATGTTGCCATGCAAGGCCGCGTCGCCGCCCAGAAGAACACATGCGATGCAACCAGCCCGAGTCTAAATCCCAAACGCCCCATCCATGCGCCGTGCATGCATCAACACATGATCAGAAATCGTGTCAACATCATATACTACGCACATTTAGTCAGAATCGAGCGAATAACATGTGTTATAGAAAAAAGAGCCACTTACCTACTTGTGCCACTTGAACCAGCCTTGCCAAGTTACATGCTCTGCTCACCAGTGAGCCGGCCGCCTGGCGCGAACCATCTTTGCCTTGGGCGCAGGCGTCTTGGCCGCAGCAGCCGCGCCGCCGCTCGATTGCCGAGTGATGGTGACGGTGGCCATGCCTTCGGGAACCGTCGACGTCTCGGTGACCACCACGTCGCCGTCCTGAGCATCCTCGCCGCTGTTGTTTCCACCCGAAGGTGGCGGCGTGACCGCGGGAGGCGCTGCATTGGGCCCGTTCTGGGCTTCAAGGATCGAAGACGGAAGCGGAAACTGCTTGGGCTGCTGGCCAATCAGGACGCCAAAGGGGATGTTCTTTGGGTCGGCGGTGGCGCTGGGGACGTCGAAACCTGCTTGAGGGACCTTGACCAAGAAGGGCTCGGCCATTTGTGTCGCGATACCCCGGGCCGTGGCGGCTTGGTTGGCGTTAAACTGGGCATTGGCCTTGCTCTTCTGGCTCTCGCATGTCGGCCCCTTGACGTCGCCGAGGCTCGCGTCGCAGGGTTCCACGATCTTGAAGTCGAGGACGCCCGTGTAGAGTTCGGGCGTGGTCACGAACGTATCGCCTGAGGTGGCGTTGTAACTAGCCGGAGGTACCGCGACTCCCTGGACATTCATGGTGGGCCAGTCCCACACCCAGATGACCGTCAGGGTCTTGCCGACTGGGGCATCGTTGGGGATCTGGAGATCGGCCTGGCAGAGTACCGCCTCCGTCTTTGTGAACTGCTTGCGGAAGCCCACGATACCTTCGATGTCGCCGGTATTCGGGATGCTCTCATGGCATTGGCCGTCGTCATAGTTCCTCGTCGCGAGGAGCTTTCCCTTTCCATCTCCACCTTTACCATCAGAGGTCCATGTCAAATGGACGTCCATGAGCTTCATGTTGGTGAGGTCGGTCTCTGTGGTTCCGTAGAGATATATGGTGCCACGGTTGACTGGCTTGGTCGGGTTCGTCTGGTCGGCGCGGCTGACGTGGCCGTTCTCACGGTGTTTGATGGCGACAAAGTCGCCGGGGGCGACCGACAGCATCGGGAACTGAGCAGGGTAGCTGGCATCGGTCAACTTCTGTTGGGAGTCTCTCACGAGCTTGAGCTCTGGCGTGATTTGCTTGGAGCCGCCGTTTGGCGGGATGAGGAATCCGGCCGAGTCGTTTGGATCATGGGCTCTGTCGTAGCCCGGCTTTCCGACCATGGCGCCGTTTGGTGCCAGGCGGACGGCTTCCTCGGGCCATGAGTGTGCTTTCGCCGTCCCGGAGAGGGCAGCCAGGAGCCACACGGCCACAAGACCGTGGGTACAGTCCACTAAGGTCTTCATCATAGTCTGGTGTAGTATTTCGGGGTCGTGTCGTTGATAGAGTAAATAAACGTTTCGGAATGTTCCCAGAGAATTGGGGGGGAGGGGGGGTTTGATTGTTTGTCGTTGGGTTTGACAACCGGGATGTGGTTTAAATCTCGCAGAAAATACGTCGACTGGTTATTCGGAAAGTGAAAACAGATCACTGAACGGCCGGCGTTGCTATTGTTGGTGCCAGCGTAAACAATATCAGTCAAGACACCGTGTGCTGAACAGCCGTAGAGGACAGATATTGTTGGGTATTGTGCTATTGTGAGGGTGATCGTGAATAGCAGTCGGAGGACAAAGCGGCGGACAAGGGCGTTCTTTGTTGGCAGTGAGCCGCGGACTCGAGAAACGGCAGCTTCGCGTCGCCACAGGCCAAGTCCTAGCAGAGACGTTCTCGATTGTGGTGTCCCTGATGCTCTCGGAGATGTCGTATTGGAACTGGGGATGTTGGGCAAGGCGGAAACGCGAAGGGGCAGTGAAGACTTGGATAACTCAACGCCAAGTAACGAGAAGCAATAACGCCACAGGATGGCTAGGAGCAACAGTAAATACTCAGTCAAAGCGTGTCTCGCAAAAACCGAGAGAACAAAAGAAGTCGGCCGCGTGGTCGTGGCATCGAGCCTGAAACCTCGTGGACAGTCCGGGCCAGAAACTCAATCTTCCAGAAACCCGGGTCCGCAACACCGGAGAAGAGGAAGTCGGGCCATCTCATGGGAAAAGCCGCGAGATGTGGGAGATACAGGATCGGTCTCGCGCCGGTCGTGGCCGGGGTTTGGGGAGGGCCTGTGGGACGGTCTGGACATCGGGGGACACTGGCCGTTGCTCCATGGCGGGCAGCTTGAGGTTGCCAGCCTGTGCTTGGCTGACCTCAGCGTTGTAACGGGATGCAGCAGGCGCTTTCCAATGCTTTGCCAATGCCAATGGCCTAGGCAGACACGTTTTCTGCCCGGGATGCTTCATAGACGAAGCAGAACCGTTCAAGTCGAGAAAGAGCTTCATTTTGAGATTTGCTAAGCAGCAGGTAGCTCCACTGCGCTAGCTTGGCGCGCAGTGACCTTCCCCAGATCTGTGCCACTTTTTCAGGGCTGCGAGTGGAGCACGATTTACCCGCGTGCTGCGTATGGACCTGCCAAGCTTCAGTGCCGATGCGCCTCATCCACTCGTGTCGTTTCCTCGTCGCAAAGCTCAGATTCGCGGCCATCCCTGGCGGCCCAGAGCGGGCCCACACGGTTGCATCGCCGGGACCCAAGCTGCGGGTGATTCGCTGCAAATGCACCCACATGCGACCCGAGGAGAAACGAGCCAGGGTCTCAGGGCCAAGGCAAGGGTAGCCGCATCCGGAATCTGATCCAAGTACCGGGGAGCGCGCTTAGAGATTGCCGCCTGCCGCCCTCGTCTCTGCGAACCGAGATTTCGTTTTGAAAATTGGGCGTGCTGAGCCTTTGTAAATTGCGCAACAAAGAATCCAAAAGAGATCAATTACCTGTCTTGAGCCGAATTGCCAAAGAAATGAGACCTTCGAGCATCCTGAAGGGGGAGCGGTTGACCACATAACGATTCGGACAAAAGCCGAGAGTTGAGACGAACATTTTGAGCCCTGCCGTGATTGACACAGGAATCTGTCCTTTATCAGTCATCCTGCCATGGACGGCATCAGCCATCTTCTTCCCCAACGGAGTAGTATTTGCTGAAAGTTCTCCCTAATTCCATGACTAATGTGTTTGCCCAAAGTCCAAAACGAAAGCAAGTTACGGTTTGAAGCAAGGCCATCGAGCTTATCGACTGTAACCTTGGGTGCTCTTTTGGGGTTGATGAGGAAGGGATGCGTTGTGCTTCATCAACGAAATCGGTGGTTGTGGTCAGAAAATCCCTGGATGGAAAGAGAATCAAATCAGATATGGCCGGCGAAGGGGGTGTTTATACCTCGAGAAATTGGTCAACTGATGCTGCGGAGTTAGGAAGAGGTCCACAACCGCACCTTCCTTTTTCACCGGCAACCACGGCCGATCTGGAGGAGTCAACCACTTCCCTCGGTCATCATTCTTTTGTGTGGCCGAATAAGGAAGACATCCAGGAAAGATCACCCAGTCGTACCTGGCTAACGGAGGAAGCAGCGTCCGATAATACACTTCACATCTGAGTATTGGGATAGGCATGAATTTCCCTTGGAGATTCAAAGCAACCCTTGGGAAGTCTTCCCTCGGGCACTCCCGAAGAGGATCATCCAGGGTTGTTGATCTACTTTGACAGCTGCTTCCTGACCCGCCACAAAGCTCGGTGGCTATGGGACAGAGAGGACCAAGCGAGACCATCATGTTCCTCCACTGATAGTAGCCAACAGACTTGTTTCTTGCCAATGTTCAACCATTTTACTTTTACGGTTGCTGGGTCTGGCCGTGTCTTCGCACGCCTGTCTGGGGCCCTCAGCCTCAAGCTGGATACCGTATGCAACATGAGACTCCTGGGAAGACTCGAACACCTGTGATGCAACATGTGATGAATCATTGTTGCTAGCTCTTATGTATTTTATGTTCGATGTGACATGCCGTCCTCCCCATTATGAATCCCAGCGATGACGATCAAAAAGCCGAGACAGACACACATGAAACGCTGAGAGCCTGTCGTTCATTTCATGTTATAATACCGCATTTATCACCCAACCGCTCAATGCGCCCAGATATTGGTAGTCCCAGACAATGCAATGGAAGAACCCATCCAATAATCCCTATTGCCCACTCAACCCCGCGACCTCTGACGACGGTACTCGCCTTCGTTCTCAAAGTCAACTGACCGATCCCGCTTAAGACCCTTCGACGTTCCCGGAAAAGCGTCCCCTGCAACGTCAACCGGCGAATCCGTGAAATGGTTCCGATTCTCTGGGTGCGTCTCGACGGCTGACGGGGGCCAAGAATGCGAATCCTCCTCCGTCTTTGGCGGATCGGGTATCTCTTCCCAGTCCTGCGAGAGGTCCGATGCACTCGCAGTTGACGGTGCCTGGATGTGCACCGAATCCTGACTGGCTTCTCGCGTCGGTGCGATGCTGTTGTGGTTGTCGTGGCTCCCGGCCCATGTGGTCGTCCTTTCGTCCGGCGTGTTTGCCGGAGATGCCGGGGTCCAGGGCTCCTGCTCATCGATGCCGGCGGTTGGAGGTTTCCAGGGCTGCCGCTCCTGCCGGGCTAGCGTCTGGTGGCGGCTGCGGTGTTGCTCGCTGCCCCTCCGCGTCGACGCGGTATGTAATTGTGACCCGGTCCAGTTAACGAGCCCGTTGTGCCCATGAGCTCCGCTCGCGACAGAGTATCCCGACGACCATGAGGCAGTAGGATCTATGCCGCCGGCGACACCATGGTCATCCCATCCGTGAATGCCGTCCTGAGCTGCACCGTATGCGGTTCCTACGTGAGCCAAAAAAGGGTCCGTGACGGCCGAGAGCGAGCCATCAAAGCTATGTGAGCTGGTGTCCAGGCCGGCCGTCGTCACCGCCGCATGTGTCGTCATGTACGTCGCCAAGATATCCGGGCTTGTTGAGGCAGAGTCGAATGTCTGGTCAAACGAGCTTGCGAGCGAAGCGCTCGGGGTTGGAGTTGCAAGGCCGGCGTGGCTATTGAAGCTGTCGAGTAAGCCGTTCCCAGTCGTTGTGGCGTGCGTCGATATCGCCTGCTGCATGAAGTGGGCGTCATAGGCAGCCTGGGCCGTTGAAACAGATAGCGAGCCAAGTCCGCCTGTGTGGCCCCACGCGGACGATAGACCTTCCTCGCTCAAGCTCGCGCTCAGGGGTTGCTGATGGGTCGACCTGGAGGACCAGCCGGCATTTCTGGATGCCGGCCGCGAAACACAGCCGAACGCGTCTCGGTATTCATCAGCAGAGACCCGCCGGCCACTGATGATGGCTTGTCTCTGATGATACTCGCTGGCAGGATCAAGGATCGTCAAAAACCGCCAATTCGTGCTGCCTCCCTGGGCAGTCACCAGCCTCGGCTTCCTCTGTTTGAACACGATTTTGTGAATGGTCTCGAACGTCCAGAGTATCACGGCACGGCGCGTCCACCGTCGGTTTCCCCAGTCACTGCTGCCCTCTTCAGCGGACGAGGTGGGCGGAAAAGACCAGATCTCCTGCATCATGGCGATCTTTGGTACTAGGTCCATCTGGGTGGGCCACTTCGTGCGGCGTCGGGATCTCTGACCCTCGTTGTCACCATCTTCCGTCTTTACAGCTGAGCCCCGCTCCCGGTCATGTCTTATGCTCTCACTGGACGGATGGGCTGGGTACTCGGCACAGTTGGTGAGTGTCTGTGCCCAGACATTGGCGGGAAATGGGACAGGGAACGGAACCATGACGCCGTCTCGACGACAGCGCTGTGAGAGGCAGTCGCAGTGCCCACGGCTGTCGCTGCGCGACGCATCGCAGCCAGGCTTGTGTTGGTACTCGAGGGCGAATTCTTTGTGCTCCTCGTAGACGACCTCCGGGGGGCCGTCTCCCTGCGAGTAGCTAAGCTCGAGTGGCCGCACGAGCCTCGTGTCCACCTTCCACCGGTGGTTGACCAGGCCGGGCTTCTCAATGTTGATCTCGACCCACGAGCTGAGATTGGACCCTGAGGGGAACCGGCGCTTTTCCTTTAGTTCGAGTGTGACGTGCAAATGCAGAAAGTCGCACCGTGCATCCGTAGTTGTGGACGTGATTGCCTTCAGCCTCTGATGCAGGTCCGGGAACGCCGACTCCCACTTCCTGGCCATCTCTCTGACGCTGCTCGACTCGATCTGAACCAATTTCTTAGTGAACTCGTGGAGCAGGGCGCCCTTGAAGAACTGTTGCTCCTCCTTGGCCCACGTGTCGCGCTCAAGATTGAGACCGAGGTGCGGGTATTCGCCCTCGGTGAGCTTGCCGCCCGTCGTGGGCAAACACCCGATGCGGTCCTCGCCAACTACCACATCCTGATGCGACACGAAGATCCAACAGCGCTTGGGTTTGAATTGAACCTGTTCGTTTAAGGAGAGTATCTGCGCAAAATACTCGTAGTTGGGCCGCTCCTCAGGAAAGCGGTCTCCGGACAAAGCAATCAGCACTGGGTTGTCCTTGAGCGACACTGTCTCGGTTGGGTCATTCTCCTTGTCTTCTTTTGTTGGCCAAAAGAAGAAGTGGACTGCATGGAGGGCTCTTAGCCAGCTGTTTGCTCAGACATGAAACCTGCAAGTTGGAAACGCCACACAGGCAGACCCTGCCGGGGCGGGGGTGGCCATTGGTCGACTTACAACATCGATGGTGCGTGAAGAAGTCCTTTAACACCTGAATATGGCTTGACACCATCTTTCTCTGCCTCATCATCCGGGGGTCTGGTTCGGCTCCGGGTGGCAGGCCCTGGCAGTATGCGATCCAGAGATAATCACCAATCAGCATGTTCCGGCCGTACGGTCTTTGCTTCATGGTGTATTTTTTGCGCCCCATCCGAGGGATGAGCAGCAGCGCTATGCACAAAAGTCAGCCTACACAACCCTGACTCCGGGGTCCAAGTTTGCTTTGCCGACTCACCGTCCAGGAAAGGTGTCTCCAACACGTCAGGCCATTTTTGGTCATGTTTGTCTGATTGCTTCTTCCGGTAGTTCTTGAAGGCCTGGGACAGGAAGGGCATGAGCGGGTTGGTCCCATGCGATCGCCGCCTCCCATGCAGATAAGCCCCATGCCGATGTTGAGATCTCGAGGGCGCCGTTGCGCAGTATTCTGACACGGTGGACTGTGTCCGCAAGATCAATGGTCCTAGTGGTGGTATCGACGACGGGACTGACGAGTGGGCTTCCAGTTGCTGGGCGTACCACGACATATGAGGGTGTTGTATGTTGCCAGTCGATTCCTGAAGTGGCTGCCTCGACGTTGATAGTCCGCGGCGACCCTCAAACCCATGGTCCGCTGACGGTGAATAGCATTGCGTCGAAAGAACTGGAAGGCTCATGGGCAGTTCCATTGCTGAGCACATCGGAGTTCGCTGCACTACAGTGTTTCCAGTAACAAACACTTGGTCAGGAACGTCAATGAAATAGGAATTGAAGTGGGATTCCCGAGAGGAATGGTTTTTGTCAGGATGAGAGCAACAGAGTAGATATAAGATATGCTGGGAAACAAGACACCCCGGTGGTGAAGGGAGTACCCCACAGTGTATGATGGGAAGCCCTTGACGGTACACGAAGTCCCAAAATCAGCTGTGCCCATCCCGGGGTAGGGATACTTGTTGCGACATCCTACCTAAGGGCGACAGCTGGGTCGGTGCCAAAGAGGGTTGTTGGCCTCCCCTTCAGGACATATCCATCCTGGCACCAACCGGAACGCAAGGGCATCCAGCCCGTGGAGGCGGGCGCCATGGAAACCTGCGTTCTTTCTCGGTTGGCGCGGGGTGTCTCGGGACCGCGGGGCTGCTTTCGGAGGTAGACGCCATGTCAGGCACGGGAACAAGAGTAGCCCTACGCAGGAACTATCAGACGCATTGGGAAAGGGATGTGAAGCTGGTCAAACAATCTTCAAGGGACAGAGGTGGGGTTCTGCAAAGGAGACCGCAGGGATGGACAACGCCTCCTTGGCAAGGGCGGTGTGGTCGCCGAGACGTCTCTGGTAACTGTCTCTGATCCGAGACCTATTGAGAGATCAATTCTTCATGCTGTCATGCGTCGTCTTCATCGTTATCGCCAATATTGATCCTCCTCCTCCCTTCTCCCGTGAGCTGCTGCAAAGTGACCTTGTTCACTTGGCCCCGGATCTTCTTCTCCATCGCCCTAATCTGCTCTTCCGGATCGATCTCGTCGGCCTCTGCATAATCAAGCACCAGCCGGCGCCCGAGTAAATGAGTATCCTTCAATGCGGTAAGAGCATTGAGCGCCTCCTTAGCCGTCGCAAACTCGGCAAAAGCGAAGCCGCGCGACATGTGGTTGAACTTCTTTGGGAGGCGAAGTGCAACCAGTTTCCCATATGCGCTAAATAAGGCGCGCACATCCTTTTTCGAAGCCTCGAATGGAAGGTTTTTGATGACAATCTTTGTCCGCTGCGCCGCCGCCTTCTTGGCGAGGTCTTCACGCCTCCGCTCCTCTGCAGCATCGTGACCCCTGTGCGATGCCTTGACAAGAAGCTTATACCCATCCAGCACATAACCGTCCATAACCTTGAGGGCTGCCTGAGCTTGTTTCTTGGTTTTGAAGGCACAAAAACCAAAACCCATGCTTAGCACCTGGCCCGGTCTCTTTGGGTCAGTCTTGGTCTTGACCGTTGCACTCACGAACCCGTCCAAAGGCTTGAAAGCATTGGTCAACCCCTCGGTAGTTGTGGAGAAGTTCAGGTTGCGGACGAATAGGGAGGTTGTCTCGGTCTGATCCTCATCATCGTCGCCTTCCAACAATGCGGCAACGGACGGCTTTTGGACGCCAGCAGGACGATCTTCTAACGGGGCCGCCGCATGATCTAGGAAAAGCCCTTTCGGGCCTTTCTCAAGAAACAGAATTGACTCTTTGAACCGCGAATAGGCCTTCTTGGCAAAGGCCGCCCGGCAAGCTGCTGGCTGCGCAAACTGAACGATGGCGATGGTACCGCTAGGTGGCATCAGCACCCTCAACACTGTGCCATGCTCCTCGAATAGACCCCTCAACTCTTCAATGGAGGCGTTTCGAATGTTCTTGACAAGTATTGAGGTGTCGCCTCGTTGTTGGGATTTGAACGCCTCTATGTTCACACCGTGGGCGGCGAAGTAACCCTTCGCCTCCTGGATCACCGTGGTCTCAGCAACTGCTTGTTTCACAGCAGCAGACGCGTCGGTGGGATCCAAGAGCTCGTGTTTAGAAACACCGAGACGTTCTGCGACGGCAGTGTTGACGGCATCTTGGCTCATGAAGAGTGAATTCCAGTTGAAGGTGCTGGACGCGGCCTCGGCTTTTTTCTTCAGGAGTTGCTGTTTCTTGAGAGGCAACTTGGAGATCGCAAATTCATCGAGCTTGTTGTCCCGTTTAGCGGAGGCAGGGAGAATGTGAATGATCCGGCCCTGGAAGATCGAGCCATCCGTCTGGAATGCTGCGAGGGCTGCAGCGGGTTGCTCATACCGGACCATGGCAAAACCCTTGCTTTGACCGCGATTATCCAGAGGAACATTCACCTAACCAAAAATTAGTGAGGGTCCAGTGCCGGCAGTCAGAAACAACATGACAACAATCGGCCCTTTTCATCAGAATCTCGAAGCATCTACTAAAATACCGAGCCCAGGATCTCGTCATATGCCACAGGCATAAGCTGTCCCTATCAAGGGATTCATCATGAAGGGCGGACAGGCATTTCAATCAAAGAAACAAAATGAGATGGTTGATGCTTACCTCCTCGAGAGTGCCAAATTTGCTGAAATGCTCTCTTATATCGTCCTCTGTAACGCTGTAGCTGAGGTTCCGCAAGAACAACCTTGACGTCTGTTCAACCAACTTGGCAGCGTCTTGAGAGCCCTCAGATCGCACAGCAGTACTCTCACTCGGTTCTTCCACACTGGCTACAGCGCCGCCAACATGCGAACGGTCTTGCGATTCGGATGTAGGTGCAACGACAGGCGCAGACGGGGGGCCCTGGACTGAGAATTCGGGATCATCGGGGTCCACGAGGTCGAGCAGACGACTTGTCCTTGAGCGGAGCCAGTCATCGTCCGTTGCATCTGCTGACACCTGTGGGACTCCCCCTGGCGGCTCATCTCCGGGGACGGTCACAGGCGCAGGAGCTTGTGCCTCAGAAGCGAAAGCGGCTGTAGCATCGACACGAGTTGGGTTCTCCTGAGCCGGCCGTTTCGCGTGGCGTGCAGGTATGTCCTCGTACTCATCGTCACTCTCGCCGGCTTCAAAGACAGCTGCGGGCACTGCGGACGTCAAGTCTGATTGCAGGCTCCCACTGAGTGCTTCGTCGTCTCTAGATTTCTTGTTCGGGCGACCCATGACCTCGAGGTACTCTTGGAGCCTCGCGTCTGCCTCGTCGAGGACCTCCCGCTTTCTCTTTTTGGAACTCTCATCCTCAAGCTGTTCTATGCGCGAGGCACCAGACTTCAACAAAGCGCCGCTGCTAGCAGTACCGGGACGTGGGCTGTCCCTTGCGGCTGGTCGTGGGGTCGAGTCTGCAATCTTGCACCCAGGATTAGCAGCAGCCCCGGGCAGTTGGGTTGGCACGAAGGCTTACCGGCTTGGCCAAGTCGACTGCAATCCTAGACATGCGGATAAAGGATTTGTTGAAGTATTTGACTGCCCGCACTGCATCATCAGGCGACTTGTAACCAACAAAGCCGATGCGTCGGTTGGGAATGAGTTTGACATCGGTGACCTCGCGTCCTTGGGCCGAGAAGTGTTTGCGGAAGTCGGTCTCAGAGATGTTGGGCGGTAGGTTCTTGACGAAAATCCTTGACGACTCCATGATGCTTGTCCTGTTGCTTCAAGTCTGCCGCTGGCAGAGAATGAAGCTAAGGCTATGGTTCGGTCATTCCGTCATTGACGTGGCTTTCGGTGAAGCATCCATGAAGCGAACAGAGGGTTTGGGTCGTTTTCTGCACTTGTTCAAGAAAATTCAAGGGCCCACTGGCCGTTATCTCGGACTTATCGCTTGCTCCACGAGTCCAACCATAGTTGAACACTGACTGGGAGTACTAGATACAAGATACAGTGCGGTGAGCTCACTGTATAGCGAGTAAAGGTACTTATACTGCAACGCTATGCCAAGGCTCCCCTCAGCTTGTCTCGAGGGAATCGAGGCCAAACCCGTGCTCTGAACCCTTGCGACCCGACCCTTGACAAGAGCAAGGCGCCGGCGCCATTGAATTTGAGTTTGTGGTTCGCGGAGCCGCGCTGACATCGAACCCGTCAACGACATCAATCCAAAAGCACGGTTGTGCACGTCCAGCAACGTCCCTACTCATTTCCCTCCGCTCTGGCCAAAGCACCACGGCCGAATTAACGGGATTGACCGCACCTGCATCCAACCGAAACGACTCGGAGATTTGCATCGCCGCTTTTGAGGCATAGCATTAATCGTTTACATAGGAATCGTTTGCTTGTATGTTGGACCCCATAACTATCCGTGATGCAACAGGCCCGAGATCACGCGCGACTTCGAGCGGCCCCGTTAAATCTCTCTTCCGGACAAACATCATCGTCCACAACCCTTTCATTGTTTTAGGTCAACAGTTACACGGCGAGAGGCTCTTGACTGACTGGTGAGCAGCCCACCCAGTCCAGTAGCTTAACACTCGGAAGACACGATGCCGGGCGACGAACCGAAGCCAGCGGGGAGCACCTCGCCCATTGCGAGGGAGAAGCTCGAGGGTACGTATTCCCATGTTGATTCACCGTCCTTTGGCTACAGACTCCGTTGGCTAATCCTTGCATCATGCGCCTTCAACAGCCCAAATTAAGAGCGCTGACATGGTATTCACTCCTTTCGAGCTATCAACGCTTCCGATGTCTGCGCCGCCGAGACACTAACGAACGAGCCTGCCAAAGACCGAGGACATGCAGCAAGAGGCCGTCGAAGTCGGTATGTAGGAACTACGAAGCAGCTGCGGCCCTCTGGGTCGAGCATCGGCATCAAGCTGACTTGTGTCCATTAGCTCAGGAAGCCATGGCCAAGTTCACCATTGAGAAGGTCCGTTCCGCTCCGGGCCACTAGCGCGTCTGGATTGTACCACATCTGGCGAGTTTCACATGCACAGCATTGCTGACCTCTCGTTGATAGGACATTGCCCAACATATCAAGAGAACCGTACGCGTGTCATTGAATAACTGTACCCGAGTCTTCCCAGCTAACCGGGACTCCCACAGTTCGACGAGAGGAAGGGTCCCACCTGGCACTGCATCGTGGGCCGCAACTTTGGCAGCTTCGTAACCCACGGTACGGGCTGACGGCTTACAACCCCTCGCTTCTTCCAGTGACCAAGCCCACTAACGTGCAGCCGCTCGCCGGAACAGAGACCAAGCACTTTATCTACTTCTACCTCGGCCACTGCGCGATCCTGCTGTTCAAGACCCAGTAGGGAAGCGGCCTCCTCCGTTTTCTCTCGCGCCTGTGAAGTAACACCACATCATTCACAACGGCTGTCCAACCCTACCTAGCAGCGAGCGAACATAAGAAAAGGAAACGGACGGAGGATTGTCCCACGGCAGGCAACCCGGGCTGGCGAAGCAAAGCAACGACGCGCAACGAGAGGCGGCGAAGAAGCACCCCGAGAGCTCCGGGCTGGCCGGACGGAGAGGAGGATTGCATGTTGACAGACACGGCTACATAGGTTAAAGCTTTCGTCGGCAATTGTTGTACGTTTAGGCTGAGATGAGGAGAAGGGGCAACGGCATGCTTCGGATCCCTCCAATTGCGAAGCCAATAGACCCAAACCCAGTTGCTACATCCGGGGCCCCTTGGTTCCCTCGCCTTTTGGTTCCCTCGCCTTTTGGTTCCCTCGCCTTTTGGTTCCCTCGCCTTTTGGTTCCCTCGCCTTTTGGTTCCCTCGCCTTATTTCTTGGTTGTGGATGGCGAGGCGATACTTCGAAGGTCCTACACATCCGTGCAACACGATCAACCATCGTAACCACAGTGCGGCACATGCTTCCCGTTTCCGTCCAGCCAACCTGCCGCCGAGACGCCTGTTGATGGTCAGCGCAGTGGCCAACCTCTGCGGCCTTAGTCTGAATGGTGATATCCGTGTTTATTGAGCCGACAAAGCCAATCATGGGGTCTTACACGCATCACCTGGCCCTTGATAAGCACTCACAGTCGAGGCGTGGGCAGCCTAGGCCAAGGGAAGTCATGATACACGTAACCCAGGAGAAACAGGGAACTTTGAAGGAATTTGTTATTCATTTTATCGTCTTCATCTCTAGAAGCTCAGTAAATCGTGTCGTTCAGACAAAGCGGCATTTCCATACCCGCCGCCGTGGTATCATGAATCCATCCATATGTGTCCTCCGTCAAAAAGCAGAACCCAATTTGTACCAAATCCAGATGGTTCCCAGCTGCGCCGATATATGTGAGGCATTTTCCAGGTAAGATGCCTGATGTACCAGAACCGTATCGACCCAATGCGATGTATCCAGCCAAGTCATTGGCATGACTACCGGTCCATAAGCTGCCTGTGCTTTTCCCTTCCCAATCCCACTTCTGTACTTGCTTGATAAGCCGATGTCCCGGACATGCCAGCGAAACCTCCTTTCGTCTCCATCCTGCAAGCGACACGGTGTGGTGATCCAGCTATGTCCTGAAGAGGGACAGCAAAGCGAACGACACGCTGAAATGAATGGCCAGCTGAAAAAAAGCCTGGGTGCCCAACAGGGCTGCGCCGCCCCTCTGCCAATTGCCTCCCAGAGACACTTAGGCCTCGACAGCGGCATAAATTTCTGTCTTCATTCGGCTCAATCGATCGTACATGTCGTTCAAGTCCGCCACTTTGCCGGGATCCGGGTTGTCGTGGGTCGAAAGATCCAGGTGAAGCTGATAGTATCGTGCATAGGATTGCTTGAACCGAAGTGCCATCTCGATGGTCTCTTGAGAAAGCCGGTGTCGCTTCGCCTTGTTTCCGGACGACGAATCGCCCGGCGGCCGCTTCTTGGCTGTGACGACGCTGGCAGCACTGCTGTCAGTGGTGCTGCTGCTACTGCTACGGATGGCGGTGTCGCGATCCCGCTCCATATCCGATGCGTTCGTCGGCGGAGACGAAGCCAAAGGGGATGATTTGACCGGCGATCTGTTCTTGGGTTTGGGTGCAGGCACGCCCTGGCTGGTCCCGCGGCTGTTCTGGCTGGCATCTGAAGCGGTGCGTGCTTTTGCTGAGTTAACTGGTGCTGGCAGTGGTTTTCCGGCAGGCTTCATGCGTTTACTGAGCGGTGTGCCGGAACTAGAGCTATCGTCGTCGTCAGCGTCCCGTGGACGCTTCGTCGGGGGCCTGATTGGCTTCGCGATAACCTGGGCGCGAATGGTGTCCTGTTCCTTTGCGCTCTTCTGCTCCCGTGGTTGCGCCTTGGCAGCCGCAGAGGGTTTTGCCTTCGCAGCGGGCGCCTCGTTCGTCTTCTCCACTGCCCTTTGCTTCTCAGCTGCCCGTTGCGCGGGTTTGGCTTGAGCACCAGAGGCTTTAGGCTTCCCAATCGACGTCGAAAGAGGCTCCTCATCATCGCTGGAGCTTGAATCCGAAACGAACTCCTTGGACTTGACCCGGGCCGCCTTTGGGGGTGCTCCTTTTGTGGCTGGTTTGGCGGTAGGAGCCTTCGATGGCGGCTTGGCCGTTGTCGCCGCCGTCGCCTTTCTCTTCGAATTCGACAACAGCCGTTTCGCCTGGGCTTCTGATGCCGACAACTTCTTCCTCCCGGTCGATGTCTGAGAACTAGATCTAGACATCGCTTCGCCACCTTTGCATTCCCTTTCCGAGTCACCGCCGCTGGCGCTCGCACCATCAGTTTTCTGTCTGGGTGTTGGGCCGGCGGGTCCCTTGGCAATGGTCGCTTGCAGCCTGCTCAGGCATATGCCCTTCCCGCGCTCCGATTTCGGGAGGAGCTTTTGCCAAAGGGGATCGGAAGCGCTTATCCGCATGCGATCGTAGATTTTAATGGCATTGTTGATGGCCGTCCGGCGGTCTTCCTCATTGGCATAGCTGTACTCGAAGACGTCCAGTTCCTTCCAGCTATTCCTCTTTAACACCCATTTCTGCGAATCCTTGTCAAGGTCGGCAACCTTGCTGAGTGCCGTGGTGAATTCGTCCTCGGTGCCTTCATCCCACCTCGCTAAGAGATCCTCGCGGGATAGTGACTGAACCGCCAGCTCGTGCATGATGGGGAATCGAAGCCGTTTCAGTCTGTCTTGTGTCGTGTTGCTGGAAGGAGGAAGCGAAGGAGAGCCAATTCCGCTCAATGCCGGACTTGGTGGTAAGGACCGAGGCGAAGCAGCGCCGAGAAATCTGCTACTTGCTTTGAGTTTCGCCCCCTTGGAGCTGGGCAGGCCGCCGACAATCACAGCACTAGAACCAGCGTTAGCTCCCAATCCGTTCAACAAAGGCATCCCAAGCTCCTTACGAGTTTCCCCGCTTGTCAGCTTCCAGACTGGCAAGCGAACGCTCCAACCGCAGCGCAGCATCCTCGGGCCCGTCTTGGGAGCCCATACCTTTGGCGGTATTGGATGTCGTGGTTAAGGACTTCGCCGGCTGCCGAGCGGGAGCTTTCTTGGCCATTGGTTCTCCCTTTCCTGGGAGCCTGGGTGCCTTCAAGGCCTTTGCTTTGGGCTCGCGCTTGAGGGCTTTGAGAATAGACATGGTCGGATTCGGCAATCTGGTGGCCCTGGAGGGATCCCCTGAATCCACCAAAAAGAGATCGTAACCAGATGGGTCGGAGGTTTTGGGTATCCGTATCTCGTGGTCGTCGAACAAGAATTTCTGCAGTTGACGGTCAGGGGCTGGATTGCAACGAGGAGCAATGGAGATGCAATTGGTCGTGGTATCTGCAACCGCGCTATTGTGCAGCACCACTGAATGGCACACAATAGACAATAACGTAGCAGAGGGGGAAAAGCTTCAATACTTACGGGATTGCTGCCCAACGCCAATTGGATATCCCCGCCATTCTGCACACAAGCAATCATGTCCTCAATCACGCTGCCACTCAGAGAGATGGCGAATGCCTGCGATGGGAGCTCGGCCGTGGCGTTGGCCGAGCTCCCGAGCAACATGCCGCTGTCAGAGATGTCGAGCGCCATTTCGACTCAGCAAGGTTGAGCGTGCAACTGCTTTCTTCCCTCCACTCCCCCCTGGCATCCCTCTGGTTTCCGGCTCGCTGGCCCAAGCCGCCCCCCTCTCCTGGCGTCCCCAGCTTGCTGGTATGTATATTCGAAATTTCCGGGTCGTGTAAGGGAGTGAGGATCCGCTAGGGGCGTTTGAAGGGACGAATTCTCGATTGACAGCCGTGAACACTTCGGTTAGACTTGATGGATGGCGGCGCCGGATTTCAGTGATTCGCCCACGGCAGCTCTTCAAATTGGGAGTCAACGGTTAAGGATGGTTTCAGAGGAGGAGACGCGTTGCCTGCTGTTGGTGGTTTGCCAAACTTTCACGGGCTCCCAAGCAGTTGATCATGCATTAGCGGCCGAACCGTGACGTGATGCCGGATGGTAGCCACAAGCTCCCACAACCACGTATACTCTCGTCACTGATGACCAATCCTCTGCGAGGAGTTTGTTGGTTTGCGTGTGGTGTTTGTTGGTTTGCGTGTGGGAAAGGAGTAACAGAGGTGCAAATGTTGGGCTGTGTAGGGGTTCGAGTTAGGAGCAGGCGAGCGCTCTGTATGCATCCGCAGCGGCGCTGACATGAGGAGAGATCGGATGCAGGTTTGGCGGCGGACGTGCACGAGACCCCCGTCGGCAATGGGCAAAGTGGGAAACGAGAGAAGGACCAAAGAAGCACAAAGTCATGTCATGGCTTTTGAGATTCGAGAAGAGGAGAAAGAAGGTGAGCTCCAGAAAGAAGAGGACCAGAGAGGCCCTGCACCAAGCGAGGCACCAAGCGTGACAAGCAAAGAGATGGGACGGGGCGGAGCGGGTGGGTTCCACGATGACCCATGTCTCCACAAGCCGTCCTTTGGCACGGTGCCCCACCGATGCATGCTGCATGTACCTGACTGTACACGGCAAACCCGCAGTCCTGGCCGCCCCACTGGCTTCTTTCTCAATGGTGTGGTGCGATGAATGGAAGCAGGCCCCGCGGCCTTTGACTCGCCAGGAAGGGGTCGGGGTTGACTGTGGGTCCCTGTACGATACAGTCAGGTACGCTGCATCATTACGGGACTGGGCACGGCCTGGAAGCTTTCTTTCTTCTTTTTGCCCAACAAGAGGCAGAGATCGCAGGTGAGCAGCGTCGCATTGTACATGTATCCGGTGCGGACCGTAATCTCCAGCCGTTGCCAGCAAGTCATCGACACCTGATCGGGTAACGCTGCGGAGTGAGTAGAAAAACCTCAAGAGATCGAAACAAGTACGTCAGTCCCAGTCCACTTAATGTCAGATATGGGCTGGCAGACTTCCGTGTCAAGCGCAACAGAGAGTCATAATGTAGCAAGCACCAACTGGTCACGCTCCGACGTTCTGGGTTGAGATGACGGCCTTCGCCTAGCCATTGTGGAGCTTGAGTTCCGGCTCGTTTAGTCTCGGGGCCGGTCACAAAGGGTCAAGGGCATGGAAGCAGGTAGATTTGGTCTCACTTCCGCCGTTATCTTCACAGCTTCCAGTGTTCAATTGACAATGGGAAGAGGCAATCAACTGAAAACCTTCCAGGTTCTTTCGCATTCTCTAGTCTGTTTTCTGCTTGCCTTGCTTGGGTGCTTCCCTGCCTTGAGTGAGAGGTAGCTGGCGACCTTCGGATGGACCCTGACCCAGTGACACCTGAGCGTGGCACTCCACTTCGTTGCAAATAGCGTTGTGGAGGAGGCCCAGTCCGCTTCGGTTGCGTTGCCCAGGCAATCTTTGTCCGGAACACGGAGTCGGAGGGTCACAACCAACTAGCAGCGCACTTTGATGAGGACGATGAATCCATACCACCTCAGTTGAGGTCGTCACATTTTCTCAAGGGCTGGGTTTGCTCACGCGAGTCCATGGAATGCATAATTGATCGGACATTTAACCATAACGTATGGAGTACCCGAGTTCAGATACCCACCAACCCGTGCCAAGGCTTTGGGTCGCCCGCCCCTCGGAGCTGCGACACTTTACCAATCCACACCGTCAGGTACCTTAACAAATCATCACCATTGGGCATTGGGCGCTGTGCTGCCTTGTCTCTTCAGCACGACTACGCTTCCCGGAGCGCTACATGATTAGAACCGTTTTAGGTTTTGGGCAGCGGAGGCTCTATTCAATTCCATCCAGAATTCTCCGGCCGTTACGCTCTGAGTCCGGTCCGTCTGCCCCGCCCCTCAGTTCACGTTCGGCTCAACCCCGATGCACCATCGGCCACAACCGAGTCTGCCGAAGAAATCAGTGACACATCTTCGGGGTAAGCAGCTCACACACCACCTCCTCCATTCTCGTAGGGAGGGGAATGGCAGAACATGGCTCTGTTCCCTGTCACCCATGCTATCAAAACTCGAGCTGTGCGGTCGTATCAAACAATGGTACCGAAGATAGATGCTCCTCGACTGTGGTGCTGACTTGCCAAACAATACACCGACAGGACCGGTCTTGACCGAATGGGTGGCCATTGGATGTTCCTCGGCGGCGCAGGATGCCCAAACCATAGCATCGTAACGTCGTACCGAATGACAGCGCATGACATCCATGCCTTTGATGATAGGGCCGTGGCGCTGCAGTGACACAGCATGAGTGGATCGAGCGCGCATTGTGCTGAGCTCCCGTCAGGAGGCAATGATCCTAAAGTATTGGCCGGCTTGCCGGCTTACTCATGGTGCTCCTCCCGCTGACCCTCGCCGACACTCATGGCAGAGACCGACGGAAGAACGAGTGATGCTTGATGGGGTGGTTGTCCAAGAGGACAGGGTAGGCTGAGACAGTCGTCCATGTTCACAGACTAGCCGAATCACCGTCGCATACGTACTTGAGAAGGCATGTCTATATTCTTACAGGTAGGTGAGAGACAGACATGTTCTTGATATGCTGTTGAGATCTATTGCCTCGTTTGGCCCACCTCCCCACTCATAAGTTTCCACTGTTTGGGACTGTGTAAGTTAGTGTATGGAATCTGACCACGAGGGAGCTACACTCGAGCCAGCTTCTAGATCTGCCCTGTCAAACGTAGCTGATCTGGACAGGAGACAACGAACGGACCTTTCCTCCTTCATGCTGACTCTCAAATGTTTGATTCCCCATCCCCGGCCGTTCGCCACGTTGATTCATCGACCAACTCGACTTCGGCTGCAACTGGCACATTCCCCAGCTAACATCAGGTTCCAAGTTCTGCATGTCTTACTGTGTAGATGCTGAGCTGCTCACCTTCTTTGCGCAGTTGCAAGGTATGGAGTGCTTCCGACTAGCGCGCGTAGGGCCGGGACAGTCCGGCTCAAGTTCCGCCGAGAATTGAAGGAGCGGGAAGCCACATGGTGCCGAATCTCAACTCGATGTCCCGCTTGGCTGAGTTGCCTCAACCAGCCCAGCAGTCAATTTTGATTAGCATTTCACAGTATGTATAGGCTGAGGTTTGCTCCAACCATCAAGGGGCTCTCCTCCCTGAAGTCGGTGACTTTGTGAGCGGGGAGAGCTGTGTGCGAAACGAGTTCTTTTCCCACCTGCAGGGATGCTTGCTCGCACGCAGAACCCCGCGGCTGGCTGGTGGGGAGGAGACGGAGTTGCCAACAACGGAACAACGCAGCTCTGAAAGACACAGTTGCGGAAATACTATTTCGCGTATGTCTAAGCCAGTTTAGACGAAAAACGTATAGAAAATCTCTTTCCACGGTGGAACGAAGTTGACTTCAGACCTGGAGGATCGTCCCATCACTTCTCAGGTTAAGTTTTCTGGTTGGTCATACTCGATCTGGGCAGAACTGCAGCAAACCGGGTACTGCAGTACACAGTACGCGCACATACAGGTAAAGGTGCCGGTATCCCAATCGCAGCATGCCGGCAACGTTGTTGCAAGCATCAGAAGCGGGTTCCGTGGCCGAAAATGGGGAACTGGTAACCTCAGGTAGGTAGCACGGGAATTACCAAGACGCCGCAAACACTGGGTAAATAGGATATTTATATCTACACCGGGGCAGCTTCGCCCGTTCAGGCTTCTCGGAACAGCGCGCCGTCTGGATCTGCAAGACGTTTTGCTGGTTGATTACCTACCTGCCTATTGCACTGTCTTTGTAGGTAGGAGAGATTCAATAGCCTCAACACCGTCATCATCCCAACGCCTGCGGGAGGAAACATCTGCCGGCCCTAATTTTCACGTAATTCACAGAGAACCGAGTAGCAGAGCAGAGCATCCGTCGGGGCAGACAAAACAGCTCTAGTCCTCAAGAAAGCAACGAGGGTGTCACGACCCCCACTACGGGCTCTCCACTCGGGCAATTGGCAGGCGAGACACTGTGGATTTCATGGCGAAGGGCCATGGCTCGCAACAGAGGGAGGATATCTGGAGAGCGGGAGACTCAGATTGGAACTTGGCACTTTCCTCTCTCAAGGATCAGTAAGTTGGTCAGTGGTGCACACACAATACAGTCATCTTGCCTGCTCCTCGGTGTGGATCCGGTGCATCTTGGTGAACCTGTGTGTGTCACCCTACAGAGGGCCGCAGCTGCGTTGTGTTGTTCGGATTCGGTGTTACTGCCCAGTGCCCACAAGTGCCGCCCTCTCAATCACCGCAGTGCTGCCCGGCTTCCCCTTCGATGAAGGTCCATGATTCCAGTGTTTCTGTAAGAGTAAGATGGACTTCCACTCCGGGCCCAAGATCGCATGGATCGCCGTTTGCCGACCGCCCCCGGTCACTTCGGGAGTGCCGCCATCGTCACCCACTTCCAAGTTCCGGCCTGGCTGAGACTGCCCTCGCGCACTTCAAAAACTTGCAAACGATTTCCTACCTTATTGTCAAGTACCTGCATGTGATCAGTGCGGAGTTGTTATTGTTATAACCCTTTCCCAGCGCTCCACACCGAATCCGGATCCAGCACAGGCGAGGACCGTAGGTTAGGTTGGGTTAGGTTCCTCGAGGTACCTGCTGCGGGCAACATGGCCTTAGCATCTGCGACCTTGCACCACTTTCCTTGTTGAACCCAGCGAGGTTGGCAGTCTCAACGCGGAAAGACGAAACTGTCGCGGGCACGGTACGGAAGCCGGTAGTGACATTAGAACTAACCGAGAAAGTGGTCTGTGCTTTATGCAGCCACCCCATTGTGTGAATCATGGCTAGGGAGGCTAGCCATAAAAGTTAAGTACTTAACGAAAAGCGGGTCTATCTCATCACTCTTTAGGTCGCATCAATCGCTACTACCCGCTTCCTGCTAATAGCTACCTGAGCACAGGGACCGTCAATTATAGTGGACCGCGACCGCTGATGGTAGTGCATCTCGACCGCCAACTTCAATGTGTTGCAACAGGCAATTTTACTATGTACCAAGTGGATATGGTTAAAGGCTGCGAGTGGCTGCTCCTATAAGAAGCAATTGAAGTTGATGCACTCGGGGTGAGCATATAAAGTGATTTTTCAGTCACATAGTAGTTTCCCAATGTCGCTCCTGGCTTCCGTAATCCGTACAAGGGCCCGGCCGTCCCTTGCCGACCTGAACCCCACCGTTCCTGCAAATTACCAGACAACCTGGAAGTGATCTTGAAAATATAACTGGAGATCCCGGCCAACTTCCCCGAGTATCTTTTAATGATGGAATCTGATGGTATAGACGGGCATCAACTTGACCACAGACAGCTCAGGGACAACGCCACTGTGAACAACCATGGGTGTTGTGGTTGGCCCCGTTTTGCAGCCCAGGGACGGCCAGAGAAGCTGGTCTTGGCCCCAACGAGCCGATCTACATTCCTCACTTCACCGCATGTGCGACATCACCCCCTTCCTGTTTGCTGCCAGACATCTGACAGACGAGACACCTTAGCTTGACATGCAGCCATCATCACGCTTGTCATGTTTGCCATCTGGCTTTTGTTCGACAGAGAGACGAGTAGAGTTTGTCCGATATACTAATACCAGCAGTTTCCACTTCCCATACCATTCTGAGTACATGGAGTGGTGGTGAAACACCAGACCTATCAGCCGGCCAGCCGCCTCGTTGATCGTGTCCAAGCCCTTGGCGAGTTTCGCCCGTGTAGTTATTCGGAGGCCCATCATACCCAGAGCAGGCCTGTTTGAGCTGGCATACGAGGCATACGGAGCCAACATTAGGAGGGGGTGGGCAGCGGACCCGGCTGGTTTGCCGACGAGAGGACTGCAAATCACTCTCGTCTAACACGACTTGATTTGGTTCACAGCGTTTTGTCCAGTAACACCAACGCCATCGCATGTGATATGTACATGTTGGAAACGAACAAATCCGGAATCAGACACGCGTTTACAGGTCGTGAAACTGGTTGGGCAAGCTTGTGGTCAAACTCTTCCTGAAAAAGCGGGGCTCGTCCACATACTCGTGCCATGTCCCATTTGTTTCTCTGAAGACGCGGGTCGACACAGCGGGACAAAAACACCCATTAAAGAACCGTGATCAAAGGTTAGGAGCCGCCTTCATTGCCCGATGCCATGCCCTTTGCAGTAACTCTAGGTCGACTTAAATACGGCGTCTATCCCTTTTCTAAACCATAATTTTTATAGGCTCTTTTAAACCATAATATCATAGGAGGGACTACAAGGGAACTAGAAGAGAACAAGAGGTAGAAAGCCGGAAAAAATAACAAGATAACACGACGTATACGGCCTCAGTCTTAGCTATTACCATGAATCTAGAACACAAGGTGAGTTCAAACTCGATGGGAAACAAGCAAAATAGCTTCAAGTGGTTTGACTGCTTTCTAAACACGGCTGTGGGTTGCTCTTGCGAACAACGGAAAAGAGACGACGAGAGACAGCGCTCAAATCCAGGGATTGAGGTTTGGACCCAGACGGCTTGCCAGGGGCATCATGAAAAGACGAGCCCCTGACATTGTGTGTTGGCGACAATATATTCACCGGCGGCACCTCTGGACGCTGAGCATAGCATTCCTGCTTGGAAGCTCACAAATCGAGATGGACGTCCGTGGCTACGGTCTGCCAATCCATTCTGACGACTCCGCATACCCCGGAGTTCACTCCAACCAAAGGGATCAATACAGTGGCAAACGGGTCAATTCTCTCTGCGACCTCAGCTTGTCCGACGGCGAATATCCCAGAGACATGCCTCCTTGGACCCCCTTTCCTAAGAAGAGCCGCCAACCAGAAACAAAGTATCATGATTTCAGGAAGCCCCTGGAAACCTTGTCGAGAAACCAGAACCCCGGCATCGACATTGCTCTGCGCAACATGAATTACGAGGTCGGCGCCTCGCTCAAGACGTTTCGAGCACTTGTGCAATGTTTTGAGGCCGAGATCGAGCCTCTCCGCGACTGGGCGGAGGAGAGGACACTAAACACGATTTGGAGGAACAGGTCAAGGACAAGTGCCGCCATCAACGAGACAAGGAGAGGTTTGAGGGCGTGACAGGGCGAATCGGAGATTGCAGAGTGGCCCTCAAGGGCGCCGTAAAGAATGCCAAGATCTGGAAAGAGCTTTGGGATGACAGGTACAAAATCGAGGACCAGATACGGACTGCTAAGAAGGCGCTTCTTTACGCCGACTTCATCGTCGACCTTGCCGATAGAGCATCAAGTGAGCGCGTGGCATGCAAGCAGCTGGTGTCTGAGCTGGAAGAAGCGAGATGCTTGCTGGACAGGAAGAAGCATCCATGAATTTGTACGTCGAATTTTGCCAACGGATCTTGGCCCAACGCAAATTTTTCGAAGCGTGCAGGCGTATCGGGTTGTTTTTGGGCTAATCTAAGCGCGCAGACGGCGAAGATGTGACCGAAAGACTACGCTCCGATGTCGAACAGCCACGCCGCAGCACGAAAAGCACAAGAAAGAGCAAGGACGAAGGAGTCCAGAGAAGGGGATCGAGCCGGACGAGCGAGAAGAATAATCAAGCGGACGGGTGAGACGAGATGAAGACCGGAAAACAGGACGAGTCAACCTATCCAGGAGATAGCCGACCGAATCAGCTGCTGGAAGACGCAAGTGACAACCTGGACGGCGAGACATGGTATGCGGGGTGGCTGCAAGTTTGGTGCGTAGGTATGGATTCGTTTGTTTGTCTGGGTCGGTGGTTGTTGAGAGCGGCGGTAGGGCCCAGCGCCGTCGGTCCGGGAATCCCACCGGATGGATCGTTAGCAGTATCCTTATCCTTGAGGGCCAGAAAGAGCAACTCCGTACCTGTGAGAAAAAAAGATTGGTGAAGCCTCGTCCTCAACAGAATAATCGGAATCGGATTGTGTGGTCTTGCCCCCTGGAAGAGGCAAGACCACACGCTGCGTATTGCACTCAAGTGTTGCCCACAAGCTTCGTAACGGCTCTCCCAGAGGAACTGCGGAAACTGACACTCGCGTTGGACGCTAGGCAGCCCCGAGTCCTGCTTTTCTGATGCCAATTACAGACGCGATATCGCGCCAAGCCGTCACCGGCAGAGCCCGCGACCCGTCGAACGCCCGAGAGCGCAGACGGACGAGCCAAAATGTGAAGCTGATTCTCCGAATTTCTCATATGCCAATGAAATGGGTGAAAGCATTGCTTGCGCAAGCTCTCCGTTTGTAGCATAGAAACGCAGCGTTGAAGAGGATGAGGCTTCACGAGGGGAAAAAAGAAGAAGAAAAAGAGAAGTGCAGCAAGATTTGTGTCTGGAGTCATCGAAAAAACTTGCGGCTCTTGCCCCGCGAGCCTGTACTGACCAATCATGGGTCGCTACAACGACCCATCAATTCCCAGTATCCCACATGTCAGGGTCTCCGACTTCCTCGTCAGGGGAGAAATTTGACCCCCACACGTCCCTCTCACCGTGGGCAGCAAAAATTTGGTTCATGAGGCAGCAGTGGGTCACCACCGGCGTGGCACCTCCCGTCAGTCCCATCAGTCATCCTAGACGCAGGACGGGTGGTGCCGGGGATGGAGAGCCCAGACCGCTGGCCGGCGACAGCATCCTGTCGCCAGGACTCCTCCCGGAAAGTGGTGTTTCCTGGGAAGCAAGTCGGTAGTGCACAAAGTGATCTCGGTTCTTATCATAGATTTTTCTTTGGTTAGTCTGTATTTTTACACGTGCTGCACTTTGCACATCCGTCTTTCTCCGGTCCTCGCCGTTCTTGCATCATTGCTCTCCTCCTGAGTCCGTTCTGTGGACATGCGAGACATTGCGCTCCTCCCTCCGCCCGAAAACGAGCTCCCTCATCTCTGGCAGAAGCCAGCGTATGGAGTGCTGCTAGAGTGTCTCGAGAAGCTCCGTCTCGAACCTCGGGTCTGGAGCCTGAGTGTGTCTCGCGCGGATACTGTCAAGGAGCGAAATGCCACATTTCATGATCGCCGAGAGGCCCTTTCCTTCCTATCCGCAATCATTAGGAGCAGCCTGGCATGGCTGGACAGCGACGTCGAGCGAGAGGTGATCTGGGAAGAGGCAAGTAAGCGTCTATCAGAACGGTGTGGCCGGACGGGTACGTTACCTGAGACACCAGAAGACCAGCGGAGGGCTGACCATGACGGCAGCCATGGGAGAGATTACCCGGCGCTGGCCCTTTGAAGACAACGGCCATGGTGCTTTCAGCCTGGCTATTAGGGAGCCTCCTCTGACTGGCGACTCTCTTGGTCTCAAGACGTGGGGCTCCTCGTATGCTCTGGCTCGACTTCTTCACGAACTTGCGTTTGGGCCCCTCGCGCATTTGTTCGTCCCGGGTGCTATGTCGACGCCGGACGAGGTTCTGGAATTGGGCTCTGGCACCGGCCTTTTAGGGTTGGCCGCCGCCTGCGTCTGGAAAACGAGAGTTGTCCTCACGGATCTGCCTACCATCATCCCCAATCTGGCCCACAATGCATCCATTAACCGGGAAGTCGTGGAAGCACAAGGCGGCAGGGCTGAGGTTGCCCGGTTGACTTGGGGCGGCGCCGAGGGGGACATTGATCCGATGTTCAGGATTCCAAACCGCTATCAGGTTAGCAGAGGAAAGCCCCTGGGAAGTGTGGTCGCTGATAACCTGTGATTCTAGCTCATCATTGTGGCCGATCCCCTTTACGACGACGACCATCCGGCGCTTCTAACCAGCGCTGTCGACGAGCAACTTGCTCTCAGTGCGGATGCGCGCGTTCTTATCATGGTACCGCAAAGGGACGAGACCACGAAGGGTCTTCTCGGCGTCCTAAGAAAGGAGCTCTCCCGGCGTCCGAACCCACTCCTGTGTTTGGACGAAGACGTCGTGGATGGGCAAGACGACTGGGGTGAGGATAACGACGACGAGACCCGGCACGTAGGATTTTGGTGGGGTATATTTGGGAGGGCAGAATCGGAAAGAGGTTGAGTTTCGCAGCAGTGTTCGTACAGCCCCAGAGCGCGCTCATCTCCTATCTCGCCCGTCTCCTGGAGGGTGGCGTATGGGCTTGGCTATCACTTGATGGTCTCTTCCGACAACGTGGGCGTCGTCTGCGCATTGCTCGGCGTTGCGGGGCACTCCGCACTCCAGAGCGGCGAAACCTTTGTTGCCAACAGTCTCCCAAGCAGAAGGACAATCTGGCAGAGCCTCTTGGCCAAGGCTTCAAGCGCATCCTCTGGCGTAAGGTGCAACCTTCCTCCCGATAAGTTAACGTTGACCGGCCGAGAATGCCACCGATTGGCATTGCCACTGCTCGGTCACCAGGATCACCGTCTTGTCGTCCGATCCTCACAACTGAATTTGGCAGGTCGACATGTGCTTGGCGACTGGCCAAGAATGCACTCCTTCCAAGTTCCAGTATGATAAGCCGACTCTCTCGGCTGGCAATGGCATTGTCCTTAGGCGGTTGTTTTGATGCGACCAGTAAATACTTATATTAGGTAGCACATTGCCTTGCGTTAAGAACATTAAGACTCCGTCTCCCGCATTGCTTGTGCGACAGTTACGCGCGACCGAACCGTTTGACTTCTCACCGCCCACATCATGTCAGCCGAGAAACGTCATGCGGCGGACGCTGGCGCAACCGAGCGTCAAGTGTCCAACAGCACTCAAGCCGAGGATGAGGCAGTCCGGGTGAGGAAGCCATGGTGGCAACCAGTCGTCGAGGCGGGTTCTGCGGTGCAAATCGTCATTGCCGCCGTTCTTGCCATCGCCATCGGAGTGGCTGTCAGTTATACTGTCGCCGACATTCCTGCCGCAGCCGTGACACTTGTCGGCATCCCGGGCAGGCTATGGCTGCGTGCGTTGAGAGCCTGCGGTGCGTGAATATCTGCAGTGCCATCTCAGAAACAGTGCCCAGCTGACATGCCCTTCGCTTTACTCTTACAGTCCTCCCCTTGATCGTCACGGCTATTGTTCTCGCCGTACAACGGCTGAAGAAAATGTCGGGCGGCGGTCAGAAGCTCGCGAGGGTTACCATCATCTATTACGTTGCTACGACACTTCTGGCCATCGTCATCAGCACCATCCTGACCGATTTGGTCTGGGGGCGACTGATGCAGACAGTTGGAGAGGCCAGTCTTACAGTGGACGCGGACGACGCGGAAATATACGAAGAGCGGAAGGCGGTCGCCATCCACACGGTGGTCCAGGACATGTTCGACTCGCTGATACCGCAGAACGTGGTCAAATCTCTGGCCGACGACGCCTTGCTCGGCATCCTCGTGACCGCCGTTGTGGTTGGTTACTTGCTCAAGCCGACGTCGCACATTGTGCGGGCATTGGAGGAGATCGAGGAGCTGATCACCAAGATCATCACGTTCCTGATCAAGATTGCGCCCATCGGCGTCTTCTTCTTGATTCTGCCAAACCTGTTCCGCCTGGACATCCGAGATATCGGCCACAACCTCGGCATTCTCATTGGAGGCGGCGTCACGAACATGTTCCTGCATCTCTTCATCGTCCTGCCATTGATTTTCTTCGGCTTCACGCGCAAAAACCCTTTCGCGTACTGGATGAAGTGTTCCCCCGCCTGGCTCACCGCTTGGGGCTCTGCCTCGTCCGCGGCAACGCTGCCTGTCTCGATGAAGTGCGTGGCGGCACGGGGCGTCCCCTACACGGTCAACAAATGTATGTCAACTTCGCGCTCTTTTCGGTCCTTTCCAGATGTCTCGGGAGTCATGGGCGTCGAATCGTTCCCTAAGCGGCACTTTTGCTCCCGAAGAACTCCCAAGTCATCTTTATTAGGCATGAAATGACTGACATTGTTGGGCAGTCACCGTGCCCTTGGGTTGCCTGGTCAACATGGACGGGACAGCCATCTACTTCCCCCTGTGCGTCGTCTTTTTGGCCCGGACGCAAGGTCTCAGCCTGACGCCCGCCGACTACACTATTGTTTGCCTGCTGTCGACGTTGGCCTCCATTGGCACAACACCCATCCCCAGCTCGTCTCTTGTCCTGACCGTCATGATCGCACAGAGCGTCAATGTTCCCATCACGGGCATGTACGGCGTCATTATCGCGATCGACTGGTTCCTGGACCGTTTCCGCACCGCCGTTAATGTCAGCGGCGATTTGTACGCCGCGGCCGTCATCACTAAGATCACCGGTGTCGTGGACCCCCCGGAACATGAAGAGGATGGTGAAGTGGGGGAAGTGAGCGACAACAGCCAGAGGGTTTAAAGATGTGATTAGTACCAGTGGCCATTGGACTGCACTGCCTTCTCAGAGCGACATTGAACTCGCATTCTCCTTTCAGCACAGATATATGATTTGTGCTATCGGTGTTGGTCCCATCTGGGAACGTTCATATGTGAGATGACTCCTTGGAGGCCGTCTTGATGGGCCTTTCCGGTTCACCCACCACGACATACGGCCGACGCTCGCTTCTGATTTCCCTGTGGGGTTCAGATAGTGAGGAGCAACAACGAGGAGGAGACTGCTCCCGATCTTTGCAGGAGCTGAGTTCTCCAGACATTTTGTCCCTGCAACCTGATCCTGCCCACAGAAACAGTTAGGATGAGATGAGTGGAGACGCCTCTAGGGTGACGACACATTTAGGTACCTATGTATCTCATTTGACCAATTCTCGCCAGGTGTTGATTGGCGTCTTGGGCCTCCTCCAGCTTGACTTCAGCGTTGGAGTCATCGGATACCGTAGTCGATCTGATCCGTGTAGCTTAGATCATGAGTGCAGAGCCCTCAATTAACTACAATGCTCGTTTGAATGTGTCTGACTTGGGCTGCTGGCGAAGCAGGAGTAGATTTGCCGGTAGAAATGTAAATAGTGTCTTAAACTAACCTGCCTCGAATCTAGTCGACTCATGTTAGAAGTAGAGGTGGCAGTAGACTCGGAGATTGCTTGAGACACCAACTCCCCGGAATGGGGCCTCAGAATGGTGTCAGCCATGGTTGTACTTCCCAGCCTGGCGACACAACTCGGACGGTTCGCGCGCAAGAAATGAGAATGGGCAGATGGATGATATGCTACATCCTTTGTCTACCTTAAGCGATGTTCTGAGCCTTGTTGTTCCCAACATTAGGCCTCAGGACAATGTCCCAAAACACATCTCACAGAACGAAATCACATGGCATCATTGCTGAGTGCAACATGAGGCAGTAACAACAGGTCATGAGAAAACCGAGCCCAAGAAATGATAGGATCCTCAGCGATGACAACACAACACAGGGGAGCAGACACAACCTTGGCCCAACCGCAGTCGAGTACTCAAGATGTATTCACGCTCTTTCCTCTAAAAGCTGAGTTGAGTCAAGTGCCAAACCAGCCACGTTAGGTCTGTCAAACCCCAGTGAGATTGAGGAAGTGGTGCCAACGAAAACCTCTCATTCCTCTTTCTCCATGTCTGCTTCTGTTCGTCAAAGCCCTGTCTCGTGAAACCGGAATCTCGGTTTCGTTTGGTTCGTCATCATCCCTCTAACAGCCTCAACATTAACCACACGATACTCCAGCGCTTGACGGCAGACGGAAACGAGACGGCAGGTATCTGGAAATTCCATCTCATCCAAAAATGACCCTAATATCCCCAGGCAACGACGAGACTTGTGTAGATCTGTTCCCCTTGTACAATACCCACCTCCGGCACCGATTATGAGCGAGAGAAAACGATTCTGTTTGCAGATCAAAGAGACAGGGTATCTAACAGAACTTGGAATGAGACGGAAAAACGACCAATCAGGGATGCGAGGACCGAGATTGATCCAGGCCTCGGGCGGATGGAGGGGGTAAGGTGGTGTTGTAGGACAAGTGTTGGGGCACCTCGCGGAGCCATGAGTTTGTCCGTCGCAAAACCCCGCCGGTAACAGGGAGACAGTCGAGACCAAGTGGACTTAAATGGTGGAATACTATTCCGAGCCGTGGAACGGAGGTGACGGTCAGACCAGTGGAAGGAGAAAGAGGGGGAGATTGACGGCGTTCAACATCGACACAATCGTATGGTGATCGAGATTGGGCGGAAGTGGTCAAAGGATTGGGAATCAAACCATGTTGAGTTGTTGACCTTTCCCAACAAGGTCGGATGCAAAACATGTCGAAACAGCGACTTGGTTGGGGCGGTGTAGGTTGATTCGGAATGCGCAATTTCGGTAACAGAGGCGCGCAGGACCTCTCCTTCAAGAGTAAGGCAGCAGCCAGACTTTTCCACCGAAGCCTGGCCCCTGAAGCGGATACAATGCACCTGGTACGAAGGCCTGCTTATGTTCTCTACACGGTGATTGACATATTCTTCCTCGTCTCGGCATCCTCGGGCTGGGTCCCAAAGACCAGGCGGAAGAGATCCCGTAGAAAGCCGTATTGACCAGAGCGAGCCATCATCCACCCAACGCTCTTGGAGATCTCAACAGCAGTGAAACGCTTTCCGCGAACGGGAAGACTGCCCGAGGCTCTGAACGACGTGTCGTTAAGCACAAGGTTCTTGTAATTCTGGAGCAGCGTCGCATGAGCGGGCAGCGAGCCGAAGGAGCCCGTGGGCAGACCCTTCACAAAGTTCTGCAGGGAGGCGGCACCGCCAGTTCCATTGGCAGAGGCTGCGTCGCGGTTGAAACCGATATTCATGGCGGCCTTGACGATGAGCGCCTTGATGCGCGTGATGTTGATGTCCTCGACAGTGGCGGCCGTAGTGGCTGTGCTGGAAGTATGCTGACTGCTTTGACTGTAGCCCGACAGGTTCGACGCGTTGCTTGACCAGCGGCCGCCGCCACGGTCGCTTCGAGAGTCGGTTGACGTGCCGAGAACCAAGATGTTGGGCATCTGCGGACTAGCGTCGGGCGACATGGGTGTGTCTTCGAACTCGGTGACAGGAGTCTCGGGAACGACGGGATGTGGCCGCGGCCGCTCGATATCGGCGAGGCTGCGGAGACTCTCGCGTTTCGAGTGCAGCGACGCACGGCTACCAGCATTGGATCGCGTGGCGTCGGATTGATGACTGCTCATAGCTTGGAGGCCGTAAGGAGGACCGGCGGCAAAGAAATTGATCTGGTTCGGCCTCGGAGTCCCGCGATCTGGCCGGATCTGGGTCCAACCCTCGCGGAAGATATCGCAGAGCTCCCAACATGCCTGCACGGCCGAGCCAAGCAGCTCTTCGTCGGGCGCCTTGCCGTCTCGCCGATTCTGTCGGAGACTGAAGAGCATCTCGGCGAGCGACCAGCATGCTCGAAGAAGCGAATCTGTCTCTTCGGCTAGATCACTGCGTTGCTTCATCAGTCGGTGACAGAGCGTGATGTAGAAGTCCAAGGTCCGCTCTCTGAATGCCTCGGGGAGCGAGCGGCTATCTTGCGCACTATAGAGGCTGCGATCACCCGTTAGCTAGGGGGTTCTTGGTGCATGGGAACTGGACGAGACGGGCAGGGACATCCGTACTGGTTATTGAGCTCAAAGCTGACTCTCAGGATGGAATCGGCCGTCTCGTCCTTCTTTTGCCGCACATCGAACAATGCCTGGCAGAAGTCTCGGCATAGGTCCAGGTTGGTCCGAACACCGTACGACTCGGAGATGTCGTCTCTGCTCTGATAGAGCCGCTTGCAGAGCTTCCAACAGCTCTTCCAGGCCTTCTCGTGAGCATCTGGTGTCCCTGAACTGTTGAAGACGCGCTCTCGGTGAATCGAGCTCAGGTTAGCAAGTGTGTTACACAGCGTCCAGCACTCCTCGAGAGCGGCCTTGAGCGCTTTGACCTCGCTATCCTGGCCAAGTGTTGGGTCCCTGAATACGTCGGCGTCATCGTAGTCGTCGTCGCCGTCGGCTTCGTGCGTCTCAGGTATCACTGCGAGGCATGTGTCAGATGGGGGAGCTTCCAATAAGAGGCACGACCTGACAAGTCTCACGCTCTAAACTGCTGGCTGTGCTTGACCGCACTTTTGACGAGTCGCTTGCAAGTACATCCTCCAGCTTTTGCGCCTGCGGGGTTGGGGCGTCCAATCCGAACGTCACTGGCTTGACCTTGGTGTTGACTGTGGGTGGTGGCTGACTTGGAGGCGTCTATTTTTCCTGATGTGTCAGAATGAAGCGGATTCTGCGCGACAAGATATATGGAGGCGGGCTCACGACTGTTGACGGCTCGCTGGGCGGAGGACTGCTGGTGCTGGTGCCTTCGGCGCTGGTACCGCTCGCCGAGTTAGAAAGCGTCGACTTCGAAGCGGTCTCACTGGACTTCTGGCGCAATGCTGGAATCAACATGGAAGCTCAACGTCAAGGTAGCATGCCAGGTATCATACCCAATGTTCGAAGCTCGGTGGCGCATGTATTACTGAGACAACCTCTTCGCTCAGGGGCCTTCGAAGGTCATCAGGGATATTCGTCCGTAACATCATGAGCTGGGAGCGGTCAGCAAACCCGGAGGATGTCGCTGTTCGCACCGACGTGAACATACCGAACGCCGCACATGGCCATTTTCTGCCTCGGCGTTCTCGGCCGCCTCATCCTCAATCTCTGTGGTCTCGGTCCCGTTTGATGTTACGGGGGAGGGCCCAACAATGTCACTACTCGGGCTCATCAGGTGAGCCGAGCTTGGCCTGACGAAGGAATGTGGACGTAACGACTGGGAAGAATCGGGCCTCGACGAAGAACTGGCAAAGGAGAACAACAGTCAGGACATGCAGATTGAGGTTTCGAACTCTGGTAGGATTCATACGCCATATACTGGGAGGATAGGGCGGGCGACTCGGGCCCGGTGGAGAACGACATGTCTGCGTACGGCGAGTATATCGAGGTGACACTTCCTGTTGATGACCTCAGGGGCGCCTCAAGTGCCATTGCGCTCAATCCTGGCTCGACGGGTAGCGGGAGGCCGAGGCTGGGAAGATTCTAAAGGCCTAGGACGCACGTGCGATGGCTGCAAGCACAGGATAGGTGCGTTCGAGAAGAAGATGGCTGGATGGGGTCAGGAGCTCGGATGGATGCGATGCTGCTAGTGACGAACGACAAGAGTCAAAGGGTCTACTCTGATTTGGCTGTCGCGGGTCGTCCTGGAAATCTTGTTTTCGCCGGCGCTCGTTGAATAGTGGCAGAGGCGACCAGACGGCTCCAGAGCGTTCTCTTGCCCTGGCACGACGGATCGCCAGCGTGAGCTTTGAATCCTGAGTGGGACTGGAGCTGAATGGCGGACGGCGGATGGTGGACTGAGCTCGCACCCGTCTCGCCAGCGGGGAACAAGACGGGCCGTGTGTGAGGACAGCACGGAAAAACACGACTCGTTTGGTAAGACGTGACCCTGCTTGGCGAGATGTGTGCAAAACCAACGGTGCGGGGCGGCGGCGACGTGGTTTGTCGGCGCGGGAGCGGTGGACGTTAGTAGCTCGTTGGATGGGTTTGGAAGAGGAAATCCGGCATCGAGCGTCGTAGCGGTCGAAGACAAGCACGTCGATGCGCCCGATGAGGAGAAAGCAGCAGCCAAACGGCAAGGGTGCCAACGACCGCCAAGGGCCTGGAGAGTGGGAGCCTTGCTCAACAGGGAATAGACGATACCAACAGACCCTCCTGCAGCAGCACGGCGCGGCACGGTGTGTTAACGTTAGGTACCAAGAAGAGATCCTTCGCCCAAACATCCCCCACAAACAGGTTCGCCATGAAAGCGCTTCCTTCTGTCGAGTGCCTGCTGGTTGGATCGTCCGGTACGGATGCTTTACCCAAGTAGGGTTACCTGCTTTTACCTTTCGCTGGGCCCGCTTGCGGACCTGCCGGAACACAATGCTTTGAAGGATCTCGAAACATAAACCCGGAGTTCTCAACCTGGAACTGTTGAGTGCGTGCAGAAAAGCCGATTTTCCATCCCACATATCCATACAGGCATACAGGGACGGATGGGCGTCGCTGGTTGTCGAGCCAGTAGGAAGCCGGCGAAAAAGCCCCTCTTCTGCCGATGCGCTGCATGGGCATGACACCGGCGCTTAACCAGTTGCTGTGGCTCGCTTTGCCAGCAAGTCAACAGCCTCTGTCTGACAAGCCCCTCCCATGTCCGTGTCGCGCCGGGGTGAGGGGCATTGAAGCGGCCAATGGGGAGCTAGTCGGGCTGATCCCAGAACACCACTTCGTTCCCGGCCAGTTGGGCAACATCTCGATGGTCGTTTGTTTCCCTTTTGTTTGACGAGTTCACCCAATGGGACGAGAGCGCTGCTGCAACACGCGTCTCTCAGGCCCTGGTCGCCGATAGGGCAGTTGGAGCTTTGACTTTTTGGGAGCTTCTGGAAGTCGAGAGCTCATGACGAGGATAAATCATGAAACCAAGCAGGTCCTGGAAGCAGGAACTAGATCAACCTTGCATACCAAAGGCAGCTCGAGATACAACTTCAAAACCTTCGACTTAACAATATGTCGCAGGGCATACGAAACCTGTTCCAGGTGTGCACCCATGTCGATCCCGATGAAGGAGCATGTATAGAGCCGCGGTTCGGCCCTCTGGCTCCGGTGATAGCAGCGTTCCAGGAGCCAGGTGTGTCCGGACACAATCTGTGGTAGCAGAGAGAGACTGAAGCCGGCAATGTGATCCTGCGGGATGTCCTTGAAGAGGCGGTAGGTAACGGTGCAAGCTGGCCTTCGTTAGGGATCCGGAGTCTTCAAGTTTGCTGAGTTGGATCCCAACGATCTGGATCGATTCCCGTTTTAGCACTAACGCTAATGGGCGGGCGAGGGCCAAAGCCTTTGAACACCGCCGTGTGCCTCCTGGCGTTCAATGCGGAAGGTATCCGTACCCGTGTCTTGACCAAAACCTGCTGATGGCCAATTATCGGCCAGTCGTCTATTAAGTCCATGCGACGATGTGCACTTGTACAGATTGATTTCTTTTGTCCAAGCGTTCCGCTCCGGCATGTGACTCTCTCTGTACGTACGGATATGGTACCGGAGTGCACCGTGGGCCGTAAGGTATATTTCTGCATAAAGTCGGGCCTGCAACCTAAGGTTAGCACTGCCGTAGACCAATTCGGCTTCGCTCTAATGTCGTGATTCCAAGCTAGGTTGTTGGTCCACGAGATTTGTCCAGGCTTGAGACGTGAGCCAACGTGATGAATAGGTTGTAAAAAACACAGATTGATTGGCCAGCCTCACCGCCACGTAACCACCAAAAGTTTGGGAACGCTGCTCGCCCCATGATTCTCCATTACCGGGGCTCGCAGTTACTTTGGGGAATGCTCGTGAAATCCTATCAAGGACTGTAAGAATGAACCATCTCCCCGTCGCGAAGCAGTAGAGCTCCATTCATACTTAACTTCCCGGCCTTGCGTACTCGCGGAACTCGAGTCTCGACCCACTGCCAACCCACTGGAAGGGATAGATGCCTTTTCGAATCCTGAACAGCACCCATTGATACCCGGCGACCCTGAGACTCTTACGCCATCCACGTGATCGCAGAAAAATTATTAACCCTGTGCAACATCCGTATGCCACGATATCATCCTTCAGGCAGATAATGCGTTGGCTCCCAAAAAGCACCGTGAAGGACATGGCTTTCCGGACCTATCGCGATCCTGCCGGCATATGCGCCCCTAGCCTCGGAGAACTGACTGACCGACCCAGCCCAAGCCACCTGTCATCCAATATAAACCTTGACGCCGTCCGTGCAAACGAATGCGATTCCCTAGCCGACGAAGCATGGCTCAAGCTTCCCAAACTCCTAGGGGTGAGAGGGAAATGCATGGCCATGCCCCTTGAACGCCCGCTGATGCGTATCAAAAACTGACTCCTGGGTGTGGGTGCGATGGTGCTAATCGTGGTTGCGCTGCTGCATCTCGATCTTCTTGTAGTTTCGACCGTCCGGGGTGTACCTGAGACGAATCGTTAGACCTCGGGCTATCAACAAATATTCTTGCGCAGACATACTTCAGGAGCTTCTCAATGAGGTCGACGTGTGTCATGACCATGCGCCGGCAGCAGTACCGTTTGCACCCCAACTGGTCGAGGGCGTCACTGTCCATCCTTTCCGTCAGCTCGCTGACCAAACTGCGAAGTGCCGAGTGCTTGCCACCTACCCGTCGCTGAGCCCCTCCTCCTCAATAAGCTTCACAAACTTCTCCCACAGGTCGCCCGTCACCTGGATAGCGAGTTAGCCAAAGAGACATCCGTCCAGGTTGTGCCGCGCAACCCACCTTGCCGCAGGAAAAGCAGCGGATCGGAATGATCATGTTGTCGGCGTTGGGCGAGCTTTTGCAATTGTTGGTATTATTCCAGCAGATTGGTGTATGCTGTAGATGCGGCGAAGGCGGCGAGGCGCAACTGTTATGGATGGAGCAAAGATTCTGCAGATCTCATAGATTCGTCGTTCTGGAGCCAGTCGCGGCTTGTGATGGACGAGCCTCAAATCTTTGTTCCCTGGCCAGAGCCCTGGTCTGTGCGTATCACTGATAAGCGGCTGCCCCACTCTAACCTTTTCGAACGTACCTCTCCGCCAAAATTTCTTCTGCCTGCTTTGCAATTGGAGCTGATATCTTCGGCGTGTTTGTATGCCCGGCGTTGGCGCAGGTTGTCCAAGTCCATATCCGCCACACCCGTTTCTCTGCCCGGTCCGCCGCCCAGGATGATATCGAACATAGATGTGAACGGCGACACTGCCTCCCTAAAACGGAAGCGGGAGCCGAAGGACGACACACCCTCATCACTGAAGAAGCACCGCCGAAGATCTAAGCTACCAGAAGATGCTGTGGCGGGAGAAAGCGCCAGCGCACAGGACGACCAACGAATGAGCAATACGGCGCTGCAACATGTCAATGGCGGCCTCGAACTCCCCGATGCTTCATCACAACCCCCAGACGGTGCGGTCCGACAGCGGCTAGCATCATGGAAGGTATCGAAGCCAATGGGTGGCAGGATGCAGGACATTGACCCGGTCTTCTCCCGTGACGAAAGGTGAGTGCGTTCAACTACAAACAGGCGATGGGATTGCAGGAGAGCGGTCAGCTGACAGGGACAGGTACATAATAATTACCTACAACACTTCAATCCAGGTGTACTCGACCGAAGACTCTCTGCTTGTCCGCAGGATTGCCCTCCCCCTGACAAGGACGGACGACGCGACTGAACTCGTGGCGACCCATATCGTTTCTGCGGTATTATCCAAATGCGACACTGATTATTTATGGGTCGCATGCTCCGACGGCCGCCTTTGGCATATCAACTGGACATCTGGGGCAGGCGCAGACACCCCCTTCAGGATCGAGGCCAAGAAGGTGTTAGACGTCGCGGTGGATGCGGTGGAAATTGGCGGCCAGTTTGAAGATGTTCTGCTGGTTTTGAAGAGGCTCACAAAGAGCTCTGCGCAGATAGTCGCCTATAACGTCAAGGCGCTATCGACAAGGAGCGGCAAGCTTTTGCACACCTACGATGAGAGCCCGCAGTTACTCCGGTCCGCTGCCGAGAGCAGGCTGATCATCGCTGCTGCAAAGGAGACAGTGCATATTGGCCTCCTGAAAGCGAAGAAGCTGGCCTCGTTGGATGATATGGCTTACCGCTTCCACTGCTTCAATGTCCCAGATCTTGTCACTTGCCTGGACATTCGACACACAATGCGGGCAATCAAAAAGGGCGGCTCCGACCTCCAGTCTGTGGATCTCGTGGTCGGCTGCGCTCGGGGCGCCATCTATGTGTACCATGATCTGCCGTCCAAGCTCCCAGGAGAAACATCTGGTTCCTCGAGGGCAGGCGTGATCCAGCCAAAGAAGTACCACTGGCATCGTCGAGCCGTCCACAGCGTGAAATGGTCTCAGGATGGTGAGCGCTTTCTTTTGCCTCGGATTGGCTTTCTAACTGACAGGCGACAGGCAATTACCTCATCTCCGGAGGCTATGAGACTGTTCTGGTTCTCTGGCAGGTCGATACCGGAAGATTAGATTTTCTACCACATCTTTCCGCGACCATTGAGAACATTGTCGTCTCTCCCCGTGGAGCCTCATATGCTATTCACCTGGATGACAACTCAACAATGATTCTGTCCACCGCAGAGATGCGACCGACAATGTACGTCTCGGGGATTCAATCACTCGTCCTTGGCGACCGCCCTTCTAAGGAGTCGCTGGTTCGTCGTGTCTGGCGCCCTGTTGAGGAGATTGCGGCCCCTTTGGTTGCGTCTGTTAACCCCCGGAACCCATCACAAATGCTCCTGTGCGTTGGCAATGGTCAGCAAGCATCTTTGGGGGGAGGGTCTACGTCCACTCCTCTCCTCCAGGTATTCGACATCTCTTCATTTCACGGTGTCACCAAGCATGCCCTTGCGCGCACCAATCCTACAGACGCCAATGTTACGAGCGACGGTGTACCCATCATTGAACCAACCGTCACGAAACTTGCCTTTTCTCAGAACGGCAAGTGGCTCGCCTCGGTCGACGAATGGCAACCGCCTGAACGCGATGCAGACGCTCTCTTGACCGGATCAAAAACGTCTGCCGAAGCATGTCGCGAGAGGCGAGAGATTTACTTGAAGTTTTGGGAAGTCGGGGCAGGAGACCAGCCTTTCCAACTTGTCACGCGCATCAATGACGCTCACTATACCGACCGGACACAGACGATATTCGACCTCGCCAGCGATCCGACCTCATCTCGATTTGCCACGATTGGCAACGATGGAACGGTGCGGTTTTGGGCCCCGCGGTTGCGTAGGAGAGACGGGCTCGCGGCTACCGGACTTGGTGGCCAACCGTTGCGGAGCTGGACTTGTTCCCGAACTGTTTCCCTTCCCATCTACGAGCAGCAGGATGACTCTGTCGACATCCCCACAAAGCACACGGCGCGTAGCGGTGCCATCACTTTCTCGGAGGATGGCTCCGTTCTCTTCGCTGCCTTCGGTCCCCCATTTGGTGCAGTCGTGGTCGCCATTGACACAAAGACAGGGACGGTCCGCGATGTTGTCTCTGGCATGTTCAAGGGCGAGATCCGCGCGATCAAGTCCCTGTCATCATCTTTAGTCATGCTCTCGGAGGATCTCGTTGTCTACGATATCGTGTCGGATGAGGTACTTTACAACTACTCCCTCAAGGAAACGTCCGAGGATGCTAAGCACCTGACCCAAATGGCTGTCAACTATGAGTCACGGAGCGTTGCACTTGTTGCACCGGTCCCGAATCTGAATCAGGGGAAGATGAAGAGGGGCGCAAGATCAGAGCTTGTTGTCCTCAACATTGAGGACGACGAGCCCCAGTTGGTCCACACATTTTCGCACCTGATCACGTCCGTGTGCGCGACGCCGTCATCCTCCGGATTTATCGTGGTCGATTCTGCAGCCCAGATTTGGTCCATAACGGAAGGCACCGAGCAAGCACCCCTCCTTCAGCCACTCGCCGATTTGAGGGTAGATGACTACGATGCTACAGGTGGAGAGCCAACACGAGGAGAGGTCCAGCTGCTGGAGGGTGACGCTAGCGATGAAGAGATGGAGGATGCGAACCAAGACGTGGAAATGGAAGATGACGATGACACGCATGCTGCTGTTGTAGCGCCTCAACGTTTGGCCGAGGTATTCAGCGCTGCCCCAGCCTTCGCCATGCCGCCGATAGAGGACATCTTCTATCAGGTGGCTGGACTGCTTTCTACGAAGCCTGTCAGAGCTTAGCGGCGGTCAAATCCATCAGATGTTCTCCAAGTCTCCAATCCCACAAACGGCCCTGGGCCGGCGGTCAAGCTGTGGGGTGCGCCCTCCGTTCGCCGGTATGCCGAAATACACCGTGCCCTGTGCTTCCTCCGGCCCGACCTGTATCTGTAGCGGTCATCAGCGCAGAGCCAACAGACGCAATTCCCGAGCCGTTTCATGGCCAGATTCCCGCCGTTGCCTTCCGAAGTAACCACCGCGAAGGCAGACCGCCGGTTCGGAGATCAACGGTGACGGGAAGGGACAATCTCCAAGATTGATATTCGGCTCTGTATTCGCAAGGGCCGTGCCGAACGGAGGGTCCCTTGACCCCACTGTCCCGCGTCCCTGGTGTTATTGTTGCAAGCTGTGGGGCAGGATGTAGCAAACCCCGATGTCGACTGATTACGCCATACTTTAAGGGCAAGGAGCGAGGAGATCTGGACACTGCTGAGGGACGCTTGCGGGGGAGCAGTGCACAATGTCCAGCCAAAACAATGCTTCGAGAGAGCCTATAGATACCCAATTGACGTAGTCCCCAATACATGCAGTTTGTGCGGAGGCGGATGTCCTTTGCGAATGCCTCAACTCGCCACATTGAAACGAAGCTACCTTCCTCGGAACCAGCCCCTATTCCTCGCATCCAATCCGAACTCTCGCAGAGCTGAAAAAAAGATGTCGTTCACTTCAATTCCCGTCTTGGATCTGGCGCTGGCTCAGGATCCGGCCACGAAGCCCCGCTTCCTCTCCGAGCTGCGACACGCGTTGATGGAGGTCGGGTTCCTTTACCTGAAGAATGTGGGCATCTCAGACGAGTTCTTCAAGCTGGTGATCGAGGAGGGCAAGAAATTCTTCGACATCCCGGAAGAGGAAAAGTAGGGGACTCTCATCGACAACAAATTTCAGATGTGACTGACTCAACCCCTAGACTCAAAATCGAAATGAAGAATGCGCCCTCCTTCCTGGGCTACTCCCGTCTCTCAGCAGAGGTCACAGCCGGCGCAATTGATCACCGAGAGCAGATCGACCTCTCAACGGAGCATCCTCTCCCGGGTCCGGACGCTCCACGGTTCTACAACCTGCTGGCGCCAAACCAGTGGCCATCGCCGGCGGTGCTGCCCAACTTCAGACACGTCTTCACCGAGTACATGAAGCGCATGGGCGAGATCTCAATCTACTTTACCAGCCTGATCGCCGAAGCCATCGAGCTGCCGAGCGACGCTTTCAACAAGTACTTTGACGCGGACCAGCAGCACAAGCTCAAGATAGTCAAGTATCCCGACGTCGGCGAACTAGGTGCCGCCGGCAAGGGCGGGAATCAGGGTGTTGGGCCGCACAAGGATAGCAGTGTGTCCCCCCTTCCCCCCCCGCCCCCCTCCCCCAAAACCACCCCCCATCCCCAGCGACATTTCCCCTTTTTTCTCCCTGTTGTTCTTTCCCTCAATACCATGCCGGATAACTGCTAAAGAACCAGTGCTATCCTCGTACCTCCTGCAAGCCTCGCACCACCGCGGGCTCCAGGTCCAAAACGTGCGCGGCGACTGGATCGACTGCCCGCCGATCGAGGGAACGCTGATAGTAGCAATCGGCCAGGGTCTCGAGGCGCTCACGCAGGGCGTGTGCGTCAGCACGACGCACCGCGTACTCTCGCCGCCGGCGGGACAGGGCGCCCGTTTTTCAATCCCTTTCTTCCAGGGTGTCAGTGGCGGTGCAGACTTTGACGATCTCGAGAACGTCGGCGTCGGCAAGGTGCCCGAGCACGTGAGGGAACAGAGGCGGCGGGTGCTGGAGAGGAACGGGGGCCGGTTGGACGACGTCGAGTTTACGTTCCGCAAGGGGGGCGTGGCCAGGACGCTGGGTGAGGCGACACTCAGGAATCGCGTCAAGAGCCATCCTGATGTGGGCGAGAGGTGGTATCCGGATATTCTGGCCAGCGTTAGGGAGGAGCAGGCCAAGCTGAGGGAGAGGCAGGGAGGGGCTGCCGGACATAGGGGCGTAGAAGACCCTACTGTGAGTGCTCAGTTGGTGGATGCGCACTAGGCAGGTGGCTTGCCAGGAATGATACCATGACTTTCTCCTGTCGATTTGACATAGGTAACAAGCAACACTCAACCGTGTTCCCATAACGCTGAGCGGCAGCTCTGGCGGTTGTTGGGAAGTAGCCTGAAATCATCCAGCTTGAACTCGGTCGCTAAACCCACCACATGCGACAAAGAGCCAAGGAGAAGAGACGGGCAGTTAAACAGCAAATCAGTTTGTTAACGCCTTCCGTCTACGCTATGCCCATAACCTAAGCAGTTCTCGGTCCGTCACACCCGTTTCTCATTGGACTCGTTTGTCAGTCGTGATGCCGTCATTTGGCGTCGGCAGCCTTAAAGTGAGGGAAGCATTGCGGCAGTGTCGAGTTGTGCTTGTTGACGGCGTGCAGTGTAAGCCTAAGTAAGGAAAGCAACAAATGTTAGCCCGGTCACCCATCGGCTGGTACTTGGTGGGATCCGTGGAAAAGAAGGGCGTGGCATCGTACTGTGGTTCGCGGGAAGTCGAGAGAAAGGTCTGCTTGCACACGGCGCAGATGATGTTCATGGCGGCGACGTTCTGTGTGCGAAGAGTCCTCGGTCAGATTCATCCCCGTTGCCAGCAGCACACCTCAAACCTCCAAGATATACGTACGGCCTTCAACTGGGAGGCGGCCTTCGGTGCGGCCTTCTTCTCGTTCCGGGCGCGCTTTTGCGCTGCCTTGGCTCCCTGCGCGTCTAATGTCAATAGATCTGCAGTTTTGGCCATCTCGCTTGCCGGAGAGCCGGAAAGCCAGTGGAGAGAGAGAGGGAGGGAGAGAGACATACGTTACCGCCGCCCATTGTGTTGAGCGGGTGTCTTCTGAGTGTCCTCTCTTTTCTTGTTGCCTCTCAGTGCGATGGGCCGCAAGTTGCCGCTTCTGTCCGCGATTTTCGGTCTTTTCTTGACTCTTTTTCTGCCAGCGGCAAGTGGAGTGCCACCTGAAAATCGGAAGCGGTCAGCGTTGCGACGGCTTCGGCCTTCACATGGAAGGTGTTGGATTTGGCAGGTGGTCAGAGAGGGCAGTTCAGGGGTGACCAATGGCTTGGCACCAGGATTCTCAGGATCAGGAACAGGCAGGGAACTTCTGGAAGAACACAGACAGGAACATCATCATAAATTGAGTGGTTGCCCATCTTTTTGATACCCAATTACTACAGTGCGGCACATTCGTGGCTGTTGGCTTTCCAACAGAAGGCATGCTGCGTGCACGGGTCACCATGAGGCTCGCGCACGGCTGTAGTATTGAAAAACCCTCCCCTAACCTGCAACCGGGTGACAAAATAAGTCACTCTCATAATGCTGAACACGTACTAGATACCTCGACCTCCTAGTATTTTCAAGATAATAAAAGGTCATCTAATGGCACATTAACGTGCTCTCTCTCTCAACCGTATCCTAGATTAATTAATAGAATTATTTTTATTATTTCTATACTACTATGCCTAGGGCTCGCCTGGCCCTCTATCACTAATTATAAAAAAATCATGCTTATAAGGCTGAAATTAAAACCTCTGTCTTCTCTATACTAGTCTGAAGTCTTGAATCTATCTGTTATAGTGAAAAGGAAGGCGTTGTCACGGCGGGACAGGCGGACAATCCAATGACAATTGTATTCGGGCTAAACTACAGTCTAAGCTCTATTCCGTCAGGTACGGGCAGGCTTGATTGTCAAGACGTAGCTCGAGGAGCTACGAACAGGTCTCGCGGCACCGAGGTGCAGAATATTTAACCCACAGGGGCCCGTGCTTTCCACATGCCGGGTTCCACCCGTGGGTCCTAGCAGGCACGGCGCAATCGCCGTGACAGGCGTAAATAGCTAATCAGAGCTATTGAACTAGCTTAGTTCTAGCTGTAAAGCTAGCCTATACTCCAAGAGCCTCTTAGGACATAGTAGCTACCTAATCATCTTCTTTAAAAGCCTTCAGTTTTTGCTTCCCTACCTGTTGAGAGCCCTATATAGATCTCTCTGCCAACGTATCTGTCACGGGATTCCCCGTTCCTGTTCTCATGGTTATGTCATATGCTTGCGGTTATGCATACGTCATGGGGTCTGATCATACGTCTATGGTCATGCTTGCGCATAGGCCTTTTGTCACGGCGATTGCGCCGTGCCTGCCAGGACCCACGGGTGGGGCCCAGCGTGTGGGGGCCCCTGCGGATTGAAGATCCTGCACCTCGCTGCCGCGAGTTCTGTTCGTAGCTCCTTGAGCTACGTCTTGACAATCAAGCCTGCCCCTAGACTGTAGTTTAGCCCGAATACAATTGTCATTCGATCATCCACTTGTCCCGCCGTGACAGTCACCCTCCTAGCTATTGTAGCCTCCAATACCTTACATAAGGTAGGTAAGAGAGCTATAGGCCTACAGACTTTAGCAGTTCTATACGTAGCCAGAGATTTCTCTGACTTCATTAGAACTACTATATTGGCCCTCTTGAATCTTAGGAGAATACCACTGTGATTCTAGGTAGGTATAGAGTACTGCTAGGATCTGGAATAGTAGCCTTCTACAGACCTTTATCAAGCCTGTAAGTATAGGGTTCTCCTAGAGCCTTCTATGAATAGATCTCTGAGAGGGCTCTAGCTATATCCCTAATAGTAACTTCTTATTAGAAGTAATGGCACTTGAAACTCGGAAACTGGGTTGCCGGTGTAGCACCCTAGTCGGGGGTAATACACAGCTGTTACATAAGGTCTGGGAGGTACCCAGGTAACTTGAGGAGAAGAAGGGAAGAGAACTCGATTGACAGATTCTGGGCTGATCCTGGGTACTCGAAAAGTTCAATGTTTTAATGGCTCTCATAAAGCGTGTCACCGTGGAATCGTGGCTGTTGGCTTTCCAACACTTCTTTCCAGACCTCGAACTGTGGTTGGTCGAAGGCTTGATTGAAGGTAGTATCAAGGATATCGCTAAGGTTAGCGGTCCAGAAAATATATCTGAGTCAATAGAGGATTCGAGTTAATAGAAAATCTGAGTCAATAATGAATTACATTAACGTTATATATAATCTAACAGTGCTGCTCCTACTTATTAGCTGCTATCTCATTTATCAAATCATAGAATCTTGATACCACAGTACGTATGGTATTGTACAGTACAGACCGGTATTGATATTGGAAGCTTCAGAGGGCACTCAGGTACGGATACTACTGTACCCAACTTGGACGCGGCCGGCCGAAGCGAGCTGGCCAGCCGCTGAATTCGTCAAGGGTAATCTCAGGGAAGCTCTTCCGGGAAAATCACCTGAACCTGCCCTGAGGTTGTCGGCACTATCACCGGCTCAGGCCAGCGTATCTACGGCGCGCCCTCCCGGACACTCGACTCCGCAGCATTGAGACCCCTGTGGATCTTGTGGATCTCACGATCCCATCTCGCCAGTTGTTGGCCCTGCACTGCAACCCCCGGTCCGGCATCACAAAGCAGCCGCAATGGCAAGCTCAGCCGCCCCGTCGCCGGATACCATTTCCGTCAGCGAGTTTCACCACTACCTTGAAAGATATCCTGCCTGTATTGCGGCCATTTCTAGCGCTAGAGGAGGTAAGCAAATCGCCTGGAGCTTCCGTACCCAGCACCGGCCGCTGATACTCCACCATCACAGCTAGACTGGGCCAGAGAACACTGGCTGCCCTGGATGAATATCGGTATGGGGCGGCTCTCGACACCTTTGGTTCCGGGACCCCGGACGTGGCCATGGGCCTTGATGATGTTAAACAGCTTGTCGAGTGGAAACTGTACGTCGCCTCTGCTCTTTCACACTCTGCACTTCATACCCTTATGCCGACCCGTCTGCTGCCAAGGCTGCCGGGTCCGAGACGCACAACGGAAGACCCTGCATTGATTGATTCGCGCTTATGCTTTAAGCGCTTTCGTATCGATCCCATTGATATCGCTAACATTCTCTGGTCCTATCCATCAGTCGGCATGGGAAGTTTAGGCCCACCTTGATGAAACTGGTATCGTCGAACGAACCACATTGTATCAAGGACATCATTCAGGAAGCCGTCAAGCACTACCAGGAGAAGTCTGACGTATCCGGCGCGCTCAACATTCTCATCAAACTCAAAGGGATTGGGCCGGCTACCGCATCTTTGCTGCTGGCTGTCCATGATCCAGAGCATGTTATATTTTTCGCCGATGAAGCCTTCTACTGGCTGTGCTGCGACGGATCAAAGGCACCCATCAAGTACAACCAGAAGGAGTACACTGAACTGAATGCGCGTGCCCAAGCGCTGGCCAAGCGGCTTGGTGTGAAAGCGGTCGACATCGAGCGTGTGGCATTCGTCCTGATGACACAACCGAGAGATGCGAAGACCATCTCGGCAGGTGTGACCAAATTGCCAACCGGATCCCCTGCCGCGACCACGGGCAAGAAGCCGCCGGCAAAGAGGAAGACTCCGGGTGAGGATCCCGGTGCTGAAACGCATGTACGACGTTCGAAACGAGCCAAACAAGCTTAGGCAGGCCAGTTCCGAACCGGGACACGCAACACTTGGTACGACGGAATTTCGGAAAGGGCCACGACGCGTCGACGGTTCTACATGGATGTCCAACAAGGGTCGGTTCGTACCTACGTGTATGGTCCTTGGCGGCTCTTCCTCAGCCCTGCACAGAATGTTGCAGGCGAAACGGTTAGCAAGATACCCGACAACTTCCCGCTTGCCGCAACAAAATCCCCTATTGGATGACCGCCACGAATATTCTCCGTGCGTTTGCTCGGCCGGCCTGGCGGCCCGTGGCTGCGGACCTGATGGCCCCTGTCGAGATCACCGCTTGCCAAGCACATCCACTTACACAGGGCACACTGGTCAAGACAACTGCAATGATTTCAGGTTTTGGCACATACTCAACCATGAAGAAGCTTGCATGTGATGGCTTCTCCCATCGTTTCCACGCGAGATGGAGCGGTAGATATCTCTCGCGTATCTCCAGCAAGCAGTTTTCCATCCTTCTTCCTCTCTCCCTTTGCTTACCGGTGGGATCCCCGGCAATACTGCAAGCTATTAACCTTTGCTCTTCTCTTTCCTACTTGCTATGCCATGTTGTGCCATTTATTCTCATCATGGCCATCGCTCTTGGGCCTCTTCCGATATTGTCAAGCATGCTAGACCGCAGATTCAGCTCCAAAAGGGGTGAAGCCCAGGTGTCGGCCGGCTCTGGGCCCATTCATCTCACAGCTAGGTTCACTGCTCTCAAGGAGAGCCTGGCATCTGGCAAGGAATCCGCCATCACCTTGTCGTGGCAACGGCTTCTAGAACGTCTTCGCGAGGAGAACACGCTGGTTTCGTCTTTAGGGTCCAGAGCCATTCCTACCATCAACTTTACCGACATCACGAAGCCCCAGCACTCTGAGGGTTTCTTGAGAGATCTCCGGCAAAGAGGTGTTGGAATCATCCGTAACGTGGTCTCGAGGGACACGGCTCTGGCCTGGGAGCGCGAGACAAAGGAGTATCTAGCACAGAATCCGCCCCCAAGACCTTCCCCACTACAACAGCCTCAATCACCAGACGTGTATTGGAGTCCCTCCCAGGTCAAGGCTCGAGCTCACCCCAACGTTCTGGCGGCGCAAAAGTTTTTGATGAGCATATGGAAATCCAAGGACCCGAGCTCCAGGGTTACCTCATGCTTTCCGGTTTCGTACGCGGATCGGATGATGGTGCGTAAGGCGGGTGGGCTCCAGGGCCGCCCATACGCACATGTCGATGGCGGGAGCGTCGAGCGGTGGGAGCCCGACGGATACGGCCGGGCGGGGACCTACAAGGACATATTTGAGGGACGTTGGGAGGATTACGACCCCTGGGAGGTAAGCAACTCCTTCTCCCATGTAGGGTGGGTGTTTGACTCAACTCTCGCATCAGAGCAGCACCCGACTGGGCGTGACGAGTGATCTCTACCACAAAGCTAGCGCCTGTTCCATCTTCCGTATGTTTCAGGGCTGGCTAGCCCTGAAACCCATCGCTTCCGGGCCAAGCCCAGTCCAAGTCTGCCCGCTCCCGCGTCTCGCCACGGCGTACTTCCTCCTAAGGCCCTTCTTCTCGCCACCAAACCCATTGTCGCCAACCGCACCCACCTCGCAAGATGCAGAGGAGTGGACCTTCAACCGCCCCCAGAACAGCCTCCTCCACGGCGCGCTCCCCAGCTACGCGCAAGAAATCAATCCCGCCCTTCACCCGCATCTCGAGCTTCACCGCAGCTTGGTGTCCGTCCCGGACCTCGAACCGGGCGATTACCTCGTCTGGCACCCAGACCTGATCCACTCCATCCCCAATTCCTCCCCAGACGAAGGCAGCACCGACGACGATGGGGACGGTTCCGGCTCAATGGCGTACATGTACCTCCCTGCATGCCCGCTCACGCAGACCAACGCGCTGTACCTCGCCCGTCAGCGCAAGGCATTCCTCCTGGGTTGCCCACCGCCCGACTTTGGGGGTGGCCGGGGGGAGAGTGAGCACGTGGGCCGGCCAGGGGTTCAGGACGTGAACGACGCCGGCGGTGACGACGGGCTGCGGGCGATGGGTTTGTTGCCGTGGGACGAGGAGGAGGCTGATTCGGATGCCGAGAGGGAGGTGCTTGCCATGGCGAATGGGATATTGTTTCCAGATTTGTACGATATGTTGTAGGATCTCTAACTAGTTCGGTGTGTATGATGATGGAAAGAGGGGAACCAGCGTTATTCTTTGCATATAGACCGGGAGGATGGATCCGAGCATAGACAAAAGGACGCTGGGCGGATAGACTCGCGACATACGCACGCTTCTGTACCAGTCGAAGATAGCGCGTAATTAGATTCTTAGATACATCCATGTTTTCCTGATGGAAGCATCCCATTGCAGGTGCAAACAGCTGGCCACGCAAACCAGACGTCCAAGAAACCTCGCCTCGACGATCAATCTAGCCCGTAGTATGTATGTTCGCATTGCACATGGGGCTCGAGACAGAACAAATATATAAAAAAAATTTAAAAATAAAGTAAAGTAAAATAAAATAAAATAAAATGAAATAAAATGAAATAAAATAAATAAAGGGTAAAAAAGGGAAAGGATTAGGAAAACTCCGGGTACAAGTCAAATATAAAGAAAACAAAGCTAAAAGGCCGAAAAGAACGTTAAAGAGAAAGAACGAAAGAAGTACAAGAACAATCGTCAAGCAAATAGGAATCAACGAGAGTGTAGATAGGAAGACAAGGAATTTAAAGATGTCACAACAGAAGCTATAAGAAAGGAAGATCAAGGAGAGATATAAGGAGTGATAAAAAATCGGATAAGGACGGAGGAGAAAAGAGAAGTATAATTATGAACAAACGCTGTAATACCTACCTGACTTTGAGCAGAGTATTTTGACCTGTTTTCTTTTTCCAATAACAAGGCAAACCCAACGTTGGATTGTGATTACCAACTTAATATACAGACTCAGTCCTCCTCCTATCCTTCCCCAGCATCCGCGACCACCTCCGCCCCCCATGCCCAAACTCTTAAGTGATCGGTTGCCGGCCGTAACTAGGGCTTGTTTATTGCCCGCGCATCTTTCAGTCAGCCAGTTCAGGGCGACCAGATGTTCAACGAAGGCGACCTCCGCCGCCTCGGCGTATCGCCCTCATTTTCTTCCACCGACGAAGCAGTCCCCAGCGCATCGAGACCGTCCCAAAGGCGATTATCCTAGATATCCTTCTTGGAGGATCCGTCCTGCTGGGTGCGCCCGTACTTTTCGGCCAGGGCGTCGTACTCCTTGTGGAGGCCCGCGGCCTGCTTCTTGAGGGTGGCAATGTCTTGGTCGCGGAGCTCGACCTCGCGCTTGAGGCGCGATATCTCGCCCGGGTCGCCGGCCATGGCCAGCTTCTCGGCCTGCTTGGTGTTCTTGTCGGTGCCTTCGTACTGCTTGAGCTTCTCCTCCAGCCGCAGCACCTCGAGGATCATGATGTAGGTCCGGTTGAGGATCAGCGAGAGAAAGAGGGTGAAGCCGCAGAGGTACATGTTGCGCTGCGAATAGAATTTGCGGGCTTGCACCTCGAGGCGCTCGTGGCCCATGATGGCGGGCCTGCTCCACAATATTAGTGCTTGTTCTGTCTTATTCTTTCTCCTCCTTCTCTATCTTCGCGCATCCTTGAAACGTGGGGTATGGATGAGGGCGGCAAGACGTACGCAGAGGCGCCGGTGTTCTCGGTAGCGGCTGCCAGCTCGACCTGGACTCGATAAACGCGATTGACGCTATCGATAAAGAGGATCAAGATAAAGACAAAGGTGATCTTCAGCCAATATTGGATCTTGGCCACGATCGGATTCTCGGAGATGAAACTGGAAGAGCAGACAGTCGGTCAGATGGGCATAGTTACCGGGCTGGAGAAAAGTTGGGAATAGCGTACGTGAACACCTTTCTGCGCATCGCAAAGGGCAATGGCATGATCAAGAGCATGAAAAGGGCCATTTCTGCCACGAGGAGCAGAAACACCTGGGAGCATGGTCAATCTGGGTCCCCTAGCTTGGAGACCAGCTGCAGCCTCGCAGTTCGACAGGGAGCACATAGGGAGGAGTGCATACCAAGGTGTAGTAGAGCGTCATCTTAGCTGTCGGTCAAAATCCGCTTTGTTGATTTTTGTGGTGTTGTCGTTCTCTTGTTGCGAAACAAGGGTAAAAGGGACAGCTATCGGGAAGCAAGGGCTAAAGAGAAGCTCAGCGCGAGCCGGGGGTAGGTGTGACGTGGGCTGTGGAACAAGGCCAAGGCGGGCAGCTGCCTTGCGAGTGACCGGCAAGTCGACAACGTCATTGCTGTGGCTGATTGCTAGTGAGTGTGGCGGGTAGAGTGTGGTATGTGCGTTTCTTCCCGTGCATCAGAGCCCTAACCCTCTCACTCCTCTCCGGAACAAGCAAGCCTCATCGTACAGAGGTTGGGCAGTCTATACCTAATCTTGCACAGAGTGCATTTGGAACCTGTCTTAGGTAGTTGTCTTGTGTTACAATATTCCATTGCTTTCAGAGAAAGACAACTTTTTTCAGGTCAGGATTTCCAGTTTCAATCACTACCTGCACTCGTGAAAAGGCTCTCTCTCAGCCCTGGGCTTCCCTCCACTCACCTTAGCTTACAAAGATCACATGAAAATGTATATGCAAAAAAAGTGAGGCTGAGCGAGCTTCGGGGCTGAAGATGCCAGACGGCCGGAACATGGTCCGGACACCGAATCGCCGCGTCGTCGTTGGCCGAGTACACAGCCTAGTTTCCAACTAAGAAATCGCCTCTACCGACTGCGCCGCCCTACTCCGCCTCGGCGCATCATAGCGCTTTGGGCAGGGAGACGGCCTTATGTTTTGATCGGTGGAAAGCGACTGTGTATGAAGAAGGAGCTTGCTATGGCTGGTTAAGATGGCCAAAGGTGTCGAGGGCTTGCATTTGTGCATGGCTGAAACGTGCCACAGACAGGAGGGATACGGCGTGAACGGCTGACCTGTGACTTGGACCGGCTATCGAGCAGAATGTCACGGTCCCCTCTTTGTCATCTAGTTAGGCTGTACAGTGGACATTCGTTGTTCATTTCCCCCCCAGCTCCACGGATATATGCTTAGGCCCCCGAGATCTTTCACTTCTGATGCGAATACTTGTGTGATGAGGCTCATGAGAACAGTCCCACCAAAGTTTCATGGTTCTCATATTCTGAGCACCGCGTGCGATATACTTCTTGTCAGTTTCAAGATTGCCCAGAAGTGGTATATTTCAGTGGGCAATCTTCACAACAATCAAGAAGGCGATCAGAGAGTTGAGCTTCGGCCTCACTGGAGGTCCTTCTTTCCCGCCCCGTTCTTTCCCAGCCTGCTAGCTAGGTACTTACCACACTTCTCCGCCCACTCGGGTCCAGTCACTGGCCGCCTCCTTCTGACCATCCTCGAGAAACCGGGCAGAGACTTCGAGCCCAATAAGAGCAGAACACCCCTACCCGTCAGACGAGTTGACGCCATGCGACTAGTGTCCCTTGTCGCCGCCGTCTCCATGGTGGGAAGCCTAGTCATGGCAACACCCATCTCTTGTTCAGATGTACGCTCATTTCACCTCGCCTTTCCCCCAACTCCCTCCGAACCCCACACATTCTGTCCGACCGAGCTGACAGCCAAGCTCCAGGCAAAGCGAGACCTCATCCTCAAGGGCGAGCTGCCGCCGGAAGCCTGCTGCTCCTATGGCCGGTGCCAGGGCGACGTGGTCGTTGCCATGCTCTGAGCGTCACAACTGAGACAAAAGGGGACGGTGATGGTTTGACCGACCACGCATTGACGCGAACGACTCTCCTTCTCTTGTAATCTTTTTCGGTCGGCAAGTGGATTTCCATGGCTCCCGTCGAGGTCAAGGCGGTGACAATGAGCAATCAACAAACTGGGCGGGCGGCGTTAGGGAAACGGCGTGTTAGCAGGGCTCTGCAAGGGCATTGTATGGGATAAGTATGTTGGCTTGGAAGGTGTTTTGAGTCGGCTCATGTAGGGCATTCCGTTTTCGACTTTCGGCCGGCTGTTGATTCAGAAAATCTGACGTCTCGAGTTGTCTTTGTCCCACGAACAACGCTGCTAGATTCGGCGACAAGGCGCTGGCTAGAGTCTATTGGACTTGCGAGGGATTGTACGATCAGTTGAATGCTAACTCCGATTAGGAAGAAGCGAGAATCGGTGTCTATCCGTGATGTTGGCACACCCGATGCTATATCACTGTTTGTCACATGAAAACGTGGGGTAGAAGCCCCCCCGCCGCGATCGGCCTATACTCGACGTCCGAAAGCGAGACTTCGACCGCCGCAGCGGTGATTGGCGCGCATACTGTGGTAAAGCGCCGTCCGGGATTCGGTCATGCCGCTGCCGAGTCGGCGGAGCCTCCCCACGCGGCAAGAAGCTCCAGGCGCAAAAACAATCGGCGAAATTCCTTGCCAGTTATTCGGGCCCCAGATTTGAGGTGGATTGCGGGTAAAATGACACCTGACACGAAAGAGACAGCAGCGAACCTATCAAAACCGCGGCGTTTCGCTCCATCTGGGTCGAGGCCTGCCCTTGGTGGAACAGTCTTACTTCCGTGCCCATCAGAGGTCGTGCTGCACTTGCATCACCGGATGTAAGGTGGATCGCGGCGCAACAGGGACACTCACGAAGCGCTCCCGTCACTGCCAGCAACCGCAGGCTGGGTCGCAAACATGCGTCTGACGATCCCTGCGTGTCCCACGCGGAACCTGCACTTTCTTCTGTAGATTACCTGGTCGGAGAAAAGGAGAAACACTTGTATAAGACGCGACCATCCCCCCGCTACCCCGCCTTCACTGAGTGCTTTCCCAAAACCAACCTTGGATCATCTCGCACTGGAACAGCTGCTTTTGGCCTCGATCCAACCTGTCAAGATGAACGGCACCAACGGCACCAACGGCACAATAAACGCGGCCAAGCCCAACATTGGCGTCTTCACAAACCCAAAGCATGACCTGTGGGTGAGCGAGGCTACGCCGACGCTCGAGAGCGTCAAGAGTGGGGAGGAACTCAGGGAGGGACAGGTTACCGTCGCCATCAGGAGCACAGGCATCTGCGGGTAAATACACACCAATTCCGTTGCCCCGGCATGGCGAATGTTGCAGCTTACAACGGTCTTGCATTGCAGGTCGGATGTCCACTTTTGGAAACACGGCTGCATCGGTCCAATGATTGTCGGTTGCGACCATATCCTGGGCCACGAGTCCGCCGGCGAGGTCATTGCCGTCCACCCGAGCGTAACAAGTCTGAAAGTCGGTGACCGCGTTGCTGTCGAGCCCCAAGTCATCTGCAACGCCTGCGAGCCATGCCTGACAGGCCGGTACAACGGCTGCGAGAAGGTCGACTTCCTGTCGACGCCGCCCGTCCCAGGCCTGCTCCGGCGCTACGTCAACCACCCGGCTGTGTGGTGCCACAAAATTGGAGACATGTCGTACGAGGACGGCGCCATGCTCGAGCCCCTCTCGGTCGCCCTCGCGGGCCTGCACAGGGCCGAGGTGCGGCTGGGCGACCCAGTGCTTGTCTGCGGCGCGGGCCCCATCGGCTTGATTACGATGCTCTGCGCCAAGGCTGCCGGCGCGTGCCCACTGGTTATCACGGATATCGACGAGGGGCGTCTGGCGTTCGCCAAGGAGATCTGCCCGGGGGTCATCACCCACAAGGTTGAGCGCTTGTCGGCCGAGGACTCAGCCAAGGCCATTGTGTCGAGCTTCGGGGGCGTCGAGCCGGCGGTGGCACTTGAGTGCACGGGAGTCGAGAGCAGCATCGCCGCGGCCATCTGGGCGGTCAAGTTCGGCGGCAAGGTGTTCGTCATTGGCGTGGGCAAGAACGAGATCCAAATCCCCTTCATGCGCGCCAGCGTCCGCGAGGTCGACCTGCAGTTCCAGTACCGGTACTGCAACACATGGCCGCGGGCTATCCGGCTGATCCAGAACGGCGTCATCGACCTGTCCCGGCTGGTCACGCATCGGTTCGGGCTTGAGGACGCAATTAAGGCTTTCGAGACGGCGTCAGACCCCAAGACTGGCGCCATCAAGGTGCAGATTCAGAGCTTGGATTGAGGCTTCCGTTTTGGTTTCTCCTTGTTTGCATTTCGGAATCTGGCGCATAGAGATGAGCGTGTGTGATGATGACCTGCATTTAAATCTATCTCGCCCGCATTATTAGAAGAGATGGAGCACATATTCTGTTCGGCCATGGTGGTTCTCAGCTCGAGTTAATTCCCTGTGTTGGTGAACCAGGTTTCAATTCATCTAGGAGATGGTCGCTGTCTCTGCGGACTTGAAGATTTCAAATTCAGCATATTGTATGATACTGAGTACATGCAGTCTGACTGGGCCGATGGCCAACGCGAAGTGCGGTATGAAAGGAAAGCCGTTGAATTGGTCAAAGTGAGAGCCGTGATAATGATGGGAATCAAGGATGAAAGCGACGGTTCAGCAGGAAAAGGGCAGCTTGGATCCGTCCGAGCTTCCAGTTTGCGCCAGTCCTCAATCAAAGCTTCTGATTGGCTGCTTTCTTGCCGAGAACTGGGGCAGTGGGCCAGCGCCTTTCGAGATCTTCCGAGCTTTCCAATTTTTCTCGATCTCCGGCTCCGTCCTGATTCAATTGCGCGATAACCGTCGTTCCCTTCGCCGAAACCGAGCTCCCACACGGCCGCCATCCGCGATTGCTCCTCGGCCGCACCCCGTCCTCCTTTCTCCGCTCCGCCTGCCGAAAATCTCAACTGCGACCGCGAAGATCAGCCCGGCAAATCCTCTCTTGTTCACTCTCCCTCGCCAACACCGGCTCTAGAAATGTCGTTCGCTCTGGTAATGAGGCGGTCGGGCCTCTCGATGGGCCGCCGCATGGTCCGCTTCGAGTCGACCAGCACCACAACAAAAGCGGCCGAGGCTACCAAGCAGGCCGCTTCGCAGGCCTCGTCGACCGCCTCCGAGGCCACCTCCAAGGCGGCCCAGGGCCTTTCGCGGGTCACGTCGGCCGCCGGCCCTGTCATTGCCGGCGCTGCCAAGGGTGTGTCAGGTGCTCTGAGTCGCGTGGGCGGCCGGACAGGACGTCTGGTTGCGTTCGTTGAGCGTAAGGACACAACCCCTTCATCTGGTGCCGTCGTCCACTGCCTGCGTCCGATGGGTCCTGCGTGCTGTGACGACGACGCAACGCGCAGGATAGACGTGACGACGGGATGTTTCGTGGCTCCAATCGCTGACCATTGCGTTCTTGGTTCTCTGCAGGTCAATCCCCCCTCGTCGTCTACTACTCCAAGGTCGCCCTCGAGATGGCCAAGCTGGTCGTCAAGGGCCAAAACATGACCCCGCCGTAAGTTTCAGCCCTCCCGTCGCATCCGAAGAGCTGCCTACAAGGCGGTGTTTGTTTGTTGTCACTGCTGCTCTTAGAACACCTGCTGACGTTCTGTTTCGTGTCTCGGCTTCACAGTTCCGTTTCCACGTTCCAAGCCTACTTTCAAAACCTCTGGAAGCAGCTGCAGAATCCCGGCGCCTTCCTCTCGAGCCTCGTGCGGTCCGCCAATCCTCAACAGCTTCGGAACATGTCAAGGACACAAGTGGCCGCTGGCGGTGTGTTGCTTGCCGAGTGCTTGGGCTTCTTCACCGTCGGCGAGATGATTGGCAGGTTCAAGTTGGTCGGCTACCACGGCGACGTGCACGCCGCTCATCACTGAGCCTGATTCGTTTCCGAGGGATGTAAGAGGTTGCTGGATCAGGGGACGATAACTCCCGCAGGCCGTCAAGCCCAGCCACCGCTCTTCCTTCGGTGTGGCCTGGCAAGCCCGGGAGGCTTGGGAGAGGCACGCGGAAGAGAAGGTAATTCTGTGTTTTCCGCGGGAATAGATTTGGTGGCGCATTGGAGGACTGCCGCTCATACTAGATTCGCCGATGTCTTCGGTACTATTGCACCTCGCTCCGCCACACGAGAGAGATGTCTGGCGGCGCGCTGGGCTGACTGAGCATTCAACTGAGGCTCCTGATGGGATAGGGTTTCATGCTTCTCTTGTCTGGGTTCAAGGGTGCCAGCAAGGGGAGGCGACTACAAAAAGATCAAAGGTACCTCTACCCCTTCATTGCCTCCCGTGTATATTGTCTCTCTTGTCGATGGCAGCCGAGGAAGTTTGTGTCTTTTCATTTGTCATGCTGTACCACTAAACTCTATTGCATGAAGCCAATCAAAGCATATTACCCGCCAATCACGGCGGCCATCACGTGTGGTGCCGGTTTCTTGAGTTGAGACATATATATACATATTCTACCCATCGCATCGTCCTGGTAGCACACCTCTCGATCATGCCTGCTCAGCCTTTACCGGGTGGGCTTTTGTCGCACTCTGCATTCGGGAAACAATTACCACTAGCCAACCAAGCGGAGGAAGAGGCGGCCTCGAATATCTGAGGGCAGTTGTGGTCGCTTCAAGTCCCTTCATGCAAAAGGAACACAGAGCAAGTGATAATTCCCGGGTCATGGGCACGCCGAGCTGTGTAAGTGCGGTGTTCCAAAGCACAATACCACAGCGAAACGGCTAGAAGATTGGCTGAGCAAAGTGGGAGTCTGTGGTCGAAACCTCTACAGTGTGGTGGGATGTGATATTGGGCGGGCCCCGTTACATTCCCTACCGCCACGGCCCCTTTCCCTTGTTTGTCCATGCCCCCTTTCCGTGTTCTGGTGGGCACGGTAGCGTGACTTTCAAGACTTATTTGCACCCCTTTTAACCCCCATCTCTTCTCTCTTCTCACAACTCATATCCTAAGCGTCGCATTCTCGCTGGAGATGCATCTGCAGTTGGACCGGCGCTGCAGATATCACTTTACCCTTTTAGGGATCTATCACAGAGAACTCGCTGCTGCTGGCCCAAGAGGGTTGCAGCCGTCTGCTGCTTTATGCGCGTGCCCTCGACCGGAACAAGACTTGGGGGTTTTGCGTGTTGTTTCCCCGGTGATACCCTCCAGGGCAGATGCTGGTTTGCTCCATGTATCGGCGATGCTACCGTGCAGGCCAAGGTCGCCTCGCTTTCTGTACCGCATCGAGTCCAACGGCTTGAGCACAGAAAAGGAACTCGGTGAATGTTGGGCGGCGATGGCTCTGTAGAATGCATTAGTGTCCACTGTTTCTCCAAGCCGGTGCAGTTGAGCTACCTTACCGTCAACTCCTTTGGACGGCGGCTGTGGCTTGGCCGACTGGTTCTGTCATTTGTTACCTGCATATCAGCTGCCCCGGCTTCCCCCTCCATGCCAATATTTTCACAGGCCTTCAAGCTCTCCAGGTGGGTGGGACGCGATCAGCTAACACTAGGGATGAAACTTGGCACACCATGTACTTGAGCCGGCGGGTATCAAGCACTAGGAGGGAGATTCTGCCGGGATATACATTCTTGGTCTGTTGGGGGTCAATGTGCTATGCTGTGGTTGCAAAGGCCAGAGGACGGTGCGGAGAGACTTCCCGCCCAAACTTGAAGACCCAAGTCTCGAAGTGACCATGCTCCGTATTGAGGCACTAACACTAACACTGGGCCACGTCCAGACGCAGTCGTGGTGATGCCGCCCATCCATAAGACGCGTGAGAACTTGGCCTATATACAATTACAAAATCGCGAGGTGGCGTTGGGAAACCAAAAGCGACACACCAGAGTGACACAAAGTTTCAGCAGCTCTGCCGCTCACCGGAAGGAGTAACTGAGCGGATCAGCCATCCGGATGCAAGCCAGGCAAACACACCACAAATGCCCACCTCCCCTCCCTCGAGGTACCCTACACGAACCGCCAGCCACCTGACAACTGGATGCCAACGAAATCCTGGCCAAACAGAGACCACGACAGGCTCGGCGTCACGTGTAGGCGATTTGGTAATGCGGCGAGGGCAGTGAAGCCCGAGTAGTCGCAGATGGGATGGGGTTGGCGTGTTCAGGCTTGATCTGCGCTGGGCTGGTCGCCAAGTCCACCCTGGCCCCCAAAATAGGCCACTTTCAGCCGACGGTAGCAGGCCGGGATGCCAGGCCAACGTGCATGCCGGTGGCGGCCGACTGCGGCAGGTCCCTGATGACCCATGATGAAGCTCGATAACACGCGGACACTCCCGTTGACACCACGCGCGGAGACTGGACACCGCTCTCTTCATGTTGCGGTTGATTTGGATAGCTTCCCGATTGAAGTTGCAGTGTGCCGGCATCGAATTGGCGACGATGGGGCGGCCTTCGCTATTGATTTCCCGACCGGGGTGGTAGCTGGCAACATCAAGCCCAAAGTCAGAGAGACGAACTGTTTCAGGCCTGACGAACTCGCGCCCTTGGCGTATGGGAGGAAGAGGTCAAGTTGTGGGCCGCATGGTCATCTGCCCTGTAGCCGTCAGGGTGGAAATCGTCAACAGCCCAGCAGACAGTCGAGTTGTGGAAAGGGGAAGTGGAAATGATCAGCCCGGAAACCAACCATGCCTGGCCGCGGCTCGGGCTGCCCTGCACGGAGTTTTCAGTTGCCCCGGCATCGGCAGGCATCTGTGTAATGGTGGTGTTGCAAGAGCGGCTGGAGATCGCTAGGAGGAGCCAGACTCACCGTGGCTTTCTGGCTGTGAAGATATGCCTGTTACCCCCCGTTAGCGAAAAGGGGTCCTGCTCGCAACATTTTGACCTTGGGGAACGGTAGGTTGCGAATCTCCTGCAACTTACAGTGTACAGTATGCATGCACGCTGTTGCTGTAAACCTCGCGCTTGACCTTGCGGGCGAGGTCTTGGACCTCATCTACAGTCCGTCCATGACCTCGGCACAACGGCGCTAGGCTTAGCGGTTGGTAGGTTTGATTCATGCCGAGGTTGAACCATCTGCCGACGTTTTTGGCGTGCGGATCACTCGGCCACCCATTGAGCGGCATCTGGATGACCTCCTCCTTGATGTCGACGAAGCCGGCCTCTGCCAGCCGCTGTTTGGTGAGGTTGCTGTCCAAGCGCATCGGGCGGCCGAAGCTGTCCATGGCATCCTGAACCTCGTTCGCCCACCGCACAATGTGGGCGTTCTGGCGCAGCGAGCCGTCATCGCTACGAGGGCTCCAGTCTATCTCGACCTGCTCGAAGTAGCCGTAGTGTGGCTTGAGGTGTCTTGAAGCGGTCAACGACACATGAAGGGCTAAGGACCAAGACGAGAGACCTCACCTAAATACTTCGGCGTACACTCTGGGCCAGTTACTGATGCTGCCATTGAGGGTGCGCATGTGAATGAGATCCCACGAGCCTGGCTCGAGATCCTGCCACTTATCCTCGATGTCCTTCTGATAGAAGCGCAAATTCGCAGGGATGCTGTGATGTCTGAGCACGGATATCTAGAAAAGGGGGCGGGGGGAGAAACTGAGACTGACAATTCGGGCTGAATATAGTTCAGGTCGACGCCGACATGTGTTCCACGGGGGTATTCACTGCTCGGCATCGTGCGGTCAGAGACGCGGGTCCATTAAGCAGTGGCAGCCTGAAGAGCTCACCCAGCCATGGCAATGTTCCAGATGCCAGTTCCGCAGCCAAGGTCCAAGACTCGCGGGCTCTCTGGGTCGTGGAGGGGTGCGCTGTGCAGAGCATCTCTGCGCGCGACGGAGAAGACTTTGTGGAAAACGTCCAGTCTCTCCAACTCATTCTTCGAAGGAAGCCAGGTTAGCCACCAGCAAGCAAAGAGCTCGAGGGGGATAGGAGCGGAGACTTACCTCGTCGATGGGGAACATATACTTGCCCTTTTTGAATGTGCCATACCACCGGCCGTTCTCGTGGTACACCTCTTGATAAGTGCCCTCTGGGGGTGCTATCTGGCCGCTGCCGAAGACTCGGTCAACCTCGGGTTCGTCTCCTCTCACGTCGGCAGAACCCAACTCACCTGTGGTTCATAAACGCCTGGGAATCCATTGCCATTGTCGGCTCCGAGGAGAGAAGTGCTGCGAAAGGGTGAGCACATGCGTCTCTGGGTTCCCCCTTCGAATCGCCAGGCAAACCGGGCAAAGGCTGGAGAAAGGGCACCCAGAGAAGGCAATTGCTCACCTACGAAGCTGTGGTTGTTATTGTTGTTGACCAAGGCCTGGTTGGTCAACGGCATACGCGTCCGGCGCCAGATATGTATGAGCAAGGTAAGCAGAACGCGTATTTGCGGTTCTCGATCGCACTTTGCAAATGCGGCCGACTTTGATGGGGAGATGCGGGTTTGGCCATGGGCCAACAACGCCCTCGCTCGGTTGTGCCGTTGTGTGGGCCAGACAAAGAAGGGGCCGGGGCGCATTTAAAATCCTCGCTCGTCGTCCCAACGACGCAGCGCAAGGGTCCGTCGAGGCTGCAGGAGGGGCGGCAGGGCAAACCGGCGTGGCCGTAGCGTGGACAAAGGAAATTACACCGGCAGTGGTACCTGGTTAATGTAACGTAGGTATCCCTGGTAAGGTATTTCGTCCTTCTACCGAGTAAGGTAGCCTGATGCACCAGGTGAGGGATCCAAGAGCATGATTGCTGAAATGGCACGATTCGGTGCGCGCTGGTTGGACCACGAGGTGAAGTGTTGCCGTCTTTCAACCATAGGCGCCTATTACCCGCCCAGCTTCAGCAACAAAGGTTAGTTTCCTGGCTGTTGGAGTGAGAAGCAAGGTTCAGGGTTCGGGGGAATTCGACCAGATGAAGTGTGCTGATAGACACTGCGAGCCCCCATGTCCCAGTTTGAGACAGAGGCCTGGTAGAATGCTGCGTAATTGCAAAAGGAGGATGAAAAAGGGACCTGAATGTGCAGCAGTTTTTCAGGTGCAAAAAGGAGGTGCAAAAAGGCCGTGCTGTCTTAAGTTGGGCCGTCCCAATGGCCTGGGTTGGTGCCAGAAATGGCCCCAGCACCACAGGGCTTTTCCGCCCTAGCGCCCGCTTCCCGCTCCCGTACTCAGTCTCTGATGCTGGGCCAGTGCCAAACAAAAACCGGGGCCCTTTGATGGGTCAAACGCAACACAGTCCGCTCACTGACCGCGCCGCGCAGATTTACCAGCCATGCCTCCAGTGACATTGCTACATGGGGTCACCGTTTCAAGGGTTCAAGGCTCATACTACTCAGCGGGTGCTCGAAAAAGCGAGTTTCGCAATTCCCCTCGAGCATCTAAACTGGCCCACAATCTGCTCAAAACGCTGGCTTGCAGCCAACAAACAGCTAATGTCAGCCACACAGTACCGGCTGCTTGGATCCCATCACGCACTGTCGGGGACGCGACAGATTTCGTTTCGCGAGATGTGGAGCGCCAGGTCTATGGGATCAAAGACCGTCCAGCCGGAAAGCACAGTATGAGCACTGCATGTCTCGAACCTTTTACAGGTTCCATGTCGCTGCTTCCATCATTCATCCTTTCCTGCCAGACCGGCCGCAGTTTGAGAAATGTCTCGCTTTGTTGACATCCAAACTCCCTTTGTCTATCGTCTACCTACCTACCTTACATCTCAGTGCCGAGACAATGCTCAAGAATCAACAGAGCTTCGCCGAGCCTAGACCCAGCATACTCGGTACCAGCGCGAGTATCCGATAGAAGATGAGGATAGAGCGTCTTGTATCACAAGCGGGGATGCTCGAAAGCCGCAGTCGCGAATAAGTCAGAGGTCGACTTCACATGCTGTTGTTGCAGTCCATGTCCGGGTTTCACAGTGCCGCGCACTGGCCAGCCATCAATGCTTGGCCGGCTCCAAACTGTCGGGTCAACGTGAGTTGGTGTCGACACCACACTCCTTTCTCCGTTCGACACCCAATCAGAAACGAACGATGACAAAATCCTTTGCGCAGATCAAGGTAATGACTCGTAGTACTGACCGCTGGTCATGCTCTCAACGCTGCGTACCGGGTTCGGTAAGGAGCTACCTTTCACCGCGCTTTGAGTCGGACCCCCGTCCGGGTCTCACGGGAAGTCGCAACTTGAGGCAGCAAACCGAAAACCCGACAGATGCTTCAAAATCGAGTGGGTCCGTCTCACGCATGGTAAGGTAGCCCCTATCTTACTGCGGAACAAAAACAGGAAGCTTCAAGTGCGTTCTTTGTTTTTAGCGCGCCATGTGACCAACTTTCATTGGCACTCGACGTCTCGCCGTGCTGCAACGTGAAAGGCATGGGTCCAGCTCCCAGGGTCTTTTGGCGCATTTCTTCCTCGTAGCATCGGAGCCAACAACAGAGCATCACCGACGAGAGCCACATACCGACGATACTATCATGACGGCCGTAAACTTCAAGCCGGGGTCATAAAAGGACAGTGATAGTGGGATTCTAGATGGCCAGCCAACACTGCTAGGTAGATCACCTTTGTGTCCAGCACGAGGTTGCTCTCGCTGACGCAGAGATTAGAAAGGATGACCTTTCTGACGCCAAGAGCCACATCCCTGGGCAACAACCTCTCTTGATTCGCCGACTGTTCCCGACAATCTGGTACGCCCCGCTTTCGGTCTCGCTGGCGCCAACGACGACGCAACGGGCCCGGGCAACAGGCTCACAGGACACAAGCCACCTTTGCCAGACTCAATCCTGCTCGGGCGAGCCTTCATGCTGTGATAGCTGATTTGGCCATTAACTGTCCCACCCGCCTCCCGAAGAGTCCCTTCTGTCCTTGCCTTCAGTTGACAGATCGAAGAGGCCCCGGTCGTACTCCAGGTAAGAATTCACAACGGCAGCTCTTTCTGAACACGCCATGCCCTGCTTCTGCTCTACCCTTAACGCCTATGTAGGTACAGTTGGTCAGGTTTGACCGCTTTTTCGTGCTAGAGCAACACAATGGGAAGGTTGATGTTGCTGGCTAAGCAGGCGAGGCAGGGATTCATGCAGGACAGCAAGGTGCTCAATCCTTGTCACACCTTTGGCACCTTCCTTCTGTGCTCTGCAACGAACCGCAAGTCGACAAGCGCCTGTTAGCATGACGGAAAGGATGCCAAAGTACTGTGCATGCAGAAATGCGGACCTCTGCAGTCCCAAATCATTCCCCATCACTGCGATGCCCATGAGCACTTCGGAACCTCCTTGACTCGCCCTTGCTTGGAGGTCCCGTCTTCCCCTACGTTTTCCCTTGGTCTCCTCCCCTCCTGTTTGCTGCTCCCGTCCACACCTTACCTGCCCTGGCCATTCACTTCTCAAGTGCCCCATTGTTGTTGGCTTATTCATAAGAGTCACGTGCTTGCAAACTCACTCGCGCCACCGAGCTATACTGATAGGATGAGGTCGGATGGTCGAAATAGATACCAGATGCTTTGATATAAATTGTGCCCGTCATGCCAGAGGCTTTCTGAGCTGTGTTCCTCGCACCAATGAGTGAATTACCCTTCAGGATCTACGTGCCTTGACCGACTGTTCGGTAACGACATGTGTATGTCACCCCACTGATTGTTCTGTGTAACACACACCCTCGGAACAGACACCTCTACGGGCTACCAACCTGCTGGGTCTCCAGCTGCATTGGGGTTTCAACAGCGTTGTCTCGGATGCGGAGTATTCCGAAACGAACTTTGCCCCCTCCCCGAGTTGGTCACAGACTGACCGTTAAACACCAGAGGCTCCTCCCAGGGGATGTGCCAATATGATATATTAGATGGATTCTCGAGGCTCAAGTCCGTCTGCAAGATCCCTTTGTCCCTGGACTCGGACAGGCTGGCCCCAGCCTGGGAATTTGGGGACATGGGAATCTCACCCTGTAAAACGTTGAGGGGAGCAAGGGCAAAACCCTTGTCAATGCCAGTCCGGCAACGTTCTCTTCGTTGTCTACTCGTTGTCCGGTATGGTTGCATTTTCAGGGAGAACACGAGACAGGTTTTAGCAAACCGGTGATATACAACAACAACATCAGTCCTCACGCGCTCGGATGACGGACGCTGGCTGGTTGCGAAGGGAAACTGGGTGAGTAGGCGAGGATGTTGGCCCGGCTTGATGCACGAAACGACACGCGGAAAGGATAAAAGGCAAAGTCCGCATCTCAATTACCCTCAGTTTTCAAGGTTGTCAACGTTGGTACAGAGTAAACTATTCCGTGAGCAATCATACCCAGATTGAAGGTGCTCAACAAAACCCTGTTTCGCCTTCTAGGTAACCTCTGATCTTGGCCGAAAGCTAAACGGAACCTTAAGTCAGTTGGACTTGTACTTGGATACAGGTACCTGTAGGTATGGTGTGTTAGGGCCGTACGGTAAGAGGATGAGGTACTTGAACCCTAGGCCGCATACAACCGAGGTCACTTCATAGTTGAGTGTCTCAGCGGAGGTTAACCTCACTTGAAAAGAGAGCCCAGGGTGACATCTCAGCATGGCAAACAACGGAACCTAGGGTAGAGCATAATCAAATGTTTGGCAGATATGCAAAACAACTTCTGCAGCGATGCAATTGGTCTCCAACGCAGACCGCCGACCCCTATATCGCCCTCTAAAGGATGTCTACATTCTACTCGTGACATGACCAACTTATATGCCCTTATATGCCCAAAAACAGATGCCTCCCACATGCCCATGACCAGCCCATATACCTGAGACGGAACTTGGCCCAACCCGGTAAATATTTTACTCAACCTTGGGACGAGATGATCAAGTGTATTTTACGATTTGGGCGCGTCCTCCTCACGTCCCCACCGAGCTGTCTCATCACCACCCTCCCAAGCCTTCTCGACGTATCCCAGCTGGCGCTTGACCTCCTCAACCGTCGCCTTGTCTCCCGTGTTCTTCCCAATGTTGTCACTATTGGCCGGCGGTTAGCCAAACCGGTTCGCTCACGCAGCCATGATAAGAAGTCTTACCTGATCTTGATTGCCGGCCTTCCCGCGGCCGAGCTCAGTTTGATGACGATGTTCAGAGGTGTCGACTTCCTGCCCGTCTTGGTGTTAACAAAGTCGTTTGTCAGAAAGGTGCCGACGCCAAAAGTCGGTTGGAAGCCGGCGGCTTCCGAAACCTCCTTGTACTCCAGGCAACGATCGATGTTGAGCGAGTCCGAGAAGACAATGACCTTCTTGTCATGGATGCCTTGGCCGTCGTAGAAGTCGCGCATGAGCCGGACGAAACTTCTCGGATCTCCCGAGTCCTGCCGAACGCCGGTGAAGACTTCGGCGTACGTCTTGTTGGGCTTGTGCTTGGATGCCACGAATGGTGCGGTCGAGATGAAAGAGTCAGCAATGCTTGGCTTCCTCGCGGTGGCGACTGGCGCGGGCGCTTCGAGGTACTTGAGAGGCTTGCTGAAGGCCTTCAGGAACTCAGGCGTTCCAAACGTGTCGGTCAAGGCGATGCCGAGCACGCCCTCCCCGAAGCAGCCGACCCAGCGGCACAAAGCTTCCTCGGTCGCCTTCTGGTAGTCGCCAACTATAGCAGCAGTTCCCATGAACCATTCATGGGCAACGGTTCCGACAGGCGGGATGTTGAAGCGCATGGCTAAGTGGATGTTGCTGGTCCCCGAGAGCTTTCCGGAGAAGCCGCGCTTCTGGGCCTCTTTGCTGGCCTTTGTAAGACCTCTAAAAACCAATGCCTGAGTGTGGTAGTCTCGCCTCCGGCGAGTGCCGAACTCCGATAAGACGCAGCCGGCTTCCAGCAGGCGCATACCTTTCTCAAAGGCCAGCTCTTCCTGCCCTCCGTAGGTCCAGTCCGGCTCCATGAACTTGAAGTAAGCCTCGGAAGTCAGGGCAAGGAGCGGGATCTCGTAGAGGATCGTCTCAACCCACGTGCCACTGATCCTGACATCCAAATCCCCAATGTCCGTCTCAGCTCCCGTGTCAATCCCTGTCGGTAGGAAGCTGAGTACCACCTGGTCCCTTGGTCGGAGGCGGAACTCGGATAAGAAGTTCAGGTAGGCCGGCGACAAGTATGGGCAGTGCTCTTCCAGGTAATGCAGCTCCTCTGCAGACAGAGAAATGTTGCCCAGCTTTCTGACCTGGTCCTCGAGCCAGATGAAGGCCTTGCGAGAAAGCTTCTTATCCGGTGTCCGGTTAGTGAACTTGTAAGTCACCGGGACATCTTTGTAATATTTGAAGACAGCGCATTGCATCGTCAACTTGTACAGGTCCGTGTCAAGGAAGGAGATCACGCCCTCGGGATAGGGCGAAGAGCTGTTGAAATCCATGGTTGGAACGATGGTAGCTCTGGTGCTATGATGGCCAGATGGGAAGAGTGAAGCCGAGAGCGGAATGGCGTATCGTGGAATCGAGATATTCTGACCCCCTTGGCAGAAAATTCGGAATTGCCAAGAGAAAAGCGAGTAGAATGACGGGCGGTTGCAGTAGCTCAATCCCCCGTCTCGGCAATACGAATGACCTTCGGGTCCTGTGTTGTGTAGCCCTCAATCCCGCCTAGTGAGAAAACCCTTGACCAGAGTTGTGCAAGCTTCGTTGAGAACGACTCGTCAGTGACAGGCACAGAACTCTTCTCGACCGGAATGTCGTATGTAGTCGAGATCGGGAAAGAAAAAACCCGTGCGGTCGTCCAGAACAAGGTTGAGTCCGGTGACGTTCGGCTCTAGCCGGAGGGACGCTTTTATGGTTCCCCTCTGGAATTATCGGGACGCTTTTATGGTTCCCCTCTGGAATTATCGGTACTGGCTGATTTTGACGACTGGGATGCTCACAACAGTTCAAATCCACGATAGAGCGGCCTACTGTATTCTTGATGTAGCAAAAAAGTGTACTGATTGAGACGGATATGACTGAGTTTTTCTCTGAGCTCGAATTTCTTGTGTCAGAATTGAGTGACTGGTTACTAAAGGTGAACATCTTCACAGTAGTGGGGACCCGTGTCCATTGCTCCGCGCTAACAATACTTCAAAGTTGTGCAGCACAGTTGTCTCCTTTCTCATTAATCGATGGTGAAAGCGCAGCAAGACTCGCAATTCAAGCGTGGGGTGTACGGCGTAGTTGGATTCTCTGCAATTCCTTAGGCTGGAAAGCCCGGAACAAGAAACCCGCTTCAAATGCCCTGTAAATGATCCCAATTTCTGTTGTTCATCTCTTTACAGCAAGCGGTCAGCCGTCTCTGCTGTGGTAACTGACTTGTCTATCCGCACAGCTCCCTCTGTCTTGTTCGCAGAGCAATCAAGCCCGTACGGCAAAGGGGCCCACCCGCTGGTCGCACCGAGCCACAACAACCCTAGGTCTGCAGCTCAGGCTGACACTGGCGCCAGATTTGGGGCTTACGCCTTGGTGGCTCGGAACCATTTAACTGGTTGACGAACACCAAGGCTTTGAGGCAGCGGTTTTCTTCAGTTGCAACGCATGCAAATGAGAAAATGTGGTCGCTTTGATTGAATGCTTAGGGATGGTGGTGTTGATTGCAAAGCTCTAGTGTAACTGGTAGAAGGGTCCTTATACCAAAAGGGGCTTGACTTCTGTACGAACAAGACAAAGGGGCTGTTCAAATAGACAAGTCAGTGATGGGGGGTAAGTTACCGCGCACGGACCGCAGCTCAGTTGTCTGACCGACTTCCCTCCCCAAAGTTTGACGCGGCAGAAAAAAAAGAGAGGTCCTGTCGACAGTCGCATCTCCGACAGGTTCAGGAATTCGGATCCAACGCCCTTTCCCCGCGACCCCAGGGCTGACAACACCGGAACCATGGATATCCACCGGTGCCGCTTCATCCGTCATCCTGCCTCGGCCATCAATGCCATCGCATTCACACACTCCTCGGTCCCTCCCTCGTCGTCGCACAAGCGCCACATCGCGAAACAGATTCAAGTCCGCCTCGCCATCGGGAGAGCCAATGGCGACATTGAGATTTGGAACCCGCTCCAGGGTAACTGGCATCAGGAACTTGTCATCCCCGGCGGTAAGGACCGGAGCGTCGATGGCCTGGTCTGGGTCACGGAGCCCGACGAGGAGATGGCCGACGGCAAGACCATTTTCGGCAGGTCGCGCCTCTTCAGTATCGGCTATACAACCACAATCACCGAGTGGGATTTGGAGAAGGCCAGGGCGAAGAAGCATGCGAGCGGCCAGCACGGAGAGATATGGTGCCTCGGCGTCCAGCCGCTCCCCAGCAAGGGCGCCGCCGCTTCTAGCAGTCGAAAACTCGTCGCCGGTACCGTCGATGGCAACCTGGTCCTGTACTCAATTGAAGATGGCGACTTAAGATTTCAGAGAACTTGTTTCCGCACACCGTCCAAAAAGATCAAGTTCGTCAGCATCGCCTTCCAGTCCCACAATGTCGTCGTCGTCGGCTGCTCAAACAGCACCATCTGCGCCTACGATATTCGAAACGGCACGCTGCTGAGACAGATGACTCTCGGAACCGACATATCCGGCGGATCCAAGAATATCATTGTGTGGGCTGTCAAGTGTCTGCCTAACGGCGACATCGTATCTGGAGATTCGACTGGCCAGGTGTGCATTTGGGACGGCAAGACTTACACCCAGGCCCAACGGATTCAGAGCCATTCCCAAGATGTCTTGTGTCTCTCTGTCAGTTCAGATGGCTCCAAAATTGTTTCCGGAGGAATGGACCGACGGACGGCCATCTACGAGCCTATTGCTGGGCAAAGCGGCCGTTGGTCAAAAGCGTTCCATCGCCGCTATCACCAGCATGACGTCAAGGCAATGGCCTCCTTCGAGTCCAAAGGGATGAGCGTTGTTGTGTCTGGCGGTACGTCCGATATATTCCATTGTTGCCTGTTAAGCTAATCATTTTTTCCGAAGGCTCCGACGCAAGTCCAGTGGTCCTGCCGTTGCGCGCTGCGGGCAAAGAGCATCATCGAACGCTCCCACATCTTCCGCAAAATGCCCCTCTGCACAGCGCCCCCAAGGCACGCTTCATTCTCAGCTGGTGGGAAAACGAGATTAGGATCTGGCATCTCCTCAGCCCCGCCCAGCAACTGCTAGACGACCCCCAAGCTGCTCTTAGCTTGCGCAAGAACAGAAAGCTTCTTGCCCAGGTTTTGGTGAAAGGAGACTCTCACATATCCTCGGCTGCGATCAGCGAAGACGGCACCCTCCTTGTTGCCTCAACCGCTACAGGTATCAAGGTGTTTCAGCTCGATTTCACAAGGGGAGAGCACATCGAGCAGCTCCAAATCAGGAGAGTGGACATATCAACAGCAGGCGTCGCGGCTACCAAGGTCCAGATATCGCCGGATGCACAATGGATATCTTGGGTCGAGGAAGGGAGTAGGGTCATGATTGCCAGGGTGTGCACTACAGAATCCGCGGCCGGCATCTCGTACACAGTTTCCCAACCCTTCAAATTGCACCGACTCCGGCGTCAGATACCCAAGCACATTCTTCTCGGCGGCCTGGGATCCTATGACCGGAACATTACGCAGATGACTTTCTCGCCTGACAGCAAACTGCTCGGCGTGGCCGACTTGGCGGGGTACATCGACACTTGGGTCTTACGCGGCCCCGGCGAGGGAGTGGACGGTGCGAGTGGCGAGGATGACGACGGCGCGACGAGCGAATCCACGAGTGATTCGTCAGACGAGGAAAACGAGGATGTGGCGGGCGAGCGCTGGGTCCGGAATCCCAACGCCGCCCTCCTGCCCAAGCTCGGGGCCGCGCCCGTTGTGCTGTCCTTCCCTAAGACCCAGCGGGAAGATGGCGACTATGACCTGCTGGCCATCACTACGGTAAAGCAAGTCCTCGTCTTCAATCCGCTTCGTGGGGTGCTCTCCGAGTGGTCGCGTCGGAATACGTACCCTAAACTTCCGGTACAATTCCGCGATACCCGTGACCAGATCAAGGGAGTGGTATGGCAGGGTCACCGAGCCTGGATCTACGGCGTTTCGGCCCTGTTCATGTTGGATCTGTCTCAGGACTTCGATCTGGAGGCGGACTCGCCTGAAGGAAGGGACGGGCAAAAACAGGGCACCAAGCGAAAACGCGGCGGGCAGGAGAGCGGCGCGGGCGGAAAGATGGAGAAGCACTCGCTCGTACCCCAGCGAGTCCGGACGGCAGCTGGACCGGACGGGGCGAAATGGGAGGATGTGGAGATGGCCGATGCCGACGATCAAAAGAGTGTTGGCGCGAGCAGCGGGGTCGACGACGATGACGAGGACACGGATGGCGGTGAGCTGCAGCGTCTGAGAGACGAGCAAGGAGCCAACGGGAACGCGCACGAAGCTGGGAAGGAGGGGACAACAACAAGGGCGAAATGGTGGCACAGTTACCAGTTCCGGCCGATACTGGGCCTTGTACCGCTCGAGGCCATGCATGAAGCAACTGTCTTGACGAATGAGGACGTCCCCGCAGGGCCGCCGCCTCTCGAGGTTGCGCTGGTCGAGCGGCCGTTGTCAAGCAATGACCTGCCGGAACGGTATTTTGCAGAGGGCGAGTGGGAGAGGTGAATTCAGCTTGGTCGGGACGGGGAGATTCAGAGGGTGGGGGGCGGCCGGTGAGTCCGCTGGCATCGAGGGTGGGAGGCTCCTGATAGACTGCACTTGCTTCTGCTAGCATGTAGCAGCTGAGCTAAGTCCATGTATGTACGATCTAGGGCGATGTTTGACCCTGAAAGGGCTTGGATCAGAATTTTACCTGTCATGATGGGCTCTTGTTTGAACTTCCTCCTGCCATGGAACAACAACGCCCCGGGAGGGTTTTCCTCGGACGAGATACACCATCTGTCAAAGTCATCGATACCACGAATCACCTTGAGTCAAACTCCCTGTTAAAATAGTGACTGGTGGTACTCCGGCAAGCTCGCCCAGCTGCATACAAAGTTGATGCGGGTGGAGTCATGCAACTGCCTTCATCAGATGACGCGGTCCGGCCTTGTATGATAACCGCTGGCCAGGTTATGGGGGAGAGCCGTATACCGGGCCGGCGGTCATGCTTTCTTCCCAACTCCTGTCAACAGGACACTGGGTTCGGAGGGTACCCTGTTCCCCGATCGGGTGATCTCTCGCCGTCGTTTGTTGCTTGGTATCTGTGGCCTTTCCTCGAGGTCTGAGATCGCATCGGGATTAGGAGAAGATTCTCTGGCCTCGGGATACTGCTATTACCAAGGACATCAAGGAAAATGCCTTCAACGGCAGGCTTCCTTTACCGATATGTCGTCCAGGCGGGGGAAGGGGGGGTGCTTTGGGACTATCACACGACGAGATTGGGGCACTCGAGTGGGCGGTCTGCCAGTCCGCGGCAACATTCGTCGGCCATGTGGCACGGAGGGATTTTGGGTGGAGTAGAGCTGTGTGAGACGCGCGTCGTCGAGGTCTTGTTCTCAATAACTGGTTCGCGGCTGGGGCCGGCAAAGGTTTGCGGCGACACTCGGGTGTTCCAGGGGTTGAAGCCGTAGGCAATGTACCTCCCTCCGGTCGGGTCTATCCACATGCTCAGTGCAAGTATGCTAAAAGCAGATTGGCATTGGTGAGTTGTGACTGTCTATGTGTAGTTCACGCGGAAGGCCTGACGAGGCTGCTGCCCTTGTGTGGAGTGCCTGCGTCCAATATTGAGGTCGAGGGGGGACAGCCGCGTGATACTGGAGGCAATTCGGCTCGAAATCGGTAACTGGAAGGCCAGTAGGTGACCCACGAAGATTGTATGTATCTCCGAATACCGTCAAGTTTGTGTTTCAATTCCGAAGACAAGCCTATTATTCACTGAGTGGTTTGAAGGAGGGAGAGAGATGGAAGAACGGCCAGAAGCGGACCTGGTATCTACGAGTACGGTCCGAACCGGGAAACAGGGAGAGTCAAATATAGATACCGTCTAGAGTAAATGTGATGACTCTGAGCCCACTATTCATTGCATTCCATGAATTCTCCATCGCTATACGGAACGCCACCTACCGGGCTCACGTGCGTCGGCAGGTTCTCACAACATGAAGACCCGGTAGTGGCATGCTCTGCTTAACGAATGTCGAAGTGACTTGAGTGCTGACGACGCAATCTGAGTGATCTCTGGAAGACACTTCGGCTGCTCAACGATTCGGTTTTCCGGCTCTCTATCTCGCGTTGGTCTTATACATACCTAGTCGAAGCGCAAAGCCGGCAATCAATCAACGTGAGCCCCCGGTTCGGCGCAACATGAAGACAGAGTGTGGCCTTGAAATTGACTCGATGACCCTAGTGTCAAGATGCGGCTCCCGAGTTGACAGGATTTGAAGGCAAACGGCCGGCTTGTCAGAGCCGTATCGATGTTGAAAGGTTGGCAGGGCGTTATGAATGATTACGGGACGACCGCTCGACCGCCAATAGACACGTAATCCTCTCGGGCTCGAACGCCACCGTATCCGTACACACCTCAGGAGGCTGCAACTCCAGGGGTACAGTGCTCGAGCAAACATTTTCCAGAGCCTGCTTCCTCTTGCTTGCGAGCCATAACAAAGTGTCTTTGGTACAAGTACAGTTGCGTGTATGAAGGGCCTTCGCCGTTGTCATAAGGCAATTGGGGGGTCATCAACAAGCATAGCACACCTATCCAACTCAGGGTCCCTCGCTGACGAACACAACCCTATTGGCAGCTCGGTGGCAACTCCCAAGGCGTCAGCGGCACATTTGACCTAGATGTTAGAAGGCTTCCATTCGCATGGGTAAAACACCTTTGTGTCAACGCCAAGAGTAGAAGAGCACTCATACCTAGGTACCTTACCTTAGGCTTGTCAGTCGTATTGTACTGTAATAGGGTAACCTTACACAGCAGACATCGGTCCCCGTCGGCCGGGCCATAAGTTAGCCCACGAAAAGGATTAGGAACGAGGCCCATGCGTCCAGAGGTTGAAACTGAGGGTCAGAGTCGCGGTCCATCTGGTTTGCTTATGGTTTCAAGAGCTCTTTTGGTCGGCGGTCTTTCCCCACAATGCCTTCCGGAAGCAAAGGGACAACGCAACGGAGTAAAAAGCCGTAAAAAGCCCAGCCACAGCCATCGCAGATTCAAGGACAAATTTGGCAATCATGGGCCACATCAGCCACGCCTCGTCATTCTCCCCGGGCAGTGGACCCACCATCCACCCGCCTTACGCAACACAGTTCGGTACCTGCACCTTCCGTTCGGACCGCCCCAGGACTGAAGTTCCATTTTCATGCTCTCGAGTCAGTGTTCCTTCCAAAAACGGCTTCAGTCTCTGAATATGGGTAGGTAGAAGACTGAGAAAAATCTCTTCGGCTAGATGAACGGATGCTCACACGACCGTTGTAGGGCAGGCTTTTCGACTTGATGCATCCAGTGGTTCTCGGCCTCCACGTCCCTTGTGGATTGATCGGTCGGCTGAAAAGGTCGATGAGGCGGAGAACCATGTGTGGATCCTCCATTTGTGGCGGAGGGACCCGAAACCAGTCCTGACCAATCATCCCGAGACGACGCGCGTCTCCTCTGTTCCCTCCCCACCTCTTGGGCCCTCCAGGCGCTCTTTCCCGACCAGAGAAACGTCTCCTCGTTGCCTGCACCCCTCCGTTCCAAGAGATACGATTACGTCTGCTTCTCGCACGACGAGTGGCGACGGCGTCCCAGGCGGGCAAAAAGACAAATGATTTTTTGGAATTAATGAACAAGACTCGATCAACGGCAGCATTCGAGCTGCCAACCCTCTCTCATGACACATGCTGTCTGGTACTTCGGCCACGCAACCTTTCTATCCATTGCCCTGTGGCCAGGGGACGCCGGGGACGGCTGCGCAACCTTCCACACGCCCTCCCCAGGGCCTGAACCTTGCACATCCCCCACCCGCGTGCATACCCTATTCTTCGCCCCCCTTGTCTGCTGCCGGCCCGCCTCTATCCTTTGCTCGTTCTTCCCTCATCTTCACAGTGCCGCCAGCCCAACCCATCCCAGGCTTACCCGAGAGCTTGACCCCTCCAGTTGTCAATCGTCTCGAATTGCGCCCGCTCGATTCGGAGGGTCGAGGCGCTTGCCTGTCGACAGCGAGGTTCTTGGGCTGCCATTCAGAGGGCGGGAGCAGAGGATTGGTCTAAACCACTCGCAGCACCTCGGCTTGTCATCCGCGACGTTGCGTGGCCAGCCCATGTTTCGCAATCAGGTGTCCACCTGACGACGACGCACACGACTGTCTTCAGCCTGGGAACAAGACAAACGACAAGGACAACAAAACCCCCTGACCTTTTTGGCGGCATTTGAAGACGATTCAGCCGCCTCAACGGCGGACCCGACCACTGCCCGCCAGCGCACAACAGGACGATGGATGCGAATAGGAGTGATGGTCCTCCAGGCGGAGGACAGTACGGCGATGAATGGGCTCACGATTTGAGGGTGCAGTTTGAGCAACTTCTCCGGACAAAGCGATTAACCGAGCTTCAAACTCGATCTCGCCAAGGGTCTCCTGCGCCCACGGTCAGCGCCTCGTCTGGGAAATTGCCAGATGCGCAGTCATCCGACCGCGCCAGGCGAGGGACATCGGATATGCAAACGCCGCCGCCATACTCCGTCGCCCGAAACCTTCCCATGGTTCCGACTCCGCCGGCGCCCGATGACCGCGAGTCAACCAAATTCAGGAACCTGCTGATATCTCTATCCGCGACGCCGACCAAGTACGAGAACCCCGGCCTGCTCGACGAAGCCCTGCAAGCGCTCCCGCTGGACAGGTTATACAGTGAGGCCGAGGAGGAGAGCCAGGTGCTTCGAGCCCAGGCCGAAAGCATGGGGGATGGGCGCAAACCGGAATGGGGCTACCAGGACTGTCTCGTACGGGCCTTGCTCAGGTGAGTCCCTCTGTGTTGCCACTGGTTGACGATTGGCGGTGCCAAGCTTACTCCCTTTCTCTGCGCTCAACAGGTGGTTCAAGAACGAATTCTTCACTTGGGTCAACAATCCGCAGTGCCCGGTCTGCTTTTCGCCGACGATTGCGCAGGGCATGACACAGCCGACACCCGAAGAAAAGGCATGCGGCGCTCTGCGCGTCGAACTCTACCGTTGCTCGAATCCCAGCTGCAAGGCATATGAACGCTTTCCCCGGTACAGCGATGTTTGGCGCCTCATGCAGACCCGTCGCGGGCGATGCGGCGAGTGGGCAAACTGCTTCAGCATGCTCTGTCGGGCAATCGGTGCCCGCGTCCGCTGGGTATGGAATGCCGAGGACCATGTCTGGACCGAGGTCTATTCGGTTCACCAGGAGCGGTGGATACACGTGGATGCCTGCGAAGAGGCCTGGGACAACCCTAGGTTGTACACCGAGGGGTGGGGCAAGAAAATGTCGTACTGCATCGCCTTTTCCTACGACGGCGCGACCGATGTGACCAGGCGCTACGTGCGCAAGCCCGAGTATTACAACGAACGCAACCGGTGCCCAGAAGAGGTCTTGCTCTACATCATGCAGGAGATCAAACACCTACGTCGGGCCAACCTGGATAAGCAGACGCGCTTTCAGCTCGAGAAGGAGGACACGAGAGAAGATAAGGAGCTACGCAGTTACGTGGTCGCTTCAATCACGCAAGCCGTGACTCAACTTGTGCCGACACCCACCGCCGGTCCGAGCGCTAGCACCCCGGCGAGGCGAGGCGGAACCTCGTCTGGCGACGATACCAAGGTTCCCGTATCTGCCGATCTACCCGGCCGACAGAGCGGCAACGCTGAATGGGTGGCTGCGCGCGGAGAGAACGGCAGGCGCAACCAAGGCTTCCCCCCTCCTCATCAAGGCCCACCATTCCCCTGAGCCCACCGTACTTCAGCTCTGCGACCAGCTGCTGTTCTCTTAGCATCGGTAGGAAGCGTCGGGTCGTCCTCGCAACGGATTCGCTATTTTTATTCAGCATGATACCCACCGTTGCCGGGATTGGCTCGACTGCTAGTGGTGTTCGTGCTGGCGAGGCATGAGCTCGCCAAAATCGGGCCTCACACGCCTTTGGATTCTCATTCCTGGCAGCCATGCGCACTACAACGAGCCGTCACCGCGACGGGCTGTCACAGCCATTCGGCGTCTAATCCCTTTATGTTTAATGCTACATACCTCGTCGTCCTCGGCGCCCGATGCAACGTCCCAGCAACCGATCCTCAGCCAGATTCACCACACCATATATCACGCACCTTCCGGTCTGTATACGCACAGCCATTTCCTTTGTTATCAGCCTCATCCTGGCCGTCGTTGTACATACCATCATCATCGTCACATCATTGTTTGGAGTAGGCCGGCGACGCTTGGATCATGAGAGCAGCTTCGAGCGCGGAGGTGGGGCATTGTCACGGTTGCATCTTCTTTCTGTGCTGCGAGGGATGGCTTGGGTGTTGAAGCCTCCATCAAGCCCGGTCGTGGCGGCGTTCTGGAAGGGCCAGGAGGCCTTGAAATTATGTTGCATGATGCCTATGAAAGCATCCACCTTTGTCTACCATGGGAAGTATGAAAGCTGGGTGAGGATTTCTCAAAACGTGATTCATGCCTGACGATTTCGGATGCCATATGAAAATGACTGTGACTGTGTACCTGAAAGGGTACTTCGCAACATGGCATCGTCATGCACGTTGACTTTAATAGAAAACTAGGTTAGATTTGATTCCTCGGGGCCAAACGAGGACTTAGCGCTGCCGTGGTCCCGTGAGCAATTGCCCCAACGGTGGGTCACCTACCAAGGTAATTGAGGCATTGGTTGATGTGGTACCCTCTATTTCGTGTCTAAATCTTGAACTGCTCGCTCGAAGTTGTTCAGTTGCAAATTCATCGAGCTTCTGCATGAATTCGTTATCAGCCTCCGCCCAGCCCCCCGAGTTTGCCGCCTCAGCACGGAATATGGGTAACAACAATGCAGCACGAGGTGATCAAAACGATGAATATTGCCTATAGCGGCAGTTCGACAGGAAAGAGACTTTACATAATTGTTCGTAGATTAGAATGGATGTTCATTAATCTATGAGTATATGACGAGCAGTGTACAATGATACAACATACAACGTCACTGCCTGGCAGCCCAAGCCTTGACCCGAGCTACCTTATCCGGGGCCATGGCAAACACTCAGCAGACTCCATGTCATCGACGAGATCAAAGAAGCGTACTGATACCATACAGAGGTCACCGCCCAAGAGCATAAGAGTGGCCGGGAAAACAGCAGAAAAGCGCGGCATAAGTTCTTGCCCTTTCTTCTCTTTCTTGTGGCTCCCCTTATCACAGCCCGTTCCAACAAGAGCCAACAAGCGAGGCAGCGTAATTGCACATCTATTGCCGCTCTGCACCCAAACAGACCATTCAAATCTGCTTACCTGGCGCTACAAGTGAACGATGCCGCCCGTATCAACGATCGAGGCCCATATCAATGCCCGTATGGGCGTAACAAGAAAGGAACCCGTCCCTGTTGCCGACAAAGTTGTCTGTCATACACGCCAGCTGGGTCAGCAATTAAGCCTCACAAGACCCATTTGGCCGGAGACTCGGACTCGGAGGAGGGGAGGCTTTGGGCGCGAAACGCAACGTACTCAAGTTGATGTACGCGACCTGCGGGTCTTTGCCGCTGCATTTGCAGTGAAGAACCAGTCGCTCAACCCAGCAGCAGGACTTCTGGTGGTTTCCGCTGCAAAGAGTAGGTAGAGCATGAGGCCCTGGGTTAGCGGATCTGGAAGTTCCCACGGGCGAACGTGAAGCGTCCTTGTCCCGAGGTACCACTGCCTAGCAAGTTCGTAGGCGTACGCGATGCATTGGTTCAGATCGATCCCGTCTTCGACTTGCGACGTGTCTTCCCGTCGAGCATGTCGTAATAACACGCCATGGGCGGCGCTGGTAATGAGGAGGGCAAAACGTACGTACTTTAGGTACTGCCTGACGCTTCAGATGCCCCCCTTTGGGTGGCGGCCAACTCGGGGAGCAGGGCGAGGCCCCTGGACAGAAGGACCGAGAGCTTCATGGCGCCAGCTCGTTAAGTTTTGAGAGAGAGTGGAGTGAAGCTCAGCACAGGGAAGGATGTGTGTATCTATCTGTGTGTGTGTATGCTGCGTGCGCGTGTGTGGTTGTGGTGCTGATAAACGCTGGATTTCATATATGTGTCCGGCATCAGTCCCCAGGCATCCAACTCGACTGGAAAGCACTCTACTCGGCTCAGTATTGACATGTGGAAAAGGACCAAGTAGAAGAGCAATATGTAGACTCCTTCAATTCAAATATAGTTAGCACTAGGTAACACACGGTCATATCAGGATGGGACAGGATGGTTTGTGAATGACGAGTAGTCCTGTTTCCACTGCGGGTCGGCCATCTCTGAGAATGTGAGTGATCAAGTACATACATTGTTTCGTATAGCTGGATCTGAAACGTCAATTCCTTATGTCCGGCGGTCACAAGCTCCAGGAGTCTCTTCTTCCATTGTAAACTTGGAAGAAAAGCACCAAGCATGCAACATTGGAGACTCGGACGGACAGAGCTTGTAAGACTGAACTCTCCGACGATCCCGGACTCTCTCAAGTTATCACTCATTGAGCCTTCCCTCGACAATGTGGGCTGGATTCTGTAGCGTCAACATAGTCCTACTTGTACGTATTCAACATCCTAACCAGTCGACGACTGAGTTTCGCGGGGAATTCAAGCCATCGACCTTCCATTATAGATGAAATGTGACCAGAAGTGAATACAGCCTAGTCTGCAAGAGCCGAACAGCTCGAGGACACCAGCCACTCACTATCTCCCCGCTCGCAAATTCAAACTGTTCAAGGGCCCTTGAGATGTTGATTGCTCAAGTTGTTGGCCGTCGGCTCCCGTCGAACCATTCCACATCGAACTGCGCCTGTCCTCTGAGTCGGATATATAGTTACCGCTCCTGTCCTTCCAAGTCGATCATGTTCATGACCCCCTCATCGATATGAGTCGCTCGTTTTCTGTGTGCCTGGTCACAGGCTTCAGGTCCCCCTGAGCCACTAATCATCTTTACGCTCATGGAGGACCAGTTTGGTCCCCTAATCAACTTAATAGAAATCAACCGGCAGTGATGGTATACCATTTTGTTATACGACCTGAATCGCCACATTCACGCATTGTCAGGAGTTGATTCTAGTTCCTCAAGTTTGAATCCCGTCCTGGCATGAACCCGGTTAACACAGGTGACTACCACACCAGCACAGCTGCAGACAACAAATTCGGGAATCGATTTACTACGGAGCTACCCCGTCTTGATCTCACCTTGATCTTCATCTCGGTTCAGATGATATTTGCCATGGCAGCCATGCCAACCGACATTCGCCATGTTAGCGAGTCTTTGCCACCGTTTTCTCCTGCCAAAGCGAAGCCGAAGCAAGGGATACGGCGAATGGACGACGCTAACACTCAATGAAGCCGTAATCCGCAGATCGCGCAGTCCTATCGAGATTTGTCATGCAGCCACCCTCGAGCTGGGTTCCCGCCGAGCGCCACAAGCCAGGTTTTCGGACTGGAGCACAGCAGCCGGTTGGGCACATGCAAAGCAATACTTGTGTCTGTTATTGAATGAATGGTTATTGCTTCCAGCAGTGCCTGGCGCTTGACAACGTCATCACAAACATCAGACTGTCAATGGGGAACTGACCGGATCTACAAAGGCAATTGATGAATCTCGCTAACGTTCAAAAGGTGGGCGGATCTACGCCGAGTCGAGGGCGCTTCCAGCCGAAATTACGGCGGCGCACGCACGCCCCCATGTCGGGTGCAGTGGCTTTCCCCGGATCGGAAGAACGAGGCCGGGGTCGGAAAGCATGACCCGGAAGAGGACAGCCAGATTCCGTTGATTGCGAACACAAGTGTTCCCAATATCAGGGGTTCGGGATTGTCATCAATTCAAAGAGGGAGCTGTGCAGGTGGCAGCGCCAACAAAGGCCCCGCCCAGAAAGGAACCATACCTGATATAGAGGGAGAATTGTGCGTATCCGGTCCTTCGGCTCCTCTCTGAGAAGGGCTCAATGGTGGCCTTTTCGCTCTCCAAGAGTTCCGCTACCCTGCATTTGATGCAGGCCCGGAAATCATACCCGTTACAGCGGCCGGGGGCAGCGAAACCTCGCGCCCAAAATAGAGGTTCGATTGTTGGCATCAATTCGCGATGGAACAACCTGCGCCTTGCGGGTGCAGCAGCAGTGTGATCCGCCAAGCCCGCCATCACGCGTTAAGTGCGCGCAGGGACGGCGTGATTGGCTGACTGCGCGTAGGCCTCGGTATTTTGTTCGTTGAGGTTCGTTTCGACTTGCATGATCTCCTGGAGACTCAGCTGCGCTCTTTCGTTCCCCAGAGACTGGGTTGGGCGGTTGCAGCGCTGGAGGCCTGCTGTCCATGGTCATTGATTGGAAAAGATGCGGCCTGCAGTTGGATTGACGCCAACTGTTTGGAGATTCTGAAGCGAGCTCACCGGGTCGAATGGGTGGGTTGGGTTCCTTTGACGTTCTGCCGGGACTCGATGTTCGCTTTCAGAATTTTACTTCGTGCGCCCGTTCTTATCACAGTGCCTGGTTCTTATTCGAGGGGAAGAGTCCTGATCTCTGGCCCAGTGATTACTACCGCCGGCGACTCGGCCGCTAATGGAGACAGCTTCCAACTGATGAGGCAGGGCTGTTATCAGCGTCAGTTACCGCTGCGAGGCAGGGAGGCAGTTGACAGGATATGGTTTTAGGTTTTGTCATGGCATATCCGTACGAGAAAGCGTCTCATTGTTCAAAGGCTGGCATGGGTGCTAAGGCTGATTTGATGTTGTGCATGCGTCTGTCAAGGCCGAGGCTGCGCTGGCCATAAGTCATGGGGCGGAGTTAATGCTGCAGGCTGAGTCTGGGGGCTTCGTCTTGAAACCAATGCCTTTGGAAATCCGGTTCTAGTTGCCGGTGCGTCTCTCCAGTAACTGATCGAGGCTTTGATGTTGGAAGTCTCCTGGGAGCTCATTGCAGATCCCACCTCCGATGATGCTAAAGCACGGTGGTACTCCGTAAGGTACTTTTCGAAGCTGCCTTCCAGCACCTTGCCTCCCAAATTTTTGTGCCTCGCAGCACACTGCATGGAAGAGGCCCGCAACCGAGTGATAAAAATGGGAACCCCCCAAAACACGTCCCGCCACGTCTTCGCGTGGTATGTTATAAGAATAATCTATCACCGATGGCCGTTCGTTTTCTGCAACCAAAGCCGTTGATGGCTGCCGTCTGGGCACTTGAATTCCGAGCGAATGCGACAACCAGCGGGACCGACGACCGACGCTCAACGTGGAGGACAACAAGGCCGGGACTGGAAGCTCGAACCTGACCAAAACCGCAGAGGTTCTGGTGGTATGAGCGGTGTGTCGCTAGACAGTGATGTTCATGAAAGGTTCTGGTCTGGTTCGGCTTCCGGGTTCGCGGCCTTCGCGTTTTCGAGGTCCCAGTCAGCCTGGGATTTCCAGTCGCCGGCCGGCCGGGCCTTCCGAGACAGACGGAGGTGGAGTGGTATGAGCCCCGCCGGGTCCGGAGTGGCCGCCTGCTAACCCTAAGGACGTGTTGATGAACTGAGAAGAGTGCGGTCACGGTTGCGATGTGCTGGCGACAGCCTGTGGTGCGCGGCTCATTTCTTTGAAACATCGGCGGGTTCAGACTGGCTAGGTTGACCCAAATCCATTCCCGAAGGCTGGGCTTCCCCACCGCAACGGGCCAAAAGTCTCACTGCTGTTACTCGGCTCAAGCAGTTGCTGTGGGGAAACGAAGATGGAAACCGAAAGATTCTCTGAACGGTCCCGTTTGTGTGCGGCAGTCAAGCCGAACATGGCAAGTTGACGAGCCGCCAGGGTCTCCGCGGTATCCGTCCTGGGGTTCAGCGTTTTGGACTCGCGTTACGCCCCGGCAATTCTCCTTGTGGTCGGGAGATGCAACGACGGCAGAGGGTATGGCCGTGCGCTGGGGAGCGATGTGCCGATCTGCGTGCGCCAAGGGGTTACATGCAGTCTTGGAATTAGATGAAGACTGTCTGAGAGAATACTTCTGGTGTAGTCATCTTTCCTAGAGGTCTTTCTGAAGTGTCACATCTCTTTTCTCTCGGCCGTCGGCCCATGCTGCTGCAGGGCCCTCGTCCTGGTCAATTGTCTATCCAGGTATGGATAAGCGTCCGCTTAAGAGCCGGGAAAGGGGCCGCGAAACCGCTCAACAAGAAGTTGGTCATGAAGGGTCTGTGCTGGGTCTCTGAGTCTTCGCCTGCCGTTGCAGGAAAGAGACGCGGTCTCATGTCCATTGAAACCGGGAAAGATGGTGCAGGATCCAAACAGCTGAGTTGGCGAGTACTCGCTGATGAATGAATGAATGAATGAATGGGTTTTTGCTCGTGTCAATCAGACGCATGGGTCTGTGGACAGAAACGGTCGAGCAAACGGTCCGGATCCAGTCATTTGCGGGTCTCTCAACTTCATGAGGAGAGTCAGTGAGGTTGCATTCTCGTGATTTTTTGACCAAGTGTGGATCTTTCCGTAGCGTTGAACGCCAGTGACGCTCCTCTGCTCCTTCCCATTTCGGGAAAGGCGGGCCAATTCTCAGCCTCATGTGGCACGATGCTAAAGGCGCACTATCTCAGCCTTACCACTGCTGCACAGCTGCAGCCCGGCTTCGGCAGGTGTTCTGGAAGCCACCTTTGGCATCCCGAGACTCCGCAATCTCAATTTTGGGTTGTTAAACTTCGAACGTCGGTGTCCAGGCCCCTTTGCGAAGTGCAATCCACGACTGTTAAGAATTAAGCAGATGAGGCAATCTTTTCTTTCTTGCAAACACAGACAACGTGATGGAGACGTGATGCTGTTCTGTGCAAGCTCTTCCTAGATGTCGGCTGCTGTCATGACCCCTGCTACGATGAAAATGGAGCAAGCGGCCGCCCTGGAGGACTTTGCATGCTTCCAATCACAGGCTCGACAAAGAAAAGAACAGCAGCTTTCTGACATATACTTCGCTCCAAAAGTGGATGGGAAGCTCAAGTCTCGGACCTGCCGCAAAAGTTTTGCCAGCCTCTTCTCTGCTTCTGGTGCAAGTCGGCCCTGGTTGTGGAGGTGGTGAGAGGGGTTGATGGAGCAACTGTGGACAGAGAGGCAAACGGGCTGGCCTAAAAGCCAGCAGGGACTGGCTTCACGGCAAGTTGACCGCCTCCATCACTGATCTGCCGATGCCGCGCTAGAATGAAGCAATCGCGCAACCATCCGGCATTCATCATGTAGGGCGAGACCTCCCGTTGAAGCCGGTGCTCGTGGTAGTCTGGCCGACTTGAACGGTCGGCTTGAAGGCCCGCTCCGGAGAACGCCGGCATCGTTTTGGGCTGCCGTCATTGCGGAGTGCATCTCCACAAACAATGAGAACTTTTGCAGCAGCCTTTGGAAACCATCAGAACGTCTCAGCGCGTTCAAGTGACTGTGATCGATCACCAGCGGATGCCTTCCACAGCGCTCCGTTTGCCTCTCGAACCTTGCACAGGAGACGTCGAGCTCGGTCCCGGTCAGCCACCATGCACCACGGGCAAGCTGAATCCGGTAATGTTACCGTACGGGACCGGCGGTTATTGGTCCCGAATAGATAGCTACCCTCCTTGGTGTGCTGACTTAGGCACGGTGTACAAATCTGGTTTCATCTGAGCGTTCTCACGGCCGAGGTATTGGCTCTGCCGGTTTTCAGATGCGGGATTTCAAGACAGCTCAACTCGAGCCGCTGCGGGAGGATGGAAGTTGAAGAAATTGGCTTGCTTATTTTGAGCTCTCAGACTTATACGTGAGCGCTAAAAGGGGTCCGCCGCTGCAACTTTCTGGCTTCGTTATTCCGCCGCTCATATCTTGAGCTGCCCGTGAAGTGGCGTAGTGTAAGCCAAGATAGGTCTCTTATCGACATTCTATTGCTGCCACCGATGTTGGGAGAGCGCGTTCGAGTTTCTCACTGTTTTCCCCCTTCTGTCTGAGGTCTGAGTCGATGGAGGTGGCTGACCGACAACATGTCTCAAGCATGTCACATATTAGATAAAAATGAGTCCCCAGGACGCAGGCAGAGCTGGCAGCTTTCTGCATGTATAAAGCAGACTGGAAGTTTCCGCGGGATGCTCCTTTACCGAGAGCCCAAAGCCCATTCGCCAGCCTGGCCCGTTTAACTGCTCCAGAGAAGTGTTGTTGTGGCTGGGGACGAGGGGACGGCTTGCGGAAGGTAAAGGCCATGCCGGACCTCAAAACACTCGGTTCCAACCTGATCATCATTGATGAAATTGACGGTGGCACAACGCTGAGGCAGCGACCCGTGCCCGTTCGACTATCAAAAAGCTATGTCCCACGGCATACGGCACCAATCAATCAAATATCGAATGCCAGAGACGGAGTCACACGGGAGTTCAGCTGAAATTGAATGACGCCGCCACGACATGGCAAACATCAAGAGCGAGATGCGGTCCAAATCAGTGGCTGCCAAGATTGAGAAGGTCCGGGGTGGGGGCTTGGGATGGAGTTTTATTCAGTAAGGTATCTCAAGCAAGGAAAACGATCTCGCGATTTTGCTCGCATCTGCGTTGCATCGGCCAGGTATGGATGACATTGTTATTGATTTGGCTGGTGCCGGCTGTCGCGGTCCCTGACGGGACTTCTCTGGGCGCTCGACGGCCGCTTCACTGGATTGGACAAGTCCGTCTTTGACACGCATGTTGGATTCATCAATTCCCTTCAGTCGTGCAGCAACGCGTCCTCCGTCGCTCATTGGTTGCCTAGCCCGCCAAACCTCCACCGATTATTCATATTGGTAAGGTATTCGCTCAAGGCACCACAGCCTTTCGAGCTGCTGACCGGGAAAACGTGAGGAAGAGCAACAATGACCAGTGGTCTTCTGCTCTTGCTGTATCTCAGAAATCCCATTGTTTCCGTGGTGGTCTAGTCATCTGGTTGCCTCAGTTATTCTCTTTTTGAATGGGCGAGCTTCGCATGCCTTATGTGTCTGAAGGCACAGAAGCCAGCCAGCCCTGCCTTGAGAGCGGGTCTTTAGTTTGCATCTCACTGGCCCTATGCAGCCCATTAAACGCGAACACGCCAAGCAATGATGAGACGCGCAACAGCACATAGGGTAACAGATATTGGAACTGATGGGACATGTAAAAACCCAGACGGTAGGGTCAAATGGCACTCCGGAGCAAATTATGCCCGCATTGACTACCTCAGTGGATAGTGAATGAAACGCTCCAGGCAGACCAGCCCGGGCGTCGGGCTCTCAGTATCTTAGTACCCTCACCGCAGCTTACCTACAAAGGCGATCCAACCCCACAATTTGCTAGTGTCGACAATGTCCTGATGCTGCTTCCACAATTCGGTCTTCTTGTTCAAAAGGGAAAAGCTTGGAGATTCTGACGTAAGGCCAGGGACAGAGGAACCCAATTCATGTCCGGCGGTCATGCATTGGCGCTGCTCTTTGGATGACAAAATTGTTGGCTATGAGTTGCGATTCGCAGCAGAAGAAAGGAGGAAGCCAATCAGTCTCGGATTACCTGCAGCTGGCCTTATGCATCCTCCACTCCGCCATTCAATTCAGCCAAATGCCGTCCCTGTCCGCTGGGATCTGTGACCCGGCTGTCTCGGTTGATTGAGCATCCAATGTAACAGGCTATGACGAGAGGCTTGTGGCATGGCCTCCTCAGTGGCTGCCATGATGGAGGCCCCGACGGTGAGGCCCGGCGGTGACACGGAACCGCACTGAGTGCAACAACAAAACAAATCGCTTCTGCAGCAAGATCATAACTCTGCAGAGAGATCCGCCATATACGGAGTCTTTAGGCTCGACTCATTGTGCAGAGAGGCCCATTGTTGCGATGTGCGGAATCCCGTCTTGCCTTGCCCGTTTGCACATTCGAAGCCTCAACAACGCAATTATGCGAGCCTGCGGACGCAAGTGTGGAGAGTTCCAAGAATCATGACCTCGCAATAAGCCGAATGAGAATCGCGCCAATTCCGGACGTTCGACACCAAATACCTAACCGTGACACGCAGTTGCGTGAATGGTGACGGGATTGAGAGTGTCAAAAGCCCTGCACGCTGGACCAAAGCAGCCGCGAATCCCTGCCGTCGTCCACCTGGCCGAATGTCGCAGTCGAGCGACAAAGTCCACTCAATTCCGCCGTCGCCCACCAGCTTCAGCCCGTCAGGAGCACACTCTCCTGGCCGTGCCTGGACGAGCGAGACGAGTTACAGCCTCCACACCCCACTGGCACTAAAGCTACCGCTAATGTGAGAACCGAAGTGTAGCCAAGGAAAGACTGTCCTGAGGTGCATAAACAGAGTCAATCGAAGTGACGTGCAATACAGTGGTGCACACTTCGTTGCATCGCAAGGCGGCCAGCCATGTAGCCAAGCAACCGGCTCTCTTCGAGACGCGTACCTTGATTCCAGGTTGTTTGTTCGACCACCTTAGTGTAGGTGAGATATTTCAGGTGAGAGGCTTGAATTGCATGAGGAAAGCCATTCAGAGGAACCTGAGCTGCTCCTGATCAGACCGTACTCCCGTCTGTTGCATCTCGCGACAAGCGGAGCGCCACGATTGGGCGTCGCTCCTTCCTCCTTAGCTGGTTTTGGGACGCCTGTTGCGCAACGGAGGTGGGGGAAGGAATCGATTACGGAGCCCAGGACCTTGCGAGAGCAGCGGCCGAAGTGGCTCTTGGCAGCAAGCAGATTGCTGAGCTGCCTGGGTGGCCTGGCTTCTGCCCCTGCAAAGGACGTGTGGCCCTGCACTCGCACTCGGGCCAGGGCAGGAATGGTACCCGTGGATCTCCTCAGTACGCGGTCGGTGCTGCAAGCTGCTTGGTGCTCAGAGCAGCGCTCCTCCTGGTCGCGAGTTGGGGGCCCTGTCTTAAATCGGCCGTTAACCAATCTCTGCGCTCCTTTTCCACTCCCCTTTCCTTTCCTCCATCCTCCTCCTCCGACCTGAACAAATATCTATCTCCTCCTCTCCTTCCCTTTTTCTTCTCCTCCATCCGCAACCAGTCGTTTCCTCCCCCGCACCGTCCCTTCCAAACATAATCCCAAGGAGGGAAGGAGGAGATTTAGACTCTGGGGCCCGACAAGCTTAGCTCACCCAGCCCGTATAGGACACGGCCGGACTGGTGCGTGCAATCGAGCGGGAAAGACATAAGGAAGTAGCTGGAATTGGGAATCTCAACGTTCCTGCATTTTTAGCTTTTCCGACCCTCTCGAAGCTCCACCCTGCGTCCCTGGTTTTCCAGGCTCTCGGTCAAGACATTCTTCGGTTCGACCACGAGGAATCCTGCACTCTGCCCGGCTGCTCCCCTCGTTCCCCAGCCTCGCTCGTTTCTGGACCTCACCCTCGACGCTCAAGTCCTGTTCGAGCGAAGTAGGCGGTGTTGGCAATCGACGGATTCTCAATATTTTTTTACGGGGAATCCCGTCGTTTCCCACCAGGCAACGGTTTTTTTTTCGACAATCCACCACCGATCCACGAGCCCACAAGCGACTCGCGGTCATCTACATGATCCCAATCGGTGCATAAGCCCTTCATCTGGCCTTTGCCGAGGCTTTGAGAGTGAAGGTACGTTTTCCGAGGCTCTCGACTCACAATTTCCGAGAACCCAATTTTCCTTGTCCGTCTTACTCGCCCTGGCGCTGCCCCTGATGTCATCAATTCAGGCACAAGCTCCGCGTGTGGACAGAAATGCTGAACGGTGTTCGTCGCTCCCTTTTGCAGATACATGCCGCTCGGGTGCTGCCTGCAATCCCCGGCATCTTGCACCCTCAGGCCTAATCGACCGGCGATCCATTGACAGCTCGGCCGTGGGACACGTTAGCTCGTTGCTCCCACCCAGCGTCAGGAATTGTGTCATTTTGCGTCGGTCTTTTTTCGACGGCCCCGCAAACCGTGGCAGTAAGGGATCCCGCCTGTTCTTCACAACCCCTTCCCGCGCCGCGAGCCTCTCCGGATTTCGTTCGTGCCGGCTCGAGTCTCCACCGGCCAGGTCGGTCAAATCACAACCAGTGTCCAGCTGCTGCCCATGGATGGAGTGGATCTCGGAGAGCGGGCCGCTCTGCAGTTGCATCGAGTCCGGCCGAGCTGAAGAAATGGATTGTGCTGACACGCTTGATACTGCAGCATCCCTCGGTCGACACAATTCATTACCGTCCGGTCCCCCCGAGAAACTCGATTCATTTTTCTCAACATCAAGTCGGCGTTTTTCAGCCACAGTCACTCCTTTCGGTACTTCTAATTCAACACACTCTTTAATACTCTAATACTAGTCATCTTATCGTTCGACGTCTCACTCTTTGACTCGAGCGGCCTATCCTAATACCGCCATCGGATTCCTGGAGGACTCGGAACAACGCATCCAGAGCGTCTCGGAGCTCTTCAGTCAAGATGGCGTCCTCGGGTTACCCAAGCGACGGCAGCTATTTCGTCGAGTCCGACGAGTGCACTCAGCGCATGACGATGCGTGATGCTGCCAAGATGCTTGCCCGGAACAGGCAAGAGATGATCGCCAACGAGCTCTCAAGGCTGGCCTCTGACGAGTATCTGGAGGACATCATGCAGCACATGCGTCACATGGAGGTACGGGAAATGACTTGGCCGCGGGTTGCAGATAGGAGTTGGGATTGTGTTTGGAAATGGCTGACCACGTTGCCGTGTTTGCGTTTAGGACGAAACACTACCGGATGCCAACCTAATCGACATGCAGCGCGAGATCCAGTGGTTTATGCGGCCGTATCTCATCGATTTCTTGATCGAGGCTCATTCCGCCTTCTCCCTCCTTCCCGAGACGCTCTTTCTCACCGTCAATCTGTTGGATCGGTACTGCTCGAAACGGGTGGTGTACAAGCAGCACTACCAGTTGGTAGGCTGTGCTGCCCTTCTCATTGCCGCCAAGTACGGAGATAAGAAGGACCGCGTGCCCCAGATCAACGAGCTAAACAACATGTGCTGCGGACTCTACGATGCGGGCATGTTCACGCAAATGGAGATGCACGTTCTCAACACGTTGGACTGGAACATTGGACACCCAACCGTCGACTTCTTCACCCAGCTGGTGGTGGCTGAGGAGCGGGATAGCATGGAAGTGGAGCACATGGCGGCGTACATCTGCGAGATTGCCCTCTACCACCGCGACTTTGTGTCGACGAAGCCCTCGGTCATGGCAAGGGCATCTCTCGCTCTGGCTCGCGCCATTTTGGGCAAGCCCGAAGTCAACGACGGCGAGTGGGATCACTCCGACAACGTGACGCTGCTCACGCTGTCACAACATCTGCACCAGCCATCGGTCACCCTGGCGAGGAAATACTCCAGCCAATACTACTCGAGGGTGTCGACCAAGCTTGCCGACTTCCTCGCGCAGCAGGCCGCGATTGCGCGGAGAGGAGTGGTACCCTCGCCCCCCTCGGAGACAAGCATGGCGAACAAGGCGGTCGACGTGTACAGCACGCCCCACAAGGGACTCGGCGCTGTGCCTGGTGTTGCCGACGGCTACATGACGCCTCCTATCACTCCAGACGGCTCATGCTTCGGTCACAACAACGCGATGATTAAGGACTACCAAGTGCCACCTCGGTGCCCGGTCACTCCGACGCCTCATCCGACCCATGCGCCGTCGTATTCCCAATCACAATCACACGTGCCGCACCAGCAACACATGGCCGGGCCATCCTACTTTGGCGGCAGCGCATCTCAGATGTCGTACTGAGCCCTGCCGACAGTGGGACTCCGGTTTGTGGTTCGCCGACGACTGCTTCAGTTATCGCTCCATTTCGGGCACTTTCCTCAAGGAAGTAGACCCATTTGTTTTTTTCCATTCCAGTTTCTTCAGGGCATCTTGAAATATACCACCTTGGAAGACAAAAGATTGCATCATCTGGCTCTTCTCTGCACGGGATCATTTAGCGACATGGCATTAGCGTTTGATTTGCAAGATTTCCTTTTTTTTCCTCCCGACTTCACTTCTTCTGGGACATTCAGGCGCGGCTGCGCCAGGGGGGTGTGAGGACCAAATGATGTCCTCGGGCCATATCCACCGATTCGCGACAGCCATGTTAATCTTACTATCAGCAACGAAACTCTGACAAAAAAACGGAGGAGAAGCCGTGACATCGATCCATCCCGGTGTGGAGCAGACGCCAGACTTCTCGGCAACTCCGGACACTGGCGCTCTCCCGCAACAATTGAAGGATTTGATAGCGGAACGGAGAAAAACGACGATATTGATTGGAATTGGAAGGCAAACAAACAAGATTGGCACAGACATGTGAGGTTGTGGGATACCCAGACGGTTGATGGCAGGGAAGGAAAGCACAGTGGGACAGGACGGGAGAAGCAACCGAAATGATTCCTCATCATTGGAAACCCCAGTTGCTATTGCCGGCAGCACCTGCAGGGCTAGCAACCCATTGTGGACAGTGCAAGGCATTGCTGGCGAGGCATGAGATTGCTGGCCAGGCAGAGGCTTATTGTGCCTTGGGTGGAATCTGGCGGCCCTGGGCCAGGCACTGATGAGATGGAGTGGTTGGGCTTTTGATCTGCTGCTGAGCAGTCTGGCTTGTCCAGCGCCACCTGTCATTCCAAGGCACCGCAAGCAGGTAGCTGCTACAAAAAAGAAAAAAGGAGTAAATTTCCTGACGTATCATTCCCTGCTATGACATCCTGAGGTGCTTTGTGACTGGTTTGCCGTCATGGCCGCCAACGACGTTGTTGGTTCACGGTTCGCTCAGACCGCACTTATATGTTCTACATCCCAGCTTCTTCCTCTGTCCTTAGCTCCCTCTCAACCTTCTTCCTTGCTGGCTCTGTCACACTTTCCCTTCGCTGTGCGCTCTGGTGGGCTGACCCTCGTTTGCGTTTGGCACGCAGCCCGTCGACATCTTCAGCCGAGGCATTGAGATGGTCAAGGTCAACGCCGCTCACAATGGGTTTCCAGTCCCCGACATCCCCATACCAACGTATCCGCCCAGCGTCCTGTTCTAATTCGTGCTCAGATACGGTGCGCTCGGGCGCCTTTGGATTCCGGCTCGCCCGTCGCATGACAAGCTTCGGCATTGTGGTCCTCGGCAGCGGCGGGTTCCTTGACTCGGTCTCCCTCGCTCCCCCGATGACGCCGCCATAACGCATCATACCCGGTAGCCTCCCCGCCCCGACCACGTCGCCCTTTGTCTCGCCCATCCAGAGCTTGAAGTTGCCTGGCGCGCTGGAGAGGTAGCAGAGGTGGAAGGGGAGGATGCCGCTCAGTCGGTCCGGCGTGTGGTGGTCGTTGATAAAATCATCGGACGAGCCGGGGAAGAAGACGACGGGGATCGTGCAGATGAGGGATTCCGCATCTTTTTCGTTTTCGTCATGGGTATGTTGTTTCTTGTTGACCTTCGCGCCTGGCGGCGGGACAATGCTACGGGGGGAGAGTACACTCGGCGAGAAAGGGGTCGTCGAGTTGCTGCCACCACCACCAGGAAGCAGCAACTCGTCCTCTTCTCGCCCCCCGTCACCGTCAGCACCGCCGCCGCAGACGTCCACGTCCAGCTCGTACACGCGCGACTCGATCACGGAATCGGCCGTCGCGATGGTCCGGCTCGACTGCGCCGCGTACGTGTGCCGGTTGATGCCCAGCCGCGGCAGATCGCCTTCGAAGAGGCAGGGCAGCGTCGCGCCCGAGTCGAGGAGCATGTTCCACACGATGCGCGGGCCGTCCAGGTCTGGAACGGTCGTGCCTGGCCGGCTCGTGTTGGGTTGCGGCACGATGGTGGTTTTTGATGTTGTTGTGGTGGTGGAGCGCCGTCGGGATTTTATGGTGGTGTTGGGGGTGCGAGGGCGGAGCGGCCGTTGAGAAAAGGGGGATGATGATAATGGTGCGCCGGCCACGGCTACGTTCTCCTTGCGCCGGCGGAAACTCATCCTCACGCGGTAATGGCCCATGTTGTCGCTTCCGCGGCGCCATTCGGCCTTGTTCTCGAGGCAGATGGCCCGCTTGAGGACGATGGTTGGTCCCCGGATGGTGCCGCCGCCCCCGGACAAAGGCGGCTCGTACCACAACCAGCCGGCGCCGTACTCGGCCTCGTAGCGGGCCAGACGTTCCCTGCGGTCGGCCGTGAAGGAGTCAAAGTCTGGACAGCGGTCGGCGATGCGGCCCGCCCAAATTAGCGTGTACGAGTCCGAGTAGGGGATGGCACCGGACTCGTAGCCGGCAATGGCGGCTTCGATGTTGGCGCGCTCGGGGGGGAAGTGGCTGTCCTGCAAGATGACGCGGAGATGGCGGAGACGCTGCTGGATGGCGCTGGTCTGGGTGGAACTGAGGGCGGACCTTGGTTTGATGTTGGCTTCGTCCGTCTCGTCCAGCTGCTCCCTCTCGCGGAGGGCCTCCTGATGGGTTCGGACGAAGTCTGGGGCCCCCCGGTAGTAGTCACGCCACAGGCGGGTTTGAGTGACCTTCCTGTCGGCTATCTCGATCGCGCTGAGGTCCTCCCCGGCGAGCCAGAGCGGAGATCCCAGGGCGATGGACGGCCTCCATTGGGTGGCGAAAATGGCATCGTTTGATTCAGCTTCGGACGCCACGGTCGTCTGCTGTTCCCGGTGCGCTTCCTGATGTCCCGCGTCATGTCTCTCCTTCTGCACCCGCTCCTGTTGCTGTTGCTGCTGCCGCTGCTGTTCTGCCTGTATTCTTGCTAGACCTCGGGCTCTTGCCCGATGCGAGAGAAGAATTGCGGCTTCTTCGCTCATACGCCGAACACGGTAGTCGCAATTCCGGTTGAAGCTCTCGACGTTACGGGCGGTTCGTCGGAGGGTTGCCGATGGTCTTCTTGGGTGAGCTTGGTTCCTCCCACGATTTCCCAGCACACTGGACCGTCTACCAAGTGAATGAGGTTCATGTAAGACCGAAGGCCCGTGGTGCTCCACGAGGCCGGATGGGTTGCCGAAGTGTTGCTCGTCTGCCGCCATATTGAGGTTTGATGGCCTGACACTCCAAGGATAACAAGAAGGTATAAAGACGATGTCACGACGAGAATCAGAAGTATCTCCTTGATTCTTGACGCAGTGCTACACCTGGCTGCAATTCGGATGGTCTTTGAGTAGTGTCGTCGAGGTGAACCGTCACTTTCCAGTTTTTCTCTTTGATTGAGGGGAAGCCAATTTTGAAGCCTTTGGTATCTGAGGTATGCCTCCATCATACCTCCATTCGGAACAAAGCAGAGACATGGTCCAAGTTTGCTGAATGAGGCGCTCAAGACACTCAGAAGTAACCGGATTGTGCTTTGTCCTTTGAGGCTGAGGGCAATCCTTTGTTTGCCAACCACACACTCCTTGCTGAAAACGGGAAGGTCTTTGTCAGACTCGAACAAGCTATGCGTACCAGAGCGCCCTTCGTTGTAGAAGGGTCTCCAGGCATGGATGCGATCGGCGCATTCCAACCCACAAGGCAAGGCTTAAATATCTCTCCCCCATGTCCCTTGCTCTGCCCCTTGTCTTGACATTTTCACTGTCTCATTGCTCCACACTACTACACCGCTTGATGCCGACGAAAGCAAGACATGTCTGACGGGTCGACGAGCCGGGATGCGCTCCCTCTGAGCCCAACATCGCCTTTCGCAAGAAGAAGTAGCGACCGGTCTTCTTCGCAGTATCATGGGCCACGAAAGGAGCCGGATGGTGCGTACCTCTGGCCACAGGTCAAGTGAGGTGAGCTAGATGGAGCCCGGAGCTGACGCGCCATTGTAGTTTCCCTTGTGAAGTTCCTCATCGACTATGCAAGGGACACCGAGTGTCCGCCCTTGTTTAAGGTCTTTCTGGAGGATGTGGTCCTGAGAGACGGCACAGGGGATCTCTTACACAGAATTGAATTCTATTTCCAGAACCCAGAAATCAAGGGCTATCAGCTGAGTCCCAGGTTTTGGCGTGAGCTCGAGAGCTACACCATCTACGAGCAGATGATGCACCCGACAGACACGCCGGTACATGTGACCACCCCGCCGAGTGCCCCTATATCGGAACAGTATCGACCCAACTCCCAGCTTACGCCCATACACTCAATCAATCTCGGATCTGTCGTTGAGCCCGTTAAGTGCTCGTCGGATCAAGCCCTGATGAAGAACTGAACGAGGAGCAGGATGGAGTGGAAACCGAAGGCTCGGGAGGCGAAACCAGTCGTAACGAGGATGGGCGAGTGAGGACGAGCCAACGGCAACGAGTTCCGGGCGTGCCAGTCGCTTTTAGTCAGTCCGTGCCAGTGACTGCTCCTTCAATACGGTCAAGGAGCGCCGTTGGAACGGAAAGAGCGGGCCAATTCATTGGGAATCATGGCCCCTTGTTCCAACGACTGCAGGTCATCCGGTCTCTCCCCAGAACCGAGGACAGACACGACGGGACGAGACCATGAACCGAACAGCGCCTGACTGGGAGGCTGACTCGTGGTACAAGGACAGCCGCCAGCCCCCGTTGGCCACCCGGCTCGACACCGTCGTCAAGTTCCTCGCCGAGGAGGATGTGGATCGCTGTCTGGACTGGGAGGCCAAGTTTGAAGAGTGGTTTCCTACCTGAAGGTGGCTCGCCAACCAGGACGACAGGCATCAGCTAGACCATGCCAGCACCCAGACCCAGGCCATGTTCAACGACGCACTGAACAAGGCCAAGGCCCACGTGCTGTTTGAGAAACACCACTACAATCCCACTCCCTTGGAGATCACTAGACCGCGAACAACCCATTGAGGTCGACACGCCTCAACTGGATGATTGACGGGCAAGACTGGCCTCTACCATCTCGGAGCACCTCACTCCCTGACCGGAGAAATCTCCTTCCAATGTTGATTCCCCCGCGTCCCCCTCGTCCAGTACACAGAATGCTCGTTCACAGACCCGGGGACGACCTTCTCTACGAGAAATTCGCCCGAGACGAGAGAGTGTGGTGGCAGCGCATGGCCGGGGATGACTTGCACCACATTCCCACCGACGCCGAAAACCGCCTCGAACGCAACAACATGGTCTACATCGAAGACCAAATCTTCCACTCTTTCGCCCATGGAGACAGCACCGGCTGGATCCGCACCGACCCCGGCACAAGACAAACCTCCCTCCCCGACGGGGCGCCCATTTGGCCCGGCTGCCCCAAAAGTCGGGCCATGGAACGAGGCGCCCGCGGCGCCGGTCTGCAGCAAGCCCTGCGCGCGCTGCCCACGAACCCGACGACAGACGAGCTCCACACGCCCTGGCGCCGCCTCGTCCTCCCCGTGCCGGTTGCGACGCTGCGCAAAGCCTGCGAGAGCGCCGACGGCCCGCAGTAGACGCCGCCCAGCCTGGACCGGTCCCAGCTGCTCGAGCATCTGGATCCGATGCAGTGCACGGTCGACTACCGCGAGCGGCTCAGGAAGATTAAGATGACGCGTAAGCTGGCGCTGATGCAGGTTGAGGCGCAGCACGTGGGAGATCCCCGTTGGCCTGCGCTGCCGCCGAACTTGGTCAACGGCGGGCCATTTGCCCGGCGCGTGCTGGATTCCACGACCGAGGCGAGACGGGACATGCTGAGCCAGTGTTATAGACGGCTGAGATGCTCGGGGCGGCGTATCGCCGGGTGCCGAGGCCGTTGTTGGAGGCTGTGTTTAATATGATGAGAGCGGGTGCGAAGGGCGACTCCCGAGCGCCGGAGGGGGTCGAGTTGGCGAACCATGAGTGGAAAAAGGCTGGCCGTGAGCGGCGGCCGAGGTATCTCAACCACGAGGAGTTGCGGTGGCTCAAGTTCCTTACCGGCGAGTGTGTTAACTCCAAGAACTGGACGCGGCGCTTTTGTTCCGGATACACCCAACGACAAATACCGGCTGTTCCTTATCTTTGCCCACAAGGTTTATTGGATGATCCAAACCCTGAGGGGCTGTTCAGCCACCATGACGCTAAGGTCGAGGTCGAGGACCTGCTGGCAGCCATCAATGCCGGGAAGGACAGCAGTATCGTGACCAAGTACGAGTTCCAGCCGCATGATGCCTGCTGTTGGCTGGACAGGTTGAATAAGAGCGGCCATGTCAGGTGAGACCATCCCATCTTTCCGCAGTAAATGCTTTCCAAGAGCGCTGACAGCTCGCCTAGATTCCGTCTCGATGTCATGTGCTGCGGCGTCGTCGAGCGGCCCGTGGCCGAATACTTCCCCGAGCATCGCGTCATGTGGCCAACCACAGGCCATTTCGAGCGGCCCAAATACCTCGAGAAACACATCACTGACTTTGAGAGGGTCATCCAAGTCCACCAGCCAGATATCAGCGAGGGTAGCGCCATTTGGAAGTTCTTCGTCTCCCTCGCCTTCCGCCTGGGCTACACAATCTCCGCCCTCGAGCAGGCCCAGGCTGAAGAACCCGCCGCAAGCCAGACCGCCACAACCCGCGGCCTCCGCGACGCCATCACCAAATGGAAGCAAGCCTGCGCGAACCTCCAGGGCACCTCCAGCCCAGAGCCAACCCCGCAAGAACTCGCCACCATCCGTACCAGGATCATCGACGAGCTCAGCGCCAACGAACCCATGCTCCACCCGGCCCGCACCCAACACTCCCTCTCCCGCGCCTCCGGCACCCCGCAGACCACCCTCGTCCGCGATCACAATTGGGACTGGGCCGCGCTCCCCGTGCGCGGGCAGTCCAAGCGGCGCCAGTACTGGTCCGTCAACCGCTGGCCGCTGGGGACGGGCCACCTGTCCGAGCCGGCCGAGCGCACCGTCCGCCATGACGAGCACCTCGACCCGGCCGCGCAGGACCCGACGACCGACATGAAGTACCTGCCGCCCAAGCTGACGTCATATCGGCAGGAAAAAACGGTGTACCGGCCCGGGCCAGCCGTCTTTGGGCTCGGGGACACGCGGTTGCAGAGGGAGAGGATTGAGAAGAGGATGGCAGAGATGGTCGAGCAAGGTATGTCCTTCTTTTATCTCATCTGGTTCTTCGTTAGTTTGATGGTCAAACATGAGGAATGATGTTGACTGAAAATACGTACGACAGCGCTCGAGTTGGAACGCCGGCCAAAGAAGCGTATTTGGGGAAACACCTTCGCGAGCCTGAACCCCTTTTCGCGTCCGTCGTCGAGGGCCGAGGATCTAAGGGAGGACGATATGCTGCCGCCTGTCGACCCGAAGATGGTCCCAAAAAGCTGGGACCCCGTGATAGAGGCCGAGCAGCAGGATGCTGACAAGGAAATGGAGTCGGATGCCGGCTCTGAAGAAGAGATCGGAGACGAGTCTGATGTCCAGAGTGTCGACGTAGCCATGATTGGCACGAGCGAGTCGTGAATGGCCGACTATGAACAACTCCGGAGTGGCCGAGACGGCAAGTGTTGAGAGTATTGGGTGTTGGGCGTTCTGGTCGTTGTTGTGTACTTACAGTCGAGTACCCCACATCAAGGGATTCATGATATTTCGTTCATTACTAGAAGACAACATACAGGCCGTCTAGTGTGCCAACCCGCTGACTCATCATCAGTAGAGCAAAATGGCCAACTCCTAGACACCTCAACTATGCATAAACAGAACAAACAGCGGCGGTATGCCCACTTGAGACTCCCTCCCCAAGACGCCAGTGCAACCCAAGCCTTAGAACATTCCACGATGGATCCATCGCTCTGCCATGCCATCAAATGATCCAACATTCATCAATCATACTCCCATGCCTTGGTAAGAATATGTGGCTACCTTGTCAGGCGTCTTCCTCAAACCGCGGTCTCGGAGTGGCAGGCGTAGACGGCGAATGACGATTCCCAAATGTGTGCCAGCAGTTGGGAGACTGCAGGATGTACCTGTCAAACCGCCCGTTAGTCGAACGACTTCATGCCAGCTTTTAGCCGCCCAAGAGATAAATGAACTTACCTCGCCATAGCTTCCCTGAACCGGCTCTTGTACTCCCTCGGACTCGTGACTGTCGGCCTGTTGCGCCCACCACCCGCGAACCCGCGGTTCTTGATCCAGCTCTCGAGTTGCTTGTCCCACGTGTAGGTCCGGATGCAGTCAATGATGCCCACGGCAATCTCCTTCTTCACCTCGTCCACCGCAACCATGAGTGAATAGTCCATGACGTCCTGCTTCGCCAGGAACAGCGTGTCGTTGAAGACAGACGCCCGCAGCAGCCGCTTCGAGTGCTCTCGCGCAAACAGCGGCGACTCGTAGATGTACTCGACCATGTTCTCGTCGAGGAGCACCTCGTTCTGCTCGCCCGTCGACTGGATCTTGCGGTTGCGCATCGACCCCTTGAGGTCAAACGTCCGGCTGGGGCACCGGTCGTAAAACAGGTTCTCCATCACCAAAAGGTCGAGCTTGATCTCGGTGTTGGTGAGCGGGTTCTTGATGAAGATGCGGAAGAAACCAAACATCTTGGCAATGACGGACGGAAGGTCGTGGAAGAGCGCTTCGGCCATGATGCTGAAGTAGTCTGGGGCGAACCTGAGGAACGATGATGTCTCGCTCGGCGAGAGGGACTTCAAAATGAACCGCTCATCCAGCGTCTTGAGGAAGACGGATTTTGTCTTGCCGCCCTTGGAATCCCACTTCATGCACCGAGACAGCGACTCGACGAAGCGGTCAGCGACGCCGCATTTGCGCCGGAGCGCATCAAATTGCTCGGCGTAGAAGATCTGACACGTCATCTTCGCCGACCCTTCAGTAAACTGGTACTTGACGTGCATGCCCGTTGGCCGGAGCAGGCTCTTTTCAAGCTCTGTGTTGTATTTGGTGGCCTTTGCATTGTTGGTGGCAACCGGGCTGGAGGGCTGCAGCCCTTTCATCTCCAACCCGTCGCTGCTGTTGTCCGTCTCCAGGTCAGTTGCCACTTCCCACTTCTGCCGGATCTCGGCGAGCTTCGACTTGTAATCCTCCGAACTCAGAGCAAAAGCCACCAAGGAACTTGGTTCGTCCTCCTTGATGATTACGTCTGAATCGAAGAAGATGTGGTCCGTGGCGTTGATAGGATACTCCAGCTGAGGCCAGCCGCTGGCGGAGCGCTCAGCCCAGAAATTGGTCAGCATTGTCATCAGACTCTTCTTCTCATGCTTTGGCAACTCCTCGGGTAACTCTTCGCTTCGGTCCAAGGAATCGGCAATCTCTTTGACATCCGGCAGAATGTCATCAAGAGTGATGGCAGAATGATCGGCGTCACTTTCTGCTCCCTCATCATCCGACTCGGCTCGGCTGTGTTGCCGGTTGTTACCTGTCTCGGCTTGCTCAGCCGCCTCGTCTGGCCGTGACGTCTGCGAAGGGAGTTCCTGGGATGAACTGGGTTCTGTCTCCGAAGACGTAGCCTGCTGCGTCCCGGCAGGCGCGACGGCAGGCGTGGTTGACATTTCCTGTGTCTGCTTGTCACTCTGCTCTCTGTCGAGGACATGGTCGTCCTCCGACGGCCCCGGCTCCTGCACCGCCTGGTCCACGTCTTTGTAGACTTCTACTATGGTCTTGGTAGAAGAACGCGGCAAGAACGCCCGGGTGTGGTGCATCTTAGCAGCGCGCTGTTTCCGGTCCTTCAATCTCTCCTTTTCGAATTCACGGCTCAACTGTTCGAAGTGGCGCGCCAGAGTAGAGACCTTTGACTCCCTCTTGTGGACGTAACGTGGAATCCCAGAAGGCACTGCCTTACGATGACTCTTGAGGGATCCAAGACCGATACGGTCACTGAACTTCTTGTCTGCTTTCATTATGCCCTCTGCCGACGCTTTTTGCGCTTCGCCTCCCATATCCTGAAACTTCTGTTCCTTCAGGAACTTTCCGATAGTGGACTGGGTCCTCGGCAATGTCCCGGGCGGCTGTGAGATTGCACGAACCAGTGGAGGTGGCACGGTTGAACCGATCCGCCTAGGCAGTATCCGTTCCGCTGTTGGTCTCAGAATATCGCTGACGTTTCCGGCACCGGAAACCGGGCCTGCGGTCTCGTTTGACAGTACCCGCTGTTCCCGACGCAATTGCTCGACCTTTTCCGTCAACGATAGCTGGGCTGGAGCCGGCGGCTGCAACACACTAGCTTGCGACGCGAGATAAGCTGTAGAAACAGACGCGGGCGCTGAAGTGGGTGACTGGTCGGTGGGTGGCGGCTTGAGGGCTTCCAACGTTACTTCTGGAGCGGGGAGAAGGCTCTTTGCCGCTGTCGCCGAGGTTGGAGTTACAAAGTCCAGAGGCTCAACTCGCTCCAGAAGTTCCTCCACCTGTTCCGTAGCCGCTTCTTTCTGTACTGGAATGGGCTGCGTGGCCGAGTCAAGAGGAGTTTCTAGCGGTTGATGGGTATCGCCCTCCGAAGTTTGGGATGGCTTCTCGTCGGAATCGGACATACCCGGGGACGCAGAGGGTGTCAATTTTTCCTCGGGCTCGGACGCAATAGACGTGGTCGTCTCCGTGCTCGGTAAGGCCTCTTTGGACTCGTGGTCCGTGAACATCTTCTTCAGCTGGATGATAGTCAACTGGCGGACGTCCTTGTCTGAGAGGAATTCGGCTTCAAAGGCGGCAAACGCGGCATCCCAGTCCGTCACCTTTTCAAGCATCTCACGGATGACGGCGTTGAACGGGATCACCTCGTAGTATCTTGACTTCATGTAAGCGTCCTGAAGGGCGCGGATCAGTTGCGGCTGCTCTTCCTGCGCCTTTTTGCTGAGCCTCTCCACCTCTACACGACAAGCCTCGGCTTTCTCTGGCAGCACGCTGTCGATCCGGATGCTCTTGAGTCTCGCAGCAACCGAGGTCATGAAACGGTTCCACCGCTCCTCCGCTTTGAGGTAGATGTCGTTCTTGAGTCTCAGGTCGTAGTCCACCTTCCAGGTGATCCTCGTCCGAGGGACGATGATTTCATAGAGATCTATGGGGTCATAGTGCACCCTAACTGCGATGTCGCGGTACAGATAATAAAAGAAGCGGATGTGATCCTTTTGGTGATCATGCGGACACTCTGTCTGAGGGTTCAATCGAAGTCCTCTGCTCCAAAACGATAGCTCGAGGTATTTGCCAAACGAGTACTTCCAGGTGCTCACAGACATGGGCATCAGCCCAAAGTGCTTCTTGCAATGCTTGCAGTAATTCCACATGCAAATGCCCGTCCCGTTATTGTCGCCGTCTCTGTCATGGGGCTTCTCAGGGAAGTTCTCGGGCCAGGCCGGAGACTTCTCCAGAATGATGGTAAGACGGGCGTTGTCATGGACGTAAGTACGATGGTGCTCGTACATCTTCCGGTCGCACCCATTGGAGTGGCAGACAAAATCGGCACCCTCGCAGACGTCTTCGATGTATTGCCCCAAAGTGCAGTCCTGATCCATGCTCCCGTTCGGATCCGGGTGCTCATTGTAGAACTCGATGGCGACCAGACCGGGCTCCGAGCATGGTATCTTGGTTGCCGTGCAAGTGACTGAATAGAGGACAACGATGTTCTGGTGCGAATGCGGGTCAAAGAGGTCAAGGCTTCCATAAATATACGCCTCCCATTGCTTCGCCTGTGTTCGGTAACTGTGCATAGCTTTGTCGTATTCGGCGTCATGGACGGCATGCAGAACCTCCATAACCTTGCGACGAGCTGTACGCTCAACTCCGCGTACCATTTCCGGCTTGACGAGTTGGAAGGGTTCCAGATCTCGCTTCTCGTCCTCCTCTGTCTTCTCTTCTACTTGTTCTTCTTGAAGGAGCTGTTTCAGGTAGGCCGCACGCCGCTCTTGTTCCCGCGCTTTCATGAGCAGATAAGGTTGCCTGAACTGGACGAATGGCGATGTAGATAGAATCCTGGTCTCGTACTTCTCCACGGTTTCGCTGTGAAAAGTAGCCATCGGGACGTCATCTGGTACCTGCGCATGGGAGTGCAACTCATGCATGGATACCGAGCCCTGAGCCGACTCGGCAGCGGGCTGTGCAGCCTGTTCGACGGGAGCTGGTTCCGGCTCGGCAACCGCAGACCCCCCGTCGCTGGCGTGTGAACCATTCAGACTCTCTGTGCTCTGATGCGTAATGAGAATGGCAGGACGGCTGCTGGAGACATCCGGCTCTTGGCCAGGGCGCAAGACGAGGCTGTCGTCGGTATGTGACCCCGACACTAAGCTCGGTGGCGTTGGCAGCGCGAGCTCAGAAGGGATGTGGACGAATTCGTCGCGCATTAGGCAAGACTCCAACTTCAGATTGTAGACGACGTAGACCATGAACTCGGTGATGCGCTTCATCCGAGAGAGGATCGCGGTCGAGGCGCCGCGCAGCGCAATGGTACAACCACGGTCTTTCGGACAGCCGGAGATGAAGATGTAGGTTTTCTTCTTGCCTCTGATCTCGTTGTTGACAAAGGTCTTGACCTCGAAGCTCTCGCACACACCGACCCGAGCCCCAAGGGTGAGCATGTCCATTGACGAGATGACCGGCATGTTCACAATGCGCGCCACGGCTTCTAAAACAGATGGCTTGACGTTGTAGGCAACAGCGACGTTTGCTTCTGAGAGGTACTGCAGCGCAATGCCTGCAACACTTTTCTCAACCAACAGCACGTGCGGCTCCAGATTGAGGATCCGGTTAACCACCATCCTCAGGTACTCCTTCTCCTGCTCGATGACTGGCTGCAAGCTCATAAAATGCTGCTCCGGGTGGCGCTGGTACTCGAGGGGGAATGTGACAATCACTATCCTCGGGTTGCGGATCTTTCGCGGCATGCTTTTCAGGGCAAGATTCTTGGTGAAGACAACACCATGCACGTAGGCAGTATCACCTGGCTTGCCGCCGGGTATCCTTTTCAATTTTACCCAGTGCCGTATATCCATGTCATCTCCGTTGCGAATGTCTGGGTCGACGTCGTCGGCACACTTGTCGAGGATGGGGATCAGGGCCCTCTCCCACCCAGCCGGGTTGGGGATCTCGGCATCTTGTAGCAACTGCCGAAACAACTTCTTCACGTGCTGTAAGCTCGCGGGATTCAGGCCCTCCTCCGTGGACCTTCCTTCACGTATGGAATCGTTTCGCTTCAGCCCGGGCGCATCAATGGCATTGTCAAAGATGGAAGGACTGTCGGCGGAGGCGGAGGCGCCCTTCAGAACTGCCGACTTTGGCCGCGGGGAGCGTAGATGATGGACGCTGGCACTCGCAACGCTCAGATTCCTCCTCCGCGGCGGCCGCGCATGGATTGGGAGATTCTGAAGGCCAACGCCCTCTTCGTAACCACGACTCGTGTGACTTAAACCGCTAATGCTCTTGTCACCCTGGCGGAAACGATGTTTTCTCCCTGCGCTCAGGTATGTGCCGAAGCTTGATCGACCGGGATCTAGGCTGGCCGGCTGGAAATCGCCGCCGTCTAGAGTAGCAAAAATGCTGCTCATTTGCTCGTCTTCGCTCGATTCGTCAGACATGTAATCGGCCAGCTCTGGGTCGATGATATTATCGGCGTGGAAGGCGTTGACGTTGGACTTCTTCCCTAAGTCGTCGCTGGCCGGTGTGCGAAATGGAGCCCTGTCGTCTGGCGGCGACTTGAACCTTGTCAGAAAATTGTGCTTGGAATGGTGCCGACGGTGACCAGAGGACGGTGGCCGGCTAGCAGATAGGGATTTTAGTGAACGCGACGAGCCTGGTCGGCTGAGCTGCGGCATGTCGATCTCCAGAACGGCCGAGTGGCGGTTGCTATCACCCATGCGCCGTGTCGCCGGAATAGCCATCATCGGCGTGGTGGCGGTCCTTGTGTCGTCAGCCTGTTCGGTACGTTCCGATATACTCGCCTCATCGTCTGTTCTTGACCTCGCAACCGCAGCTGCCGCGTTGAGCGGATGGCTGGCTCGGAATATAGCTGGGAGATAAGACTCATCGGCCGAGTCGTCGGAGCCACTGTCATAACGGCGGTTGATAACGTTGAGGCAGGTCTTGCAAACACGGAGAGTGCCCTGCACACCGAACTTTTGGCCCGAGATATTGGACGTGCATTTCGAGTCAAATATGCAGCCGCATGTCCGGCAGTGGTGCTTGCGTCGAAAGGCAGTGAAGGGGGTGCCGCAGAGGAAACACTCCTTGCACGTCTCATCAGCCATCCAAAACTCCTTGCTTAGCACCTGCTTCCGCATCCGTTCTAGCCTCGCATTGACGATCTCAGGGGCGCCTTCGTTGGTGGTCGTACCTGGGATCTTCATGATACCCGACTGCAGTCTCTGCGGCCGCTCAGTATGCGTGAAAGAGTCATGATGCACTGAGCTATGGGCCGAGGTGCTGATGGCGCTCGCTTCGGCAGCGCCTGGCTCCATGGACGAGGACCTTGAATGACTCCGGTCTCTAGAGAAAGCAATGCGGTCTATCACTGCTGGCTTTCTCATGTTCATGACATCGGCGGGGACGGGGCGGGAGGAGGAAGATGGAATACGGGCTTCAGCCAAAGGCTGGACCGGACTGCGCGGAGTATCGGTACCTTCGTCCAGTGTGACGGCATCTTCCCTTCTTGCCCGACCCGGCAGCACTACTCGCTCACTGGTGGCTACGCTGTCTAGGCTTGGAGTCCCCGACAGGTTAGGGCTCGGTGCTGCGTCCGCAGGCCTGCTTATGCTCCTACGACCAGCCGCAGTTCGGAGAGGGAGATCATCCACGCGCGTGGAAGCGCCCCGGGTGGGTTCCATATCCATGAGACCCTGCACCGTGATAGGCGCGATGGCGGCGTTGGCCGTGACTGGTACCGCTGCCTTGACGATCTTTGGCAGATTCTGGACGCTTGCGGGCGAGGGTCTCGGCGCGGATGATGGTGTGATCGAAGATGCGGTGGATGACTGTGGAGCTGTGGTCTGCGACTCGGATGTCAAAACGCCGGCTGATGACAGACCTGACGTCTGGATATCTGAGGATGTAGCAGACTGAAGGGTCGAGTTCGTGGCACCGCTTTCCTCGCGGGGAAGAGGCGACATCTTTGAGTTTGTGGTGTTGGCCGGGTTGCTAATGCTCTTCCTGATTGAGGCTCCGTCTTGGCTATTGGCATCATCGGCTTCGTGAGTTGACCCCTTGCCGGCGCCGCTTACGGCCTCTTTGAAGCGAATGTACAGTCCACTGAGCCCTTGTTGGACGAAATCGCCGGTGGTCGATTTATTGTCGGCCGAGGGCAGTGAACCCGGAGGAGAAGCGAAGTCGTTGAAGGTTGTCAAGAGACCCGATTGGCTGGCAGAGGTGTGAATCTTGTCGAGAGCAAGGGCAAGTTGGTCCTTGTCGATATTCGAAGACGCAGAGTGCGAGGTAATCGAGTCGCGGCGTGATCGAGTATCGACCGGTGATGCGGGCGCTGAAGGGCCCAACGACGACTGCCTGAGACTGTTCGGGTTGGCCATCGTGACGGTTTCCGCCAGGTGGACTGCGGATGTTTTGTTACGCAGCCGGTGATGGACTCGAAGCGCATGCTTTGGCGTTCGCGATCAGGAATAGTTAAATGTGTTGATTCGGCGGGGCAGAGGCTGCGCGGCGAAGACGGGCATTCTGAACGAGCAAGCGAGGAACGCACAACGGTAGTCGCAGGTTGTGAGACTCACAGTCAACTGCTGACTCTTTTGAAAGACGATTTCGAATGCGTTGGCTTGACTGGAGGGGAAAAGAGGAAAGGTTCTCTGTCGACGGTTCTAGGCGAGTCTACAAGTCGCATGATCGCTGCCTCAACGAGTGCTCCCGTCGCAATGCAGTACGCAGAGACCGGTGCTACTTGGGGGCTCTTTGGATGCGTCACTGGGCAGGGGCTCGCTACATACATCTCGAGTGGCGCCACATATCGCTCATGGCAAAATTCAGTTATTTTTGTTCATTGAAAAGTGGGGATTTTTTGGAGGGGTCGGTAGAAAGGACAAGGTCATGTGACTTGGCGTAACTAGGCTTTTGTAATGCCCCGCTCTGCCACGTCTAAACCCTCCAACGCGCCAACCTCAATCGAATATTCCTATTCTTTTGCCGATGCGAGTTCGCTCCGAACTGTCTGTGCCTTTCCGCCCGCTCTGTCAGTGTATCTACCCATGACAACACGACGACAATGACCAAAGCAGACACGGTAACCATGAGTTAATCTCGACCTGCTATCGGCAACACGCGACTCATTCGAGAGTCTCGTCCTCCCAACATGACGGCGAGAGGGACCTCTTACCCCCCGGCACGATGGACTACCTGGTCTCCAGCCCAACTCACTAGTCGCACAGAAATCCATCCCCAATACGTCAAAGTGCCCTCAGACCAGCAAAAATTATTGGACCGACCGGATGCCTGGTCTACTGGGGATTTTCCCAATGTGCCGCCGAAAGTGCTGGACGACGCGAAGGCAAATTATATCAGGGGAGCCCAGTTATGCTCCGATGGGGATGGAAAAGGACACTCACCGCAGCCAGAGTCTCTCAGCCACACTGGGAGGGATCAACTCTCGTCACAATCTCCATCTTCATCCCAGAGCGAAAGGAAACAGCTGTCCTCGCAACCCGCCTCTCCGGCACGCACCACTACAGTTCACGATGAATCAAACAGAACGTCGCCATCCGCAGAAGATAGTGCTGAGGAAGATGAGAAGACCGGAACTCCTATACCATGGACGCCGTCCCCCTCGGCGCATCATCGTGCACCCTGTCAGGCCCTCTGCCTGACAGGAGCTGCGAGCTCCCCAAGTCGGGCATCTTCGGAGCGGCGGGGTGCCCTCCCTGCAGGCAAAGCCGTGTTCCAGGCGGGGCCCTTAGCGGATTTCCCTCCCAGCAGCAGCGTCGCGTCCGAGAGTGGGCTGGAGATTGAAGTCCCAAAAGCCATCACCGATGTCCTGGAGGCGACTATTCGAAAGCCTGTGGCTGTCATTCAACCCACACCACCCTCGGCACAGATCATCCCATGTACTCTTATTGAGAGAACCAGTCCCGCCCAGGCTCCTGGGCCTAAACGTCGCCGACGAATGAGGGACCCCGCTACTGTTTTTTCCAGCCCTGGTCGTCCTGTTGGTCAAAGTCATGCTCCGAGGTTGGCACTCGACGAATCTAGGCCGGCCCGCTCGCCTCGTTCTTCCGGTCGTGTGGTCCGTTTATCGTCTCCCGTATTAGGGGTACCGCCACGGCACTTGACAGAGCCCTCCCCTGTAATGCCGGCAGCGAATCAGCCCGACACTGTTACAGGCCCACCACGGCTAGCTAACGACCAGGGGTCTAGCAATCCGCTGGAAAGACTACCGCCAAAAGGCCCTGCATCACAAGTCCCCTTTACTGCCTTTACACTCGCCTACCCGGATTATCAGAGCAGTCTGAAGGATTTCTTACGAGGCATAATGTGCGTCTTGAAGCTTCAGAAGGACAAGGCTCTCACAGAATTTCTCTACGATGACTTTGTTCGGGTCTTTTCTGGCGAATACCTCGCCTACATCGAGACCGTGGCTCGCGATCAGCCTGCCCTTCCTGCGATCCATTGGTATAATGAGAACGTCTCGAGGCCCCTCTATGTGAAAGGCGTTCTGAACAAGGACAACGTCAAGGATGTTATCAGACAGTACCCGGAGGAGTTGCGCGCCATACAACAGGACCTCGAAACAGCGAAGACGAGCGGTCGCGGTCGATCTGGTCGGCGAACACCAGGTACAACAACAGAGAGGAAGCAGATGACCCAATCACCGTCCATCGAGACGGACAACAACCATGTATTACTCCAGAAGCGTTTTCCAGTTACAATTGCATCTACAAGTTCCGAACCTCTAGCACGTCAGACTGGGATGCGCACCGACCGTGGGCCCGTAGCTGTAGAGCCGCGGGCTATGAACCAAGAACGAGGCACTATTGGCCAGCTAGCAAGCAGCATCGATCTTGCAGTTCCTTCGCCGGCTTCTCGGTTCCTTGGAAAGACTGACGAATCAAGTGTATTGCACACTCCTGCCAGCAGGCCTAGCGCTTTCTTGACTCAGGTTGATTCCTCGTTGCCGGACATCAGTCGAACACGAGCTATCCAGGTGACTGAGATGCGACTACCGGCGGCAAGCGCATTCCCAAGCATTGGCCCATCTCAGCTCAGCAACCCGGACAGCATCCCGGACGTAACTCGCAAGCGAACTGCTTCCCCTCGGGTCTCCAGCAGATCAACAGTACCGGGGCCCGGCGCCGAGTTCAAGCGACCCAGATTGACGACGCAGCATGCAGAGAAGCGGGACCTAGAGTTCAGGAAGTTTCTGATGTGGAAGAAGACGCAGAGCTCGGCTCCTCAGGGGTCTATCGCATCCTAAACGGAGCACAGGAAGTCATGTTGTATTGGTTTGACCAGGATATTGAGTAGTATTCTTTATATACCCATGATTACGGCACAAGGGTGATGGAGGCGCGTGGGTCTTGACAGCCACTGCACTGGGGGCGCGCTTTACTTTTAGCTGAAGTGAGACTGAACTTCACATGAAAGCAATGTATGTCTAGGAGCCAATCGTGGCAAAGTGACTGCCTCCTCAATCTAGGGGTATCTTTTTTCTAAGCTTGTTGTGCCTCTGCATTAAGAGATGTCGATAGTCATGTCCTCAGTCTGTCCCGGTTTCCTGGGTGCGCCGCTTGGCTTCCTCCTCCGGAGTCATTGTCCGAAGCTGAAGGGCATGGATGCCGCCCTCTTGGGCGAGCTCATCCTTCAGCAACGAGTAGACGAGCCGGTGTCGTGCTGGCTGCATTTTGGACTGAAAGGCCTCGGATGTGATGACCAGGCGGAAATGTGTCTCCCTAGATGTGACGCCCTGCATCGGCTTGTGGTGCGCATGGAGGTGCGAGTCGTTGTAAATTTCAAGGGTTGTGGGTTTGAGGGCGGTGGTGATCTGAATGATATAGGTCAGTGGACCTTGCCGGCGACAGATCATTGAGGACAGAGCAAGAAGGCGAGTGGGCTTCCCTACCTTCTGCCTGATAGCATCTTCGACCGGAGTCCCCGACGCCATGATGGAATATGGCCTGGCGGCTCTCGCGAGACCCAACGCGGCGCGGCGAAACATGGGGCGAAACTCCCGTCGAACGTGTTGGTTGGTGTGCAACGTCGTCGGCGACTGCAGCTGGAAATCTATCGCCGGACACAGCGTGGGGCATGGTAGAGAACGAACCAATAAGACAGGTCCCAGCGGCCTGAACCCTGTGATCGCCTGCAAGGGCAGTGGGACGGCGTCGGGAGCTCCCCACCAGAGAGCGGACCTTGAACCAAAAATCCAACTGGTGTGGTTCCCGCATCATCATTTCGTCCATGGATTGTGGCTCATCGGACAAAGAAGTAGGATGCGCATGCGGACTCGGCATCAAAAGCCGTTCTGTGTAAGTTGACATTGATGTTTAGACCCCTGTAATGTTCCACTTCTCGCGCCTTCTTGTGCGACATCCCAGACCGTCCGTCCGCCGGCAGTGCGAGTGAGGGTGACGTCCTCAAAAGCCGATCGGCAATTCTGTGCTTCGCCCTGACGTTTCGGCCCCTCCCTCCCCCTCCCCTTCCCGATGTCGTTTGGCATCTCTCTCGGCAGGAGCTGCAGTCACCGGCTACATGCTGCTCTGCGCCGCTCCCGTCCCTTGTGCAGGTTCACCACCCTAAGGATGTCTTCAACACTACCTAGACTGCCCGTCTTCGAGGCAATTGCCCGCCATGATCCAGATTCAACCGTTGTCATCCACTCGAACAGCGGGCGCCGGTTCCGTTATGGGGAGCTGCTGGGCGACGTGTGCAAGACCCGGAACCGCCTGTATGAGGCTGCTGGGAGGGACAACATCGATGGAGAACGCATAGCCTTCCTGGTGGAAAACAGCTACGACTATGTGGGTAAGCCGACGACATCCACCGAGTCTGCCCATCCTAAGCTCAGACTGACGCTCTACGCCCCAAAGTGACCCTGCTGGCTATTCTCGCAGCCAAGTCCATTGCGGTTCCCCTGTCACCAGCATTCCCCCCTCCAGAACTGCAGTATATTCTGAACCACAGCGAGGCATTGGTGCTGTTGTCGTCAGCCAAGTTCACCCAGAAGGCGGAAGAAGTGCTAAGGACGGAGTTGGATGTCGAGCCTGCCTACCTCCAGCTTAGCAAGTTTCAAGGCGGTGGTCACCATGAGAAGATCACTTTGGAAAAGATGGGGTCTGACTCAGCCGGGATGATGCTCTACACGTCCGGCACAACCAATCGACCAGTGAGAGCACCTATCCTCAACCGCAGTCCCCGAACGAGGCTAACACCCCATCCCAGAAAGGCGTGCTGCTCCCCCAATCCGTCATGACAGCACAGGCCAAGTCCCTCCTGCAGGCCTGGGAGTACTCTCCATCGGACCACCTCCTCCACATCCTCCCGCTTCACCACATCCACGGCACCATCAACGCCATCTTCACTCCGCTCTTTTCAGGCAGCACCATTGAATTTCTCTTCCCCTTCAATGCCGACGCCGTCTGGCGACGCCTCGCCGCCCCGTTCCTCACTTCAGACCAGACGCCCACCTCGGAACCCTACTACCACCACCACAGCAAAATCACCTTTCTCACCGCCGTCCCAACCATCTACTCCCGCCTGCTGACCGCCCACAGGGCGCTCCCGCCAGACATGCAGAGCGCGACCCGCACCGCCATCTCTCCCTCCCACCTACGCCTGGCCATCTCTGGCTCGGCCGCCCTGCCGACGCCCATCAAGCGCGCCTGGTCCGACCTGAGCGGCGGCAACGTCCTGCTGGAGCGCTTCGGTATGACCGAAGTGGGCATGGCGCTGAGCTGCGGGCTCGACGTGGCCGACCGCGTCGACGGGTCCGTGGGTTGGCCGCTGCCCGGCGTCGAGGCGCGGCTCGTCGATGTCGACACGCACCAGGTCATTGAGCGCGGCCAAGAGCGGGACGCGGACGGGCGTGAGAGGGTCGGCGAGATCCAGCTGCGGGGTCCGACCATCTTTGCCCAGTACTGGCGGAATCCGGAGGCGACGGCCAGGGAGTTTGTGGATTCCAAGGATGGTCGGGGCCAGTGGTTCAAGACGGGCGACGTGTCGGTGCGGCGGGCCGTGGAGGGGGCCGGGAAGAGCAACCTCCCCAGTCAAAAGGACTGGGCCAGGGGCGAGATGTACTTCATCCTGGGCCGGCGCAGCGCGGACATCATCAAGAGCGGCGGGGAGAAGGTGTCTGCGCTGGAGGTGGAGCGGGAGATGCTTGCGCTGCCGCAGGTCGCCGAGGTGGCGGTGGTGGCTGTGCCGAGCGGGAAGTGGGGCCAGAAGGTGGGCGCCGTGGTCATGGTCGACCGGGACAACGTGCCCGAGGGGAAATGGTCGCCGCTGGAGATGCGGCGTGCGCTAAAGGGGAGGTTGGCGAGCTACAAGATCCCGCAGGTGCTCAAGGTGGTGGACCATATCCCGAGGAACGCCATGGGCAAGATCAACAAGAAGATGTTGGTCAAGGACATCTTCCAGGACGAGTTCAGCGGGGACGAGCTGTGAAATTCTGGGGCGTGTGGCGAACCAGGCTCTTCTTGGGCAGACCTGGGCATTGGGTGCCTAGAGGGCGGACTCATGGTTAAAGAACATCAATGATCAAGTATAATGTATACTCCGTACGATAGGCGGCATCGCCCTATTAGACATAGACAGGGGCGGATTACCTTTGTCAAGTCAGACCAAAGCGGGAAAAGGTTTCTGTTGTCAAGGCTATCTACCTTGCTTGCATTGAAGGGTGGCTACAGAATATGTTTTGCTCATCGCAGTTGAATTGTCATTCCTAAGATGCGAATAATCGACCGTCATTAAGCATGCGCAACCTGGAAAACTCCTAGCCCAGCCTGTGATGCCTCGGATGATCGAGGTTAGGGCGAGTTTTGCCACGACATGTCTGTCTGATGACTACCGTATTGGAGCAAGCCTGGTGGTGCCATAACCCCCCTTATGCCATTGAGACAAAGACTGGGTGCGTTGCCAGGGTCCCCAACTTGGGAAAGCTGACCTGCAGAGGTCGATTGCTGGAGAGACGGAGTCTGAAAAACGCTTAGACCACCATCTTCGCCTTTGCGCGGGTGCTACCGCTATGGGCGCTGTCGGTGTGGCCCGAGAACTCAAGCATCTCGTTGGGCGGCAACTTGAGAACGTTCTTGAACCGGCGACCAATGTTCATCAAAATCTCCTTGCCCTTCTCAGCAGACCGGCCCTTCCCGCCAGCGATGTCCCCATCTCCACGGCCGGGGATGTGCCGGCCCGTGGTGCGTGTCCAGACACCGATGCGGTAGAAGGCCTTGCGGACGTTGACGACGACGCCCATCACCTCCCCGTCCTCCTCATCCTCTAGCGTCTCGCCGATGGCAGCAAGCATCGTGTGCAGCCAGAGTTCATCAATGTTGATGTTCCGCTTCTCCTTGAACTGATACGACCACTTGCCGCCATGCTTGTTCTGAGGGTCTTCCCACTCTGGCCTGACACCTTCCTTGAACAGGTGGTAATCTGACTTGAGGGCGAGTTCTGAGACAGGGGCGATGTTGTTCTGATATCTGGGTTAGCCAATATCAGAGACAAGGGTTAGAGACTGGTTATTGTCTTACGTAGACGCCCCAAAATTCCTCAACCGACTCAAAGGTGATGACCTCCTTCAGCAGATCGTTCCAGTTGTCACCCTGTGTGTGTACAGTTAGTCAGGATCACGGATGTATGGTAGGGCACGGGACCCAGGAGCGAACCTTTCCACTAGCAGGCTTAGTGAACCAAAGCGTCCATCGATTTGAGAGCGGGTGCTTCACGTTGAAGTTGTCCTTGTCGTGAAAGACGGTGATGGTCTTGCTGTTATCCTCGGCGGCCTCGTTCGTGGCTCCATTCGGGTTGTTCCCGCCATCGGGGGAGATGGGGATGGTGGTGAGATCGACTTGCTCCGACATGTCGAGAAATTCAAACGTGAAGGAATGGGATTTTTCCAGTGTAAGCAGCGCAGGTTCGAATTAGGTGTACCTGAGGTCTGGTTGGGAAGGTTGAGTCCACAGGGCGGCGGGAGGGTGTTTTCGCGGGGTTCGTGAAAAGTCGAGAGGATTGATGGATGCAGAGAAAATGCGACCCGATACGCAGGCTCGAGGATGGAAGGCTCGAATGGGCGCACGTGAAACTGCTAGAACTCGCGCTGTTTGTGAATGGAAAGAGCGACCTTGCTCCAGGCAGTGTCGCGTCCAAGTAAGGCTGGGGTGGGTTGGGTGATGCTTCTTGTCGCAAACTCTGGTCGAGACGAAAACTGTCAGTCGCACACATTCAGCGACAACGTCTCAGCCAGCAACCAACAAGCCCCAGTTTAAACGTCAGCGGGTCTGCGCGCCAGCGTCTCTTGGCGCCTATGCTTCACGTGCCCAGTCACGTGGCATTTTTGATAAGGGATTTTGATGCCTAGATTAGCCGGATGTAGGAGGTTGGTGGGGAAGGAGGCGGCTTGCCGAGAAGAAAAAGTTAGTTCACCGAAAATTTCGAAATATAAGACCCTGCCCCACGCCTAATCGGTCTCTCCCTTCCTCGCGCGCCAGATTCAGCCCAACCTCCAGGACTCCTCAGCAACACCAATCTGCAAAATGGCGGACGAAGTCTATGATGGTGCCATTGGCATCGATCTCGGTAATTGCCCCCCTCGTCGTTGCTGTGGACTTACTCTTGCCGCTCCACCGCGTTACAATTGGGACAAATCGCTGACTGACGGTGCGATACTCAGGCACCACCTACTCTTGCGTTGCGACGTATGAAGGCACCAATGTCGAGATCATCGCCAACGAGCAGGGTAGCTTCACCACGCCCTCGTTCGTCTCCTTCACTGAGGACGAGCGCCTGATTGGTGAGGCGGCCAAGAACCAGGCCGCCATGAACCCCGCCAACACCGTCTTCGATGTCAAGTAAGCCTCCCATTTTATACCAAGCGCTGGGCGCGACTGTCCACTGACAATTATGCCTTCCAGGCGTCTGATCGGCCGCCGCTTCGATGACCCCACCGTCAAGAAGGACATGGAGTCGTGGCCGTTCAAGGTCGTCGACGACAACGGCAACCCCAAGGTTGAGGTCCAGTACCTGGGCAAGACCCACACCTTCTCTCCTCAGGAGATCTCCGCCATGGTTCTCACCAAGGTTAGTGGCTGTGCTAAAGTCCCGACTTCTCGCTAGACGCTCACACCGTGTTAAACAGATGAAGGAGATTGCCGAGGTCAAGCTTGGCAAGAAGGTTGAGAAGGCCGTGATCACTGTCCCGGCCTACTTCAACGACAACCAGCGTCAGGCTACCAAGGACGCCGGTGCCATCTCCGGCATGAACGTCCTCCGTATCATTAACGAGCCGACTGCTGCCGCTATTGCCTATGGTCTTGGCTCTGGCAAGTCTAGCAAGGAGCGTAACGTCTTGATCTACGATCTTGGTGGTGGTACCTTCGATGTGTCGCTTCTGAACATCCAGGGCGGTGTCTTCACCGTCAAGGCTACTGCTGGTGACACCCACCTTGGTGGCCAGGACTTTGACACTAACCTTCTTGACTACTGCAAGAAGGAGTTCACAAGAAAGACCAAGAAAGGTTAGACATCAACATAACGAGTTTTCGGCGGCTTCGGATTCATTACTAATGCTCACCTAGATGTTTCTGGCGACGCCCGCGCCCTCCGGAGGCTTCGGACCGCTTGCGAGCGTGCCAAGCGGACTCTGTCCAGCGGTGCTCAGACTACCATTGAAATCGACTCTCTCTTCGATGGCGAGGACTTCAACATGCAGATCACTCGTGCCCGTTTCGAGGATCTGAACGCCAAGGCCTTCGCCGGCACCCTCGAGCCCGTTGCCCAGGTGCTCAAGGATGCCAACATCGAGAAGAGCGCGGTTGACGAGATCGTCCTTGTTGGTGGTTCTACCCGTATTCCCCGCATCCAGAAGCTACTCAGCGAGTTCTTCGATGGCAAGAAGCTCGAGAAGAGCATCAACCCCGATGAGGCTGTTGCCTACGGTGCCGCCGTCCAGGCCGGTATTCTTTCGGGCAAGGCCACCTCTGCCGATACCTCGGATCTCCTCCTCCTCGACGTCGTTCCCCTCTCCCTTGGTGTCGCCATGGAGGGCAACATCTTTGCCCCCGTTGTCCCCCGTGGTCAGACCGTCCCTACCATCAAGAAGAGGACATTCACCACTGTTGCCGACAACCAGCAGACCGTTCAGTTCCCCGTCTACCAGGGTGAGCGTGTCAACTGCGAGGACAACACCTCTCTGGGTGAATTCACCCTTGCGCCCATTCCGCCCATGAAGGCTGGCGAGCCCGTCCTCGAGGTTGTCTTTGAGGTCGACGTCAACGGTATCCTGAAGGTTACCGCCACTGAGAAGACCTCCGGTCGTAGCGCCAACATCACCATCTCCAACTCTGTTGGCAAGCTGTCCTCGTCTGAGATCGAGAACATGATTAGCGGTACGTTAATCCATGACAGCGGGTGACTTGAGGACATAGTGACTGACAGAAGCAGATGCCGAGAAGTTCAAGAGCAAGGACGAGGCTTTCAGCAAACGGTTCGAGGCTAAGCAGCAGCTCGAGTCTTACATTTCTCGCGTTGAGGAGATCATCTCGGACCCGACCCTCTCGCTCAAGCTCAAGCGTGGCCAGAAGGAGAAGATTGAACAATCGCTCAGCGATGCCATGGGCCAGCTCGAGATCGAGGACTCTTCTGCCGAAGACCTCAAGAAGAAGGAGCTTGCCCTCAAGAGGCTGGTCACCAAGGCCATGTCGTCGCGGTAAATGATTTGATGCTGGATGGATGCATGAATGGCCTTCCCCAGATAGATACGGGACGCATCGGATCGGATTATGAAGCCACGGTCCGGGGCCACGCGAAGTTACGGGCAAAAACGGCAGGGCCGCGGTATAATGGGAGGCGTCTTACATCTTGATTCATGACACGGGGCACGCAAAAGTTAGAGGGATCTTGCTCTTTAAGCCGCTTTTCGCTGTGGGGCAACTTGGGCAAGTAATCGGTACCATCTACACAAAAATTGACGAATGGGACTTGTCTTTCTGATGCTCATGATTCGCATTCCCTGTTGCGTACTGCATGTAGATCAAGGTAGAGGGGACAATATAGCACGGTTACGACGGGTTAGTTTGTTGCAAACATATTGTCTGTTCGGGTTCAGAGTCGCATTTGCCAACGCTGGCACCAGACATGAAGAGCCCGGCTATTGAACTCTCGCCAACCCAGAGTGCATTTGAACCTACAAAAGAAAGAGGAAGAAGTGAAAGAGATTCAGGAAGAAAATGAATAGGACCTCTACAAGAGGATGAGGAAGAAGAAGAAAAAGAGGATAAAGAGGGAAGAACTGATAAAACATGGAGACAAAGAAAAGCAAAGACGAGCAGGAGTCATTACCTTCTCTCTTGAAAGACGCAAAGTGAGAAACAGAAGAAAGTTCTTCGACTTTTGAAAGGTCCCCCAAGACTCCTGAACTCAACACTCGTCAACATCCGAGCCAAAAGCTCCTAGGACACCCCCACTTTTTACGGGCCACTCCCTCCATTGTCAACATCCCAACCAAAACAGGCCAACTTCAAAGTCACAGGATTCATTTGAAACGACCGAATCGAATATGGCCGTCCAGAGTTTTGACTTCTTTTTTGACCTGCCTCCCGAGCTCCGTGAGCAGATACTCTCGCACATTTGCCTCTTCCCAACCGGCATCAACGTCGGCGGTGGCGAAGGGGGCAAGACTGTGCTCATGCCTGCCCCTACTCGCAACACGTCCACCGCTGGCGCGCATCAGAACACTCATCAAACTGGTACTTCAAGCCAATTGTTTCACAAACAAGAGGAGGATGCCGAAGAAGACGACGAAGAGGGCGAGTGCGCCAGCCCGCCCGTCAACTTGTTCCTCGCCTCCCCCATCCTGTACCGCGAAGCTGGGGATCTCTACTACGGGCGCAACGACTTCCACCTGGGCGTCACTTCGTCTGCGTGGGGGCGGAAGCAGCGGAGTAGGGTGTTGAACTACTCATCCGGCCTACCTAGCACCGGAACCGCCGGGACAGGAATCGGCGCGCTGACGAGGCTGCTTACGCACCCCGACACAACCTATGCCCGGCGGCGGATCCGTAGCGCCATCCTCTACGTGAAGCGGTTTGGCGCGCTCGTGCTGGACGTGCTGGCTCCTGCGCTGGGGGACATGGTGCTGAATGGGGCGTTGAGGAGAGTGAGGGTTGATGTGATGGAAGTCCCTTGCGCAACAGCGGGGTTTAAGGCCGCGCTTGGCGGGGGGACGCGGTTGCGGGTGGATTACGCGGAGAACCCTGCGCTGAGGGCGGTGTTGAAGTTGCTGACGGATCCGGACATGGAGAGGGCTGAGCTGAGGGTTCACCGCGCGGCCCATGCTCGCTTTTGGTGTCGGCTTCATCCAGGTGGTGTTTCGCAACAGGGGGATATTGCTTGCCAAGCAATATCTAGGCATTTGGCTGGGCAGGACAGGAGGCATGAAGATGGGTTTATGCAGGTGGATATTCACAGGCTTGTGGATGTCTGCGCTGGCGATGCGGCCGAGTTCAGGATCAAGAAAGTTGGTGTGAGCTGACGAACGGCTCCACCAAGCTTTCTACGATTAGAACACGGAGAAGGGTAATGACCAATTGGCTGGCGGCGTTGCCGAGCTTTGCGCCAAGACGGGACCATGCTTGGTGATCAAGATCTACCGAGCCATCCGGGGTAGGGGACAGATTTGGTGTCCGGCCTGAGATCTGAGGACCTTAGACTGGGCCTGTCACTGAGGCATGGTGAGTCCGACAACTATGTGTGTCATGATGTGCGGCTTAAGGCCAAGTATGACCAGAAGTCCACGGTGATATACTGAGCATTAAGGTAGAAACTCAAGGAACCGCTGAGTCCCGGCGTTTGCTTACTTGGACAGGGTGTTGGCAGCCCTGGAGATTTTTTGCCAAGAAGGCGGAGTTAAAGCTAGTCTCAGGACAAGGTTGCGCAACCTCATAGCTCACGTACTAATGGCTACCTTACTCGGCTCTGTGCAAAGATATTCAACTGTTTCTTTAGTTCACAGTATTGTGACTCCTCGACACAGCCCGAGATACTTCGTACACCGACTGGCTTAGCCGATTCTTTGGACCTATTTGATACGTTTTTTGGCGGGGTCTGAACTCTGAAGTTTTCTCTCTTTTTTCCCTTCCGTTTTCTCATTCGATTCGCTTCCCTGTTCCTCAACCCCACATGTCCTCTTCTTGTGCGATGTTTGGCGTCTGCTGCCTGCCGCCTTGGCCTGCACGTAAACGCCTTTCATCCCACCAAGAACGACGGTTGTTTAGTCTCACATACGCCATGGCCACATAATCGGGGCAGCCAGCTCCGTGGCGTCTTGGCTTTGGCGAAAGGACAGAAACCTCCCTGATCTTCCTTCCTGATGAAGGGTCTTGTCTCGAGCGGAAGGACAGATGATGATCGCATCTTACCCACCTCCTCTCGTTCACGCGCCATTCTTCCCACTCTGCTAACAAGCTGTCATGCATAAGCCTTTCCCCTCCAGACGACATGCAGCCGCCTCCCCCGAGCGTATTGGTGCGTTGGCTGAAAGGACTGCCTCATTGTACTTACGCAGACCAGTGAGAACAGAGGGATTGCGAGTTACTTCAACACAGCGCATCATCTGGACTGGTAACCACCATTATGCCACACTCTGCAGGCGACGTATTTTCTGTCCACAAAGTTCTTTCCATTCTGGTCTGCACCGGCTCGAAGTCGAAATCTATCCACTTCCCCCACCCTTGTTCAGGAGCAGTCTCGTACATAACGTTAACAGAAACAGGCTAAGACCGGTCGTCCCTTGCCCGTGGTGCGGCATGAACCCCCACCTGACCCTCAGCAATCTCGACCAAGACACAAGAAGACGAAGTGGGTTAGGAAAATAAAACGTGAATCATTTGAGGGCGGGCGGCTGGCTGACCCCGCTCGGCGGTGATCTCAATGTCATGAAACAATCCTGGGGGGATCCAGGTAGCGAAAGAAACCGGGAAAGGTCCTTCTCCTCGAGCTCATTGGCGGCATGATAATCGAGTAGTAAAACATTCGAATGAGGATAAAAGTGAAAGGCGAGGTGCAGTCGCAGAGTTCTAGCAGCCCGACTGCTTACTCGACGGCAACCTCGCGGAAGTCACCCTTGTCGTCGTCCTGGTGCTCGCCCCAGTGGACCGGTCCGAGCTTGAGGAAGCGGAATTTGGACGCATCGCTGCTCAAGCTCGAGGTGCGGCGCTTCGTTGCGTCAGCGCTCGCACCGTCTTGCGTCGCGACTTGTGCGAGTGCCTCGGCAGTTAGAGGCTGCTTGGCCCGTTGCGTGCGAGGATACGAGTCGGATGTGATGGGCGCCAGTGACATAAAGGTCGAGGGCCGGCGCAGACCGGTCCTTGGGTTGAACTGGGTAGAGGGAGTCGGCATTGTTTTGAATCGATAAATACACGGTGGTTGCTTGGTGACTGGAACCTTCGCAGTGCTTCTTGTATGGCGGTTGGGGCAAATTGGCTTGTGGTTTGTCTTGTTTGTCGAGGGCTCGGGTTGGCAATGGCGGGAGAGTGGTTTGGTAAGCAAGAGATAGCAAAAGCAGAAGCAGAAGGAAAAGATGAGAAACCGTCGGAGAGCGGGTGAGAGGGTGGGTTTTATACATGGACGGGCACCGTTAACTCCGGGGGCGATCCTCTGCCCCTGCTGGTTCCTTTCCTTCCATTGTCCTCCACGACGTGTGCTCACATGAGGACTGTCGTAATTCTACCGGGCCGGCACGTACCTGTTTCACACGGCGCAGATGATGAGAAACCCCCGGCAGGCCTGTCTTTCATGATTGGGCTCGATGGTGGAGAGGGGTGACCAAGGCATTTCTCGGCGAGGGACGGCCGCACGTGGGATGGCAATTGGTCTGAACTGAGAACCGGGGCAGAGCATGGCAGAGCCTCGGATACCCGCTCTTGCTGCAACATGCATTGAGCAAAGTTGGATGGGAAACATGACGCCAGTGCTCATCTCAGTGAGAAATGATGGATGAGATAGACTTTGACACAAGCGAGCAAGTGGAGTACAGGCGGCTCTGTCGTGTGCCTAGTCCCCGTTTCCGAACAGTTTCCATGACGTCGGGCCTCGGGCGCGAATGATTGGGTTCCCGGCAGGGCTTGCGAAGAAATTTCGGAGCGGTCGAAGCTGCAACCCGACGCCGGGAAGGCTGCGGGGACGCGGGGAAGTCCCCAAATGCCCCGGCCTAAAACCCCGTCAGACTGCAAATGCGCCCCGCGCAGCAGGGCAACAACTGATCTTTAGCCAACTTTCTTCTTTTGTTGTAGGTTAGTAAAAGAGTAAGTACATGAAATCAAGATGGGATGGATCCGAAGCTAGCCGGGCCATGCCATCCCCTGACCTCCAACGACATCCAACGACACACTTACGGGGAAGCAGGGGGCATTGACCTGGATTTCTGGACTGATGAACAGCCAAATAAACTCTCAATGACCGGACGGGAGTCATGTTCTGCCATCTTGTCGGTCGGCTGTTCGCCGCCACCGGGCCAAAGCAGCTTGGATATTGTGAAGACCTGACATATTCCCTGTCCAGTGTCCAGTGTCCAGATGTCTCGCTGGACAAGGCTGACACGAAACCGCCATATCCACTATCTCAAGGAACCTCAAGCTGTGGTGTCCGACAAGTAACATAGGGAAACGCTCTCTACCTTCTTCCCAGATGGCTTCATTTTCCTAGTGTAATGGTTGTCAACCAAGCTTCTCTGCAATCACCAATAGACTTTGCCATATTTCAAGCAATACTCCGAGGGGTACCGGAACCTCGTCTGAGACTTCGAGATGTCGATGGCTCCTCTGTGCCCACACTCGTGGTTGAGGAACAGTGGGATACCCAATACTCAGGGTGCCGGAAGAGGCACTTATGCGCGACAGCGGAATTTGAATTGGTCGAAAGTGATCGATAAGTCTCTGAATGACGGTGCTCTTCGCTTTGGTACACGCCATGAGTGCCTGCTGATTAGAGTTAGTAAGGAAAAGTGCTCACGGCCAGCAAGGGCCCACGAAGAGCAGGGTGCTGATGAGTGAGAGTCAACAGGATGGGAGTGCGCAGCCACCCTTTCGGGGTTCTGTCGAATGGTCTGTCGGGCTATCCTAGCGACTCGGACGTTGCGCACCATTTGAGCGGCCGCCGTGAGTCCATATCCATAGGGAACCAAACACAGTGCCGGCAGCGGTGTCTGTCACTCTGCACGATTGTATGGGTACTCAGACGCGGCGTGTGGTATGAGCGTAATGGATCCGTTGCCTGCTTTGTATCGCTCTCTGTCGAGGAACCTTGGGAATACGTAACTTCTCGGACTGATTGGCAATGACGTCGAGTTCAGCTCTCTGTGAGCTCTGGCCTGACCATGGCAGGGAACCTGGCACTTCATGCTGGGAACTTATTCCAGCAGTACTGCAATTGAGTTCCGCCTCACCATCTGCCGACCCAGCTGTTGGTGATATCGACGGCATATGCTGGGCGTAAATGGGAGAGTACAGAGGTAACCCCGTCGAGCTGGTTGTTATCAGGAGCCGCATGACGGCAACGGACTTGACCGGGAAAGCCGTCCGCCAACCGGACCAAAGCTTCTGCGTACGCACGCACGGTTTGGGGAGGTTGCTCGCAAGTTGGACTGCCAGATGTGGTTGGGCTCATTGGACGTTGCCTGCAAGGTGAAGTAAAGTCTTACCACCAAGAAGGATCTGGAACACAAGGAGCGAAAACGTAGGTCCCCATAGCACCACTATGCTGCTAGAGGTTGCTCTTCCGAGAACAGACCAGTTGCTGGCTGCTCAAAGTCAACGGCCTAAATCGTTCCTCGGACCGTACGGGGACCTGTTGACCGGTCATAGCAAAGAGCAGTCTCATCTGGGTGTAGCGTTCGATAGTGCAAGCAAACTGTCCGTCTTCTTTTCGACTCGTCGCATGCACAACAATTTAGCGCATGGTCGTTGCGTGATAATCAGGCACCCTTACCGACTTAACGCAACCAGGCGCTTAAATTCTGCCCTGATTGGTAGGCACGCGCAACTGACGCCACCGTCACAGAATCGTCCCGACAACCGATGGCACATCTGTACGGACGACGCGTTTCCAACTCTCTGAGAACCATGTCGGTGTTGCTTTCGATCGTTCCGAAGCGTTGCTTCGGTGGGTCGTGCGTGTCGTATACGGCATTGGCAGAGTTACGAGCAAGCGCTGCCCATGTCTTCGCTAACAACCGCGTCGATGCAGAACCGACGGCACAAGCGCAGCCACAGGGCATCGCTAACGGCAATAGCCAACTCACACCCGAGATGTCTTCAAGGAATTGCACGCGCAGTGGGCTGTTGGGTCGCCTGTAGCCGCCGAACTAATTTTTCGCCGAAAGGCCCGAGAAACCTTGGAGCATACATCACACCCAGAGAGTTCCAAGCAAACGGCGCTTCGCGCAATATGCATCGGCAAGGGTGAGTGAAGGGGTTGGAATTCCATTTTGATAATGTTGCTAGAAACCATCGTGCCATCACGGGAAGCGTGGCCCTTAGCTATGAGTGCCTGCAAGGGTGGAAGGGTCGAGCTCCGTTTCCGGGTCTGCCAAGAAGCATCTGTTCAATCTGTGTGTTATTATCAGAAAGTTCGGTGTGGGAACCGGGAGTTGAGGGTCAGGAGAACTTACACGTCAGAGTGCTCACTCTATCACGCTGATGGGCGGGCCTCCCGAACAGACAGGTTTCGGATCAAACAAGGGCGCAGTGCTCCGATCGACAACCACAGCTTCGAGAAGACGGGAGAAGACAGATAGGTGGCGAACAAGGGGAGAGATGAGCGTAGTGGCTGACCGAGGCCGTGGGGTCCGTTTGATGTTGAGTTGTGGTTGAGCCCCGGCGCCGGATCCGGCCGACCCGCAGGCCAGAATGGGAGGGCAGGGCTGTGCCGATTGCATCGGCCAGGAAAGCCGGCCTAGTAAGACGTATGTATGCACACTCCACGCAAGGATGGACAGAGTTGGTCGCAGAATCGGCCGCACGAGGCGGACTGGTGCTGCGGCGTCGCCAAGCCTGCGACAACAGGACGCTCCTTGAGGAGCTCAGGGGAGGTAAGGTACCTCAAAGAATCGAAGAAGAACTCAGTTTCTCGGCCAAAGAACATATACACAGTACATCGAGGTTGGGACTATGTGATTTCACTGGGGGAGACTTTGCGCTCAGCCAGCAAGGACTGGACCTGACAGGAGCGATTTTCTCGATCGGGGACTTGCTGCTGCCATGCGTCAAGTGGGTCTCACTTGCAGCACGATTGCCCGAACTGCGCAGGCCCAATTCAGAAGGCCCAATCAGGTTGCAGCTTCTTTATTCGAAGAGCTTCACGACAGGGGAAGCATGCCCATCAATGTTCTCCTCCTCAGCACCATACCTAACCCTTCTGAGAAGAACGCTCCAGGTTTCGGTTTGTCTGGTAATCTCCCGTCGAGACACTCATTAACTGACTTTACCAGGATCCCGGGATGCTGTGGAAGTGCAAAGCAACTGATTTTCTGGAGCCCCCTTTCGCATTCCGGTGCTGTTTGCTTTCGTCACCACGGTCTGTCGATTCAAACCCAACGCGTGACACTGCTCTCCATCACCCTTAAAGAGGCAGCTGAGCACACAGGAAACGCAATGTCAGCTCACTGTCTGTGAAGAAAAAGGCCTCTAGGAGGAGCTGTCTGCGCTGGAGCATGCTTGGGCTGGGGCAGTTCTGCTTCCTTCCATGACTCAGACCACCGATGGAAAGTCGTTGGCCGCCGATATGTGACCTCGGCATCAGCCTCAATCTGTTCTACCTACGCCTCATCCGGCACCCTCCTGAGCGCGTGGTTATTCTGGGTAGCAGGCAGTTCCTGTCTTCCTACAGACATCGATCTCCCGGATTAGTGCCTGGTCGTTCGCGGCCTTTTTCTTTCTCCGGCAAAGGGGCGGTAGCACCTTGGCGGGCACGCCTTTGGTTTGCATCTGGCCTGTCCCTTTCGTTCTCAGCGGCGATGGAAACGTCTCGAGCTGGTTTCGGTTAGTCCAGTCGACATCACCAACACGTTGCAGCTCGAGGTGGCCGGGAAGTCTCCCGTCCTCGTCCGCCAAGCCCCTTGCTCACCGGTGCGTTCGCCTGTTCATCGTATGCTTCGCCTCCTGAGCGAATGCAGCTGCAGTCTGTCACGTCCTTGACGAACTCTGCAGCCATCCACTCATCGTCTACTGTAGGGTACTTCTACCTGATCTACCGTGTACCTGTGCCCGCTGCTTTTCCATCTACTGGCAGCGCCGGTCACTCTGTTGCTCCACCCGGCCACCTAATAGACGGCAACTTCGTGGGACGGCATGGGCATGTTGTGTGTGGGCCATTGTTCCGATGGCATATCTCGCGGCCGAGATAAATGCCAGCATCATGACGGCGTACGGCAAAGCCAGTGCCGAGGTTCCTTGCCGCCTCCTATCCTCACGGCGACAGTAGGAACCTAGGTTATGTTTCGATACGCCTCAGTTGGTGCGGGCCATTGTGTGAGCGGGCCATGGGCCTAAAGTGATGTACCGCTGTGGGGTGCGCTCACCCATGTCGCCGACCAGTGCTGGTAAGGGTGAGGGCTCTACCGACATGATAGGTCCGGCTCGACTCTCTCAGGTTCTGTCAACCCTTACCCCTAGGTTGTTAGCTGCCGCTCCCGCATCGGCCCACAAACTGCCTGCTAGTCTCCCGAGCCTGCAGCCGGGTAGGGCAGTAAGTACCCCCGCGCCGCGGGATACACTGCTGTACTTGTGCTCCAGGGTGTGCATCGTTGCATTTCATGTTGCTCTCTGAGCGACAGTCACCCCCCTCAACCAACCGGTTTCAATCCCAACTCGATTTGCGTCGCCCCATCTCGAGTGGAAAGGCAATCACCAACGACATTGAACAAGTAGTCATACAAGGCACGGCGGGGCGATCAATATCCCCGAGAGCAGAGCACTCCCTTGGTGCAGCAGCAGGGCACCGGCATCAGAAGTACAACAAGCTGTAGGCACACCGTCTTCGATCTGGGACACATCTATAAAAGGGGCCATGAACTTCGCGCAGACTAGTAACTTGGTCTCGTCCTCACCATCACCGGCGCGCGAATTCCTCGACTGTGCTTCGATCCTCTCGAGCGCACCATCACTGCTCTTCATCGTGTCTTTTTGAAGTGCGACAGCAGCACAACTCGACCAACATGGCCTGCATCGTCTATAGATTTTTGTACGGCGCCTGTGGCCACATGACCGAAGAACTCGTTCCGAGTGCCGAGCATAGCGCACGGGGCGGCTGTCCCCCAGACTGCCAACAACAGATCTATGAACACCACCTCGACGGCTACTGTTCTAATTGTCGACATTAAGCCAGAGCATGCATGCCATGGACGAGACAGATGCTTGAATTTCTTGGTATGCCTTGGAGCCAGCCCACCCCCATGTCCTGGTATAATAGTCTGGCGACCCGATCCTAATTGATCCTTGGGCAGACGGCCTTATGCTTGTTGCTTCTCCGTCTTCTCGAGCGGCCGATCGAGTGCCCTAATGATACCCTACTGCGGCACAATCGGCGAAATAACAGCGAGCAAGCTCCGGTACGGTCCTCCCTGTGAGAGCACGGCTGATTCTACATCGTGCCGCTCATCGGCGACCCGGGCGTCACTTGCGGAGCGGACGAACTTCGATGAACAAGCGGGACAGGACGACACTCTTTTTTTCCTCTCAATATCTTGTCTGGCTTGACGCCAGCTCGTTGTGTATCTGTACGCAGGTGGAACTTCTCTTCTTGATGTGGACTTTTCTGTCACATAGCTTCTCGAGATAATACATTGTCACACAGTGTGTTAGGCGAAGATCACCAAGCTTCCTTACCTGACTTCTGTTCCCACTTCGCCGACCCCCAAGCACACATGATCAGTCGTGTGCCTTGGCTGCTGTCATCTCTGCCTGACGCCATTGGATTAGAAGCGTGAGCCACGCAGTCAAGGACGGCAATCATTGGCGATGGACCAGTTGGCGGGACAGAACCAGTACAATGACAAAAGTGGACTTTTCCCCCAAGGCGGCATTTCCTTGATCGACGACCGTTGGCACTTGCGTCTTGTCAGGCTAGACGGGTTTCACGGCGGCCTCATGGTGGAAATTGAACCCAAAGCAACTCCTTATTCGGCACAAACCACGTGGAAAACTTGCGGCCGCTCGTTCCCTTGTCCTTCTCCAAGAACAAAGACAAAAATTCACCCCCGTGCCATTGTTTTTCGTGCAGAATCTCGGTTGGCCAACAAATGGGCGTATGGGCGGCGGCGGAGTCAAAAGTGTTGGAAGTGGGCCGAGCCCTGCTCTGGGTTGTTGTAAGCTTGCATTCGTTTCTGCAGCTAGCCCGGGCCGTGGCCGGCGCAAGCGCAAGCGTGTCGTGTCGCATCATGGTCGCCGGACGAGACGCAGCAGCTTTCTGTCATGTGCCACGAACAATACGGAGGTACGTACTGCAGAAAGGTCAGGGGGTCAGGGGGTTCGGGTTCACAACCTAATCGTGATGATCCGTGCGCCACCTTTCCAGCCCCACAGCTGGGACCCAGTAAGAAAGTTGAGGTAATGTACGAAGTATAGCGAGACGGGGGTGATTGTACTCAGGGCCGTTACGCCCACAACTGCGTCTGGGACCTCCTGAAGTAACCCTGAAACTACCTTACTTGGAATTGTTGCTTGAATTCTGGGTTATGAAGGGAATGGGTATCACGAACAAGGCAGGCATCGAGCTGGGCTTCTCCCTTATTGCCCTTTGTTTGAACATCCTCGCGCTTTCCACTTGGCTCGGTTTGGCCCGTTCCGGCACTCCGCAGGCCCGCGCCGCATCCTCAACCGCAACTCTCGGTCCAGTCAGGGCGTCAGGGTGTCAGGATGCAGATATGCAGCAAAGGTTGAAAGCATCTTGAAGGTCTTGGCTGGGAGCCCACCCACTATACTGCCCTGAGGGAAAAAGGGTGGGTACGTGACTGGCAGAGTACGACGGTCGAATTACCCATGCGGTCACTTGCGGTGGCCTGCATTGTGCTACACAAGTGCAGTGCATCTGCAGATGCATCGCGCTTACAGTCGCGCCCCCGGCCAATCAGTGGAGAGATCGCCGCCGGTCGGCGGTTGGCCAACAGGGGTTCTTCACATGCAGAGACTCAGTCTCGACGACAGTGGACATTGGAGGCGAGTCGGAGCCCCGTCTTCAGTGCACATTGGCATTGCTACCTGCAGTGGTTCAGAAGTGGGAGTTTTGTTGCTAGCGTACCTTACTCAAGGTTCCGCGACAACCCTGGACTTCGCGCATGTCGCTCTTAGGTAGGTCTTGACATGCTACTAGGAACTTGATATGATCCCATGGTATGCAGTCAGGGCTGGCTAGCGCAGCAACAGCTTTCGGGTCTCACCGAGGTGCTAAAGGGCGACAGATGCATGGTTAGGAAACGGAGGTGCCATCTCACATCCCCTAGCACCCACCACAGGCAACGCAAGACAACCTGACGAGCCTGTCCGGCGAGCTCGCTCGAATACTGACCAGCCCTGCGACTAACTACCTCAATGCCATGCTAGCTTCAGAGGTCGACTTCCCCACAGCTTGAACATGAGGTACAACTTCACTGCACACGGGCTACCTATACTGAAGACGCAAGGCAACTTTCATGGTCTACCCACACCATCTTGAAGACTCGGCTTCGGCAACGAAAACGGACCTCGCGGCAGCTCCCTCCGCGCCGTGCGCCAACCAGGGTGGCGATTATGGCGTCAAGTCCAATACTGGGCCGCACCCCTACACCACCAGGACCAACACCCGGGCCGTTGCAGAGAGCTCCGGACACCGTGACTGGCCCGAATAGGAGATTGCCGCCGGGACAGTCCCGACTGTAAGCGTAGAATGTGCTAGGGGGATCCAACGTCCAGTGACCAATTGGGCTCCAGGGAAGAGCGCAAAAAAGCCGCTATTGCAACCCAAACCTTTCCCACATCAGCGCTGCATATCGTCCCCTCGAAGGCGATTGCCTGTTGCAAGTTCCCTCATTGCCTAAATGCCTAAATGTCGTTCCACCAGTCGGCGAGGGCCGCTGTGAAAATCTTGCTGGAGCCTATTCCCCCCTCATGCGCTTCTTTGCTGTGTGTCACCAACACTATTTTCTTCTGGGATGCCCGGCATGTATGGGACGGACCTGCTGCACGGTGAACGCCGATGGACGCCGATACCCACCCCAACTGGATAGATAGGTACCTCAAGCAGCGTATCAACTCGGCATCAGGGCCTGTACTCGTCGCAGCCTCCTCCTTGGGGATTAGTCGGTTCGGCGTTATTGAAGCCCCGACGAGCAGCATCATGTAGGTGCCTTAAGTACCTACCATGCCCAAAGAAAGTCCTTCAGCAACGGTATGTACCTATACAATACACCTGTCAAGTCCAAAAAGATTGTTTAAAAATGCAAGTCATGCCTTGAAACGCGGAAGCTCGCTCTGCAGCCACGGCGCGACTGGAGCATGCTGATAGGCTGGCTCGACCCGACAGCTTGGTAAGTTGGAGCGTGCACGACGGGACCAGGGGGACGAGACATGGATGTAACGGCGTTGACTCGGGTTTCTAGCTTTACCTTATCAAACCGTGGATCGACACAACAGTCTTGACTCTGCCTCGCGACAAAACCATAATGTGGCCTTTCGCTCTTCAAAAAGACCTGGGTTCGTCTATGCTCCCCGAGCGAGGGGTTCACCCTGCTGGATCTTGGCTGCACCATACTTCTCCAGGCGGATCGCCTGGATCGCGATGAAGCCACTGGCATCCTCGGGGCTGAACCCTTCGAGGGTGTCCATGCTGGCCTGTTCCTCGCTGTACAGATTGCTCTCAGGCGCAGACCGGGAAAGGACGTGAGCTGCGCCCTTGTAGACCATCATGTCAACCTTGCCATGGACGTGCTTTTGGCTGTAGATGATGGAGTTTTCTAAGGGGTTATCAGTTAGCGAAAAGTAGGGCTAAGGGCATAAGTCTGGATAAGATGGTTTCAAGACGTACCGAGAAGTTCGCGCTCCGGCGAGAAGTACATGCCTAAATCACAGTGTTAGTACAAGGGAGTATGAGAGCAAGAAAGCAGACAACCATACCATTGTAGAGGCATTGAGACCATTGATTTCCGATCCAGTGCATGATTTGCCTGACCCTGGAGTCGAGGGTCATGCCTTCAAGGTCAAGGTGTGCGAGGCGGAGCACAGTCAAGGCAGGGGAGTCGTAGCAGCCCCTCGACTTGAGCCCGATGAAACTGAACGGTTATTAGTTCAAGCCCAAGAGGGCCTCGGGTAAGGATACCCACCGAGACTCGACAATATCTACCCGTCCAACGCCGTTGCGGCCGGCAATGTCATTGAGAGCCTTGAAGAGCTCGAGCGAACCGGTGACGGTCTCGCCCCCCTCCACCTCGAGCTTGACAGGGACACCCTCCCTGAATGTCACGGAGAACTTGGTCGGGACATCCGGCGCGTCGAGCGGGTCTGCATGCCACAAAGATTAATTGGCTGCGGTCAGTCGGGGGCAAGATAAGTGTACGCACCAACCGTCCGAGTCCAGACATTCTTGGGGGCAGGCATATCTGGCTTCTCCAGGATTCCGCTCTCGTAGCTGCAATGTGCCAGGTTATCTAATCGAAGATCAGTTTCAGGGAACGCGCCATGATACGTATGTTTGGCGCCATGACAAACCGTCTTGAGACCAAGGAGCCTTGGGTGTAGACGAAACGGGGATGCTGTTCTCAGCAGCGAACTTCAGGAGGTCTTGGCGACCCCTATCATCATATTAGAGACTGCCGAAGAGTATATAACCACCGAAACTTACTGGAAGCGGTTGAAGAACGATGGCATCCTCCAGGGAGCGATAATTTGGAGACTCTGGTAGGATCGGGTCAGTTCCCCTCTGCGGGCGATTTGACGAGCGGGTTGTACTGACAGGATCGCATGCTTTCCAAGCCAGTTCGAAGCGAACCTGGCTGCGATTTGTCAGTCTCTATAACAATTGACCAGTGGTATTTTGCGATGACATACTCATTCTACGTTTGTTAGCAGAGCCTCTATAAAGCTAAGGGGAAGGAATAACGTACACCCTTGCCCGTGCAGCCGTGGCTAAGGATCTTGCAGTTGTATTTGTGAGCAACCCGGACCTGCGCCCGAGCAATGACCGGACGGGCAAGGCTGGTTCCAAGAAGATAGCTAATCCGATTGTAAGTTGGAGGCGGCCAGAGGAGGAGCATCGGAGAACGACCAGGGTCCCCGATCAGCGAGACTCACCGATCCTCATAGATCGCGTTGCCTGTTGTTACTGGTGTCAGTCATGTCCATGCACGAACCCTCGCCCATGAATATGTGTAGACACGGGCTGAAAAGATGACTCACATTGGATGGCGCGGAAGATGAGCTCATCGACAAACTCCTGCTGCAGGTTCTCGATCACCATGCGCTCGGCGCCGAGAGCCAGAGCCTTCTTCTCGACCGCAGCGAAGTCCTCATTCTGGCCAACATCGGCGAGGAACGCCTGGAGGCGGTTTGGGTAAGCATCAGGTACGATATCGATGACGACCGGAAGGGACATACGACGACGGTGTAGCCCTATGATGAAGGATGTGTCAGCGAGTCAATTGAGAGGAGACGAAGTTGCAGAGAGTGAATTACCTCGAGAATGAGCCACTTGAGGATGGTGGATGTGTCAAGACCTGCCTGGCGTTAGCACTCGGTGTCTATCGTGGAGCGCATCGTGAGGTCCATCAGGCGATTATCGGGCAATCATCGGAGAGGATGGGCAGGGAAGCGATGAAGCGTACCCCCAGAGTAGGCGCTGTAAGCAATGTTAGACCACTTCTCAACACGAATTACTATGTATGAGACCTCTTACAGGCAAACTCGTTTGTCGGAAGACATTGTTGCGAATCTCGTTGTGTCGCGTGAGGTGAGAAGCGTAGAGTGCGATTTGGGAGCTCTGACCTAAAAATCTTTCTGCCATTGACTCAACTTGCCTTATCGCTGCGATGCCGGACGGTGGGGAATCTTGGCACAGATTCCGCCTTACCTAAGCATATTTAACCAGTTGATTGATTGATCTGGATTGAGTGGGTCTTGATGCTGCACTGTGGCCGGCTTTTTGCAACGACACCTCAATTGCCCACTTCACCACTACCTCTTCGCCAACATCCGACCTAAGCCACAACGAGCAAACGTCGTTGCGCCGCATAAGTCCTACGCTTGCGGAAATGTCTGACGGCGAAGCATTGTGATTTTTCAAGACTCTGCTCCATTTTCCGTTCCTGCCGTTCGGCGGCTTTCCAGGACGAGGCTGTGGGCTGCGAACTTGGTCTCTCTTGATGCGGCCACCGTGACAGTGCGCATAGCTGAGCCTCGCTCAACCGCACCCGCATCACATTCTCACCCCTCATCAGGTTCGAAACCAAGACAGCTCAGGTACCATCAGGAGGCCGACAACCCCTTATTCCAACTTGCTGTTACCAGCCACCGCACCTTGTAGATCCGCCAAGACACGCCGCCTTATGCACGATGGCCAGGTATACCAAGTTGAACCAACCTTCTCGGCCGCTCATCGACATCACCACCGAATTTACGCCTCAATGTTTAAATTTCAAGCACATCACTACACGGCCCATTTGCAGGAAATGACCAATAGATGCCCTGACAAGCCTATCCGTCGTCAGAGACCACCACCTTTTCAGCAACGGCACCTCCACACCCCATCCATCATTCTCTCGGTTGGAAGCGTCTGGCCCGTTTCAAACCCCGAGTCTCCGTTCCCTTTGTCATCTTCCCCTTTACCCTGCGTCCATTGCCGTTGCCCTGCCACACCCTCAAACTTCGGCCCAACTCCAATTGATGACTGGGATAAGCTGGCCAGGAGCGGACAAAGACTGGGAGAAGTAGCCGAAAAGGGGCAACATGGCCATCACCACCACCAACAGCCAAGGTAGAGTACTTGCCCGTACCTTCATTCATAAGGTACTTGTACATACAATACAACCCTACGCTAGGTCAAAACACATCTGGTAGACTCCACACCATGAATAACCATGACGCACACGCCTCGGTCCCGAAACCCCTTTTTCCTCCCTCTCCCTCTCCGAGACCAAGCCACCAGCTGGCCACACACCCCCGTCAACAAGTGATCTCCAGCGCGCAGTTCCAGGCCCCCCGGGGAAGCATCACCCACAGCTCACCGGAGACAACATGATGTGGATCACAAACCCAATAAGGTTCTCCTCTCCGAGACCCTCCGTGACCAACACCATCTCGATTCAGGCATCATCCTCCATCCAGAATCAAGTCCACCGCCGACCAGACATCCCCACAACCAACAGCTCCAGGCCCGCCATCCTCACCATTGCTCACAGGCCCAACTTGCAGATCGACTTGGAAGATACGACTTTTCCATTCATCCAGGGGTTGCTCTCAAAGGCAAGGCCCCAACACATGGATGGTTAATCTGTAAGATATGTAAGGTAGCTATACAAGTCATTACCACAGCCCCCCCGAGTCCACTCTCCGTCTCGGTCGGCCTCATCCCATCACCCGTCCCTTCATCGCGGAAAATGGTCCCTTTTCACCAAGGAACCCCATGACCAATCTGGTGCCGCAAAGTCTGCCCGTCGGGGAAATCACCAGGTTCCCAATGCAAGGGAGTGTAAACCCGAAAATGCACCTCAAAAGGAAGCTCTTGTTTGTTTGCTTTACCTCCTTGTCCCAGCTCGATGAGTAATGCAGGTCTCTATCAAAAAAAAATTATAAAAAAAGGAGGAAAAGGAACAGGAAAAGACGAAAGGACTCGCTCCATATATGTACACCCCAGGTTTCGAAACAGCGAGTCAAGAAAAAAATGCCTTAATGGCTATCCTGCATCCCTCCATTGGCAACCTGTGCCTCGGTGTGACGCATTCCGCCAGAATCAGCACGTACCAGATCAATCATTCGTCGGAGAAGTGGGTGAGCTGTAGAGACCTTGTCAGCAAGCTATCTGAGAAACCGAGCACTTGGTACATGGACTAGACTCACTATTGATCACCGTTGCCTCCAGGCGCGGCTCGCCCCGGAGTCCTGGGCGAGAATGAAGGCGACGTGGGCGAGTAACCCGGGCTGGTCGGTGACATTTGCTGTCCGGGCGACCGCTGGAATGACGGGCTCGTCGGTGAGTAAGCATCCGGCGACGTGGGCGACCAAGTCGGCGACGCCGGCGAGTAGGACGGTGAGGTGGCGTGCAGATTCGGTGAAGCCGGGCTGTAGCTCGGGCTAGTAGGAGAATACGACGGCGACGTTGGGGAGTTGAACTGCGTCGGTGATGTGGGAGAGTAATGCCTGATCGCCGCCGGGGATGCCGGCGAGTAACTTGGCGACGTCGGGCTGTAGTTGGGGCTCGTGGGGCTGCCGGGCCGTAGCATCGGAGAGGTCGGCGAGAAGGAGGGAGACGAGGGGCTAAACTGCGGGCTCGAAGCATACCGACCGCCAGCATCGAGAAGAGGTGATGTGGGCGAATACCCGGCCGGTGACGACGGTGAGTAGCCGCCGTAGCCGAACGGTGAAGTGGGCGACGTGGAGAATGGGCTGGTAGCACGGGGGCTCGTCGCGTAGGGATTGACGGTGCTTGAGCCAAACCCGCCACCGTACTCTGTTCCGAAACCGCTTGGGCTGTCTGAACCTCCACCCTGTATCGGCGAGAAGTTGCCCGCCGTCGGGGAATAGCTGCCCAGATACCCATTGTCTGCCATCGGCGAGCCCGTATCGTATGGCGTTGCGGCGCCCTCCAGCTGAGTACCCTTGATGGTCATGCCGGGCATCAAACCCATGCGCGAGTTGTCCGAGATGACTGTCTCAAGCATCTTAGGGTCGAGAAGGACATCAAAATGGCCAGTTCCCATGGGCGCCATCTGGCCCAGCATAACGTTCTCCGAAATCCCACGGCAGTCATCGAGCTCACCGACGACAGCAGCCTCAAGCAAAATCTCAACCGTCTCCTCGAACGAGCAGCGCATCAGTGCACCAGTGTCGGCACGGTTGATGCCATGGCGTGTGACGGCAGCAATGCTTCCCCGGTACGTCATGACATCGACAAGAAGCGCGAGATGGCGGTGGTTGACATAGGAACCACCGAAGGCGAGCACCTGGGTCAACTCCTGCATTAGGGCGGCTCTCGCTGCTTCGATACCGAACACGTCCACAATCTGGTATAGGTCGTTGGTGTAAGTGCGCTTCGAATCGACGCCGTCGATGGTCAAGACTTCTCTCAGGGATGTGCCTTGAGTGTCGAGATACCACTCTATGCATTCCGGCGTCTCCTTATTGGCTACTTGAGAGCCGTCTGCCCTTTCAATCAACTTGGCTGTCTTGTTCAGGAACGCACGCTCGATGCCCTGCACGCCGCGCAGGGTGCAACTGTCAAGGAGATGCTTCTCGAGACGCTTCAGCATCACATCATCCTCAATGATCTTGTTACCGTCTTCGTCCTTATCGTCGTCTTGCCTAATAACGCGGATGCGGATGACCATTTCTTCTGCGTTGTTGTCACTGAAGATGACTGCAACGTCCTTCTTGTACTCGTCCTTGATGCGAGCAGCCACATCTTCGACGCGCAAGCCCTTATCGAGCATCTTTTGCCGGTCAAGCGTGATTCTCAGCAGCCAGCGCGACTGGTTTTCAATAGAGTCCTGGTCCGACGAGTCAGGAATCAGGAAGTAGGATTCGACCATGTCGAAATCCTCTGGGATGTTGGTTGACGTGATGTCTGGATCGTAGTAGATGTCCGTGACCGCCGTGACCGAACGGAGACTGGTGTGTTCGACAGCATTGCGCAGCTTCTTCGCATCCTCCTGGGTGGCGTTCTCGGAGTCCAAATAAACGACCATGGATGGAGTCTTGATTTCCTTTGCAACGTTGAGAATTTCCTTGAGACGGGGAACACCCAGCGTAACGTTCTTAGAGGATACACCAGCAAAGTGGAAAGTGTTGAGTGTCATCTGCGTCGCTGGTTCTCCTATGGATTGAGCAGCCAGCACCCCAACCATTTCGCCAGGAGAGACCATTGACCGAGCCCAACGGTTCTCGAGCTCACCAAGAATGTGCTCAAAAGCCAGTTTATTGAGTCTGTGCTCAACAGCAAGACGCTTGAACGCCAAGCGGGATCGCAGCTGGATCTTGAAGAGGATGGTCGAGTTGTAGTCAGCCTCTTTCGAGATAACATCTTCACCACGGACCACAACCATCCGGTCAAGGAGGGCTTGGACGGCCGGGATCACGTCCTTGGGAGTGAGGTCGCTGCGCTGCGACTCATCAACTTTGAAAAGCTTTTTCGCGCTTTCAATGATACGAGCAACGTTGAGTGGCAGCTGCATTTGTTCGTCGCCCAACTTGCGACGGTTGATTTCTCGCACCAGCTTGCGATCGGCCAGCAGCTGCTCATACTCTTGGTCCAGAAGCTGTTGCACCATGGGATCGCTGGCCATCTCCCGCCCATACTCCAGGGCGTCGAGCGCGGCACCGGAGGTCGCCTCATCCATCACATCGAGACGGAAGCGCTTGTCGAAGAGCTGGTTCGACATGTTGATGTGGTCGACTCGCTGCTTCTCAATATGGAGGCCGTCTAAACCATCCTCGCCATAGACGAACTGGATAATGTCGCCGAGCGAGTTCCGCACAGTGCCGTCGTAGCGCGCTTCTGCATCCTCGAGCGCCTTGACAAGCCGACGCTGGATGTAGCCCGTCTCAGCTGTCTTGACAGCTGTATCGATCAGACCTTCTCGGCCGGCCATGGCATGGAAGAAGAATTCTGAGGGAGTCAAGCCACGAAGATACGAGTTCTCCACGAAGCCCCGGGCCTCAGGAGAGTAGTCGTCCTTTGTGAAATGTGGGAGGGTGCGGTACTTGAAACCGAACGGGATGCGCTTTCCTTCAACAATCTGCTGCCCGACCAACGCAGACATTTGCGAGATGTTGATCGAAGAGCCTTTGGAACCGGAGCGCGCCATGACGACAGCATTGTTGAGGTCCTTCAAACTCTTAGTCGCTGTCGTGCCGGCTTTATCACGTGCCTTGTTGAGCGCGGTCGAAACCATGTTCTCAAAAGTGTCTCGGATACTCATGCCGGGGAGACGCTCAAGCCGATTGTTGGTTGCTTCCTGCGTCAGCCGATGGACCTCTGCCTTCTCCTCGTCGATGTGCTTCTGAACCAGGTCGATGGTCTTAGCGTCGGGTATCGTATCGCCAATTCCAATGCTGTGTCCATTATGCAGCAGCCAGTAGTTGACCACCCGCTGGCAGCCATTGAGGAAATCCATGGCGCCTTGCGGACCCAACTCGTTGTAGCACAGATGGACAATGCCACCGCCAGAGGCGCCCACGCTCTTCTTGGACAGCAAGCCGAACATAAGCTCTCCCTGTTGGATGAGAAGACCATCGTCCTTGAACGGGTGGTCCTTATCCGACTGTTCTGAGCCCATGTGAATGTTGATGATCTTGGGAATGATCATGCTGACCATTTGTTTGCCAGTCCAGCGGGGGCGAGGCTTGAAGATCGCTGGAAGTGGGATGGTACCATCCCAGTCAGGAACCCAGAGCATGAGATTCATGACCTCTTCCTTGGTTAGGAAAACATCGCGGCGGCACATTTTGTACACGCCAGCCAAGGTGTCCTGGACGATACCCATGAGGGGCCCGTTTCTCTGTGGGGAAACGATGTTCAGGGGAACCATGCAAAGCTCCTTGACCTCGGCACGCGTCTCCTCGGTCTGGGGAACATGCAAGTTCATCTCATCACCATCGAAATCGGCGTTGTAAGGAGAGGTGACGGACAGGTTAAGCCGAAATGTCGAGTAAGGCATGACCCGAACCCTGTGACCCATCATGGACTCCTTGTGGAGAGACGGCTGACGGTTGAAGATGATGTAGTCTCCATCAATCAGGTGGCGCTCCACCTTCCAGCCGTACTCAAGTTGAATGGCCGTCGCTCGCCGGTAGTGGCGAAGGTCCAGTCGAGTACCGTCAGAACGGACGACGAACCTGGCGCCCGGGTGCTCGTTGGGTCCATTTTGCACGTATTTTGTAAGCTTTGCAATGTTGTAGGGCGTGACAGTTTCGGGGTAGGTCAGTGTGCGGGCAATGCTGCGCGGAACTCCAACTTCGTCCAATGAGATGTTGGCATCGCCCGTGATGACAGTACGAGCCGAGAAATCGACGCGCTTCCCCATCAGGTTACCTCGCAGCCGCCCTTCTTTTCCCTTCAGGCGGGCGCGGATGGCCTTGACGGGACGACCACTCTTCTGCAAGGCTTGCGGCTGGCCCGCGATGTCGTTATCCATGTAAGTGGCGACATGGTATTGGAGAAGATTCTCGAAGTCCGTGATGATGTGCTGGGGAGAGCCCTCTGCGATGGCCTGCCGAACATTGCCGTTGGCGCGGATAATGTCGCCGAGCTTGTACGTCAGGTCGTCCTCATTTCGCAGGCCCGTTCCGGTTCCATCCATCGAAATGCTGGGACGAACCGGAGGGGGAGGGACAGGTAGAACAGTGATGATCATCCACTCGGGCCGTGCTTGCGAAATGTTAAGGCCAATGTCGATCATCTCTTCGTCCTTCATGCGGCGGAAGATGTTGAGGGCCATCTCTGGCGTGATGATCTTCTTCTCCTTGGTTTTCACGCCATCCTCATCCTTGGTTTCAATATGCCCCCAGAGGGTGAGGGCCTGCGCGCGGATAACAGGCTGGATATTGCCGCAGCCTCCATGGCCGCCGACCCAGCGCTCGCCATGATCGGCATCGGGATTGAACTCGCCGTCTCCGGCTTGCTTGGGCGGGTCATTGTCACAACGCTTCTTGCTTTTGCAGATGTCCCAGACTCGCTTGAAGCGGACCTTGGGGTCCCGAATGCGCATGGCAGCAGCATACTGCGGGTCGGACTACTCGAGGGTCAGCATCAAGCACGCAAAGACTACCCGGCCAGACAAGGTGCACTAACTCGATCAGCCAACACCTTGCTACAGTTGTGGCAGACAATCTCGAGCAATTTCTTTGTGCGCCTGATGAAGCCGGGGTGGTAGACTGGGCGAGCCAGCTCAATGTGACCGAAATGGCCTGGACACTCGGTCATATTCTCAGTGCATGTCTTGCACTTGAACTGCCGATCGACGGAGCCGAGCAGCGGATCGTTGAGCCCACCGTCGCGGGGCTTGGTCCGCGACTCGTCCATCGTCTCCGGGTAGATGATGTGGCACACACTCATTCCTTTGATCTCCTCAGGCGACAACAGCCCGAACTGGATCTCCTTGATGGTGCGAATCGGCGCACTCGAATGCGCAAAGATAAGGTTCGCCATTTTGATGGGATGGAAGAGTCGAAGCTACTACAAAGAGGTGATTGCCGAGCGCGGTCCGAGGGAAAAGCAGCGGCTCGAATCGCTCGTGAAGCAGGTCGAGCGAGTGTCGCGATATCGAGGTGCGCGCCGTGATGTGGTGAAGAGCGTCGAATCGCCAATTGAGAAAATCGGATTACTGCACGATTGGCAAATATTTTGATGGCGAAAAAGCTGTGCGTGATGGCTTTTCGCTCAATACCGCTGTGACCTCCTCCGCTACGCTTTCCAGGCCAGCGGCCTGAAGCAGCGAACGCTAGAAACCCGTCGTCCCCAGCCTTTCCGCGATTTGAAAAAGTCGGTCCACCGGAGAATCGCAATCGGCACGTTCGAAAACCTTGTCGGGGGAGATGGACGACAAAATTTCAGAGTATCTTGACGCGATTCGCGATGTCGGCGGGAGTTGTTAAAAGATGGTTTGGGGAGGAGAAAGATGGCATTCCTGGTCGCCAGAAAAGTTCAACCTGACAAAGCACACGCGGGAGGCAAACGCGACCCACTTGGAGAAGACCCACTGTCCCACCGGAGATCTGGAGAGTGGAGACGAAGGCCCAAGGCCGAGCTACAGATACTGCGAATTGCACTATGTTAGGCAGCCAACAGTTACATGCTCAAGTAAGCTTAGATCAACCAAATGGTATTGAACAGATCGAGGTATGAAATGAAGCATGAATTAGAGTCACGATTCCAGAGTGACCACACAAATGAAGGATCAAGATAGTGGGTTAGGGTGCCTCAGAATGTCCCTTTCTTGTTCTTGGAACCAATTGTCCTCTCTAATCCTCCCAGGGGAATTACCCCCTTATATAGAGACATTGTGCCATGATATGACGTTTATGTCAGAACCTGCGTCATTGTGATGGATCTATGTTGACTGAGAGTCTCGCATTGAACATCAGTGCTCAGTCCGTGAATCTTGGTGCCAAGGAACCCACTCAGTTCGACAGTCGCTCCTTACATTCACGTAGCTCTATTTCCCTAATCGCCTGTCGATCTAATAGTAGGGCATCGGCAGCCGAGCTTCCGAGTTTCCAATGCCACGACTTTCCAACAATAGGCGAGATATAACTAGTCTGAGCACTAAGATAACCAAACTGGGGTTTCCTCACAACGACTAAACCAATCTTTATGATGCTTGTTCCCACCGTTTCTTTGTGCGAGTATAGCGTATCTGCGAGTTTCCAAATATAGTTGGAAATACCTGACTTGGGTCTGGTCTACGGGAAATCAACAGGGTCGAGATAGCATGCAGCGCAACATCATTTCTTCTTCCCGCGTCCTCGTCCTGACCCACTGGCTTTTTTGCCCGCTGCCCTCTCCTCGCCTGTCATCTCGTCGTTCTCCTGGTCTCCAGGACTTTTCCTTCGCAAGGTCCCGAGCCCTACATTCACGAACTCTTCTTCGCTGTCCGACTCACCCAAGTTGAAAAGGATGGGCATTCGAAAGGCGTCCACGTCCTCACCTGGACCGCCGCCGTTCTCTACCGTGAGGACATCAACATTCTCATCCTCCTGATCTAGTCGTCGCTTCTGGATCTCCTCCTGCGGGTGGATATCGAACTCGTCCTCTTTCTCGATGTACTCGACATTCTCCTCCACCTCGACAAAGTCAGGCGCGAGGGCCGACCACCGCTGGGGGCTCGTGACCGACCAGATGTTGATCCTTCCGGTTTCTAGACCGCAGGCTGCCAGTAGAGCACGGTGTGGATGCCATTCGATGACCCCTTGTTCCTCCTTTGGGCCCTCCAACATCCGCACTAAGCTGCCATGGCCGCGTTCCCAGATATAGAGCTCGTGATTGTTGTACGTCGACGCTGCTACATATTCGCCCGTAGCGCTGAATGCAACGTGGTTCCACGACAACCTGTTGACCACGTCTTGGAACTTGTGCTCGAGGGGTATCTGTATGGTGTCTGGATCGAGGTTCGGAGCGGAGAGGTTCGGTGGCACGATGAAGGTTCGTATTATGCGGTCCTGCGCGTTCACAAGGAGCTCCTTGCCCGACTCTGTCAGCCGCAATGTGGTGATAACACCGCTCGCTATCTTTTCCGAGTAAATGATTTCGCGCGTCCTCGCATCAATGATATTAAGGCGGCCCTTGGTTGTGCCAGCCAGCAGGTGGTCGCCTGTTGCGGTGTAGACGATGGCTGTGGTCATATGCTTTGCATCTTCCTTGGCTTGTTTCTCTTTCAATGCCGCATCGGTCTCGAGATGGGGTCGCTTCGGGACCGAGGGCAGGACGTAACGCACGTCTGCGTAGTCCGTGATGTCGACGAGCATCGGCTGATCCTCGAATAGGGCGGCAGCGAACTGGAGGCTGTCACGAGTCAGAATATGGGTTTGGTAGGTCCTATGAAGAAACTTCGGAGCTACGAACTGATTCCACGGGTGCAGCTCTGCCCCATACACAGGAGCTCGGAAGCGCACCTCACGGTGCCTTTTCCCGGTCTGCAAATCCCATAGGATGGCCTTCCATCCCTGGCATGCGGACAGCAGATACCGGCCGCAGCGGGACCAGCTTAGAGACGTTATGTTCTTGGAGTGACCCCTCAGCTTACGTGCCACACCCATGGTCTCCAGATCCCAAATGACCACAGTGCCGTCGACTCTGCCCGAGGCGAGGAAGTCGCCCTTGCGATTGAATCGCACACATGTGGAGTGCCCTGACCGGATAGTGTTGGTAATATTTTCGGGGTAATCCTGAAGTAGATAATCGTCGGAAAGGAGGAGATTCATGGCAGCGCTAGAGTCTGATAATCGCTAACGCTCGCAACGTCGGTCCTCTCGACAGGGCTGCGTCCATGGATGGAAGAGTTGGGGCGTCTGCAAGGCTGCAAGAAGCCCCACTCAACTACCTATTACCCGACTCGGCCGCGTTTCAGCGGCAGATCCACTTCCAGGTTGTGAGCAGGGGTACACCGCGCCCCGCCAGGGGTGGGATCGTCTGCGGGGCCACCCGGTTGGCTCGTTATCTCACAAGCAACAACTCTCGTTCGTGGCGGTGGTCGATCTCGAGCTGAAAGCTGTTTCCGAGATGGCTAACTCAAAGTAGGATTTGCCATTGATTTGCCTTGGGCGCTTGGGCTAACATCTTGGGGAGCAAGATTCGAATATGTGAAGCAGTTTGAGCAACCCGACAATCTCCTCCCCAACACGTGGGTCGTGGTCAGAATCGATGGACGGGGTTTCACAAAGTATGGTTGACTGCAGCTTGACTTTCACACGTTCCCTCCTACGTTGATGCGAATAGACTCTCTAACTCTGACTGAGATTCGCCAACAAGTATGGCTTTGAGAAGCCGAACGACAAGCGGGCTCTTGAGCTTATGAACGCTGCCGCCAGAGCAGTAATGGCCGAGCTGCCAGATATTACCATTGGCTACGGAGTCAGCGATGAATATAGGCATGTCTCAGTATGCTCCAAGACTCTCTCAGTGGCTGCTGACATGCCCGGTATAGCTTTGTCTTCCACAAAACGTGCAGTCTCTTTGAGCGTCGCTCCAGGTAGGCCACCGAGTTCAACTTGGCCCTTTTCCCTGGATTCAATTATTAAGTGCTGCAGCAAACTGGTGTCGACGATTGTGTCTACCTTTACCGCATACTACGTCCACTTCTGGTCGACTTACTTCCCCGAGACGCCACTATCACCTCCCTTGCCCAGCTTTGACGGCAGAGCAGTGTGCTACCCGACTGTCCAGAACTTACGGGATTACATGAGTTGGAGGCAGGTTGACTGTACGCATCCCTCCTTGCAATACCGTCGAGCCCGGTTCTAACCACTCAGGTCATATCAACAATCTCTACAATACCACCTTCTGGGCCCTCATCCACTTGGGAGGGATGGATGCCACAGAGGCCGAAAAGACGCTGAAGGTGGGCTTCTCGTTAACCTGGAACTTGAATGGGACCACATATGCTGATAGCCAGATATAGGGGACGTATGCTGCAGATAAGAACGAGATCCTCTTCTCTAGATTCGGTGTCAACTACAACAATGAACCCGAAATGTGCAAGAAAGGCAGCGTTGTTTTCAGAGACGTAAGTGCCAACGGCTTCCCAAGGCGCGGTATCCAAGTTACTAAAAAAGGGCAGTACGAGCTGGTAGAGCCCGGCACGCATAATACTACCATTGAAGTGGACACTTTTGCGGAGCCGGTTCAACAATCCAAGACGCAGGTCGAAAATGATAAGAAACGAAGAGCGAAGGCACGGATTGTGGTCGAACATCTTGATATTATCAAGGATGAGTTTTGGGACCGCCGGCCCTGGTTGCTATCGAACAAACCAGGCAAGATCCCAAAGGAGCCAAAAGTCGACTGATAGTCCGCCATGACCGCACAGCGTCTAGCAAAGCATACCCTGCAAATACAGCCGGCCTCTTTGAACCACGAACCGATAGCCTCCTCTTGAGACGTCTCGATTCCACTGGCTCGGCTCGGCTGTTCACTGCTGCCGTAAAGTCCGCATTTCGGCAGAAAGCGGTCTGGGGAGTGTGCCGCTGCCAGAAAGGGAGCAATGTACCCAACACCCGGTGCTTGCAGCCTTTCATCCTTGATCCGACTTTTGACTCTCCCATTTCCTCCTCTTAGCCTCCTTCCGTGCCCTCCTCTCAGCTCTCCTGGCGCGCCTCTCCTCCTTTGTCTCGTTGGCTTTTCGAGCTCTCTTCAGCTCCTTCTTTGCAGCCTTCTTGGCAGCTTTCTCTGCCGCCTTAGCCTCGGCAGCCCTCCGCGCGGCCTTCTCGGCCTTGCGCAACCGCCGCGCTGCTCGCCTCGCCGCTCTCTCCGCCTTGGACCCCCCCTTCCTCTCGTGCCTCGAGACGGACCCTTCGCTGTCTTCTGACGTTACCGGCGTCGCATCGGTCGACTCGCCCGCCATAGTTTCGACTTCCATCGTTCCTTCCAGCATGCCGCCCCGCACGAACGAGGCGTAGAGCCCGCTGACGCCCGTGTATTTCCCGTTAGGCTGGTTGCTCACAATGGCGTCCAGTTTGCCCTGTGTTACCGACTGCACTACGGTTCCCTTCTTGGACGTGTCGAGCCCCTTGAGCTTTTGGTCAAAGGCATGGAGCCACCACTGATCGCTCGTGTAGTGTGTCTTTTGGCCGATGCCGCGGCCATCTGTGTTGCGAGAGATGAGGAGGGGCTTGGCCAGGCCGATCGCGTTGTCGGTTGGATGGAGGGAGAAGCCTTTGCCCCGCCACCCTTGGGATTTTAGGAGGGCGGCTGCATCCATGGTGATAATTTGGCGCCGTGGGCTGCTCGGTCGGATCTTATTGTTGCAACATATGGTTTGGAACTGCGCTACCTGGACAGGACTGGCATCGTGCGAAATCTGAGCGGCCTTGAAGCTCGGCTTCTGGTCGTGAATTGAGAACGGTGGACGAGATTTTGGCTTGGCGACATCTTTGAATGTGGGAATATGCGCTTGGCACGTGTCTTGTAAGCACATATGTCTTGTTACTGCATACAAAGTAAATGCATACTTGAAGTCCCTAATCTCACCTGCCTCCTGGCCTGCACAACTTCCAATTGCCCTTTTGGGACGATCTGGTTTCTGACATCAAATTGCTGGGCTTGACAGGATCGGAGTATCTAAACCACACCGCAGTGTGCCTTGTCGGGCTAGAACGCTCTTTTAAGGTAATACCTGTAACCTTACCTGGACCTGCCGGAATGAAGGTCAACTTTCCAAGTTGTTCACACCTGCCGGGTTCGGTAATACCCTTCTCTCGGGTTTCGTTCACCCATCTGACACTCACAAACACCAGTCAAGCGGGAAAGTTTGAGGTTACAACATTCCAAGCGGACAAGTAGAATTACATGATAGCACTGACTCGATCACAGCTATATACTTCCCATTGTTCTTCGTGGCAGCTTCGCATCGTCGGCATCGACATGTTGGAGGTGTGTCACGTCTTACGACTCTCAAAGAAGCTCGCCGCAAATCTCCCCGCAATACCCCTTCAGTGACTCCCAGCTTGGGACAGGATGTCCCATACCGTTGTCTCCAACTTCTTCTGCAACAAGACCTCCGGCCGCGCCCCATATTTATCCCGGTCTAAAGCCGAGCAGACGGCCCAGTGCGTTTCTGAGAGCATAAGCCAGGAACAGCATGATCTTCATAGCGGCGGTGGCAAGCGCAATGATGGTTATCAGAATCTCGACCACGAAAAACAGCGCTTCTCGGCCCACGTACTCGGCCACACCGATCAGTTCGTATCTGATGATCTGCTGAACGTCGTCGTTAACCGGACTAAATAAAGCTACCAACCTGAGATGCAGCCAAGTGCCAGTAGCATACACGGCCCAGCGGAACTGTAGGAGCTGGTTAACCATGTGCGCTCGCCTGCTTTTGCGCAGCCAGTCCGCCAGACTTGGGTAATAATGGTCGTTTGGGCCCTCGCCGTCACCGGCTTGGCCGTGGAAATAAACAGCTCGGGACTTGAAGACGGTCGTCGGGGACGCCGGTCCCCGGGTCCAGGCAAACGGTTGTTTCGAAGCGCTGGAGCATGGGCCAGAGAATGATTTGGGTTTTGGCAATGCGGGATGACTGACGCCAGGGCCTGTTGCCTCGGCCTTCATTGTCTGTGTCCTGCCCATCGTCTCGATGCATTACGCGCCTCCGGATCGCCTTCAGCAGGTTCAGACCAGAGGCCATGAGCACCTCTGCTCGGTCTCTGAGAGTTCGAGGGTTGGATCGCCTCGCTTCATCCCGTTGCCTACGGCTTTGCTAGGCCCTCCATCTCGCCTCAGGGACGTTGTCTGCCTTGCTGCTGGCAGCCTGGGACGCCTCAAACACGGTGCCGTCGACATTTTCCTGGTCTATATCCCACACCTGGCCGGGAGATGACGAAGAGAAGTGAAAGATGGTGCGCGACCAGCGAATGCCGAGTGACAGATATCATGCTTCGGCAACAATGGTGTGCAGATCTTGGTATATGGAGCGCAGTGCTTTGGCTTGGCTGGCCGGAAAGTGCTTGTCCATGAGATGAATCAGGGGCAAAAGCAGCGTTGCGAACTGCAGCGAAACCTGGTCGACGCGGGACCAGAAGTCGGGTGTCAGGGTGTGTTCGGCGAGGATGGCGCGGACGCACTCGGAGCGCAGCTCGGTGCGATGGTAGCCTGCATTGCGTCAGTAGCGAGCTGAATCCAGTGCGATCTCAAGGAGATACCGAAGACTCACCTTCAAAGTTCAGAGTACACTCATCCTGCGCCACCAGCATATTCTTCTGCACCTCGTCCGCCCCAAAAAGCAAGTCATCAAACACAACCATCTCCAAGGCTTTCCCATGGCGCAACGCCCCCTTTATCAGCAGCGCATCCCACCCAACCGCATTGTTGTCCTGGATAGCGACACTCTCGACAAACCACAGAAACTGCTCCGGAAACCCGCCCCCAACCACACAGGCCCCTCCTCCTCATCAGTCACCTCTGACACCGGCAGGTCCCCGTATCCAAAGTACTCTTTCGCAAACTTCCCAACCTTGGTATACAAGTGCTTGTACAGGACCTCGTACCAGTCCGTCTCCAGTTCCCCGTCAGACCAGCGCACATCGAACCGCAGCCTGACTGGCCGCCACCCGACGCTCGTCAGCTCCTCTAGTCGGCGCCGGCTCCCCCATCCAAGCCAGCTGAGCCACCATGACGATCCTCCGCCGGTGCCGACGATACCGTCCGGCGCAGGACGGAGGAATCTCTCCTCGATGACGAGGCTTTCGGCGCGCTTGTCGTGAGCCGCATCGCCGGGCGCTGCCTTGTACTCGCTGCTGGGCGGAGCGCTGTTGGGGCTGAGTCTGGCTTGCTGTTGTTGTTCCTGCGGTCGGGGGCGGGAACGGGAGCGGCCTCTGGACGGGGGAGGTTGTCGCGAAAGACGGATGAAGTTGGGATTGTACCCATACATGTCGGCAGAGGCGCCACCGCGGAAGCGGAGGCTGGGATCGGCCCGGAGATCCATTTGCGTTGCTGGGTGAATGTTTTGCTTGTCGTTGAGGATGCGGTCGGTATGAAAGAGTGCGGTTATCGCGCCTGAGATCGCGATGCTTCGCGTTTGAATGTATTGGTGTGCAAGTTTTTGAGATGTCGTCCTTGGAAACAGAGGAGACTAAGAGCTACATTGACGAAGGAAAAGAGGCGAAGGGTTTGTGCATATGATATGGTGCAACTTTCTACGGCTCAGACAGTGGGCTATGCTGAGTTGGGAAGTAGGAAGTTAGGCAAACAATGGGAAACAAAGGGGCGTTCGACGGAGTGGAGGGCGGCCTGCACAAGCAAAGAGCGCATCCGGAGAAAGCAGTTGAGAAACAAGCGCTGGCGAAAATCCATCTATTCCACGTGGCTAAGCAGCACCTAAAATAAACCCATTCCACGATGATGGCCTAAAGCGTAACGATCCCAACAAGACCGGAAACCACGCGACTCCACTAAAGTGGTTGTTACAAGGCGGAAAACAGAGCCTCCAGTGAGTCCAAAACACCAAGCATCGATCGTGCCACGTAGAGTAGACTGCCTTGTCTTCATACAACCCAGCCATACAGATTATCCCACAGATGCCACATTCTTAACCCGTCCAGGCACCAGGATATTCCAACACTTCAGCAGTACACCGGTAAATGACAAGAACTGACTCGCCAGCCCTAGAAAGCCCGAAGCAGTTGAAAATTAAGAACAAGCTTTTCCACCTCGACATCTGCGCCATTTGGGAGTTTCTGCCCTTTCGGAAGAGCAGCAATCACCGTGACCGCGACGATATTCGTCATATGCTGCAAGTTGAACTCAAAGACGATTGCGCTCGGCGGTAGTGGATCGTCAGGAACGGGTAGCGGCGCCGCTCGTCCCACGGTTTGGCCGTTGACGGTCACGAATAATCGGTATTGCCGCCCCTCGCTCTCAAACGGCGGCAGGCGAGGAATGAGCTGCAGTCGGTGATGGTGGCCCGGAACATGCAGGGTGAGGTTCTGGTGCGCTTCTTTCGGATGTGCCGGGATTTCGAGTCTGAATCGCTGGTCCATAGCCACACTAGGATGGGTCCTGATCAGAACACTCGGCAAAAGAGAATCCGCATAGCCTGGTGACGATGTTAGGGTGATACAGAATGTTTGCGACGACTGAGCAGTCAATAAGATTCAACATGGACATACCTCTACCAGGAGCACGGTACTTGTAATCGTAGATTGCTGACACGGGTGCCGGTGCGGGAGTGGGTTGTGGGTGGCCGTTCTGCGACTGATGGGCGGGGAGAGGCTGTTGCTGGTTCGGGGCGGGAGTCAACATTCCGTTCGGACCATTCATAGTCCCTGCGACATTGCCATTTGGCCGCTGGAAGACTGCCGGGGTTTGTTGAGCCCCAACAGTAGGCATGGGACCCATAACAGGAGGGCGGGGAGCAGCTGTTGCGCCGGGTAGCATCCTCGTGGTGTCGAGCTGAAAACTCGCGGCGGTGGTGGCCACTGCGGGAGGAGGAATGGGGCGATTGCCGTCAACAGTTCCATCAGGACGACCCGAATCGCTCGATTGGCTGGTCTGCGTCGCGGGTGAGGCTGCCGCGCTGCCCCTTGATCCACCGACGTGGATGGTAATCTTCTTGGGACCCAGAACCGGTGTTTCTTGACCAGGAGTCATTTTCAGTTTGATTTTCGGCTGTGGAGGCTCCGGGACCATGGCTTTTGCCTCGTTGAGCTCTTTTTCGAAGCATTCCTAGATTGGCGATTGTCAGGTTGAGTGTTCACCCAGAGAACATAACATTATCATACCTTGAGCTCCGTTGCCAAAGTGTGAATCACGCTTCCCTCCTCGTTGTAGAAGTGCGCATTGGTCCAGAGAAGACTCGCCTTCTCCTCAAGTGCTGCCCAGCTCTTGAAGTCGCTGACGCCGGTTGCAGGCTGTCGGCCGTGGATGCCTTTGACTAGCTTCTGCAAGCCCTTCAGGGATAGCGGAGAAGTGATCACGGCGAAGTAATCCTTGTAGCTGCGCGGCGGCAAGTTGATAAAATCCAGGAAATACGGATCCCTGTCCTTGGTCAGTAGTCAGGAGAGGCGTATGTTGAAAGAAGCAGACTCACGTTCCGTCAGGCTTCCGAATCAGCTCCTCTACAATCTTCTCTTGTGCTTGTTGAAAGGAGAGGCCTTTGTACGGCACGCCCTCGTACTCGTGATCCGCCTTGACTCGCCCGGTTCTGTCCACCTTTCTGGCTTGTTCCGACCCGGCCCTTGGAGGCCGGCCCGGCCCTTTTCGCTTAAGAACAATCTTTCTCGAATTGCCGTCTTCTTCCTCGTCGCCTTCATCATCTTCGCCCTCGGCGTCTTCTTCATCCCCGTCCGTACCCTCCTCCCCTTCGGCGTCCTCACCTTCGCCCACCGCACCGCCGGACGTGGCCGCAAACCCCGCTTGTTCCCCCGACCCGGGCTCCATGTCATTGGGAATGGGTGTTGCTTGACAGCTATAGCGGGGATTGAGTTTGTACGCCGGGTTGGTTTTCGTCATGTAGTTGCTCAGTGCTTTCCGCACCCGTTCCGCGTCTTCGAACGTCTCAGAATTCTTGGGGTAGAATTCTTTCGCGTTGGTTACCATGCGCTTGAAGAAGCTCTCGAGTTCTGACAAATTCCTAAAGTCCTGGTTATGCAGTTTCCGCTCAATGATCTTCAGCGAGATTGGCATGCGTATGCGCTCGTAATATTCCTTGTTCGTCTCCCGCGGGATGAGGTCCTCAAAGTAGCTTGCAACAAGTCGCCCGCTGTGTTCACGTTGTTAGCATGAGAGACCCGGGGATATGGCATAGGGAGCGCAGGCATGACTCACCTCTTATCTTTGGTCCGTCGGATTGTCTCCAGAAAGTGTAAACCGTACGCGGTCGTGGACTCGGGGCTTTCGCCCTCCATCAGGTTATAGTCAGACGGTTGCTGTTTTGGTGGTTAGTCCGCGTGCTTGTGAGGAGGATGGTTACTGCATCTGAGTGTATCGGCCATTGATGGGGGTAAGGAACTGGTGGAGGCATTGCAAGGGCAGCGTTCGTGCTGTGCTTCCACCTGTGTTCAAGACATTCTACCGAGGGGATGGCGGCACCCCCCAGTAACAGGGATAACGAACGAGGCACGACCGGGCTAAGGGATAACTAGTGAACATCTGGGCAAAACTATCAGAGCCACTTACTCCTGGAGTCTTTAGCCTCTTGGACGCTCGATCATCGCCATCAGCGATGCCAGCCCCCGATGAGCTGGCCTTGCGCTTGTTGTCCATCGCGCGTCACTACCGATCGGCCCGCGACCAAATTCGGCGCAATGCTGTTATGGAGTGTGCCAAGAGCCGATTCGGAAAAGTACGATTGCGAAGGACTGCTGTGGTTGAGCCGTGACGTAGTTGCGAGCCAAAGCGTGTCGATGGTTGGTTTTGTAGTCGCAAGAGCTGACGGGCGAATCTTGGGAAATTCGCTGCAGATTGGCGGGTTTGGCGGGTTGGCGCGCTTGTCCAACTGTTCAGCAACAGGCGCGCCGTTGTTGTGCTATCAGGGATTTGAAAGTAGATTTTTATCCTCTGAGGCTCTGACAGCGTGAGATGGGACCCAGGACGGCGTGCGAACCTTCAACGAGCATCGCAACGACGGGAAATGGATTTGAGCAAGGTGTTGGTCAAATCCATCGGATCGCGTCTGTGGAATGGCCAATTGGGGCCTGTTAGTGACACAGTGAGGCTTGCGCGGAAGGCTGGGCCGTTACTGTGTTTGTACGGTACAAGGTCCTTGTAAGTTACCGATTGAGGTGGTGGTTGCTAAGGGAAGCATGACAGTCAAGCAAGCCAGATCAAAACCAAACAACGACTTTTGCTATCTGTATCGTTAATTTTGCAGGTGGTGAGCTTTTCTTTCACCAATCTCATTCTTGATTCGACCAACCCCAGGGGATCTTTCATCTCTCCTTCTCTGGGTATCAGGCGAAGACTGGTGCTTTGATAGACTACAGCAATGTACGAACAGCGCACCTACCTTGTGAGGGCATAAGCCAAGGTAATTTTTGGTGTATGAGCAGGACAATTGTGTGTTAGATGCACTTGAAACTCTATTTGCGCTTTGTCTCTCTTGATGGATCTAAAATAGGAACCTTGTTACATACAAGACTTGATTGAGTTCCGTGCGAATCCAAGAACCGTTGTTCCTGTCGACGGCCCGTGCCTCATTGCCAGATGGGGCGGCTCCAGGGGCGCCCAAAATCTAGCTTCGGGCAAGTGCATTGCATCCAAAACTTTTGAACCACCCCCAAATTTGTTTACCTTACTCCGTACCTAAACTTCGCCCAGTTTCCACCAACGCCTCCACAGCGAATAGCCCACTCAACGCAAACCCGACTCGCGCCCGACCCAGTCGTTGTTGGCTTTCAAAACCACATTCGCTCATCGATTACAGCTGTTTGGCGCATTGCCGATCTGCCATTTGACCCCGTTTCGCGCTTCTGGAGCAATCTAGCAGGGGTCGGATATCGATTCTTACCCCGCGTGCCGGAACCAAAGCATCGACGCCGCACCAAACGTCCCTGCAAGCGCCTGGCCATTCCCTCACCCGCCCCCAAGAGAAGAAGTTTCGGGCTTTGCGAAACATCGCCCATACTTCCAATATCTTTCTTCTCGCTCGCTTGCCGCCACTGAGACGATGGCGAATCCACAGCAGATGGGCATTGACACCAGCCGTCGCAACCGAGTTCCGAGGCCGCTGACGGACGATGAACGTGCGCGCTTGGACGAGTTCATCGACTCGATACATTATTCCACGAGGTGTGTTTTCCGCACATGCAACGGTTCAACTCAGTGGCACAGGCGCTTACGCGCAGAAGGTACTCTGATAACGAGTTTGAGTACCGGCACGTGCAGCTTCCCAAGGCAATGCTCAAGGCCATTCCCGCCGAGTACCACGACAAGTCGAAGGGTACATTGAAGCTTTTGTGGGAGGAAGAATGGCGGGGGATGGGCATCACGCAGGTGCGCTTCGTCGCATTTCAGGTCCATGGCCGTCAAGAGCTAATCTTCACACAGAGTCTTGGTTGGGAACATTATGAGGTTCATGAGCCGGAGCCCCATATCCTCCTCTTCAAGTAAGCAGTGCAACGCGATACGGCCAAAGCATGTCGTCGACTAACCATCAGCAGACGTCCGCTTAATTACCAGCCACCGCAGTGAGCCAGGTCAAGGCGCAGGAAAGTGAATACTCGGTACCACTCGTGATACCACTCCCATATTACGCAACTACGACTGGACAGCGACCGCCTCGTCACTCAGTGTATAGCTACGATTCAAGGCATGGGCAGTTAGCGCATCGCGAGTCTCGCCTGATGGCGTTCTCCTGAGCCTCGGGTTCACAATAGGGACACCTGGTCAACTCGTCTCATACGAGGCAGGGAAGCGTGGGATTGACCTGATCCGGCGATAAATTGCAAATACGGGGAACGGGGTTATGAGAAGGATAGGAGAAGCCATTGCGAGCGCTGGCATCGCGCTGCAGGTTGTTGCAGAGGTAACCGCATCGAGGCGGAGCCCGTCACTCCAAAGCCGTTCCGCGATGCTGGCCTGTTGGTTAATTTACTGGATCAGCAGCCGTTAATTAGATCGGTTTTGACCAAGTATTGAGTGTTGTGTGATATGCGCTTGGCTTGCGTTTCCATACTTGTGATGCCGACGTTGTAGGGAAGGGTATGTTAGCACCGAGGAGAACGGTTGTACTGGTACTCGCGGGAGGGTCCCGTTTTCGTTTTTTTCGCAGGTGTGTGCTCGACGGCTGGTTACATCCCTCCGAGACATGGACCGCACTGCTCAGATCCGAGGACCTTGCGATTTCTGGATGTCTCCGGGACGAGACATGACAATGCGACGCCACAAAATGCCGTTCCTTCCGTTGAAGACATGCAGGTCCCGTACTTCCAAGCAATCAGCATGCAGCAGGTCGTTCGGTCGGCATTTCAGCATCGGCCGATCCCTCCGTTCTGGACACATCAGCATCTTTGTTGTAAGAGAACCTGCCAAGACGTCTAGGTACATTAATAATGATCGAGGACCATTGCGCTCCGGCATCACCTACTCGATCATGGACAAAGGAAAAGGCAGACTGCCTTAAATGTTTGCTATTCTCTATTTGTTCTGTTTCATGGTCGACCCAGTTTGAACTCGTTTAGGTTCTTTCAAGCTTCCAGAATTCGCCAAGCTTTCTAGGAGGCTCTTGCCCCCCCGGAAGCCGTAACGATAGGCTTATCGCCAGCGGACACCATTGACATCAGACCACATCTTTCTGGGACCTTGAAGTTTCAGACCCGGGTCTTGGGAATTGCCCCAACCACACCAAGCTTGAGTTCACCCTCGCAGCCTGCCTCAAACCCCGAACTTTCCAAGAGACGGCAACTTTGGAGCACTACGACATGAAGTCGGCCGCTCGCCCTTTTTACCTGTCGGTGTTCGCTCTTTGGGGACCCCAGGGCTGGTGCGAGAGCTCAGACTCTTCCAATGCTGCCCAGGATGCATGCGCGGTATGCTCTCCTTGACCTCTTTGCCGCTTCTTGCCTTGTTGATGCTGCCTTGTTGTCACGCGCCGAGGCGGCAGGGGCAGCAGGGGCAGAAGCCAAAAATCATATCTTTTTGTTCTAACAGTTCTCGTTGGCAGATCTCGCCCAAAGCCATCGTCAGCGACGCATGCGCTTCCTACTCGACCCTCGAGCGGCTGAACCGCAACGTCAAGCCGGCCCTTGACGACCTGACGCGGACGACCGACTTCTTCTCGCATTATCGGGTAAACCTCTTTCACAAGAAGTGCCCGTTTTGGAACGACGAGAGTGGAATGTGCGGCAACATTGCCTGCGCCGTTGAGACGCTCAACAATGAGGAGGATATTCCGCTCGTATGGCGCGCCAGCGAACTGGGCAAACTGGAGGGACCCCGCGCTAGACACCCCGGCAAGAGCATGCAGAAGGCAGAACCGCGGCGGCCTTTGCAGGGCGGGCTGGGAGAGAATGTCGGCGAGAGTTGCGTGGTTGAGTACGACGACGAGTGCGACGACAGGGACTATTGCGTGCCCGAAGACGAGAGCGCGACGTCCAAGGGAGACTACGTGAGCTTACTCCGCAACCCCGAACGGTTCACAGGTTACGCGGGCGACGGAGCCAAGCAGGTCTGGGACGCCATCTACCGGGAGAACTGCTTCCAGAGGAGCTCATTCCCGCACTCAGCAGCGCTCGGACAGGACACGTCGCCCATGGGCCCGGCTGCGATGGACTTCAAGGCCGTGATCGAGGCCGCGGGCCGGCAGCAGGTCTTGGAGCAGCAGCGGCAGCACAACCCGTTGACGCCATTTGTTGCCAAGACGGGGCTGGAGCATGAAGATGAGTGTCTGGAGAAGCGCGTCTTCTACCGGGTTATCTCAGGCATGCACGCGAGCATCTCGACACACTTGTGCTGGGACTTTCTCAATCAAACCACTGGGCAGTGGCAGCCCAACCTTGACTGCTACATCAACCGTCTGCACAAGTTTCCCGATCGCATCAGCAATCTCTACTTCAACTATGCACTCGTCACCCGCGCCATCGCCAAGCTCGGCCCCTATCTTTCGAAGCAGCCCGACTACACCTTCTGCGTGGGCGATCCGGACCAAGATAGCGTGACGCGCGCCAAGGTCATGGCCGTGGCAAAACAGGCCGCGAGCGTACCGGAGATCTTTGACGAGAGCCTTATGTTCAAGAACGGCGAAGGGCCATCTCTCAAGGAGGATTTCCGCAATCGCTTCCGCAACGTCAGCCGTCTGATGGACTGCGTCGGCTGCGACAAGTGCCGGCTGTGGGGAAAGCTTCAGACGGCCGGCTACGGGACAGCTCTCAAAATTCTGTTCGAGTTTGACAACAATGACAAGCCCCAGGCCCCGATTCTGAAGCGTACCGAGCTGGTTGCCCTTTTCAACACGTACGCGCGTCTAAGCGGCAGCATGGAAGCTATTCAGAAGTTTAGAGGGATGGTCGAGGATGTCGAGGCAGCCAAAAAGTTCGACGAGCGCCTCAAGGAGGCTGAAAAGATCAACGTGATCCTAGACCGGGCGCGGAAGCCTCGGCACGCCATTGTTCCAGGGTCTTCGGACGGCGCGGCGTCCGAAGAGGCGGGCGAAAAGCGCAGGGAGAAGCAATCAGCAGAGGGCCAGAACCGGACCATCAAAGATGATTTTTATGACGAGCTGCACACGGTGTTCAAGGTGGCCAAGTACGTCGTTCAGAGCTGGATCCGATTCCCCTGGACGTTGTAAGTCTTTCTCCGCTTAGAGGGCGCTGTGGTCCAAGGCCTTGGCTAACTCGCCGTCTTTTCAGGGCGAACATCATCAAGTCCGAGCTGCTACGGTTCTGGCAATTCTATATCGGGCAACCCGTGTCTCCAAGGACTTGGGAATTCAACCCTCCGAGGGTAGATGAGCTTTGAGGTGCAGTTTTCTTGATATATTAACTAGCATTGCATCACGGCCGCGTTGTACAGAGCCTGGGATGGGGTTTGGCGTTCCGGGAAATGATCGCTTGCATTTCAGCGTATATTCAGGATATTCGGCTTGGGAAGTGCGGCACATATGGCTATCCATCCGTCTGCTTACCGCAAAATGGGCAGTCCGTCCATTTACCATCTTCACGTCCCTGATTATATGCGGCTCGCTGTGTGCTTATAAGCCGAGTAGATTTTTGGCTCCCTTCTCATTTGCCCTACTCCCTCGCTGCGGCAGTACAACATGCGTTATAACGTTTCCTATCTTGACCTTCACGCCCTCAACAGGAATACGCAGTTCTCGCATCCTCTTCTTGGCGCTGCAACTGCCGAACACTTGTTCAGTCACTCTCACAAGCTCCTCGGTAGGCTCGACAAACGACCAGGCAATCGACACATGGAACGCCTCACCTACCCACCGGCCTTCTTCCTCGTCTTGCCCGTCGCCCTCAGCCCACTCGTAAAGCCGCGACTGTCCATATTTCGCAACCACGTCATTGCACCGCCTCAGCATCTCAGTCAACTCCGGATTCAAGTTTCCTTTTGTCGAGTTCGCATCGCAATGATCCGGCAGCCGGCTGCGCACCCTCAACACCAGGAACGACCTCGCGCTCTCGGCGGTGCGATGCCACTCGGCCCTGCAACACGCGAGCCCGAACGCGGCGATCCCGCTGGCCCGGATCGCCGCCTCCACCTCGCGCAGGAAGGTGGCCCTGTCGTCTGACGACAGCACGATCGGCCGCGACAGGCTGATGTGCAGCGGCTGCGGCGCGCCCAGGTCGCTCTGCAGGAAGTTGGTGATGGTGGTATTCGTGTCCCCCGCAAGTGCACTGGAGGCTTGCGACTGAAGTGACGAGACCAGCTCGGTCAGCAGCTCGTGGACTGCGGGCGGGGGGTGCCACTCGATGTAGATGTGGGTGGGCCAGTTGCCGGGCACGTGGGGGATCTGGCGGGTGCGGCCTTGGTGCAGGGAAGGGTCGTCGCGGGTGGTGGTGCGAACGGTAGAGGCGTAGAGGTCGTGGAAGCTGGCCGGCAGCGGGGGGAGGGTGGAGGTGGCCGGGCCTGAGGGAGATGCCGGCTTGGGTCCGGTCTGCGACGCCGGGGGATCTCGGGGTGGGGATGCCGTTCTTGGCTTCTTTCGCGGAGGGGAGACGGTCTCATTGGTCTTGAGGGGGTCGGTGTCGGATGCGGAGCTGTCCGAATCGGAGGTGTAATGTACTAGCGGCATGGCTGCAACTGCCTCGTACACGTTGCCGGTCTGGAATTGATGAGCAGGTGGCCGAGTTGTTTGTTGCGAGTTTGTCGTGTCGTTTTGTTTTCGCTTCTGTGGGGGCTCCGGCCCGGTGCGCTGGCCCGGGCCGGAAGTCAACCCCTGTTGCGTTCCGGCCACATTTTGGCGTTGCGACAACACCGAACAGGTCAACTCGTAGCCAATAATTGTCACAGAATCGAGACGGCCGTCGATGTGACGTCGGGGAGCCGGCCTGTATTGCGACAATGGTATCGTGTGTTGAGTGACTGTGATTTGCGCTTTCAGATGGTGCTTTTCCCATCAGACATTCCATTGGCCCACATACTGCAGGGTCTAAGAAGTCTGGATCTTCTTCATCCAATGTTGCCCTTCTTGTGAGAACCGAGGTTGCTCTGGGCCTCGAACAGATGCGGCACGAGACACCCCGCCAACATCTTTAGCCGATAAAGGCGAGCCTTTTACCTACGGTAGCCCGGTGTCTCTCTGATTATGGGGACAGTTCAAGCGTTGCTGCAAACCTCGGAGGTCGTACAAAGCTGTCTGCCGCTCTCCCTCTTTCCATCCAGATGCGTTTCACCTCTGGGCGAAAAACGGACTTTGGCCAACAAAGATCAGAAACATCAAAAGGTTCCGCCCTTCCAGGTTGAGTTCCTTCTTCGAATCTCCGCTACCTTAACAGGCCCCCGCTGAAGACACCCGCCGTTTGCCCCACCCTTGCGCTTAAATGGACGACAGGGATTACGACGAGATCGCTGGCGACAAGCAATGGGTGCGTTTCTTCCTCTCATCGCTTGTTGTAAGAACATTCTCCATTCATGAAAAAGCCTACCGAAGTCTTCGGGGCATTTTTAAACTTGAGCTCGAGATATGTCGGCGTTGGAAACGGTCCTTGAATCAGCTGGGATGAGGTTTCCGCCGTGATCGCCTGAATGGGTTGCGTCACTGCAGTCCACCTCCATGGCATCAGCCTGCCAAGTTTCAGGCACGAGTTTGCCATGCTGCTGGCATCTCGCATCTCACTGCTTTAAAATAGATCCCCGGTCTCAGGGCTTCATCTCCCGTCATCATGAATTCACCAATTTACGGCTCCTGTCTTACTCAAATAGGCTTCGAAATACATCCTTGGCCCTCTCTACGACCCAGAGCCGAGTCAAGTCTGCGCAACTCGCTGTAAACCCCTTCCGACTCCGCCAGAGTCCGCAAGCCCTACCCGTGCAAAGTTCCCTCAGCGAGGCCAGAGCCCGGCTGACGACCCCGACGAAGAGCCGCCGTTCCTCCGCCGAGTTTTGAGCCGGAGGAACAGTTCACGAACTAAACCGCTTCCCCCTTCTCCCCCACGTTCCAAGTATCCGCCTCTTTCCGGGTTGGAACTTAAGCGTTCTCTCTATACCGCCAGCCCTCCGCAGACTCGCTGGAACCAGGGCACCATCCTCAGCCGGGCCAACAGCGTATCTACCTCCAGACCCAGCCTGAATACTATGGCGGCAGTAGGAAACGACACCAGACCGCGGCAACGCGCCGTTTCGCTTACTGAGCGCTATCCCGGCGACCGGTCCCACAGGCCCCTTGAAATGCTCACCCAAGAGCACATGGCAAGGGAAGGAGGGAAAGAGGCCTTCCCACGTCGGTCTGCATCCCTGAGGGAGCGCTACCCAGGCGACATGTCCCACCGGCCGCTGGCCATCCTAACCCGGGAGTACCGCGCGGCAGACCGGGCGCCGCACTTGCACAATCACCGCCGCCAGCAGCCCAGCGATACCATCGACACGCTGGACGCCACCGGGCCTGTCCCCGGTGTGACGTACCATCACGGCGGCCCCTTCGACGCCGCATCAAAGGAGCGCAACATCAACAAAAAGTACGCCCCTGTCGAGGCCGTCATGGACACCAACATCGAAGCCCTCAAGGCCACTCCCGCCGAGTACGTACAGGATTCGCTTACGAAACATGTCCCGCTCCAGGGAACCGCTGTTGTCCCACCGGGGATGCAGGACCTGGGCGGGCGGACCATGCACTATGAGGAGGGGCCAGACCTGATGCGCGAGGAGGACGCCCCTGGTGGGCCGTATAAGCGGTGGGATCACCTTGTAAGTGCTTTGTGAATGTCATAGAGAAACAGGAGTCCGTCAAGCTGACGAGTCTGGCTAGCGTTACCGCGACGACGATCTCAAAGGCAAAGGAGAGCCTGCATTCTCCTTGGAGCAAGACCGGGAGCACAAGTCGCGAGGGAAGCGCCATGCTGCTTCGCACTTCAACGGCGGAATTGTCTACTATGAGATGCAGCCCACGTTCTCGTTCCGTGACCATCACTCCAGCGGTGACGGCAAGCACAAGGAGGGAGGGACGCACGTCCGTCAGCGGAGCGTCAGCAACGGCGCCCAGCTGCTGCCCGATGTGGATGAGGCCTCGGCAGGGCCGTCTGGGTTGCAGCGGAGCAACACCACGGGTAAGAGCTTGGCGCAGAGTCTGAAGCGGCGCTTCGGGAGTCTGAGGAAGAAGCGGCCTTCAGAAGAGGTGGGGTATTGATTTGAACCGAGTGGCCTGCGCTCGTTTAGGTGGAAGCAAGGTTTGAGTTAGGATATATTGGTATGTTTCCTGTTCGGCGTGTTTCATTTTGTCTGTCTGTTTTCATAACTATGATATAGACGGAGAGGAGTTGGTTAGGATATGGGCCAAAGGGGTTACTACAAGATTTATGGGGTACATGTGCAGCACGCGATGTGTTAAGCGAATATCTTTCACACTCCTTTCTGAGCGAATACCATTGTGTAAGAATGTATAGGAGTATATGCGGAGGCAGCATTGCTTGCACTACAGTAACGCTGTACTCGCCAAGACAGAAGAAGCAAGAAATATGATCACGCTGCCTATCAATTCAACCTGCTATAGTCAGCTACCTGAAAGTTTGAGGGAGAGCCCAGATCACGACTCCATTGGTCACTCTACCAATAAATTCCCATCAAGACCCAGCCCGAAGAAAAAGCCTGGTCTATCTTACAAGCCACTTCACTTCAACCACACTATCAGAAATACCCCATCCCAGCCCACCCCAACACCCCCTCCAACTCAGCCCTGACCTCCCCTATACCGGCGTACCCCGCCCGGCCCGCCAGCTCGACCCGTCTCGCCATCCCAAGCTCAGTAAACCGTTCCAGCACGGCCCCGTCCACAATGCTCCGCCCGATCCCAGCCTCAACCCCGGCTGGCGGGCAGTCGGCGCTCGGCATGCGATAGCCCCTCGGGTTCAGGCCCGCCGCGTGCGGGAGCGAGTTGACCAGCTGCGCGGCGAGCGACGACAGGCGGCGGTACGCCGACTCGGGGAGGGGGCGCAGAGCGGCCAGGACACCCGTCGCTGAGGCGAGGAGGAGCACGTGCGGGCGTTGGGTGGCGGGTTCGCGCTCGTCGGAGGACGACGAAGAGGAGCCGTTTTGTTTTGTGGTGGTTCGGGCCTTTTCCTTGTCGGCTGGGGATGTGGCCGGGAGGAGGAGGGATTTGGTTGGGATGTTGGCGCCTGTGTTGAAGGTGGTGCGGTGCAGTAGGAGGTGGCCTTGGAGGGATTTGGGGTCTGGGGTGGATGCGTGTTAGTTTCAAGAGTTCAGTACAGCTATGGATGACGGGCTGGTGACAAACGTACGCTCAGGATCAAACTGTAAAATGTGGATGTGGCCGTCGGCGTCGCTCGCAACGATGGACAGCTCTTTTCCGTCTGGGAGGAAATCGGCGTTGAGGACCTCCAGCTTCGTAGAGCTCTTGCCAAACAATATCATCTTGTACGGCTCCTCGGTGTAGCCTGTGAACCACACCCCTTTGAACGCGTCCGCCATCAGGCACAAGCCAGTCCCCGGGAGCTCCTTGGCAGCAGTGACGTAGCAATTCATGTCCATGAAAGCCACGGGTAGAAGAGATCCATCCTCTTTCAAACCTCGGACCATGCACTTCTGGCCTTGGGCGACAAGCATGAGGCCCTGCGTGCCTATCTCTGACAGCGCGGTGACTGCCCCTCTAGGAATGTCCTCCTTGGCGACCAGCTTCAGCTTCTTGCCCGTTTCGGGACGCCCGGGCTCAGGGATGACATCGGCGATGTCGTAGACGTAGACCCGGCCTCTGGTTGGCAGGTCCTCGCCTTTGGTGAGGGCAGTTCCAACGGCAATCAACTGCTTCCGCTCGTTGGTGAACTCCGAGACCTCCAGGCTCAGGGTCTCGACACAGAGAATGGTTTCGCACGGCTCTAGCAGGACCGAGTCAACAACGGTCCATGTAATGGGACTCACGAGCTTGAGCGTGCCGCGGTCGGAAGTGGGCTTGAAAATCACATTCTCCCGCGCCCACTCCTTGTGGTAGTCATCGTCCTTGGGTAGCTCAAACGGCTCAGGTGTGTTACAGCCCACCACATAGCTCTGCGTCGGCGGATGGTACGTAATTGCTCCAATGTCGTCACCGATGGGGATTTTCTTGATAGCAAGCCCGGTTTCTGCGTAGCTCCAGTCTTGCGGCAACTGAGTCACTCGCGCGATATGCTGAGAGTCTGCATAGATAAACCCGTACTCGCATCCTTCGGTGTGGAATGGGCTCATGGCGATGACGCCAGAGCCTTGTAATGGCAACACCCTCGGCATCGACTTGGACGACTTAATGATGAAGCTTGGGGATGCTCCTGGCAGGAAGACAGTGCTGTATCCCGCGATGTTGCTGCACCTGCGCATCGAGAGAAGCCGGGGCTGGTGCGATGCTTCATCCTCGTCTGCTTCCTCTGGGCTCTTCGCGAAGGCCGTGTTCGGCAACTTCTGGAAGAACAGCGTCTTGGAAAAGTCCAAACTGGTGCCTTCCCTGAAACGGAAGGGCTGGTAGAGTGTCAGATCGTCATTTGCATGTCGAAGCTGCAAACGAGTTAGCGAGCATCGAGGGAATAGGGGTACAAACAACAAACAATGAGGAACGGGGATTTGTGCGTCGTGTCACCAAGGTCCGCCACGATAATCTCGGCCACTGTCTCCTTGGCTGTCCCCTTTCTTGCGGCGTAGTCGGCCGAGAGGCTCGGAGGGATGTAGGATAGCCCTTCAGCGACATAGACTGGTTTTGATAGGTCAGGAAGTCGATATATCTAAGTCTGTCAGAGCCACTTGTGGTGTCGCTGGCGAGCAGACTCAGGTTTACTCACATGAAGCGCGCCGCTGGCGCTTAGAAGGAACATGAGAATGCTTTGGGTTGGTTTCGACCTTTTTGCGGCCACTTCTTCCGCGAAGACGCCGTTAGTATCGGCGTATAAGCAGCCAGTGAGCCACTTGGTAGTCGTAAGAATTTGGTCGTCCCTGTCCATCTCCTCGAGCTCGTTACTGCTGTCTATTTGGGCTATAAATGTACTAGAGTCGTCCCGGATGATGAGCAGAAACGGATCCGCAATGCTCGCGCTGATGGCTCGCGGCTCCGCGCCGGTCTCCTCGTCGAGCATGGGTACGATTTGGCTGAGCCCAAAATCTGAATGGCCTCGTGTCAACGCAGTCACAAAGAATAATACCCGGCGTCATGTGTTTACATACCTCCATCGTAGCAGCGGACTTCGGACTTGAGTATTTGGATGATTCGACTGCCTTTACCCATAGTACCCGCCTCGATGGTGATGCCTGCCGCAGGGTCGAACTCTGTGCCTCCGAGACTCTCAAAGCCGGCAGCGGTCAGGGCATAGACATCCGATTTCTCGTAACCGTCCAGATCCACTTTGGCCACGATCATGAATTTGTCGTACTGGCCGCACACGTCATAGTCTTTACCAAGAGAGTCCCCGCCCTTGTCACCCTGGAGCGTCTTGGGAATCGGTTTCTTTGCGCACATAGTCCAGAACCCTCTGGCTTCAGGGAACTCAAAACGGCCGATGACGGCTGGTTGAATCGCCAAGTTCATTGCTGCGAGCGAAGCCGACCTGTCCCTGCCCACGGCGCAAACCAATTGCAAATCGCTGCGGACGCCAGCCGAGTTTCGCTCTTCTTCGCTTCCAGGCAGCCAAACCGGCTGGCCATAAGTCATTGCCTGAATCGGCGCAGTGTTGAGAAGACGGTCGTGGACACGGAAATTGACATCTCCGCTCATGAGACTGCTCACTGCCGAGACAGGCTGGTGGCGAGACGCTGATTCTTCGCCGTACAGATCATCTTCGTCCTCCTCCTCGTCTTCCATGGCATCCTCGTCCTCGAGCTCCATGTCCGCAGCGATCTCCTTGGCCCGCGTCTTCTTTCGCCCAACCTGAGCTTGCTTTTTTGACCAGCCGAACAAGACAGAGTCGCCCTCCTCAAGCCCGGCAAACATGCCGTTCCGGCCCACGCGGGAAAGGGTTGCAACCCGGCCAGGTATGACAGACCCTCCAGAAGATTCCGGGATGACCCTGAGCTCCAAACCGGAGACAGTCCGGCCATCGATGCGAAACGTTACCACAGTCATGCGCCCATCGTTCAGGATGATGAGGAGCTCGCCAAGATCAGCTGTCAGGACGTCGATAGCGCAGCCTTCCAAGCGGAGGTTGAGGTCGGACTGATCAACGAGGCCGAAGGAGGTGCATTGTTTGGCCATGGAATTGACGGCCACGCCATTTGGTTTGCCCGACTGGTCGATGTGGATCAGCTCGTTCGAGCCGACGAGCAGGGCGCCTCCGACCGGAGCCGGCAAGGGCACGACGCGGAAGAGGTCTTGGGGTAGACCAGTAACAGAGAGGATGGTGGTAGATGCCTTCTGGTGCAGATCTAGCGTGAAGACCATGTAGACGAAGTGATCCCTGCGGCCGAGCGAGTTCGAGGCGCTGGTGGTGGAGGCGAGAATGCCAAAGGTGGGCTCTCGGTATTCATAGAGGAAGGCCAGGTGCACAGGATGGAGCAGGCTTGGGTCTAGATTGGAGAGTCGGAGGACAAATGACGATGAATATGGTGTGTCTTCTATGTTGCTAGCTCCATTTATAACGGCGCTCGACGAGTCCTTTGGCGGCGGCCGCGGGCCGTCCAGCTCTTCATCCCAATCACCCATGTCAATGTCCTCATCGGCCTGCCTGAAGGGCAGGATGGCCAGGTTCCTGGCACCGAATTGGAGTGCGGCGCATCTACTGCCCGGATCTGCGGCCAGGAAATTGACATAGTGGCTCAAGGGGGCGGCCCAGGGACTCCCCTGGAGCTCTTCTTGCTCGTAGTAGTGAATCGACACGGTCGAGAGCGTGTACCGCTCTGCGTCCCACTCGACAAGACTGAGCCTTGCGTCTTTGAATGCCACTAGAAGCGAGTCGCATCCGTGGCGTGGGTTTGGTGTCTTTATGCGGGCAAGGCCGATGACGGTGCCGGCAAGTGGGATCTCGGCGATGAGGACCAGCTTTGCGTTGTTTGTCCGATCTGTGCGCAAGCCCAAGCTGTCTCCTCCGAGGAAGGATGCTTCGAGACCGTCGTCATCGTTGGCCAAGCGGCTCTCGTAGCGAGTGACATTGCGCGCCCTATGTCCATTGGATTGCGACGTCTCGACTTCGGTTGCGACAATCTTGGTCCTAAATATTTGGAGGAGCGACGACTTGGCGACAACGAGGTTCGTGCCCTGGCCGGGGATCAGTTGCAGTGTCGTGGAATGTGTGACGGCCGTCGGCGGCGTCAGCTCCGTATAGCACTGCATTTCCTGCAGTTCTTCCGCATATCTCTGCTTGAAGAGGCGGAATTCGGGTGTCGATCGGTATGGTCGCGGATCGCGAATGAAGGGTTGAACTCGGAAAAGAAGGACACGGGAAACGCGCCAAGTCTGGAAAGGTGGAGGCCAGCCAGTGCAGGTCCACATGAATGAAGCTCGGGCCAGCATCCTGCCTCAGCATCAAAAGCAGCTTGTCCCCACAAGAGCTCCTTACTGGGGACGCGAGGGCCGGTCTCTAACAAGCAGCTCATGCGGCATTGCGTCACAGCTCAGATTGATGTGCAGGCGACAGCAGTTCACCCAACCCACAAACCGGCGATGGGAACTTGGAAATCATCGCCAAATCCCCACCAAACCATGTTCCGTCAAATGGTCGGTTGAAGCTGTCGCATCTGCATTTCAGCCTTGGGTCTACAACTGGAATCCGTTTCCACCAACAAAGGTGTGCAATACATACCCAACGCTTTGAGACCGCAGACGCGGAATTACAGGAAGCACCATGGCGTCGGCCGGGCTGCTGCAGACCAGTCTGATATGGGTCGCATACGGCGTCGCCGTCGCTCTTGTTTTTCTCGTCGCCATCATCACTACCGTCACATGGCAGACACCCCATGAGCGATCCGTCGCCGTCAGCATCGTTTCGATTTTCAGTCTTAGCGCGCTCCTCGCTACTGTCTTCCTCCTCCCCGTCGATATCGCTCTCGTCTCCTCGACCACATCCGCCCACCTCGGCGCAAAGAAGGACTGGGCGACGCCACCCCGGGTTGACAGCATTCTGCAGACACTCAAGATTGTCTACTACACGCTTTATACCCTCGACGCGCTTCTGTGCTTGATTGTCATTCCCTTCACTTATTTCTGGTACGAAGAGTACGATGAAGTGGAAGAAGAGGAGGGCACCAGAAGCACCGGCGCTCGCATATGGCAGGCCTTGAAGTACACATTCGGCTTTGTCTTTCTTGTCGTCGCCCTTTTCCTCATTGGATTCTTCGTGCCGGCTGCCGGGAGCTCTCACGGGAGACACATGGACCTGGACTACTTCAAGCGCCTGCTTGCTGCGAACAACGGGGAGAAGGCCCTCACCTTTGGGGTCGGTCTTCTCGTGACCCTTGGGACCCTGCTCTATGTTCTTTACACGGGCGCAGGTCTGGCTCTCCTGCCGGTATCCTTTATCAAGTCCGCCCCGTCCATCTCGGCTCCACAGCTCTCCGCCACGACCGCCTCCGCCCTGGAGCGTAACCGTGAGCTTCAGAGGCAGCTGGAGATGCGCAACGCCGGCCGTACGGAAGGCATGTCTCAGAAGGACCGGAGAGAGCTGGATGCGCTTCTGCGCGAGGAACGGACTCTTGTGCGCCGTGAGAGACTCGCTGCGGAAGCGCGCGGGGATGGCCGCAGCAAGATCTATCGTGCATGGACAAAGGTGCAAGCCGTCTTCCGGCCATTCAAGCTCCTCGGCGGTATCTTCCTGCTTCTGCTGGCGATCCTGGTGTGGGTATCAATGCTCATCACCAGCATCGACAAGTCGGTCAATTCCATCTGCAAGCAACACTGCGGCTACATCCTGGGTCACTTGAATGTCTTCCAGCCCATCAACTGGATTTTCGTGCAATCTGCCAAGGCGTTTCCAGTTGACTACATCCTCATGGCGCTGCTCGTCCTCTTCTTCTTCAGCAGTTCCATCACAGGACTGGCCTCGATCGGCATCCGCTTCCTGTGGGTGCGCATCTTCCAGATCAAGAAGGGCCGCACGGCACCGCAGGCTCTTCTCATCACGGCCGTGCTGTTGGCCCTCATCATCCTCGCCATCAACTACGCCGTTGCCATGGTCGTCGCTCCCCAGTATGCGATCTATGGCACTCAGACCTTCTGCGTCAACACCCCGCGCCGTCCGGGCGGGCAGCCCGATTGCCGCGAGCACCGCGACATGGTCCGCCCCTGCTCCGAGGTGTTTAGCGAGCCGGCGGCAAAGGACGTGTGCACGCCGACGGTCATGTCGACGTTCCTCAACCGCATCACGCTCAACTGGCCCGTCTTTGGCGCCGTTGATTTCTGGGCGCAATTTGCCTTCTTGGCGGTGTTCTTGGTTGTCTTTCTCACCAGCCTGTTCCGAACCCCGCGGCTCAATCTCAGCGAGCTGGATGAGGAGGCTGAGGCTGACGAGGAGGAAGGGCTGTTGGCCAGCACAGGGAGACGGTTCGGTGCCACTTGGCAAGATATCACTGGCCGGGCGAAGAGGACTGCCGGCGCTGGTGCGCAGGAAGGTGAGGGTTATGGGACGGCTGCTAGTGGAAACGGGGGCAGCTCCGGTTCAAGGGCTTGACGGGACACAGTAACGTGGCGGAAAATGGGCGACGGGTTGGTATGGCAGCGGCAGGTTACTCGGCATTCGGTTCGGGTCTTACATTACACATAACCGAAACTGTACGGAGGTGTGAGTGGTATGTGGCGGAGTTCAACGGATGGGTTGGATGGGCAAAAGGGATGGATGGCATGAGAGAGGTTCTCGACTGACTGGTCAGGATCAGCCTGGACTGATAGGAAGGATTTCGAGTAACGTCGGCGTGCCGCTTCCTTTTCCCCTGTATCAAGCGTATGTGAGCTTTCTTAACTCTGGAATCACTGTTAATACAATCAATTCAAGGAGTTGCGCCTGTTATTTCTCTCTGACTATCTGGAAGAAGTAATATGATCATGGAACGCACGGAAACGCTACCTAAGCAAAACGGCTATGGTCGACCGGTCCTCTCAAACTTCACCCATTGGTGACCCCGTTCATCATAGCCTGCCGAAGGCCCAATATGCATGTCCTTCCAGCAACGGGCGCAGTAGACATCGTTGTCGCACCCTACACACCTGATGGTCGCGTCATCGAGACACACAATACACCAAGTCTCATGGTCCTCGTCCGTGTATTTGGTTGATTTCAGCAGTCCCCTGCAGCGGGTGATTGCGGGAGCCTGGTCTTGAGGGCTGAACGTCGGCGCTGAAGGCAGCCCCAGTTCGTCCAGGGGCCCAAGACCCCTGAGGGAAGCCAGGCGCGCAGATATGTCCTTCTCGAAGTCGTCTTCTGGCTTCGTGTCCGGTGCTGAATCTACGAGCCGTGAAGGTACGACAGGGAGGGCCAAGGAGGGCTGGTCGTCATTCCCGTGCCTTTTCACAATATGAGGGAGTGGTGCTGCTCCAGATTCAAGCTCCGATTCCTGGGACCGGCCACTGTCGCCTTCGGCAGCCGCTGCTGCAGGCGGGGGCAGTGCGTTCATCTCCTCTCCAATCTGTGCAAGCAGCTGCTCGACGGCTCGTGTCATATGCTCCCCGTCCGAGTCATCATCGTCCTCTGGCCGGATATTGTCTCCAGTGGAGACAGAATCCTCGGTCTCTCTGCCGAGCGACTCAAGAAGACTGCCAACTTCCTTTGTCTCGTTGTTTGAATTGGAATCAAGGGGCGTTTCCACGCAGTCTTCCACGGCGAGGTCGAATTCTTCATCTCTCAAGGCTTCTAAGAGCTCGTCGACGGCATCCTCATCAACCGCGGTTGACTCAACGAAAAGACCGGGATACGAGGGTGCTTGCCGCTTGGCAATTGTGCGGCTCTCTTGGGACACCGAAGTTGCTCGACTGGCAACTCCTTCCTTGAGAGCCGGGCCGCCTATGGCAGGGCGCTCTACAGAAGGCGGTGCTGCTGACCCAACTCCCTCACGGCCTGGTATGCCCGGCGGCTGCGAGCGGCTGTCGCAGTGGGCAAGACCCTCAAGGCGGCTACTGCTACTCGATTGGGACCGAAGAATCCGCAGCCGTTGGGCCAAAATATCTTCCCTCGACGCCGGTTGGGATTTCGGTCCAGAAGAAATCGCGTTGCTTTACCCACAGGTCTTAGCTTTTTGTGCTGAACAAAGATGGCGGAAGCGGAAGGCAGCATGTCCAAAACCGGGCGTTGATACTTTTTTGGCTCCCCAAGTGTGACCGCTGTTGGTTTGAGGGCATTCAGCCTGTCCAACAGGGACTGGTCGTTGGGACGACCAGATTGTGGCGCCATGCGGATGTACTCCGTATGGAGAGCGGGATAAACCCGTGGGAAAGGAAACTCGTTGCGAACAGTGACCGCTTACTCGAGCGTCCGAACACGGAAGGGATTCTGATGATCAAGCGAGGATTCTGTGGTCTGGAGTCGTTGGGTGGACGTGGTGTCTTTGTGTGCTGTGAGAATTAAGCCGAGTGCGACGGCATCAAAATCCCACAGGCAAGGCACATTCCAAGGCGAACCTGACTGCCCGAGTGCCAAAAGAGAAAGGCAGGTCCCGGATTAGCGGCAAGTGTCGGGTTGCATGTGGCGTGTGCCATGGTAAGCAAGCTTCATTGGATAGATTCTCCGAGCCAAGTGCTCGGATCTTGAGACGGTTGATGTCATAAGCCACAACGCACAGTTGCAGATGTAGCGCCAAACCGTTCGAATGGATGGAACGTGTACATCCGTACGGATCCGGATATGGACGTCGTACAGACACAGGGCAGGCAAAAAGATGGGTGGTCATCAAATTCGGGACAATATGTACGTAGTTCCGTTTACAGGTCCAATTCCAAAGGAGGTCGCAAAGAATGCCTATCCGCAACACTGAAAAATAATAGACCTTTGCCTGTTTGGCACATGGCAGGGCGCAGGCGGTCTATATATCGATGTTTGTGGCTTTGAGCCCTAACAAGCATGAGCGCGCTAACTGAAAGCAATTTAGGCCACGGCACTCTCGCATCTGGGTCATCTCATGTGCACCTGATGGCTGTGTACACTTGGTCTGGCAAACTACACCGCTCGCTTGTTGGCGGTTTGCAACCCGATCTTTGTTCCGTGCTTATATCCATCACATCATGGAATGACGATCCCGCCACACAGGGTCTTTCTTGGCGCACGCCCAAACCTGACCATCCTCAAGCTGCATCATCGGTGTGCCGCTACCTGCGCCTCCTTGATTCTCCCGTTATATCCAGGCCCGATTCTCTTTCCTGCACATCCGTAACCTTTCACATTTCCCTACAAACCTAGCTAACTGGCATCCGTTTGCCGCTTCGAGCGCCTAATACCCACTTATTCTTATCTGGATCGCATCCTAATTAGCCATCACACCTCAAGACCTCATGCGGCTCAGCTTGTTTTTCATCGCGTCGTCGCTCCTTGGCGACGTCGCGGTCAACGCTCTCATTGCACCACCTGCACCGGAAACCGCGACACTTCGATCGGCGCTGCAGGATACAAAGAGCGACGAGTCATCACACGAGGAGCTGTGGAAGCGGAAAGGCGGCGGTGGAGGAGGCGGTCGCGGAGGTGGTGGAAGCAGCGGCGGTAGTAGCGGCGGAGGTCGCTCCGGCGGCGGCTCTTCAGGGTCGTAAGTACCATTTCCCCTTCATCTTTTTGTCATGACGGCTCCTGGGCCGGTCGTTGGCACGCCTGGCCTTAAGCTGTGGTAACCGGCGACCGAGCAGGGGTAGAGGCGGTTCCGGCTCCAACAGTGGTTCCGGCTCGCGCGGCGGATCCACCTCCTCCGGCCGGTGCGTCATGCCTTCATTGCGCCAAAGATTGTTTCCTGCTACTGTTGCTGATATACCCTCTTTTATAGTAGCGGCCGTGGCTCTTCCAGCTCGAATGCCGGGGGTAGGACTACGACGGGCAGTGGTGCGAGAGCGGGCTACGGCGGTGGGAGATACTATGGCGGCGGCGCGGCCGTGCCGTACAAGTCCGGATCCCGGTCCCCGTCGGGCCTAGTTCCAGTCTTCTTCGCCGTGAGTTTCCTCGCCTTCTGGCCCGGCGTGTGGCTGTACGGCGCGCACATGTACCACTTCAACCACCCGTACGGCTATTACAACCAGTCCGCCCAGCGGAACGAGTCTAAGCCCGTGACGTGCGCCTGCGATCCGTACCAGGTCTGCGGCTGCGACGAGAACAGCGATCAGCAATACCTGGCGGACCTAATCGGCAACGGCAGCTATGCCGCTCTCAACAAGACGCTCATCACCGTCGCCGATGTGAATGGCACCAGCACGATCTTGATCAACGGCACGCTGCCCAACGGTACCACGGCCGCGGGTGGCGACGAGGATCCCAACGGTGCCGAGGGTTCCGACGGTGCCGCCGGCGGGTTGCGCACCATGCTGCAGCACGCCGGGTGGTGGCCCGTCGTTGCGGCCGTCTGCGCCATTGTCCTTACCGCCTAAGGCAAACGCTTTGGAGGGTTGGGTTTCTAAGTTGTATTCTACCTACGTTTCCCGACGTCGCTTTTTCTTTTTGGCTGGACCTTATGAAGTTATACCCATCGACACGAGACGGCGTTTCAGGAGTAGGCTCATCAGTCTCCTTTACGGCTTCTTGGCGTGCTGAATAGAAAAGCTCGATCGAATCATTCCTCTATTTCCAGAGAGCGGATTTCAAGAGATAACGAAAGCATATGACCTATGGTGAAGTGTCGTCAGTGCGGAGGTGGTTTACTGTACTGTAGTGAGATAGGGTTATCGTCCACAACTTCAGTTCCTTTCCACCATCACGGCAGCAGCCGTAGCGGCCGCCCTTTCAGCCCTCCTCTTCACAGTCCACTCTCCCAACTCCTTCCAAATCTCCTCCTTCTCCTTAGGCTTCAACGTGGCCGCCAACCCACTAGTACTCGTCGCCACAAATATCCTCGCCCCCTTCCAATCCGCGCCATAAACAACCCCTTCCTCCTTCTCCTCCTCTTTCTGCACCACGCCCTCGACAAGCCCCATGTTCTCCTTCTCGTCCTGCCACCCATAGCGGAACTCGCTCGCCTTGATGGCCCGCCCGTGCCTGACGCGCCACATGCTCTCCCAGATGCTCTTGCCAACAACGCACACCACCTCGGGCCGCCACCGCCGCACTTTCTCTTCCAGGATGGCTACGCCCGCGTCCATCTCGGCCTTGCTCAGCTCCGCCCCGTTGCGGCTCGGCCGGGAAACAATGTTTGTCAGGCCGAGCGAGTAAAGCGCGGGCATCTGCCGGTCCTCGGTCGGCGAGACCAGGCGCGGCGTGATGCCGGAGGAATGCAGAAGACGCCAGAAGAGGTTGGTGGGGTGCGCATAGGCATGACCGGTGCGCGCCGTCTGGATGCCTGGGTTCAGGCCGATGAAGAAGATGAGGAGATTTGGCGCGATGGCGTCAGGTAGGTGGGGAAGATGGGCGTAAACCGATGGGGGGGCGTAGCCTGACTTTTGGCGCGGGCGCTTGGTACGGCTGGCGGTGGATGATGAGGAGGAGGGGGAAGAGATGTCTCCTATGTCATCGTCAGCGCCGACGCTGTCGTCGGCCTGGGTGGAAGCTTTGCGCTTAGTGATTGCGCGTGCCGGTGAGATTTTCGACGATGCTGGCGGCCGGGCTGCCGTTGAAGAATTGGTGGAGAGCCGGGGGCTACGTCGTGGCCCGACGGTCGCCGCACTGGCGTTGAACATGAAGCTATCCAGTTGGAGACGGCCCTGGAAGGTAGGCGCCGGACGGGAGTCGTCCGTCATCTCGGATGCCATGCTGATGAGCCAACGTATGACTCTGGAACTCCGATTACAACCGCTTTTACAAGATTATCAGGTGAAAAAAGAAGTGTTCATTCAAGTCTGGCGGCAACGGATGTGTTTTGGTTAGAGATAAAGTTCGAGGCAATCGCCATCTGATCTTTCTTTAGCAAGGGGCGAATCTGCCTGCCCCGGAAACGACCCCTGACGGACGGGCGGAAGCGCCACCCAGGCAACACCCGCCTAATGCATAGAACGAGAACCGGGTACCGTATATCTCTCTGGCTGGGTGCGTTCTCTGAGATGAGTATTCCTTAACGGCCTGGAAGTCTGAGCCTCAATGTCGGATTTAAATAGCAGTGTGCCACCAAAAGAACGAGAACAGCGTCGCGGCAGTTCAGATGGTCCCATGTCAATCTCAGCAAATAGAAACCCGTCCTTCTCGCACAAGGTGGGGCTTGCAACCAGCGTGGCGCGGCATGGAGCCGACTGTGGGGCATTCCTGGACTGCGGTTGCCAGGTTGGGACTTGGTCGAACGGGCTGTGTTGTGTTCAGGTCGTTTCTTATTGACCTCGTCTTCTTGTGCTTTCGAAAAGATCTCCGCTCGCTCTTGATTTCTCACTTCATCACTTAGCACAAGTCGACTCGACGTGCCATTCGGATTTTACATCGTAAAAGCACTCGCTTTCATCAACCGCAACTCGTACCATGGCCCCGCAGGAACCAACACCCCAGCAGCTCTCGGAGCTCAAGCAAAAGTACACACTTGCCGGCCAAGGCCAGGTGTTCACATTCTACGATTCTCTGTCCAGCGAGGACAAGGCGTCACTGTATCAGCAACTGGCCCTTTTTGACCCAACCTACATCAACACCATTGCCGCCAAAGCCCTTGCCCCGCCCGAAACCAAGGATGACGGAGCAGCCAAACCATCACTCGAGCCTCTGCCGGACTCGGCCCGCGCCAGCATCATGGACTCCAAGCCCGAAGACATTGACCGCTGGTATTCGGAGGGGCTCGACCTGATCGCCGCGAACAAGGTTGGCGTGGTCCTCATGGCGGGCGGTCAGGGGACCCGTCTTGGCAGCTCTGCGCCCAAGGGCTGCTTCGACATCGGCCTGCCGTCTGCCAAGTCGCTGTTCCAGATCCAGGCCGAGCGTATTCGCAAGGTCGAGGAGCTTGCCGCCAAGAAGGCTGGCATCAGCGGCGTCACCGTCCCGTGGTATGTGATGACGTCCGGACCAACCCGCGGGCCTACCGAGCAGTTCTTCAAGGAACACAACTACTTCGGACTGAAGCCGGAGAACGTCTTCATCTTCGAGCAGGGAGTCCTTCCCTGCATCTCCAACGACGGTAAGATCCTGCTCGAGAGCAAGAGCAAGGTAGCCGTAGCGCCCGACGGCAACGGCGGCATCTACAACGCCCTGGTTGAGTCCAAGCTGCTGGACGACATGAAGACGCGGGGGATCGAGCACATCCATGCTTACTGTGTGGACAACTGCCTCGTCAAGGTGGCAGATCCTGTCTTCATCGGCTTTTCGGCCTCGTTGAATGTCGACATTGCCACCAAAGTCGTGCGCAAGCGCAACGCCACCGAGAGCGTCGGTCTAATCGTGTGCAAGAACGGCCGCCCAGACGTGGTCGAGTACAGCGAGATCGACCCGGCAATCGCTGCTGAGGAAGACCCCAAGCAGCCTGGTGTGCTCAGGTTCCGTGCTGCCAACATTGTCAACCACTACTACTCGTTCCGCTTCCTCGAGACAATCCCCCAGTGGGCGAAGACCCTGCCACACCACGTGGCGCGTAAGAAGATCCCCTATGCCGACCTCGAGTCTGGCGAGACCGTCAAGCCAACCAAGCCCAACGGCATCAAGTTGGAGCAGTTCGTGTTTGACGTCTTCCCAATGCTGAGCATGAGCAAGTTCGCATGCATGGAAGTCCGTCGCGAGGACGAATTCAGCCCCCTCAAGAATGCCCGCGGCACGGGCGAGGACGACCCCGACACCAGCAAATACGATATCATGGCCCAGGGAAGGCGTTGGGTGCAGGCGGCTGGTGCCACTGTTGTCAGCGAGGATCCCAAGGCAGGCATTGAAGTGAGCCCGCTGCTGAGCTACGTAAGTTTTCACGACGGGCCGTTCCATATACACTGCTGACTCATGCTTTTAGGGTGGCGAGGGCCTCGAGAAATTTGCTGGCCAAACCATCACAGCGCCAGCTCTCATAAACGTGGACTAAGAGGCATATCCGCGCGGACAAGGAAGCGGGTGTGGGTGCTTGATTTTCCTACTCTGGGGAATGGATTTGGAATACGGATGCTTGGAATAAAGAAAAAGGACTATCTTAATATGGTAGCCTAGTGTCCACATATACTTTGTCTGGACACTATAGGCACGGTTCATGGTCATGGGGCTAGCCAGGCGTTAGATTTAATGTCACGAGCAAGCAGGGGTTTCATGGCTCTGAATGACTCCCCGAGTAAATGTCCATGAGTTTATAAAATAGAGAAAGAAGAAAAAAAATCGGCGCTCAATGGCTAAATGGCTAGATCCCAGATGCCATCTCACAGAACATCTATCACGCCCTTTCAAACCGCCAGTCGTCTAAAACCACCCCTTCCCATACCGGGCCCTTCACGAACTGTTCAAGAAACTCAGATAGCAGTTCCACCCGATGCTGATGACGTTCACGAACAGCAGCCGGTGCTGCAGCGGGACAAGCTTGAAGTTGACCATCTGCACAAACGGCCAGATCATCCAGTTGGTGGTGAGCGCCTCCCAGTAGCTCTTTTGTAACTTTTCCTTGGGCGAGCCCCCCTCCAGCACCGCCATGCTGCAGAGGAATACGCCGATGAAGGTTGGCGCAAATACTCCCTGATCGCAGGCCACGCGCGCGAGAATGGTGGCGTTGGGCGAGCGCAGGTTGACGTGCCGCGAGAGGAACTTGAACCAGGTCGCTGCCGCGGGGCCGAAGACGACTATTGTTTTTATAGAATTTAGTGACAAGAGAAACAAGGCCAAAGCTCGGGGTGAAAGTGACGAGGTTCAACGTACCGCCGCCGTAGAGGGCCATGCGACCCGTGCGAGCGAGGTCGTGCTTCTCGTTGCCCTTCTTGTCGACTAATTGCTGCGCTGTGATGTCGCCCACCGCGAAGAGGAACGAGGTCGTCAAGGCTTGCGTTAGCAGGGGCCGCGCCGCGAGGCGGGCCTGGTACCTGAGCGCACCGTCAGTCTTGTAGGCTATGATGACAACTGAGCGATGAGGCATCCTCACCATCGAAGCATTTTGTGTGGTGTTGGTAAGCTAAGTGAGAGCACGGTTGGCACTCAAGGACTGTTTGAGGGTACTTATAGGCAGGGGCCGCGTCTTAAGGAACAGTCATGAATACAACAATCTCGCAGTCTCATAGAAGTCTTGAAAGAGACCAGTGGTAACGTGATGTCTTGCTTCTCAACGCAACCCGAGAAAGAAAGCCATATACAGCACAACACAGGGACTTCTCCACAGTGTTCTAGATGATCGACGGTCATTTCGTGGCCCACGAGACCTGTTGAAAAAACGGGGCCTAATTAGCAGAGCCGTAACTCCGACAGTTGGGGTGATGTGGGGGGCACAACTTTGAGAGATCTCATCTTCGGAACTTCGGACTAAGTTCAGCATATCAAACCTGAGTATCACGGAAAGTAAGAGATATACTTCCATAGCGTACCGATCATCCTGGCCGGCGAAAATCTACCTCCCTGACACGTGAATTCCGGAGTAAGACAGGCTGAGGCAACCCTGAGCTGTTTACGGATACGGTTTCCGCTTCGTTGACTGAGATATCGAATCTCATAGCAGTGTGATCTATCAAGGCAAACCTGAATCTCGGGGCTGCTTCTTTGACAAATTAAACCGTACACAATGAGCTGTGACAACCTCCTCGGCACGAGGAACAGACAGATTATCACGTAAAAACCGAGCGAAGGAAGAGGCCTCCATACACATGCATCGCTGATTTAGTTCTGCCTCACGTTCCTTTGGCTCTTGCCTCATGGAAAACCCCGCCTGCGCAAAATCCACAACTCGCCCCTCCTCAATCTACCGATCCCTTATGAGCCCTTCAGGACGTATCTCATGTGTTCGAAAGCAGATACTCAACGGCTCCCTGGACGCTGCCCCCGCTACGGCGCAGCGCGGTCACGTTCCTCTCAAAATCGAAGAAGCCCATGTCATTGAGTTGGCGCAGCTGCTCAGCGTAACGCTCCTCTGGGGGCCGGTTGTCGACCGGCGCAGCAGCCGCCGCTGGCGAACCCAGTCCGGCTCCCGAGCCCCACAATTGCGCGAGTTGCTGCATGGCTTCGGGCGACATAGGTGGCAGTCCAAAGGGGTTGTTGGCCTGAGCACCCTGGGCGGCTCTTGGTGCGCCCAAGCCGAGCAATGCAGCAAAAGGATTCGGCGGCTGGCTGGCGTTGCCACTTAATCCAGCGCTAGTTCCGGACGGAGCGGCAGCCTGGCCTGGAGCTGCGGCTGCTTGGCCAGCGGCTCCTGTTCCGGCCGAGGGAGCGCTCGGTGGGAAGCTACGTAGCATGCCTAGGAGAGGGGTGAGTTGGTTCCTCAACGCGTTGCTGTCCGCATCTAGGGAGTCGGCCAGGGCCCGGAGCGAGTCGAGATTGTTGTTGTCGGTAGCCGTCGCTGCGGACCCGGCGGTTCCTGGTGCACCGGCAGGTGTGGTATCCGTGGCGCCGGGAGCCGGAAAAGCGGCCGCTCCCCCTCCTCCTTCCATTAACCGGCGCATTCTCGCTGCCATCCGAATTGCCTCGGGGTTGGTCATCAATTCCCGGAAGTAGGGCGACTGGAGCATCTCGCGGGCGTTGGGCATACTCGCAAGCGCGGGATTCGCCCGGACCATGTAGTCGATGAAGGCGGGATTGTTAAGCGCCTCGTTCATGCTCTGCGCAAGCACCGGGTTCGACAACATCTCGGCCAGCTGGTCCTCGTTTGGCGGTGCGCCCATCTAAGCGTCTTCGGGTTAGCGCTCTGAGCTCAAAGACCACCCCGAGAGATAGAAACTCACCCCACCGTCTACACCAAATAAGTCTGCGCTTGGTAAGTTGGCATGGCCGGCAAAGCGGGCCCCAGTCAGGCCAGTAAGAAGGTCGCCGGCCTCAGAGCCGGCAGCCATGTTTTGGGGAACGGCGGGAGTAGATGTCGAGGTCGACGCGCTGGCAGAGGCTGGGGTAGGATTGCTGCGGGCGCTCTTGACCATGTGAATGGTGTTCATGTTCTTGATCTTGTAGACGCTCAGGGCATCGCCGTCCTTCATGATGCGGCCGGAGTAGATAAGCCGCTGCCTCTCGGGTGGCGTATCCTCGAAATCAATCCCGGCGAGCTTCGTCTTGAGATCCATGACGGTGGCCGATTCGGCCATGGTGATGGTATGCGTCTTGTCATTCGAGCTCTTCACCTTGAAGGTGATGGTGGCGTCGTTATCGCTGCTGGGTTCTGCCATGGCGGCGCCAACACCAAAATTCGGGGCCCAGGTTGGTTGATGCGACTGAGGAGGTGGCGTAGCGACTGCTCAATCTCGTTGAGGTCCGGTCGTTTGAAATATAGGCTGCTTCGCAAAAACAACACGCCGCTGCAATGGTTGAGATGTTGGAAATCTGTCTCTGGCGAGCTGTGTGTTCTATGAAGAGCCACCGTTTCGGCTGGTCTTGGAAATCCAGGTGGAACAGTGATGATGTGAATGGAAGTGCCAAGCCACATGTGCTTGGCTTGGGGAGGGGCAATCTGACATCCGTGGACTACACGTAATTACGACAATTCGAAGTGATAGTTACCTTCCAAATAACGAATTGTTACAGACTACTGTTTTGCAGGCCAAGCGATCGCCGATAACGTTCCATTCCCTTCAGACCGAGCCACGTTCCGCAATCCAGCGGAAGATAACGATATTCGCCGATGCAGTGCTGCCTACCGTGCCACCGATCGGCTCCTCGGCCGATCCGCCGACTATCGGTGCCGACCGGCGGGCAGGTCAGTGCCTCAGGCGGTTGAGTGGCTTGAATGAGTTGTGTCAGTCAAGTCCTCTCAAAATGAAAATCCACATACAACTGGTCACCTTCCAGCCAGGCTCTCCCTCGGGCGATGAATATGCCCAGCCAATATCCCTCAAGCCTCCCTCTTCTTTTGCACCGTTCGACGTCGCCGGCCGAAGACGGTCCTACGTCTCTCTTCGGTTCGGGACTCGACATTGGCGTGCAATGCGGGCGATCACTAGCTACGTGGACTTTTAAGACAGGTCCTTGTGCAAGGTCTTTGGCGGCATTGTTAAGGCGATATTGTCCCTTGCAATCACAGATCGATAACTCGCAGCCTCACCGGGACGGACAAGATGGTCGATTGGTACCCAGCCGAAGCAGATCTCTGGCCTTGTCCTGCGCGGAGAATTGTTGGCTTCCCCCACCCTATCACCCATCCAGCACCCCTGCTTGGGGTATCGGATGACTCGCAGGGCCAAGAAGTGCCTGGCTGTCGCACCAAGTCGGGCTGAACGCAAATCGCCTTGCTGGCAGATGGTAGGTACTCCGTACGCTGCTTCTCTCACAAAGCTCCTTCTTCGGCAGGCTGTTATTCCAGCGGCTTGGCGAATTACCCTAGGTACCTGGCCCTGGCCTGGAACTTACACAAACCAGCAGGGATTCTGTGTGATCGAGACCGGGAGTCTCGGAATCTGCCGAGATCTGAGTCCCGTCGAAGGCGGGTAGAATGGCCAAGAGTGGGGGGCCGGTTTTCAACCCAGGTGAGGGGCAGGAATTGTTCTGGAAAGCCAGGTTCATCACATGGGCAGCCGCTTGTTCAATCCAATCTCAGGCAAGGAACAATCAGGAACAGTCAGACTTGGCTGCCATGTGGATGTCGCGACGGGATGAGCTGGCATTTTTGCCTGCCAGCCTACGCCGTGCCCTACGTCGGAGCCCTTCCTTCAAGTTCCACTGGACCGTTGGGAAGACCAGTCTAGTCTTGAACTCCCAAAACTCAGAACCTGAAGTCAGGTGGGGTGGTCTCTGCTGCCCGGTCTTCTGGTGCGTTAGCAGCCGAGGAAGGGAGGCCTTGATGTCAGCGTCTACAGCAGCCATTGGCGGTGCGATGCCCAAGCAGCATGCCCAGCAGACACGAACACTCCTGAATCAAGGCTTGACTTCGTCTCTGAGCCTTCTCTTAGGCCAGCCTCGGCCGACTTGAAGCCGCTTCCTCGGTCAACAGGGCCTTGTCAGTTGTTTCGCGGACTGCATGGTGTCAAGAACGCGTTCCAGACTGCTTCTCCCGCAGAGGGTCTGGGCACGTTCCAAGCCCTCTGTCCTGTGGGCCAAGCAGGGGAAGTGCTGGTCCGACTGCGGCGTGTAAGCGGTAGATGAGGGTGATTCCCGGCATATCGGTCCGCCTTGCATGTCGTGCGTCACCAGCAGCCAAAACACAATACGGGGGTCATCAGGGTGGGTCCGACTAATGCTGCCTTATAAACTCAATACGCCCTTGACCTCACTCACCCTGGTGTATTTCTCACCTGGGCTCCTTTACGCCTGGCGCCGTCTCGAATACTCCTCAGTCGAGGTACCCAAAATCTGCGGTGCTACGCCGAGCTGCCCCATTACCCTCACCCCTGGGCTGGGAACGGGAGGTTGATTGGGCGGCAATCCTGATCCAGAACTGAGAATCCATCGACCCAGAACGCGAGAGCGGAGATCGGCACTTTGTGAGATGTGCTCAGCGGACCCCCTCATAGTACGGACGAGACCGCTCGACCATTCTCCGCCCTCGGCCTTCCCACATTACGACAGTCAGGGCCAAGCGCGAGGTGTTGACAAAGATGCACTGCTATGTCCCCTTTGTCCGCTAGAGGTTGCCGTGTTGGCTGTATAGACGGATTCATTCGTCCGGGCCCCTGTTGTCTAGCAGCTGACTATCCGGTCACGCAGCCACGCATCGTCTTCGGATCGCTCCCGGTTCACTTGATCGAAGCGGTCCCACCCCTGACCACCATTCTGTCCATACGAAATCATGCCGTGCCCCAGTCCTTACGCAAATCCCAAACCCTGAGAGTTGGTTCCCGTTCTGATGCCCGCTCCTGAGCCTCATAGACTTTGGTAGGCCGCCGGCACTACATCCTGAACGCTCCACAGGCGCGCAGTTGATCGCTGCGTGTAAATACGCAAGTCTCGTGATCCGTTCTCTCTCCGTATGCCTTTGGTGCCCGACCCGCACCACGAACACATCTGTCCATCATGCATTGGCTCAAGCCCCGTCCGGGAAAGTGTCGATGTACTCCGAGTCGCCAGCGTCTTAAGTGAGCCGTGACCGCCGCAACTTTCGTCGTCGCCGCCCGCTCAGAAGCCCCCGCTCCCATGCACCATCTCCCTACAGGCCGAGCTCTTCGTTGGTATCACAACCAACTCGCAGCATCATGTCCTCTTCTCTACGCAAGCCCCGTGCCCCCTTCATGTACACCAACGCAGTGTACTGGCCAAATTATCGAGTATACAACGGGGACACACCAGGCCAACTGAACTATGGCTGCATCAACCGCGTCTACTACGCTTTTGCCAGCGTGACGGCGGACGGAGGCGTATTTGTAAGTCGGCTGCCTCTCGGTCTTAGCTCTCTCTACCTTCTACTAAGCTCTATAACCAGCTCAGCGACGAGTGGGCCGATGCCGGGGCTCCTTGTGATGGCGTCCACGGCGCGTTGGGGTCCCTGATGCACCTCAAGCAGCGGTATCCGCACTTGAAGGTGGTGCTCTCCATCGGTGGCGGTGACTCGGCCGAGACATTCCCCATCGTGGCGTCCAACGCCGTCCTCCGGGACAAGTTTGGTCGATCGGCCCGGGGCCTGATTGAAGCGTCGGGTCTGGATGGCATTGACGGTAAGTCTTGGGCATTATTCTACATTCAGGTTAGTCGACGACCCCGATGCTAAAAGGAAGTGAATAGTTGTATGGGAATACCCATGCACCCCAGAGCAGGGGAACGACTTCCTCGCCTTGGTTGCAGCGATTCGAATCCACCTCCCCGAGGACCGCTACCTGCTGACCGCTGCACTCCCGGCCGCGAAACCCGTGCTACAAAACATCGACCTACGGCAAGCTGCGGAGTACCTCGACACGCTCAATCTGACGGCATACGACTTCTTCGGCCAATGGACGCTCAAGAGCGGCCACCACGCCCAGCTCTACTCGACCAACAAGGATGAGCCGTCGGGCGACTTGGCGGTCAGGCACCTCCTTGCCTCAGGCGTGCCTGGGAGGATGATCCTGCTGGGGATACCGCTCTTTGGGCGCAGCTTCCTCCATGTTGCCGGACCGGGCCACAAGAACCGGGGCGTTGGCGGAAGCGACGGGACGATTGAGTACAGCCAGCTTCCCCGGAAAGGGACCAGGGAACAGGTGGACAGGAGGGCGATCGCGGCACAGTGCGTGGGTGCCGACGGCGGGTTCGTCACGTACGACAACCCCGAGACGGTCCAGGTGAAGGCTACGTATTGCAAGCAGAAGGGTCTCGGGGTATGTATGATTCAGAGAACCAGCCCACCCCTCCTCTCCTCCCCTTTCTGTGTTGACATCTGTGCTGACAAATCTTGCACATAGGGGCTGTTCTACTGGAGCGCACCGTCGGATGCGAAAGAGAGCAAACGGAGCCTCATCACGGCCGGCTTCAAGGCATTCCACAGCTCTTGATGGCGCACTACTCTGAATTTTGGGTTGCCTTCTATTCTGGTCCAGGCCTCTGACCTGGCAGCTGGCCTGGCACTTGTGTTCTGATCTGTATTTCAAACCTGAAGAACTGACACAAAAGTCCATGACGATGTGGAGGGAGTGGTATTGTCACGCGCATTTTCCTAGTGGTGTTTTGAACAGTCTAGAAAAGGCGAGTTTGGCATAGATCCTTCTTTTTTTCTTTCTTCTTTTCTCTTGTTTCCTATTCCTTTCCTTTTCAAGCACACCCGACTTGCAGATGGTAGCACAAGCAAGGGTCATGGCGCACCCATCAAGGACTTCTTCCCCGCGTTGGGGTATTGAGAAAAAGTACTTGCTGATCGATGGCCAACACATGGGATAGACCGTCAAAGCTCTCATCGAGCTCGAGAGTTCCCCATCGTTCGTCCCTTGTTGCCCCTTGGGAGTTGGTGACGTGTTTCTCAGGCTGCATTGCAGGTTGGTGTCTAGCAACCGTCAGGAAGTTCTTCCCCGGGCCAGGGGTCATTCCAGCAAGCAATGGCAGGCCAAGGAGGGCGCGCCTGAAGTCGCACAGATCTGATGCTGTACGCCCCAGCCAGGGCGGGTGAGGCAACTGGGATGGCACGAGACCATGGAGATCCCAAGATTCGGGTTCCAACTTTCGGCTTCTGCAATGTGTTGTGTGACGACATCAGGTTAGATGCCCAAGCTGGAATCGAAAGAGAGAGAAACGGCGTGGAAATCCGAGCCCAGTGATGGGTACGACCGGTATGGGGCTGTGTCATTGATCGGGCCCGAGAGGCTGCCACGTCTCTCCCTCGCTGTGTGGAGCGAGAATTGATGGATGCTTGGTTCTTTTGTTGGCGGCGACCTCTATCAGACAGATCATCTCGCAGGGCGATCAAGATGGTATGTCGTTGGCAGGGAGTGGGATGGAAGGGGTTGGCGGCCGAGATTCGGGTTGGGCTGAAATGCAGCCGCGGACAGCCACATGAGATGGACAGTGGGGGATCCTCAGGTACGGTACGGAGGGTCCAGCCCCGTCCCAGCTGAGTGTAGGACTCCGATGGCCAGCCTTACGCGGGGTACTTGTTAGAATACGGAGGGCTTGGGTTGACTTGATGAGGTTGATGCCCTGGATTTCTGGACTCGAAGCAACGTTGGCAGCCCAGATCCCAGCGAGAAAAGCATCTGAGCCCAGAGTGGCAGTGTGCATCATTGCAGCTGAAACCTGCCTAGAATGGTCCTAGTTGAGTAAAGCCCAAAGTAAAGCATACTCATATTTGTCTCCGGAAAACCATTCTCATCTTCCAACTAAGGAAGCTCCTCATGTCTTTTGGCCCTGTGTTTTCCAAACTCCTTTTCCCACCCCACTTTTCTTTCATTTGGGCCGACCGGGGTTAGGGTTCTATATGATGCTACCTCGCTCATTACCAGCCCTCTTGGCTCTCATGACGTTACGTTTTAGCAAAAATGATTATCATCCGCACTCGTCGGGCCTTCGTAATCATCGATCGTAGTAATCGGGTACGTTAAATGACTGATGTCTGTTTAACTGAACAATCTTGGCAAGCTTGGCACCCATTCGCTCCCATGTACACTTCCAACCCTAACCTACTAATGGCTGTGCACTGCGACTCGGTTGGATAAAAATCTGGGGCGACTTGATTGGCTTAACATGACTTGGCAATCATGTGATGTAAATTGGCGTGTAACGCGTTAGGGTTATCTTTGAGTGCGAAAGGGTGCTAAGGTTGTTCAGTTCAATGGTCGTTGTTCATTTCAACGTACCCGACTAGGAGCCTTGGCGACTAGGAGAATCGGCGATTTTGAAGCCCCGACGAGTAGACATGTGAGAGAGGATGATGGCTGAATTGGCCCGTATTCCTGTTGCTCAACAGCAACCCCGCAGTATTCCTACCTTACCTTCGCGCTCGACGGGATATCCCAAAAGAAACTCACTGGCTAGGGATTTGGACAGAAAATAGAACAACAAATCTGTCAGACGTCGTCCTTTCTCACGCTTTTTGCCCCATCCGCTGTCGTGTCTATACATGTGAGATATCTAAACACCAGGGCGCACCTTGAAATATGGCCGACTCCTCCCTGTACCTCGTCTGCAACACCTGCGGCACGCAACATCCCACTTCTGATCGCAGCGCTCTCACCACATGCTTCATCTGCGATGATCCCCGTCGTACGTTGATCCAGCGAAAACTTCCCGTATATGGATAATACGACAACCGAGATGACCCTAACTAACGCAAACAGAATACACCCCTCCGTCCGGCCAGAGCTTCACCACCCTCTCAGCCCTGCGCTCCGAAAAGGAGCGACGCAACGAATTCCACCCCTTCCCGGGGGACCCGCGCTTCACCTCGATCGTGACCGTCCCCAAGTTCGCCATCGGCCAGCGCGCCATCCTGATCCAGACGCCCCGGGGCAACGTGCTGTGGGACTGCGTCACGTTCCTCGACGACGAGACGGTCCGCCGCGTCCGGGCCATGGGCGGCATCCGCGCCATGGTCATCTCGCATCCGCATTTTTACTCCTCGCATCTCGAGTGGGCTGAGGCGTTTGGCTGCCCGGTGTATCTGGCTGCCGAGGACAGGCGGTGGCTGGCGCGGAGGAGCCAGGAGAGCCAGGAGTTTCTGGAGGTCGTCGAGACGAGGGTGGAGGTGGATGGGGAGGATACCGGTGTGAGGGTCATCAAGCTGGGCGGACACTTCCCTGGGAGTTGTGAGTATTGTTTTCTTTGTTACGTACCTGGGAATGGCAAGAGAGCTGACGTGCATGCTAAAAGTGGTGTTGTTGTACGACGGTCATCTCTTCACGGCCGATACCTTGATGATGACGCCAGCAGGGCTGGCTAACTGGACTGTGGACGCCCTGGGTAACCCAAGAGAGCGGCCCAAGGGGGTGAACACGTTCAGCTTCCTGTGGAGTATACCCAACATGATTCCCCTGAGTGCTTCCGAGATTGCGAGAATGTGGAGCATTCTGAAGAACTACGATTTTACGAGTGCCCATGGACTGTTCCCCGGATGGGACATCAAGGACGAGAACGTCAAGGCGCGGGTGTTGGAGAGCATGCAGATACAGATCAAGGCTATGGGCTACGGGGAGCATCCATTTCTGAAGGAAGTACTATAAGGGCTAGTAGTATGTATTGTACATCTACATGCACCAGAACGCCAGCACCATGAGAGCCGTTGCTGAATAGTAAACAGAAATTAACAAGATAGCCCCAACCTCTATACAAGTACAAAACCAAGCTCGTCCCTGTTATCATCAATGACCCTTCCCCACTCCAGCAGAAGCCGAAACAAATACACCTCCATATCCTCCCTCCGCACCACTTTCCCAGCCCAGCGTTTCCCCTGCTCGGCGATCCACTTCCCGTCTTTGTGCCGCCCCTTCATCTCCACACCCTTCCCGTTCAGCCTGCGGCCATCCTTGGTCTGTATGCCGACAAAGTACGCCAGCGTGCTATGCAGCGCATGATAGCGCAGGTCGACGGGGACAAAGTGGACCCACGGCATCAGCCGGTCGCTGTACCACTCCCTGAAGATGGAGGCGTAGAATGGGACGCTGCTCGACCGCAGAGTGGGCAGTAACTCGAGCGGCGGGCCGTTGTCCGCATCCACAACCATGACGTACTGGCTCCTCAGGGCATTTTCGTCGCTGGCGTTCTTGGAGAAGTCGGCGTCGACAGCTTCGCATATGCTGCTGCCGCCAGGTTCGCAAGCTGTATAGTCGGAGAATGCCACGTCTATGGGCAGAAGCTCGTTGAGATCGGCCGTCGGTACCTGCTCGAATGCATATCTGTTCTTCTTGTCTGGCAGCAAAAGCGTGGTCTTATCCGAGCGCGCAGCCGTGTTGAGTGAGTGGACGAGCCGCTCTTGGTGGCCACCGCGGACGAGCTCATGGCTGGTTCCGAGGCGGTCGACTTTACCGCGCCAGAACAGTTTCTTGAGCTTCATGTCGAAGCCTTCCGTGTTTGAGTCGGCTGTCTCAGCGACCCGCGGCAGCGGGATGAGGATGTCGCTGTAACTGTCCGTCTTGGCTCTGCTGAAGACGGGGAGTAGCTCCTGCAGAGGCCGCCGTTCCGCGGGAGTCATATGGAGACTGTGCAAGCGAAGTAGGTCCGATTGGTGGCAGATCTCCTGGGAGAGACGCCAGTTGACCAGGAACTGACCTTGGGATTGTGGTCTGGTACAGGAAGCGCAAAGGTCCCGGATATTCCAATGGGTCCCTGCCCGTGACCTCGTCCCCGGCGGGCACGCCAGAGCCGTCATTTCATGGACCGCTCTCACCGGCGTAAAATTATCTGGAGCTTGCAGTTTGTCGTTAGCTGTAGACTGAGCCACAGGCAACTCACTGAGCAGGTCTGAGGTGCGGGGCAACAGTTTGCTGACGCGCTTTCTGTTTGCCGTCGTTGCGAATCTTTGGATGTCATCCCATGGAGCGAGCACCCGGGGCCGCTCTTCCAGGTTGATAGCCAGTTCCATACCAGGAAGATGTTCTGCGAAACCCTTGACTAGATCGACTAAACCATCCATGACGGCACTGTGTGGGCTTGCGGAAGGGAGAGTATGCTCAGACTTGCCACCTCGAATCTGAAGTAGAGCCATGTTGGGCTCGGCAGCAGCACGGCGGACATCTTCTCTAATCTTGGACGGTGAGACTCCCCAGAATGGGAGGAGATCGTTCTGGATCTGCGGGAAATCGTCGAGGAGAACTGAGCCGCGCTCCTTGGCGAAGTGATACCAAACGTCAAACTTGGGCGGCGGCTCCCTGCCATTGTGGCGCTCTCTGTATTCTTGAACCGCAACCGACAACGAGTCGCTGACGGTTGCATGAACCAGCCACCGGTCGGCCTCAATGCGAGCATCGTAGATGATCTTGACCAACGGATGCTGGTCGATAACCTGTAGCGCCTTGATGGGCGTGTAAATCGTCCCCACAATGGTGACGAGGACGAGAAGAAAGACAACAAAAGCCCTGTGAGCAAAGACGACAGGCTGGATGTTGTTCGCGTAAAGAAAATGAGAGAAGCCGACGCAGACGAGAATGAGGGCAAAGTAAGTGGTGGCGGGCGAGGTGTTTTCCCACGTTCCTGTCAAGGCGGTCTTCTGGACAGCTTCCGAAAGCCCAGAGAGAAAAGCGACAATGCCGGATAGCGACAGAGGGCTTTCATCGGGGGCAAGTAGGCTAGTCGACACGAGGAAGACGGAAAAGGCGAGGCCATCGACGATGACATCGAAAAGATAGAGCGAATCAAGGCTTTGAAAGTGGTAGCTCACTGGCCTGGTAGAGAAGAGCAGACGGGAAAGCCAGTAGAACAGGCCAGTGCCAAGAAAAGCGACGACGAGAATGCCACTCAGAGTTCTCAAGCGGTTTTTCGTTGTTCTCGCCCAGGCAAGGATCCGCCACACGGCAATGACGATGGTTGCATCGAGGAGAAGGCCGGCCCATTGAAGTAGGGCAATAAGGGTTGGCCAGTCATTGCTTGAACAGAAGTAAGTCGATCTGGGGTCGTTGGATGATGCAAGGTAGGTACCCAAGGTGAGCATCAGGAGGCCAACCGACAGCGACGCTTTGGACTCGCCGAACCAGCGCCCCAGCGCGTCGAAGACGGTCATTCCGGGATCGTCATCGTCCTTTTCGTCGTCATCATTGGCGCCGACCCGCACCCTGCGGCCGGGCAGAAGTTCGTACAAGAGAATCAGTAAAGGGAGGAAGGCCTGGCTGCAGTATTAGAGCCACGAGCGGATACAGTACACCACAGCCTAAGGCTCACCTCGATACCCGGCCTTGAACACTGTAGATCAAGAGTCACCCGGTGAAATATCTCGAGACGAAGGAAGATGCAGACTACCAAGCCGGGAAGAAAGTATCGCCGTGGTTTCTTATGCAAATTTGTCCGCTTGACCCTTAATGGGCCCAACTCATCATCTGCCGGCGGTCAGTCAACCATTGGGGGTATTGTAGGGGGGTAAAGAAAGCCTGCCACCCACCAAACCTGCCGTTTGCGCCTGGCAGCCATGCTGCACAGAAACTGGCTGCATATGATGATATCGCTGCGATGAGCAGGACAAGGAGGGTTGAGAGTCTGGGATGTTCTGCTTTCCCTTGATGAGCTTCGGCTTCAAGACATACACAGTGCATAATGGACGAGTACCTATAATTTGATGATCTTCTAGACTGTGAGCAAGCCAGAAGGAGGATGAGACGGCACTGGAATGGCGGTTAGCAAAGGTCCAACACTACTTGGGTACCAGGGACATGGGACTGACCACAAGGCCGGCCACCCGCTGGGCATGGTGAAGAGCAGTCAGTCAGGGGTTAACGGCAACACGCGAGTGCTGCCAGCTTCCGCTGTCTGCCACTACCTATGTAAGGTATCGCAGTGGCAGAGCCCCAACTTTGTTGAAAGGTCAGTAACTCGAGTGTTGGACACAGCCTTCCATCAATCCAGATCCAGAAACGGTACCTGAGTTTCCATGCTCCATCTCACTCAATGGATCCTTGCTTGTGCTGACTGTTCAGTCCAGATTGAATGTTGAGTGAGGCACTGCCAAATTTAACGTAATTCGCACGCTGAAAACCCTTGCCCAACCCCTGAAACATACGGCATTACATTGAATTGATGTAATATAGATTACGGTTACTTCGTAATATACGGTGATTTGCGTACCACAAGCTCGAGCGAAGTTGTATTGTACCGTTAATACAGCACACACGGTTATCTTCGTTTAGACGTCGGTTCCATGACGCGGGACCTCCAAAGCAACAGTTCCTGCCACACGACTTCTTTAATATCATCGGCAGCGAAAACCACGGGCACCCAGCTGGCATTACAGCGGCCCATGGACCACCACATTCGATCTCCGCAATGACCTCGCTCAAGACGGGTCCGTCAACGCCCGGTCTACACCTCATCTACATCCCCGCAGTCTGCGCCCTCATCGCCTTTCAAGCCTACTACTCACAATACCTCTTCAGCAGCGACCCCGACCTAGCCCCCGGGCCCCTCACTGGAAGAGATTCTCTCACCTTCAACACCCTCGTCGCCTGCCTCTGGTGGACCTACTACCGCGCCTGCACCGTCGATCCCGGCCGCTACATCTTCCCGCCGTCCCCCACCTCGTCACCCCCCGATCCCATCGCTTCTTCCAACACCCTCAAACCGACCCGCTGGTGCAAAAAATGCGCCGCTCCAAAGCCCCTCCGTGCCCACCACTGCCGCCACTGCCGCCGGTGCATCCCCAAGATGGACCACCACTGCCCGTGGACCGGCAACTGCGTCTCAATGCAGACCTTCCCTCACTTCCTGCGCTTCCTGCTCTACACCAATTTTTCGCTGTGGTACCTGGCTTCCCTGCTGTGGCAACGTGTCGCCGCCATCTGGGCCGACCGCCACCTGCCGGCCTACCTCGGCCCGTCGCTGCACAGCCTGGTCGGCCTGACGCTGCTTTCGCTGGCCAACGGCGCGACCATCCTCGCGCTGGGGATCCTGCTGTACACGACCGTCAAGGGGTGGGTCTTCAACAGTACCATGATTGAGGACTGGGAGGTGGAGCGGCACGAGGCGGTGCTGGCCAGGATGGACAGTGAGGACGGGTATTTTTGGGGCGACGACGACGCCACGTTGCGGGAGCTGCTCGAGAAAATTGAGTTTCCCTATGATTTGGGCGTGTTTGCGAATATGGCCCAGGCGATGGGGACGAGGAACCCTCTGCGGTGGTTCCTCCCCGTCTTTGGAGGCGGGCCTGTCATCAATAATGAGACGCCTGGGAAGGGCACTGGGTGGGAGTGGGAAGAGAACGGTTTCAATGACCTGCCGGGGCTGTGGCCGCCTCCTGACCCGGAGAAGGTGCGCCAGGCAAGGCGCGGCGCGTGGCCCGGGGCGGCGGGACAACAGGAAGATAGATACGATACATATCAGACCCCGGAGGAAGTCAAGGCCGCTTTTGCGAAACGCCAAGAGGAGGATTTTTTAAGGAGACAGCGTGCTCAAGCACAACAGGCTCATCAGCGGTCCGGCATCGTCGCTGAGCTTGAAAAGTGGGATGACCTGGGCGGGACCGAGGTCGCCAAGCCATGGGCAAATTCAGACGGCGACCGGCTGTGGGACTATGGCGTGGACGAAGCCGTCGAAGAAGAAATCATACCTGCGCGAAAGGATGACGAGGATGTGCCTTTGGCCGAGCTGATCCGGAGGCGTAAGGTACGATCCAGGGGAGAGGATGATTGAAACTGCTCGTTCAGTGAGATTACGTTATCTTTATGTCTGAGCGGGGGGTGATCACAGGTAGCATATGGAATCCCACTTCGCACGATAATACCGGTGAGTCATGACAGCACCTAAACAGGAGCCAATAGCTCTCGGGGCGGCAGCAGAGGAAACGAAGCGGGTTTAAAGCACCTCGCTGTTCACCAATTCACAGCAAGAGCGCTATCTATCTACCAGTCATCGTCGTCATCCTTCTTCGCCATGGCATTCTTCCGCGCCAACAAGGCATCTGCCAAGCTCCCTGCCAGACTCGGCGTTGGAGTGTTACTCCTGCTGCTGTCCGACCCATTCAGACTCATGCCCGAATCGCGGGCTTGCAGTCCGGCGGGCTTCTTGCCCGCTGCTGGCCGCTTAGCAGGCGGCTGAGGCGCTGCCGCCTTCCCCCTCGCAGCAGAACCGTTGGCTGCTGGTGGGGCCGGTGGCGGCCGGGGTGCTGCCACAGGAGCCGCTTCTTTTGTTTCCTCGACGTACGCCGCCGGAACCCAGCCCGGACCTTCCCCCTCTGCCGTCTTTGCTAGCCACCACCCTGATGAGATATATGGTCAGCATGATAAATAACGTCAAGCCACGCAATGACAAGCTTACCGTTGTTTTCCTTCCGCTCGATTTCGATCACTTGGCCCTTCTTAATCGACAGCTCGTTTTCTCTTGTGCCCACAAAGTCGTACAGAACCTTGGCCATAATCTTGGGCTTTGCAGTAGGGACGGCAGGGGGCGGTGGAGGAGGAGGGGCGCGCACAGACGATGAATTGGACTGCTGTCGGGTGTGCGTCGGGATGCTAACGGATGATGCCACCGCAGCCGCCGCCGCCGGCTGGGGTTGTGGCACCGGCCTTGGAGAAACCGTTGTACTAGCCGCGCCAGAAGCGCCCGCTGATGGCCGAGGTTGCGGTGTACGGTTGACAGGGAACCGAGACGGCCTCCCACCTGGCCCGCCGGGCTTGATCAGTTTCCCTCGGGTGATTGGCCTAGGCGGGACTGGCTTGCCCTTGGGTGTCGGCCTGGACACCGAGATCGCCGACTCTCCTGGTTGGGTGTGGACGACGCCGCTCTTGTAGAAATCTTGCGGGGTGGGCGAGTCCTTCAGAACCTTAACACTCTGCATCTTGCCCGGCTTCTTGGCGTATTCAATCGTGTCCGCAATCTTCAAGTTGAAACCGCCAGGCATCACCCTCTTCATTTGAGTGAACATCTCGGTTTTGAGCACACAGTTGAGAAGGGGGTCAGGCTCTTGCTGCGAGCCGACACCCAACGAAAACCAGTCGTCCCGGGCTGTGGATGTTCCAATGGACTTTATCGCCCCAAGCGGGAAAGAACGCTCAACCACGATCTGCACCTGGTGGTTTTGACCCATAGTCTGTGCCACAATATAATACTTGCTGTTAGTGACAATCAGGATCCTAGGGCTGGGCTTGCTGGACCGGCCAAACTTTGCCTCCAGAATCTCGCCTCGGCAAGAAAATACAACTCTCTCGTTGCTCCCAAGTTGGATGGCGTTGCGCACATGCGCCCCGGGTCCAGAGCTTGCATTTATGCCGAGATAGTCACCGAGGAACCGCCTTGAGCCCAGAATGCTCATCCTCCTGCGCTCTTTGCGGCCCCCTAGGACTCTGTGACCTTCATCCCGGAGCTCGAGATACTCTGCCCCGGTTCGTTTCTTCCTCCAGAAGCGCTGGATGCGAGTGGCAGCCTCTGCCCGGTAGGCCAGGTACGCTCGCCACATGCGCTGAATGCGCGTTGCCATGTTATGCCAGTACCGATCTCGCATATGCTCAAGCGCGAAGAGCGTCTCGGGCGACTTGATGAAAGCTTTGGTAACACCGAGCTGCCATTCCTCCTGGGGAATGCTCGTGTCCTTCAGAATCTGCTTGACAGCCGCTTCATAGGACCCTTGCCAGGTGTACTCGCCAGCGTACGACGTGGCCGGCGAGAGCAAGAAAAACCGGTCGACAAACTTTTCAAATGATTGGCGGTAGGCAAATCCAGCGCGCCGGATGCGCACGTTCTCTTGGAGACCCAAGTACTTGATCTGATGGAGGACGTTGGGAACGTTGTACTCGGTCGGCGACTTGTTCTCGTTGGGCTTGATGGTCCGGATGTATGAAGGCTGGCATTTCATGAGCGTATCCACGAGCGCGTTGGCTGATGCTCTGATCCTGTCGCCGGCCGACGGAGGTTGCTTCCGGTTGTCTTGATCCACCTGGTTGGGGAAGAGAGTGTGTATGAACTTGTTCTGACTGCCTTGGAAGAGGTTGAGGAGACCTTTCAGGAGCAGGTCCTTGTTCTTGTCGGTAATGCCATCCACCGTGTACGAGACGTCGCCGGCGTAGTGCTTGACAATGAAGCTACCCTGCCGAGGGGTCAAATGAGGGTTCGACATGCCGTTGATGCTTTGCATAAAGGTGCGATCGCAAGCGGCAGGGTCAGCATGGGCCGTCTTGGTGGCATCCTTCATGGCGGAGAAGATGCCCGGCGGCCTGATGGACTCAATGAGGTCGCACACAATCTTGTTGTCGAAGTAGGAGATGGGAGTCCACTTGATCTGCTCCCGAGCATACTCTTCCTGCTCCGCCTTCAAGGTCAACTGAATGAAAATTTGCTGCAGCTTCTCGTTGACATAGTTGATGCAGAGCTGCTCAAAGCTATTTTTCTCGAAGATCTCAAACCCGTAAATGTCAAGAATGCCGATCGTGTTGGCCGTAGCCTGCCGCGCCCTGAGGGACTGATTTATCCGTTCCACAATCCAGTCGAACAGGTTGTTGTAGATGGCCTTTGCCAGCGCGTCCCGGGTCGCCGTCGCTTGAGCAACGTTGGCTGGGGACTCGATCACCTCTCCGTTTCTTGGCGTAAGAATACGGATTGTAATGGCGTGGACGAGACGAGCTGGCTCAACTTCGAGGAGATAAGCCAGGAAGTCCACGACCGACTGGTCCGACACAGCCGCATACCCGCTATCATCCTCGCGGAACACAAGATTGCCTGTCCAAAGGATAGCGGCCAGCATCCGGAAAATGTTGTCCTGCTCTGCCTGCGAAAGGCCAATAACCTTCATGGCATTAAGTGTGTCCTGGAACTCGGCCAAGTCGTCGATCCCGTCCACATTGAAGCACTTGGACCTGCTGGTGTAAAGGTACGTTTCCGGCTTTTGCACGCCAAACGTCTCGCGGTAATGCTGCGATGCTCCCTTGGTAAACTGGTAAAAGATGTGGAAATTGCGCTCATTGGCGATCTGACCGACGACGCGGGTCTTTTCGAGAAGATAGTTTGTGATGTCGGCACCGACCGGTTCGCCCTGGGCGTTGAAGTGGATCTGCAAGTACTTCCCGAAGCGCGACGAGTTATTGTTCCGTAGCGTCTTCGCATTACCGAAGGACTCGAGCAGAGGGTTGGTCGCCAGAACCATGTCCTTGATTTGTTGGATTTCGCCCGTTTCGCCGCCCGAAACGTTGGCAATGTACTGCATGATGCGCTTGGCGGCCTCGGTCTTGCCGGCACCAGACTCGCCAGAGATAATGACGCACTGGTTGTCCTTGTAGGCCTTCATGTTGTAGTAGGCGGATTCGGCGATGGCGAAAACATGCGGGGGCACTTCGAGCCGGTTTTTGCCCCGGTAGCTGTTGAGGACCTGCTCGGTATAGATGCCGAGGTCTCGAAAGGGGTTGACGGAAACCAAGACATGGCCAATGTATGTGTAGATTTCAGCGCCCTCGAACCGCTTCTTCAAGTTCTCGTTGATGGCCTCGTTGGACACAGTCCGCAGTAGCGTCAAGTCGGAGACGCCAATCTCCTTCTTTTTCGTCGTGTCGAAGGTGGCCTTCTTGGGCTTGGTCGCGGCGGCCTGGCCGGCCCCGCCGGCAGAGCGATCAGCCCGGGCGGCTTTGTCTTTTGCACGTCGAGTGATACCCTACAAGCAGCTGCCGTCAGCGACATCAATTTCTTGTAGGCGGCCAAGAGTTGGGGTCGAGCTCTGGCAGCGTCGTCGTCGTCGAGAGCATCAATGTTCACTCACCATGGTGGCCAGTCATGCGCGCGCAGAACTCGAAACTCTAGCGATTAAAGGATTACGCCGCGATTCGTGGCTCTCAGAAAATGGCAAGGACGGACTGCGCTGTCGGCGCAATATTCCGGTTGCGATTTAACTGGGTAAGTTGTTGGTTTCTGGCATCGAATTGCGGCAGAAAGCCCCTCGTTGCGATCCTGCCGTTGATCCTCAGGGCCAACGGTGCCTGATGTTTCTCCTGAAATGGCCCGCTTCTCGGTGCAGTGACGAAAGCCCGCCAAGAATGGACCATGGTGGGGCAGGCTGAGCGTTCCACACATGTAAGTTGAAAGCCTAGCGAATCATGACCTGCTGCTGACCTCCACGGCGCAGGTCAATTGCACTCAGCCACATCTTCAACCCAGAAGCCGCGCAAGCCAATTGGACCTCGGAGAGTCGAGAGTTCAAACACATTCGTCTGTTTTCGGCCACAAAAAGGCTCACGCCACGCTGCTCCAGAGTTGCAACGTTCTTTGACGGACAAGTTTAAAGGAGACGGCCAGCACAACAGGTCTTCTTCGCAACTGGAACAACTCGAGGCAATCTCCTGTAAATGATGCGATATCCGCTTGGGCCTTGACCTGAAGAGAGCCTAGATGTTGTCTCTCGACGGCCGTTGGTGCACGACTGAACTCACATGCCGAACTAAGAAGCATATAAATGGATCAGTTTCTCCAAAATCTGGACACCGGAAAAGGATACTGGTAGAATATGACTCCTGGAGCAGGGCAGAAGCTTTGGTGTTTTGGGTGTCTAGGAGGACCTAAATATCGTACGATTCCCCACGTGCGGCACGACCCGGACCGTCGAAAGAAGACCTTGACCAGGATGTGAAGAATGGTGCGCAGATGCAGGTGAGCACTGGCATGCTGCAAACAAGCTTATATCAAGGCCAATCCCATCTCTTCGGACGATGAAATCGACCACTCTCCATCCCCCCGTCTCGGCCAGCCGTCCTCCCTTTTTTGTGTCTTCGGCAGTGGAGGATGGCCCATCCGCCAAACCACCTAGTCAATGTTATCCAGCCTCCCGGCCCGATCGCCCGGCCCAAGCTCGAGCCCAAATACAGATTGGACCTGAGAGCCGTACGGATCCATCTGGACAACGTCTCTTGCTTCGAAGCCGTCTGCTTTAGGGGGGCCCTCCCCTTCGGCTGAAGCTGGTCTTGCTCCCCTCCAAGCGACCTTCTCAGGTGCCGATCGCGACCGTCAAGCCCCGAGCCGCAGCCTGCGACTTGTTGGCCGGGCTTAACCGTTCCACAAAGGGATTTGAACCCCGGATATGGTGGAAGCGCGGCGTCGCAAGTCTGTGCAGTTGGCCCGTGATGTGGTCGGAGGCTGACATTCTTGGCTTCAGATGGCATTCCTGACACCTACATGGCATTCTCTGAAACCGCAGTCTTCGAAAATCCGTCTGTGGATACCACACCCCGGACTGCTAAGGTTTGGGGCGTCTGAATTGCCCATCAGGCCCGGCACCGAAGGCTTGTTTCCGCGTCCTGTACATTTGTGCCCTCACACCCAAGATGGTCTCACCTTTGACTGTTGTCCCGGAGCCAAGCGAACGAGAGAACCAGGCTTGTCGCATGGTTTTGGCGAAGCACCGGTTCAGTGGGCCGTAGCATCTGTCTCGTTCCAATTTACGCTCTTATCAGGTAAAGTAAGGATTGCGCGCGTCAGAGCTTAACCCTCCGTTTCGCCAGACTATGGACTCTTGGTTCCGAGTTGGACGTGTGGCCGTCAACGAATAGTGGCTGGGGCTGACAGGAAATACGGGAAGCATTCAATCCCAGTTCTGTTTGACGAGAACTGATGAAGGGTAGTTGCACCACAGACTCACCCTAAGTGTTGCGCAGTGTCTCGGATCTGGCCATCCAAACTTGCTTAAAGTACCTACCTCTCAGCCTTCGTCCACGAATGCGAAGGATCCCGGGTTGGTGACCTGGCCATCCGGTAGCCGAAGTGCAACGATTGCTGTGGGATACTAGGACCTCATAAAGCGCGGCCAAGATGTGATGAATTGGACGTTTCTGATGCTATTCGCCTATTCAGGGTTGAGTGAGGTGCAAAGAGGGGGTCGAGCAGCCTCGACGCTATCCACATCGGCAATCTTCTCAGCATCTTTGGAATATGAGTGAGATTGATTGGTCTCAGGCCCTGTGCTGCTTTGAGGACTATGTCTTAAACCGGTCTAGTCCATCGGAGCTTTTTCCTGCAGCAAATCCCCCTGCTTCGAGACCCTGCACTGTTAAGCGCCAGGAGGTCTTGGCTGCCGACACCAAGTGCTGTCCTCCATACCACCGCATCGTTAACGAGAACCTCTGCTATTCACCACTTTCTCTTTCCTTCTCGCGCTACCGCATGCCTAGGATCGCTACAATGTCGAAGTTCAGGTCAAAGGGACTGTGACATTTTCCCGTTGTGTATTGCCTTTGCGCCTTCTCGAAAATTCGTCTGCGCACCCCTGTCCAGACGAAACACCAAGGTCGCCTTCAACAGCCCCTCGGTCAAAGCGTCTCCAACATCACTCGTCTCAACTTCTTCGCGCCACCCGTCACATCTTCCAAGCCTTTCTGGTAGCGGCCAGCTGCCAGACCCAGAAAACTTGAGACAGTCTGGCAACCACGAAACCGCCTCCAACGTCTGATCTACCAGCATATCCTCCATTGAATTTCTTCGCCCATTTGCCGTGTTCCTGCGCCCATCAACAAGCCCTTGACCACTTCTGTGGGGACGATTTCAACGTGCGAAGGGCAAGATCGTGACATCCTAGGACAAGAGCGGCGCTAGAGCATTCCGCAGAGAGTTCCTCGAGGTTTCGGAGCCCCTGTCCGACTCGGATTTTAGCTCTAGACCTTACAAGCAATCCAGGAAAAGGGACTCAGTGGGCTGAGGGCACGGATTCCACAATACCTCCCCAGTCCTCGTTTGTATCCGTCGGCGCCGCGCGCCGTGTGGGCGGGAGAGGGTGTTACATCATCCTGGCTTCTAGCTGCTCGGCACATCCTGGGTCCGGTCTCTTATGACCAAGCGCCCGCCGCCCGCACATCACTCCGGCGCTCACCTGTTCTCCTCCCTCTCACTCACTTGGCGAGGCAAAAGAACCGAGCCCTCCTCAGCAAGCGCTTCTTGTCGTCGCCCTTCCTTTCCCTTCAGCTGCTGGCTCAGATCACTCTTTTGTTCTTCGCTTCTAGAAACACTCGGTCGTCGGCGACTTTATTGTGTCGTGTTGTCCCCGATTTCGACTGAGGTTTGTGTTTGTGGATAGTACTTCGACTGGATAGTCTTAATCCCGGGAGGGACGAGAAAGTGGGCTTTTTGAAACTGGGTCGGTATCGTTCGCACCACCTCGCCACCCTCGGCCGACCGCTCCCATCCGCTTGAGGCCATCCACGTCGACCATCTACTTCACGGCACTGTCCCAGGTTGGAGGAGTCGACGTCACCCCAGTCGCAGGTCGACATTGATATCGCGTGCCGTATATTGTACGGGGATTGAAGGAGGAACCGGTCGGCAAGATGGCGCTGCTCAATTTGTTGAAGAAGCAGTTCACGCCGACCAAGCTGTTCTTCCACTTCGTCTTCTGGACGTTTCACTGGGGCATCTTCGCCTACGGATGGTATGCTTGCCCAAGGAGAGGCCGTCGTGTGAATTGGCGGGCTTGGGCGCGGCTAACATGAGATGGTATAGGTGGAAGCAAGCGGCCGATGAGCGCCTGGCTGGCCTCAACACGCTTCAGTACTCGGTTTGGCTTTCACGAGGTGCCGGCTTGGTTTTGAGCGTTGACGGCATGCTCATCTTGCTTCCTGTCTGCAGAACCATCATGCGGTTCATCCGGCCCAAGATCAGATTTATCCCACTCGACGAGAACATTTGGATGCACCGACAGCTAGCCTACGCGATGCTGTTATTCAGCATCATTCACACTGCCGCGCATTACGTCAAGTAGGTGGCACCTCTTGACCTCCTGGATTGGCGTTGCTAACCTAACCGCGCGCAGCTTCTTCAACGTCGAGAAGACCCAAATCCGCCCAGTAACAGCTGTGCAGATCCACTACGCCCAGCCTGGTGGCATCACTGGTCATGTGATGCTCCTGTGCATGCTCCTGATGTACACGTCGGCGCACCACCGTATCAGGCAGCAGTCGTTCGAGACATTCTGGTACATGCACCACCTTTTTATTCCCTTCTTCCTCGCCCTGTACACCCACACGGTCGGCTGTTTCGTCCGCGACACAGCCGACGGCTACTCGCCTTTTGCAGGTGAAAAGTACTGGGAGCACTGCATCGGCTATCTGGGTTGGAGATGGGAGCTGTGGACCGGCGGTTTCTACCTCCTGGAGCGGCTCTACCGCGAAATCCGGGCCATGCGCGAGACCAAGATTACCCGCGTCATCAGGCACCCCTATGGTAAGCTAGCGAAGCGGCCTGCAAAATGTCAACGGAGGGCGCGGATTCTAACAGTTGCTACCTAGACGTGGTCGAGATCCAGTTCAGCAAGCCGTCATTCAAGTACAAGGCCGGCCAGTGGTTGTTCCTACAGGTTCCCGAGGTCTCCAAGTACCAGTGGCATCCATTCACCATCACATCCTGCCCGTACGACCCCTATGTCTCAGTCCACATCCGGCAGGTCGGTGACTTCACCAGGACACTCGGCGACAGAGTGGGTGCTGGCGCGGCGCAGAGCAAAATGTACGACACGGTCGACCCCATGGGCATGTACGAGGTGGCGCTTCAGAACGGCCAACAGATGCCGCTTCTCCGCATCGATGGACCGTATGGCGCTCCGGCCGAGGACGTGTTTGAGAATGAAATTGCAGTCCTTATCGGCACGGGTATCGGTGTCACCCCTTGGGCGTCCATCCTCAAGAACATATGGCACTTGCGCCAGGGGCCCAACCCTCCGACTCGGCTGCGCCGTGTCGAATTCATTTGGGTCTGTAAGGACACCAGCTCGTTTGAGTGGTTCCAGACGCTGCTATCGTCGCTGGAGCAGCAATCTAGCGAAGCGGCGCGCGTCCCCGGGTCGGGCGGCATCGAGTTCCTCAAGATCCACACGTACCTGACGCAGAAGCTCGACATGGACACGACACAGAACATCGTCTTGAATAGCGTTGGTGCTGACCTGGACCCGCTTACGGAGCTGAAGTCGCGGACGAACTTTGGTCGGCCCAACTTCAGCAAGCTCTTCACCAGCATGCGTGACGGCATTCTTGACCGGACCTATCTCAATGGCCTGGAGGGCAACATGAGGACCACGGTGGGCGTCTACTTCTGCGGTCCGTCGGCGGCCGGTAAGTACTATCCATCAGCTTCGCCAACTCTACAACCATGGCGCTAACACATCAAACAGCCCGCGACATCAAGAAGGCTGCCAAGGCGGCTACCGTTCGCGAGGTCCGCTTCCGCTTTTGGAAGGAGCATTTTTAATCGTACATAATTTGATAATCATGCGCATCCGTTTTGTCCAAAAGGGCAGCTGTTGCGCCCAGCGGGCTCCAACCCCTGAGTTGTCTGCTCACGCCGAGGGGCGGCGGATGTGAGAGCCACGAGGGTGGTGTTTTGATTGAGCAAGTGGACGGAGAAACATGATTTTACGCTTCAGACATGCTTGAACAGCTTCAGCTAGTCCTGAGCGAAGCTGATTTGCGCCAGGCTCAGTCTGTCAGAGCCCCGGGAAAGAAAGGTGTCGTAGAGGGGGATGGGGGCAGCGAAATGACTGGGAGGAGTGTTCCTACGACTCTTCCCCTCCATGTTTGGGATGTTTGGATATACCAAGGAGCTTACACAGCGTATGATCTAACTACTATATATGTGCATGTTCGTCACGTACATCAAGATATCTTGCCTCAATGCTGGCTTCTGGGCGCCTCTTGTCAAGCGGGAACAAGGGGCGAAGCAGGTGTCAGATGCGGCCAGTCTTGAGAGCGCGATGTTCGACAACCAGCGGCCAAGTAAGCTTGAATACGGCGGAAACACGGAGACGCCTGTGGCCTCGTGCCGGCTAGCGGATTGAAATGCCTACAGTAGCACATGCCACAGTTTGCGTCGCACCTTGGACCGCGCGGAACGGGACATTAGGTCGAGGTGTTGCAATCCTGCATGATATGAGCTCTGGGTTAAAGAGAACCCAGCCTCGAGACCAACGACTGGCCGTTACCAAGTAGACAAGCGCTCATAAAGTATGCCAGCAATCATTGAGTATGCAACCTGACTTGGGGTTCCGGCCAATTGGAGGGTCGGGCAACTGGGGGCTACGATGCTGACCAAACTGATGTACCTCGATTGCCTGATATGTTTAAAAGGGGTAGTCGAGAGGATGATTTCTACATACGCTATTTTGGCCTGCACTACCTGACTGAATGGAGCGGTACTTCCAGGTTGCGACCATGCTGCCGGTAATGGAGTGCGCTGCTCGTTCCCTGAAGAGAGTTGCAGACTGAATTCATAGGTACCCGACCTACCGTCCCATGACCTGGCGATGCTTCTTCCCTCGAAAGCAGGGCTCGACATCAATGGAATTGCCCTTGCATGCTTCTGCCCGGCGTGCGGCGAAGCAGCAAAATGTCAAGCGACATGACGCTTCACCGGGGGAAAGGGCGTGTGTGCCTAAGTCCCGTCCCAGACGGACTCAACCAGATGAGCAATAGCCCATGTGGGCCAGGTCATGATCAGCTTCAAGGCCCTGAGGTTTGAGGCGCCTCCCTTGCTTTCGAGAGGACATCACGAGTGATACATTTCCAACGCTTAAACAAGAGGCAGGGGGGGTGTACCGTCTTGTGTTCTACAGCAGAGCCTTGAACCGTCAGTGATTTCTGTGAGGGCTGAGGAGGCTGCCGAGAAGAAGAGGGATTGCTCAGATTTGATAAGTCCATTCCGTTGAGGGCTGTCTTCAGGGGACGGCGCTTCTCTTGCCAGACGCTGATGGGTGATGGGGCGTGCGATTCACAGAGAGAAGCAATGCAAACTTCGAGCAGCTATCCCAACCCTCACCCGCTCCAAACGGCTCACTGTTCTCCGCACCAGAAACACCATTCCCCGCGGCACAGCCGTCTCGTTGAACGCCAGCTTCCGCTCCAAGACGGCTACTCAAAAACCGCGAGCGAGAATATCACGCAGGACACAACTCGAACTCTCGAAAGTTGGAAGAGGTTGCCGAAGGACGGGAGACCAAGGCGGGTTTATAGGATTCCGTACTTTCCATTCTCAGGGGTGCTGAACAACACACGTCCCTTCCCTCGTTGACGGTAGTGCCCATGTCAGCATCCCATCACTGTGCAACTTGAAAATAGCTCCCCTCAAAATGGCAAGAGCAAACCTTGAGAACGACCGCGGAGAGAAAGGAACCAGGAGGCTGCAAGCTTTCAGCCATGCTGCTCTGCGCCTTCCCCCCCTCCCCAAGAAAACCCCCGCTCCACCTGGACAAAAAAAAACGTACTCTAAAATTGGAACCCCCCCCACAACCGATCAGACACCCTACTTCCCGCCCCTCTTCCTGCCATCGCTGGCAAAATGAATCGCCAATCACACTATTCCACGCCGAAAAAGGCGAGAATACGAGGGACGATTGATTATCTCGAATCTCGTCATATCCCGCACTTCAAAAGCGACGTTTTCCGCTTCCACGGAGCTAGCCAACGCTCTGGCTGGCGCGCCCTCGCGGAACCGGAGGATACAGGCGACCGATCTTTTCACTCGATATGTTCTGAGACTCGCGGCCGGAAAAGAAAGCTTAGTAAACAAGATCTAGCCCAAATTGAGAGGTTTCTCGAGAATAACGGCTTCGACGGGCGGACTGTGCCATAGGATGGCTTGCTTGCAGCCGCCGGCCTCGACATCGACGTCTCTGGGCGAACAGTACGCCGTGCAGTTCAGTCAATGGACTTCCGGATGTGTATCGCATGTTCCAAGCGATATACTTCGCCGAGATTGAAGGAGAGGCGAGTGGAGTACAGCCGAGTTATGCTGGAAAAATACCCGGATGCAAAAGACTGGAGGCACATCAGATTCTCCGACGAATGCCACTTTGGCTGGGGTCCTCAGGGTCGAGTCCACGTCATACGACGACCGTGGGAGCGTCATTGCCCAGACTGCATCCTCGAGAAAGAGATGCCGGCCGAGAAGGATCAGAAGCGACTACATTGCTGGGCGGCAGTTGGATACGACTTCAAGTCACCGCTTGTGTGGTATGGTGTACCTGGCAACTCCAACGGCAAGATGGCCATGCAGGTCTATAGAGACCACATCCTCGAGCCTGTGGTTGGCGGTTGGCTTCGTGAAGGCCAGTCATTTGTTCTCGAGGAGGATAATGACTCTGGCCACGGTACAAGAGCAATATCGTACGCGCTTGGAAGGAGCAGAACGGCTTGGAGTCTTTCTTCAACTGCGCTCAATCCCCTAATTTTTCTCCCATTGAAAAGGCATGGCAGGGGCCGAAGCAGTATGTAAAGAAGAGGCCTTGCTGGGACGATGAACTATCAATGCCTGGGTTGACAACATCCCTCACATCTTCAAGGATTGCTTGGAACTGGAAGGCGCTATGACTGGGAATTAGTTTGCAATTGAGATCATTCAGTTCGGCCACGATCTGCTGATGTTTCTGATCATTGAATTCTGGGGAGACGCGTTTTGGAGTAACATACCTTTTTTTTTGTCCAGGTGGGGCCCCGTAAACAGTTTCGCCCTCGCCCCGCCCTCGAGCTATTCTTCTTCACCTAATGCAGAAGCGGCAGCTTCTCTCTCCTCATATAATCGCTCTTGTCGATTTTCTAGGCGTCCGTGTTGGCATCCGGGCACGCGTCACCACCCAGCTCCCGAAGGAGGTGGATTGTTACGAAAATCCTCGGGAATTTTGCTTTGCAGGGAGTTGGGGGGTTCGAAGATCGGCGTGGTACGGCGCGTCGGCAAGACGGACTGGTGACCTCCTCGAGTGTCTCGGTGATAGGTCCCGCGCTCTTCCTAACAAGGCCATTGGCCTTTGGGAGGGGGTTGTCGAGAGGGAGGCTGACCTGATACATATATGGCTGGTGGTCTGCAAGATGCGTCGGTGTTCTGAGTGCCTGGGTTCAGGTGGAAGGGCGAGTCACTCACTGGGGGGCGGGTGGTTGGGGACCTCGGATGGCAACAGACCAGCAGCTTTCCCAGGCCATCCTCGCGCTGCATGTATCACCTAACCTTGGGGCCGCGGTGTTGAGATATGTTTTCCCCAGACTCTTGGCTACCAGTGTGATCAATATCATCTTGGAAACCGCGGATGCATGGCCAAGGTGATCAACGCCTTTGAGATGGATATTTGGTTTTGATCATCACGCGCGTCTGGCTTGCAGTGAGATTCACTTGTGAAAATGTCGCTGCCCCTGGCTGGCGATTAGCAATATAGAGCTGGTGGACATTGCGGAAGGCGGGCAAAATCGGACAATTACCAATCCTCAGGTGTTTGGCAAGTGAGAAACCGAGCAAGAACTCACAGGATGATCATTTCTTCCCACCAGTGCTGATCCGTCTTGTAGCCCAAGGTGGGATGCTGGGCATTACAAGACGATGCTGCTGGCTAACATAACGAAGGCACCATTCCGTGGATTTTGGTACATATTTGTACATACTGGATGTGTGCTTTGAGCGTTTTTTACCTCCTAGTCAGCCCATAGTAGCTAGCAGTCTGCTAACCGTTCAAGTCTTCGCTCAGGTCATTCTCTTCTGCATCGTAGTCTTCCGACTCGGAACCCTCCAAGTCGTCTTCTTGGTCAGACACCACACTGGGTGTTTGCGCACGAAGATCCTCCAGGCTCCTGTCGACATCCTCCTCAATCAAGACTTGTGAATCCTCTTGCTCAACCCCTTCTCCTTCTTCGTCCGATGCAACCTTCACATCGTCTGCAAACACCACTGTTTTGGAGGCAGGTGACTTGATCTCCGGCTCCAGTACGTCTCCATTCCATGGCTTGCACTCCTTGATCAACTCACCGCACCGCAGACACGGCCATCCTTCACCTTCCTCTCTTTCGATCCTTGTTGCCAAGCACACGAAGCAGTAGGTGCACCCGCATGGGATCGCTTCGTATGGGTTCGTGATTTCTGTTTGAGCCGATCCGACAACTCCGGTAGAAGCAGCAGCCATGAGCTCATTTTCACTCTTCGCCGAGTTTTGGTCCTCATAGCAGATGGCGCATGTCCGCTCGGGCAGAAACGAATATTCGCCCTTCTTCTCGTGGTCTGCAACCTCGGTTCCTGTGCTCATGATCTTCTTCGTCCTCCGCCATGTCCTTGCCAGCCATCGCCTCCACCGGTTTATCCCCACCAGCGGCAGCACAAAGAGCAGAAACTCGGTAAACGCATGCCAAACAAGCTGTCGGTTAAGATACTCGAACGACACCTCGCGGCTGACCTGGCTCGTTGGAGGCGCCAAGCGCATGCGCAGAACCCTGTCCAGTAGTGTCCTGTACCTCCCGTGGAGTAAGAAGACCAGGAAAGAGGCAAACGCCGCAGCCGCGTGCATCGTAGATAGTGTTGAAGTCCATCTCGACAGTCGTTGTACCCTCGGACTTGGCCCTTCAAATCCGTCGTCCTGCTCCAGCAGCCAATCCTCCCATTTTGCCCACAAGTATCTGCCCCCAACCGTCACCAACCCATGCAGCGACTTCTGCCACCTGCTCGGTGGCACCAGCGCCGGCCCATCGCGTCTCGCATCCGTGTACTTGAGATTCTGCAAGGCCGCGCCATATGTGGCATCGTGGTCCCACACAGTCAACTTGAATAAGACGGCCCTCAACGCGAGCGAGATCTCGGCCTCCCAGTCATGCAGTATTGAACTGCTGCTCCCAGCCCCGGCGTTGCCTCCGCCAATGTACTTTAGCGCGTCGCCAACTTGCCCACGCAGCAGCTCGACCAGCTCCTCGTCGAGAAGTTCCGCATCAACCTGGCCGACGCGAAAGGCCGGGCGCGTGCCCTCGCGGCTCGAGATGGCGTCCCACAGGGAGAGCGTCGACGTGCCCAGCCTGCGGAGGAGGGGAGACTGTGTGGCGGCTATGCGGGCGCGCAGTTGCGAGGCGGATTGCTGGGCTGCAAGGCGGGCAGACGCCTCGGCTTCACGTGCTTGTCGGCGCGCGGCCAGGCGCTGCTGGGCTTGGGCGAAGGAGTTGGTGTTGCCGTTGGTATTCGCGACGGCAGGGGCGCCATTGGCGTTACTTTTGGGGTTGGAGTCGCTCATCACTTTGGAGTAACTTGTCTGGAGCTTGGTGAAGCTGCGCCTTGAGATTTTAAGGGCATCGTCGCCGAGGTTGATTGTTGCGATTATGAATGGGGAAGTGGATGATGAATTGTTCGGCGTGGAGCCCTGAAGCCGAGGTTGCGGCAGCTGAAAGCCGGCCCGCTGTCTTGGCACGTTCGCCTTGTGGCCAAGGCCCACTTGCCCAAAATGTCAAGTCAACCAGGTCTTGAACCTGATCGCTGTCAGTCTTCATTCATTGGGTGTCTGTGCGTCACCTCAGCTGTCATCCGTTCTGCCCCGCCATGGATAGTATTGAATGCCCCATACAAACCTCCAAACCTCCAGCTGCCTGAAGAAGCACAGTGAAGCAGAGGAACCAGCTTGCTCGGCCAGACACTTCTAGAAATCCAGCTTGCTACGTCAGAGTCGTTCAAGCTCGTAAAGGCCGCAGAGGGCTCGCATTGGCGTTGACATTCTCACGCTTTGCAAAGGTTGGCTTAAGCCCTGCGGGCACATTCAGCGGGATGAACTTCGCGATCGAAGCTCCGGGCGAAGCTGCCCCCCTCAGTCCGTGGGAGCTTGTGAAGGCGTTGAGCGGTGCTGCCACTTCGACCGACCATGCCCAGAGGCAGTCGGCCAGCCAGCAGCTCCAGACATGGGAATCTCACCCGGACTACTACGCCAGTCTCCAGGTAACTTTTCCCCTTCGAACACATCGAGCAATGGCTTGACTCTGTGACTCCGTCGCTGATCAGTGAGTACCTTGTAGACCGCCTACCTCGATACGGAGCAAGATAAGCAGATCCGCTTCCTCGCCATTATCCTTCTCAAAAATGGCATCGACAAGTACTGGAGGCACACAGCCAGACACGCCATCAAGCCTGAAAAGAAACAGTTCATCCGTTCGCGGCTGTTGCAGGGCTCGCTCAACGAGGAGGACAAGTCCTTAGCGCTGCACAATGCTTTAGTCACGGCCAAAATCTTCAGGATAGACTATCCGACCGAGTGGCCCGATGCCTTTTCCGCACTCATCGAGGCGATCAAAGCCGCCAATGCTTCAAATCAGTTGCACCTACGTGGTGCTCTGCTAGTGTTGCTCCGCGTCGTCAAGGAGCTGGGCACCGCTCGTCTGCGCAAGTCACAGACTGCCTTACAAGCTGTCACGCCAGAGCTCGTGCAACTCCTGGGCGCCATCTACACCGAAAAAACCGCGTACTGGCAAGACCTCTGGACGAAAGGGCATGGCGATGAGGACACTGCAGAAATCGCCGCCGAAAACAGCCTGACAGCCCTCAAGGTTCTGCGAAGGCTGGTCACTGTTGGCTATGAGCAGCCACATGCGGACGCCATGGTGTGCGGTTTTTGGTCCCTGTCGCAGTCCCAGTTCGATCAGTTCCTCGGCGGCGTCAGCCAAGACTCGTGGATCCCCGTCCCGTACCAAGACATGGTCGGCAAGCATCTCATCCAGTTCACCAAGCTCCATATCGAAATGTCCGAGACGCATCCAGCAAGCTTTCCTCTGCTGCCCAACTCGATACCCCTGACCAAGGCCTACTGGAACCTCGTCAAAGGATTCTCCGAGGTGTTTGAGAAATCCGGAGGCATCAAACAAGCTTCAGGCGAAACAGCTGGGGGCAACCGCAAGCACGAGGGACCTCTGTACGAGAAGCTTGCACTGAAAGGCCTCTTGCTGCTAAGAAGCTGCATGGCTATCGCACACCATCCGGTACAGACCTTCAAGTACAGGAGCACAGAGGCCAAGGAGCTGGAAAAGCAGGCTGTACATATTCTCAGGGACGACCTCCTGACAAGGGATATGCTCCTGGACATGATGCAGGTTATAATCAGCAATCTCTTTATTTTCCGCAAGTCGGATCTCGAGGCCTGGGAAGAAGATCCCGAGGGGTGGGAGTCCCAAGAGCGGACCGAAGGCCAGGCTTACGAATGGGCTGTTCGCCCTTGTGCGGAGAGGCTGCTTCTCGACCTTCTCACCCATTACAAGGAGCTCGGCGAACCGCTCCTTGCTTACTTCGATCTTGTAACCAAGGCCGACATGGACATCGTCTCAAAGGAGGCCGCTTATTGTGCCCTTGGCTGCGCCGCCTCCGTTATTTACCAATCCTTCGACTTCGACACCTTCCTGACGACATTTTTGGTCAAGGATGTGCAGATTCAAGACCCCATGGCCAAGCTACTTCGACGACGAATCGCCATTTTGTTGAGCCAGTGGATTAGCATCAAGATATCCCAGGCTAGCAGGCCTGCCGTGTACGACATCTTTCGCCACCTAATGAACCCCGACGACCAGCACAATGATGAAGTTGTCCGCATCACGGCGGCACGCCAGCTCAAGTACATAGCAGAGGACTTTGAATTTACTCCGGAGAGTTTCTACCCATCTGCAGCAGACACGTTCAATCTCCTTGTCAGTCTCCTTCAGGAGGTAGAGAGCGACGAGACAAAGCTGGCGATCCTTGAGACGGTCCGAGTCATTGTATCTCGGATGGAGACGCACATATCACAGTTCGGAGACGCCATCATGGTAATCCTTCCCAAGGTTTGGGAGTCGGCTGCCAGCGAGGAGTACATGATCAAGCAGTCGGTGCTGGCCATCATGTCGGCGCTGGTCTCGTCGATGCGTGTCGAGTCGCAGAGGTACCAGGGGCCTATTATCCCGCTGCTCAAAGAAGCCATGAATCCTGAGTCGGCGCTTCACCTTCACCTGATCGAGGAGTCGGTCGATCTGTGGAAGGCCATCATGATGCAGAGCTCGCCAGCCTTGAACCCGGACCTCGTACAAATGGTTCAGTTGGCACTGCCACTTCTGGAATATGATTCCGAAGTGGCGAACCAGTGTTTGGATATTGTCAAGGACTACATTATTCTGGCTCCGCAAGCCATCCTGACCGACGCCCTCCGCCGCCCAACCCTGTCAGCACTGGCAAAGACGCTGGACTCAAAGAGCCGCGACCAGTCACAGCTTGGCGCGAAATCGATCGAGCACGTTATTCGCGCCGCTGAGGAATTCGGCGGCGCTCAAGGCGTCTCAATCGTGATTCAGGACCTGCTCGAGATCGGCGTGCTCCGAACCATGCTCGAAGGGTTGCACAGCGCCTGGGAATCCAGCCAAACCACGGGACCCAACCGGAAATCAAGCAAAATCAACAGTCTCAAGGAGACGGACTACTTTGCGGTCCTCGCCCGCATTGCCCTTGCGGACCCGGCGCTCCTGGTCACTATGCTCACGAGCTTCGGCAGCCCCATCGAGCAGGTATGGTCGTGGCTCAGCACCCAGTGGTTCGCCAACTTTGATTGCATGGGCGATATCGAGCGGGAGAAGCTTTCGTGTCTGGCGCTGACGCGCCTCTGGGAGCTGCCCAACCCCATGCAGGATTTGGTCCTCGCCCGCCTGCAGGATTACCTGTCCATGTGGACAAGCGTCGTGATGGAGCTGGCCGACGACACGAGTGGCGACGCGCTGCGGTCGCAGGATAGCCTTGTGTGGATTGAGGTCGCGGGATCGGAGTACGACACGCCGTTGGATGTGAGCGAGAGGGAGTTTGCGGCCAAGGATCCGGTACATTGCGTCGTCACGTTCGAGTTTGTCAAGGCCAGGCTGGGGGATATGGTGCAGCGTGTTGGCGGAGAGCAGGCATTTGAGGCCAACTGGGCGGTGAATGTGGATAGGGAGGTCCTGGCGGGATTCCAGAGGTTGAGTCAAAGTAGTGGACAGGTGGATCGGTGATCAGTGAAGGGAGACGTAGAAAGGAGGCGAGGACTGAGAGTGGCCTACCAAGCCACACAGAGACGTTAACTGGCGAGGCCCAACTGAAGAGTAGGCAACTCGCCGGTCCTGATATATGGCTAATGGAAAGAAATCAAAACAAGATCCAGGGAGTTCGGGGAGTAAGCTGCTCTCACCCAATTCAGGAGTCGGACGACTTCAAGGCCAAGACGTAGAACTTTGTTGTAATACGTCAAAGCGTGAGATCTCCGGGGACAGCAATGCCCGAGTTGGACCCAGGGTTGATGTTGTGGACCAAGCCCACAGTTACAGTGATAGCAGTGCACCGATCTTCAGGCGCAGTCACGTGGCAAGTCTATCCTACTCGCCCACAGGAGAATTGTCTTGTTCTTCTCCTAGCACTGCCCATACCTAGACCAAGGTTATGGTTGGAAAGCAGAACAAACACCCAGAGAATGTGAATGGATGTGAACTATAGAACCGTAACAGTCTGACTTGGCCTGCCCGCCTGCCGATGTGGCGAAGTAGATGATGTATTCCAGATCACTCTACCTTGACCTATCTGGGTGAGCTGGGCTAGAGATTATGCGACGTATGATATCCGTTACGTGGCTGCTGACTCGGTCAAGCATGCCACGGTGATGTTCCGGAGATTTGGTTTTAAAGGGTTGAAAGATGCTGCGGGTCGATAACGTTAGAGTACCTTAAGAGTTCCAGGGTTATCTTGGCCCTGCAGCTAACCGCAGGCAGTGCCGCGCCGCGATAAGCCTACCTTACCTTATCCAGAGCCAACAAACAGAGCTGGTTGCACGACATTCTGACGATTCCCAATCCAAGACATCATACCTACAATCACAGCCGCTGACGTGGATCAGTTTGTTTGCTCCCGTCCGCTTCTTCTTGAATATAGTCTGCGCAACTCGAGAACAGCTAGATACACTACCGAAGAGAGTTTAAACTCACTTCAACGCCACTCAAACGACACGGATACCCCGCGAATCCCGTATCTCAAAGGCATGCAACCATCAACCCTGTAGCAAACAGCGCGACGGATCGGATTGAGCCGATGAACGATCCCTGAATCGAGGTTCGCAGCAACACCACACATCGGATGGGCCACTCGCAAAGTAAAAACCCGTCTGCCCACGACCACGGCTACGGCCACGGTCTCGGGCTCGGACCAACCCGCCGGAGCGGGCACTGGGACAGGGACACAGCAACCACTTACCGCTACCATCCGCTCCCAAAACAACCAAGCAAGCACAGCAACCACAACCGACGAACCTCCCTCTCGAACCTATCCCACGGGACCGCGACACCGACCCTGCCCCCGGCAATGCCCTCCTTCTTCTCCTTCCAGCAAGGCTCCGAGCGCGCCCAGAACGTCCGCTACCTCTCGGAAGCATCGCCCCTCCTGGGCAGGTTCCGCGCCGTGCCGAGACAGAATGATCGGCCCGTGGGGAATGGCCGGAGCGGTGGTGGGAGAGCGCCGATGAGTCACGGGCAGATGGGGTTGCTCTCGGCCGAGCCTGGGTGGAGGGGTAGTGTGCATGTTGGGTATGGCGCGTTGGTTGCTGCCGCTGCTGCTGAGGAACAGGAGGAGGAGGAGGATGGGTATGAAGATGAAGATGAAGATGAAGAGGGGGAAGCGGGTGGGGACGGAGGGGAGGTTGGGTGTTGCTGTGTTGGCGATGGAGGGAGGCGATGGAGGAGGGGAAAGGGAAGGATAAGGACGTTGTGTAGGAAGTTGGAGAATGTTTGGGTTGATCCCAAGGCGGGGGCCATTCGGAGGGTTGTGGATGTGTGGTGGAGTCGATGGGGGACTCTGGTGGTCTTGCCCGCGTTCTTGGTGAGTGGCCGCGTACAGGGTGTCTCTGTGGGAGAGGCAAGAGCGCCAGTATTAAAGGCTTGCATGATGCTAACGTTGTCCCTGTATATAGGCTGTGGCCTGGTGCGCCATCCCATTTCCCCAGTACCCACTTCCGGGAGACGACGACGACCGGCGGTCCGGAGAGCCGGGGCCCGCTCCTGGGCGCAAAGTGCCGGGGCACGGAGCGACTCGCGTGCAGGTCAATTTCTGGTTCTTCCTCTTAATCTACTACAGCTTCTACAACTTGACAGCCCTCATATGGATCACAAAACTCTTCAACTTGTATAGCCTCAACTGGTGGCCGCAGTCACTCGGCTTCCCCCTCACCGTGTCCGCCATCGCCATCCTCTCGATCGCGGCGCCAGTGCCCATCTATCTCATCCCGGAGGCCAGATTTTTGACAGTCCACAACACGGCATGGATCCTCTGGACTTTCGTCATCATGGCGATGCCCGTCGGCATTGCTTTTTGTATCCTTATGACCAACGAGCGCCACCTCAAACTCCGGCAATCGCTTTCTGAGACGCAGCGCATCTTTACATCCTCGTGGTGGGCCGGCGAGCCAGACAGCAGCACCTTGTCGCCGCGTGAGGGGAGGCGAGCCCGCGCTACCCTGGATCCGAACGCTTTTGATCCGGCACTGGGTGTTTCCACAATTGGATTCGCGGACAGTCGTTATCAACGGCCTGCGATGCAGGCCCGGCTGCGCCGACGATGGCTGCCAGCAAGCTTCGTACGCTTCGTGTGGTTCTCCTTGGCCTTGTTCATCGGCTTGCTGGCCTATGTCATAGGAGAGGCTTACGCCGAAATCTACCTGAGCACGCTGCCGCATAACAATCTCCATACAATCGTCTACGTCTACGGTTGGATATCGACCGTGTACCTGCTGGATGGGTTGACGGGATGGATTCTGGGTGGGAACGAAGGCGAGCGAGTCGGGAGCTACCCGCTGAGTTGGATCTTCAAGCTGTAAGTGTCTGTGCGGGATCCGTCTCTGCTCATGCTCAAGTCGGCTGATTGTCTGCATGCAGCTACTTCATGTTGACTTACCAGACATACGTCCGCGCGCTGTACGCTCGCTTGCGCAGTCCGTCACAGTTCATCCTGCTCCAAGTTCTCTCCTCAGCCAGCCTGATCATCGTTACGCCTATCCTTATGTCGGCGCCGTTCCACTGGTTCTTGTCCGTTATTGGCGTCAACGGCCAGAGCTACGGCTCTTACCAAAAGATGTGCATCCGCAACGTTTTTATCCGCTTCATCGCCGAGAACGCATCGATGCTGGCCTTCCTCGGCAGCGTGGTGATTCTGCACTTTGGTGCCAACAAGGACGTCTATCCTTACTTCGCCTTTGACGGCACCGAGGAGAATGAGGACTACGACTTTAACCTGACCTTTTATGCCTCGAGCATTACCTGGGCCTGCGAACTGGTCGCGAGCTTCATCGTGGCCGGGCTTATTCGCTGGATCTACAAAGTCAGCGTCGTCACGGAGGGCAAGCTCGACTTTATTGTCTGGCCCGAGCTGCTCCCTACCTGTGTCGCCGTCATGCTTCATGTGCTGCAGAACATGCTGTTTTCCATCATTCGGCTGCAGTTTCGATGACCGTCGAGAAAAAGGGCACGGAACGTGTTGTCGGAAAAGCAAAGCATTGGCGATTATGGAAGCCATTGCGTCAGCATCAGCATCCGTCCTCTCCGCAACAGATCCAGCCTGTCACAGGTCGCATCTCTTTCCCGTGTTCGGGTGGTCGGGCAGGGGTCAACAACAAGATCAATCCGCTACCAAACTGCAGACTGAGTGCTCCCAGAACGGTGTAGATCTGTCACGGCCCCCTAAAGCTGTCTCAATTTTATTTTTCTGAGGTGTTGCTTTCCTTCTTTGTTTTTGTTTTTGCTACAACATCTGGGCGGGGAATTTGGGACATGGCATGGCGTCAGTGCTCCATATACTTGCATGATACCCCCGTTGTCTTGTCATAGCATTGCATAGCGCTCTTTCGCATTGTTCGAGACTAGATAGTAAATCCTTCCTTCGAGACCAAACACTATCTGCCCTTCGACTGCCGTCCCTCGCGGCCCAGACTGAACGGCTGGCATCGGCCTTACCCGCGCTCTGGCAGAGCAGACATGAGATAACACAGATGGTTGGATGGATAAGGTATCATTGAGACGGCGTCTCCAAAGCCGCAGTCGGGTTTCACTGCTTGCTGGCTTCTGTTTCCCTCGCCCTGCAGCACGGCACCAGAAGTGGCCTCATACCCTCGCGAACACGGCCCGTCTGCAGGGAGATCTTCTGGGCAGCATGGTACTGGGCCGATATGGGCGCTTGTAGCGCTGCATGATGTTGTTCTACCCACCACGCCTGCATGAGTAGGTGCCTTAGCAAATTCGTCGCATCGCTTGCTGAATTTGCAGCAGGCAACCTCGTTCGCTGAAGAGAGGCGCTCCATGCATTCATCAACAACTTAAGGCGCTGGATATCGTCATGTTTTGGTGGTCAGCCTTCGGTTGGTGTGTGGGGGCTACTCCTCTCAGATATGGTGGATAGTCTGATACCGGTAACACGAGACAGCCCTACCTACCACCGGTTGCTGCTTTTTGATTGTTGACGTAGTGGTTACATCTCTGCCGGGGCTTTGAGCCGGCCCAGGTCCGAGTTTGGATGCTAGCCTGAACGGGATATCCAAAGCCCGGGGACAGGTGTATCCGTAGATCGCATCACGGAGGCGGTGAGGAGATGTCAACTCTCTCCCTCCTACCTATCCCTAGCCAAAACAGGAGAAATAAGGCGGCGGAAAGACCCCAATGCGGCCATGAAAACCCTTGAATACATGTTGGCTTGGTTCTGGGCGCAACCGTGCTGCCGGATAATAGTTGCCAAGGCGATGCCGCAGCGTGCAGATGCATGGTCACTGCAGATGATCTTGGGAATCTGCTCTAGGATGCGTGCTTCTCCAATAGACAAACCGTCCCTCACAATTGGGCCCGTTTGCCAGCCCGCATCGCGACATGATTTGTCCCCACCCTTCGTGTACAAAGTGTATGGAGTGAACTACTTGATACTCGAAGCAGAAGGTCGCATGGGACGGAGGGGAGAAGATAGGCCTTTGATCGGAAGCGGGTGATCGGAAGCTGAACAGAAAGAGCTTGAAGGATACGGTGAGTAACGGTGAAAACTCTCCGCCTGCTGCAGTTGTATCTGGACGTCGGATATTCGACGATTGCTGGCCGTCGAGGTGTTGCTCCAAATAGGAGCCGGTATGCTCGCATCTGTCGTTTCCATGCGCTCCCGCCGATGAACTCCTCTCCATCTAACTGTTGGTCGTCAGCAGGGGAGAGTCACGTTTGGAAAGAGCTTGAAATGAAAAGGTGCACTTCAGAAGTGCGGGGAAAGCGTGGTTCTACAGATCGTCTTGCTCAGCGGACCAAGCTGCCCTCCCTTTATCACCTCGCTCAGAAAGAATACCACGGAGCAGAGGTTTAAACACACATGGCTGGGTCTTTGAGACGTGAGAAGGCTGGCATCGGACGGGAAATGAGGTGGTGGGCGCGCG